GGTAGCTTGGGATTGCTGCCCAAAGTGGGAGGTAGACTTCTTCTAAGGCTAAATACTCACAAGAGACCGATAGCGAACAAGTACTGTGAAGGAAAGATGAAAAGAACTTTGAAAAAAGGGTTAAAATACTTGAAATCGCTGAGGAGGAAGCAGTGGGCTCTGCAGCGCTGGCAGTACAACTAACGACACGTCGTTGGAGCAGCTGACAGCACAACTCCGTCTGCGTCCTCGTGCTGTGCCTGAAGGCTGTTAGCCCACAGAGCCAGCACAATGGATTCAGGCGGAGTCGCGGTGTCCACTGACCCGTCTTGAAACACGGACCAAGGAGTCTAACATGCGTGCAAGTAGTAGGGTTTAAGCTAATTTAAACTGAATATGTCCCAATTTTTTATAATAATAGATTCTTTTTTTTAATATTTATAGACTTAAATTACCAATATAAGCTTAAAAATCAATTCAATTCAGCATAAACCACACTGCGCAACGAAAGTGAGCCTTGCCAAACTAGCAGCAAGGGCCGCGTCAGCGAGCTCAGCACATATGTTGGGACCCGAAAGATGGTGAACTATGCTTGGGAAAGGCGAAGCCAGGGGAAACTCTGGTGGAGGCTTGTAGAGATTCTGACGTGCAAATCGTTCTTCTAACCTGAGTATAGGGGCGAAAGACTAATCGAACCATCTAGTAGCTGGTTCCCTCCGAAATTTCCCTCAGGATAGCTGGAACAGTGCAGTTTTATCGGGTAAAGCGAATGATTAGAGGTTCGGGAGTTGTATTGAATAAACAGTAAATATAAGAAAAATCTAAATATTCCTATTAAATTCTATATATAATAATTCCCAATAACAACTTTCACCTATTCTCAAACTTTAAATTGGTAAGAACGCAGAGTTGCTTCATTGAACTCTGTGCCGAATGCGTGTTCCATGTGGGCCATTTTTGGTAAGCAGAACTGGCGACGAGGGTTCAACCTAAGGCAGGGTTGAGGCGACCAATTGGCAGCTAATGAGATGAAAAGGTGTTAGTTCATTTAGACAGTAGGACGGTGGCCATGGAAGTCGGAACCCGCTAAGGAGTGTGTAACAACTCACCTACCGAATGAACTAGCCCTGAAAATGGATGTCGCTAAGCAGCCAGCCGATACCCTGCTGTCCAGCTTGATGACAGTTGGACAGGTAGGAGGGCGTGGAGGCAGCGCAGAAGGCTCTGTGTGGACAGGGTTGGAGCTACCTCTAGTGCAGATCTTGGTGGTAGTAGCAACTATTCAAATGAGAACTTTGAAGACTGAAGTGGAGAAGGGTTTCATGAGAACAGCAATTGGTCATGAGTGACTCGGTCCTGAGGCCAGGGGTAATCCCGCGACGACATCGTCCAGGCCGAAAGGGAATGTAGTTAAAATTCTACAAGCAGGCGGTGGGTATTGAGTGGCAACACAACTGAACTCAAAGACGTCGGGGCGAGGTCCTGGGGAGAGTTCTCTTTTCTTCTTAACAAATCGCTGCCCTGGAGGTCTTTGCGACGAGAGAGGGCTATCGGTTTGGAAGAGCAGCACACCCTTTGTGCTGTCCGGTGCACCTCCTTCGGCCCTTGAAAATTTGAGGGAAATCTTATCGCTCGCCTGGCCGTACCCATAACCGCATCAGGTCTCCAAGGTTAGCAGCCTCTAGTACGTAGAACAATGTAGATAAGGGAATTCGGCAAATTAGATCTGTAACTTTGGGAAAAAGATTGGCTCTGAGGGCCAGGTCTTGGGCCTTCTGACCTCTTCATAGCTTCGCAGGAAGGGGCGACCTGACCAGCGTTAGCGACTGTTGAGCCAGGAGTAACCCAGGACAGCGAATGGCTAACTCAGAACTGGAGCAGCGAGGGGAATCCGACTGTTTAATTAAAACAAAGCATTGTGAAGGCCTCAAAAGGTGTTGACACAATGTGATTTCTGCCCAGTGCTCTGAATGTCAACGTGAAGAAATTCAATCAAGCGCGGGTAAACGGCGGGAGTAACTATGACTCTCTTTGGGTTAAAAAAAATTCCATAAATATTTCCTAGTAAATTTACTATAAAATATTTATTTCTGTCCTCTCTTAAGGTAGCCAAATGCCTCGTCATCTAATTAGTGACGTGCATGAATGGATTAACGAGATTCCTACTGTCCCTATCTACTATCTAGCGAACCCACAGCCAAGGGAACGGGCTTGGCAGAATCAGCGGGGAAAGAAGACCCTGTTGAGTTTGACTCTAGTCTGGCTTTGTGAAATGGCGTAGGAGGTGTAGACAAGTGGGAGCCCTGCGACCTTGAAAAACCACTACTCTTGATGTCATTTTACTTACCTCGTGAGGTAGCGACCATTCGTGGTTCTAGCTTTGCTTGCTAAGCGAGAGACAGAGCCAGGTAGGGAGTTCGGCTGGGGCGGCACATCTGTTAAACAGTAACACAGGTGTCCTATGGCAAGCTCAAAGAGAACAGAAATCTCTTGTAGACCAAAAGGGGAAAAGCTTGCTTGATTTTGATTCTCAGTACGAATACAAACCGCGAAAGCGTGGCCTATCGATCCTTTGCTTTTTAAAAGTCTTAAACCAGGCTACCTATTTTTCGCAAAAAAAAATTTATGTTTTTTATATATAGGCCTAAAAAAATTTATCTTTACTATAAAACTAACACCCTTAAACCAGAGGTGTCAGAAAAATTACCACAGGGATAACTGGCTTGTGGCAGCCAAGGTGGCAAAAAATATTTTTAAAAATTTATTATAGGAAATTATTTATAAAAAATAATAAAAGGCATCAGCCAAGCGTTCATAGCGACGTTGCTTTTTGATTCTTCGATGTCGGCTCTTCCTATCATTGTGAAGCAGAATTCACCAAGTGTCGGATTGTTCACCCGCTAATAGGGAACGTGAGCTGGGTTTAGACCGTCGTGAGACAGGTTAGTTTTACCCTACTGATGAACTGATGTCGCTACAGTAATCCAACTCAGTACGAGAGGAACCGTTGGGTCAGATCACTGGTTCATGCGATTTCCTGACAAGGAAGTGTCGCGATGCTACCATCTGTTTGATTATGGCTGAACGCCTCTAAGTCAGAATCAATGCTGGAACGCGACGTCCGCCAGTCACCTATGGAAACCATAATCCCACTCCCAACTGAGATCCTTGTCCAGGCGAAATGCTGAAGACGGCTTCTCAATGTACCAAATAGTGACTGGGACAAATCTTTTGCAGACCACTTACATGGAACGAGGGATTGTACGTACGAGAGTAAGCTTGTCTTACGATCTACTGAGATCCAGCCTCCTTCCTTCGATTTGTCACCCCCTGTATATTATTCTCTGCTGGGGTGTGAGCATTGTCTTTAGCTTTTTATAATTTGAATTGTGAAGCAGAAAATTGGAAATACTTTATATTATTTATCATTATCATTTATTATTCGGTTTTTATAGTTTCTAAAGCCATTCACTCCCCCTTTTAATTGGAACAAAATATAGGCTAAATTTTAATTTTTCGGGTAATCTAAAACTTAACAATATTTTTTCAATAGAAAAATTTTTATAGGTGAAACATACTAATTTTTATACTTAATTTAATAGGACAAATTGCAAGTAGATAAAATAAATTAAAATCTAAAAATTTGTCTTATTAATTTCAAAATTTTTAAAATATTTTTAATAGAGAAAAATTTAATGTATTTATTTTATAAAAAAAGTTAAATTGAAGCATCAATTTAAAAGGGGGGAGTCAGTAATAATTAGGCCAAAGCTATTCTTTTCACATTCAACTATATCTCTGAGACTTGCCTCACCAATCCTGCTGTGTGTCTTACTTCTTTTATAGTCTTAATCAATATTTTAAATATTAAAATATTTATTTATCTATTATAAATTAATTTTAGTTTTCTATAAGCAATTGCTATTTATGAGATTATGTAAAATCTTGCATCATTTGATAATACTAAACTTACATTTAAAAATTATATATTTAAATTGTTTGAACTGAAAATGGAGTTTTTGATGTTAATGATCTTTTCGCAGCATAATAAAATCAAAATCAATAATTGTGAGCTCAGTTTTTTAAATCTTTCTGTTATATACTATTATAGTATACTTATTCTTTATTTGAATACTGCTTCATATATAGCAAGAATTTTGCATTACCTTAATTATTTAATAACTATATCCTTTAGAATTATTTGAGTAATTATGGTCCCCGAAAAAGCAAGTCTTGCCCTAATGTACATACCTTATAGTATCATGTACACAATAACGTGCTTCCTTCTTTGATATATACAAAACAAAGGCATTTGATGAAATCTGCAGCATCTATAATTTATATGAATATTACTTGCATTTTCCTGTGAATCATGGGAAGGTCCCATTATAAGTCAACTGCTTTGCTATTTTCATGCTGACTATACTTTATACAAATAGCTTCAAGCTTCCATTATAAAGTCATCCTGAATAAAGTATCAACTGGATCTTCAAAATTTGGATCTGTCACAGTATGGGCTTTACCGCCTGAGGTTTGCCCATATGGGAAAATTGCGCCGTTTACGCCTTCCATGACGCCATCTATAATTGGACAAGCAGCCTTTTCATATACAGTGGACTGGGTGTCGTTTTCATCAAAAACGTAGTTAAATGGAAAGGAGAGTGGCTCTCCTTTTTCTTTTGTTTGGAATATAGCCACTGATAGGTTGTCTTAGGCAATTTCCACTATTTCTTTGCTGGAAAATTCTCGTTCGAAGTCATTGTGAGGCATGAATCGGCAAAAGACGAGGGTGTTCTCTTGGGAGAGATCATAACTTGGTTCCATGATAATAAATTTCGATTATTTGTGAGTTATTTTCTATTAAAGATCTAATTAAATGAGTTATTTCACCAAAAGTGTTCAGTGGATTTCTCCTTTAAGTTACAATAATTATTCTTTTCTAAATCTAAAATAAATATGCCCTTACAATGTGAAATAAAGAGCTGTAAAAATGTTCCTGCTTTCGTTTGTGTGTGCTTAGAAAATGAACATTTACTTTGTAAGGAGCATTTTATGAATCACTTATTCACCCACTAGTGAGTGAGCAACACCATTTTCATAAAAATATATTGATTAGCCATTAAAATACAAAATTATACGCACGGCAAAACAGTGTTAGCAGGTGATCCAACTAGTATTCTATTTTTCCTCAAAATGAGCTATTTTGAAGAAAGAAAGATAGGACACTGGTAGCTTGTTAAATTATTTCCCACGTGTAAAAATATCTATAAATATTTATAGGTTTTTCCTTTGGATAACCCAATAAGGCCATGATTTGTCCGCTTTTTTCATTTTGGTCGGACCAAATTGATAAATTTTGGACAGACCAAAAAAAGTGGTTAAGTCATGGCCTTATGGGGGTTATTCAAAGAAAACCTTTATTATAGAAATAAAATGGCGACGTACGGAAATTTGACTCCGAGGCGCACTCCCTGTGGGCAGGTAGATGAAGCTTAAAGTAGGGCCTCTGCTCCTTTGGAGGTACTCTTTAGGCTTGGGGATGTCTTATCGAAGAGGGAAGTTTTGTTTCTCCCTAAGGCTACTATTCAGGTTTGCCTAACACATGGTCTTCCCTTGTCAGGACCATCAGGACATTCTGCAGATGGTGGCTCTGCCCTATGGGATTCAGATTCCATTTCCCTCGAGTCTATGTGGACTTGCTTTTTGGAGTCAAGACATCGCAAAGGTTAATGGATTGCCCTCTTGCGACCATCTTAACAGTTTAATTTAGCTAAATACTATAAAAACAATATTCTAAATATAAATTTCGTAAATTTTTTCATTTCATCTGTTTTCAAATTATAATTTTTTATGCTGTTATATAAAAAATTACTTCTCCTGCAACTAAAAAAAGCATTTCTCAGGGTGGCGAAGTTAGGAGATTCAAGTAAAACCCAACACAAAAGCGTATGCTTGCTTCCAAGAATTTACTCACCTATCAATAGTTGCAACAATGAGGATATAATATCAAGCAAGTGCTACGAGATCTCATATTACAAGAAAATTCCTGATACAACTAGCAGGCTTTTAGTATATATTATCCAGTATGCTGAACAAATTTTTTCTCTCAATTGATCAAAACGCAAAACTCATACAAGCTTTTCACAAAATTCCTGCTACGCAGTCAAGCCCGAGTTTCTATTCCCAAAGACTATTTGCTCTGGTGTCATCTATAGGCATAATGAGCTCAATTATAAGCTTGCCAGATCCCTAAGTGATCATATTCTCCAAATATCCAGTCCTTCCGCATTATTGAAAAGTTATGTCAATAAAATCAATTTCATAAACCACAAAGACTTTTTAAGCTGCTTCAAAAATATAATGACTGATATGCTTACTCCCCTATCTTTGATCAAGTGGCCTGCCATCGTTCGATCAAAGATGATATTAAAATTTTTTGGAAAACATCATGCAAGTTGATATTTATTTTATTAAAAATTTTATACACTAGGAGAAAAGATATAAAGCATGAAATATATTAGCAAATATACTAGAAATCGCATTATAATAATTTAAAGGTGATTATATACTCTAATACTGATAATATAAAATATAGAAAGTTAAATTTATGCTTGGCTGTATAAAAATTGTTCTAATAAGGATGGGGCTAATTTTCCCAATTTTATTTTACTCGATCAAAAGATAATTGGGAGCTAGAGAAAAACTTTTAGACATTATTTTACAATCAAAAATTAATAAAAAACTGAAATATTCAGCCAGCAATGCTATAACTATCTTAAATTACTCCAAATATAATTTTATCAATAAAGATTTAAGAGGCATTCAAATTGAAGGTGCAGATTTATCAGAAGCACTCATAATAAATACAGATTTCCAAGGAAGCAACTTAAAACGGGTCAATTTTTCGTATGCAAATATATATGATTCTAATTTCCGTAACTGTGATTTATCAGATGCTTGGCTTGGGCAGATTCCACCAGTTATAAGCACATATCCTGCCAATTCTGTCGCTTTCTCATTTTGTGGAAATTATTTAGCTTTTGATTGCCGCAACACTGTCATTATGCATGATATTAAAACAGGCCTTAAATTCCAAGAATTCAAGCACAGTACAAATATTACTGCAATTTCTTTTTCAAAAGATGGAACTCTACTTGCTGTAGCCGATAGCAATTATATAGTAAATTTATGAGACATTAAGTGTAAAAAGCTAGTTACTAAATTAGCAGGCCACACAGACACCATTTCTTCAATAGCTATATCACCGGACAGAAATTTCGTGGCAACTGGAAGTTATGATGACAGTTTAAGAATTTGAAATATTGAAACATATATGCGAGATTACTGTATAAGCTATGCTAAAGATGTTGTGAGCTCAGTCGCGTTTTCTTCTTGTGGAAAATACTTTGCTTATGGAACTCATTGTAAATCTGCAATAGTTTCTTATGTAGATAATATAAGTTCTCGTAAGTGGGTATTTTACCATTCTGATTCTGTAAGGGCTGTTTCCTTTTCACCATGCTCAAAATATTTAATAACTAGCTGTGAAAATCTAGTTATAACAATCTGAGATCTAGAAATTGGACGTCTAATTAAAAAAATTAGAAAAGAGTATCACCCTATGCACATTTTAAAACCTTCTATGAGATATCACTCTTTTACTGAACAACAGATATCATTCCTCAAGTTTTTAGTTAACTCCCCATGAACGAGCACCGAACAAAAATATTTTAGTATAAAATTTTATTATAAAACTATTTTTATATAAATAATAATTTTTATAATGATTTCTCTAACTAAATCTGTTGAATTTTAAATAGCTTTTGCATTTGAAAACATATAAATTTTACAAATTAAATGAATTTTTAAATTGGGATTTTTTAAATTTTGAAAAAATAAATTTTACTATAGAATTTATATCGTTGAAAAAAATTTTGTTTTAGCTCATAGAGGGGGGAGAAGCACAGCCACTCAGAAGCTAAATGATTCAATGAGCAGCTTTTCAACATGTGATCAGTCTCTTATTCTCCTAATGGAAAATATATCGCGATAAAGAAATCAGATACATCAGGAAAATCAATAGAAATTTGAGACATTAGAACTTTAGAGGAGCATCCTTTTTTGTATAATGAAATTACCACTATATCTTTTTCTTATGATGGGAAATATATTGCAGTGGCAGACACCTCAAGCTTAATCATGATTAAAGATGCCGAGACAAAGAAAAACAAATTTAAACTTAAAAGCAGCAAAGGAATAATTATTTATGTCAAATTTCTGAAATTTGGGTATTTCCTTATATCATTGTGCTCAAGGAATTATATCACTGTTTGGGATGCCGAAAATCAATATCCTTTAAAAGAATTCATAATGGGAAACATTCAGGTTTCTGCAATTGATATAGCTTTTAACGATAAAATTATAGCGACTGGACAATCTAACGGTGAAGTTAAGGTGTGGGATCTAACGGCTCCGTCAAATTATTTTTTTTTAAAATGCAGCGTAGAATTTCTCACTTGTATCAATTTTTCACCATGTGGGAAATATCTGGCTACAGCATGCAATAATAAAAAGCTGCTTTTATGAGAACTTGGCGGCAGAAAATCGTTGGAATTGGATGGCCATAAACAGAATTTATTATGTATGAGCTTCGTTCAGTCTACAAATTATCTGGTTTCAGCAGATGCAGGTGGGCAAGTTATACTTTGGGATATTGAAGCGCAATGGAAAATTTTAGAAATTCAAGCTGATGATCAGATGATACCTTCAATAGCTGTGTCTTTATGTGGGGATTATTTGATAACTGGAACCTTAAATGGCTGTGTCAAAATATGGAATACTTGGGAAGGCACTCTGATTAAAGAAATAAAATATCATTCCAATGCAGTTGACTCTCTTAAGTTTCTCAACAATAAAAAACTTGAGTTCGCTTCTGTAAGTGCTGATAACACTTTCAAGCTATGTAGACTTTAGCAAATAAAATAAAAATGATTTATAGCTTTAATCATAATTAACTTTTGTGGTAGAATTATATATATTTTTAAATTTTATTGATTCTGAATTAATTTGGTCAGCCTTAATTATTCTTCAGCAGTATCATGCTTCAAGTAAGCTAGAAGATGCAATAAATGCTTTTAACATCTCAGTTTATTTCTTTGAAAGACACAAAAATATTGCGTGACATTTTTCAGCCATCGATACAAATCATGATGAAAAGTTAACTCACCTATTTAATGAACTTTTAATTTGATATAACCAATAAACCGATATTTTCTTACAATTGAAAAGGGGACTCTCTTCAAAATTATTTATATAATTTAATTAGAGAAAAATATAATAGTCAAGACGCTTCTAATTTCAGTTTAAGTTTTTCAACACCCAGGAGTTGCCCTTTTCTTCCACTTCAAATTCATTATGAAGTTATTACTTTTAAAAACGAAACTAGTGATGGGTCTGAAGAAGAAACAGTAGAGATGTTACAAATGTGATAGAGCTTGAAGCCACTGAACTCAATCCACGAAAAATTAAATCAAAACTCCATTTAATTTTTTTTGACTGGGTTCTCAATTATATAAATAATCTTGATTTCATTATGGTACAAAATCGTATTGAAAGAGGAAAGTCAAGCATAAATTCGCCTAAATCAAAAGAACTCTTATCTTGCAAACCTTATAAGCAGGTTACTAATAAGATAAGATGCTTAAAAGATATCTATTTTAGGGTGTGAAACACTATAGTTAAAGATATTCCTAAATGAACGCAAACTGAAAGTCTCAGGGACTCCTATTTCAACTCAGTTGATCTCGCATCATTTTATCCAAGTCTCGAGCTATTTAAAACTTATTTCTCAACAGATCTACAAGAAATTCTGTTTGAAATCGTTATTTTCTCAAAAGGGTTACCTGAGATCTCAAGAGCTGCAAGCAACGCAATTTCTATTTTAAACAAGCTTGGCTATTCATTTAATAACACTGATCTTCAATCAACAAATATCCCATATGCCGACTTATCCAACTCTCTTTTCATTAACACAAATTTTAAAGACAGCAGTCTCAATTCAGCTAATTTCAATCAGTCAAATCTTTACCACGTGAATTTTAAAAATTGCGACTTAAAAAATGCGAAATTTTCTAAAAATCACGTGATTTTAAGTTATAAAAAAGTAGGGGAAAGTTTTGATGTTTCCAGATGTGGGAGGTATTTAGTAGCATTTGGGTTTGAAAATGAAGCGAGAATAAGATTATGGGAAATAGAGTCTGATAAACTATTAAAAGAAATTAATTGTGGAGATTTAGGACTCATGCATTTATTACGATTTTCACCAAGTGCCCGCTATATTGGGATAATAAAATCTGGAATAGTTACTTTATATGATTTACAAAATGAGTACAAAATAATTAAATTTGAAGGCTTTTTCTACAATGCCTCTTGCTTTGCATTTTCTTCATGCGAAACGTATTTTGCAGCGGGAAGCATGGATAACAGTATAAAAGTTTGGTATTTAAAAAGCCAAGCACTTATTCATATGCTGAATGGGCATGCAGCACAAGTTGTGGATGTGTCGTTTTCTCCTTGCAATAAGTTATTATATTCAGCTGGCGATGATTCTTACATTTTAGTGTGAGATTTTGACGCAAAGGGTAAGATAGTACCGTGCTATAAAGGCACAACTTTTATTCGAAATAAGAAAAAGAAAGGAAAAAAACTTATAAAGCGTTTTCAAGAAGAAAAATGAGTTAAATCGATAACACCTAGTAGTAATGGAAAGTTCCTAATTTGTTTATCACAAAATATTTCAGTATGAAACATTAATTTGGGAGAAAAAGTGCTTTTATATTGCCCAACTTTATTTCCTTCCCAAGCTTCTTTCAATCAAATAAATTTAATTGCATTTAGAAGAGAAGATGGGGCTATTCTGGGTTTTGACATAGAGACTCAGCAATTTACTTATCAAATCTATTGTGAGCCAGGTAAAGAATCCAGAAAGCTTGTCTTTATGCCTAATGGAAAATCTATTGCAGCTGCAAGTAAAAGACAAGGTATTTCATTCTTCGATATTTCTGATGTAAACAGCAATAAATCAATAAAAAAAAGCAATTATACTGTCAACTCTATTTCATTTTCTCCATGTGGAAATTATTTTGTTACACATTGCGGAGAGGCAGAGATTGAATTATGAGACTTCGCGCAGCATAAGGTTATAAAGCACTTATACGCAGGCTCTCCGAATCATGCAGTAAAAACTATAATATATTCATCATCTGGCGACTATATAGCAATGCCCAGTAATAATTTAATTTTTATTTACTCTCCACATTTAGACCTACTACATGAATTTTCAGGTTGTACTAGCTACATCAAGGCTTTAACTATTTCTCATGATGGAAAATTAATTGCTGTCGGAACTGTACATGATGAAATTGTGCTTTGAGAAAAAAGCTTAGACTCCATAAAACAAGTTTGCACCCTTAATGGGCGATTTAATTGTGCAAAGTACTTAGGATTTACTCGAAATAAAGGAATCATCGTCTCTTGTTTTGACGATAACAAAATCAAAGTATGGAGTTACAAAGAAGAGAAATGTATACATTTCTTCAAAAACCATCAAAAATTAAATGTCATACTTCAAGTTTCTCCTTCTCAACAAATTTTTGTTTATGCTTTTGGATCTTCAACTGATATTTTTCTTTATGATTTAAATTCTAATGACGGATTCCAAAGCACATTTAAAAGAAATGGAAATAATCCTTATAAATATATCAAATTCTCCCCCAGTGGAAAATATATTGCAGCTTTGAGCTTAGAAGACTCTGAGATAAAGTGTATCAATAATATTTATATATGGCTTGTTGAGAGTAGAGAGTTATTAGTCAGTTTTAATGAACTTGAGGATTTAATTACTTGTATTGAATTTTCAACTAGTGAGAAAATAATTGCTTTAGGTTTCAAAAACGGCATAATTAAATTCTGGGAATGGCAAAATTTAATAAAATAATATTTATATGAAGTATTATAAATATCTATGTTTTTATAAAGCTTATACACTGAAAAACTTTCAAATTTTTATTTATGAATCTAATCTTTTTAAGAGAATTTAGAGCATTGATAAATGATGCCAGCAAACTTCACTCACCATTGAGATTTCCTCGAGCAATTTATATTGATGCAAAGCCTAATTCAGAAGTCTTTATATAGCTTGCTGAAAGAGAACAGTAGCTATTAATCAGCATAAAGGAAAATGTTGGCTTAGTTGCTTGCTTTGGGCTTACTTATACCGAGAATATTATTAATTAGATATCAATAATTGCATAACTGAATTTTGGGATTGGAAAAAATATAATTCATACCGACTAGTATTTAAAGTTAAAGCAAAAATATACAAAAGAGCCAAAAAGAAGAGGAAAAGTAAATAAAATCCTGTTTCTTATAAAATTTTATACATCTTTTAAGATTAATAAATTTATAGAATCATGAGAGGACCAATTAAATCAAGTTTTATGTACAGCTCAGGATTTATACAAGAAACACCAAAACAGGCTAAAGAAGAAGCCAAAATTGACCCAGCTCCAGTCGAAGAAAGACCCAATCCTGTTAAAGCAGGCAAAAAAGCATTCAGAAAATTTGCTAACAAACTATCCAAGTTTGCCCTCGAAAACGGTGTTAAAATTAGAAAACGAAAGCAAACATTACATTAAGATTTTGCCCAAACCCAGAGCTTCCCGCTGCGGTTTCGTCACACAGGGCCGATCTGCTTTGCTGCACCAGGGCGTGCCTCCACGCAGTGTTGTCGACTGAGACAGCAAAACGAAAGCAAACAAATAATCTTATCTCGTCTAAAACAGCTTGGAAGAGGCGAAAAAATCCCTCTTGAAGTGCTTCAATTAGCCCACATTCTTGCTGAGCACAGAACTAAGCCTAAATTCTACAAGCTCGATTCCTGCAAATTAGACCACTGCGGAGAGTGCATCAGGGATTTTTTTTTTAACAAAGACATTTGTGAGCACGGCAAGAACACTTTTGAAAAAGAAAAATCAGATATTGCTGTACTGATCACTAAACTAAATGAAACTTATAAAATTTGCCCAGTCTGTAATGAAGGAAAAGACGATATTGAGTTCTCACTAGTCAGATCTGAAGGCTGCAATGTGTGTGATTCCTGCACAACTCAGAATTGCATAAATAACGTGAAGGATTTTTATAATTTAAAGTGTCCAAGAATAGGATGTGAAAATATATATTCAGGGGAAATTAGAGAGATCCTTAAATATGCTTTGGCGACACTGCCAAATAAAATAGAAGTGCCACCGCCTCCTGGAAAGAATATTATCTGCGTGTTTTGTAATAGTGTAGATAAGATCAGAGAAATTTGTGAGAAGGAATGCTTGTGCTGTGAAAACTGCGCACAAAACATGAAAAATAATAATGTGGAAGTGTGCCCAGTTTGTGGGTCGAGAGCGTCACCATAATAAAGTAATTTGAATAAGATAATCTTAAAAAATTTAGTTACCCATGTATTAATTGTGGAATTTTTTAATATATTTATCACTTGGATTGGAGTAAACATATATTTTCGCTATATCACGTTTACCAAGATAATTAGTTATATTGTTTTACATCAGAAACAAGCTTATCTCTTTGCCCTAATTCAGGGATTAGAGAATCTTTAATAATGCAAATATTCTTATAAATAAATTTTATAGTGATTTGCAGCTACAATTATTATTTTATTATATTCCAATTTACTAGAAAGATTGGAGTTTCAATTGTTTCAATCTTTATTTTAATAAAATGGAATCTACAGCTGAGTTCCCTCCTGAAATATATGAAATTATTAAACCAGTCTTGGAATTCGACCAAATTGATCCAATCTTTTACAATAATTGCAACGTTTTAGAAGCATTAATTGCTGTGTTGAGGAATAAACCTTCTCCTTCTGTATTATGCATTATTGAAGGGGTTATGGGGAAGGCAATCTCAAATTTTATTTCACCTAACTCCCCCCTCCGTGAGTGAGCAAAACCATTAGAAAAATCGCTATTTTTTGCCAAAAACCCATCTTCCGTGAGTGAACAAAAAAATTTTTTTAATAGAAAAATTTTTATATGGAAAAAAATTTTGATATATAAGTGATAATTAGTATAATGAAATCTAGAGCTAATTCTTGTTAATTTTAAACAAATTACTTTTTAAAACATAAATTTTTATAGATTAAATTAATATCTGCTTTCCATATACATAAAATGGCGTATAGCGACCGACCCACCCTCTCAGTGGTGGTTACCCATGTATATCCCGGGCATGGTTTTTGGAGCCAGGAGCTAGCCCAACAACGTCTGGGACCTCGAAGCGAGAGGCCTAAGCGCAAAAGCCGCTGTTTTTGCGACCAGACCCATGGGCAGTTACTCGTGACTTCTTTTTGCCAGCAGCGCTCAGCCCAGTGAGTGCCCGAAATGAGGCAGGGCGACTTACCTGCCTAAGCTACTTTTGTGGCTCGCCCCGAATGGCGAAAGCTGTTGAGTTCTTTCTCGGGATGACCGGAAAAGAGGGGAAGGCGAGTTAGACAGCTAAACGGGGTCTCTCCAGTTAAAAAGGTGCCCTTCAATGGGCAGATCTGGCGGACGACGCGGCAGTGTTGGCGTAAACTTAGGCGACGATCCAAGTTGGAAATGGAGGCGGTCAGCAAAGCCGGTATAAGACGGCCCTTGACAATACCTCTACCGAGAAACCGGGGGTTTCGGCTCGGGCTTGGTGAACGCTCTGCCACCACACGGGAAACCGTGGAATGCTTCCTCGGACGTAGTAGGGACCTTAAATACCCAGCGTAATCTTAAATCTTAATATCTGCTTTCCGATTTCGCGAATTGGGATTTTTTTAATAAAAATTTTTAAAAAAAAAAACAAATTAACCCCCCCTCTGTGAGTGAACAAAAAAATTTGTTCACTCACGGAGGGGGGAGTAAGCATTTAAAAATTCTTATGTCATTAATATACACAAATTCAGCCTACCCTGAGCTCCAAGAATCTATTTTACGGTCAATTTACCAAGGACTTAACACTTTTATTGAAAAAGAAACAAACTTTACTGAAGCAGATGGAAAAGAAAGATGGGTCAAGCCGCAGCCAAACAGGTATTTTTTCTTCAACGGGCAGGGGAATTTCGCTCAGTGTTCTTGTCCTAAAGAAACTTTTGCGCCTAAAAAAGAATTTAGTTTTTTTGTATGGGTTTTTGTAGACCAGAGAAGCATCAATTCTTGCATCGCAGAATTTTCAGAAGGAAAAGACCAAAGGTTTTCAATTTTTATAACAAAAGAGTTCTCAGTCGGAATTAAGCTTTCCAATTTAAAAACAATTTTTAAGGTAGAATCTGAGAAAAAGCTTGAAAATAACCAGTGGAATATGATCGGATTTTCAATAAGAAAAATTTTAGGGTTTAGAGGCAAAAAAGATGAGCTTTTGGTGTTTGTAAATAGTGATTATCCGTCTAAAATTAAAAAGAAAAAACAGAGCGTGATGTACCCGAATTTTGAAATTAGCGTCATTACGATTGGGAATACTTCTGATCTCAATAAACCATTCCAAGGAAAAATTGCTTCAATGTATATTTCTGATAAGTTTTTGCCAAACCATTATTTTTCATTAGTGCATGAAGCAAGTAATAAGCTTTCTATAGACTATAATCCAAGCTATGCCAATAATAAGCTAATTATTAGAGAGTTTTGGAATTCTTTGATTTTTCAATGGAATTCTTGCAGGAAAATTCCTATGTTATTTTTAATTAAATTCGATGTAAATTTGTTCTAATTATTTTTTTTTCAGAAATAAATTTAAGATTTAAGATTACGATAACACTCCGTCGACCCCCACTTAGCTTAGGATCTGACAAGCAAGCCCATCCTTCCTGAATTCCATCACTGGCTAACAGCTCTGACAACGGTAGGTGGAATTGGCCTAACCGTCGAACCGTTACAGTAGCCTATGACCTAGACGAGTCTCTCTTTCTTTCTTGATGTTGATTCAAGCACACAAGGAACTGCCGAAGCAGTTCCAGCGACAATATCCTTCAGAAAGTCTGAAACTCCCTCACTAGGATGACCTTAGGGAACAAGGACCCTAATTCATTCGCTCCATTTTTAATTGTGCAGAAATAAATTAATGAATTTATATATCAAATTTCAAAAATTTCAATGCCTGCGGCTGACAATGAATCCACTCAGTCAATATATTTGATTCTCTCAACATAAGTGGCGGCTTAAAGCTTTGAATTCCAATAATCACGAAATGTAACACCCAAGGCATTATCTGGATTATTAAAATACTTAGCGCCCTCTGCCAAGTTTCTAACTATTTCGAAAGCCAATGCATACCTTTTAATAATTTTTTCGAAAATTTTGGGGTTGCCCTTGGAGAATGCAATATTGACCCCAGCCAAGAATTTTTATATGCTTGCATAGAATTAATCAAAAACCTGGAATGAAGCCGGCCTAATAAAGCTTCTCACAATTTCCAATACTATTATCAAATCAAGGCGTTTAATTCTATTTTTCTAAATAAACCATTGTGGATAAATCTGGTACCATCAACCATTAAAGACTATTTAAAATTTTTAGCTGAACAAATTCCTTTACATTTTACGTTCTCTATTAAAGAAATGCCAAGGCTTTTTATATTTCTTATCACAGCTGAAGCTATTGTATATAAAGAGCAAGACCCATTATTAGAAGAAGAATACTATAATTCAATTTTGCTTATGCTTCAAAGAATGTTGGTAAAAGAAAACAAAATTTTTAACACTGAAGCTTTTATTGGTATCCTTATGAAAATGGCTGAAAGTGAAGGGCACATAACTCTATTAGAAAAATTTCTTCAATTTCTCTATTATTTTAAAATTTCATTGCCAATTGATAAATTCAATGAATTGTATATGGTTATGCTGAACCTGCTAGAAGAGCATGCTGATAATTCTAATATTCATGAAAATTTGATTAGGTTAATGATTGAACTAGTTTTAAAAGTGACGCAAAATACCACAGATGTAGGGAAGACTCAGCAAATAGCACAGACGTTATATATAGATTTAGAGAGATGCTTGCATAGAGATATCAGCTTTGAAGTATTTGCATCAATCATGAGGCTTGTAACCATAATGACAGAAAATTTCAAAAACTTCATTGACCTTATCACTACAAGGATCCCAAAATGTGAAAACCTCCTCGATAAAGCCCAAATTATTGAAAACTTAAACAAAACAATTTTTGACATCCCAGGGTTCAGTTTAACACTCCATGACAGACTGAATTTCCCTCAATGGCTTATTGAGTCCTACACAAATGTAAAAGACCCATCTTATCTTGACAGATTTGCTGTGAATATTTTTTCAAATATCCAAAATCTCCTTAACTACAATAATCTCAGAACTTTTATGTTTGGGATTGCAGACAATATAAGCTACGAAAAGTCATTAGATTTCTTTTTATTGCTGCTACACAATATAGACGATAAGCTCAAAAACAATATTCGGTGGTTTCTAGAGCTCTTAGGGGTGCTTGAAGATTTACTTAATCCTGCATTTATAGAGACTGAGCCAATCATTTCTTTTAAATTCAGAAATATTATCAATGAAATTGTCAAAGCAGCAAAGGATTTAAAGCTGCTTTCTTTATGCCAGCCAAATCTTCCAGCTATGAATTTTTCTACCTTGAATAATCTTTTTAATGAAACCAGAAGACTAAAAAAATACGATAAAAATGCGCTATATTTAAGAGATGGAGGATTTATTCGGTTTATTTTAAAATTTATATTTATTAGTCTGGATTTTGAGCAAAATGATGATATGGTAGAAGCGCTTCAAAATTTAGTTAAATTTTGAAGCGAAAAACATTCAAGTAAATTTCCAAAAAAAGAGCCACAAAAATTCGAAAGGCTCACAAAGCTATATGGAAATTACCCAAAAGATTCTGAAAATATTTTTAGTATAAATTTTATCATATTATACGTTTTTGCTGAGTGCACTGAAATTATTTCTCAAAATAATGCGACCACTCTGCTAGTTTGTTTTTTATCAAAGCTTATAATTGATTGTAATGTCTGCGATTTGCTTCAGTCTATGCTGTCTTCATTAACTTCAGAAGATTTGGCGAATTTTCATAATTTGCAGGAAAATCTAGATAAGCATTTTCATAGTACTTCAAGGTCTCATTATCCTCTTAATTTGCGAAATAAAGTGTCAAAGGCTGTATTAGAAAATTTAAGAAATACCTCTCCGATAAGATATTCTGGGGCTGTTGTTGATTTTTATATAAATGATCAAAATCAAGTTGAGGAATTTAAAAAGACATTAAATAGAGAAATACAAAGGCTAAGTAGCTCTTTAGAAAATTTAGAAGTAATGAGACAAGTTTTGGCGTCTGAGGATTGAATTAAAAATGTCCATTTATTTTTACTAGCTTATACGTCGATGAAAGTTAACTTTTTAGGAGTCATTGTCCCTAATTTTAAATCAAGGTATACTGATATTGATTCTCCATATTCAGGAAAAACCTACCATGAATCAACTATGAGCTCAAGCTATGTTGATAGAAATGATGAAACTAAAATTTATGATGTCCAATTTGATGAATATATATTCCATTTTTGGGATATATAATAAATTTTTGATTTTTATGCATTTTTTATAAATTCAGCTTTTTCAGAATAAAATCTATAGGAAATTCATATAACCGCGAAAAAGGAGAAATAGCTCTTATAGAAAAAGAATTCGCCCAAAAAATGGAATACGACAAAATATTTTATTTAAAGCAAAACAAATCAATCAATAAAATAATGAAAACCTTCCTTACTAACAGTCTAGAAGAAAATTCTAATTATTTTAGCGTGATGAATAGGTGCGATGGCTTAGGACGGATGCCATTTTTAAAAGAATGGTCTAATTCCCCTTTAATTTGGAATAAAATATCCTGTTTAGAGGGGCTAAATATATTTTTTTAAAATAAAATTATATATTAAATTTTTTTATAAAAAAAATCTTATAAAAAATTAAACTCAATCTTTTAAAATGTTAAATTATTTTTATGAAGAATTAATTTAAAATCAATCAATTCATTGCGAAAACTGCTTATATAATATTCTGCTTGCACTTTTTCTCAAAAATTGGAAATTTTACCGATATTTTGTTCCAATTTAAAGTAGGAGGAGTAAAGAAAAGCTTTCTACAGAAACTAATTTAATTGCTTCCCAAGCAAGGGTTAAAGGTGAAGTATTTCAAAGGAAATCCTTACTTGATGAGCTTGAAAATTCAGAAGAATTATCCAGAAATTTATCATTACTAGAACAAGGAATAAGTGAAACTAATCCTTCTTCAGAAGACGATTCTTATAATAGCATTGAAGAAGAAATTATTGACGAAATAAAAGAAATGGAATTCTCTGACAATGAAAATGAAGGCACAGAGCCAGCAACCCCAAGAAATCTTCCTGTAGATTTTGAATTACAAGCAGTTGAAGATCAGCAAAATACTTGGAATGCTAATATTGATTTACGCTCTGAATTAAAATATAGCTGTGCTAGAGTCAAAGTAAAAGGAATTTACCAAGGGATGCTAAAATTTAAAAATAATTATATGATTTTTACCAATGAACAGACAATTAGAGCATCCCAAGCATCTGAATCTTCAGCTAATTTGAACCAATATGAAAAAGATATAAGAAAAATATGGAATATGACAGAAATTCGAGAAATTTTTGCAAGAAGGTTTGTGTACAACCATAGCGCTATTGAATTTTTTTTGAAAAGTGGAAAAACACTATATTTTAATTTATTTGAAAAAGAGATATGTGACTCGGTTTTGGATTTTTTAACAGCCAAACTTAAACGCCATGGAGCATTGATTCATAGAGTTTATAGTGGCTCTGCGTTGAGAAGATATACAACTGAGTGAAGAAATGGGTCAATAAGCAATTTCGAATACTTATCCTTTATAATTTAAAAAAATAATTTATTTACCTCTTTTTCATCATAAATATCTATATATTTAATTTTTAATTCGGAGAATTATTAATTTTAAATAAGCACGCAAGCAGATCATTTAATGACTTAAGCCAGTATCCTATTTTCCCATGAATCCTTAACTATTACAACTCTAAAAATATCAAATTTGAAGACCCAGGAATTTATCGTGATCTTAAGCTGCCTGTAGGTGCCCAAAATGAAGAAAGGAAGACTGATGCAATAAGGAGATATGAAATGTGCTCAGAATCGGGCATGCCTCCATTTCATTATGGCACACACTATTCTAATGGCGGCTTAGTCCTTCATTACTTAGAGAGAATTGAACCTTATACTGCTCAAGCTAAAAAACTACATGGATGGAAATTTGATCTGCCAGACAGACAATTTATATCTTTAATAAATGCTTGGGATGGTATAATAAACACGACAGGTGATATTAAAGAGCTTATTCCTGAGCTTTTTTATTTATCTGAAATATTTGTAAACCTGAATAATCTGGAACTAGGAGCAAGACAAGATGGGACACAGGTTGGGGATGTTGAGCTTCCTACATGGTCGAAGTCTCAATATGATTTTATTGTAAAATTTATTAGATTGAGTTCATCTAGGCCAGCTCATTATAAACAAGGTTTTATTTTATTATGAAATTATTATAAATAGCTAAAAATCAGTCAATGTCTATATAAAACATAAAAAAGCTTTAGAATCTGCTTATGTCAGTGAAAATTTAAACCATTGGATTGATCTTATTTTTGGTTATAAGCAGGCAGGAAAAAGTGCAGTTGAAAGCCTCAATGTATATTTTGCGACTACTTATGAAGATAATTTTAATAAAATTATGAACAATTCCCAAGATCAGGAATTTAAAGAAACAATGAAAGAGCAAGCCATTCACTTTGGACAAACACCAATCCAACTATTTAAACGGCCACATCCAGCTAAAAAAGATACCAAAGAAAAATATAAGCCTTGCAGTATTATTGAGAAAATAAAAAATTCAGTCACAAACTGAAGTGAGCCATTTAACAGCTATGGGAGAGTTATTGCCATGCTAGCATCACAGAAGTTTTTTGTGATAGTAAAATTCTATGACAATATACTATTTCTAATGCCTATGTATTTTTATTTGCCTAGTTTTCTTAAATTTTTATTCTTTTAATACTATTTAAAATAATTTTGCTTAAATTCAAATGCAAAGGAGACCTAAAAATTGATTTTTCAAACCTAAAAGAAACAGAACTCGAAGGCACAAAATATATGATTGACGAAAGCCTAATAGAAAACTCAATTTTCTATATCTTAAAAGAAGAAAATATTGCATCAGGTGGATATATTGACAATACCTTCAAAATTCACAGCTTTGACGGATATTTAATAGGTTCTTACTGCTACCATGTATTCCCAGTATCTGCTATAGCAATTACAAAATCCAAAATAATCACAGGCAGCATAGACACGTCGATTATTTCTTGAAAATTAGGACCCTCAATCAGCAATAAAATAAAGCGAGAAAATTCTCATTATATAGGCCATATCAGTGAAATAAAAAAACTTATTATTTCTGAAGACTACCAAATACTTATTTCTTTAGGCTCTGATAATACTGTAATAGTCCACAATTTAAGGAACTCAGAATGCCTAAGAAAATTCCAGTTCAGTCAATTAATTAATGAAATTGCGTTTAGTGATTTAGGATTAATTGTAGCGGGTGGGACTGATGGAGTAATAGCATACACTCTTAATGGGGGCGATTTAAAAATAAAATCAAGGGCAAAAAACATAAAACATGTAGAAATTAATAGCCCTGGTGATGCTTTATTGATGTCTTCTCAGAATGGTGTTGCGGTGCTTGAACTGTTTAATAATACCAATGATTCAGAATATAGCTTAAGTGAAGAATTTTCTTATGCGAAATTTTCGACTCTGCAGGATTATTTAATTTGCTATCAAAATAGAAACGACAATTTTATTGTGTCAACATTAGAGTAATAAAATAAATATTTTGTATTTATTTATGGTTAATACAACATAGGTTTATAAGTAAGGTAATAATATTGAATAAATCATATATGACTAAAAATAGCATTAAAATAAATAAAATTGGATTATTGTGATAAGCTCCTAAAGTATCAACTGATCAAAAAATTTAATAATTGTGCATCATTCTAATGCAAAAAGAATTCATATATGAGTAACTCCCTTTCGTGAGCAAGCAAAACCATTGGAAAACCTATTTTTTTAGAGAAACGCCCACCCTCCTCAAGCCAACAAAAATTTTCATAAAAAATATTTTGATATATAAGCTTAATGTAGTGAAATCTCTAGCTAATTCTGTTTAATTTTAAATGGCTTGTGTTCTAAAACATAAATTAATTTTTGATTTCCAATTTTTAGGTTTTGGACTTTTTCTAAATTTTGAAAAAACAAATTTTACTATAAATTTTTCAAAATAAGAATTAACTCTCTCCGTAAGCAAACAAATTTTTTGTTCGCTTACAAGGAACGGAGAGTAAAAAATTGCAAACTCCCCTTTCTTCCCTTCTTTGGTAAGCCATGCTTATTTGATGTTAAGAATATACCTCGTAAACCAAATTACGTCTCTTACTAGGACTAGAGAGGTTTTATCTTATCATTAATATTTGTGATGCAATCATAACTTACTAAAGCGCAGTTCTCTTACTCCCCCCCTCCGTGAGTGAACAAAACCATTAGAAAAATCGCTATTTTTTGCCCAAAAACCACCCTCCGTGAGTGAACAAAAATTTTTTTAATAGAAAAATTTTTAATGGAAAAAAAAATTGATATATAAGTGATAATTATTATAATGAAATCTAGAGCTAATTCTGTTTAATTTTAAACGAATTGCTTTTAAAATATAAATTTTAAACAAATTGCGTTTTAAAATATAAATTTTAAATTAAATTAATATTTGCTTCCCAATTTTTGCGAATTAGGATTTTTTTAAATTTCGAACCCCCCTCCATGAGTGAACAAAAAATTTTTGTTCACTCACGGAGGGGGGGGGAGTTAGTGCATAATTGCTATAAAATACTAATTAGCTCAATTTAATTATTTATGGAATAATAAAAATTATTGCCATATTAATTTATGATTAAGAGCACATTAAAGAGACTCCTAAGCTCTCAATTTGGAAGGCAAATTATGGTTATTGGTTTACCTGAGCCAACTTTAATACATGAATTAACACCTTATTTACCAAAAGCACAGAGGATCGCCATTCACAACAAATTTTGCTTTATAAGCTTCGATTCCCAAATAGATGCAGCATATGCTGTTCAAGTTTTAAATGGACATGTTGTAAAAGGACAGAGAATTCGTGCAAGAATGACAACTCCTACGTTCGACAAAAAGCCTTAGACTAAATAACCTATCTTTTTAATGAAATAAATATTTTTCAAAATTTTGAATAATTGATATAGTCATTTTCTTAATTTTAAAAGGCGTTTTGCTAATTCTTGAGAATAAATATCTAAGAAAGCATAAAATTTATATAAGTTAAAATGCTAAAATATTCGTATTATTCTTAATTGTAAGAAAATAAGGCAGCTTAGATTGCTAAGCAGCGACTAGATTTGATACAATTATTTGCATATATGGATATAAAATGAATAGTAATAGGGAATTATAGCCTTAATCTGCTTTTAGCTGGCATTGGTTTTAAGTTCTTATAAATTTTAGATTTGGCTTAGCAGCTACTGCTGTTAAATATATTCACGATTAAACTCATTCTCATAGTAGGACGCTGGGTATATTCCTTAAAACACTGGAAGGAAAAGCATGCCCCAATCGAAAATCAAATCCAGAATCTATATTTGCAAAGCAAGGAGTTGTCATTAATCGTATTGTTCGAGACCGAAAGCCAGAAAGTAAAATATTGCCTAGAGTGGAAAGAGAAATCGCTGAATCAAATAATATCAGAAAGCAAAATCTTCTTTCAAGTTTTCGAGATTTTGAGTAATTGTGCTAATAATCTAATTAAAAATTTATTATTGTTATTTCAGAGCTCCAGCCAGCATATACCAAAAATTTTTACGTTTAAACAATTAATGTTTAATAACATATTTGATTAGCTATTTTAATGACAGATTATAAAATTTTTAATTATTTAGAATATTGCAATTGGTAGAAATAGTTAAATAAGCGATTCTTTTAAATTGCATAAAAATAATAGATATTATTAAGCATGGGGCTTATACCTAATTAGAGTGAATATAAACATTCCTATTGATTGCTTTATACTATTTTCAAATATTAAACAAGATAATTTGAATGTTTCTTAAATTAAAAATTAGTTCCCTTTAGGTATTAAATAAGTCCAGGAACGAGAATAGCTCGTCCTAGGCTATAAAATGGATGGGAAACTCTTTGTGTTGATTCTTCAACTCGGGGAGTTGAATGCGAAATATCTGGTATATTTGTCAACTCCCCGAGCTGGTTCGTCAACTTGATTTGGAGTGATTGGAGGATTTTTAAATGAGTAATATCTGGGGAGTGCCAATTAGAGGAGTTTCTAGCCAATTCATAGCCTAGACAAGCTATTCTCGTTCCTATGCTATATTAATATTTTTGATATTATAATAAAATTTTAATAAAAATATCTGGCGAAATAAAATAAATCTTTAGAAATATTTTGATTTAAAGCATTATTCAAAAACAATTACTTCTATTAAAACACAATTTTATTTATATTAATTATTATCAATTATACAAAATAATGATTTCAATATTATATCATGTTATTTTTCGAAGACTCCTTATTTAAATCTACAAGTAAATTAATTCTTACTGTTAAGATGGGTACTACATGTGGTATATTACGAAGAAACGGCAAAGATATCAAACAAGTCGTGCTCCCAATGCAAAGGCCTAAATTCCCTTATGGTTTTCCTCCTCCTGATCTTCGAGAAGCCGGGATCGGTCCTTATTTGATACCTCAAACAATGAACGACAAGCTTTTAGATCATCTTGGCAAATGAAATAAAATGATGAGCATGTATGCGTCAACCGCTCATCCTTTTGAAGTATAGTTAATGACACTGACTGGCACGGGGTGCTTTTGGCTCGAAACTGAGCCAAAAGCACCCCGTGCCAGTCAGTGTCACTAACTATATATTTAAAAGATCCTGAAAGAAAAGAAAAGCTGTTAAGAAGAATCAAAAAAGGGCCACCTGTGCAATATCGTTGGCAAGCTTGAATTGCATTGATGAAATTAAGTGCCAGGGTCAATGAAGATGCTTATAATAAGCTGCCAATGGCAGATGAGAGTGTTATGTCTACAATAAGAAGAGATCTTGATAGAACCTTCCCTAATCACCCATATTTTCAGAAAGAGCAGTTTAATAATGCAGGCCAAGGCGCATTGGAGCGAATATTAGGAAAATTTGCTTATCAGCATCAGGAGATAGGATATTGCCAAGGGATGAATTTTATTGCTGGATTTTTACTTATGGTGTCAGGAGGAAGCGAAATTGAAGTGCTCTTTGCTCTTGAAATCCTCTGTGAAAAATATGATTTAAAAGGATTTTTTATTGAAGGAATGCCTTTTTTGAAAAAAAGTGTATGAATTTTCAACAGGATTTTTAGATTGAAGCTCCCAAAGCTGTGGCAGCATTTTCAAGACGAAAATGTCCCTGATGATGCGTGAATTTTGAAGTGGTTTATGACTGTTTATATCATGAATTTAAATTTCGAAACAATTATAAGAATTTGGGACTGTTTTTTAATAGATGGCATTAAAATGCTATATCGTGTTGCGTTATCAATTCTCTCTTCTATTGAGACTACTCTTTTAACATTAGAAACGGTAGAAATATGTGAAGCTCTAAAAGAGGTCAAAAATCTTATAGACCCTGAATCATTAATTACAAGTTCACTGAAAATAAATATTTCTGACTCTTCCCCTTATTAGGCGAGTAAAACCATTAGAAAAATCCTTATTTTTTTGCCAAAAAAAACACCTTTACAGCAGACTGACTTAACTTAACTTATTAGGTTCTGTATTTAACGCCATTCACGGGGTGGCCCCTCCCAGAGCTTCCCGCTGCTTCTTCGCCGCATAGGGCCCGCCGACCGTCTGGGGCCAGTCAGCCTCGATCTCCAGTACGCGCCTCCGGAGCAGTGTTGCTGACTAAGGCGGCTCATGCCTGAGCTACTTCGCTTGAGGACATGGGTTGCCATTCCGAAAATCCATAAAAAATGGATTTTCTGGTAGGCTTTCGGCAAAAAGGAAAAACACGAAGCCTGGGACGTAACGCCCAGTTTCACGCTAGGGAGTTGCCCGATTGGTCCTAACGGACTTGGCTGAGCTTCCCCTTTCCAACTTACGTGCCTCCTTCCCCATGAGGAAAAAACATTCCGAAAGTAGACTTGGGCTAGGCTCTGAGAACAACCAGAATTGCTTACCTAGCATTGCCATCCGTTTCTGAAATGCAAAACCTTGCCGGATATAATTAAAATATGAATCGAGTATGCATGGCCGGGAGGCCATGCCCAGACGAAGACGCCATATTTTAATTATTACAGCAGACTGACACATGCAGCCATTTTAATGCATGATAACGGAGAGGGGAGTAAAGAAAAAATCACTGCTATTGAAAATTTGTATAAGCATAGAGTCATAGGAAGAATGAGCGTAAAATCCGTCCCACCCCAAAGACCAAGAACAGAAGAAGCTTGCCATCGCATAGAACAAAAAACAAAGCTTCCACCTGTCAAAAAAGAGTCATTTTCACCTCAGCCGCGGCCTTTTGTGATGGAAGAAATAAGAGAAGACCTAAGAGGCATTACCCCTAGACGAACAAAAACAAACTCTTTTACATCTAATAGTAATGATGAGCAATCTTCGCGTAAATTTACACAAGTTCCAACGCTTCCAGATATACATAGTACTAGAAAATATTCAAATAGCTTTAGAGAGCCTTTTGCAGGATGGGCTGATGATTCTTTACATAGCGAATCAGATGAAGGCAGCGAAACCATTGATGTAAAAACAGTGCTTAATGAATTACTAACTCCCCCCCTCCGTGAGTGAACAAAACCATTAGAAAAATCGCTATTTTTTTGCCCAAAAAACCCACCCTCCGTGAGTGAACAAAAATTTTTTTTAATAGAAAAATTTTTTATGGAAAAAAAAAATTGATATATAAATGATAATTAGTATAATGAAATCTAGAGCTAATTCTGTTTAATTTTAAACGAATTGCTTTTTAAAACATAAATTTTATAAATTGAATTAATATTTGCTTCCCAATTTTTGCGAATTAGGATTTTTTTAAATTTCGAAGAAAAATATTTTTTAGAAAATTTATATATAAATGTTTTAAAAAAAAAAATTAACCCCCCTCCGTGAACAAAATTTTTTCGTTCACTCACGGAGGGGGGGGGGGAGTAAAAGAAAAAAGCAGGGACAATTTTTTTAAGCTTAAATGTCCAAGAGTTCCTATAAGAAAAGGTTCAGATATTGATAAGAAAATAACCTTTATTAATAGACTGCCAATTTAATGTATTATTAGCAAATTTGATTTTTGTTAAAATAAATATTTATGCAAAAAAATTAACTAAAATTAAAATCTATCCTATTTATTATAAGTATCATTTTATTTTATATAATAATCAATTGAGAGATATTAATTGAAAAAAAATAATAATTTTTTACTCATCTCTAAGTCCTCTTCAGCGTCAAAAAACTTACTCCCCCCCCCCCTCCGTGAGTGAACAAAACCATTAGAAAAATCGCTGTTTTTTGCCCAAAAACCCACCCTCCGTGAGTGAACAAAAATTTTTTTAATAGAAAAAATTTTTATGGAAAAAAGTTTTAATATATAAATGATAATTAGTATAATGAAATATAGAGCTAATTCTGTTTAATTTTAAAAACAAATTGCTTTTTAAAACATAAATTTTGCAAATTGAATTAATATTTGCTTTCCAATTTTTGCGAATTAGGATTTTTTTAAATTTCGAAAAAAAATATTTTTTATAAAATTTATATATAAATTTTTTTTAAAAAAAAAAATTAACCCCCCTCCGCGAGTGAACACAATTTTTTTGTTCACTCACGGAGGGGGGGGGAGTTAGACAAAATTTCAATTGTTTTATTATACACTTGTCTATTTGGGTGAGCTTGCAGTGCTTCTAGCCTTGTAATACCTCCTGCAGCATCAAACTTTATGTTTATTTTATTTTCATTTTTCCCCATTTGGCTCCCTACATTAATCAGATTAAAAACTGTTTTAAGTATAAGCAGCAAAATCCTGGAGTCCTTATTTTCAAGCTGCTCTGATAGGACTTCTAATATGTTACCTTCCATAAATTTCATTAAGGCTTCATGGGATGCAGAAGCTGTTAAATTTGTAATAACAAAAGAAGCTTCAAAGCGAATTTGAAAATGTGTGTGGAATAGAGAGTCTAGGATTGATTTCATTATAGGGTGGAATAAAATTTTATCAGCTTTTTTTGATTCACAAGCACATAAGTTACTTAAACACCATAAAGCTTCTTTTTTTATTTCTGGTTTAGTAGAACAGATAGATGAAGATATTTTGTCGATAATTCCGTAATTTAAAAGAATATTTGTGTCATAGCTGTCACCTCCTGCTATAATTCCTAAAGTTCTAACTCCCCCTCCGTGAGCGAAATGAAAATTGGAAAAATCCCTATTTTTTGCCACTTCGTCAGCGAACAAAAATTATTTTAATATGAAAATTTTAAGAAAAAAAAATTTGATATATAAACGATAATTATTATAATAAAAATCTAGCTAATTCTGGTTTTAAACAAAATGTATTTTGAAACATAAATTTTGGAAATTAAATTGGATTTTTTTTAATAAAATTTATATATAATTTTATTAAAAAAAAATTTAAGCCCCTACGTGAGCAAACAAAATTTTTTTGTTCGCTCATGCATGGAGGAGTAAGCGTTAAGACTTTTAATGATGGATCTTCATAGATCAGGATTTCTATTATTCTAGGAATTATGCCGGCATCTATAATTAGTTTTCTATTACCTTCAGATATTAAGTATAAACAAAGCATGGTTTCTCTTAAAACTTCTTCATATTCAGAGCTCAATATTTTAGGGACAATTTCAAAAAACTCACTGATAAAAATTCGAGACACTGAAGGACCTTTAAGTAAATTTGATAGTGACCATATAAGTATTGAGACTTCGCCTATTCTTGTTATGCGTAAATTTGCAATTTTTCTGATTATTAGCTCTCCAGAGCCGCTAGTATAAACGAGATCTTGATGCTTACTCCCCCTTTGTGAGTAAATAAAAAAAATATTGTTTGCTCATAGAGGGAGATTTGTTTTGATTAACTTTATAGTAAATTTTTTTTTTTTTTAGGAAATTTAAAAAATCCCACTCGTAAAATTGGAAAGCACAAAATTTAATTTATAATTTGTTTTTAAAATGCAAGCGACTTAAAATTAAACAGAATTACTTTTAATAAAAATGTTTTGATATTAAAATTTTTGTTCGGTCAAGAAGGGTTGGGATTTTACCTAAAAATGGTATAGAAAATTCCCTTTAATAGTCCTATCAGTGGGTGAATTGTCCGCTGAGTTCACAATTTGGTCCGACCAAAACTAATAATTTTGGTCGGACCAAATTGTAATTGTAGCAGGCAATTCACCCACTTATAGGGCTATTAAAGGGAATTACATATATTTTTTCCAATGGTTTTGTTCACTCACCGAAGGAGGAGTTAGGGGAGTCTCCTGCAATATTGCCAAGACACCAAGCAGCTTGAGAATAATTAGCATCAGACTTACTTGCTGATAAAATCTTTATAAGGGCTTCAATTATTCCATTAGCAACACTATCAGCCACTAATTCAGTCGAATAGGATGTCAAATTAGTTAGGCATCATGAGGCATTAAACTGCAAATCTTCATAGTCTATCTCTAACTCCCCCCCTCCGTAAGTGAACAAAAAAATTTTGTTCACTCACGAAGGGGGGTTAATTTTTTTTTTTTAAAAAAAAATTTATATATAAATTTTTATATAGAAAATATTTTTTTTCGAAATTTAAAAAAATCCTAATTCGCAAAAATTGAATTAATTAGTAAAATTTATGTTTTAAAAAGCAATTTGTTTAAAAATTAAACAGAATTAGCACTAGATTTCATTATACTAATTATCACTTATATATCAAAATTTTTTTCCATAAAAATTTTTTGTTCAATCACGGAGGGTGGGTTTTTGGGCAAAAAATAGCGATTTTTCTAATGGTTTTGTTCACTCACTCACGGAGGGGGGGAGTAAGCATTTTACTAATTTTTTAAGCAATTCTGTTTTCAATATAAGTTCTGGAGAAATATTAAAATCTTCTGATAATACTTTCCTTAATGTAGAAACAGAAAGCGCTAATAAAGGATTGGAATCAGTATTTTGGATGAGGGAAATCAGCACAAAAAATCTTTGTAAAGGAGTAAGTGAAAGATCAGTAAGCCTATAGTCAATTTCAGATAACATCTCAGGGACTATGCTTTCTGGGAATTTTATTGCATCCGGAGAGTTCTCACATGCACTCTGAGCTACAATGCCATCAGCTGTATCTTTTGCCCGCTTTTTGGCGATGTGCTCCATTCTCTTCTTTTTGCGAAGCTCTATCATTGTTAATTCACGCTTCCGCTTTAGTTCGTCAACTAGTGGCGGAGTGTGGTACTTTTGTTTTCGTTCTTCAATTCGGTTTATCTTTAAAAACATTATTTCCCGCTCTAAAATATGAAATTAATAAGGATATTAGCTTTTTGCTTTTTTGAAGCAGGCTAATATCCAACAGCCTAACAAGCAGGCACTTATTAATTAAAATTAAAAGCTAAGCTTTCTAAAAATGTGTTTATCTGGTAATAAGGATATTAGCTGAGGTAATATTTGGCCTTTATCATTTTGACTTATTATTTATCGGTCGAAATCAGTCCTCATATGTAGGAAATAGCTATTTTCCTATATCAAATAAGAGAAACTTTATTATTTAAAAGTATATATTAAATAGCTATTAATCCCTTAATCAAAATACAATATCTTTCTTCGATTTAAAGGCTGGACTTCTCGGTTGTTCCCTCTTCCCTCTGCAAACTCAGGGTTCCTTTCCCACTGTGACCTGAAAAACTCCAACTGTTTTTTGCTTATGGAATGCAGATTTGATACAAGAAACCACAAAATCCCTTGTGTAAGAGGAGGAGTTGTCAATGAGCCTTCATATAGATAAACTCCCATCTTTTCTTTAGGAATCAGCATATCAAGATCCATCAATGTCGGTTTATCCAAGCTATGCATAACTTGTTCAATAAATGGGTTCGTAACTCCATCGTTTTTAAAGAAAAACCCAACGACAGCCATATTATTATAGTGGATTGGCTATATTATTTACCATTTTTCTATAATTTTACCTATAAAGCTTGATTTAATAGAATGCAAAAAGGGCATAAATAATATAGAAAATCCACTATAGGTCTTCCTCGTTCTGAATGTACAATATGCATTTCTAGATCATGCCTATCCCCATTTATCAAATGTTCAGCAGGGGCATGGAAATGGAATTGAAGACTGTCAAATTGACGTGGGACTGGGTCGAGCAAAGGATTTATAGTCAAAGTGCCAAAATTACCTTGGACGATAAAGGTTTTTGTAGTGAATCTTCCAGTTTTGGTTTGAGGGACATATCGTGTTTGGAGTGGGTAAAAAGAAACTTCTAGAACTTCATTTCCTTTGTAAGTGTGGCCGGGGTCGACGTTGATTGGGGACTGATAATTGCCAGGGTTGCAAAGGTCTTCCCAGTCTTGTTCAGCTTTACCATAATGCCAGCAATTTTCTTCAGGCTTTACTTTTTTCTCACTCCCCCCTCCGTAAGCTAACAAAACCATTTAAAAATTCCATATTTTTTACCCAAAAGCCAAAAAAATTGATATATAAGTGATAATTATTATATGATGAAATCTTTAGCTATTTCTGGTTAATTTTAAACAGCTTAAACATAATTTTTCACATTAAATAAATTAATTTTTACTCCCCAATTTTTGCAATGGATTTTTTTAATTTTAAAATAAGTGAACAAAATTTATTTGTTCGCTCACTGAGGTGGGAGTCAGCATCAAGGTCACTGAGGTTTTTCAGCAGATTTTCAACGTGATCTTTGTCCTCTTTTCTTCTAAATCTTTCAGGAGCAAGCAAGCCTGTGAGCCTACTTGATTGTTGAGAGTGATCTGAAGCAAATCGTCTTAGAAAAAAACAAGATCTTCTCAGCATATTTAATGGATTATAATCTAATAAGAGGTCAGTATTTTTAATAAATGTAACCTTGCGACGTATAATGGCTGAATTGCACGAATTAAATTAAGATTTAATCATTTAGATCAAGAATCAGCTTATAAAAAGAGTCTTAATCAGCAATTGAGGCTTTATTATTCAGTAATTTCTGTTCCATTTTTGATTTTATAAGTGATCATATGTTAAATCTCAATAAATTTAATTATTTTTGGATTATTAGCAACAGGGAATATACACTCCTCAAGTAATTGAATTTTTATGCTCTTTATGAAAATTAATTCTAATTTTAGCTACATAATTAAGCTAGTCTTTCATATTTTTTAATGACAATTTTTGGTTTTCATTAATGAAGATTACTGTAATATCCAATTATCATGAGCAGAGACATTTGAAAATAGAATTATTGCACCCGTATTATATAAAAAATTACAAGTTTTTGTAAGTTTGTTAAAATCAAATAGCAAATCAATATTGCTAAAAGCAATTATAAAGCTAAAAATTTGCTTTCAAAGTGCATGATCAAAGATCTAAGTTTTTACATTTTGAAACTTATCAAAATTATAATATGATTTCTCGGCTGATTTTTAGAACTTATCTGACTACTCGAAGTGGATCTGGCCTTTCTGAGCGCATTCATTTCCAAGATGATTCCGGTAAGGCTATTTCCCCATGGCACGATATCCCTGTCCGTCCTACTAAATATAGCTCATTCGCCAATGCTGTCTTTGAAATTTCAAAGCACAACATCAAAAAACTAGAAATGGCCACTAAAGAGAAGCTAAATCCCATCAAGCCAGATACCCGCAAAAATAAAAAAACTGGGGAAACTGAGATCAGATACTATGGCCGCTTTCCTTTGTTTAATTATGGATTTATCCCTCAAACCTGGGAAAATTCTTTTGAAGGCGATATGAAATACAGCAAATACCACGGAGACGGAGACCCTATTGACGTGGTAGAAATAGGCTCAAAAGCGATAGAACCTGGCTCTGTTCACGAAGTAAAAATATTAGGAGCAATGTGCCTTATAGACCAAGGAGAAGCTGATTGGAAAATTATATGTGTAAGCAAAGAGGATGAAATATGCTGAAACACGAACTCTTTTGAGGACATTAATAGAAGCTTTCCAGGGAAATTAGACGCGATTCGGTTTTGGTTTGAAAAAATCAAGACTTTTGACGGAAAACCAGAAAATTTCTTTGAAGGACTTATTGAGACACCAGAAGTCGCGGTGGAGATTATTGAGGCTGGGCATAAGCACTGGGAACGTCTGCGCGCTGGAGAAATTAAAGAAGCTTCATATTGGTTAGGGGATAAGTAGCTACTTGATAGCTTGCATAAGTTATCTCTAAGTAATTATTAAAAGTCGAGTAATTCAGTAATTATCCTGATATAAACTTTTCGTTTATAAAGGCTCTAATTAAATACCTTTTAATTTTATAAAAATTTGTATAATGCTTCAAGAAATTTTCCAAAAAATAGATAATCATGTTTCTGATATTGAAAATATCCAAGAGTTTAGTGATAAACTTATACGTGAGATTGAGCAGTTAGAAGAGCTTAACAGCATGTTAGAGAAACTCAAGACAAATGAATATTTTTCAGAAATAATTAAGAATATAAAAGTCATTGAAACTTTGGAAAAGAGATTAATTTATCTACAAAAGGTGCAGCAAATAGAAGCTATATCAAACCAATTAAAAAGCTTTATAAGGACAGATAATGAAAAAGCTTATAATTTATATAAAGATCTTGAGCAATATCAAAATTTCAGCCCATACTTGACTGAATTAGTACTAGAAAGGCTATCTTATGCAGGCAATATTCTAAAAGAAGAATTTTATAAACAGTTCGAAACCTTACTTGACGAAATTGGATGGCCTTTTCAAAGCCAAGGCAACTCTATAGGGGTTCACAAGCATTACCGAGAAAACTTTTTATCACTCTTTTCCAAGCTTTCCGAGCTCGATTCAACTCAAGGTGTTGCTTTATTTCTAGTCCAGGGCCTCAAACAAAAGGTCCAATTCCATTTCTTTTCAGAAAAAGACACAAATAGGATTGACAAGCCAGAATGGCTTTTTAGTTATATAGCTTATATCCCTTTATAGATTTCTTTTATCGAGCAAAATGCACTGGATTATTGAACGACCAAGAGAGACTCTATTAAAGGAACGGGCTGGATATCTATATCAGGAAGTGCTAAAAAGTGACATGTCAAAAAATGGTGACAAGTCTGAAAAAAGTTGACAAGTGAACGCGCCAAGTTTTAAAATAGATTTATTATTAAAATAATTTAAAAACTTAAGATACCCAATTAGGCAGAAGATATAATTACACATTATATATTGGCTTTAAATATTTTGATTTTCATATATATTTAAATTTAATAAATAGTTGTAAAAATCAAAAACTTGCAACTCGATGTGCATTTTTCCGGCTCGATGGAATTTCTTTATTTTATGCTAATTTATTTATGAAGACTAGAGCTATAATTTGAAAAGTGCGTGGCTTGCGTATCTCAATATATGCAAAGTTCTTATCGACTCATATGATGTGTACTTACTCCCCCCCCCCCTCCGTGAGCGAACAAAACCATTAGAAAAATCGCCATTTTTTGACCAAAAACCCACCCTCCGTGAGTGAACAAAAATGTTTTTATAGAGAAAAAATTTTAATGGAAAAAAATTTTGATATATAAGTGATAATTAGTATAATGAAATCTAGAGCTAATTCTGTTTAATTTTAAACAAATTGCGTTTTAAAACATAAAATTTTGCAAATTAAATTAATATTTGCTTCCCAATTTTTGCAAATTAGGATTTTTTTTAAATTTCGAAAAAAATATTTTTATAAAATTTTATATATAAATTTTTTTTTAAAAAAAAAAATTAACCCCCCCTCCGTGAGCGAACAAAATTTTTTTTGTTCGCTCACGGAGGGGGGGGGGGGAGTTAGCAAAAATTCAATATGGCTTATAAGTGAAAATCAAAAACTTGCAACTCGATGTGCATTTTTCCGGCTCGATGGAATTTCTTTATTTTATGCTAATTTATTTATGAAGACTAAAGCTATAATTTGCAAAGTGCGTGGCTTGTGTATCTCAATATATAAGAAGTTCTTATCGACTCATATGAGAAGTATTTAGCAAAAATTCAATATGGCTTATAAGTGAAAATCATAAACTTGCAGCTCAATGTGCATTTTTCCGGCTCGATGGAATTTCTTTATTTTATGCTAATTTATTTATGAAGACTAAAGCTATAATTTGCAAAGTGCGTGGTTTGTAATTTTAAATATATACAAAGTTTTTATCGACTCATATGAGAAGTACTAGCATAATTAAATATTGATTAAAATTAAAATATCTTAACTCCCCCCCCCCCTCCGTGAGCGAACAAAACCATTAGAAAAATCACCATTTTTTGACCAAAAACCCACCCTCCGTGAGCGAACAAAAATTTTTTTATATAGAAAAAATTTTAATGGAAAAAAAAATTTTGATATATAAGTGATAATTAGTATAATGAAATCTAGAGCTAATTCTGTTTAATTTTAAACAAATTGCGTTTTAAAACATAAATTTTGCAAATTAAATTAATATTTGCTTCCCAATTTTTGCAAATTAGGATTTTTTTAAATTTCGAAAAAAATATTTTTTATAAAATTTATATATAAATTTTTTTTAAAAAAAAAAATTAACCCCCCCTCCGTGAGTGAACAAAATTTTTTTGTTCGCTCACGGAGGGGGGGGGGGGGAGTAAGTTTAAAATTATTTTAATAATAAATTCATTTTAAAAATTGGCGCGTTCACTTGTCAACTTTTTTCAGACTTGTCACCATTTTTTGACATGTCACTTTTTAGCACTTCTTGATATAGATATCCAGCCCGTTCCTTTAATAGAGTCTCTCTTGGTCGTTCAATAATCCAGTACATTTTGCTCGATAAAGAAATCTATAAAGGGGTATGAGCTATATATTAAAAATCCTTTCTTGGCACTTTGAGTTTTGCTATTCCTGCTTAATAGGAGTTTCCACTAATGAATTAGTGACGCTAAAGCAAGTTTTTATTAATGAGCTGATGCTGATTACTAAAGAAAGGGTTGAAAATGACTTAGAAGTTATAATAAAACTGCCACAAAATTCTCTAAATTCAATTTTGTTGCATTATATAGATGAAGTGATAAAATTTGACTGGGAAATATATGAAGAGTTTAATTGGCTCAGCAGCATTTTAGATTTATTTACTGTGCCTCAGATATTCCAAATTTGGCTTGAAATTGATATACAATTTAAAATAAATAGAAAATTTATGATTTTGTAAGGTTTATATTAAAAAATTATAGAAAATTGTATATACATTTTTATGCAGTCACAATTTTTAGCGATATTTAATGAGAAAACTTGGGACCAGTCAGAAATTGTGGAAAATGAATATAATAATATAAGAAATATCATTGTTCTGTATGATTCTCTTTACGTCAGATATTCACGAGTTTTCAATGAGGAGATCAGAGAAAAGCTAGTTAATAGAGTCCAAAAATGAATCGTCCCACAAACAATTTTAAGATATGAAGATGAGTTCAATGAAACTAAACACAATATAATTCATTATGAATCAAACCCTTCATTATGGGCAGAATGATGCAGCAAATTAGCAACATTTTATCAAGGGCTTTCCCATTTCCAGCTATTTATCGTTGAATTGCAAAATGAATATTTTTCAGATGAACATCTTACAATCAGCAAGCTGAAAAAAGTAATTTTAGATAAAATAGTCAGCCTAGTTATGTATACAGTTAAAGAAGAAATTGTGACATATACAAGGAACAGAGCCTGATTCGAGGTTGGTCAGCTTAAGGTCAAGCCAGTAAATAAAATGCTTAAGCAGCTTTTGCAGCACTCATCTCATGAGCTATCAAAAAATATTCTTGCGTATTGTTTAAAAGATGTTGAGTCTATATTTCTTGCTAATATGAAAGACAAAAGGGTTAAAGAAGAAGTTTTTGGATTTTTATTAAGTGATATCAAAAGCTTATGTAAGGAGTTTGGAGATTGGAGGGAAAGTTTCGAAATTATTTCAGAAACTCTTAAAAGAGAGAATTTAGTAAAATAATAATTTATGGATTAAATTTTAAAAATTCTAATGGAGCAGAATGAAAAAGCGAACACTCTAAATCCCAAATCAGAGCCTTTTGTACCAATTTTATATGACTGCATTGTTTCACCTACAGCCCCAGCAGATGCCTTAAGATTTGATGACATGTTTGCTGCTTATGAAGGCACACTATCAAGCACAAAAAAGGAAAACCCTGAAAATAATAAAGCTACTGTATCAAATGACAAACTTATAAAAATTGATGAAGAAAACAAGCCTATAGAAAACAAAGAAAACAAGAAAAAGAAAGAAAAAATTATTATTCCCGAAAAGAAATTCTTAAAAAATGATGAATGGATAGCCAAAACGAATGAAGAGTACAAAAGTGACGACGATTTCAAGGCTGGGACGTCTAGTGGGTATGGATTTCCTACAAAAAAGTGGAAGAAAAAAGATAATTTAATAAAGAAAGAAGGGAATGATGAGATACAAATAAATAATGAAGAAATTAAATGTAGGAAAGAGGAAATAGAAGAAGAAAAAAAAGAGGAGAGAATTGGATGGCCAGATCTTGAGGATATAAAGCCAAGGCAGAAAGAAAGAATTGAAGAAAGCAAAGCCAGCTGGGAGAAAAATGAGAAAAAAAGCCAGCCAAGCGAAGATTCGTGGTCAAATGTCGAGTCATCAGGATCAGAAAAAACTGAAGAAATTCAGCCTGTGCCTACTAAAAAAGGAGTCTCAGACAAGCGCTATGAAAATATTCACAAGCCCACAACAGCAAGGCCAAATAATTTTCAGTCGGCGCCTTTGAACAGCTGAGAGCCAAGCCCAGACATTTCAGACATGTGGGCAACTGTGACTCCTAAAGATAAATTTTCTGTCACTCCTAAGCCTAAAGGAGAAATTTCAAACACTACAGCAAATCCAAAAGAAGAAATTGAAACCACAGCTAAGCCAAACGATGAAGAAGAAGAGTTTGTTATCAAAACAGAAAAACCTGAGTCGAAAACTGTTAAAATTGTCCAAAAGCCTTGGCCTACAGCCACTCTAAATGCAGTAAATTCCAGATCTCAAAAACCCATTCAGGCAGGCCTGCAATCTTCTCAAACCCGATCCCAACGTATAGAAATCCCTTCATCAAGTTACACCCCTTTCTTTAACGAAATCTCTAGCCAAGATTTCGACTTAAAAACCTATAAAACCAAACCTTGCAGTAAAGGAAGCGAATGCAAAGGCCCATGTATGGACTATCACTACATTGGAGAAAAACGTCGTGACCCAAAATCTACATATTTTCCTACCCTATGCAAAAATGCAGAAAACTGCGCATGTGGAGACCGATGCTCAAAAGCTCATAATTTATATGAAGCTTTATATCACCCTCAAACTTATATGTCTTTGGAATGCCCATTCCAAAAGGAAGGAAAAGAATGCGTCATGGGGAAGCTATGCGTTTTTACACACAGGCGGACTAATAAGCCAGAAATTACTATTCCACCATACCAGCCAAGAGTCCAGCCTCAAAATGTGTGTGGGGATGTTTTCCATAAGCTGGATCAGAGAGAAAAAGAGCTTGAAGAATATGAGTGGTCAAGCACAGGTCGCAACCAGACATTCCCCCTAAAAATGGTACCCCCACCCCCACCTTCACAGATGGCACCCCCACCTCCCTCAAAAAATAAAGGGTTTATCCTATAGAAGTAATTGATAGGAAGCAAGCAGAATAATTTAAATATAATCCAATTAAAACACTATATTGATAAATTAAGTCCATAAACTGCTTTAATATTTATGATTAATTAACAATTAATGAGAAATATATTAAATTTGTTTTTTTATATTTATAAATATAATGCCAAAGATATAGATAATGGCATTAATTATTAAATGAGCCAAGCACAATACAATAGCTTGCATTAAATTTATTGATTCATAAATTAAAAGCTAATCTGATGCCCATTGTACAAGAATTGCAGGACTGAATTGGTAACAGGAATCAATAGTGCTAATAAAAATAGTATTTGCTATTGCCAGTTTTACTTTTGATCTATAATTGGACTCTTTAGCCATTGTGTTCCACAAAGTTCATAAATAGATGCAGGATATACTGCTAATTAATACCAAAGATCATTATTATACTTTTTTAGCAATTTTTCTTCAGATGTGGTGTCTTAGTAATTATAGGAAATTCTCACCCCATTCCACCTACTCCTTAATCGATTGTGCTACGCTATGTGGATATTGTAAATCAGTAATTTTGAATATTTAAAATAATAATTTATTTATTATGCCTGCTCTAAATTAGCATTTGCCATATATCTATCCTATATTAAGGAGGGTGGGGGTGCCATTAAAAGGGGGGGGTGGGGGTACCATTTAAAAGGGGGGTGGGGGTGTCTGGTTGCGACCTGTACTTGACCATATGAGCAGAGATTGAAAGCAAAATGTAAGTGCAACAGAGGGATAAAAAAGTATGTGTTTGTGCCTTGTGGGCATTTAATATGTGAAAGATGCAGAATGGAAAGCAGATGTGTTGTGTGTGGAGGGAATGGGAAAAGTTATATGATGCATTAATATTAATTGTATCTTTAGGTATAAATGGAATATTTTATAATATTTTGAGCTGATAAATATGAACATAAGGATAATCAGGGATGATATTTAAATTTGTGATTGATGCATTTTAATAAAATTAATAAAATAAATATTAATATCATCTTCTATAAGCTAATAATTCTTCACCTATTTTAAATTCATTAAAAATCCTTGCTCTAATAAGTAAATAATATTAATTTATTTTTCTGCAGATCAATTATAATCAATAAACATTTCTTATTTTAGTTGTGTCCCATTAGATTAGATAAATCTTCCATGGTGTTGATTCCATTTCATTCCTTAAAGGGTCCTAATTCATAGCAACGTTAAACAAATAAATCCCTATCTCTATCTCTAATTTAGCCTATCTATCCTTTTCCTTATCATTTCCCTCAATTTTAATTCTAATTTCTATTCAAAATAACGATCAGCATTAAATAATAGGACATGATTTTAAAAGTGCATGCCTCAATTAACCTCACTTTAAATTTGTGCTTTTTCGTCCTACTCGCTACCTCCTTAGCTTTCAACTATTTTTCTTTTCTGGTAAGCCATATCTAGAACTACAAAGTAGGACTATTCACAATTACTCATCCTCTCCAATACGAAGATGTAGGAGATGTCCAGGTCTTTGCCTATTTTCAGGATTTTAAAACAACAGCCTGTCAATCGTCAAAGGAAGAAGGAATCCTCACAATGTGCAGCAATATCGACAATTTTGAAGTCGCAGGGTTTGTTTATGCATTTTTTGCAGCATTCTTACTGATCTTTGTGCTTGGGTCAATACTCAACCTCCTGATGCTTATAACGAGTCAAGACAATTTTTTTACAAAAATAAGGATCCCTCATTATGTAAATGCAGCGGGTTTTGTGCTGGTGGCAATAAGCTATATGCTTTTGAGTAATATCGACAATATAACGCCGCCAAACTCGCAAGATGTAGATGTTCAGACTGAAACGGGGATTGAGCTTCTTTTTACAATTGCACTTGTAGCTTTTGTCACTTTGTTCCACTATTTATTTGTAAGGAAATTTAAAAATCTTGACTATTTGGCAGCAATGACCCAAAGTATTGGATCCAGGCCTACAGACTTAGAAAGGCCAACAGAGACCCCTTCCAGGACCAAAGGACTTTTCTCAGAAAAATCCACCACAAAGCTTCAGTCTCCTGATATCGAAGAAATCGTGATTAAGCCACGACAAGCCAAAGTTGAAAGTGGTGCCCCAGAAGCAGCCCGAGAAAACGACCTCCTTAAAACAGAAAACGAAAGACTTATAAAAGAAATAAACTCCCTCCACAAGTCAATAGAAGACTCCAAAGATGAAGGCAAAAATGAAAAACTAGCAGCATTAAATAGTCAGCTTGACACAAAAGAAGAAGAAATCCAAAGACTGAGGAACTTATTAGAAGCTTTAAGAAGGCAATTATTACAAAAAGATATGAAAATTGAAGAAATTGAAAGAAATTCAGCTGTAAATCAACAGACCATTGATGCGCTAAAAGAAAATAAAGAAGAGCTTAATAAGTTTTTAATGGAAAGAGAAAAGAGGATTGAAGAACTTAGAAGGGAAAGAGACGAAACAAGAAGGGAACTTGGGACAAGAAATGAAGAATATGATGTATTGGTAGCTGAGCTAAATAACTCAAAAAGAGAAGTTTTAGCTTTAAAAGAAGGAAGAAGCACAGATATGTCAAGCGAAAATATAGGGACTGGAAGCTTAGATATTGATAGCATGAAGGATAAAATTACCCAGCTCTCAAAAGCGCTGGAAATGCAGAGAGACCAAACCAATAGCTTGATTTCGAAAAACCAGAACTTGGAAATGGCAAAAGATGACCTTGATATCAGATATAAACAGCTTTCAGAGGCTTATGATGAAGTCAGAAAGCAATTTGGAGAAATTTCTATAAAATATGGACAGTATGAAAATTTGGAAAAAGAGAGGATTGGCTTGTTGGAAAAAATAAATGATTCAAATTCTGTGATAGATAAACTTAAGCTGCAGATCAAAGAGATAAAAGCTAAAAATGAAGAATTGGAGCCTGTGGTGGAAAAATATGAAATGCTAAGTGTGGCGTATAATAAGGCGAAAGAAGAAATAGGGTCGTTAAAGGGGGAAAATGAAAGCTTAAAGACTCAAAATGAAAGTCTGTCGATCCTTTCTGCTGAAAAAGCAAAAGCGGAGATCGATTTAGAAAAAATTAAAAAATTGTCTGATGTATATCAAAACCAGTTACAAGAATTAAGAGAAAAGTACCAAACAGACAAAGTTGACTGGGAAGAAGAAAAAAGTGAACTCAACTACGCAATTTCACAACTAAAAAGAGAAGTTGAGCAGCTGCAAAGCCGGCTTAAATCTCAAGAAAATAGTTTGGACAAAGAAATTCAAGAATTAACTGAAAGCTTAGAGAAGCTAAAAGATGAAGTCAAGTATTATAAAACCCAATATGACATGACCCAAAGTGAAGTTGAAAGACTTCGCCATCTCCAAGACGCCTTAAAGCAGCAGCTCGTGGCAAGAGATTCTCAACTTGACGAAATAAGCCAAGGCGAAGCCAGAAAAAGTGCTCAACAAGAAAGACTCAGCAAAATCCTCAGCCAGCAAAATGCAGAGCTCGACAACAACCTAAAAGACACAGAAAAAAAGCTAAAAGAACTCCTTGACGAAAAAGAAGAGCTCAGAAGGCAGCTTAATTTAAAATCCCAAGAATTAAGCGACCTCAGCGGAGAAAACCAAAATTTGCATAAAGAGCTCTTTGAAATCAAGCTCCAAAAGCAAATGTCGCCTTCAGCCTCAAGAGAAGAAAAAAGCAACAGCTCTGAAATGAGCTTTAGCAGCTCAATTAGTATCCAAGAACTAATGATTATTGAAAGTCTCGCAGAAATTGACATTAAAGCAAACCCACTAATGAAAACTGTCTCAAAAATGAAAAAGGAGCCGCCTATGTCTTATTCAAACGTATGGAAACTTTTTGAAAATATGATGCAGGAAAAGTATAAGCTTGACAGGCTAGAAATGGCATTAGGCAGACAGCCACGGTCTATTGTAGATTTCACTTTAGATTTCATGTATTTGCAGTTTGGACTTAAAACGCTTGCACTTAAGCAGCTAAAAGCTTTAATTTCTTCATTAGAAGAGCTTTTCAAAATTAACCACCCATATGGGACGATTTTTTGTAGACTCCTAGGGATTTTCCATTCAAGGCCAATCCCAACCCATGTTGCTGCATTTTTAATTATGGTGAACGAGCTTTTTAACACCCTCACAAACAGGACGAAATTAAAATTCGACAGTTTTGCCCAGCAGTACGAAATTCAACAATATGGCGGAAATGTTTCTATTGTAGACGCCATGGAGCTGGTCATGAAAATATGTAAAAACCAAAGAGATAGAGGTGAAAGGATTATTTATTCGCTTAAAAGGGATGCAGACAATAAAATGGACATGATTATAATAAAAGTATGCGGAACCATGGCAAAAATGAATAAAGGCTCAGACTATATGTTTGAGATCCTTGATTTAGACCGCCAAGGGACAATTGATTATCATGAATTTGTAGACGCTATTAGGATAAAACTCAATATTTGGGTCACTCAAGAAGAAGCAGAAGACTTGTGTGCGTTTATTGATGAAGATGCCAGAGGAATAATCACTCATGAAGAATGAAACTCAAAAATCAATTTTCCAAAATATTTAGATTTGGCGTATTCTAGTGCAGCTATGGTTACCAAAGCTCATCTATTTAATGCAATTCTGGAAGAATATGAGCATGAGATGATACAGGAGTATAGCAAGTTGAGGCAGAGCTTTAAACATCCGACGGTAGATCAATCAATGTTTAATAAATATATATAGCTAGCTGGAAATATCGATTATAAAAGGATGCATGACTATTTTTAATTTGGAATGGAAAGGAATGTTTATATAATTGGAATATTTATAGGAAAAAAATGAATTTAGTATACTAGATATAGACCCTACAATTGAAGAACATGAAATTACTAGACTTTATGAAGAAGCTAGAAATCAAGATATGGATATCAAAAATGGAATTAGTGCAGAGACGTTGTGTCTGACTATTATCAAAGAAAAAATTGGAGGATATGGAATTGGGCTGTTTGGTAATTTTTATGTAGACCTTAGCATTATTGAAAGCATTATGCCGAGAACAAGCTCAGAAGTAAAAATTCAATAACTAATAATAAATCAGATTAATTTATCCATTTAATACCTATATTTTATTGACAAAACACTTTAGAATTAGGAGTAGGGCACAAAATTCATGTTTAAATACAATTGAGAATTAAAATAGGATAATCAGTTATGAGAAAATCGTCTCCTGCATGATCTTTTAAAGGAAAACACCAAAGGGCTTTTTCATCTGATGCACCTGGCCCTGGAGCTTATACCCCTTCAAACTATAGTTTCCAAGCCTCCCCAAATTACGGAATGGGGACTTCATTTCGACTGCAGCTTAAAACAAAAGATCAAAGCCCTGGCCCTGGCACATACACACCTCTAAACTCATGAAGAAAAACTGCAAGAACAGTGTAAATTTAATGCAGGTTTGGAAAATCCAAAAGAAATGCTTATAAAGGCTCTTCATCTACCCCAGGACCTGGATACTATAAAACTGATGGAAATGCTAAAGGCCCAAGCTATAGCCTTAAAGGGAAAAATTACAAAATTTCATTAGAACAAGTTCCTGGGCCTGGGACTTATGATCCAAAAATCGAGGCATTAAAGGAGCAAAATTTAACGGTAAAGATTGGAAAAGCAAAACGAGAAATTTTTTATTCAGATGATTATTCGCCTGGTCCTGGGACTTACACAGTTTCGCAAGAGGAAAAAGGAATTAAATGAAGATTTGGGACAGAGAAGAAAAATCATTTGAAAAGAAGTAGCAGTCCTGGGCCTGGGAGCTATAATTCGCATTTTTCAAATTCGTCAGCGAAATTTTCGATGAGTCCAAGGAGACCAATGACATCAGGATCTAAAGAAAACCCAGGGCCAGGGGCTTATTCGCCTAGAGTTGTGTCATCTTCTCCAAAGTTTTCTTTACTCCAAAGAGCAGAAAACAATATTTAATATTTTTTCAGAAAATAATAAAAAAAAAAATCCAATGAAGAAATTAATTAGGTAAATCCGAAAGGGACAAATTCAATAAAACTTGCATCATGCCTGGTCCAAATGCGTATTCTCCAAGAATTGAAAATAATAAAGGAATAAGGTCAGATATTATATAGAATTGGCAAAAGCAAAAGAAATTTTAATGACTCTTCAACTGAAACCCCTGGTCCTGGAGCTTATAATCCAAAACCTCAAAAGGGAAGCCCTGAATACAGCTTGAGAACTAAATATACAGCGAAAATGGAAATTGGGCCAGTAATTTAGAATTAGGGACCTGGAATTTATGATCCGAAGCTTGCATATGTAAAAGAAAATTCTCCGGCTTGAAGAGTCAGCAAGACCAAAAAAAATTGAGAAAAAACAAAAGAGTTAGTCCCCGGGCCTGGAAGTTATGATAATAAAGCAACACTTTCTGGACCAAAATGAGGGTTTGGAACTTCAAGAAGAAATGATTTAAAAATCAGTGATGTTCCTGGCCCAGGAGATTATGATATTAAGCCGCTAATTCCTGATGTCCCACATTATTTGATGTCTGAGAGCTCGAGCCTTTCAAGAGGCTATTAATGCGATCATTATTATTTTAATTAAAATTACCGATGATTTGCTGAATTATATTCAATGAAATTTATATAATTTGCAGTCTTTGATTATTATAAAAAAGGTGCCTGTTTATGATGCTCATTTTTATAAAATGATAAGCTGTAACCATATTTCAGTGCCAAAGTTTAAGCTCTTTCAGAATCAAAGATCTTTATAAAGAAATAAAAAATATATTTTATATCAACAAAAATTTAAGTTAATTGATTAATAATTAGGAATTGGCAAACTAAAATAGATTTTCGAGAGAATTTATTATTAAATTATTTTACTCCCCCCCCATCCTTGATCGAACTACTCGCCGTCGTTCGATCAAGGATGGGGGTTAAAAAACAATTTTTTTTGGGAAAAAAATTTTTATATATAAAATAAATATATATATATATTTTTATTTACTTTTAAATAAGAGTGTTAAGAGTATTTAATAATTATTTTTACAGCAAAAAATTGAATTAATCTCATAAAAATGCCAATTTTTAATATTTTGATTTATTAGTAACCCCTTTAAACTGTATAAATTTTAATTTGTTTCTTATTAAATTAAATTCTTTTTTAAAAATTTTAAAGAATCTCTATTTTATTAGATTATTGAGTTTTTAAGCCCTGATTGATGACTAAATCACTTCGAATGGTTGATTCCGAAGCTTTCTGTCGTCTCAAAGTCTCTGAAAACAACTTCATTATGCACATCTTCCCAAACTTTTGATAACTAATATATTTTTATATATATAAAATTTTGCATGATATGAAAATCGTTCGATCAAGGATGGGGGTTAATTTTCCCAATTTTTAGGAATTTTTACAGTCAATCGTTCGATCAAGGATGGGGGGGAGTTAGGTTTTGTTACAATTCTGAAGTATTTTATGAAAGAATTATAATTTTTTCACAAATTAATTAAGTGTCATTCTTAATGTGTTAATTGCATTTATATATGATTCATTAGTGTTATAAATGGCATAAAGTTATGCACGTGTAAGAGAAATTCGAAAGCGAATTAATTATTATCAATTTTCAACTCGAACCTTTATTTTAATAAAATTATCAATTGTGTTGAAGTATTAATTATCTTCAACAAATAGGAATGTTAAAATAAACTTAAAATATAGCATTGCAGTTTCATCAAATAATTTATTTTAATTTTAATTTAATATAGTAATAAACCTTTACGTGTCTATCTTGCAAGAATCATTACAGTTAATTTTTCCTTTAAAATATTATTCTAAGAAAACCAAATCGTTTATATTATTAATTCTCTAAAATAGCCCGTATATGGATTGCCTCTAAATCCTTATGTGGGCCTGACTCTCTTGATTGTCTGGATCAGCATGTAGGTTCAGCGGAAAATTCGCTCACTTATGGGGCTATCCATTAGAAAGATCTATAAGCGCCAATAGTCTAATTACTTCTTTGCTGCTTAGTCTTGCTTCGAAGAGCATTGCTAAAACTTCCTCAAGACTAATAATGATCTCCTTAATTCACCATTTAATTCCAAAGTTTCTCAAATAACAAGAGCATTTGTTGGCGAATTAATTTTTAAAGCTTTTAGCAATATAAAATTGCACAATAAACTCATAAGAATTGCTATCTATCTTTAATTAGTGGGAGCAATAATTATTAAATGATTTAGACTCAGTTTAAATCGTTGGTGATTCAAGGACTTCTGGCTCCCAAATTGATTCAAGGGAGCTAGAAGGAGCAATTCCTGTCGACAGGCCGCACATGCAATTAGGAGTAGCGAAAAGCCCAAAGGAAAATAAACTTTCAGTCTTCTGTATCCAGATTCCCAAAGAGTCAAATTAAATTAAGTTAATTAAGATTTAGACTGAGTTAATTAATAAAATTATCCCAATCTCGCGACCCAATCAGCTGGGAACCAGGCACGGAAGGATTCAACGTATTGCTCCTTGGCTTGATCGTGAGTTAGGCCTTTCTTGGCTTCCCAAGCGTCCCACTTGCGTGCAGCTGCTTCATCTGCTGGTCTAGGAGCGGTGTTATCACCTGATGTAGCTTGTTTATAAAGTCCGTAGACTTGATATCCTTTATCTCCCTCTAGGGTACCTCCGCTTAGTTTGAATTCAACAACCAATTGCGCAACTCTCTCAAAGTGATCTGCCATTTTATTATTATCATGTGGATGAAAAATAAATCCATTTTTCGATTAAAAACTTTTCCAAAATGGTTCAGTTATTTATTTAATTGAAAACAATTAAAATTAATTTTTATTTTTATAAAAGCATATCTAAGATGCTTAATCTTCCCTTAGCTAGCAATGGCTTTTAATAAAGATGTAATTTTTAATCAAATTTATTTAAAATTTCTATATATTTTTACACCTGAAAATTATTTTTACTGGCTAGAAAGTGTCCTTTTCAAACTAATTTTGAGAAAAATAGAATAACGTTTGAATATTCCTGTAGTGTTTATAATTTTGTGTGTATTAAAATAACTTTTCAGATTTCAAAAAACCTTCTAAATATTTAAAATGAAGAATGTATTTTAATTTTTAAAATTATGTTTTAAGGCATAATTTTTTTTTAAATTTATATAATTGACTGCTGATTCCATCATAATCATCATTAATAATGTATAAGTTTTTTGCTCTGGAGCCAAGGTAATTTTCCTAAAAACGGATTTTTCTAATGTTTGCTTCTAACCAATGGAAGTTAGCAATTTAAATGATTTTTGCTATATTTTGATACTAATTTAAACCAAATATTCGAATTAATATGAAAAAGGATGAAATTTAATTTATCTTAGCTTGTTATTCCTGCGAAGTATAAAAATTTTATAAAATTTTCAAATTTTTAGTAATAATAATTTATCAATTCCTGAATTAAAACCTACATTTTATCTAATTATGAAAATTAATAAACATAATACTGCATATTAATCTCTAATTGTGCACATCAATATATAATTAAAAAAACAAAATAAAAAACTGAACATTTTAAGTTAGAAAACAATGCAATTTTAAAGCCATCAACTACTGAGATTGATTTTCAAGTTTATTTTCTTCGTCCTTTTTTTTATTCAACTCTTGTGGATGCTCATTATCTACTTGAATTCCGATTTGTTCATTGAATTCTGCCATTACAACAACTCTGTAAATATTATTTATAGTCTGAAGCTTTGCAAGAACTCTGGAGTCTTCTGAGATATTCCCTTTTGAGATTCCATGTTTTGATTCTTCAAATTCTGGATGCTCTTTTTCTGCTGGCTCCGTCCGTGAAGGATGCAATTTAGCTTCTTTTTTAACTTTCTTCGATCCAGCGCAGCCCATTTTTTATACGAACGTCTGAATTATTAAACCATAAGGAAAGTGCCTATGGATTATTTATTCTAAACCAATTTGCCATTAATCAAATTTCTTCATATTTTAATTGATTTAATTGATATTTTTATTAACAGCTAGCTTTATTTAGTTAATTTAAGGCAAAGTAATACAAAATTATGGATGTTTTATAATAAAAAGCATGTTTTATTTTCTATTTAAATGTTTAGCTTGTGAGATAAATTTTTATTTTTTAATAAAATATTACCCTCATATAGTTTGCAAAGCAATTAAATTTTTGGTACAGTTAATTGATTTTATTAATCAGGGCTTAAAGCCAAATTACTTCCAAAAAACATGTTATTGAATTCTTAAAATAATAATCGAAAAGAAATCATAAAATAAAGTAATTTTTTCTAGAAAAGTAAGTGTTAAAGTAGAGTGATTAGTTACCCATCAATTGACCAGTTTTGTTTATCTTTTTTCTTAGGCTTCTTATTCTTCGGCTTGTTAAGCATATGAAGATTCTTCCAATAAATGTACCCAAACCCTCCTCCAAATATTAGAAGCACCAAAAATATAATCACCCAAGTGCTTTCCATATTTTAATTATAATTGTAAGAAAAAATCATTTTAAATGCACTTTAGATTTCTTTAAATGGAATCAAAATAAAAAGGCTATTCCTTTTCCCACAAATTCCTTAAATTCCTTGAAAATTTTAAATTTATACAAAAATTAACCACTTAAAAGCAAAAAAACCTTGATCGGCAGCACCCCATAAGCTCATGATTGTCCTCATAAATAATATCTACATGATCCTCGTCTTCTTTGCTTTTTTTCGGTTCTTCCCCATACAGATCTTCCGACATCAAATTAAAATTCGGGAATTTGCTTTCAATAAACCTAGGCGTATCTATCAAAATATTTTGTTCTTTAATATCACACCCTTCATTTGGGACCTCAGAAAGTGTGTCTTTTATATTCGATCGCTGAACTATTTCTTCAGCAAACCCATCCTGTGCAAAGCTAACCACTTTTTCTTCATTTTTCGGCTTAACTGATAAATTGGTCGACCTCATAGAAATCACGCTCATTTCTTCTTCAGTTTGTTCTTCCTCGTCGCCAGGGGAGTTATCAATATTTATTTTCACTTCACTTATCTGTTCTTCTAATATCAAAATCTGAGCATTAATTTCTGCAATTTTGCTTACTTGATTTTTAACCTTTTTTTCTAGCTCAGGCAGCCTTCGTTTAGAAGAAGTCAGGGTTTCTTTTTTGAGCTTGTATTCAACTGAGTAAGAAATCCATTCTGCGATTACTTGGGCACCTTTACTGACTTTTTGAAGTTTTGCTTGTATTTGTTGCTGCTTTTTTCATATAGGTAAAATTTCATTAACTTGTTCATCAGTCAAATTTTCTGCTTGGACGCTGCTCATAAGGCTTCTTAGTGGGCTGTAATTTTTTGTGATTGCCCGAAAAGTCTTCCAAGATCTGTCTTTTTGGTCAAGCATGAGCATGAATTTATCGCAAACTTCAAGCAATGTGTTAGTAGGATTTTTTATTTTTCCGAGTTCGCTACATATTTCTTTGGTAAATTGCCAGTTGGCGTCTTTAATACCTTCTAAGGCACGGTGAGTTTCCTGTGAGAAAAAATCGATTTGTTGCTTTGTGAGATGCAGTTGGGACGAAAGTCTTTCCAGCCGCTCTTTTTCACCTTTGAGAGATTGACAAAGGCTTCGGGATTGGACTGTTAACTAAATCCCTCCCTTTAAATTGGATCAAAACATCAGTAAATCTTCATTTTTTAGGTACTTTGACCCTCTTTAAATTGGAACAAAGCTTTTCAATAGGAAACTTTATTAATAATTTTTTATAAAATTAGTTTTGACCTAAATAAAAAACAATATAACTAAATGCAATTAAACAGTTGATTAATTTTTTATTCTAGAAAAATTTAGTAATAATTTTTTTTTTAAAAATAAAATTAACCCTTTAAATTGGAACAGGATTTTTTGTTCCAATTTAAAGGGGAGTAAATTAAATTTACTTTGGAGAGCTGATTTTGAAGGAGTTTTATGGCGTTATTTTCGTATTCTTTGTCTGTTTCTTCATCAAAATTCATTTTAGTAAGGAAATTAATTATGAAATTTGAAGATTATTTGGCGATTTTTAATAGCGTACAGCTTGTGGGATGAATTTCTGTGCTGTGATTCGCGTGCGAGTATGTTGTGGAGAACAAAACAGTTGAAATCTTATATGATGTGAAAATTAGGAGATTACTAGAGATTATGCTTGGATTAAGTATTGTTGAAGTAAGGTATATTCAGGTCTTTCACAAGTATTATAGACTATCTTGCAATATTTGGCCTAATATAGTCCAAAACTGTGTCAGAATTTTGATATTTTTTGGGATAAGGGATTTGATACCATGAGTAGGATTAATATAGAGTAATTGGCCTATTGGAGCTGTTTTATCGTGAGCTTTAATTGATATCACTGATTATTTATATTTTCTTACGAAATTTTATGGGTTGATAAATTGGATATTTTGGCTGAAATATAATGCATTTTTTATTCTTATACCATTAGCAACTCTTTTTGAGGCACTATGTGTTGTTGAAACTATTCCAGATTTTTGAGAAAATTGCCCAAAGAATTCAACATTTAGCTTTAGTTTTTATTTCAAATCGTGCTATTTAATTATTTGTATCATGCCTGTGATTTTGATATTGAAATTTTTTTATATTTATATGTCTTCATTAACAAAAAGAGACATTGTCTATGACATAGCTGATTAATTAACATAATTTATTTCTTAATTTCTAAAGCTCATATTCTCAAGCTTAATTTTATAAATAAACATCAGTGTTTAATAGTAGCATATTTTATTTTTGATTATATTTTCCCAAATTAATTAATTTATTTTTTAGTCCCCATTTATAATGGATTTAAATTATCTTGTAGGAAATAATTTAAGGCACACTCAAAGATTTGAAGAACTTGAATGCACCATGAACTCCCTATTTGCTATGTCCAGCGACCTTTTTTCAGTAATGAACGATCTTAAGCTCAGCTTAAGAAATTCTGCAGAATTCTTTATGAGGCTTAAATATATCCATGATGCATCTCAAGGAAGTAATCTTGCAGAAAATATCCAAATTTATGAAAATAACAAAACTCTACCTACAAGACTTATTGTTCAGAATAAAGAGACAGGAAATAAACTATATTTTAGAATTATTCCAGGCCAAGGATCAGTCAGAAAAGGGAACATTCTTTATAAATGTGAAGAATGCCAAGAAGATACTGCAATAAAAAGATTCGATACTAAAAGGCATATATTTGCCAAACATAAAAATCTTAATTAAAATAAAATATTACTAACTCATTATAACTAATAAATTAAATAATTTTATAGAGCATATATTTTTTATTACCAAGTATAATAATTTAATAATTTAATACTAAGATTACTTGCCTCACCAAATATAAATAATTAAGATTTTTAACAATAAGTCATAATTTTTAAATTAAATTTTTATGTTTTGTTTCTATATGTCTTTTCACATGCGCTCTTTTTATAGGAATATTATTGCTGCAAAGATTCGCAATTATAAAGAACGTTTCCTTTTGTAATTTTGCTCTGCCCTGGAACAACTTGAAAAAAAATCATATTTCCTGACTCTTTATTTTCCACACTTAATCTTGTAGGTTTTTTTCTATCATTCTCGTACAAAATTATATTTTCTGGGACTGCTTTTCCTTCTGATGCGTCAAGAGCATTCTTAATTCTAATAAAAAACTCTGCGGATTCTTTTGAAAGAAAGGTTCAGACTGTCAAATATCGAAAATACATCTTTAGAAATATAAAATAAGGATTCCAAGTCGCAGCCTAAGTCTTCAACTCTTTTCAGTACTTCTTCACTGTTTGACACAATATAGTTTAAATCCATTATAAAAGGGGGCTATTAATGTAAATTATGAAAAATATTTTAAATTTTAATTTTAATTATGAAAAATATTTTAAATTTTAATTTTAATTATTAAGCTAAATTATTATGCTTTAATGCTGTATGTATCTTTAAGTCACTTCTTTTAATTTGGGAATCTTCTCTGCACATCTCGCATCTAAAAAGAACATTGAGTTTTTCACATTTTCCTTGGCCTGGGACAATTTTGAATAATACTTTATTATAAGTATCGTTATTGACAATGCTGATTCTTGTAGGGCATTTTTTGCTATTTTCATACATGAGGAGATTTGGAGGGAATGGCTGGCCTTCAGAAGCTTCTTTCATTATTTTGACCCTGATAAAAAATTCTGATGCTTCTTTATGAGACAGATTGAGATCATCACAAATTGAGAAAAAATCCTTGGAAATGATAAATAAGGACTCAAGGTCATATCCATGCTCATCAAACTTTTTAAGCTTCTTCTTGTCGTTTCCTACGATATAGTTTAAATCCATTATAAAAAGCCAGATTTTTTAGAATACACCCCCCTTATAATGAATTTAGATTATATTGTAGGAAATGACCCAAAGCATATCAAAAGACTTGATGAGCTTGGCTGCGATCTAGATGCCTTGTTTTTCTCTTCTAAAGATTTTTTCTCAGTCTTAGATGACCTGAAGCTGTCAATGAGAGACTCCACTGAATTTTTTATGAGGCTTAAATATATAAATGATATAGCAAAAGGAAATGTTCTGCCAGCTAATATCAGGATTTTTGAAAATAATAGGATTCTGCCTACAAGACTGCTTATTCAAAATTATGATAATGGGAAGAAAATATCTTTTAGAGTTATCCCAGGGCAAGGATCGTTGGAAAAAGGAAATGTTCTCTATCAATGTGAAGCGTGTGCAGATGAGCGTGGAATTAAAAGACGTGATAGTAGAAATCACCTTTATCTCAGGCATAAAAATTTAACATAATTATTTTTGTCACTTTTATATTTATTAAATATTTTAAGCTTCTTATAGATATTTTATTAAAGCTAAATACTGTTTCTTTCAATAAATATAATTTTCCTTTTTGACATCATAATGCATTTAATATGTTGCAAATAAGTATCTATGGAAGAAAAGATAAATGTTCTTACTCCCCCCCCCCTCCGTGAGCGAACAAAAAATTTTTGTTCGCTCACGGAGGGGGGTTAATTTTTATTTTTTAAAAAAAATTATATATAAATTTTTAATTGTAAAATAATATTTTTTTATAAGTTGAAAATTATTTTAAAAATATTATGGGGGGAGAGTAAGGGAATTTCCCAAAAAAAAAAGAATACCATTTGATTAAAGGTAAAACACAGCTTAATTTTTCAATAATTTAATAATCAATAAACCTATTAGTAATAAATATATGCATTCAGTTAAAATATTTTATATATTTTCTTATTTAATATAATAAGCAAATTCTCTATAAATCATAATAAAAATGTACAAAGGGAAAAGAAAGTACATTGAAATTTGGCAGAAAGTTGAAATTGCTGAATTTTACATTCAACACCAAAATGAGATGAGCATGAGAGATGTTGCTGCAAAGTTTCATGTCAACTCCTTTAGCTCGATTTCCGAATGGGTGAATAAGCTTGATGAGTTGAAGAAATCAGTAAAATCTGATAAAAAATTAAAATTAGAAAGCTTCACTCAATTTCCAGAGCTAGAGAAAGAACTAGTTCATTGGTTTACTGCAATCCGTGAGCAAGGTATTCAGGTTCTCAGATCAACGATTGAGGAGAAAGCAAAAAGTTTGGCGGCAGAAATGGGATTGGCGCGATTCGGCTGTGGAGATAAATGGTGGCAAGGATTTAGGACCAGAAATAATTTATCTTTCAGAAAAATCAATGCCTCAAGCATTAAGCCAATCGAAGGGGGGGCGGGACTTGTCAGGCAATACCTAGATGATTTAGCGTCATTGCTTCCTCAATTCGTTCCATCTAACATTTACAATTTCGATGAAACGAGATTTGATTGAGATGTAAAAAGCAAGTTCACTTATGATTTCAAGGGAACTCAACGAATTCTAGGCGTTCAATCAGCTAAAATGAACCATTTTATCACTGTTATGCTTATGATTAGAGCTGATGGAGAAAAAATGCCTGCTTTGCTCATTTTTCAAGAGAAAAATGGCCAGATCCCGAACCTTGTAAGAGAAAGACTGAATATTCCAGAAAATGTCATCATAAAATCAAATAAATCTGGCTACATTTCTGACCAGATTCTTAATGACTACCTCAGAACAATATTGAGACGAGAAAACCAACTGCTGATTTATGATCAGGCTGGAAGTCATAAAACTATCATGATTTCTAATGCAATTTCAGATTTAGATGCAACCAAAATTGTGATCCCTGGAGGGTGCACAAAGTATTTGCAACCACTTGACGCACTGGTAATTGCAAATTTCAAATCAAAAACAACAGATTTCAGAATCAAATTCCAAAACAGAGCAGATTGAAAGAAGATCGAAAAGAACTGGAAACCTCAAAGCTCTTGATCGCCAGCAACTGATAAACATTGCTTCAAAGGCGTGAGATGCTGTAAGCCCTCAACTTGTCAGAAAATCATTTGAGTTGACGGGTTCTTATGGCGTTAATCATCCAAAGATTTTCAGCCATCAAGTTAATATGAAGAAGTTAATTATCTAATCGATTTCTTCTATTCATTTTTTTGTCTTAAATTTAAAATTGTTAAATTCAACCTTTTCACTTATGGTATTTTTTTTTTAACCCTTTGAATAATATATCAAACAAACTTAATAATTATTTTTCAATATTATCCTCTTTATTTGTATATTAAATATAGATATAATAAACTATATATAAAATTATATGTAAAAAAATTTTTTGTTCGCTCACGGAGGGTGGGTTTTTGACCAAAAAATAGGGATTTTTCTAATGGTTTTGTTCGCTCACGGAGGGGGGGGGGAGTTTAAAAGAGAAGGAAATTACAAGCAAGCCATCGAAATCCTAGAACAAGATTTTATTACACTTGATAAACGTAGTGCCGAATACCAAGAGACCACTACAAGCCTCTGTGAGCTTTATAACTTGCATGCAATGGATAAGTTACATCAAGGCGCTCAAAATGAAGCCTTAAGTCTGTTAAAAAAAGCAGAAGAGCTCTCAGGAGCAAATCCAGATTTGCTTTCTGCTACTTATAATAACTACGCATGCTATTATAAAAAGCAAGCAAAATATCGAACTGCATTAAAATTTTTACAAGACGCCTTATCTATTAACCCCACAGGTGATGTTCATCTGAATCTATGTGCAGTGAGTTCCCTTATAGGGAAGCATGACAAAGCTTTAGAATATGCAATGCAAGCTGTTATTTTGATCCAGGATGAAGCATTCCAAGCTGCTTATGAGCAAGATTTTGCGACAATTGATATAAGAGCGCCAATATTAGCAATTGCTTTTCATAATGTTGCAGTTGAAATGGAATACACTTGGCTGATAATCAGAAAAATTTTTTTTTTATAAAAAATTATTATTTCTTTATAATAAATTATTTATATAACTGTATTTAAAAAGAGTAGTGTTTATTTAGTATGAAGAATCGCTTGATTATTATAGAAGATCTGTCGATTTCGCAGAAAAATATTTATCCAAAGGCCATTCTGTTATTGATAATCTTAAAAATGCGTATGATTCAGCCGTCAAGACTAGCAATTTCAGAAAAACAAGGCTGAGAAATAAAGAGAGAAATGAAAACTTCAAAAGGATCATTGTCAGAGCAGAAAACAAAAGTAAATCACCTTTTATTGAAAATAGAGAACTTTCACCTTTTCTTTTAAGAGCAAAAACTCCTGAATCAAAACCTCCGTCATCAAATGGTCCTAGGATGCCAGCAACTGAAAGAAACAAAAATATTGAGAAAAAGCCAAAAAATGATAAGCAAGCTCACTATACTTTTCATAATAGAAAATACCTCGCCGCAAAAACAAGCCGAGGGAAAATAGATGATTTAGTGCAATATGTGCAGACAGAACCGTCTAATGATCATCTTGATACTTCTGAGGAAGATAATCCTCGTCCTAGAAAAAGTCCTGTTCCTTTTAGCCAGGAAAAGCTGAAAGAGTACCAAAATCAAATCAAAAGCGGAAGGTCTAATAAAAAGCTTGATGAATATAGAGAAAATTTTTTAATGGATAAAAATATAAAGTCATTTGTAGCAGACTTGAAAAATCGTTTTAAAGATATAGTGGAAAACACAGAAAAATAGTAATTTTTGATTATATATAATTTTAGAATTTTGCTAATTTTGGGTTTTTATTTAATTTTAAGAAAGTTATAAGTCTATATATTAAAGCTAATCTTAATAATTATAAAACACGCTTTATTATTTCCATAAAATGATCAAATTTACTTTCTTGCCTCTCTCTATTAAGAGCGAGTAAGATATTTTTTTCTCTTTCTTGAGATCATTTTCTAAAAAAATTCAAATTTGTAAGAAAATAATTTAATTTATAAAAATTTATGTTTAGAATGCAACTAAATTTAATAATATAGCATGAGTCTCGCTATAAAAATTATTTTTTATATATAAAAATATTTTACACAAAACTTTCTATGCAAAATTGTTTTGCTTGCTCTAAATAATAAGCATTTTTCTATGGCTTTGTTCACTTTTAACGGATGAAATATAGTTTTGCTTTTAAAATGGGCAAAAGTTAGTAAATTCATTTTCTAAAAATAAAAGATGGCACTTTCCGCAACAACAGAAGATTTTTACAATACAATAATTGAAAATGTTTTAGATCAAATTAAAAGAAACCCAGAAAATTCTTCACTACAAGAAACCACTCTTCAAAATTTTAAATCCTCTTGATTAAGAAATCTAAATCAGATCATGCGGCCTCCAGTCATCCGTCATGTAATTTTTAACTAGAACTTACTATTCGCAAATCCAAAGATTTCAAAGCCAAAAAAAAATTTCCCTAAAAACGAAGAATACTTCAAATCCCCTGCGCAAAAGCAAGAGCAAGAAATAAAAAATCCTCCAATCCCACAAATTCCAATGAAGCAAGAAGTAATCACTAAGCCACAGAGTGATTCAGAAAGTTCTAATGAAGATGAAGAAGAATCAGACGAAGAACAAAATGAAGCTGAGCTGGAATTCCAAAAATATATTGTTTTAATATAAATTTCTCAGTAAATATTATTAATTGATTTATTATAACCAAAAAGGAGTCTATGATGAAAAACCTGCGAAAATTAGTATACAAAAATTTAGGAAAAAATGCCCAAGAAATCGAGCCATCTGAAGAGGAAGAAGAAGAGGAAGATTTAGGCGATATTAGTGATGAGGATACCAATATTTTGATTCCAGAAACTAAAGATGTTATGTATTGCTCTTATGACAAGGTAAGCTGATAATTAGGTAGCAAGAACTGGAGACAGATGAAAAGTTCTTTTGAAAAGATGTGTGCTTAAAATGGGCAGAAGTAAGGAATTTTTTTACCATAGAGGGTTTTGTGATGTTGATTTTGAGCAGTCATAATTTGATATTTTTCCAAAAATATTTTTCTAAATTAAATTTCATTTATACTTTATTGGCTGTATTTATATAATTTTATCATGCAAATCTCCTTAATTTTTATGCATTTTAGGATATTCTTATACATATTTTCAAAATTTTACAAAGTAAATACAATATCTATTGACACGTATATAATGTATTTCCTGGCATTATTTTTACTTTCTTATTTTGCATCAGGAGCTGTAATAGGAATTGATTTCGGGACTGAACTAATCAAGGTAAATCTTATTTAGACTTCAATAATTCAGCCTGGCCGAAAACTTGGTGCCATTGAAAGCCCTCAATCAAAAAGAATGATCCACAACATTGTTGCTTTACAAGGCGAGCATCATCTCTTAGGTGAAGAAGCCACAAATTACATGCAAAAAGATCCTCAATCTGCTTTAATTTTCACAACTAGAGCCCTTGGCAAAGCTTTTAACGATACTGATCTTCAAAAAAGATTTCTCAATGAATTTATACGAGTTTACAATTAATAGCCCACTAAATCAGACAAAAATTAGCTGCCTGCCAACTATTTTTAAACTTTATTTAGCAAATTTTAATTTGACTAGCCGAAAAATGCTCCTTATTAGGCTATTCTCCGTAAAAAAATTTATATCCCGCTTGAAGTTTCTGAAGACTCCTCAAGATTTTCAATTGAATTTAAAATAAAAAATGAGAAATTCTCAGTAGAAGAAACAGCTGCAATGGTGCTAGAATTTATTAGAAAACTTGCAGATAAAACTTCAGGGGACTCTGCAAGGGATTGCGTTATTACAGTGCCGAATTTTTGGACTGTTCCACAGAGAAGAAGCCTATTAGTTGCTGCTGAAGCTGCAAAATTAAACGTGATGAGCTTGATTAGTGATAACACTGGGGCTGCTTTATATTATGGAATTGATAGATTTGATAATAAAACAGACCATAAAATCCTTATTTATAACTTGGGGGCATCATATCTCCAAGTTTCAATTGTAAGGTACTTCGCTGCACTCAAAAAAGCAAGTAAACTGTCAGCAAAACAAGTAGAAACTATCGAAATTCTTGCAAATACATGGGATTCTGAATTCGGAGGAAGGACTATAGATGCAGAGATCGCTGAATATCTCAATGAAAAATTCATAGCAAGCGGGGGTTCTGATGTAAAAGACAACGTAAAAGCAATGTCTAAGCTTTTGCATGCAGCCAATCAAGCCAAAAAAACTTTAAGTGCAAGCAAAACCTCATATGTCAATGTCCCTAATATTATCCCTGGGCATGATTTTACATTCACATTAGAAAGAGAAATTATAGAAAATATTGTAGAAAAGCACACAGAAAGATTAATAAAACCAATACAAAATGCCCTGGATACTGCTAAATTGACAATAGACGATATCAATTTTATAGAAATTCTGGGCGGCCCTATAAGAATTCCAAAAATACAGGAAATTATTGAAAAGAAATTTAAACAGCCACAAACACATTTAAATGGAGATGAATCAATGGCACAAGGCGCGGCGATTTATGCTGCAAATTTTTCGAGTGAAGTTATGGTAAAACCACTTTGGCTGATAGAAAAAACGTCTTTACCAATTAAAGCTGTATTTACCTCTCCAAGCAATAAAGAATTTAATAAAGAAAAAATTCTTTTTGAGTCTGGAAGTGTCCTAGGACAAACCAAAAAAATTGGGTTTACTATTGAAAATGACGTAGAATGTGTCTTTTCTTATCAAAAAAATAATGAATGGGTGCCTTTTTCACTTTATTCTGTTACAGGAAATCAAGAGAGGTATGGTAAAGCTCCCCAAGTAATTTTTGTTTTTAGCTTAGATTATAGTGGAATTCCGAAGCTTGACAGCGCTGAAGCAAAATATGAAATTGAGGTCGAAGTCGAAATAAAAAAATCAGTAAATGAGACTGAGGCACAAAAAAAGCCAGAAAATGAAACTGAGGCACAAAAAATACCAGAAAACGAGACTGAGGCACAAAAAAAGCCAGAAAATGAAACAGTTGCACAAACGGTGACTGAAAAAGTCAAAAAAAACAAAATTATTAAGCAAGAATTAAATATTAAGCAATTGGAATTTGGAAACCCTCTGCCTCCTAAAAAAGATCTTGCAAAAATAATCAAGGAAAAGCTAGATGCATACACAGTCGCTGAAGAAGAGAGAAAGCAGTTAGCCCACAACAGAAATGAACTGGAGTCATATATATGCTAATTATAAAAGAATAATTAATTTATAAAAATTAAAAAAAAATTTATTTTAGGCTTTATAAACAGGCATATATTTTATTCAAGAAAAATTAGAAGGCTCAGAATTTTTAAGAGTAATCAGTCCAGACGATTTATCAACCTTAAAGATTCAAATTAACGAAACCCTTCATTGGCTTGAGTCTGGTGACTACAAAAAACAAGGCAGCTCAGGCTTAATTAAAGAAAAAACAAAGCTTGAAAAAATGACAGCCAAATTCCTTGACAGAGAAACAGAATTAATGTCAAGAGAAGACAAAATATTAGACGGCTATTTAAAATTGCAAGAACTTTACAGAGAAATGTCCTATTTAAACAAAACCAAAACATGGATTCCGTTACCTGAAAAAGAAAAAGTTTTCATGGTAATTAATGAAACTATTGAATGGCTTGACCAAAAGGTTGAGGAGCAGAAAAATACCCCAGAATGGGAAGAGCCAGTATTAAAAATTGCAGTTTTGGAGTCAAAAGTCAAAGGTGTTGAAAAAAGAGTAGAAATCATAAAAAAAACAGGAAGGCCAAGACAAGAATATAAGGAGCAAAATGATAAAAAAACAGAGGAAAATCAGCAACCAAGTGAAGCTGCACAAGAAAAAGCTCCAGAAGAAGCCAAAAAATCTGATGAGGAAGCCAATAGCCAGGCTGATGCTAAAACTGGTGAAACATCCCAGCCAGCTGAAGACAGCCAAAAAGAGCCTAAAACAGACCTTTAGCTAATTTATTTATAATCCATAAGAGTTAATCATACTTTAAAGCCTTGGCTCCACATTTTGTACATGAGAAATAGCTGACCTTCTTTTTCTGTCTTTTCTGTTGGACTCTCTCAGTTGGTCACTCACATTGTTTAGAATTTCTACATAAGGGGTAAGATCATCTGTACCCTCACATAGGCCTGCCAGATTTGGGACTTTGTCGACTCTGAAATTTTCAACATTTTCGACTAAAATTGGAATAGAAATATTCCCTGTCTTCGGGTGAACAGAAAATGGAGATTTCAGCAAGTTAGTCATTTCCATAGAAACGTAGATGTCGAGTCTTGGATATAAATACTTAAAACATATCTTATACTTGATTTGGTCTATCAGCTGAGGGTCTGGCTGTGAGTCAATAAATTCCAGAATTTCAGCCCATGTCTCTTCGCTGGAGCCTTTAACTGTGAATTTACTATCAGTCCCCAACTCTTCATTAATAATTTCAACGCATTCGTTGAGTCTTTCCTGATTTTCAAACAATTTTTGATCCTGTACAATGATTTCCTCAAAGCGAGGCTTAAAAATTTCCCAGCAGATTTCAAGGAAACGAGAATTAGAATTCGGTCCAGAATTCAAAAACTCAATTAATGCTTTGCGCTTGAAGTCATTTAAACGTCTTGCGGCTGGGTCACACACCCAGCAGTGAACACCCCTTCTGCCTGAATAAATCCATAAATTAATTTTGAAGCCAAATAGCTCTTTGAGAATGGTGTCGATTGATTTGCAAGCGAGCACCATAAACTTCCAGCAAAGCTGACATACAACTGCACCAGAGCAGCAGGTTCGAACTTTATCGTAATCGGTCATGTCTATGTCGATCACGAATTCTCGTTCGACTGGTTCGTATTTAATTTCTTTATCTTTGAGATTTTTAGTTTTTGGGGGAATGGTATAAACTGCCCCAATACCAAATTTTTCTGGTTTATCGTGGATAAGTTGCTCTCTAAATTCACCTGGTGAACTAAAGCTTATGTGTCGGCAGGACACGTCTCCTTGAAGATAAAAAGAAAATTCTCGCCTTTCGAAATATGATTTATTGTCTAAGGGGTTGTCTGTTTCAAGCATTATTCCTTGATTTAACCATCTGCAGAGGTCATTGCACGGGAAATAAGTTCTGTAATATGATTCTAGAAATTCGAAATCCATTTATATCTCTGGAAATTTTGTTAAGGTTATGTTGGTTCATGACGTAATAACAAAAAAACCAATAGGTGAAAATTAGCTTTGGTTTTCTGAGCAGAAAACAAACTTAATATTGAAAAAATTAATTCATTCACTAAACGGAATTATAAACTCTGCTAACGAATTATGGCTTTAATTAGCATAGAAACAGAGAGAAAACTGGCTGATTTTCTACTGCTTATTGCTGAGGGAGAAAACGAAATAGAAAAATCAAGAATAAGTCTTTGTGGAAACAGAGAGTTTGAGCCTTTAAGTGTTTTTAGGCAGCTTGACAGATTTTCAAATGGGTACTTGAATTTTCTTGACATTCAGGAGTTTTTTGAAAATAAAAGAATTGAAACCGCAGATAAAGACATACAGCTACTGATAAGACAATACGATTCTGACTCAGATGGAAGGCTTTTGATATCAGATTTTTATCAGATCGTTCTTCCGTCCACTAACACTTACCTTCGGGAATCCGTAATCGCCCGTCCATCGTATATGAAAATTTCATTAGACGTGGAATATCTCCTTATTAGACTGCTCGAAAAAGAAGCCCTATTCCAGAGACAACTTGAATCGTCTAGATACAGCTTGACCAGTCAAATTGACTATAAGCATTTGGATGCTTTTAGATGCATAAATTATGCAAACGAGTCTTTTATCACCAGAGACCACTTGGCTGAGTTTTTTAGGAGGCATTCACTTCCTGTGTATGAAGAGGACATTGATGCCATTTTAAGACGAGTTGATACAGATGGTGACGAAAGGATAAGCTATGCTGAGTTTGTTGAAGCAGTTCAAGCTTCAGAAATTTTGCTTGAGTCACCATACAGATCAATAGCAAGTCCAGTAAGGCATTCTTCACCTCTAAGAAAATCATTTTCACCAAATAGAAGCTCATATAACAGTCGATCTTTAGAGTCTTCTTATCGGAAAACGCCTATAAAAAGTGTCAATATTTCAGAAATTGCTCAAGTTTTAAGCGAGCAAGTTGCCTTGTCAAGAGAATTAGACGCAGCAATTAAAGAGCTCGGCCTAAGGGCTGATTTTAATTTAATTGATGCTTACAGGATGTTTGATATAGATGATAAAGGGTTTTTTACAGAATTAGACGCTGAAGAAACTTTAAACGATTTTGGAATCCGCACTTTTAAAGACGAAATTTCTCTTTTATTTAAGCACTACTGTCACAGCTCAGACAAAAAGATGAGGTTTAGTGAATTAAATGAACTTTTTACTCCTAAAGACCCTGAATATGCAAGATTGGTAAAAAATAGGGTCCCTTATAATGCTCAAGGCCTCCCACTCAAGACTGAAGCCGCAAGGTAAGAAGGAGGCAGAAGGTAACCTCCCGAACGGGAGGTCTTTTGATTGATGACTGCGCCACCAATATGGATAACGCCTGACTCTAATAGCCTAACCCTTATAATGCTCAAGGGCTAATAGGAGAAATGTTTTTAGGCCTGAAACTATGAACAAATTGATAAGGGTCCTTCAGCTGCACTTAGAATGTGAATCTATGGCAGAAAATTTGAGGCAAAGATTAAGTAGAAGCCAAAGCTTTAATATTATGGACGCTTTTCAAATAATTGATAGGGATAGAAATGGATACATAACTTTTAAAGAATTTCAACAAATTTTGGATGAGCATGGGCTGATTGCTTCTAAAAAAGATGTGGAGAGCTTAATGGAGAGATATGATAAAGACAAAGATGGAAGAGTTTCGTATTCGGAGTTTATGAATGAAGTAACTCCGAAATCACCACAAAAATATTAGTAAAACTAATGATATTTAAATCATATTTAACTAATGGCTTATTTTATGATATATGATAGGATTTTTTAATTTTTTAATTCATCACCAACTGGAATATTTCAATCATCTTATTTTTTTATGTGAAAAGAGGAAATAAATGCTTTCAAGCAAATTTCAAAGCCTATTACTTGTGGATGGCATAGTTTTTATATTTAATTCAAAAGTGCTAAGTTCCTCTGAAATAAATTTCTGGTCTTTTTTATTAAATTAAAGAATATTAAAAATAAAAGAATCTACTATAAATTTCTTCCAAAAAATAAAAATAAGTTGATTAAGATTTAAATTTTAACTATAGTGCACCTTGTCAATTACAGATCCCATCCCCCATCCCCTATAAAATGCTTTTATATAGGATAATTAATCATATTTTTGAAATTAATATTTCAGCACACATATATAAATTATATTAATAAAATAAGAAAGTTAATAAAGAAAATCTGGATTCCTTTATTATATCAGTTTAAACATAAATCCAGTTATTTTCCGATAGACACAAATAAATCAATTTAATCATAGTTATGCATCCTATAGCATTGATTGTGCTGAATTAATTTGCTTAAAAAGATTAAATCTGTTTAAATAGCTTATAAGCAAATATAAAACCTAATGTATTTCATTTTTAAATTAAATGCAAAAATATTAGCCAGAGCTGTTTAAGGCATAACGAGGTGAGCTTTGGCACGCCATAAAATGTTCTTACGGCATCTAAATAAAATTCGCTCATTATATCCTATATAAAAGCATTTTATATGATAGGGCTAGGGTTGGGGGTCTGTGCTTAACCATACACAATTTCCTATATATAATTATTTACATTTATATATATTAAAATAAAGTGCAGGCACATGAAGCATTTCGCTTTGTAGTACTTGCTGGCTCTCTGATTGAGAGAATTCGACTATATATTTCTAGCTGCTTTGCAAATCCTCTGTTTGGCTTAGTTGGTGGATGAAGATTAGATTATACTTGAAGTCAAGCATTAGCCATATTTAGTGCAGCCATGACAAGTGATTCATCCTGATTGCGACCATAATGTGACACAAGCCTAAGAGCAATTAAGTTGTCCTCATTATATAGGCTTTAATTTTTAGGGCGACTTATGGATTCTACAACTCTGCAGTGTTTGATGAGAGTAATATCATTATGAGATGAGCTTTCATGATATAATGGTACCGAGGTACCATATCTCGGGTACAGGAAAAAGACAATTCCATTTTCTTAGCAGAGAGTGTCCATCTCAAAAGAGCATAACTTGATACCTCTTTCCACAGATTGGAAAGTGGCCTAAAACTTCTAGACAAAGCTACTCTTGGTTCTTAACCTGATTTCATCCAGCTATTCTTAGCCTAAAGATCTGGGAAGTTGCTCGAAGTGATCATTTTAATATCATTCTGATGAAGATACTGTACAAAAAGCTTTGCTTTTCTAAAGTTCCAACATCTTTGTTTCATAATATAGGCAATAACTATAGAAGCGCTCCTAGATATTCCTTGAGCACAATGTACCATCACTCTTCCTCCACTGTTAATGGCCTCTTCAATGAACTCTGTGGCTTCATCGAAATAATTTAATATGTCAAATGATGGACAGTCCACAATTGGAAGCTGCTTATAGACAAACCTTGAAGAAAAATAAGGTTCAAGTCCTGATCCAGTGCCAGCAATTAGAATATGGGTGATTTTGAATTTGAAGAGAAGATTAAGCTGGGATGCTTGCTCCTTATCTCCAAGGTATAATCCGTCTTCTATTTCATCGAGTAAGTACATTTTTATTATTATGCAAGGATATTTTTTAATTTTTGGATTTTTTAAACCTAATCAGTGCATTAGTATTCTAGCAGAACTATAAAAGTAAATTAATTGTTTCTAATTGTTTTTATATGTAAAATACTTAAATGGTATAATCATGTAAATTATAGCCATTAGTTTACATTTAATTCAATTTTAAATTAGGATAAGAATGAGCTCAAATTTAAAAAAACTGTGACAAAAGTACGTCTGAAAATTTTATAGTAGATAAATGTAAGAGTTATTTTATAACAGAAAATAAAAAACGAGCATGATTATATTGCTGATTCCTGTTTAGTGTTTACTGTTTAAAATATCGATAATTATTTATGCGTTTTGATTGGATTTAATTAATGATAGAGTTTAGAGCATTTAGCAGATTTTAAAATTTTATATTAGAAATAAAAAATAAGGCTTTATAAATGACATTAAGAAAAACAGTAGCTTAATTTATTTATACTTTAAAAATTCGCCATAAGGGATTAGCTTTCTGGCCCCTTAATTAAACCAATAAACCTAATTCATTTTTATTATAACAAATATATATAGCAATTAATCAAGGAACCAAAAATGCATAATAACGATAGATTCCAATTTGAAGAAAGAGAACAAAAATTGCATGAATTATCAGAAGCGATTGAAAAACAAATCCAACTAATTAAAAAGGCTGAAATTTCAATAAAAAAGAAAGAAGAACAATGCGAAAAAGAAGAAAAAGAACTGAAAACTTTATTATCTCAAATTCAATTACAGAGCAAAGAATATGAAACCAAAGCTCAAATTGAAATCGGAAAAGAGCTTGAAGACAGAGAAAGCACAATCATCAATAAAAAATTTGAACTTGAAGCCCGAAAAAGAGAGCTTCTCGAAAGAGAAGCAGAAATCGATGCACAAACTCAAAGAATTATTTCCGAAAAAGATAAAATCTCCTCGAGTGTCCGTTCTTCTATCAATAAGCCTAGTTCTAAAGAGCCAATAGCAAGACTTAGAGCCCAGCTAATCATAAAAGAAAAAGAAATTGAGCTCCAAGAGCAAGCTTGTGCCAAAGAACAAGAAGAAATCTCCAAGCACAGCCACGAAATCGAAGAAGTCACCCAACAGCTTTCAGTCGAAAAAAAGAACCTGGAAGACAAAAAAATCGAGCTTGAGTCCAAAGAAAAAGAAATTGAATCCCAATGATCCCAAGCCAACCAAGTCCAAGAATCCCTGCTCAAAGAAGAACAAAAACTCAACGAAGCCACCAAAAGAGCCCAAGACGAATATTTTCAGCTCCAAAAACAAATTGAAGAAATGAAAGAAAAAATCGCCCTAGCCGAGCTTGAAGAAAAAGATCTGGAAATCCAAGAAAACGAATTAAAAAAAAAAGAACAAGAAGCCATCATACAAGCTGAAGAATTGTGAATAAAAGAAGAAAAATTAAGAAAAGAGGAAAACCAGCTAGCGAAACAAGAAGAAGACTTAAGGAAAAAAATCGCAGAAGCAGAACAAAGAGATAAATCATTGAGAATCCGCAGGGAGTTTGAAAGTGAGCTTGAGCTGAGACTGCAAGGATTATTAATGAGCGAAGACGTTTTACAAAGGAAAAACTGGGAAGAATTGAGGGTATTGCAAGACTGTGTGTCAAAGATTCAGGCAAAAGAGCAAGAATTGAAGAAAAGAGAACAAGAACTTCTAGAGCAAGACAGGCATAAAAAATAATCTAATTTGTACCTATTATATAACTTATTCGATTGGGTTCTCCTTAAATATTTTCAAAATGTCTGCCATATGTTCTTGGTTTGCTGATACTGCAAATCCAGCGTGGTCTTGGTTATAGTCGAATTTTTGGAAAATTATTTTGTCTTGTGGCATCTGAGAAATACTGACTTTTCCATCTTCAGGGGTAATAACAGTGTCATATTTTCCATAAAGTAACGCCACTTTGCACCTTAAATTAGAAAGCTGCATTTGTGGCGGCTTTGAGGTTCCATAGACTTCTCTGTTTTTTTCTTCACCATAATCATAGGAATAAGGCAAAGGAGACCTTTCTTTTAGTACTTGTGACCAATACTTTAGATTCATTATACTTGTGCCGCCACAGAACTTTTGTAAATATATAGCTAAGTCTTTAGGATCCTCGTTATTTAAATACAAATCAAGTTTATCTTGGTATTTCCAAGCTGCATATCTAGGAAATGCATAAGCTAGTCTTGCAGGGTAATTTGGGGTTTCTGAATAATTGACTAAAAAGTTTATTCCTTTCTTTTCATATACTTCTAGAAATGGAGGATTTAAGAGCTGCCTAAGATAGGCAGTATCAACACTTATAAAGCCAGCCACTGGCGCCATAAGTGCAGCTACATTTACTTTGTCGCCGTAATCTGGTCTAAAGCACACACATTGAAACAGCACAAAACAGCCTTGTGAGTGCCCAATATAGTTTAATTTTGGTTTTTCAGTCTGCTCAAGTATATAGTCAATTGTTTTAGGAATATCATTGGCACCTATATGGTTAGCACACCATTCCCAATATTCAGGCTGATTTGCGTCAAGGGTTTCATGCTTTCTGCTTAAATGGTTTCCTCTGGTATTTAAAAGCCATACATCGAAGCCTTCGTCTGCTAAGGCAAAGGCTGGAGCTTTTGATTTTTGGGAAATCACATAAGAACTTGCATGGTGAGTCAAGCCGTGGACCATCAAAACAGGGGTTTTTCCTTTCACAAAGTCTTGGTCTTTTGCAGATATTCTATAAAGGCAAAGGATATAGCCATCATTTGTGGTGATTTGATGGGTTTGGACTTTATAACCTTTGCTGGTGCATAGCTCTTCAAAGGTGTAAGTGAGTTCTGGAGGAAGCTTGGCGTGGGAGATATAGTATTGAAGACCATAGTAAGAAGCAATCCCAACAGCTGCTGTCGCTGCAATTCCACTAAGAAGCGCTTTGAGAAGCATTTAACATTAACATTAATTAGTATTATAGAGGCTCGTCGTATTGGTGCGGGTTTCCCCAACCCTACCTTCACCCTTCACGCTTCACCCGGCTGCTCACCACCAATCGATCACGACCTTCAAGATGTTGCTCCTACTGGACGAGGATGTGCACTCGCTACCCGTAGTTGGATGAGTTACGCCACCTAGCACTACATCAACAGAGGTGCCCATTCCGAAAATTTGAAAAACAAATTTTCTGGTAGGACTGTCGGCTAAGATGGAAATCCAAAGCCTGGGACGTAACGCCCAGTTTCACGCTAGGGAGTTGCCCGATTGATCAGGAGGTACCTTCTTGATGCTGCTGAGCTCCCCCTTCCAAGCTTGGAAATCATCTCCCCTGAGGCAAAACCCTTGGTGTCAGAATAAGCTGCGTTCGGCCTAATCCGACGTTGCGCTCCACTGTACCAAGGTAAAACCTAGCCGGATAAACATTCCGAGCGCCTTTCTCCCTTCCACAAGGTCCCCCGCGAACGCGCTACAGGTGTTGAGAAAAAGGGCTGGATCGCCGTCGCCATTTTAATGTATATGCGCTTTGAGAAGCACCATTTATATTCTTAAAATTCTCGGCCGTTATTCACTTATTAAAATAAAGCTAAATGTTAAGGCTTTTAAAAGTTTACATTTTCTTCCAATAAACAGCCCAAACATGAATTTTTTCCATTATTTGCGGCATAATAGCATTTACACTTTCTGTGATCAAGTCTAAGAAATATCGCTCAGCTTTTTCATCACTTAGACCAATTTTGAACCTTTCGTACAGTTTATCGATAATTTTGATAGGATCTCCAGCCATTCCTGAAAGCCCTGAATGAATCATCAAGTAGAAGAGGTTCACAATTAATTTACAATGCCTTCTCAGCTGCAAAAATACTTCTACACACTTTACCTTGAACTTTTCGTAGCCTTCACCTTTTTCTCCTCCCATTGCTTCCACCATTTCTTTGCATAATTTCATTGGAGGTGGCATTGGCTTAGGATCTTTACCTAGAATGAACCCAAAATCAATGTGAAATAAGTGGCCTTGAATGTCAATCATAAGATTTTCTAGATGCCTATCCCCTATTCCTAGCAAATATGTAATAACACAGTAGCCTGCACAGCTTTTAATAAAAGTGTCAAAAATATCTGGGTTGTTAGTCTTATTTTCTTCTAAATACGCACTTATTAGCTGTTTTTTCTGAATCCTCTCATGAATTGTGCTGGCATTTCTCACAAATTCTACGAACCCATCACTCGCACTTGTAGCAATCACGTTATAAGGCTTTAAACACATATCTAAATTCACGTTTTTAAGCAGCCTGTCCATAAGTCTAATAATCTGAATTACAAGCTGATCCTGCCTTAAATCGTCTCCATTTTTATACATCACTGACACCTTTATGTCTTGTTCCGTACATGTGAAATCTAATTTTATAGGCAGCTGCTTACTGAAGAAAATCTTACAAGATTCAGGCAAAACTCCTGTGAGCAGAATATTTGGGTCAAGATAATGAGGCACGGGGGTAGGAAAAACTTGCATTTCTAGGTCGTCTTCTATCATAGCCCTCAGCTTGGCTTTTTTCTTTTCAAAAGTAGAGGTATCACCTTTATTTTTCTTTATTGATATAGAATAATGTGCAAGTTTCCCTTTAAGCATGCATTGTAAATCAATGCAGTCCATTATGTCTCTGGCTTTCATATTTAAAGTATTTTCGAATTTCTCACAAGTTTCTTTATACCAGTCAGTCAGTTTTCCAGGTGGCCCTTGTTTTTCTACTTGTAAATACCAATAATAAAAAATTGCGATTTCTTTGCAGTTCATGGCACGCCGCTCTAGAAATTCTTGTAAAGGAGATTCGACGTTTGATTCATATCTTAAGGCTTGGACAAGCTGTAATAAGATGTCAGAAAGTTCTTGGTTGCTGCAACAGTCCAAACGTTCGACAGCATATCTTCTGACCTCTTCTATACCTTTGGAAATTATAGTGGAATAATGAGGATTACATGAGAAAATGTAAGACAATAAATGCAAGGCATCTTCTTTATCAATTGGCGCCCAAATTTTCATAAGCTCTAAAGCGTTTTTTTCTTCTTTTTCTTTGTCCCAGCAGACAGCATGCAAAAATTTGGTTAAAGAATGTTTGTCTTGTACGAGGAAATACCTATAAACCCATATTAAATCCCTTTGTTCTGGCTCTAAAGGTTTATGGTCAGGCTGATTTATAATTTCATTGAGGGTTTCTTTGATTTCTTCTGTTGGGACTAAATCTTTATGGTCCATAATATTTTCTCTGCTGAGTCTTGAATACTGTTCGGCGACTGGGTTGATCCTTTCAAATAAAACTTCAAAATCTGGCACAATCCAAAGCCTTTTTTCCTGTTCTGGAGGTAGTAGCAGCTCATTGTCAAGGTCATATTCGTTTTCTTTATATATAACAGCGTTTTTAAATCGTGGAAGCTCGACTTCAATGAGACATAAATTATGCTCAGTGCATAAATCAGATATTTGAGATTCCATTGTTTTGATTGACCAAGTATCAAGCCATGGAGTTTTCTCTATTTCGCCTTGTTCGAATTTTTCGATGTTGTTACTAAGTCTTGTGATTTCTTGGAGTGGGGCATAATTTTCTATTATCCCTGGAGTATTTTTTAAGTCTGCATTAACTTCAGGCCATAGAAAAAGCTTATATAACCCTTGCCGAAGCAAAGAGTTCGCAGAAAGATTGCTAGCTTTTTCAGATGATTCTGTAAATAAAGAAAATGATGTGCTTGCGGCAGGAATATTTGTCTGCTTCCTAGAAGTTGCTCATATATATACGTTGAAATAAGCATCAGGAGGTAAGTCTTGAATGCTGAGGGGAAAAGTGAAATCGGCAAGGTTTGAAGTTTCGTTAGGAATCTTAATAACACCTTGAGAACTTTGTGCAAGGAGAGTTTTTTGAGAAAAAAGTTTAACTGTGATCATCAAAGCTGATGATGATGTATTTGGCTCGTCATATATTGCAAGAATGTGGTTCGGATCCATAAACTTAGTGATTCTAAGAGAAAGTGTTTGAGTTATATCATCATGCTTTGTGTATTTTGGAAACATTTCCTATTATTACTATTATTCAGAATATTGGATTTAATATTATTAGAAAATTAGAAAATGTAATAAGAGGATTCAATATTTTTGAATTTTGTGTATCAAGTATAAATAATGAGGATTTAGAATAAAATTGACGAAAAATTGTATATTCATTTATAGAAATAATTTTTCTATTATTATGCTGCTTGACCAAAGATAAATCTGATAATATATTATTATCAGTTAATATTACTTGAATTTATATAAAAAACTACCGCAAAAAATTAAGACGCCTTGGGCGTGATAAAACGTAAAATTATTATTATTATATAAAACTACCAAGTAAATTTTACAAAAATATTGAGTCTTTGAATTTAAATATTAAAAGAATTGATAAGAACAGATAGAGACAGATTTAGAGAAACTGGCTGTATGGTTTGCTTGCCATATTTGAATTAAAAGAGATATAGATATTATAATTTGATGAGTATTGATGAACATGAAAAGCATTTTAAATCATATTGTTTTCATTATAAATTAAATTAAATTACGCGATGAAATTTTGTATGGATCTCCCAATGCAGTATGAAAGTTTGCTTCAATTGGTATCCTGTCATAAATTTAATAAAAAATAATTAATCAAATGCAATTTGCAATCACTCTTATAATTATCAGATTTCTTTTGATTTTGTAGTGATCTACAAGCCATTATCAGTTATAGCGCTTTCCCGAGGATGGCGCCATTCCGCGCCATCCTCGGGAAAGCGCTATACGTTATATTGCACATTAGATCTGATCAGATCTATTTATAATAAAACATGTCTAAAAACGAAACTGCTGCTAAGAATCAGCCTATGATTAACCAATATAGATTTACTCAGCTTCAGCAAGCAGTTGCTAACTCTTTGAGTGCTGTCTTAACTAAGTTTGAAGAAAACTGCCGATTCTTAGAAGCTCAGCTTACTAGATTTGGAGCTAAAAAAGAATCCTACAAGCAATTGTTTTCAAGCTACTCCGAAGTATGGTACAACTGGCTTCAATATGAGATCGAAAAATACGAGAATGACAGGTTTTCAGGTATAGACCATCCCTATATAATTGACCCTAACCAGCTTTATAAGCTTCAAAACATTGATGAAATCTGGAAATCCTACGATCTTTTTGAAGACATCAGAGAAATCGTCTGAAAAATCCGCTTCAATCAGCTTGCAAAAAATAAAATTGGGAGCTGAAACGACAAAAAGAAAAAAGCATTACTTTTAAAGCTCCTTGAGCTCGGCGCAGGATTAATAATCCCAGGTAACAATTGCAGGATTGTAAAAGAAGGTCCTTATACTTGTATGGTTTTTATCACAACAATTCTTCCTAATTTTAACGAAATCATACTATTAGCGACAGAGCTAGATAGGCTTCCAATAGTCCGTGACAATGCAGTGGTTCAATATGAGTTTCATCATTATTTGAAAGTTATTGATATATGTAAAAGTACAAATGCAGTTGATGGTTCCATTCAAGACTATCTTTTTAAAATTTCAGATGATGAAGATAGTTAGTTAGTTAGTTTTAAAAGGCCATACGTGTGGGGGAAACCAGCGGACCTCGACACCTCAGCTCGAAAGACGACCCCAGGTCGGGTTCTGATGAGACCATACTCCCAGGCCCGACACCATCTTGATTTCTGGTCAAAACCACCTGTCCAAGGGATCAGCTCCTTTGGACAGAGCCACTTCTGTCTGAGTGCCCCGATGGTCCCGATGAAGGAAGACCATGTGGTAGGAAAAACCTGTCTAGCCCGTCTGGCAGGGACAGGGAAAACCTTCGGGGGAGAAATAAAATTTCCTTTTCGGTACGGCTTCCCCACAACTGAAGGCTTACTTAGGACAGGAATGGTCCTACCAGCTCCATAGGAGGTGCGCCTCGGAGTCAAATTTCCGTCAACGTCACCATTTTATTTCTTGATGAAGATAGGAATATTGCTTATGAAGCAACTGCTGAAAACAATCAATGGTACCCAAGCTTTAATAACAGCACAAGAAAAGTAGGAGATCTGCATTATCCTAAGATATTTCCCAAGATGTATCTGTCACAATGGGAAACTGAGAACATTGTATTTGACCCAGCCACAAGCAGATGAATCGGCTCAAAAGAAGCACCAATCGTGTCTAATATCAATACTAATAATGAGCGCCAAGAAAAAATACTCCGAATGCTTGCTCAAACCACAAGCTGCAATGATTTTATCAATCTCCTAAACACTATTCCTAACTTTCGAATAAAACTTAAGTTTAAGTTTAATTTTATTGAATTACTTTAGCATTTTTCAATGCATGAAAGTCCCCTTTACTTTGAGGTTCAGCTAAATTAGCAGCTCTGAACAACGATAGGTGAGTCGGCCTAACCGTTGAACCGTTAAAGTTATAAGCTCGTTAAGACTTCTCTAGTCAGTACCAGCCTCAGCACCGACCCTTCTCTTAAAGCCGAGACTCTCAAGAAGATTGGCTTCTCTCACTAAGCTCGGTTTATAGGTCCATCCTGTTTGTGACAGGAGCTAGGACCTATCCCTAACTGACATTTTTAATATTGTGCGAATAAAACTAACAGAAGAGCAGCAAGATTTAATAGGCACGCCTGGAAATGTGCTTGCCATTGGCAGGTCTGGTACAGGGAAAACTACATGTTCAGTCCTTAGACTATTTTCTGCTGAAGTTGTTTTCCGATATCGCTCACAGTCCAAGTCAAGAAGACTCGGCCCAGAAGACCTCGACCGATCTTCAGAGCTCCACAGTGTTTTCGTCACAGCTTCCCCTGTCCTCACAAATGAAGTAAAAAGATTCCACGAAAAACTAAATTTCCATTTAAAAGAAGAACTCAAGCATAAAGAAGAAATCCTCAAACAAAAAGCAGAAATTGAAGAAATTAAGCTTGAGCATCAAGACAGTGAAGCCAAAGATAAAGATAATGGCTATGAGTCAGAGGAAGAAGAAGCAGCTGGGCCTTCTTCTATGGCTTATTTAAAAGATGAAGATTTCCCGTTGTTTGTAACTGTGAGAAGACTGATATTTATGATAGACGCTACGTTAAGGAAACCATTTTTCAGTAGGGATTTAAAGGGGAATGTGATTGGCTCTAGTGTGAATTTTCAATGGCATAATGAATTTAAAGGGGCTTTACAAATTAGCAGTGTGTATAAAAATGAAAGAAAAGCCCAAGAAGGGTTAGAATTTTCTGATTCTTCTGAGGAAGAAAATGAAGGGTATATTGATGAAGAGTCTGCTTTGGACGCCAAAAGAGATAAGCTTTTAAATTCGGTTCAAACTTGTTTTGTTGAAAAAAAGAGGCCATATGAGATAGATTTCAAAATTTTCAAAGAAAAATTTTGGCCGAAAATAAAAGGCCAAACAAACAATTCTGCATTAGTGATGTGGACTGAAATTTCAGCTTATATTAAAGGCTCTGCAAGTTCATTTACATATCCGGGGTATTACTTGCCTAAAGATCTTTATGCGCGTTCAGAACGAAAAGCATCGATTTTGACAGTTGAAGAAAAATGCAGAATATGGGATTTGTTCCTAATTTACGAGAGGTGAAAAGTATACTGCTTATGATGAATACCTGGCTAAGAAATATATATAGATTGCTGATGTCTGGATAATCAAAAAATGTTCCTTAGTTAGCCATTCATTGTGAAGCAGCATAGACCAATGTGCTTATGACTTCCAAGATGTCATTAATTATATACTCTCTTGCATCAGATTGACAGGATATCAAGGAATTCCAATCCACTATATGATGGTTGATGAGGTGCAAGACTTGACCCCTGCCACTTTATATTTATTAATCCAAGTCACACAGCAAAAATTATTTTTCTCTGGAGATACAGCTCAAACAATAGCGAAAGGTGTTGGATTTAGATTCTGCGAACTAATTCCTTCTCTTCTTGAGAACGAGCAAGGACTTTTTGCTTATTCTTAAAGGGGCTAATTTGTTTAAAAATTATATTTTTTATTCAAATTTTCAAACATGGGATTTTATAGTGGAAGCTCTGTAATATTTTAATAGAATTATTTAGAGTATTTATTAAATATAAAATAAAATATCTTTTATAAAAAAATTATATTAGAGAAATTTTTTGCTTCCTCATTTATCTAATGATTTTGCTTGCTTTTAAGGGGAGTAAGCAGATTATTTAAAGAATCACACTTGGTCCTTCCTACAATAAAGCAGCTTACAGTGAACTTTAGATCTCATAATCAAATTTTAGAGCTCGCAAATTCTGTTATTTCGCTGCTAGAAACACTGTTTCCACAGACTATTGACAAGATGGACAAAGAAAGAAGCTTAACTGATGGTCCTAAGCCAATTCTAATTGACAGTGGAAGTACAAGCATTTTACTGTCTGTCTTGCTAGGAGAGCAACAAATGCATTCTCAAGGTGAAGTCTTATTTGGTTGTGACCAAGTGATTATTGTGAGAAATCAAGAAACAAAAGAAAAATTGCATCCTCTTCTTCAGCATGCACTATGTTTGACTGTATATGAATCAAAAGGGCTAGAGTTTGAAGATGTCATTTTATATATTATACTTTAGAAATTTTCTATTCATTATTTTTCTATGAGCTAAACTTTCATTATTTTATTTGAGACAGAAAAAAAAAAATTTTAAGCACTTATACAACTTTTTTACTGATAGTGAAGTCTCAAGAGATAAATGGAAAATTTTATCTCAGATGGAAAAATCAGATGAAAGATCTGACTATAAAGTAAACAGCTTTGAGGAATTAGAAGAAGGAGTGCCAAAATTGAAATGCGGCACATATATTGATCAGAGTAAACTAGCTCTGCTATGCACAGAACTAAAACACCTATATGTAGCCATTACAAGGCCTAAGTCAAGACTTGTTATTTATGATGAAAACCCAGACGCAAGATTTTACATGCAAAAATTCTGGGAATATATGGGAGCTCTAAGCAAAGATGATATTATAATTGGAGAAAATTTGTCAGAATCCTGCACAGATATCACTAAAATTGCAAAGAAAACTGACTCAGAGTCGTGGAAAAACCAAGGGCTAAGAATGATGTCTCACAAATTTTACGATCAAGCTGCCAAGTGTTTTGCGGCATCTGGAGATAAATCACTTGAAATGAAAGCCATTGCATATTCTAATGCAAATAAGGCAACAGAACTGCTAACTGAGGCAGAAGCATTAGAAAACCCTATTCAAGGAGTTGGTGATAGAAAAGGAAGTAAAAAGAAAATCAAGGAAAATAAAGAAATCGCAAAAGATTTATTTGCCAAAGCTGCTGATATTTTTTCAAGGCTGGCATTAGAAGAAAACAATGAAAATGCGCAATTCCTTACACTCTCTATATAAATAAGATAATTTTTCCTATATAAATATTACTTTTTTTTTAAATAATTTTGTGGTGAAATTAAAAAGCAGGCTGCCAGATGTTATGCCTCTGCACAAAAAAATTTAAAAGCTGCACAGCTTTTTAAAGAATCTGGCCTTTTCGGCCAAGCAGCTGAAGCTTATTTATCTGCAGGCAAATATGAAACTGCAGCAGATATGTTTAATGAGAAAAAAGAGTACATAAGAGCAATACAATGCTATAGACATGGAAGAAAATGGGACAAGCTAGTCCACTGTATATATAAATCCAAAGATTTAATGACAAAAGAAGAAAGGCAAAAATATATTTATAAATACGTCCCTGTAGCCCTTGAAGATCTAATGCCAAAAATTCTCCCAGCTGTTGAAAAAGAAACTAAATTTATAAGCGAAATCATTGAAGAAGACAAAGACGAAATTGTTGAAGAAGAAAATGAAGAAATTGAAGAACCAAAAATAGAAGAATCTCCAAAAAATGTTATAGAAAGCCAGCAGTTAGTTATCAATGATAATGAAAATAAGCCACTAGGATTATCTGAAGACAGCCAATCACAAAGCTCATTTTATCTTCTTGACAAGTCAAGCAGCGACAGTTTCAGCCTTCTAGGCTCTGAATGCAATAATGAGCAGCTTAAAGAAGCTTTAGCAGACGTAGACCCTGAAGATGAATGGCTTCAAATTGAAACAGGATCAATCGTTGAATCCTTGTCGTCTGCTATCAATAAAGATGGAAGCTTACTGTCAGACTACTCAATTATAGAAAACACCCATGCAGCAGCCCTCAATCTAGGAGGAAAACTTATAAATACAAGGACTGACATTTATGTGGAAGACGAAGTCATGAGAAAAATAATTGAATATATAAGCATGTTTTCTGAAGATGTAGGAGCTTATTTGAAATCACTTAGGTCTGCAGAATCTTTAGTAAGCTCTCAGCAGCTCTCAGAAGAATGGCAGCTTGCATCATTAGTTGATTTAGATGAAATTAGTCCAGAATTGCTTGGGCTGCTTCTATCCTATGCTTATTTAGTTATAATTTTATAGTATTTAAAAAATTTATAGGATAAATTCAGTTAAATATGTATATAGACACCCTAGAAGAATTTGGACTCTATAAGATGTGCTTAGTCGTATGCAACCGTTATAACTTATCAGAAAGACTTGGGAGATATGTAATCTCAATAGGCTTTAAATTTTCAAATATATCGTCGATTTATCCTTTAGAGATTAAGAAGCCTGGATTTGATGTGGCACAAGCTCATAGAGCCGTTATTGCTTATACAGGAGTCCATAATGTCTTTGAGATGATAAACCCTGAATATCTTAATCTTAAGCAGAGTTTAGATAGAAAAAACATCGGAATTGAAGCATTTCAAGGACTTTTATTGATGGGGTACTGAAAGAAAACGATTTATATTATGGACCAAGAAAATTCATTAGCGGTTGCTTCAACTTTTGCAGATTTTAAGAACTTTAAGCACGTTTATTTAGCATTTGAGAAGTCCAGTGATGAAATTGTAGAGAAAATAAATCATGAAGACTTCTCGTGGTTGCCATTTGAAGTCCCAAAAACTAAAGCTGAAGTAAAAGCTGCCCAGATTGCATTAGATTCCGTGCTCTGGAACTTAAATGCATTATACCCTGTCACTTTAAACCATGCTTATATCCATTCAGAGCGGACTATTATTCCTAAATTCCCTGAATATTTTATCTACAACTCCCAGCTCTACAACTTTATATCTCACAAATCCCACAAAAAGCTATTCCAAAGCTACTTAAAAGACCTTTTTAAGGAAACCAAAGAAATTTTCAATAAAGGTTTCTTTAAATCAAATTTCAGTGACATTAAAGCATGGGACATTTTATCGTGCTACACACAGTTATTATACTTCAGAACCCACCCACAAGTGGAAATTGAATTCAAAAGCATGAGCTATTACAATTTTCAAGAATTTTTGAGGTCAGTAAGCATGATTGTTAATTTCTTACAATTTAGCTCCTCAGCTTTAGCAGCGAATCCTTACTTTGCGAAAATCGTTTTTGGGTTACTATCACCATTAGGAGTCCGACAGATTTCAGAGTCTACAGTTACAAGGGCTCTTCCTTATTTATCCCATGCTGTTGTTCATAAAGCTAGCAACTTATTAAATGATGGTTTTGGGGCAGATGAAACCTATGTAGCAGACGTTGAAGGCCAATTTTTACTATACCCAATCTCAGATTTACAGAAAAAACTAGCCAGGGAGTATGTAAATGGGGTAAACCATTTAGTCAATTTACGATACCAAGCTAAGAAAAACTCAATAAAGATCCTAGATCTCGCTAATTTGTATGGAGAAGCCTTTATGAGAGACTTCATTAACTCTCAGCTTACAAGTCGGCCTTATACTTTCAGTAAGGTGTCTACTGATACTTATTCGTTATCAAATGAAGAAAAAAAGTATATAGATAACAAAAAGGCGTTAAAGAAAATATTCGCAGGTGCAGAGGACGATAAACATATGCTGGAATTTATTAAAGCAAGATATAGAGGACATATAAAATGGTTGGAAAAAGAAATTGCTAATTATGAGAGATGGAGAAACAGGATCGGAGTAGAAGACAAAGATGAGCTGTTTACGAAAATGCTGGAAAATGCAAAATATGTGTTTTTTGATATACCAAAAATTACTGAAATTAGCAAGCATGCACTATTTACACAAGCCCAGGTGCTTATAAAGGTATCTGAAGTACTAGAAGACAGATTTAATATAGACCGATCACTTTTTAACGCTTATACACTCTGCAAGTTAAGCGGAAACTTGCTTTATTATCAAGAAATGCTGAAATCCAGATATCAGACTATCATAACTCCTAATGGACAAGGACCAAACATATCATATGACTATAAATATGCATTGAGCTATTTAGATATTGACATTTATAGCCAATACAACTGTCCTGATGAGATCGCTAAATCGATATGCTCTCTTTTTGAAGCTCAGTTCACCAACATAGACCTTACTCCCCCCAATCCTTGATCGAACGATTGACTGTAAAAATTCCTAAAAATTTGGGAAATTAACCCTCATCCTTGATCGAACGATTTTCATATCATGACAATTTTTATATATATAAAAATGTATTAGTTATTAAAAGCTTGGGAAGATGTGCATAATGAAGTTGTTTTCAGAGACTTTGAATCGACAAAAAGCTTCGGAATCAACTATTCGAAGTGATTTAGTCATCAACCTAGGCTTAAAAACTTAATAATCTAATAAAATAGAGATTCTTTAAAATTTTTAAAACAAAATTTAATTTAATAATAAATCAAAATATTAAAAATTGGTATTTTTATGAAATTAATTCGATTTTTGCTGTAAAAATAATTATTAAATACTCTTAACCCTCTTATTTAAAAGTAAATAAAAAAAATATATATATATATATTTTATTTTATATATAAAATGTTTTTCCCAAAAAATTTTTTTTTAGCCCCCATCCTTGATCGAACGATGGCGAGTCGTTCGATCAAGGATGGGGGGGGGAGTTAGCAGAAAAATAATGCTGATAGAAAGAGCAGTCTCAAACTGGCTTATTTCATTAAACACCAATTTATTAATCCCAAAACACCTATGCCAATATATTCAAAGTCCTATCAAAGATGATGAACTTCACCTTTCTGATATTTCAAGAGGAAATGCAAGAAATTTGGCCCCAGATTTAATGAGATGGACTGTTAAAATCCTAAAACAAGTCCTAGGGGAAAGCTCTAATATAGATAAAACAGAGAGCAGGAATTTTATCTATGATGCTTATGATCTCTTCGGGTTGCTCGCTACATGGGGAATTCCAAGAGAAATAATCGGTGAGATTCGAGGTGGAGATACTGATAGAGCATTTAAAACTGCCTCAAAGATTGTGCATTCTCCATCTTTTATCAGAAAAATTGACACTTTAAATACTATTGGTGAGCTGCAAGATTACCAAAGCGAGCAAAGAAAGAAAACTCAAAGAAAAGGGTATATAAATTTATTCCATAAATCAGTAAAAGACAGCAAAGTTTCTATAGAGGAACTTAATACAGCATGGTTCAATGAAGTAAGGCTATTAGCAGTCCATCATCAGTCTGCAGCTAAAATTAAAAAGCTTAGAATACCAAAATTCAAACGCAATAAAATCAGGAATATTTTAGAGCTTGTATTGTTTTCGTCGATTTCTGAAAAATTAAATGTAGCTTATGATAAACTTCCAGCTTCTATATTTAGATTATGGATGAGCTCAAGGAAATATTTGAGACTTTTACATATTACGAGCAAGTATCATACTGATTTATTGAATTGTTTATATAAGATGCCGTTAAAGAAAGCCTTAGATATGCACTTTTTATTAAGCCAATTCAATTTGATTTCGAATACTCTTAATAATTTGGAAACAAATATATCGATTCAGCCACCTGATTTCGCACAAATTATTTCGAATTCGGTTAAAGAGACAGAAGCAGCTACAAGCAGATTGCAGAGTTGGAAAATAATGGTGCTGCCAGAAATAAGAAATATAGAAAATAATTCGAAAAGGAAATGGAATATGAAATGGAAAACCAAGATTACTAGTCAAAGATCAGCGAGAAAATATCGTAGGTAAATGCAAACTGTTGCATAATTAATTAAATATTCCATATTAAACAAGGAAATAAAGCTATATTCTATTTTTTTATTTTCTAAAAATATTTCATTTAATTTTTAATTTTGTTTGATGACCTAATTTTTCTTTCTTTATTAATTATCAAATAGTCATTAAAAAATATGAAAAATAATTCTTCACAAAATTTCAAAGATAAATCTTGAAGCCAGTCTTTAAGATCCCCTAAAGCTAAAACTGAGGCTCCTTCTAAGATTTGTCCTAAAGAACTAGAGCATAAAAGACGCTTATTCCTTCATCCTTGATCAAATGATTCTATCAAAAATTTCCTGAAATTGGTAAATTAAATTCAGCATCGATCGAACCATTTTTATATTTAAAAATAAATCCATCCCACAGCCCGCAAAGACTTTAATTCCCGATCTTTAATTATATAATAATCAAAAAGCAGTTTTAATGTGATTTATAGCACTTGCTAAATATATTGCATACTTTATCTCTTCCTAACTCAAGCACAAAAATATCAAAATAAGTAAAATTTTTATATTAGCTGGTATATAATTTTTCTAAATCTCATCCTTAATTAGGCAATGGCGATCGGTTCGACCAAAATTAGAGGAGTTAGAGTTCTACTTGATTGAAAAAAATCGTAAAAGGGCTGCATCAAATTTAGATTTCAACAGTATAAGCTCCTTAACTTCTGCAAGGTGCACGCCAAAATATATCAATCAGGATTTCCGGAACATTAAAACCAGCCAAAATTCTCTTACTCCTAGAAGCTGCCACACAGAAAGAGACGACACCGATTTATTAAATGAAAAATCGAAAGAATATGAAACTGTATATGAAAAGCTAAAAATGTTTTACGAAGACATTATCGAAAGACAAGCTGCTGATCTAGCTGAAATAAAAGCAGAAAATTTCTATTTAACTAATAAATTGAAAGCAGCAGAATCAGATTTCAATAAATTTGATAAAGAATTGGCCAGCTCAGAGGTCAGCACACACTTAAAGTCTGATGAAGACAATCTAAACTTTTTCAGCAACGTAGCATATTATAAAACTAAAATAGAAGAAGCAGAAGAGAGGATGGAAAATCAAAGAAGCGAGTTTTTAGAAGTTATTACTAAATTAAAAGCAGAGAATTTAAGGCTCAAAAATAATGCCTAGTAAAGTTAATTGATTTAAGTATAAATAAATAAATTTGGAAAATGATTGAAGAATGCTTGAGCATGGTCATCTTGCTTTGTGGCTCTTTTGCTCCTTCTTTACTTTCATTTGTTTATATAGGGTTTACCATAGGAATTTGGCTTACTTTAATGTTTTTCTATCAGGTTCCAAGATTTTTATATCAAACTTTGACAGCTGTTAGCACTTTGTTTTTGCTATGGAAAATAGTTGTGCTTATATTATTTTACTTTAATCAATTTCCTGATTTTTTCTCAGATTATGATTGGCTTTTGAAATATTTAGGAATTCACCTGAGCAGAAATAAATTTGAATTTAAGTCATCTTTGACGTTTTTGCCTGATATTTGTACGTTTATTATTGGCATTATTGGAATCTTTTATGCAAAAAGATCAAGAATTAAGCCTTCTGAGCATAAACACGTAAAAAGAGCAAGGCTTTTTACGCTTTTTTTATTGCTTTGCTGCAATTGTGTAATAAACTTTTCAATAGTCAATTTATTTTATTTGTTTGTTATATTTTATTGGGCGATCTCATGGAGTTTAAGATGCTGAAATGGCTATAGAATTGGCTGTAGAATAGTTTGCTTTATAACCATACTTCAAGTATTATTTTCGGCTCTATATTATATGTTATGACAAGATTATGTATCAGAAAGTGACGTTCTAACATATGGGATTATTTTAAAATCAATGAGGGGCTTGCCAGACTATATAATTGTCTTTTTTATGCATGGATTTTCACTTTCAATTGGGAGAAAAATCCCCTTGTTAAGTTTTTTTGAAAATTATTATACATTTATTTCTAAATATAAAAATATACAGATTTAAAAAAAATTGTATTTTTTGAGTGCAAGCTCTTAAAAAGTTTAATAGAACTAGTTCGAGATTTCTTTATATAATTTTTACTTATAAATAAAAATAGAAAAATTTATATAAAACAATTTTTTTGCTCGCTTACAGAAGGATTAAATTGACGAGTTATGAAAGAACTCAAAGTATATATGAAAAAACTTAAAACTGATTCTATTGAAGATGAAAATCTTGAAGAAAGCAAATCTATCGAAGAAATCATTGTAATTAATACAGAAATGCCAAGAAAAGCTTTTTGGAAAAGCTCAAAAATACCTGAGTTTATCAGATATTTTTTTTCTGTTTCTGTAGTCTACTTTTTTGCTAGGGTTTTGATCTTTTCATGGATTATCCGCTATCGGAGCTTTGTAGGGATCTTGCTGATGCTGTGGCTTTTTTACTCGTTTTTAGATTATGATTTAAAAAGGATTTTGCAAGTGTCTAAATATTCTTTGTTTCCTATCCTTATTTTGAATTTCTTTGGGTTTTATATTATAAATTTATTCCAAATTGATGTATCAGAAGTATTTGGCATATGCCTATTAAAAATCCCGCCTTTGGAAATTGCTTTTCAGCTGCTAACCATATTATTATTTTTATACCTAAATAATATTCTACAGAGGAAAAAAAGAGATAAGCACTTGAAAGATAAAGATAAATCAGTTGTAGGACTTTTTGTAAGAATAATAGTTGAAAACGCTGATAAACTTTCCTTATGCGTTCTCTTTGTGGTTGGTCTCTCAGATATCAATTTGCTTCATACTGGATTTATGATTATCTGTTTAATATTTATGCTTAACACAAAGCTCGCAAAAAATCATTGGACATCTTTGGTAATTTACACAATGTTTTTACTATTATTTCGGTATATATGAATTCTTGCTTTTCCATTGAAATTTACAGATTATATTCCTAGAAACTATTTAAGGCTGGTAGGCATGCCAGCTAATCGTTCTGAATTAACACTCAAAAATTCAATAATTCCTTATGACTATCTTGTATGGATTCTTTTAGTTTCTGCGTCTATGCAGCTCAAAGCGTATCGGTCGACTACTTTTTCAATTCTTTTTCAACAATTTAACAGAGTCAATGTATCTGTGCAGCATCCTCTTTTAGTAAAAGTATTGGTGCTTATATATGAGTGATATTTTTTAACTGAAGTTTGGGTGCTTTACTCTGTAATAATGATCACCGTTATGGTATCTTCACTAAATTTGCTTAATTTTATTAGGCTGCTTATAGTTGCATCTTTTATGATTATTCACTTAAGAAGTCCTTTGGAGCTCAAGGTTGGAAAAAATTATTTTCTTGTAAGAAAAATATGATTTATATTAGAATATATCAGTGGCATAATACTGGTTATTAGATATTTGTATCAATTTTTGCCATTTTTTTATGATGTAAAGCAGTATCCTTTGTTTGGCTTAGAAGTGTTTAGTTCTAGCACTTTATATGGGAGCATGGTGTCTGATTGTATTCTGCTTATAGTGACTGTGCTTGGGGCAAAAGCGTTTAAAAAAGAAGATAATATAAATTATGGGAATTCAGATGGAGGGATTTTTGATGACATTGGACTTTTATCAGGCATAATTAAAGTGAATTTATCAAGAAAGCCTGAAGAAAAATCAATTAAATTTTTCAATTATTTCGAAGAATTTTTTCCATTTTTTATTTATTTGACTATCTCAATATTTTCAGTTTACTGGAGGCTATCTATCTCAATGAATATTTATTTGATATCAATTTGCATTTCATGCGCTTATCTTGGTTATTATTTTACAAGAGTATCTCTAAGCTTAGAAAGAAGAAATTTAGCAAAGGAACACAAAATTAGATCATATTGCTGAAACGTGTTATGGTATTTCACATTAATTTATGTGGTAATTTCATATGCGTGCTTTATGATAACAAGGCTGATTTTCCACGAAATTGCATATGATAATATAATATGGCTGTATTTTTTTTCTGGATTTACAAAAAAGAGTGATAATAGTTTTATAATTTCAGAAAATTATGGATATATTATTATTGCTATTCTGCTAATAATAGAGAGACATTGTTTGGAGTATATGATGAATAGGAGAATTCTGAATAAAGAAATCAGTGCTTTTGAAAAAATAAAAATATTGATAAAATTTTTGAACTTCATGAGAGTTTTTGCTGAATCTATGATACCTTTATTTATGCTTTTAATGGCATTTTCCAAGCTTACTTTTGTAGGATTGACTTATGTAGTATCAGTCTTTGTTTCAATCTATATAAAATCACCTTATTATAGGACACTATTTTTGTATATTGTTATAATTTTTATGTGTATCACACAATATACACTGATTTTGAGCAATATTCAAAAAGGTAATTCGCCTCATAAAATGCCTCATGTAACCTATAAGCCTTTTGATACTCCTTGATACAATAATATTGACTGAAGAACCAAAGATTATGCAACATTTTTGAATCTTGGGACCTCTATTTCTCAGTTACACAGCATTTTTTATGATTTATTGACGTTTTTATTTATTTTAGGCTATTATACATTTTTATCGACCAGAGAAAATATACATAAAATGACCAGTGACGAGCGTTCTGTCCTCCTTGAGGTGTTGTAGGTGTCCGATAGAGGTAGGACGACTTATCTGAATAAGCTGTTCTTAGTTTGTCCTGAATTGTTTAAGCGGTCGAGCTTTTCCTTTGGTTATTAGCCAGGGGAAATGAAAGACAGACTAGGCAGAAATCTCAAGGGCCAGAGTCTCTAAAAGGGTCTGTGAAAAGGGCGATATAGCCTAAACTAAGCAGGGTTGGGTAAACTGATTGCTTGGGTTATAAATGGAGGTTCTCGGCGATTTCCATATGGCTCGGACCATGATGGAGGGAAAATGTCTCTACTGAGAAGCCTGGTTTCGGCTCAGCTCATGTTAACTGTGGAACGCATGGCGTTCAGTAAGTGGTAGCTATAAAGATACATCTCTAGTCTAATCAACCAGAGAAAGCGAACTAGAAGGCTTTGAAGACAGTATAGAGCCTAAGCTAAGTCAGTCTCATTCTTCATCTGATACTAACATCACCCGAAAAACTAGAGGAAGAAAAATTTTTAAATTTGTTAAAAAAGCCATGTATAACATGTCCCACATCCTGATCCTTATTTTTGTACTAATATTTATCAGTCTCAGTTATGGAGTTGTTTCCAGTTTATATTGCCTATTTTGCCTTATTTTTATTTTTAAAGCAAATGAAGTTATAAGAAACGAAGAAAGCTGGAATTCCTATCTAAAATATTTAACTCACCCCCCCATCCTTGATCGAACGATTGACTGTAAAAAATTCCTAAAAATTGGGGAAATTAACCCCCATCCTTGATCGAACGATTTTCATATCATGACAATTTTTATATATATAAAAAAATGTATTAGTTATTAAAAGCTTGGGAAGATGTGCATAATGAAGTTGTTTTCAGAGACTTTGAATCGACACAAAGCTTCGGAATCAACTATTCGAAGTGATTTAGTCATCAACCTAGGCTTAAAACCTTAATAATCTAATAAAATACAGATTTTTTAAAATTTAAAAAAAAAAAAATTTAATTTAATAAGGAACAAATTAAAATTTATACAGTTTAAAGTAGTAACTAATAAATCAAAATATTAAAAATTGGTATTTTTATGAAATTAATTCAATTTTTTGCTGTAAAAATAATTATTAAATACTCTTAACCCTCTTATTTAAAAGTAAATAAAAAAAATATATATATATATTTTTTATTTTATATATAAATTTTTTTTTAACCCCATCCTTGATCGAACGATGGCGAGTCGTTCGATCAAGGATGGGGGGGAGTAAGGAATTATTTCTTAGTCTGCTTATTAGTTGATCTTACATTGCAAATGATATACCAAATCCCATCAGCGTATATTCATGATGATAAATTCAGAAATTGAATTCTTGCCTTTGGGATTTTTCGACTTTGAAGTGCAGGAGAAGATGATGAGCCTTCAGATTTATCTGAAAGAAGAAATTTAGTAAGGTTTAAAGTGTTTACGTTCGCGTTTTTATATATCATGTATCGGATGATGAAAAGCCAAGACTATCAAGACTTCATGAGGACGCAAAGGCAAAAAATCTATGTCCAGTCAAAAAGGATTGGCTTTGAAATGGCACAACATTTTAATAATAAGCGTATAAAGCATAATAAGCAGTACCAAGATAAAAGAAAAAGGTTTGAAAATGAAATTAGAAAACTTGATATGAATGTGAGCAAGTGGAATAAAAAATTTTATTTACTCTCCCCTCTGCAAGCGAGCGCTATTCGGAGGATTAATTTTTTTGCAAAAATCCCAATTTCAAAAACTGGAAACGATTTAATTAATTAATTTAATTTTAAAATTTATGTTTTAGAATACAAGCTGTTTAAAATTGGATAGAAATCATGAGAGATTTAATTATAATTATTATCAAAATATTTTTATGTGAAAATAAAAGATTTTCCACTGGCTTTGCTAGCTCGTAGAGGGAGAGTCAGCTGAGCAGGGCAGAGCTTCTATAGGAGGCATTAGAAGCAGATCAAGAATGACCTCAACAAAGCTTGCTACAAGCCCAGTTCAGCCTACTTATTTAGAAATCGGGACATCAGAAATAAAAAGCATCAAGGTAAAATTCCAAAACCTGCTCATTAGCTTGATTAACCCCATCCTTTACAAAAATTACGTTAAAAAAATAAAAACTCGAAAAAAGAAAAAAATTTATATCAAGCCTAAATGAAATAGAGAAGGAGAAGGTCCATTTGACAGAGAAAATGAAGAAGAGTGCCTAGACCCACATTTAGATGAAATAAAAGAAGAGGAAGAAGCCAAAGAAAGTGACATAGAAGAAGAGAAAGAAGGAGAAAAAACACCTGATGAGGTAAGCCCAAGAGTATGAGGAAGAACTAAAACGCTTCAATTTCTTGAAGATAAAAATGTAGAAGACTCTGATGAAGAAGTAAACTTCAGTGAAGATCAAGCCAAAAATAAATCAGAATATGACTTAAAGTGGAAGGATTATTTTATTTTATCTGCCTATGTTGTGGCCAGCAATACTCAAGCACTAGTTTATTTATTTTTCTTTGTGAACCATATAATTTATGCCAGCATGGAATCTGTGGCCCTGCCAATTTTTACAATTGGATATAGGGCCTTCCTATAGATGGCGCGCAATGCGCCATCACCGGGCCATGTCGGGAGAGGGTTCCACACGAGGAATGGCTCTACGTGTGGAACCCTCTTTTTGGCTCGTGGAAAGTAGTTTTCTCACAGGTCAAAAAGAGGGTTACACACGTAGAACCATTCCTCGTGTGGAACCCTCTCCCGACATGGCTCGGTGATGGCGTATTGCGCGCCATCTATAGGAAGGCCCTATATTCTATGCTGGAGTATCCAAGACCTCCTGCCAAATATTTCAGATTTATGCTGCTATATACAGAAACTGTCTTTTTTATAAAATTCAGCTTGCAACTAGATATATGAAACTATATATTCGCGAATGGGATCCTAGCTAATTATCACGATACTTTAAAAACTGGCTTTAATTTGACGAAAAATACTTATAGTGAAAATTTGTTTAATTATATTTTATGAGATGCCATGGTTATGCTTTTTCTTTTGATTCATGAATATTATTTACTAACTCCCTCTCCTTGAGATCAACCAGATTCTATAAAGAATTTTATATTAAAATGGTATAAAAATAATTTTTAATAAATAAAATTTGCAGATAATCAAAATGAAAAGTTTAATTTAAAAATTTATGCCTCCAAAAATGTGATTTCCCAATAATTTTGCTCTCTTATAGGGGAAGTAAGAGTTGGCTTATGAAACCAAACTGAAATAGGCCTAGAAACTCTTGAAACTGCTAAGTCTAGGTTTTCTATCGAAGATGATGATTCTTTTATTATCGCAGAAGATTCAGCTCCACGAATAATGTCAAGACTATCCATTATCAATCAAATTCCAAGGTCTCAAGAAGTTATAGGATTTTTCAAAAGACTTTTGCCTCATAATAAAGAAGAAAAGCCTGGCGAAGACCTTTATACCCCAACCATCATAATCCAGCTTGTCATTTTATTTTATCTTATATGTTTTTTTGGAAACATGGACGGAACCAATGCAAATATTTCAAAGGCATTTAAGTAAATCTCATATAGGGCTAATCAATTTCAAGGAAGAATGGTGGTTGCTTTGATTTTTCACGTTACACTTATATTATTGGAAAGATATTTGTATTTGGAAAGGACTTCACAAGCACTTAAACTAGCGCTTTATAAAGCAACTATGGTAGATGGCCAAGAGCAGCGATCTAATATGATTTCTCGATGGAATCGGCCACTTAAAGTAAAGCTGACACTCCACATTTTGCTATTATTAACAATTCACGCACTTGTTTTTTGGTATTTTCCTATTAACGGAACTCAATCTCTTATAGGGAAACCTACATGTACAGATCTATATGATAAAGAAAGGTGTAACAATTTTCAAATAAATGACGCATTGCAGTGGTTTTATGTACTTTATACTATTTAATTCCAATAAATCATACTTATAATAATTAGAAATTATATAAAATTCACTATAATACTATATATATGATTTATTTTATTACTGTTTCCTTGCAAATTCGATATGGAATGCCAAGCTTCAGAACTGGGTCATTTCCACTAATGAGAAGCACATCAAGACCAAGTAAAATCTTATTCCAAATATACCGTGGATTTCCATTCATGTTTGAGCTCCGCACCATTATTGATTGAGCCTTCACCCCTACAGCCCTAGACTTATTCCAATGGATAAAATTCGAAGAAATCCACGCCCAGCTATACATTACACAATGTATCCAAAAACGCTATGCAGAACATCCACGAGGCGAAAAAATGGATTTTTTATCAAAATTTGCTATAGGTGGCTGCGGCTTGTTTTTGATTTTAATAGTGATTTTAACCCCACTTATCTTGTTTAGCTCTTTAAATCCCATTATAGAACTGAATAAAGTGAAAACTATGGGCTTGGAGTTTGGGATTTTAGTTGAAGACAATAATTATTTTAAATTATATTTAGCATCAAGAGTAGTTGATATTCATGATGTTACAGATACAGAATGAAACCAAATGGGCTTGCAGGATTTAAAAGAAATTCAAGCCACTGATAAAGAGCTCACACAAGTAATTACAATTCCGACTACATCAGATTCAATATGAGATATCGCACCTCCAAGCAAGCTGCAGCTTTGCAATTCATTTGTAGATGGCTTAGGACCAAAAAACACAAAAATCAGTATGCAGCTCAGCTATACTTTTGTAAGAGATTTTCCAACAACTCAGCAGAGAACATATACATCTACACAAACAAGCCTTGACAAAGAAGAAATTACTTATCTGAATAGTATGATTTGTTTGAACCATAACCAAACTTTTATTTACCCTGATTTAAAGCGCCAAATTTTTAAACTGCCAAGCACTGGGACGAAAATTACCCCAGAAGTATTATTAGAAGAGCATCATACAAGTCAGCTGGTTCTTTCATTAATTCCTATAACAAATGAATTTTCTTATTGGGAAATGATTGATGCGGATGGGAAAAATTCAGGATTGTCATTTATTACGATATCGGAGTATTATTCTCCTGCCACTTTTGATTTTTCTGTGCTGACGTTTTATATTTCAGTAGTTTATGTGGCGGGGAGGCTGCTTAGAATGGCACTGTCAGGAGGTGCTCAAAATATTGTCTTAACTGATATACCAAACTCTGAGCCACTAATTAATATGTGCACTGCAGTCCATATTAGCAGAATGACTGGAGATTTGTTGAAGGAAGAAGAAATGTACTATGAATTGATTGATATTATGAGGTCGCCAGAAATCATTAAAATTTTGACAGGAAGGAGTTCGATAAAAGAAAAAATTGATTAAAAAATTGATTTTATTGATGTTTTAATAATTAATATGACAGAAGAATTGCTGATTTATAAGAATTTCTTATTGTGCTTCATAATTCTTAAGTTTGCCAAAGTTTGCATCAATATTTATAAAATCATTTCTGATTTAATCTATTTATTTATATTGTATAATATTCATAATATTAGAATAGCAGAATTGAGCTGTCAGGAAGTATTTTTAAAGTACTTTAGGGTAATAAATTTCTCATTTAATATAAATTTAACAATTCATAAGAAATTTGTCGTTATATATTAGTAACTATTTATAATAATTTATTAAAATATAGCCCAGGGTATTTTATGGATTTCCCTGGCTATAAAAAAGGCCTGTTAAGCTGGTGGATTTAGCTCGGGCAATATCAATTATCAAGCCAACTCCAATAGTTGGCAAGTAAAAGCATAAATGTCACTTTCCAACTGGAGGAGTTTCTTAGCAGCTTATATTGTCCGAGTCTTGACAGGGCCATTTTATATGCAGGGCGATCCAAAGAGCCCCTGAGCTATATAGCACATTTAGTTTTCTTTTTTTCTTGTGCTTTGTTATCTGCAGTTTTTGATCTATCTATTGGCTTTTGCTCATGCTTATCAAGCTCAGCTTTTCCGAATGTCTGTGCTCTATTATTGACAAGATTATGCTTTGTTTCTTCATTTTGCGGTGTTCTTCTCGGAGTTTTTTGCACAGCGTTAATTGCATTCCAATCAAACATATAATCGTATTCATATCCTTCTTGTAAAAATAAATCCCGAAATAGCCTTCTCAAATAGGCATAATCAGGAGCGTCTTCAAATTGCAAATTTCTGCAATAATTAATGTAAATTGAGAACTCTCTAGGTTTTTTTATTTATTTTTTATTTTTTTATTAAATATTTATTTTTTAAAAAAATAAAATATTTTACCTCTAGGATACCCTTCACATAATGTATCCACAGGAGTGCTCATTTTTGATTCCTTTATTTTTTGGTATTTTTCTTGTTTACCGTGAGCTGAAATTCCTTGTCATGGCAATGAGCCTCTGAGGAAATACATTAGAACGTATCCAATTGCTTCTAAATCGTCTCTTCTACTTTGCTCGATTCCTACATGAGCATTAATTGATGCATATCTTGCAGTGCCTGTTAAACTTTTGCCTTCAACATAAGGGATATGCTTAAGTGTCTTAAAGTCTCTGTACTTTTTAGCTAGACCAAAATCAATGATATGAACAATGCTGCTTCTTTTTCCAAGCCCAATTAGAAAATTATCAGGCTTTATATCTCTGTGGATAAAGCTTTTTGAATGAACATACTCCACACGACAAATCAATTGATCCGCTAACATAAGAACTGTTTTTAAGCTAAATCTTCTGCTGCAAAGGCTAAAAAGATCTTCTAAACTAGGACCTAGAAGATCCATCACCATTACATTAAAATTCCCTTCAACTCCATACCATAAAACACCTGGCAATCCAGGACCTCCTTGTAAGAGCTTTATAAGCTTGCTTTCATAAATCAATTGAGGGTGCCTTGTGTTAATGTTTTCTAGTTTGATCGCAACTTCTTCATTTGTTTGAATTTCAATTCCCAAGAAAATTTCCCCAAATGATCCACTTCCAATTTTTTTACCAATTCGATATCTTCCTCCTATCCTAATATCATGCATATTTATACATTGAAAGGCGTTTTGAGACTATTTTCCAAGTTATCGCATTAGTTATTTAAAATTTAGTTTGAGAGAAAAAGAGCAAAGTTTCCTGGAAGAAAAAATCAGCCATTAGCAAAAAAATATAAGGTCTTAAAAATTCGATAGAAAAAGTTGGCGAGAGTATTCTAAAAATGAATAAGGAGTAGTTGATAACTATGAAATATTAATATTTTTAAAAGCATAATAGATTCTACCCATGTCGGTTGAGATGGACAAAGTACTTATTGATGCTCTTAAACAAAAGAAATTAGAATTAAAAACTGCTTTAGAAGATCTCACTAGAAAAGAGTTCAAATATGCTGTGGGGAATTATCAAAACTCACTTCCTCAGCAAGGTCGTTGCATAATTTGCACATTGAAAATTCCTTGTTCTCATTATTCTTCAATCGAAGATATGCAAGAGCCAATGGTCTCCCTACCAAAGCATCCTTTAAATCATCTTTTGGAAGATATAAATATTGATCATATGAATTGCACACTCCCATCAATTAATAATCAGCCAAAAGATTTTACAGTCAGGTTTAAAGGGAATTCTTCTAGATTTTCTCAAACATCTTCGTCTCTAAGACGCAGCTCCCTCCCTGATAAAAATAAGCTTATAACTCTTGAAAAAATTGAAATTTATAAAGAAGAAAAAGCTAAGAAAAAGTTAGAAAAATTACAAAAAATCAAAGATAATGAAGAAATGAAAAAAATAGAGAATGAGCTCTCTGAGTTGAAAAGGCTTAAACAGCACAAAGCACAAAAAAATAAATTAGAGAAATATAAAGAAGTTGTGAAACAAAAGTATGAACAAGCGAAGATTGAGCAAGAGGAGCAAGCTGCATGAATAAGAAAAGAAGAAGAAAAAAGAAAAATATATATGGAAATTCAGAAAAAGAAAATTGCTGAGTTTCATGAAAAGAAAAAAATTCTAGATAGCATCAATAAACAAAGATTTGCTGACCTTCAAGAAGATATAATCCAAAGAGGAAGAATGAAGAAATAATTGTTGCGTTATCCTAAAAACAGAATTTTCTTTTAGAAATTCTGTAATAAATTAAAATAGTTACAAGTTAGTATCTTAAATGAACTGGTATGCACATTCCCCAGTAAAGTGGAGTGGCATGGAAACATATTCCCAATGCCCTTCTTATGACATGACAGCAGCTCAAGCTTTAAACAGTATCATAGATAACGTTAATAACTTGATTGCTATCCTTCGCGAGCCTGCTGATTCGACAACATTAAGATCAGGTAAACCCTATCTAGATCTTTCAAAATCCGAACATGACAAAATTTGCAAGCACGTTTCAGAAGCCTCAAAAGCTCTTGCTCTTTATACCAATTTTTTAAAAAAAATTTAAATATAATAAAACTATTTTAATTTTAATAAAAATTATTTTTCAAAGAATTAATAAAATTGCTACTGAATTTAATATAGCTTCTGCAGAATTAACCCCAATTATAAAGCCTGAAGACGAACTTAAAATTTCGACACCTCAAACTAACCATTTAGTGTCGTCTTTTAAAGAGATAAAAGAAGATATACAGCCACAAATCTATATGCTTAAAAAAGATCTCCCTCCTTTATTTAAGGAAGAAACAGAATTTGATCCCTCCATTGACAGTGAATGCATTGCAGTTGGCAAATTATTTGATTCCTTAGAAGATGCAGCTGAAGAATTCAATAAATACGCTTTAAAGTGCGGATTTAACATTTGCAAAGGAAACAGCAAAAAAGATGCATATCAAGAATACGCATGCTCCGCCAGAGGGAAGGTTCGGATGAGGAAAGTGACTGACCAAGATAAGAGAAGAAATAGAAAAAGTATCAAGAAAATGTGCAAATGCCACATAATTTTGAGGAAAAAATTAAATCAGTGAATGATTACAACGAGAAAACTTCAACACACTCATGAGTTATTGACACGTGAAGAAATCAGAAAAACTGCGAAAAATAGGTTTATTCCGGATCATATAAAGGAAAAAGCACTAGAAATGTATGAGAACGGAGAAGCGCCTGCTAAGATTCAATATACATTTGAGACTGAGCTAGGGGATAGAATAATCTACGATTAGGATTATATTAAGTACTTAAAGCGCCTAACAGAGCACATCAAAAGTACTTGAGGCTAGAAATAATGGTATCACAGGCTATTCTGACAAGAATGGGTGGGACCATCAAATTTTGCCACAGCCAACGCTAGTCCGCATCTCCTACTTAGCGGGTTTCTATCTCTCTGAGCTTAGCTCTTGCGCGTGTTTCACTTAAAATCTTCTTTCAAAGAGTGCTGAGCATGATACCTAACTTTCCAACTCTTAAGCAAGATTGTGAGGATGTGTACCCTCGCAGCTGCTTACCTATGCTGTTAGATAAGGATTCTCAGGAAAAATTGAACCTCATAAATAAGACCAGGAGAGAAAATTATTGAGCAAAATTTTTACATGCATAATCCTTTTATCTTTTATGCTAGGGGATAGATGCACTTGGACAATGAAAGATTTGTATAATATGCTGTATAGACATAAAGACTCATGTGAGGATGGTTCTTCTACTGTTTCAAGAGCGGAGAATTAATAATCTACTTACTCCTCCCCTCCATTAACGAACAATACCATTAATTTCGTAAAAACCGGAGCAAACAAAATTGTTTTAATATAAAACTTTTTATAAAAATATTTCAATATATAAATGATAAATTCTGCTTGCATTTTAAAAAATAAACTCCACAAATTAAAATCATTTTTGATAATTGCCAAATTTTGAAATAAAATTAATTGTAAAATCCTTAGCGAGCAAATTTTTTTTTTCGAGATGTAGGGGAGATTTAATTAAGAAATGTTTTAAAAAAGGTTATAGTGATATAAAAAATGCTCCCAGCGAGGCTCGAACTCGCGACCTTTGGCTCATAAGACCAATGCTCTAACCAACTGAGCTACGGGAGCTCTCATAAGAGTGCTTTTCTATCTTATATCAGATAATTGTGAATTTAATATATTTTTATCCTAAAAATTTTATTATATTTTATAGTTATCTGCATAAGTATACTTTCTACTTATCCTCAATAGATTTTCTTTTTCTTAAAATTTGGCTGATATCAGAGGAAACCAAATATTACTACGTAAATTAAAAACATTAAATAAATCGATTAAATAAATGGAAGAGAAACACTATTGAGTATTGCACATATTGTTTCCAGTCTGTTCCGCATGATAATCCGCGATCATTGTTCTTATTTCGTTGAGATCATTCCTAATTGTTTGGAAATCTCTATCCATTTGATATAAAGAAGGAATATCAGGTTCTTGAACTGTTAATAGTAACCTAATTGGGATTTCTTTTCCAGAAATAAACGCATTCAAAATTTCAAACAGACTGTGGACATCTTTGGATATCCTATTAATTTCTCTGCTAATTGTATAAGCTCCACTTCCTTTATCTTTTAAAGAGCTTTGTAATTCTTCTTTCATTCTATTGTTCTCTTGAATTATTACAGCTTGCATTTCTTCAAGCTCTTTAATTCTGTCTTCCATGCAAGGATCTATAGTCTTTTGAGCTAATTCTTGCTTCAAAAATTTATTTTCTTCTTTTAGCTCTGAAAGCATTGTTAGAAATTGAGGGTCAACATTATTCTCTTCTTTAGGTTCTGTTGAATTTTTAATGAATTTTTTAAGCTCGATTAGTTTTCTATCACCTTCTGCTACTAATTTTGAAAGCCTTCTTGTTTCACCATCAAGCTTCGTTTTAAAGTCCTTTTCTTGTGATTTCAATTGATCTTGAAGCCGCTTGATTTCTTCATTCCTTCTAATTATTTCTTTCTCCATCATTTCTGCATTAATTTCATTATTTTCTCCAAAATTAAAAGTGCCTATTTCTTTAAATCTCGCCCTTAGCCTATGATTAATTATGTATATTAAAATGGTGCAATTAGTCAAGCTCCCTTTTTGACGTCTGTAGCTTTAGGCTAATTTGAAATGAGTATATAATCGGGTTTTACTTAGCTTTGTGGCACGCAATGTCAGGCTGAGCTGATTGCATACTAGCATCCAGGTTAAGGTTTTACCCCATGGGGAGATGGTTAGCTGGCGTTGGAAAGGTGAAGTCCAGTAAGACTGGGAGATATCTCTTGGCCAATTGGACAAAACCCTAGCGCGATACTAGATATCCTGAACTCTGGGCTCCATCTCGGTCGGCAACCTGACGAAAAAATTATTTTTTCGAATTTCCTGAAGAAAACTCCTTTTGCGTAAGGGATGGTCTCTGACTCTCGAGTAGCAAGTGTAAGCCCTTATCAGTGAGGAGCAGCACAGTGGAACGCCGTGTCGGACTGGCAATGCAAGCGATGGAACGCTATGTGAAGGTAAGTAATGGCCTGCGAGCTTGTAGGGGACTTCTCATAAGTAATTTAAGTAAGCCTATGATTATCTTCTAGAATTCGTCGATTTTCATATTCTTTTTCTTTATATCTTTTTTTCATTGCTTCTAAGTCAATTTCTAATTTTCTTTGATTTTTCAGCTGATCATATATCTGTGCTTCCTTTATTTTTATTTCTGATTGAAGGTCAGCGATTTTTTTAACTCCCCCCTTTCATTTGGAACAAAAATCCTACTCCAATTTAAAGGTGGTTAACTCTTTTTAAAGCAATCACATCTATTTAAAATTTGTAAAATTGAAAAAAATATAAATTGAGAACAATAGTTTGAATTTTAATTTATTTTATAAAGAATTAATTCAAAAATTAATCGATTCAGTGTGAAAAATATATAAATAAACATTCTAATTACACTATTCATTAAATTAGGCTTATAAATATTAGTATTTTCAGCTATAAAAAATTTCCTATTGAAAAAAAAATTGCTCCAATTTAAAAGAGGGTGCTGAGTACCCAAAAAATGGAAATTTTACCTATATTTTGTTCCTATTTAAAAGGGGGAATAAGAAAATTTTCAGTGGCGAACTGAGACATAAATATTTTAATAAAATTTAATTTTATGTATTCAACAGGAAACCAAAGGAAGCAAAAAGAAGGCTCTTCACTAGGCTACTCTATTTGGCCATTTAGTCCATTGTAAAAATAATGTAGAGAAGAAGCTAAAAGAGGTGGGACAGCACCTGGCTTTCCAGAACGGAATTTTTATTACCAAAAAAAGCTTCCCGTGAGTTCTCACAAATTTGAAGTAAATTCTATGAACTCTCCAAGCCATCCAAAAAGTAATAAGGTTTCTATCCGGGGCTCAGGTTGAAATTCTTCAATATCAAGAGCTCCAGTGAAATTGCTTACAATGATGCAGGAAAATCCAAAAACTAGTGCTTTAAAACCTACAGAAGATTTTAAAAGGCCAGTAACTATTGGCTATCGAGCGTCAGAGGTAACAAAAATCAATGAAATGGCAAGACATCGCCCACCTTCAAGGCATAAAACTCCTCCAAAAGCAACTGGCCTTTATCTTCCTCCATCAAGCTGCACACCTCCTAATGAATTGGCAACGAAAGAAATGTTTGAGAAAACTTGGTCATATAAGCACCCAGCAGAGCAGCAAGAAAATAGTGAATTGCAATATAGCCCTAGAATGCATTAGGATGTGGGACTATTTTAATTTTTCAGATAATATATGATTTTAGGTATTTGTATAAATTAAGAATTTTTGGCTTTGAGATTTCTATTTAGACTTAAAGCCTTTCTGGGTCATACCATTTTAGAAGGTAAATTAATAGCTTTAGCTATCTATAAATGTGCCTACACACTATATTCTGACAGAAAAAATGCTGGATCCCCAGCATTTGAACACGCATGAGATGAAGGTGTAACAAGACCGAAGACTCAGAATGAAAAGACTAGAAGAATGAGGATTATTGCAGCGCAAGAAAAAGTACAGCCTCCTATGGGAAATGATATAATAAAAAAGCCACTTACAGATAAGCTTTATGATGTGCCTATTATTTTGAATAGGGATGAGAAGTATAATAGGAGGATTTTTAGTGCACATGTAATTGAAGCTAAATCTGGAAAGCAAAGGCCTCCATCTTATAAAGCTGTGAAAGCTGCTTTTCAGTCATCTTTAGATGGAGACTTTTTGAATTTATTTGAGCCAGCTGCGTAAAACATAATATGAAAAGAAAATATTTATTTATAATTAGGAGAAATAATTAATTTGATTGTGCTAAATTAATAGCAATATTTTAGGAGCTTTATGAATTGTAGCAATGGCATAATTTATTAGGCTAAATATAGAATCTGTTTATTAACTCTCTTCCTATGAGTGAGCAAAACGATTGGAAAATCCCGACCCTTCATAAGCGAGCAACAGTTTATATATATAAAAATATTCATATATAAGTGATAATATTATAATGAAATATTTAGTTAATTCAATTTTAAATAGCTTTCATTATAAAACTTAAACTTTAATAATTAAATTAATTTTTTCCTTTTTTTAACTGGGATTTTTTAAATAAAAAAATTTTATAATTAGTTAGTTAAAACGATTATGCTGGCCATAAGTGGATCTAGCAGCTAGCCTTTACTCATCTTGGCTCCAAAATGTCGCCCTTTTGAATTTCCGACTTGAACAACTTGTCCAGGGAATTAGCTCCCTAGTTTAGAGTGCTCCGATGATCCTAACAAGGTAAGGCCATATATGGTAGGCAAAAGCTAACTAGCCCACTTGGCAGGGACAGGAAAACCTTAGTGGGAGAAACAACACTTCCCTTTTCGGCAAGGCATCCTCAAGCCTAAAGTCCTACTTCAAAAAGAGACAGCGGCACTGTTTTCAGCTTTATCAGGATTGGTCCTACCTGCTCCATATGGAGTACTTCTCTTAGTCCACTTTCTGTCAATTTCATCATTTTATTTCTTGAAATTTATAGGGAATTCCCTATTATATAGCTCGGGTGCTCATTTTATGTGCACAAACTATATAAATTTTTTAACAAAAAGCTCCCCTTTGAATAAACAAAAAAAATATTGAATGATCGCAGAGATGGGAGTATGTGATTTTTTTAATTAAGTGATAAAATATGTTATAAATAGTTAAGGTTCTTTCTTACTCTATGACCCCTGTACACAGATTGTATAAAAACAACTGCACTTAAAATTGATTTATAAAGTTTCCTGATAAGAAACATTCTTATATAGCTTTGAATTTTTACAACTGAGCTTTTTAAGTTTTTATATGATTTTACAGCAATTAGCTTTCTTACATGTGATTGGATTTTCGTTACACGGGCTTTTTCTTTGGCAAATCTTGATAAAGGTGACCTTGGTGGAAATTGCTCTAATAGAGGCTTTAAATCAATTTTTCTTGGCCTAGGCGGAGTTTCAGGATTTCCTATAAGCTTAGCTGAATGATATGTAAAGGCTCCGTTTTTTTGTGTATCTAAATAATTTGACTGTAAATTTCCCTCTATTATTTTTTTCACATTTTCAAGATGCTTTTTAAAATCACATTTACTCAGATATAACTCTTTCTTTCTATACTGTATATCTTGTAAAAACTTTCCTCCGTCTTCATACTCTGCTTTTGTCAGAATTATTTTTGGGGCTTCTATTTTCAAAGTAGAAGGTTTCCTATTCAATTGTTTATTGCTTTTCTCTCTATTTTTTCTTACCCTGCCACTGGCAGGATCTAAACTATTTTCAAAATTTTTCTGTATTTTCGGTACGTATTTCGGTTTTTCTGCCGGAAAAAATTCATCAAAATCAAATTTATTTGGGCTTGCTCTATGGCTGCTCCATTTATTTAGACTTTGCCGTCTTCTGTACATAGTAAATTGATTTTTTTGTGAGTTCTTGTGAGATTTCACACTCAATGAGGTTGGAAGATTTCCGATTGCGTCTTCATCGTCAATGTTTTTCAGATATTTGCTATTTCTTCATCTCCTACTAAAAGAATTTTCATCTTCTATAGGAGAAATAGATCGATCAATCGACCTCACTCTGTTTGCCGTATTTCTCTTAGCTGTCATAACCCTGTCTAGATTTTTCTTCAAAGTGCTCGTTAAATGATGCTTAGCTCCCATATATTTCTGGGCAATTTCCAGCCCAAGCTTATAATATTCAATAGACTCAGTCCTAAAATTCATATGTTCATATTCAACAGCTGCATTAAAATACGACAGCACCAAATTAGCAATTAATTCTGGCCTTTTATCATATAATGGTATCAAAATCTCCATTGCTTGCTTTGCATGGCCAATCGCTGGCTCATGGTTTCCTTGACGTGATAAAATCGTGCACATATTTAGATGAGTCGAAGCGATATTCCCTGGGTCAACTGATTCTTTTATCCCGATTTCCAAGGATTTTCGAAAATAATACAAAGCCGCATTATAATTCTCAGTTTTCTTATAAAAGCAGCCTAAATTATTTCATGTGGTCCCTAACAATTGTTTGGAATTTTTGAAAGGGCATGTGATTAACGCATTTTCTGCTTTTTTCAATAAATCGTAGCACTTGTTAAGCTCTCCTTCTTTTAGGTAGACTATAGCAGCTTTATTTGCATCAATAGCAAGTTTTTCAGATTTTTCTCCAGACATTGACTATGAATTTTAAGTAGCTGTAAATTCCCCAATATATTAATATGATTATTCTTATAAAAATTGGGAATAATTATACTTTTTACAATAAAATGATATAATAAATAATGGGATATTGCATAATTTATATTAAAAAAGAGTGTAAAGCTTAAAATTAGCACAAATACACAATTTTTTAGATATAAAAATAACTTTTCTTCAGCTTAACACGTAATATAAAATGGAAAAGTTATAAATGAGACCATTACTAATATGTATCTTTTACGGCATCACAGCCACAATGATGAACTTGTCCAACAAAGTCATGATAAGTCTATACGAATTCCGCTGCACTTTTCTTATGCTTTTCGCTCAGTATTTTCTCTCTGTATTTGTGATTGAAGCTACAAGGTATTATGGGATTTACAAGTCACTTCCTAGGTTTCACATAGATCAGGCTTTTGAGACTATCCATGTATCTTTAGCATTTATAGGCAACATTGTGCTAGGACTAATTGGGATGGCCTATACAAATCTTCCTATGTATGTTGCGTTGAGAAAACTAGTTACAGCCATGATATACTCAATAGATATTTTTGTCTTACGTAAGCCTGTCGACCTATGAAGCACCTTAGGGGTCATTTTTATTACAGCTGGTGCTTTAATAGCAGGCTGTAATGACCTTACATTAAGTTTCATAGGACTATTTTTCGTTTTACTATCAGATGTGATGTGTGCTCTTCAATTACAGCTTATGAATAAATTAAAACAAAAAAATGATAAGCTAGATGCTTTATCACAATTTTATTATACAGCAGTTTTATCATTGCCAATCGTCATGGTTGGGGTTTATACACAGGAAGAATATGTCGATGTAGCCTTAAATCCGCTAACTAAGACGTGGAATTTTGTGTTTTGACTGTCAGCGTCTTCTTTTGTAGGGCTTTTGTGCAACTTTTCAATCACACTCTGCACAACTTATAACTCCCCAATGGCAACGACAATAACTGGGAATGTAAAAGACCTTTGCTCGATGTTTGTGGGACTAGTAGCGTTTGGAGATGTTGTTTTAAGTCCTTTATTTTTAATAGGATTATTGTGTAGTACGACAGGGGCAATGATATATTCGTTAGGAAAACTTAAAAGCTATAAAGATTCGTCTGTTTAAGTAATTGTGATATTTTAAAGAAATTTTTATAATTATCAAAAATTTAATTTTTTAGGAGGAATATTAGGCAAGAAAAGAATGCTTATAATAGTATTATGTGTTGACATAATATTAGAAAAAAGGCTATGATATTGGGTGTTTAATAATAGTTGGAAAGTAATTATGGAACACTCAAATATAAATCCTTTGGAGGAAATCAAGGTTGTTGAATACAAAGAGGAAGATCTAATTGATGAAACTGGAAATCAGCCAAATTATCCTTCAATGGAAAAAGTTGATGTTAAATATCCAATAGTACCAAATGTGCCAAGTCTCCCTGATGAAGATGAAGAAGAGGAACAAAAGTCAGATTTAAGTATAAAAATAGCAATTAATGAGCATACTCTCAGATCTGAGCTTCTGAAAAAGCATGTTTATTATAATATCCAAGGCCAAGACAAGTCAGGGACTTTTGAGAATTATAGGAGATTTAAAGATTTTAGAACTCTTAGGGAGCATTTATCTAACTCATGGCCAGGCTGCTATATACCCCCAGTTCCTCGCAAGCAGCACTTACTCATTTTAAGTAGATCTCCTAATTTTTTTCAAATTAAATTATTTTTTTTATAATTTTAATTAGTTTTTATTTTCAATTAATTCAGGAAGCTAGTATTTTATATTTAGGGAACTACCCAGCCACAATTTATAGAGCAGAGAAAAAAATTACTTAACTTATTTTTAAGCAAAATTTCATCAATGAGTTTTCTTTATGAATCCGACGAGTTTCAGCTCTTTATAAGAGGCCCTTCAGAATTCAATAAAAAAGTTAATGAGCTGAAAAAGCCTACTTACGACGAAATTTCCAGAAATTACCAAAGAATTTTTAAGAATTTTTCCTCATGTGATTATAATGAAAATTATGAAAGAATCATAGACGAAGCCAACGAATATTTCAAAGCTGGAAAATGTGTATTAGATAAATTTGAACAAATTTGCAAAGTAAACACTGATTATTTCCATTCTTTTGAAGCCTCACACGCACAGCTGTTTAATGGAATCAATGAAGTCAACACATTTTATTCACAAACTTATGGAAACCCTGATTTGCAGGTTAACCCAAGAGAAAAATTCAAAAATCCTTTTATTGTTCTGCTTGACTGGGCGAGATGGGAAATAATTGATATTGAAGCTATGATAGAAGCAGTCGGGTGGAAAAAAGAGCTCGAAAAAATCAAAGCAAAGACTGAAGCAAAACTTGAAAGTGACAGAATTCAGTACCAAAAATTGCAGTTAGGCAAAAAATCATTATCACAAATCCTTTCAACAAAATCAAAAGAAAAAAACATGAAAATTCTTCAGGATAATACCATAAATTTAGAAGCAGAAATTGAAGCTTTGGTAATCATTATTAAAATCGTCACGGCAAGGTTAGCATCGTTAGAGATTCCTACGTTTAAGCAGAGTAAATCAAAGAAATATGAGCTTATATTGAGATCATTTGCAAATACTTCGATTGCTGAGTTTGAGCAGATTATAATGAACACTAAAGAAATTGAAGACAAGCTTAATGAGAAATATAATTAAGATAAGCAAAAATAACTAAAGTCTGATATAATTTTTTTTTCTCAATTTAGAATAATTAAATTTTCCATATGCCCCCCATTAAATTTAATAAAAGTCTAAATTTATTATAAATTTATGATAGAAGAAATTGAAAGTCAAGCAGAAAATACCACAAGAAAAGAGACAGAAAATCAAATCATAGATTTGGAAAGCTTAATTTCAAAAAGTTATAATTGTCATCCTTCAGAATCATCTGAAATAGCAATTCCTGAAGTGAATAGTTTGAAACCAAGCGATCTTTGTAAAAAATGCAGAGGAGCTATGTACCCTAATAACAACTGTGATCAAATGATGCAGACAGATGATGATCACTCCTTAATCTCTTCAGAGATAGATCCAATTCATTCCGAAATCATAGATATTACATTATCAATCCCAAAATTCAACTTGCCAAATTCCAATATAGTTGATTTATCATTTTTTACGCCTCAAGCTATTCCTCCCACAATCATGGAAGCTCCTCCATGCTTTATTGTATCAGCTCCTCAGCCTATATCTCCTCCAACTATAGCAAATCCACCATGTTGTATTGTACCAATTCCTTCACACCCTATTCTATTAAACTCTACCAATCAATCCAATGAAAATTTATCCTTATCTATGTTACCCCCACAATTAAGTTACAATCCTAATCATTTCTCGAATTATTTTGATGTTGAATCTACACAAATCATCCCAACAAAGTATCCTAAACGACACATTCCTTCTAGAGGCGATATACATAACCCTGACTACTCCTTTATTCCTTGCTAAGCTCAATATATATAAATAACCCATTTATTTAGCTATTCTTTTAATAATTTTTTATAGAGTTTTTCGTTAAGAAATCCCAGAAAAATTGTTTTCTGAATAAATAACTCAGCGTGCATTGCTTCCATTTTTATATTCGCTTAAGCATTTTTCAACGTTTCAAATTAATAGAATATCATCTCTTGAGTAATTGAAGAAATGCAATATCAGTCCTTTGCTTCTTTGAGAATCTTTTTAAATAGAAAATTTTAAGTTGATGTTTTTTTAGCAGGCTTTGAAAAATACGCAGTTAATTTTTGTGGATTTATTCCTTCACTTTCGCATTGAAAATCTTAATTAAAGAATTTTGACTCATTTTTAAAGAAAATTTAGAATCATGCTCAAATCCCTTGGATGCTTTATCGGCAATTTGATCTTATCATCTATAGCTCAATTCACAGAAACCTTCTCATCTCAATCAGTTATATCTTTTTCCATTTTCTAGTAAATTCTCTATTAATTTATTTACAATCTACTTCTCACAATCTATCTCATAACCTGGTTAAAATTCTTCATTTTAATAATAATTATGAGTGCGGCACAAAAAATCGCTGAAATCGAAGCCGAAATCGCTCGAACACAAAAAAACAAAGCCACAGAAAACCATTTAGGCTTACTGAAAGCCAAGCTCGCCAGATTTCGCCGCGAACTCTTAGAATCCGCCACAAAAGGTAGCAAAGGCGCTGGTGAAGGCTTCGATGTCAGCAAATCAGGAGATGCACGTGTGGGGCTGGTTGGATTCCCATCAGTTGGGAAATCAACCCTTCTTAACAAACTTACAGAGACATATTCAGAAGTGGCAGCTTATGAATTTACTACCTTGACCTGTATCCCTGGTGTTATCCAACACTTAGGAGCCAGAATCCAATTATTAGATCTTCCTGGAATTATCGAAGGCGCCAAAGATGGCAAAGGAAGAGGTAAGCAAGTCATTGCTGTGGCCAAAACTTGTAACTTGATTTGCATAGTCCTAGATGGGACAAGGCCTCTTACAGATAAGCTGATTATTGAAAGGGAATTAGAGGGGTTCGGAATCAGGCTAAACAAGACTCCTCCAGATATCATTGTTAGGAAAAAAGACAAAGGAGGCATTTTTATCACAAGAACTGTGCCAACACCTAGATTGTCAGATGAGACAGTGAATTTGATATGTAAAGAATATAGGATGAACAGTGCTGATATCACTCTAAGGGCTCCATGCACTGCTGATGAGCTTATTGATGTTTTGGAAGGAAATAGAGCTTATATTCCTTGCCTATATGTCATTAATAAATGCGATGAACTTAGCTTGGAAGACTTAAATATTATGAATAGGCTTCCAAATTGTGCTTATGTGTCAGCTGATAAAGAGTGGAATTTATCAGGGATGATCGAAAGAATATGGGATATGCTGGACTTGCTTAGAATATATACAAAACCTAACTCCCCACATCTTTGATCGAATGACCCCCCGTCGTTCGATCAACGATGGGGGCTTAAAAATTTTTAGTATATAAAATAATATGTATTATTTTAATTGTTTTGTATATTTTTAAACGAGAGGGTTAGGATACTTTTAAATAAAAAATTTGTGCTAAATTAAAAATCTTATTTCCCCCTTTTCCGCTCTATAAGGTATTTCTCTCCCTTATTAATTATTTTTTAATATATATTATTCTAAACATTTTAGGCAAGGTTGATGACTAAAGCACTTCGGATGATTAGTTCCGTCAGACTATTAAGAAAGCACGTAAATTTATCAATAAAAAAACTATTAATTTTCATAATTATAGAAAATATTAACTAATCTATTGATTTATTGTTTATAAAAAAATTTGCAGTATATGAAAATCGTTCGATAAAGGATGGGGGAGTAAAGGAATTGCGCCAGATTATGATGCACCAGTAGTGCTGCCGAGAAGAAAATGTACAGTTGAAGATTTTTGCAATAGGATTCATAGGGGTATTATGAGCGAATTTAAGTACGCACTTGTATGGGGGATGTCTGCGAAGCATTATGCGCAGAAAGTTGGAAGAGAGCATGTGCTGATGGATGAAGATATCGTGCAGATTATTAAAAAGCTTTAATTAACAACTTTTTTAAGAAATTAACCATACTCATTTTAACAGAATTTTAATTTTATCAAAAAAACTATTGATTTTTTAAAAAAATCCAGTATAATGCATATTGATTTTATAAGAAAATAAAACTTATTATATGATTTTTTTCTTGAATTTTAAAAAATCTTTTATTCTCTAGGTTTTTGGCTACTTTATAAATAATAAAAATGGCAGATTAAAAAACCCATTTATCAAAATATTTTCGCCTAATATAAATGGAAATAATTAAAGAAGGATGACTGGAGACTCGATCTAAATATTTTCGGCGCTGGGAATGGAAGTGGGCAACCTTAAATTCCGCTTATCTTTCATTCTTTAGAGACTACACACCAAGCTCCAAGCTTCTAATGCAAATTCCGATCAATGAAATAGTTACTGTCTGCCCAGCTGACAAAAAAGACGGAAAATATTTCACTTTGGTCGTTCTTACACAAAAAACAAAGCTTACTCTATCTTTTGGGAACCTAAATGAAGTAATTTCATGGCAAAATTCCATAAAATCCTTTATAAATCTGCAAAACATCCCATTGAACAATCAAAATCTAGAGCAGAAAATTATGACTGATATGAAATTGATTAGTGCTGCAAATAAATTAAAACATGCACTAATTGATAGAGAAGAAGAATTACAAGAAATTTTAGACACAGAAAACGCTGAAAGATTTGAGGAACTGCAAAATAATGTTAAGGAAATTATTACCATAATTGAAAAAGAGCAGGAATTATATATGGCTTTTAAAGAAGCTGTTAATTCTGAGACAAACCCTCTGCTTAGACTTAAAAAAGCTTTTGAATTGAAGCGGCCGAGTTTGAAACTTCAAGAAATTGACGCTTCATTGAAATCAAGGGTCGAAGTGGCAATTCCTGATAAAATTGTGTCAAAATTGATAGAAAATAATATTGAGACTTCTCTGTTATTCAAAAATGAACACAAAATATCTAGATCACGAATGCCATGGGGAACTAAATGAAAATACAACGGCAAACGAGTTGACGCAATCAGTCTGAGGGTCTCTAAGCCAATTTTGTTAAGAGCTGTAGGGATTTGCAGCCCATATAAAGAAAAAGGCTGCAATTGTGTAAAGAGTTTCTGCATTTACGATGGGCCTGGGACAAATTGCCCTTTGATATACACACACCCTCAATCAGTTTATATGGAATACACAGGGAATTCAACGTTTAAAATCCCATTGAAAAGCCCTGTGATTTTGCAGGCTAACACAATTTACACATTATTTTTCCAAATTCAAGGTTCTCCTACTTTTCGCTGCAAAAATTGCATTCTGAGTGAGCAAGGAGAAGGCGATGTCGCAATCGAGTTCTTCAATTCTCAGATAACAGCTTATAAAAGCAACAAAACTGACACTGTGACAGGGACAATCGCAGATTTATATTACCAATTAATATAATTTAAACAAACCATTTAATTAATTTTTTGCAAAAATTCTTTAAATTAAATATTATAAAAAATTACCTTATTGTTTCGCTGTGCCATTTGATAAGAATGCAATCGTCAGAGCCATATAAATCACAGTAATCACAAGTCCTGCTAAAAATCCATAGAAAAAAATAATATTCCCTCTTCCTATACATTTACTAATCCAAGGGCAATGGTGGTCATATTCATCAATACAAACCCCACACTGATCACAATGTTCTGTTCTCTCAGCTCGAAATAGTCCACAGATTTTGCAAAACCTTCGACTTTTATTGCTTGGCTCTGAGTCTACTGATTCGTCTTCTAGAGGGTTAAAAAGAATTCCTGGGTTCAAAAATGAAGCAAGTAAGAAGCAAATGATTAAATAAGCAAATATCAGCTCTCCTGCATAAGCTATATAGTTAGAAGGAGCAATAATAATGATGAAAACCCAAATTAAAACAATCATTGCTATTAATAAGCCTAAAAAATATAATCCTAAATAGATTTTACAGTCTGGGCCTAAGCAAAGTCTTGGCATCCCTTTTCCGTTGAATAAAAAACCATTGATGTTTCCGATTCTTCCACATAATGCATTAGGTTGAAATGCCCCCGAATATTTGGGGAGACCTGATCTTATTTCCATTTTCATGAGAAAATTTTGCTGATATATTAATATTTACATTTTAATATAAGTTTTTGTAGTTTTTTCAAGACCAGTTAATCAGATTTTTTAATTTTGTCTTTTATTTAATATAATTATTGCTGGTGAAGAAAATGATGATTTATATCTTATCTCTTTTCTGACTGGTACGAGGTATATACCTTGAAGAAAATATTGGCGATCTCTATCTGGCTGAAGGCGAAACTTATGAGCTTAAGTTATCTGATTATTTTTTCGGGAATAATCTAACTTATCAGATCTCTGAAACAGACGGTAAAGAAGACGAAATTTCAATTAAAGGTGATATCAACTTTAAATTGCTTTCTTTTCTACCTTTTAAATTTCAAGCTAGCAATGATTCTTTCAATTTGGCAGACCAATCTTACAAGTCTTGGAATTTGAAAACTTCTTTAGTTTTCTGTAGTTTCTATCAAAATTATATTTATATATATCAAATTCCACATGGCGAAAGAAATATTACCTTAATCTATGCAGCAAAAATTCAAACTCAATTTCTTAGCCCAACTATAGAAAATGTTCAAAATATCAAAAGTGAAAATGAGCTGATTTTTCTCATATATATTCGGCAGCAAGAAAATATAGATAAAAGTTTAAAATGGAGGAATGATTTTTATATCTTAAAAGCCACAAATGCTTTAGAAATTGAAGAGCCTATCCTGCTCGAGTTAAGCCCTTTAACTTATGCTTCAAAAATTGTTATGAGCAATGGAGAAAGTTCTCTGGAAATTTCTCTTTATGCCGAATTTCTTAACGAAAATATTCCAAATACAATTTACTTTTATGATTTCACGTATCCTTATCACCCAATTAATTGTTTCAACATCACAAAGCACTTTGGCTTTAGTTCTCCAGATCAGCAATTATCAGTTAAAGGCATTTTGCACAAAATGATTCAGATATATGTTCTCGATGAAAATATTGGATTGTTGACGTATGCTAATATTTTTCCACGCAAATTAAGAGAAAACTACTTTGTTGACCTTAGATCTTATGGAGATTTAATTTCAATGTGATTTTTGAGTGGAAAATATATGCCAGTAGAGCTAATAAATATTCGGACCAGCCTAGGTAGTATTTTAATTCATATGGGAGGAGACGTAAAAAGATGAATTCCAAACAGAGAAAATAATGAAATAAAATATGAGACATTGTTTTCTCAATTATATGATGATTATTTTATGGCAAGCTATGTCCATAAAAACGAATCTATTTTATCGATTATAGATATAAACAGCCCACTGGAAACGCTAATAGATATAAACATAGATAATTTAATTGGGAATACTTATAATCCCAGAGGCATGTGAATGATTATAAATAATTTTCCTGATGATGAAATTTTTTACGTGAGAAGTGATATTGATGGGCTAAGACAGTTCTCTCTAAATTTTGAACCTTTTAAACTGAAAATTACAGGAAATTCAAATTTCAAAGCTGTAATAACAGCTAAAGAAAATGATTCTTCTATATCGAATTCTCTAAACATATTTTCAATCCCACTTGGATCTAAAAATATAATTCCCATTAGTAATTATAGGCCAGCAATAGTTGAGCCTATTTCTTTAATTTTTGATGCACACTGCAAAGAAATAATGTTTCCGCTTAGATCTTATTTTTCAGGTCCAAATTTAAGCTACACGATAGAACCTTCTAATTCTGCTCTATTTTCATATAATATCAGTATTCCAAATAAAGTTGAGCTGTATAAAAGAGTTACAGTTCCTAAAGAAACTTTATGAGTCGAGTACAAAGATGCTTCAATAATTCACTACTACAAAGACTATATAGAAATAACAAGAGAAGAAATTTGAAATATCACCAAGCCAATCAATATTGTCAGCACGGAGAAATATGCATGAATATATTGGAAAACTCAAGAGTCTATTCCTATGATATCATCTTATATGTTAAAGGATTATTCAGCTATAGAAACTTGGGAGTCTGAAACAGAATGCTCTATTTTTAAGCATGATATTAATTTCATGTTTTTTGTATGTTCTGATCGAAAGCGAATTGATATTTATTTAGCTTTAGACTACAGCTCTAAAAAATGAATTACTTTAGCAGGAGAAAACTTCAAAGAAGGATTTCAATGGAATTTAAATGAAATTTTTATTTATCCAAAATCTTTTCAAAAGTCTTTAATATATGGTTAGAAAAAATGGGACTGTAAATGTTTTTGATTATCCTTTGAATTATGTGAAAACCTTTCAATGCGAAAAAAATTTGAATGTATTGCATACCTCTTTAGCTAATAATTATCTTTATATACAGTTTGATGAAACACTACTTATTTACAATATCGATATGCCCGTTCATAATGCTTTATTTTTAGAGATGAAATTAGAAAAAAACAGCTACTTTTCAACTATAGATACTAGCAAAGCTAATTTATTTAATTTGGCTTTTGAATTTATGATATATTATCCTGCTTGTGAAGAAAAGTATTATGAAATGTATAGAATCTTTGATATTCAAAAGCAATCGGCTAAAGTATCAATTTCAGCTAAATCTCCTGAAAAATTGATTGATCAGATTTACCAAGAAGATTTTTCGGTTATAGCATATAATGAATACTCTAAGTCAAGTATTGATTTAAATCTGAATTTAATTGTAAATGGAGCTTTTATTTGATATAATGAAAACAGCCAGTTAAGCATTAAAAAAGAGATTGATTATAATGATCACTATGAAATCGATTTAAGTAATCTTTTTAATGGACAAGAGATTGAGATGGCTCTTAATGTAAATGATAGATATGTCGATAATCAAAATGGAATTCTAGCTCCAGCTTATGTAAACAAAAGGACTGAAATTACTGGGCATTATAATTCTTCTGGTATCTTGTGTCACTATATTCTGATATCTGGAGCTGATATCCAAGTCATTACATCAGATGGAGCTTTAATTCTTACGCAAATTACGAAAAATAATAGCGAAGGCATTTCTCTTAATCTATCAGAAATTTTTAATGCTGATAGCTTAAAATGTAGTTTGATTGACAATTTTGAGCATACTAAAAACTCTCATACGCTTATTGTGACAACTTGTGAGCATAAAGTTTATTCACTTAATGATACTGGCATATTTAGTATGAAAAAACTATTAATCTTATGGGAATTTGACTATAGTTTATTTGCAATAAAATCATATAAATCGCTCCCTTTAGGATATCGCCCAGTAAACTTAAAAACTCTTACTTTAGATAATACAAATTTCGAAATTTTGGTGTCAGAGTCTTACACAAATATAAATTTCGAAAAGAAAATATTAAGATTTCGAGGCTCATGAATATTGGGAGATATAAAGCTCCAACAAGTAGAAATAATCAGCTCTGCCTCCTTAAAATTACCTAGCTTTCGTTCATGCATTTTTGATGGAATTGCTGCGGATTCACAAACAGCTTATTGATATATACTAGACGTGGCATACGGCTTAAGAGTTTTAAAAGCACATGAAAATAATTTAGAAATTATCACAGGATTTCCTATAAAATCGTTAAAATTTTTTACCTCAATAGGAGTTTGTGGTAACTATTTATATATCGCTGATGAATCCCTCAAAAAATACTCAATAAAAAACTATTCTGAGTTAGCATTAATAGAGGAATACTATTTAAACCATATATTAACTTCATCATATTCAAGAGTAGCTTGCTCAGCAGATGGAAAATATGTAGCTTTATACTTATTTAATGGCATAGGTTTATCAGTTCGAATAATTGATACTTCAGCAGATCCTTCTTCTTCTCACGTGCACGATATTGAGATAAATAATGATGCTGTGCTTTCAGAAATAAATGAGGTGAAATTTATGAATTTAAACACTTTTTTTGTTGTTCGTAAACATAAATTTTTGGCTATTCAAATAAATCCTATTATGCTATACATTCCAAAATTAAATGAAAGTGAATATAATGAAATGATTGAAGAATGAGGAACAAATGCATTTGATGTTTTTTTGACAGCTAAAAATAAAGATAGCCAAGCCAATTCTACAGTCATAAGTTTTAGAAGGATGCCTATAGAAAAGAAGGAGAAAACTAATTCATTTAGATTAAAATAAAGAGTTATACTAATTGACCAAGAATAGCCCACTATGGAGCCATTCTTGGTCTGCCAGAAAGAATTTTGACAAAAAATCCTAATCTGCCATTACCACTGAGTGTTGGTGTTTCCAAATTTTTTGGGCAAGCCAAATGCAATAAAAAAAATTTTTCTTTTGCGATGATGCATTTGGCTTGTCAAAAAAATTCGGAAACACCAAAACTCAGTGGTAATGGCAGATTAGGATCTTTTCTGCCATTACCACTGAATTTTGATGTTGCCAAATTTTTTTGACAAGCCAAATGCATCATCGCAAAAGAACAATTTTTTTTATTGCATTTGGCTTGCCCAAAAAAATTTTTGGAAACACCAAAACTCAGTGGTAATGGCAGATTAGGATCTTTTGTCAAAATTTTTTTTGGCAGACCAAGAATGGCTCCTTAGTGGGCTATTCTTGGTCAATTAGTATATAAATCTTAAAAATAATTTTCTAATTTATTAGATTATTAATTAAATAATGCTGAGAGCGATATATGATAAAAATTTTATTAGGATTTTTTCGAAAAATCATTTTTGTTGATTTTATAATTTTAATGTGGAAAATTTATTGACTCCTTTGATCCTTGGCTTCATCATTGAATCTTTTGGAAAACTTTGGAGATATATATTTGACAAATGGAGAATTTGTAGAGTTCCCACTATCACGTTATTTTGAAGGAAATAATTTAACTTTCTCACTTTCTGGTTCAAACACATTAAATAAAAAACCAGAATTGAATAGCAAATTTGACTTGCAGCTTTTTGCTTTTATTCCGAATTTAAATCAAACATATAAAGCTCAAGATAAGCAATTTTTAATATGAAATCAAAACGGTGATGAGTTAATAGCAGATTTTTTCCAAAATGAAATAATTATTTACAAATTTTCATTTCTTTTCCAAAATTATACTGTGGTATACAATTATAAAATCGAAAATCAGTACAAGAACACATATATAGAGGACATTAGATTGATTACACCTTCATATATTTTTTACTATCTGCTAATACATGTCAGGCAGCAAGAGAATTTTGATGAAAAATTGATATGAAGGAATGATATTTATGTGCTTAACCTGGTAAATCTTATAAATGAATATCCATTATGAGTAAATATAAGTGAAATAACATATTCCTCAAAAATCATAATAGGCTCTGGATCTATAGCATATTGCTTGCCTATTTATTTTGAAATAGATAATGTCAATACTCTCAACATTTATAATATTGAAAAAATATATAACCCTATACTTTTACAAAAGATAAACAAATACAGACTTTTCCCAGACAAAAATATGAAGGTTTTAGACGTTTTAATGAGAGAAAATTGATTTTTTACCGTTATTGATGCCAACATAGGGATAATATTTTTTAAAAGATTATTATTGAAAGATGGGCTTTTCAGAGAGCAAGGATTTATCAGCCTAGAATATTTAAGCCCTTTTATTGTACCATGAATTGCCATTGAATCTAAAAATAAGTATATATATATAAACACAAAAGCAGGAATTTTTATTGTGGAAAGCCCAAGTCGAATAATTGAAATGATACCAAATATAGAAATTCATGGAAAATATTTGTCTTTTAGTTTATTTCAACAAACCAAAGAATACTATATTGCTCAGGCTTCATCAATCTTATCAATAATATCTGGCTCTACTTCAAAATATAGATTATCAGATATTGATTTAAAAGAAAAAATTGGAAAAGATTTTGAAATGCATGGAACAGTTGGTATTTTTGAAGATCAGATAACTAAGAATATATATTACGTAAGGAGAGATAAAGATGGAATAAGAATATTTCTTATGGTCATTGAAGAATGGACACTAACAATTTGGGGAGATTCAAACCATACTCTTAATATTGAAGCAACAGAGCTATCATCAAAGATGTCGTCATTATCATCTACTATGAATGTAATTTCTCTTCCTGAGAATTCAAAAGAGATTTATTATATTAATGAGTACAAGCCTAGCTCTGTAGTGCCTATAAATTTTTCTCTTTATGAATGAAGAAATAATAGATCAATTTATCTTTATCCAACCGATTATTTTTCAGGCCAAAATCTGAATTTTATTGTTAAAGAGCCATACGTAGACTATCTTACTATTGAAGCATATCCAATTGAAAAATTGCACTACCTTGAGACAAAAACTATTTCTAGCAGTGTTAGAGATGTCCAAATTGAAAATGGATGGGAAATTTATTTTTATGATGAGTCCATTTTTGGTCTAATTAGAAATTTTAGAGAATTTGCAATAAATATAAAAAATCCCAAGAAAGTTTTGACTTGCTATAACTATCAAATTATATATTTTGAGCCTTCGATAAAACAGTACAGCATTTTAGCTATAAATGGTGAATTTCTGACTTTTGATAGCTTTATATCAGATATAGAGTGCTTATTCTTCAAATCTTGAAATAATTTATTTCTATGTGCTAATTCCAGTCAAGTAAACTTATATTATTGCAACGAAATTCAAATAGTAAAGTTTGCCTCATTTGATGCCTCATTAATTCATGAAAAGCCATGAAATATTACAGATATCACATTTTTTAAATGACACTATATCTATATTCTTAATCAAGAAAATGAAATTATTATAATATCGATTACAGATATATATATAGTTGATGCAACTTATTATATTAGTCTTGTAAAATTACTAAAACATTTTCAAAAAATTGTTGCTTCAGAAACTTTCATATATTTAATCAACCAAGAATCTGTTGATATTTATACATATCCAACAACTCTTAATAAAACTTTAAAAACTTTTATTACAGGAAATGTCATCCAAGCATGTGCAACTTATAATTTACTTTATCTTCATATTGCTGATTATTTACTGATATATGATTTCTCTGAACCTACCTTAAATTCACTATTTTTTATTAAAAAACTTGGAAAATCAGATGTCATTTCTATTGATATACAATATTGGCCAAATACAATATGCATAGCCTATGAACAAGAGGGCCAAAAAATGTATGATATGTACCAAGTGGCATGTGAAAACAATTCTGAAAACAATTTATATAAATGCAAAACTGTTGGCAAAGTTATGATTACAGCAGTCCAACCGCACTTATTAACTGACGCCCCCCCCCTTTTAAATTGGAACAAAATATAGGTAAAATTCCACTTTTTTTGTGAGAGCGAGTATTCGATATTGATATCAATAATTGCATATAATGAATTTGATATTAAAACAATTGACGTACCATTGAATTTAAATTCCAATGGATTTTATCCTCGCTTTAAATCTACATATTGGCAAATACCGAATGAAATAAGCTATGATGAAACCTTTGAGGTTGACTTAAGTCAAGTATTTTTTGGGCAAAATTTGAATTTTTCTTTAAATATAAATGGACTCGACGAAAAAAATCAAAATAAAATGATAAGTCCAGCTGAAATAGCAGAGAGAGTAGAAAAAATTAGTGAATATCATACAAAAGATGGACTCATTATCTATGACTATATGATGATCCCGAATACAAACTTTTCAATAATTTTATCAGATGAAGGGTTTACGGTGATAAATTCAGCGAACTATGTAGCCTCATGAAATATAAAAATTGATAAATATACTAATTTCAAATATTTAATAAAGAACATTTTTTGTTTTTTCAAATAAGCGTAAAATAGAGAATTATTAAAGTGAATAAAACGAAAACAAAGTCAATCTGGTAGGATTTTATAAAAATATTTTAAGGACAATACTCTTTAATAAAATGTTTAAAAAACACAATTAAGATTAATTATAAAAAAACGTCAGTTTGTTCTTTAACATGTATGAAGAAATTAAGTATCAAAATCCCATTTGCAAGCATATGGATAATTTTAAATACATGAAAAATGGGCTATTACTTATTTCGGTATCATGCATTTACACTTTTGAAGAAGAAATACCCCAATCTGGCTGGATATCCATCAACAAATATTCACTTTACTCATTAATAATTTTTGAATTAGACACAATAAATTTCAAAATTATTAGACTAAAAGAAATGCCTATTGACTATGATATTTTTCACCTTAAACTTGCAACAATTAACGACTCATTATTTGAAATAATGACTCTATTTAAAAATGATTATGATTCAATAAGTATCGAAAATAAAAACTTAATAAGAGTAAGAGGAATTTGGGACATAACTGAATTGACTTTAACTCTTACTGAGAAAATTAATTTTTTTACTTTATCTCTGGTATCATTTTCTCCGTATTTCATGGACTTTAAGGTAAAAAATGACGATCAAGTATATTGATATTTTGGAGAGCATCCCTCAAATATTAAAATAGTTGAGACTAGCCAAAGAAACTCATCCAAAGTCATAAAAAATATAAAAATTGAAAATGAATTAAACTACATTGGCACGCTAGGTATATGTGGAGATTTTCTTTTTACTATTGATGAGGAGAGCAACTTGAAAAAATATTTAATCAGTAATTTCACTGAACTAAATCTCGAGGCTTTATATAATTCTTATAGCTCTGTTTTTATTGAATTTATTACTCAAGTAAGTGAGCTTATATGCTCTGATAACCTACAGTACGTTGTCTCATTTTTAAAGATGCTCAGCGATAGCAACTATATAAGGGTTTGAGATTTAAATACAAGCAAAGTCTCCTCAATAGTCTCAAATGTTTATCTATTATTTTTGAATCAAATTAAGCATTTATATTAATGCTGCTTATGGTAATTTTCATAGAAAATAAAAAAATTTATAATTAATAATTTTTTATATGTTTTATATAGCCTAGTATATCAAATATTCATTCAATGAACTATCTTGGTAGAGTTATATTTATTAATGCAAATACATTTATCGCACTTGAAAGTGTTAATGACAATTTCAAAACTTTTCGGATCAACCCAAGTGTACTTACTATTAAAAAGTTGAGTAAAAATCAATATTATTCTATGATTAATGAATGAGGAAGTAATGCTTTTGATATTTTTGTCACAGTAAATAACGAAAATGGATCAATACGTTCAACTCTTTTAAAGATAAAAAGACAAGAGCCAGTAGAAGAAGGTGATTATGCATGATGAATTTTTACTTTTGCGGTACTTGCAATCTTATTAATTGCAATAGCAGTTATTTGTTTTTACAAAAAATTGAAAAAAGATAAACAATCAAAACAACCTATCACAAAATCAATTCTTATGAAAGAAATGAAAGTTCATGACTAACACAAAAATTTAATATCTAATAATAGTTTACTTATTCTATTCTCAGCTTGAACTTCTTTAAAATTTCATTGGGATCAGCATTTTCCATATTTTCTTCATACTGAGGTAGAAAAGCCACATTTTCACACATTTGCTTGATATGCTGTTTATGCATACAGAACTCTCCTCTCAATACATTTGTGCCGTAAAACCAAATTTTATTGGAAACAGGCCATAAAGCAATTCTTTTCTTCACTAAATAAAGAGGAACCCAGATATTATTAACAAACTCATTTTCTTTTACTTCAAAACCCCCCTTCTCAAACAGTAATTTATATGAACTAAGTAAGCCTCTATTGAATCCAAAATAGCTTAAAAAGTCAAAACAATGTTGCAAATCAAGGTCTGGCTTTAAATATGAGCAGTTTAAGGCTATATAATTTTCAACTAAAATATGCTTAAATGTGAGCTCTTTTATTTCAAATTCTTTAGAATTTAGGTAATGCCTTTCGATTTCTGATTCAAGTGATTTAAAGTTCATAATCCCATATAATCATTTTATCGTGGAAATATTGTTTCTAAAGGTAATCATTTTCATTGTTGCTACATCAATTAAATTTTTAGCGATGGCATTTCCATTGTCGTTATGCCTCATCATTGGCTTTATATCTGCTAGACATGAAAGATGTTCGGGCCCATAAAATGGATCGTTATATCTCATGAGCTTTCCGTTAAGCAAGATATCAAAAATCGTCTTATTATAAAATCCGCTTTGAACTAATTTATTTGTAAAGGTAGGGTTTCAGTTTACTATTTTGTCTCTCTCTGGACCTGATATTAAGTGTTCAGAAATGCCATTTCAGTTTAATTTGTCAGATCAATCATATTTTATTAACTCAAATACACATTAACATTAGCATTATTACAGGGAGGCGTCTGCCATATTGGTTACGCAGTCACCAAGGACCTACCCACACGGGTGGTTCATGCGCTTTGCGCCGTCTTCTTCTTCGCCTTGCTTGAATTGGGACAATGTTTCGCCGGGCAAGTGTTTCGGCTCTGACACTGCCTTTCTTCTCCTTCAGCGCCTGATGCCATGGCACCTCTGAAGTGTGGGATTCTACTTCGAACGTCTCCTCCTTCCCTTTCGGGCCCAGTGTTGAGTGGGCGGACTATGGACTTCTGCGGCTGCTGCATGGGTCACGAGGTTGGCCATTCAAAAATTACAAAAAATGGAATTTCTGTTCGACCTCTCGGCAAAAAGGAAAAGTCTAGATCCTGGGACGTAACGCCCGGCTTCACGCTAGGCAGTTGCCCGATTGGTCTGGGTATTACCTGCAGACTTAGCTGAGCTTGCCCTTTCCAAATCCAAACCCTCCTTTCCCTCGAGGTAAAAACCCAACCCTCAAATTGGGCTGAGCTAGGCTCTGCACATTACCAGAATTGCTTACCTAGCATTGCTGTCTATTTCTGGATTGGTAAAAAACCTTGCCGGATATAATTAAAATATGTGTCGAGGCTGCATGGCCGGGAGGCCATGCCCAGTCGAAGACGCCATATTTTAATTATATTAACTCAAATACACAATATTAAAAATTTCAGTTAGGGATAGGTCCTAGCACCTGTTCAAATAGGATGGACCTATAATCCGAGTTTAGTGAGAGAAGTCAAAGCTTCTTGAGAGTCTCGGCTTGTAGAGAAGAAGTCAATGATGAGGTTGACATTAACTAAAGAAGTCTGGAAGGGCTTATTAACTTTAACGGTTCGACGGTTAGGCGGCTCACCTACTGTGGTTGAGAGCTGTTGATGTAGCTGGACCTCAAGTAAGAAGACTTAAGGAACCGTAGTGCTAGAGTAATTTAATAAACTTAAACTCAAATAAGTTTACTACTTCATTCATATCCAGTTTTCTTATATTTTTATTCACAGCATCTACAAATAAATTAACTAAACAGTCAAATAGTTTTTTATATTCTTGCTTACGATTTTCTAAAGTCTGTAGGGCCCTATTAAAACAAAATAGGTCGAAATTTGAGTAATTAAACTGTCTTTTATTTATTTCATTGATTAATATTTCATCAATAAATTCTTTTCTGGGGTTTGCAAGTATTTCTTTAATGGCATTTATGAGCTCTTGAAATTGCGTACCTTTCAGCAGAGACTCTTTTAGCAATTGCTCGACCCTTTCTTGGTTTGAAGCTGCTTGAATTACTGGATATATATAATGTTTTTGTTTAAAATTTATGTCAGTATTTGAAATAATTTTATTGGCAAGGTTCTCATTTAATTTTTGTGCTTGTGCCATTAAATACAAAAATCGTCAAATCGCTTCATTTTTAAATTCACTGGAATTTAATTGGTATATTTCAGTAGAGCATTTTTCAAATAACTCAGACATCAATGATAAGTCTCCTTCCAGCGAAATTTTATGCGAAAGTTCAGGTATTAAAATTAAATTGATTTTGCTTATAAATTCTTTTGCAGGATATTTATTTAAAATAATCAAAAAATCATTAAATTCCTTTGTAGTTGCAATATGTATTTTGCTAGCAGCACTTTTTAATAATCCTGGCGATTGAAGTTCTGGTATAGATAGTATTTCATTGATTTTTGCAAATGATTTATTGAGACACTCAATTGCATGGTATATTTGATTTTGAGTAAAGAGTGGGTCATATTTTTTTTTGAAATGTTGCCATTCTTCAGAATCTGGGCCGAGAACATTTATCGCACATAATAAGGTTTTATCATCAGGATCACCAATTATTTGTGAAATAAGGGAGCTCTGCATCATTTTATTGAGAGGTTTTAAAAATTGTATGGTAGCTGTGGACAGCTCAAAATCAAAGCATCTATTATATGCTGTAATAAATTGTTTAATCCAAAAATCGTTTGAGCATTGCATAGATATTTGATTTAGAATATCGTCTGCATATTTTTTGAGAATTTTATTTTCGTAATTTTTTGTAGTTAAAATGTTGTCCAATATCATAATTTTTTCAAAAAAATTATCAGGAATGCTGCTGCTTGAAAGCAAAGGAAGATCGAAAAGTGATATTAAAGAATCCATCGAATAGATTTTCCCATCACTTTGGAATGTTAGAAGTGATGAATATTTAATTACTTTGAAAAAGTTTTGAGGTCGCCTAAACTGAATATTTTTTAAATGACTTTTTAATAAAAGAGCATTTTCATAGGAGAGTAATTCGGCTTTAGCACTTTCTAAAATTTGTAAATAATCATTTTCTCCTATATGCTCTGCTTTGAGTGCTAAATCAAGTGCAAGCTTGCAAGATTCCATGTATGGGCTAATCCTATCTTTTTGCAGTTTTATTTTCAGAACTTTAATATGAAAGCTAATGTCTAAATTTTCATTTGCCTCTAAAATTTTTAAAATTTCTGACCAGACTGAATAAGTTAGTTTTATTGGTACAAGCTCTATCCTGCTCAAAATAGATGCAGCTGAAAGCAGCTGATAATCATTCCAATATCTCATAGATGGCTCCAAAATTCTTAAAAAATCATTTATCAATATTTTGTTATAAGCATTTTTATATGCAAAAGTCAAAGCCTCAAGAATCCTCAGCGCAGAATCACAATCAATTTCAGAAATTTTGAACTTTGATAATCTTTCTAGTAGCACATCTAAAACATACTTGTATGTGGTAAAGTTTCTATTCCCATATCCCGAAATAATTTCAGAAATTTGTTTTACAGATAAATCATTAGGTGACATAATAACTATCTTTTCTATTTCATCATTTAACATCTTGATGTTGACTTTTATGTCATTTAAGCTTTTAAATAAAGAAATCAATTGAGAGGCAGTAAATGATGAAAACAGTTCATTTGTTTGATCTATGAGATTTTTTTTGTCAATATCTTTATTTAGTCGGAATAACTCTGTTTCTCAATGTTTAGAAAGAAACTGGGTAAACTCTAATAGACTTAAAGGGTCTAGACTTTTGATGTTTTGTTTAATTTGATCGAAGACTTTATAGATCGCTTTTGGGTTTCCTTCAAGAGATTTGTTTGCATATTTCTCATCTAAAACAGATAGGCCATACACTTTTTGATATAAATTAAGATTTTCATGGGCAAGAATGTCGCTTCCCATTTCTAAGTTTCTACTTTTCATTAGTTTTGCATCGATTTCACTCCTCATTTGTTTGATGATTTCTTTAGAGTAAGTCTTTATAGTGGATTGAAGCCTCAGGAGTCGGCTTAATCTCAGCATATAAAGAAATTATTATGGTAAAAAGAGAAATATGGATATAAATTCTTTTAGCATAAGATTAATTATGATTTTTGTGTATAAATATTTCACAATGCAAATAAACCTAGATTTTTAAAAAAAATCATAAAATTATTTGATGACTTTTTTTAACATCTTTTTATGAATTTATTAAATTCAAATAATGTCCGGGATTCACAGCAAAAGCGTTATGCTCACTCAAAATCAGTCAATAAATACATCAAAGCTTTCTTCTCAGCACCGCGATCTTTCTCAGCCCCGCGCCTACCGATGCGATCACAATATTCTTGAGAATTCCATTCAAAGTGTAAAATCATTCGATTCCAAGCAGCCAGTTTCTACTAGCAGGCGATCATGCACACCTAATTTTGGTATCGAACAAAGTGAAAGATATACCTCAAGACAAGCATTGAACCATCAGTTTGAGCCTCTCTCGTCTTCTCGACAAGCGACTCGAAATATGTCCGGGCTTCTTGGCTACCCAGAAAGCAACGAAGAACTTCAAACTTTTGGGAACTCGAAAAAGCCCAGAATCCCTAAGCTTCCACTTGACTCACTTCTTGAAGAAGATTCAGAACAGGCAAGTCTCAATCTTTCAGCTATTGGCTGTGAAATTTCTTCAAAAAATCAGCAGCCTGTAACAATTGCGGGAGAAGACGAAAGTTTTCAGCTAATTAAAATGCTAGAACAGGAAGCAGAAAAAGAGTGGGAAAATAATACATTGCAGCTTTCCCCAGTTGCAAACCAAAAAACATATTCAAGACTTGATGAAAGCTCTATAATTGGCCCCCAATGCAAAGTATTAATTGATAAACCTTTGCAATGCTCGACAGAAAACAAAGAAAATAATATACCAAGAAATATAAATTCTGAAGTAAAAGCATTATTAAGAAAACAAGCCCAGAAATATGATAAAGCTTTAATCATACTGCAAACACAGTTTATATCGTATAAAGAAAATGCGGAAAAACAAATTTTTATGCTGCAGCAAGAAATGGCTTCATTGAAGACCCAGGTAAACCCAATGGAAAACTTCAAAGAAAAATTAATTGACGTGTTTAAAACACAATTAAATACTGTGAAAAATGCATATGCAGAAAAATTCGAAAATTGCATGAAAGATGTGGAAGCAAAATTAGTTGAAGGCGAGCAGCATAAGAAGTATTCTCAAAAAAAAAGATGGGGATTGTGCATATTTTTGCTTAAAAAATGATTTTAATGATAAATTAAATATGGGTTAATTTCGTAATAAATTTTACCAAAAAAGATGGAAGAATTAAGAAAAGAATATGACTTAAAATTGCAAATAAACGAACAGTCAATTTTCACGCTTAAGAAACAAAATGAGGATTTAAAAGACCAATTAGGGAAAATCGGAGGTGGGGAAAAGGATTATGAAGAACTTTTAAATGAAAATAAAAAGCTTACTCCCCCCCCCCCTCCGTGAGCGAACAAAAAAATTTTGTTCACTCACGGAGGGGGGTTAATTTTTTTTTTTTAAAAAAATTTTATATATAAATTTTATAAAAAATATTTTTTTCGAAATTTAAAAAAAAATCCTAATTTGCAAAAATTGGGAAGCAAATACTAATTTAATTTGCAAAATTTATGTTTTAAAACGCAATTTGTTTAAAATTAAACAGAATTAGCTCTAGATTTCATTATACTAATTATCACTTATATAGCAAAATTTTTTTCTATTAAAATTTTTTCTATTAAAAATATTTTTGTTCACTCACGGAGGGTGGGTTTTTTTGGTCAAAAAATGGCGATTTTTTCTAATGGTTTTGTTCGCTCACGGAGGGGGGGGGGGGAGTTAGAGAAGAACTTACAGGGCTATGGAAAGACTATGGTAGAAGAAGATTGAAATATCAAGTATAATTTTGACGATAAAATTATTGATATAAATTATTAATATTGATAGAATTAAAATCTATTTACCCTCTAAATTATATTTCTACTAATTCTCATCTTATTATAAGAAGGAATTACCCTCTTTTAATGGCGTATTCTGATTATCAAATCTGTGATATTTTAAAAAGGTCCTATTAAGCTGCGAGCTATATAAAAATTAAAGATAATCTAAAATGCGAATGTTTTGTCATATGCTCAAGCCATCAAGAACAGAATTACTAAAATAAATAACCTGATATAATTATCATTATTTATAATATCTTAATTCAGTCGGTCTAAAATTAAAAAATAATTCTTCAATAATGGCAATGAAATCTCTAAAAATGCAAATTGAGTCTCAATCTTTCCAAAAAAATAAAAAAACATAAATTTAAGAATTTTCTTTTCAAGAAAATAAATTGTGACTTTCAATAGAATTTCATTTGCCATATTGCGATAACACAGACCGCATTTTTATAAATCTGATTAAAAATTAATTGACTTATTAATTTATTTTTCTCTCAGAAATTAATAATTCCAAAATAATTTATTTTCTTTCTGGCATCAATCTAATTGAATATGATAATTGATATTAATGTCAGTATAATTAAATCCTAATTTCCCATGCTATTTATAAAAACTAAAGCTTAGAATTAATGCTTAAACTCTATTTTTTGTTAGATATTGTTCATTTATTATAAATATAAAAAGCACGTAATTATATATAGAAAATTCCTGGGGATAGCGCGGAATACGCTATCCCCAGGACCAACCGGGATCGGATCCCACATGGAACAAGGGTTCCATGTGTGGATCCATTTTTGACACGTGAAAGTAAATATCTCACATGTCAAAAATGGATCCACACATGGAACCCCCGTTCCATGTGTGGATCCGATCCCGGTTTGTCCTGGGGATAGCGTATTCCGCGCTATCCCCAGGAATTTAGTATAATTAAATATAAATAAATTAATTATTATTAAATGACTGATTTCCAAAATAGTTGGTGGGAAGAAGAGGTGAATGAGACTTTTCAAATTTTAAAGAAGTATATCTACCTCTCTATGGCTATTATTCTGCTAGTCTGGTCTCTCAGCTTTTTGTTTTATGACAAAACTTTCCCAGTCTTTGTAGCCCCTTTTATAGGGATTCACACAATGACCTTTTTAATTGTAAAATTTCTAAAAAACAAGAAAGCCATTTATAAAGCAATTTCGTCTTTATTATACGCAGAGCTGGCAAGCTTAGCACTTTTTTATCATTCTTTATTTTTCAGCATAGAACATAAAATCCTTTTTGAAATGCTAGCCTGCTTAATCGTGAAACACCTAGAGCTACCATTTATTCAACAAATCTGGCTTAAAAATCTAATATATGGACGACATATAGTGCTTTGATACTATATAAACTCTTTTCCAGAAAATTTGAATTATATACAAAATCTTTCTATTTACATGACAATTCTCTATATTTTCATCATTTTTAACTTGATTTCTTACCTTCGCTTGCGGGCTTCTCAAGAGAGGTTCATATATTGGAAAGAATTAGAGAAAGCCGAAAGCAGACTAGGTATCGTAATCAATGGATGCCCTGATGGAATTCTAGTAATTTCAAGACCAAATAAAATTGAATATTTTAACCCCAATATTCTAAGACTACTTTCTTGCTCTAAAGAAGAAGTAATTTCTTTGCTTCAAGATATAGAATATACAAAAGATAAAAAATATTCGACTTTAACAAATTCAAATAGGCTAATTGATGATATTCAATTTATTTTTAATTATGAATTTAACCATGAAGTGATGCTAGGGATTTCGATGGAGAGGGACATCAATATTGAGTGAAAAGCGACAAAAATTTTGTGGGAAAATAAAAAAGTAGCATTAATTATATATGCAAAAAATGCTAATCAAATTATTCAACTTGAGCAAACTAATGCAGAAAACAAGATTAAGACGGTTTTATTGAGATCGGTGTCTCATGAACTAAGAACCCCTATTAATGCGATATTATTTTTAGCGAAGGAATTGCTGGAAGAATTAAGAATTGTTATTGATGAATGCCAAATCAAGAAAATTGAAATGATTCTGGTTTCTTCTAAGCTGCTTCTTTCCTTAGTTAATGATTTATTAGACTATTCCAGAATGCTTGCTGGGGTATTTAGTATCCAAAAGTCAAAATTTCGCATAAGAGAGCTGGTTTCCAGTACAAGCGACCTTATAAAACTTCAAGCTCAAAAAAAAAACTTAGAGTTGAATTTAAGATTTGATCCAGATTTACCTGAATGAGTTTATACAGACCCTTTGAGACTTAGCCAAGCTATCTTAAACTTACTAAGTAACGCTTTGAAATTCACCATGAAAGGCTCAATCGAGATCTGTTGTCTGATGACAGCTGAAGAACAATTGAAATTAGTTGTAAATGACACAGGAATTGGCATCCCTGATGATAAACTTTTGAAGCTATTTGAAGAATTCAGCACTTCAAACACTGCCAATATTAATCCTCAAGGCTGTGGACTAGGCCTTCACATAACAAATCGCATTGTAAAAGAACTTGAAGGGACATGCATTAATGTTTCTTCACAGCCTGGTAAAGGCTCAACATTTTCTTTTGCAATAAATGCGTTTGATTCCAATAACTCCCCGTCCTCTTTTCAAGAAGAAGACTCTGATTATACAATTGAAGAAGAAAAGCAGCCTCTAAAAGTCATTCAGTTTTTTACATATAATGATATAAGAAATAGATACCCAAAGGTACTAATTGTGGATGATAATGATTTTAATAGGATTATTCTTGGCTCACTGCTGACGAGAAATGAGATTTTATATAATGAAGCTTGCAATGGAAAAGAAGCGGTAGAATGTGTGATGACTATGGATAATAAAGATAAGCCGTATTATGTTGTTATTATGGACTGCAGTATGCCAGAGCTAGATGGGTGAGAAGCGACTAAGGTTATTCATGAGAAGTATGAAGGAGGGAGATTGAGGAGAGTGCCGTGGATTATTGGATATTCGGCATTTAGTTCAAGTGATGATGTGAAAAAATGCTATGAAAGTGGAATGACAGAGTGCTTGGTTAAGCCTTGTAGTTCTGAAGTGATTATTGAGACGATACAAAAATATTTAAATCGTTTAAATTAATTTTACGATATTAAGTTCAGATATTTTGGTATTTTATGATTTATTTGATAAATTTTGTTAGAAAACATTTGAAATCTATTTACTTATTTAGATTTCTATAAAGCATGCAACAATATTTTACGATTATACATAATAAATCTGAAAGCTGATTTCTATTTTCTTTGCAAGAATGATAATTTAAATTCATATTAATTTTATTAATTTTATATAGGTAAATAATTGTAGTTTTGGCTGAAATTTATGCTGAGAGCTGCGTGATATTGTATTTTGGTTTCGTGGCACGCAATTGTGATGCTTGTGGTGCATTATCTTATAAAACTCTAATAAAAATTCACATGAAATACTATGTCTTTTGAAGCATCTTTTGAATGCCAGATGCATTTTAAAATAAAATTTGGCTCGCTGAATATGTTTGACAAATTAATTTTCATTTGGTAAATATGATCGGTTTTAATTTTTTGACAAGATTTTAAAGACTTTCTTGCTGGCATTAGTACGGACTGTCTCTTCACTGAACCGAATGCCTAGGCCATAACTTTATGTAATTATTATAAAAAAAGCTTTATAATAATTAGTTGCAACCAGGCCATAATTGCCACTTAATAACGAATGTTTGCCATCATTCTCTACTCCTATAGTATCATCACAAACACAGATCTATTCTAGTCAAATATGCCTCAGTGTTGCATAAAAATTCAAAAGATTTCCCTTTAAAGTAATTATAGAATGAAAAATCTATAGCATTAATATCCTGCCTAGTCAAATTTAAACTTTTAGAGTATGGATTATTAGATTATAGAACTCCTCTCAAAATTGCAGCTAAAATTGCTACCAAACCTTGCATTATAGTCATTCAACTCAATTTTGCGCAATCCATAACGATGCAGTAATGACCCTTTAAAAATGTCCATGTGTTGCTTTCACATACCAAACAAGCACATAATTCAATATTTTGCCTAATGTCGCTCTACAATTAAATATCAACACACTATTCTAAATAGTTATCCGCAATTCATATCTAAAAGGTAAATAGATATCAGCAGGTAAGCATGGATGGCATCATTTGATAAAATAATCTATTAATTTTCGATAATTGGAATTATTTTGAGGTAGAGCTTCAGATATCCTCATATTAATTAACGTTTAAGAAAATCCAGCTAAGTGCCAGCGAACAGATAAGAAATTAAAAATACTGGACTTTTCTTAGAAAAATTAGTATATAATAAGATCTTTCTTTTCTCGGTAAGCCAAAGTGCTAAAAAGCACTGTTTTTCGACTTTATAAAAGTGGAGCATTAAATCAACTATATATAAATATAAATTTGCATTTCATTTAAAATCGATTCTATAAATATGTTATAATGATAATTTTACTAAATTTTGTAGAATTGATAATAAAAATGATTTATGTGAAAGGTGCAAGAATAGCTGCAGATGCTATTGGAATGGTAGCTAGCTTATCCAATTTTGCAACCCTCGTCTGGGATAGTGACACCAAAGAAAATTTTAATAAGCTTGAAAAACTTGAAGAGACCATCAATAACTTAATTAAAAGGCTTGAATCAGAAAAATCAAAAATTGAGAATAAAATAAGAATGCACAAGGGATTAAGAGGTAAGATGGAAATCATCATTTCACATTTAGAAGATCATCTTGATATGCAAAAGTTAGCGAATTCCAATAAAATGAATTTAAACACCCAAACAATGAGAGGAAATTATTCAAATCCTGAAACTATAAGCACGAGAAATCTATTAAGCATTTCGACTGAGGCTGTACTTAAAGGATTCCCAAGCCAGTTAAAACGTGGATTTTTTTACTTTGAAAAAGCAACAAATGGACATTATGATGTCAAAGATGTAACTTTATGAAAAGGTTTTAAATGCGGTTGGAGCATTGGAATGGCTCTCTATAATATTTATGACTCCTACGATACAATATCTAAAGCAAAAAACAAGAAAGAAGAAAGTGAAAGATTGCTCACAGAGGCTATAAAAAGAAAGGAGGAATTAGAAGAAGCAGTCAACATGCTTAAAAAAGTTAGCGATAGCTTAACTGACAATTTAAAAAAGCTAGCAAATAATTTTTATGAGATTTATGAAAAAAATGCTAAGACAATAACAGACTTATTACCTTTGGAAAATGAATTTAGAGCTGTAAAAGAAGAAGTATTAGAAATTGTGCATGCTGGAGAAGAGCTTAGAATTTCGAATTCAGTTTATTCTAAAATATATCATATTATTAATTCTGTCATTGATATGGTCAAGGCCAGCTATCAACAATGAGATCAAGCATTAATGGAAAGTTCAATTAAAAAAATTATCAGTTACTTGGAGGATTTAATTGATGATAGCGAAGAATTAATCCATGAAGTTTATGATAAATCAAAAGAATCTTATAGCACATTGACTTTTGAAGTTGTTGAGCGTGTTTATTTAGAATACAAAAGAAGCAAAGAGCTTAAAGAAATAATTGCTTCCATGATGAGAAATACGCATAATAAATCAGAAAGCGATGAAGAATTAATAAATAGAATTTACCAAGGCTCTCGCAGAGATTATCCTTTAATTACTTTGAGTTTAATTAGAGAAACTCTAGAAGAGATAAAACAAGCAAATTGCATTAGGGATGCTCAATAAACGTATTTCAACTTACTCTGGATTGATTATCATAATTCAGAGAGCCTTGATTTATCTAATTTTATAAGTCATTCTTTAATCATAATTTTGCTATATATTAGAGATATTTAATCGATTTTTATTTTTAATATTTATAGAATTGAAGTGTCGATTTCTTTGATTCTATAAACCATTTTTATATAAATATTTGTAGAATGGAAAAAATATGAGAGTTCATTAAGCATCAACTGCTGAGTGCTACTAAGAGTGTGGGCAAAGCTTTATTTAGTGCATTCACAAAGATTTTGACTATTTGTAATTCGATATATTTATTTTATTCTTCCGGTAAAAAAACGGGCTTGATGAAGTGGCTTGAAGATCGTGACTTGGAATTCAAAAGCTGAATAAGTGGAAATCTATACTCAAGATTTGATAATTTGGAAAAAAGCCTTCAGGATAAAGAAAAAATTCTTGAAAATCATAAAAACGATCTCAAGGATCGTTGCGGAAAATTAAATGAAAGAATTGAAAAACTCAACGAAATTATAAACCGTATTGAGGAAATTCAACAACTTCAATGAAATAAAACAGAAAGAAAGGAAAATTATTCGCAAGCTTCTTATTCAGTGATGGAATTTTCTAAATTGCCTTTATAGCTTATGCCTGACTATAGCTAACTTTGTGCACAATATCCCTTCAAAAAATTGATGTTAAACTGATGATCTAGCGCCCAGAGCTAGGAATATTATAATCAGGCATTAACTATACAAGATCAAACTCAATTTTTCAAATGCTTGAGCAATATAGATAAAGTTCCGGCAATTCTTTCTACAGCTATTTATATAGTTGATTTTGTTGGTGAATTATTTTCATTATTTTCATTATTATGATCCATGTGAATTGGCGGAGGTTTGCTTGTTCTTCAAATGGGCATAGAAGTTCTTTTAAGCTATGATGATTTTAACAGAAAAGAAAAATATTTATTGGATAATTTGAAAGCTTTTGATGAATATATATTAAAAGTGAATGATGAAATTAAAAAATGTGATTCAGAAATCTCTAATATAAATAGAAATATTTTACAAGAAATAAATAATGCTTTTCCTGGAGTTGATGAAACGAAATTTTTCGAAGTTTCAGAAAAAATGATCAGCGAACTAAAATCTCGGAAGCCAATAAGCGAAATAGAAGAAGAAGAAAAAGAAAAAGAAGAAGAAAAAATTAAAAAATCTTTTATTGATTGTGTGGTTAGTCGTTATAAATCTGGGACAATTTCATATGAAAAGATGAGCATCGCTTTAAAGAGAAGGGGAATTTCTGAGGATGAATTGAAAAAAATTCATAATAACAACTAAATTATTTTAGAAATTTAAGAAAAATAAAGTGAATTCTATAATTTTAAAATGGGATATAACTTTTGAAAAGCTGGACTTGCAATCAATTTGTCAATTTTTTTAACAAGTAAGCTCATAGAGAAGCATGCAAAATCTAAAATCAAGGCTAAAAATTCTCAAATTGATAAGGAATTGACTACATCGAAAAATTATTGGAAAGAAGCAAAAAATCTCCAAGGTCGTATTGAGAAAAATAATTCAATGCTCAAAGACTTAGGTGAAAAGTTAAACCTCATAGAGATTTCCCTAAATGGCCTATCAAATAATATAAGGGTAGTAGATAGAAGCATGCTAAGATTGAAATCTTTTACAACGATCTACAATAATGATGAATCAGAATCTTTCCCAGAGTACCTCTTTGAGTTTCAATTACCCCCTTTAGAGAGAAATTATAGAAGTCGAAATGCCCATTTTGACGAACAATATCAGGTTGAATATAACTATCAAATAGAAAAAATTTATATTGGATTATATAAATTAATTAGAATACTTTTAAGCCTTGGAATGCTTAAAATATTCTTGCTTTCACACCAAAATATCTGGACATTTCCTTTACACCTTATAAAAGTTTTATATAATTGCCCGAGGATGGCACTATTTTGTGCCATCCTCGGGCAATTTCTATATTCAATTTATGATTTAAGCAATAGCCTAAAAAAACTAAATGAAAGAAATTGCCAAGAAAAAATGAGATAGAAGAGATAAATAGCCACCTATGCTTTCTATAAGATATATAAGAAATATTCAGTATAAAAAGTATAGATAAGCTTTTGAGGTCAAAAGCTTATATTGAGGATTGAATAAATGAAGCCAAAATTATTGAAAGAGAGCAAATTGATTCGATGGAAAGAATTATTGATTCTTTTACAAGATCAATTGAATCGAATTCAGAACTAATTGCTCCTATACAAAAGCACATTGAAAATCAAGGAATGTCGGAGCAGAATAAAAATAAATAGTCAGCACTCTGAAATTACAGACGCTCATAGCGCAATAATAGACGAGTTATATGCAATCATAAATCGTTTTATGTCATCAAGTAGAAAAATAGATCAAATGATAGAAAAGCAATCAGCATATAAAGCTACTATAAGAGTCTTTGAGGCTTTAAAAGAAGCATTTGATGAAAAAAATATTATTGAGTTGGCTTACTCAGAGATTAGAAAAAATTACCCTAAGTTTACAATAAAAGAGGCAAGATCTATCTATAATGATCTTTATAAGAATTCTTAATTTATTTTCAAAAAAAATATCTATACTAATTCCACATTAATTAAATATAAAACTATGAAAAGAGATTGAGCTTCCCAATAGACTATTTTGATAATTAGTAGTTAGAGAAAATTTTTAAAAAGAAAATTAGCCCCTTTGAAATTAGCCGAACTATTATAGGCTGCTATATTAATCGATCTATCTAATTAAATTGATTTCAAGTAGTAATACTGAGTCGGATTATCGTTACAGGGGTATGCTGAAATAGCGAAAAATGCTTTTGAGCATTTGGTTGTGAGTTGGCATCTATAATTTATGCGCCGCATGATTCTCCGTTTCTTTTTTGTATGTAGCTGCAATGATCTATAAAATACATTGTATTGATGCTTGCTTAAGCGGCAAACCAATGCATAAAAGTGGTTAAAATTCATTTCAAACTAAATTTGCATGAATTTAACATCCTTGAATGATGTATGATGTGAGAAATTAGTTGATTAAGTATCACTATCAATGCTTTTATTGGGTTTGTGATACAAATGCTCTTCAAAATGCTTTTATTATAATAGCGAGATGTAAATAATTCTAGTCTTGGATGAATTTTATGCTGAGAGTTCGTCATATAGTGTCTTGGTTTTGTGCGATGTTTGTGATGCATTTATCTAGTAAAACTTTAAAAAAAATATATGAAAAATATTATGTCTTTTTGTGAAGCATCTCTTCATATGCCACAATTTGGGTCGCTAAATATGTTTGACAAATTTAATTTTTATACATAAAATATTTGTAAACTCTGATCAGTTTTAGTTTTTAAACAATATTTATCAAGACTTTCTTGCTGGCATTTGTACAGACAATTTCTTCACTGAACTGAATGCCTAGGCCATAACTTTATGTCACTATTTTACAAAAAAGCTTTATTATTTTATTCGCAATCAGGCCCATAATCCTGATTAATAACGAATGTTTGCAATCATTCTCTACTCATATCGTATCATCACAAACACAGATCTATTCTAGTCAAATATGCCTTAGCGTTGCATAAAAATTCAAAAGATTTCCCTGTAAAGTAATTATAGAATAAGAAATCTATATCATAAATATCCTAACTTATCAAATTTAAACTCTTAGAGCATGGAATATTAGATTATAAAACTCCTCTCAAAAACTGCAGCTGAAATCGTTACCAAACCTTGCATTTAGTCATTCAACTCAATTTGCGCAATCCATAATGATGCAGCAAATGATCTCTTTAAAAATGGTTCACGTGCTGCTTTTGCATACAAAACAAGCACATAACTCAATATTTGCTTGAATGCCGCTCTCTAATAAATATCAACACACCATTCTAAATAGTTATCCGCAATTCATATCTAAAGGCAAACAGCAAGCCTGGCATTATGTGATAAAATAATCTATTTATTTTAGATGATTGGAATGCTTGCGAGGCAGAGCTTCAGATATCCTCACATTAATTAATGTTCAAGAAATCCAACTAAATGCCAGCGAACAGATAAAAAGTTAAAAAACGTAAAATTTCTTAGAAAAATTATATAATAAAATCTTTCTTTGTTTGATAAGCCAGAGTGCCAAAATACTGTTTTTCGACTTTATAAAAGTGTAGCATTAAACCAACTATATATAAATATAAATTTGCATTTCATTTTAAATAGGATTCTATAAATTTTGTAATGATAATTTTACTAAATTTTGTAGATTTGATAATAAAAATGATGTATGTGAAATGTGCAACACTAGCTGCAGAGGCTATTGGAGTCGTAGCTGGTATATCAAATTTGTCAACTCTATGCTGGGAGAGTGGCACCCAAAAAAATTTTAATAAGCTTCAAGAACTTGAAGAGCCCATCAATAGCTTAATTAAAAGGTTTAAATCAGAAAAATCAAAAATTAAGAATAAAAAAAGTATGCTCAAGGAATTAAGAGCTAAGATAGAAATCATTATTTCACAATTAAAAGATCATCTTGATGCACAAGAGTTCAATGATTCTACGATTGTGTGCCCAAATACCCAAAAAATGAGAGGAAATTATTCAAATCCTGAAACTATAAGCATGAGCCAGCTACTAAACTCATCAACTGATTATGCGTTTAGAGCTGTAAACCTAGTGAAACGTGGATCCTCTTACAGTAAAAAAGTAAGGAATGGACATTATGATACGAAAAATGTAACTTTACGAAAAGGTTTTAAATGCGGTTGGAGCATTGGAATGGCTCTCTATGATATTTATCACTCCTACGATGCAATATCTAAAGCACAAAAACAAGAAGAAGAAAGTGAAAGATTGCTCAATGAGGCTAAAAAAAGAAAGTTGGAATTAGAAGAAGCAGTCAGCACGCTTAAAAAAGATAGCGACAGCTTAACTGACAAACTAAAAGAACTAGCAAATAATTTTTACGAGATTTATGAAAATAATTCTCAAAGAATAATAGACTTATTAACTTTGGAAAATGAATTTAAAACTGTAAAAGAAGAATTATTAGAAATTTTGGATGCTGATGAAGAGATTAAGATTTCGGCTCCAGTTTATTATAAGATATATCATATCATTAATTTAGTCACTGATATGGTCAAGAACAGCTATCAAAAAAGAGATCAAGTATTAATGGAACGCTCAATTACAATTATTATTAGTTTCATGGAGGAGGTAATTGATGATAGTGAAAAATTAATACGTAAAGTTTATGAGGAAGCAAAAAAATCATACAGCACATTGACTCTCGAAGGTGTTAAGAGTATTTATTTAGCATATAAAGGCAATAAAGATCTTAAAAAATTGATTGCTTTCGCGATTAGAGCCTCGCATAATAAATCAGAAAGCGATGCAACATTAATAAATAGAATTTACGAAGTCTCTCGCAGTGACTATCCTTCAATCACTTTGAATTTAATTAAAGAAACTCTAGAAGAGATAGACCAAGAAACTCGCACTGGGGATGCTCACTAAACGTATTCAAGCTACTCTGGATTAATTATGATAATTCAGAGAGCCTTAATTTATCTATTTTATATCAGTCATTCTTTAATAACAATTTTTAAATATGAGATTTATTTGAGCCATTTAAATTTAAATATTTTCAGAATGGTAATATTTAAGTCTCGATTGCTTTAATTTTATAAGCCATTTTTATTTATATTTTTGTAGAATGGGAATATTTGGGTTCATTAAGCATTCTGTGAAGAAGGCTGCTGAGCTTGTGGTCAAGGGTTGCTCTAAAGTTTGTACTTTTACATGCAAAACGATTTTGGAGATTTCAAATGTATTGTCTTTTTTTTATTTTTCCGGCAAAATAAAGGGCTTGAAGAAGTACCTCGATGATCGTAACTTGAAAGTTCAAAGCTGAATAAGTGAAAAGTGCTACTCAAACCTTGATATTTTGGAGAAAAATCTTCAAAATAAAGAAAAAATTTTGAAAAATCGTGTAAGCTACTTCAAGAATCGTCATAAAATATTAAATGAAAGAATTAAAAAATTCAACAAAATTAGAAAGCGTATTATTGAAATTAAAGCACTTCAATTAAATAGAATAGAAAAAGAGGAAAATTGTTCACAAGCTTCTTTTTCAAAGATGGATTTTCCTAAAATTCCTTTACAAGATAAAACTTCATTTTTCAAATACTTGAGCTGCATAGATGAAGTTTTTGCAATCCTTACTTCATCTTTTTATCTAATTGATGTTTTTAAATTACTTCCATCATGATCCATGCGAATTAGCAGAGGGTTTAATTTTTTTATTGTTCTTCAATTGGGTAAAGAGATTCTTTTAAGCTATGATGATTTTGATAGAAAAGAAAAATATTTATTAGATAATTTGCATGCTTTTGAAGAATATATATCTAGAGTAAATATAGAAATTGAAAAATGTGATAAAGAAATCATAAATATAGATCAAAATATTACTCGCTCAATAAATAATATTCTCCCTGGAGTTCATGAAACGAAATTCTTCGAAAATGCGGAAAAACTTATCAGCGAGATAAAATCTCAGAAGCCAAGAAGGGAAACTGAAGAAGAAAAAAGTAAAAAAAAAATTTTAATTAGGTGTATGGATAGTCTTTATAAATCTGGGGATATTTCATATGAAAAGATGATCGACTTTTTAAAAAGAAAAGGAATTTCTGAAGATGAATTGAAAAAATATTCATAATAACAACTAAATTACTCTTATTTTAGAATGTTAAGAAAAATAAAGTCAATTCTATAATTTTAAAATGGAAGAATACTTTGGAGCAGCTGCACTTGTATTCAATTTGTCAATGTTTTCAGCAAGTATGCTCATAGAAAAGCATGCAAATTCTATAATCCAGGCTAAAAATTCTCAAATTGAAAAGGAATTGACTACATCAAAAAATTATTGGAAAGAAGCAAAAAACCTTCAAGGTCGCATTGAAAAAAATAATTCAATGCTCAAAGACTTAGGTGCAAAGTTAAACCTCATAGAGATTTCTCTAAATGGCCTATCAAATAATATAAGAGCAGTAGATAGAAGCATATTAAGTTTGAAATCTTTTACAACAATCTACAATAATGATGAATCAGAATCTTTCCCAGAGTACCTCTTTGAGTTTCAATTACCACCGTTAAATAGAAATTATATAAGTCGAAATGCCTATTTTGACGAACAATATCAGTTGGATTATAACTACCAAATAGGGAAAAATTATATTTCATCTTCTACATCAATTAGAATGCTTTTAAGCCTTGGGATGCTTAAAATATTCACGCTTTCAGGCCAAGATAACTTGAAGTTACCTTTGCTATTTATCGTATCTTTATATTCAATTTATGATCTCAACAATGCCTTTAAAAAACTAAATGAAAGCGATTGCCAAGAAAAAATAGATAACCTTTTGAAGTCAAAAGCTTATATTGAAAATTGAATAAATCAAGCCAAAATCATTGAAAGAGAGCAAATTGATTCGATGATAAGAATTATTGATTCTTTTACAAGATCAATTGAATCGAATTCTGAACTAATTGCTCCTATAGAAAAGCACATTGAAAAAATCAAGGAATGTCGGAGCAGAATAACAATAAATAGTCAGCACTCTGAAATTACAGATGCTCATAACGCAATAATAGACGAGTTATATGCAATCATAAATCGTTTTACGTCATCAAGTAGAAAAATAGATCAAATGATAGAAAAGCAATCAGCATATAAAGTCGCTATAACTGTCTTTGAGGCTTTAATAGATACATTTGATGAAAAAAATATTATTCAGTTGGCTTACTCAGAGATTAGTAAAAATTATCCTAAGTTTACAATAGAAGAGGCAAGATCTATCTATAATGATCTTTATAAGAATTCTTAATTTATTTTCAAAAAAATATCTACAATAATTCTATATTAATTAAATTATAAAACATTGAAAAGAGAATTAATTAATATTTAATTTAATCTCTTGCATATAATCATAAATTTTCCTATATTTTAAATAATTATTTAGCATATGGCAGATGCAGATTTTGAAATCCTAGGGACAGGTATTGATATACCCAAGCATCCCACAAATGTAGAAGATTCAGGTCTATCAATTATTCGCCACCCTAATCTTGATAACAACTCAACATTTATTCATCTTAAATCTGAACTTGAAAAATACTACAAAGAATGCCGTTTACCTCCAGAGCTGCAAAGTCTCCACAAAATCCGAACTCAGCGTTGAAAAAAGCATTTTTATGTTTCCTTGCAAGGTCTCCTTAATGAAGTTACTTACACAAAATATCCTGAAGAACAATTAAAGCTGTTAGACAAGGTCCATAAATGATATCTTGAAAAAACATCTGGGAGGCTCCATCTCCCAGATATTTCTACACGCTCAAATACCCCTTCAGTACTATATTGTGCTTGTTTAAATTCTAATTAATTATTATTTAAATAACTATATTAAAAAACTATTATTTTGCACCTGAAAACCTTAAATATAATTTAGCCTTAAATAATTCAAAAAGAGCCTTCATATTCAGAGAATTCCTCATTTTCCAAGCCAAAAGAAACACTTGAAAGCAGAAGTGTTTCGTTTTATGACAGTCCTACGCCTTCGCCTATAAAATTACCTTCACCTTTCGTTCCAAAAGAACCAGTAAAGCTAATTGATCCAGAGGAATGCAAAGAAATTATAGAAAAATTAGAAAATCGATACCTTCATAACCGAAAAAGGGACGTCGAAGATTTATACTTCTTATATAAAATATCCATATTTCAATATTATTTCTTTAAAAAGCCTAATTACAATAAAATATATAAAATCCATTGAAAATTACAGTAGAGCCTTGAATGTTTGAGGAAAGAAAAAAGCCAGATTAAGTGAAGAATTTTCAAGAAAAAGTGAGCAAGCAAGAGTAAAAACGACACTGGATAACAGAATTTATAGGTCCATTACCCCGATAGACAATATAAAAAGACAAGAATCAGAAAAATCACCTAATCGCTATGATTTTAGAATAGACGAAAGTAAATCAAGATACACCCCACAAAGTGATGATAGCGATATCAATAGGCCCATTTTATCAAGATTGGCACATATAAGGCAAGTGCATTGTGGATTAATTGATATAGAGCTTGAGCCCTCAAAGCCGAAAAGAAGATTTGAAGGGAGTTTATCTCCATTTCAAACTGAATACAAATCAAATTCTCAATATGACATTCCAAGAAATTCTACCCCAATAATAACTCAGCAAAATGAGCAATATCAGGAAATTATTGGGATTAAAAGACTTTTTGCCTCAAAAAGAATTCCATGTTCAATGGAAAACCTAGAAAATGCGCTGCTTTATCCTGATGCGGATAATTCATCACCATTAATATTCCCTAAGGGAGGAGAATTATTACTAGATAACCCATTTAGTAAGATCAAAAAGAAGAAAAAAGGGAAAAAGAAGAAGAAAGGGAAGAAAAAGAAGAGATAAATCGAGTAAAATAGATAAATTGTAATTAAAATAAATAATATATACCCGGTTGATTTAATTATGAAAATTAAATTGAATATATTAAGAAGTTTTGAGAGCTTTCAATAATAGAACTAAAACTATTTAATGAGATAGTAAAGCTGCATTTTTAATAGCTGCAATTAATTTAGCATCTTAATATGTCAGATTTACTTCAAAATACTCTAAATATTAAAAAGTCTCAAGTTTTTGTGTTGCTTTTAATTTAAATCCTATAAAACATTTTTCCAAGATTTTCCCATAATCAACATTAAATTCCTCAATCATCAAAATAACTTGTTAAAAATCTCCAATTGTCTTTGATATTTCAAATAATTCTTACTCTCCTCCCAAACATCTTTAAAAATTTTTTTTCTTACTTTAGACGATAAATAAAAATGGCTTGATGAGTCAACCCAACTTCCTAACACCGGACCCAGGAACCTTGTGGAAGGGAGTTTTGGCATTCTTTATGTTATCAGGCCAGATTTTACTTTGCTTGGTGGAGCAAAGTGCCCGAGTTGGCGGACTGCGTATTCGGATCCAGTCAAGGTTTTACCTCAGAGGAAGGTGGAGCTCGGAGATGGAAAGGGGTGTCCCAGCAATGCCAGTGAGGTTTCTCCTGGTTGATTGATACGATGCCAGGCATTGGATCCTGACTACAAATTTTCATCTTTGCTGACATTATGCTCAATTATATATATTTTTTTTTAAAACAATGAAATTACTAATTTCATGACCTAATTTAAAAGACAAAATGCAAGTAAAATATTATTTAAACAATTTTCACACTGAATAAATTAATCTTTTTGTTTAAGTTTTTATAAAAATAAAATTCAAGGTATTGCGCTTATATTATTTTAAAAAAAATTAAAAATAAAAATTCAAAATTAGACTGGACTTTTTGTCCAATTGAAAGCGGAGTTAGTACAAAAAAATTGGATAAAGCATAAGCTCGCAGAGCTAAATAAATTTATAAATGGGAAACAAAAACTCTTGCGAAGCCAAGTGATGCAAAAATGAAGCTCTTTACATCTGCTTATGCAAAAATACCAAACTATGTGTAGACCACATAGAGCAGCACAGAGAAGCTAACCCTCAAGATCGTCATGAATTCACCCCAATCAATGACGCACACAAATCGTTAGACAGTGCTCCAGCCCAGGTGACTCTATCAAATTTGATTTTTACCCGAAACATTTATCGGTCTCCTGAAGGTACAACTGAAGTCTCAGAAGGCCGCATAAAAGATGTCGCCGGAAAAGTCGCGATCAAAACCATGATCTGTCGATCTGAAGGGGAGTTCAAAAAGAAACAAAAAGAGGCAGAGCTCCAGATTTCTATGAGACACCCCAATATATGCAAATGCATTACTGCTTTTCTTGACCAATCTTATCAATACGGATATAAATATGTTATTGTAATGGAGTTCTCAGAAAACGGAGACGTGGAGCAAGATATAGAAAATCGAAGACTGAGAAATAACCCTTGGAGCGAAACTGACCTCATGACTCACATGACAGACTTAATTGATGCTTTTGCATATTTGCAAGAAAAAAACCTGTCACATGGAGACGTAAAGCCTAGAAACTTATTTATTGCGAATGATGGGAAAATGAAAATAGGAGACTTTGGGGAGTCTAGACAAGGGATGCATGCATTGGTTACTAGGACTTATCAGGTAACTGGAACTGTTATTTATTTCAGCCCTTTGTTATTCAAAGCTTATCTAGAAATAATCAAAGGCAAAAATGTTTCAGGAGATGTCAGGCACAACCCAATCAAGTCTGATGTTTATTCATTAGGATTAAGCTTCCTCCACATGGCTAGCTTAAATAAACCTATTGAGCTGAACAACCTGGAAATAGGATCAGACGCCTTACAAAATCAAGTGGAAAGAGCCATTTCTAAGCTAAACTACCCTGAAAGGATAAAAATGCTGCTAGATAGAATGCTCCAGGTCCCAGAAAACAGAAGGTCAGATTTCGTACAGCTGAGATCATTTTTAACTGAACTTATAACTGGCTCCCCTGCAGCTCATCCAGTCTCCCAATCAGCTCCTGCAACTCCTCGTAACGATGCAAGACTTACAACAAGAACCCCTTCCCGCAGTCAGTCTTTATTTACAGGCCCAATGCTATTTTCTCTTGCCCAAACTCCTGGAAAAGCCAATATTTACAGCATTTTGACACGAAAAATCACTTCTATGAGCTGCCACCGTTTTCAATACTCCTCAAGAGCTGTCATTATAGGAGAAAATGTCCTTCTAACAGGAGGCTTAAAAAATCCAAAAAATACTTTTTCTATCAATTTGAAATCTTCAGCCTCAACCAAGCAGCAGGATATGAATGAGCCTAGAGCATGGCACGCTATGGCAATTTTGGGTGATTTTGTATATGTAATAGGAGGCAGAAACCCTGAATCAAAAGATGCACTGGCTAGTGTTGAAATTTATAATAACGAAAATTGGCAATTAATCTCCCCAATGCAAAGGAAAAGGGAAAATGCGACAAGCGTGGTTTTTGAGCAGAATATTTATGTGGTAGGCGGGTCAAACAAAGACTCTGGAAGGTGGGATCTATTATCGAGCATTGAAAAATTTGAAAATAGCGTGTGGAATGAATTAGAGATCAGGCTGCCTGAGCCTATGTCTGGAGTTGCTTTAATCAAAACGTCGCCGAATAATATTTTGATGGTAGGTGGAGCACGAGAAAGAGGAGCATATTCACAAAACACTTATCATTGGAATATTGAAAGCAATGATATTGTTCCTGGGACACCTATAGACGAAGGTGATGCTTTCACGTCTTGCTGTTCATATTTAGATGAAGAAAAAATTGTAGTTATTGGACAATTAATGGGTGTCTTTGAATATATATTTTTCTTAATAAGAAATCTTATAGTCTTTATAACTTTTTGCTTTATTTTAAAGCAAAACTATGCAATTTGTCTATAAAACAATATATAATATAGCTTGATTATCATACAATTGCAAGCAATCAATGGGAACTTATGAGATTCAAATGTTAGAACTATAAAGTAATCTTTATAATTTAATTAGAAATGGGCGATGATAGCATAAAACTCCTATTAAGAATAGCTGAAGATATCTTATTTTCTTTGAATTTGCCTGAAGCTATTCTAAGCAAATACAAAAGCATCAGAGAAGCAGCAATCTACAAAGCCGACGTAGAAACTATGAAAACGCATTCTCCTTATTTACATAGACTTGATGTAAGCCATGAGATTATTAGGAACTATTCAAAAGTCATGGACTTTATGATAGCTGGGATGAGCACTGCATTAGAAAAGCACAACAGAATATTAGAAATTGTAGGCAAAAAAGTAGAAATTACTCAACTAACAAATAGGTCAAGAGCTATGGAAGTTCTGTTAAGAGACTTGCCGAAGCTTACAGCTAGCAGAAAAGAATTTAATAACGACATTTTAGATAAATTCAGAGACTTAGAAGAAAATGAGCTAGAAAACCTAAAAGCTATAGCCCAAGATTTCGAAGAATTCGAAAATCAAACAGTTTTAGCTATAGATAAAGTAAAAGAAGCTTTGCTTGAAAAAGAGCAGAAAATGAAAGAAATCGAAAATGAGCTATCAATAATTTCTATTAATGCAGCTAAAGAAACTGAAAAAATCCAAGAATATCAATTAAAATTTTCCCCTAGGAGCAATTCAGCAAGATCCTCACAGTTAGATTTTCATAAAATGAAAAATGTTGACGAGCTGATCATGGAAAATATGAAATTAAATGAAGAAAAAGAAGAAATTTTAAATCAATTAGAAAAAGCAAAAAATGCATATGCAATTGACCTGGAAAATCTGCAGCATAAATATGAAATTCAAATCCAAAGTCTTATTGATTCACATGAGCAAGAAAAAAATAGATTAAATGAACTGAAAAACAGTGAGCTGGAAGAAATAGAAATTGCGAATAGAGAAAGGGAAAATAATTTGCTGGAGAAATTAGAAAAAGTCACATTAGAAGACACTGGAGTTTTAAAAGAAATGAGAATTAATATGGAAAAGCTAGAAAGCACAAAAATGGAATATGTAAATGCTTACAATGAGGCAATAAACATTCTTCAGCCTTTGTATGAAGAATTTTATGCTGGGCATCATGAGTGGATTATAAAAGAAAAATCAAGAAAAAAATTTTATAAAGGAAAATTCAATAAGCAGTTTATTGATTTACTAATAAAATGCGAATTTGCTTTGTTTTTAATAGAAATATACAAAAATGAAAACGATAATTTAGGATCACGATTAGAAGAAATCATTAAAAAGCAAGAAAGCCCACAAATTATAGAAATTGATCAAGAAATAATAAAAGATCCTAGAACCATTTCACGTCTTTCTGAAATAAGCCACCATTCCGACACTACAAAAGAAAACCCTCGCTCTTCCTCCAGAGAAGGAATTAAAACTCCAGAAAATATTCCTATGACATTATCAGAAATAAATAAAAATCCTGAAAAAATTGATGAAAAAATAAAGCAGCATTTAAAAACTAATGGAGAAGTCTTAAAAAATTTCGAAAAAGCTAGGACAAGATTATTAGATAATATTCAAAATTCCAAAGAATCAAAATCGTTGTCAAGAAGCGATACGTTTGAAAATTTATATACAAAATATCTTCTTAAGTCATAAATTAATTAAAATATTAGACAGGAATGTGCCCATTTCCTAAATATTTTATGCTTTTTTCTTCTTTTATGTAAATTTAACCAATAAACCAAAACTATTTTTAATTAAAATAAATATAAATAAATTATAAATTAGTTCATAAACCCCTAGAAAAGTTTAAATTTCCGCTTCTAATAAGTTCTTTAGCCCTGCAAATTGTGAAACCAATCCCATCTCTTATCATTCCAGGCAAATTAAACCAAAATTCTTTATGAGGTATGCTATCAATCCAGCTTTCTTCATTTTTCAGTTTATTATAAATAGTTCCAATAGCTAAATAAAATAAAAATCCTACAAATAGTAAAGCAAGGAAAGACTTTATTCTAGATTTTGGCTGAGAGTTTGGGTCTACTGGAGCTGGAGGAATTGGGCAAGCAGATTTACTTGAAAATTCAAAAATATAGGAGCAAGATGATAGAGCATAAGCCCGAGTGAGGACATCAGGGCCTCCATAAGGGTTGCATTTTATCCTGTATTCTACTTGAGTGTCAACGAAGCCAATCATTGTACATAGGTCTCCTCCATAATAAGTTAGACTCACCCCATTCATAGGATTCAATTTGTCAAGAAAATCAACTCTAGGGCCTGATAACTGGCCTAAAGGAGACTGGCGACCTAATATTTTGCAAGGAGATTGAGAGTTTGTAACAGAAGCAATTCCTGTGATGTCCCCTGCACAGTTAGAATTCAGCTCGGAGCATATATTGGCTTGGTAGGTATTGCCATAATCGTCTATGATTAGATAGTCTGGAGGAGAAGTATTGATCATAGGAGATAGGTCTACACTGTAGCCGTTTGATAAAGAAAAGGAGCACTCATATGCTAAAGCTGGAACAATTAAGTTAGGTTAGGCTAGATTATAAAAGTCAGATGTTAACCATATTGGTGACGCAGTCACCCAAAGACCTCCCTTATAGGAGGTTCAACCTCTATATGACTTCAGCCACGAAGATTTTTCCCCCGAAGGAGGATGCCACTTCCGGCACCTTCTGTCTCATCCTTGCGGCTTCAGTCTTGAGTGCTTATAGATTTCTGCAGCCCTGCTAAGGGCGACTGGAGTAGCTTGATTCCAATGTTTCTTTGAGTCTATTGGGCGTTGATGTGCCTTTCTTCAAAAGTTACAGAAAGAATACTGCTTCTGTGGCCTGGACTGAAACCCCAGGTTCTCGGTAGAGGAACCTCCTTTGGTCCTCAGATCCAAAGGACGTTGCTGAGCACCCCATTTCCAATCACAGGAAAGCAACCAAAATCTACAGGGATACACATGTCTTGAGCCTGAACTTGATTCTTGACTTGAATTTCGTCCCCGCCCGCACGGCCATAAGGTCTGAACTGTTGCGTCAAGAGAGCAGGCTGGCATTTGCCGCCATTTTATCGCCTATACCCTATATAGATTTCTTTATCAAACAAAATGTAATTGATTTCTGAATGGCAAAGACAGACTCTCTCAAAGTGATGAATTGGACCTTATAAAGGCGAGCGTTAAAAAGTGGCATGCCGGAAAATGATTGATAAGTATGAAAAACATTGACAAATAAACGTGCCGGGTTTTAAAACAGCTTTTTTATTAAATTTTTTAAATTTAAGATACCCTTTTAGACTGGATAAATATAAAGCATTATTATGGGCCATTAAGAAATTTATAAAGAGAGCATTAATCGGTTAATGCAAGCTTTTGCCCTAATAGAGCAATCGATCATAATCAAATAGGAATTACTTATTTATTTATAAATTTATCCTTTCGCAAAAAAGCAGCTCGATTGATAAATTTTTAATTTTTAAGTCCATTTAAATTTACTAAAGAGCATCATATGAGCCATTAAGAATATTATAAAGAACATTGAGCGTGCAATAAAAACTTTTACTTTTATAGAGCAATTGATCATAATAATTAATTAAAATTGTTTATTTAAAAATTTAAGTAAGTATTAATCAATCCCACTCTAAATGGATAAAAAAATTGATAATAAAGCTATTTTAAAAATTGGCGCGTTTACTAATCAACTTTTTTTTACACTTGTCAACCATTTTTTGGCGTGCCACTTTTTAACACTCACCTTTATAAGATTAGCTCGTCCTTTTGAGAGAGTCTGTCTTGGCTATTCAACAGCCCATTACATTTTATTCAATAAATAAATTTATATGAGGATATCGGCTTTAATGTATATTGCTCTGGATTTGGTATATTTGTAAAAATATCGAACAATTAAGAAAAATATCATAAATATGTATAATAAAAGTGAAAAACGGATTTTCTATTAAATCTTTTAAGATTGATAGAAGCAAGCTTAACACTAAAGTAAGATTTTTATAGCCAAAATATCGCACGCTAAATCATCTAGCTCAGCATAAAAATATAATTCCAAAATTTCGATTCAGACTGAAATAATCCTGTCTAGTGAAGTTACAATTTTATTTATGCCAATAACGAGAACAAAGATTAGCATATCCAAAACTCAAGATTTCAATAAAATAAGCCGAAGATATACTTTCTCATATATTAAACAAAATAAGGTAAAAGAAGAGTCTCCTATTGATAAATAATGATTGATTTATATTATAAAGCTTGCTCAGCAGTTATCGGCCTGCTTTGCCTTCTCGATAATATTTTTGAAATTAAATCCTGTGATTCCCAATCCTGTATAACTTTATTTTTCCTGAAGCATCTGCCTGAATTTTTGCTTATATTTTCTTTTAAATAATTCCTTCTTCTTTCTTCTTCATCTCATTTTTCAATAGAATAAGCACTTTCAGCATTTTGCAGTCTTTCTAAAAATTTCTAATTGGATTTTACTTTGTTTTCATCATAAATTCTGCTCAAATTTCTACTTCGAACTTTTGAATTTAGATTTGTGATTGAAGGAGACCTCGGGGCACAATTATTTGGATTTAACGAAGAAGGCTTGCTGTCAATATTGTACATTTTGTTTAGTAGAAGCTGATTTTGATGCTCGATTTCTTCGTTGCGATCTTGAATCAAGCGAATTCTTTTGGCTTTGTATTGGAGATGTCGCATTTCTTTGGGAGCTTTATGTGTGTTCATGACTGATCGGACACTGCTGAGAGAGCGATGATATCTTTGAGCTTCTTTTTCTCGTAGAAATTTGCCGTAAATTGTATTGCAGGCTAATGAATTCCACATGCAAATTAATATTGAAAGGAGTTATCATTTTAAATAGGGAAGAAAATTAATAGCTGTTAGGACAAAAATTTTGGAAAAATCAACAAATTTAAATAAATTTTCTTACTCCCCCCCCCCCCCCCCTCCGTGAGCGAACAAAAAAATTTTGTTCACTCACGGAGGGGGGTTAATTTTTTTTTTTAAAAAAAATTTATATATAAATTTTATAAAAAATATTTTTTTCGAAATTTAAAAAAATCCTAATTTGCAAAAATTGGGAAGCAGCAAATATTAATTTAATTTGCAAAATTTATGTTTTAAAACGCAATTTGTTTAAAATTAAACAGAATTAGCTCTAGATTTCATTATACTAAATTATCACTTATATATCAAAATTTTTTTCCATTAAAATTTTTTCTATTAAAAAAATTTTTGTTCACTCACGGAGGGTGGGTTTTTGGTCAAAAAATGGCGATTTTTCTAATGGTTTTGTTCGCTCACGGAGGGGGGGGGGGGGGGTAAGCTTATTCTGCAAATTGGAAAATTCACTAGCAAGCAATTGAATTAAATTAAAAAATTTGAAAAATTATAATTCATCAGTAATCTAATTAGATAATAAAATTTTTAAAAAATTGAGTTATTCTGAATTATTTTCTAATAATTTAATGCAGTTATTATCAATACATTTTTAATCAAAAATGATTTTAAAAAAATCTTAATTTTACATCTTTATTTAAAAAAATCTTCAGATGAGGAAATTATTGTTAATTTATCTTTATTAAATTAATAGCAATTAAATGAATTTTATAATTCTATTAGAAAAGATTATCAATATTTAGCCACAAATCATAAAGAATCAAAACTATTTATACTTTCTATAAGCTTTAAACTCTCTAAATCCAGAACTAAGCAAGATTATAAGCCTTTTCCTATAAGCTCACAATATAGTAGTTAAGGAAGAATGCACTTCTAGAAGTTGAAAATAAATTTTAAATAAGCCAAGTAATAAAATAAGCTAGTTTTACTCATTTTCATAGAAAATATGTATTCTAAACCCCCTTTATATGGAATAAAAAATCCTGCTCCATGCCAAATCACCGAGCATTTTTGATAGTGCGACATTTCTTCGGGGAAATTTGTTAAAAACATTTTTGATAGTGAGACATTTATAAAAAAAATATTAATTTTTTTCAGCCAAAATGAAATGCAAGCACGCTATAATTGGACATTTTTGAAAATTAAAAAATATAAATTAAATACAATATTTTGAATTTTAATTTAAGTTTAGTGTGTAAACTACTTATATGCTATTCTAATTACATTTTTTCAATTAAATTTTGTCAAAATAGTAAAATTTCCTATTGAAAAAATTGTTCCAATTTAAAGGGTGCTTAAAGAACTTTACCGATATTTTATTCCGACTTAAAGGGGAGTAAAGAAAAATATAATATTTATAATTCATAATTAAAATTATTTTTTATCTAATCGTATATTTTATGCATCTTTTCAAATTTCCATTTGAAAATATTAGCCTCGTTCAATTCCCTTTTCTTTAATTTCCTAAAACCCTTTTGGGATACTCCAGATATGTATCCATTCAGTGAAGTTTTCGGATCGGGACTATAATAATAAAACCGATGAGTTTCAAACTGGCTTTTATAAGCAAAAATATCATATGTGAAGGGTAAATTCCATTCAGTTCTCGTCAGCCTCTTCATGGGTTTATTTTGGTAGAAGACGGCATAATTTCCCAAATACTCCCTTATGACAAAGATACCTATGATTTTCTTATGGAACAATATCTAGTTGAAGATCTAGGCGATCTTTTTATATCTCCCGGGCTGATAGATTTAAATGTCACCTTTGGATACGAAGGATCATCAGTTACAACAAAGGCTGGATTATGTGGAGGAGTTACATGCATTTCTACAACAGACAGACTTGATGGCGAAATCTACACTGATATCGCTCCTTTACTCCAAATTTCAGACGATAAGATCGGCGAAATTCCAAGCCTCCTCAATAGTAACATTTTTGGGTTAAAAGCATTTTTAGTGCCACAAGGCCCAGAATCTCAAATTTTAACGAAAGTTGAAGAAGCTCTTAGAGAAACTAATGGAAATTTGCCAATTTTTGTGCATCCAGAGTTCACGACTCATAAAGAGCTGCTAGAAAACACCCCTTTTCATATGGTAATTCCTGAGGAAAGAGGTCTGACGCCTTCAGAATTCAAAATTGAGGAATTTCCCGAAAATGAATTTTCAAGCTCAAGCAGTGATGATGAAATAGAGCCATTTGATTATTCCCCTGACAGTACCCCTACAACTAAAGATATTGGTGGAATCCGTAGAACTTCTTTTAAAATTCCCGTTATAATTTCTCCATTTGAGATATTACCAAATAGAAGCCCTGAAAAAAAGCGCGGGTCATTGCCTAATGTTTTCAGTGTCATTCAAAATCATAGTTTTTCTGAAGAAATAAAAACTTGTCCTAATAAAGTTAGAGGAAAACGGCATTCAATATTATGCACTTTAGGTAATCAAAATAAGCCAATTCCTCCACAAGATTTTCCGTTTATGAAAAGAGGCAGTATAAGCTCAGAATCTTATAAAAATTATGCGAAAACCTTTCCAGAGTCATGAGAAGCCGAAGCTGTTGAGAAAGTTCTGAGCTTAAATATCAAAGCAAAAATCCATTTTACTAATGTTTGCTCTAATAAAGCAATAGAATTGATAAGAAATTATAGGGATTCTTATCCAAATTTGACGTGCGAGACTTCATTGCCTTATTTATTTTTTTCAAATATTGATGTTAAACCAGGAGATACACGCTATAAGGTAAACCCTCCTATTAGAGATGGCGGAAATTATAACCTTCTATGGGACTCTTTAAAATTAAGGTATATTGATTGTATATCAAGCTACCATCAACCTGTAGCCCCTCCTCAAAAATTTTTAGGGGATTTTAAAAGAGCAGTTAATGGAGTTTCAAGCATGGGGTATTTGCTTCAAGCAATATGGACGAGGCTAAAAGCAGATGTCAGAGAAGATAATGAGAAATCATTTTTGGTGTTATTATCACAATGGCTTTCTCAAACCCCTGCTGAAATCTTAGGGCTAAAGAGTAAAGGATCGATTTCAGCTGGCAAAGATGCAGATTTGGTTATATGGGATCCTTATCAAAAATTTATAGTAAAACCTAATGAAAATATTTCTTCAGAAATGTCACCGTTGATGGGAGAAGAGCTCTATGGGAAAATCATGAGAACCTATGTTAGAGGAAAATTAGCGTTCAATGATAATTCTGGAGTAATATGTGCAGTTGGAGAGGTATTAAGGAGAAAAAATTATTAATATTAAATATATACTTTTTTATTATAGATAGCACTTTAAAATATAATTAAATATTATTTTGGCAAGACTATAGAGAAAGCATATTTATAATTCAACCTTATAGATATTAAAATTTTGTGTTTTTTGATTTATTGGCAAAATGGACAGGATAATCTTCAGAGGAGCTTGGCTCTGATTCTTGGCTCTGGATTTTTTCTAGTTTTTCGTGCAATTGATGATACGGCACAGGATAGGATACCTCTAGAGGCTTTTTTTCTTCTTTAGAAACGTTTCTATTTGACGACTGCAAGTCGTCTTCTAAGTACGAATTAGATTTTTTATTTCTTTTATGTTTTGGCTTATGGGCAGAGTTCGACAATTTTTCTTTTTTATTCAAATTGGTAGAATTTTTAAATACATTTTGCTTATAAGTTTTCCGAACACTGTGGTTTACGACAGGCTGAGGAGTTTTAGAGCGCAGCATCGCTTTTGCGAATAGAAAATTATCATTTGAAAATTTCGCAGATTTATCAACAGGCTTTCTGACTTCATCTTTATAATATTTATGAAAAAACATCCGGATATAAGCTAATAAAGGGCACTCTTCAGGAAGGAGATTTTCTCCAAATTTTAACGATTTTTGCAGCCACACTTTGGATTCTAATAGATAATACTCATTTGCTCCATTTTCAATTAAAAAACGAATTTCGGTTGCCACACAAAAATTTGCAGCTATCATCAAACATATTTTTTCTAGTAGCATATCCTTGCTAAGTGAGGGTGATACATTTACTAATCCTTTTAGCTCTTCAATTCCTAACGGTTCTATTGCCATAATATCTCCAATATTATATTCATTAATCCACTCAAATTCTTCATCATCTTGTTTTAAGCTGATTTTCATCTTTTTATTATTACAATTAGCATCTTCGTCTAAAAACTTCAAAATTGGTATAGCCTTTGTCACAGTTTTATGGTAACTTTTGTAGTGAGGACTTTCAAATAGTTTATACTGTTGCTGATTTTGCACTCTTTTTCTTAATGCACTCAAATGGGTCAATTTTTCATGCCTTTCTAACTCCCTATTAAAGAGAGGGCAAAATATTGGAAAAATGCAAGAAAAAAAATTTTAGATATATAAAATATTTTTTCACATAATTCATAAGAGTTAAAAGAGATCTCTAGATGACTCTATTTAATCTAGAACTTTTGCATTTTAAACTATATGCTTTATAAATTAAATTAGCTTTTTTATAAATATTTGTATATTTGGATTTATTAAAATCCTATAAATGCTTTTATATATAAATTTTTTATAAGATTTTGTAAAAAAATTACCCCTTGAGGAGCGAGCAAAAAACTTAATTATTTTTAAAGTAGGGAGAGTAAATGATCTTGACAAACTTTTAAATTTAAATTAACGTTTTCTTGTATTTTTGATAACCCTTCTTTGGCATGCTGCAAAGCATCTTCATGTTGTCCTAATTGAGAAAAAACTGCGCACAATTGTAAATGCAGTTTACTGATGTATTGAAGCTTAATAATTCTTTCATCAATAGATAAAGGAGAAGGGCTTGGCTGGTATTTTTGAGCTATTAGACGTTGAGAAGTTGTTATGCACGCATAAAGAGCAGAGGCACATTCTTGAAGCTCTCCTAGTCTAAATTTCAAATACCTTTGATAGCAAAGTGCAGTGTTATGAAATGTTGCAATAATAAAATCAGAGTCTATATAAGCATTTTGTGAAATAACTGCGTCAAGAAGTTCTTGACTGTGAGAAAGAGCTTCTAACGCACTTTGGAATTCACCTTTTACGATAAATTGCAAGGCAAGAGAGAGGTATTCGTGGAGAAATCGAGGAATTTCGTCTGAGTAGAGCTTACTTTCAGAGATGACAGTCTCGCTTTCGGATTCCATATTGTTGGTCTACTAAATTTCTATTAATCATGAGAAATTTTGAATAAATATACATATATATTAAGAAAATTAATTCTTTACTCCCCCCTCTGTGAGTGAACAAAAAAATTTTGTTCACTCACGGAGGGTTAATTCTTTTTTTTAAAAAAATTATATATATATAAATATTTTTTTTTTCGAAATTTAAAAAAATCCTAAATCGCAAAAATTGGAAAGCAAATATTAATTCAATTTGCAAAATTTATGTTTTAAAAAGTAATTGGTTTTAAATTAAACAGAATTAGCTTTAGATTTCATTATGCTAATTATCATTTATATATCAATTTTTTTTCACAAAAAATTTTTGTTCACTTACGGAGGGTTTTTGGGCAAAAAATAGGCATTTTTCTAATGGTTTTGTTCACTCACGGAGGGGGGGAGTTAGAAAAATAAGGATAATGAATTAGTTCGTCTTAAAAATGGAGTTAAAAAGAAGTGAAGGATGAATAAAAATATTTAAAATTCTTAATTGATATTAAAATACAAAAGTATAGCTATCTCCTTTCAATAGCCTGCTAAGGGCAGGAGATTGAGGAGGGAAACTCACTAGCTGGCTGAAAAACTCAAGTTGATCAAATCCGCTGAGAGAGGCTCATTTGCCAACTATCCAGTTGGCTTGACCAACTTGAGTTGAGTTAGTCAAGCCAGCTGGAGAGTTATCTTCATCAATCTCCTGTTTTGCCGGGCTATTAAAATGAGATTAGTATATTTTTTTAATACTCATAAATTTATATATACTGCTTAGAAAAATAACATTTACTAACTCACCACTATTAGCAAAAAATTTTGATATTATAAGTGAAAATATAATATATGATTATAATAAAGAGATTGGCGATTAGTTCGGCTAAATTTTAACAGCTTGCATCATAAAACATTTATCTTATAGATTTTTTTTTTCTCAATTAATTACAAGTTTTTATTTTTAAAACTGAAGAATTTTTTTATAAAATTTAATATAAATTTTTTAAAAAAAATAACTCCTTTACTCACTAACCAAAGAGACAGTAAGTACATCCACAAGATTATTAGCATCGAATAGAAATGATCAGAATTTTCTCAAAAACTTTACAATGCAACTTCATTTTAATTATTTATGCCTATAGATTTCTCCATTTGCATTAACTAGCAGTTACTATTAGTAATCATTAGAAACATTTCAATAATGAAATTACAAAATTTTAACTTAAAATACTTGGCAACAAGTAGAATTCTTTTGATGAGCCCGCTTCATGTTAATTCTCTTTCCATAGCTTTCTAATTGCTCACAAAACCCTTTATTTGGGTTGCACTCAAAATGCTTGCTTTTAATATAATCTAAAGCAAGCCGAGGGCTGAATTTCTTTTTGGATATTAAATAAGCCGCTGCTATAGAACAGCTTCTGGAAACCCCTTGGTAGCAGTGAATAAAAACTCGGTTAATTTAATTAATTAAAAAATTTTTCTCGAAAAAAAATTTTTTTCTAATTGCTAATACTAAGCAATAAAATAATCAATAATTCTATTATTATCTCATTTAAATTTTTATAAGCCAACATACTCGGTTATTGCTGTTAATTGCTTCATCAATAAATTCATTACATTCTTCAAAGTATTTATCGATTTTTTCTTCGCTGCGGTCCAGTACTTCAAGTTTCTTGTAGCTAAAATGGATTGGAAAATGAGGTTCCAGCTCAATCCCTGCCACAATTATGTGAGAGATTCCATTGTTTTTGAGTAAATCTAGACGAGAGGCTGCTGCCTCGTTTCCTAGATAGATGCCGTCATCGATTTTATCAATGCAAATCATGATTTGGTAGTTATTATTGTTATTATATGTGAACTGGAAAAGAAAATGGATGATTTTTTTAGCAAATTTAAGAGAAAAGCAACGGAATAATGAAATTTTAGTATTATAAAAGCAATGGAAAAGGATAAAAATTGTGAAAAATAAAATATATTGCTATAATTATTAAAATTTACAGTAATTATTATATAAAAATTAAATGCGATAAAATTTTAATTACTCATAAGAAATCTTTGAATTTTTTTGGCTCAAACTTATAAAAATATTAACTCCCCCCCCCCCTCCGTGAGCGAACAAAAAAATTTTGTTCGCTCACGGAGGGGGGTTAATTTTTTTTTTTAAAAAAAATTTATATATAAATTTTATAAAAAATATTTTTTTCGAAATTTAAAAAAATCCTAATTTGCAAAAATTGGGAAGCAAATATTAATTTAATTTGCAAAATTTATGTTTTAAAAACGCAATTTGTTTAAAATTAAACAGAATTAGCTCTAGATTTCATTATACTAATTATCACTTATATATCAAAATTTTTTTCCATTAAAATTTTTTTCTATTAAAAAAATTTTTGTTCACTCACGGAGGGTGGGTTTTTGGTCAAAAAATGGCGATTTTTCTAATGGTTTTGTTCGCTCACGGAGGGGGGGGGGGAGTAAGGAAAACTTGGTTTTTATTTCTCTAACCCAAAATAGTGTAAGTTAACTTGATTTTTTTATAAAAGTGAAACCGTTAATTTATTTATTTTCAAATTAATCTGATCTTGCTTACCGATCAAAATTTCTTAAGGGTGGATTTAAGATAATGCACATAAGATTAAATTTATTTTATATACGCTACAATTATAGTAATATCATCTACAACTTGATCGATATTTTTCCAATAATTCAACGCTCTCTCCATCAACGCATTGCAAGCTGACTCTGGAATTCCTTCTCTATAAAATCTTCCTACCAAATTGACACACTCTTCATTAGATACAAATTCTCATACTCCATCAGTCGCAAGCACTATAAACTTATCACTTTTCGTCATTTCATGGATTTTTATTTCAGGATCTGGGATTACCCCGACCTGTGAAGCTATAAAATCACCTAAAGACCTTGTCATAGCAAGTCCAGGAATTTGTGAATTTTTCAATCATACTCTTTGAGGGCCCAAAAATTGTCCAGCAATTTCACTATAAGGTTCTACCCTTCCTCCATATTTCTCTATTCTAATTCTTTCGCTTTCTACTTCTGGTTTATGGTCGTTTGATAATGGAATTGGCGTTCATCGATTATTTTCATATCTTCCTATAATGGCTCGTGAGTCTCCAGCATTGGCGCATATGCAAAATTTTCCTCTGATTAAAACTAAATTTACAGTGGTCCCAGAAAATTTGGAATCTATCGTTTTATTTTGGCTTAAATCAACATTTGCAGCTAAAAAGCCTTTAGTAATGCTTTCTTTTAGCTTGGAATGCAGCTCTTCTGTTGGGATATGGCTATTTGTGATAACTATATAAAATTTTACCTTCTGGAGGACTGTTGCTTTCTATTTCTATCGGCAGAACCCTTTTAATGAAATTTGACACAAGATGTCCTTCGATGCCATGACCATCTAAAACTCCTAATAAAATTTGATTAAAAACTTGTCCAAATTTATATTTCAAAATAAACGCATCTTGATTATTAGCTTTTGTTTTTCCTGCAGAAACCCCTGTTTTCGTTAAATATGCACATCTTACAGGAATTTTTGATGCTATATTAACCTGCCTTATCTCAGGTACTGAATTAGATAAAGGACTCTGATTTCTTGAAACAGCCTCTTTTATAGCTTTTCTTTTAGACTTGTTGACTGAGGGGAGCTCAACTACAGAACTTTCTTCATAAATTTTAAAGAATTTTCCCATAGATAGCGCTGTTTGCCCTTGATTTGCCCACTGGGAAAATTTTTTGGTTCGACAGTACCATATGGTTTGGTCAAACCAAAATATTTTCCTAATGGGCAAATCAAGGGCAAACAGCGCTATCTATGGGAAAATTCTATAATTTTTTCTTTCCTTTGTTTATTTTGTAACGATAAATGCGAATTATTTGTTAGTTTAGGTTCAAGATGAATTGCTCTTGCAAATGCATGTGGGTCGTTATTTCCCCTTAAAGAAGTTTCTTTTATTGGAAGATTTACGTTTTGTGACTGATTTAACCTATTAGGAGTTTCAACATTTCTTATGCCAATTTGCGTTTTATTTAGGAGCCTAGGAGATATATTAGGTGTATAGAATTCTTTCCTTTTGAAAACCACAGATTTATTCAATGCACTTGTATTTAATACATTTTTTTTCCTTTCTTCAAGTCTAGCTTTATTAAACATATTAAACTCCCTCAAAATTGTTGATCGAGATGGTAAAACCCCACTCGATCTGGATCTAGTTTCAATAGGCTTGTTTTCCATTTATAAAGTTTCATCATAAATAATTTGAACAAATAAATATGTTGTTTACAACTCAACAGCGACAAGGCGGCCAGAGATATAATCCAAAAGTTCTTATTGGAAATTGGCGTGAAGATGTAGATCTTGACCAAATAAGGTTCAAGGATTTTTTAAAAAGAAGAGAGGGTGGACAACTGGTAGTGCACCAAATTCAAGAAAAACTCCAGAAAAGTCTAACAACAGTTGGGCATTCTTTTAGTGGTGATGGGAAGCTGCATTTCGGAGATAGAATTATGCTGCTTAATAAGAAAACCAATGGGTTCTTAGTAACTGATATGGGAGACAAGATTGAAGGTGATGAAGGAGTTGCAGTTACAGCATCGCCTCAGTACAGATCTCCAGTAGCTCGTTCAGTATTCATTCTACAACGATTCAGTGAAGATGATGGTTTTCCTGGAGATTACCTTCATTATGGACAACAATTTACCCTGACTGTTCACCCTTATCTTTCTCAATACCCTCTTTATCTTCATTCCTTAGTTGTGTCTCCAATGAGATTTGCCAGATTTTCACGTCACCAAGAAGTCTGTATGGCTCCTCGTAAAAACGCAAACACTATATGGGTAATTGAACATTCGGACCCTAAAGTCCGCTTTGAAATGAATGGCCATCCTGTAGGAGCAAATCAAGCTGTTGTGATTAAACACAATTTGACTGGCCAGTGGCTTGCTGCTGACAATATAAACTATAAAAATGATTATGGTAGTGAATTTGAAGTATGCTCCCACTCCTTTTTAAATCATAAAAAGGCTCAACAATTATCATCAGAAAAGGTTGGAAAATTAACAGTTGATATCCCTAGTAGACATCAAGGTGATGAAAATGTCTGGATGTTTGTAACCTCAAATGACCCAAGCGCAGCTCAAGAAAACTTGCCAGCAGAAGGCACTTCAATTGGCCCAGAGCAGCTTCTCTCCAGAATCAGACAAGTGCTACTTGAAAGAGGTGGCTATGGCATCAGAGGTCTTTCCAAAATCTTCAAAAACATGGACGCGAATGGAAACAGACTTCTAGACCCAGAAGACTTCAAATGGGGCCTTATAAATTACGGCATAATACTCAACGACTCCGAAATTAGCACCCTCGTCTCCTGTTTTGATCGCAACAAAGACGGAATCGTCAATTTCGACGAATTTCTCACTACCATCAAAGGCCCAATGAACAACCGAAGACTCAGACTTGTCGCTTTAGCTTATGAAAAACTCGATAAAAATGGAGACGGCCAAGTCACATTAGACGACATCGCCAGAACTTATGACGCCAGCAGACACCCAGATGTAGTTTCAGGCAAGAAAACTGACGCTGAAATCTTCAGAGAATTCATCACCATGTGGGATACAGAAAAACCAGACGGAATCGTGACGCTCCAAGAGTTCGCAAGATACTACGAAGACGTCAGCGCCAGCATTGATAACGACGACTACTTTGAAGCCATGCTCAGACAAGCATGGAAGCTTTAAGTAATACTCTTAGATTAAACTTATAATTTAGTGGCCAAAAATGGAACAAAAGCAAGCACCTAAGACAGGCACAGGTAGAGGATTTGGCAGAGGCAAGCCTGAAAGAAGACAAGGCGACCGTCCACCACGCAGAGGCGACGCTCCTAAAGAAAAGGAAGCCTGGACTCCTCTCACCAAATTAGGCAGACTTGTAAAGGCAGGAAAACTCAAGAAAATCGAAGAGATTTTCCTCCACTCAATTCCTATCAAGGAGACTGAAATCGTGGAGCACTTCTTAGGCGACAAGCTGAAAGAAGAGCTTATGAGAATCAAGCCAGTCCAAAAGCAGACACAAGCCGGACAAAGAACCAGATTCCAAGCTTGTGTGATCGTCGGTGACTTAGACGGGCACATAAATAAAAATGGCGTGGTGAGCCAACCTGACCTCTTAAAACCTGCCACCAGATGGGAGTTTGGGAACCTTGTGGAAGGGAGGGCAGATTTCGGTATGTGTATCTGGCCGGGTTTACTTGGCCTGGTGAGCTCAATGTCGGGCTGACCGATCTCAGGCTCACATCAAAAAAGTTTAAACCCCGATGAGTATTAAACTTGGAAGATGAAAGGGATAGCCCGGCAAGGCCATAGGGCATCGGATTGGCCAATCGGGCATTTTCCCGGCGCGATTCTTGGAGTTGCGCCTGGGCTATAAGTTTCATCTAGATCGATAACCTGACCAGAAACTCTCTATCGAATTTTTGTGAAAAGGTAGCCTCATCATCATACGGCGCGATTACCCAGCGTCTTTAGCTTTGGGCAATGAGTGCTGGAGGAAGCAGCACTAGCCTTAGGGCTGTGGAATAATACTGGCGAGCAAGGGGTAGTGCGGAGTAAGGGACATGAAAAGCTTTTTCAAGCTGGCTGGGAATAATCTAGGTTAAGTTAAGACTTAGACGGACACATTGGAATTGGCATGAAAGTCGCTAAGGAAGCTCCAACTGCCATCAAAGGAGCAGCCCAGCTTGCCAAGCTCAACATTGTGCCAGTCAGAAGAGGCTATTGGGGAAACAAAATCGGAAACCCTCACACAATTGCCATGAAGGTGACAGGAAAATGCGGAAGCGTAAGGATGAGACTTGTCCCAGCACCAAGAGGAACTGGCATTGTGGCTCCACCAGTGGCTAAGAAGATTTTGAACTTAGCTGGAGTTGGCGATGTATATACCTCGACGGCTGGAAAGACGAGGTCAACCTACAACTTTGTAAGAGCCACTTATGATGCCCTTTCTAAGACATTTGAGTTCTTGACTCCAGACCAGTGGAAGCCAACTTACTTCTTGAAGACTCCATTTGACGAGCATCAGGACTTTTTAAGAAGCCAAGGTGCTGAGAAGACTTTAACAGTTTAAGACTAAGAAATTCTTCTTAATTATCATCACATAAAAATAAGGAATCTGTGGAGCCGCCAAGCTTGGGGGAACGAATGCGCTTGGCGAGTAAGGCTTCCCAGTCGAGTTTACGGAAAAAAGGGTGTCGCTTTATTTGCGAGATCTGTGGACGCTTGAGAGGGTCTCGGTTCATGACGAGGTTGATAAGGTCTTTTGCATTTGCACTGATATGATGAAGTAGGGTAAATTGGAGGGATAAATATAATAGAAGGTTTTTAGCAATTTTTTTTGCTTATTTATTTATATTGGGTATACTCATATTTGGAGGGAATGATAAACGGCCTTGCTTTATGTTTTGAAACAAAACATCAATGTCTGTTGAGTAATAAGGAGGAGTTCCTGTAAGAAGCTCGTATAGAAGTGGGCCAATTCCATAGATATCTGAGGCTTTACTTGCTCCTTTTTTTGAAACAATTTCTGGGGGCAAATAAGCTGGCGAGCCTGCCATGGTCATTGCAGGATTATTCTTGTCGACTTTTTCTTTGGCTAAGCCAAAATCAGCAAGTTTTGCATGCCCTCCTTGGTCTATAAGGATATTCGCCGGCTTCAAGTCTCTATATATAATATCTAGCGAATGTAGATACTCCAATGCCAATATAATTTCAGCTAGCTCTCCCTTGAATATTTTTTTGGAAAATTAGTACCCTTTTGATAATGAGCAAAATTTTTAATTTGGATTATTTTAAATAAAAAAATTCTTTTAACTAAAATTTTAAAAAAAAATAACCTTTGGTTAGTAGTGGATTATTTTGTTCGCTGGAGTAAATAAAATTTGGCATCATTTTCTCTGAGGTATCCTTTAGACTCAATTTGACCTAAAAGATCTCCATAAGGGCACAGTTCAAGAATTAAATATAAAAACTTGCTTGTTTGGAATGCATAATGCAGAGTCACTATAAAAGGGTGCTTTAGCTGCTTCATAATTTTGCACTCACTGATAGCATATTTCAGCTGTTTTGCTTTTTGTAATGTAGCTTTAGATAAAGATTTCATAGCATATATTTCATCTGTGTTGTTTTTTTGGACTTTATACACTATTCCAAATGATCCGCTACCTATTTCTTCTAATATAGAAAAACTATTAAAATTAACCACTTCCTTTTCATCTGCTTCTACTGAATTTGCAGCGTCTGCTGTGGTTGAAACTGTTTCGTCTTCTATGATTTCGTTAGCTATAGCTTCTGTAAATGTTTTTTTGGTTTTTTCTATTGGCTTTGTGATTAAGCAATAATTTACGCCCTGCTTGATCCTATTGACCCATTCTTTTGTTAAATCTGCATATTTTGTGTAAAATTTGTAGCTTGCTTTGGAGGTTTCAATAACAAAAGAATTGCCACCTGAAAGCCTTATATCTTGAATATCAGTTAATAAAAGCGTTGATTCTGGAGCTACCCCATCTAAATAATTTTCTTTATTTTGATGCCTATCTATAGTGCCTTTTTCTGGGTCCATGTATAAGAATACTGATTTGTCGTGAATAAATAAAGAGCCAGTCATCCAGACTTCTCCACAAAAACAGGTGAGGGAGTCTGATATTTGTGTATATTTTTTCAGCTGTTCTTGGCCAAGATATACAGGGATTATTGATAAAATTTCGACTTCTGTTGAGACTTCTATCGGCGTTTTGCCTTTGGGATCTTCTAAAGTCATGCAGGCGCTTTTGTCAAGAAGCATTTTTACGATATCGATAAAGCCTCTTTCACATGCAAGATGAAGTCCTGTTCCTCGGAATTTTGTCATTTTATTTATTTGAAGATTTGGGTGTTTTAGCAGTTCAGCTACAGCATCAATATTCCCTTGATAGCAGCAAAGCTGAAGTGGCGTCCATTCATCTATTGTTACTTTATTCGCATTTACGTTTCTACTCACTAAATATTCGACTATATGGCTATGCCCATAATAGCATGCATAATGTAAAGGACTCCACAAGCATCCTTGGGTTTGGTTCAAAATATCTTCATCATCAGGGACTTCATTTTCATAAATTTCGACAACCTTCTTTAAATCTGTTAAATTCCCCAATATGCACTCGTCAATAACTTTATCAAAAGGCCCATACTCTCTGCTGGTGGGGAAATAATTTCCACGCCCTAAAGTATCCATATATGTGGAAGCTCTTCTCAACTTTCGTGGTGTATTTTCATTCTTAAATTTTTATTAAAACAAATTATTATTTACTGAAAAACTGGGAAAATGAAAAATTATTTAGAAAGTAAAACCAAAGAAAATCATAGAAAAGCCTTGTTAATAAGTAAATAGATGCTACAGAATTTTCAATTGCAAATTTGAATTTGTCTACTTTTATAGTTGAAAAATCGTCTGAAATAAAAAATCTAAGCGGCCATGAATCGCTCATTAAAACTTGAAGCCCACATCGATATGTCAACAACCTTATCGTTTTGCTTGGGACACCAAGCAAGCTTGCAATTGTTTTTTTAGCTTGAGATACAGAATGATCAGGGTTAAAGTCAAGCTCTAAAATATTCCTTTTCGATAAATTGTTGAGAAATTTTATGCTTCCTCAATAAGCTCATAACCTCCAAAAATTGCCAATATATTTTATTTCTAAAAATGCTAGGTTCTGCTTAATGATATATAATTTTGCATTCTCTCTATAAGGAAATATACCTTAATCTTCATTATTTTATTTGTAAAAATTATGTGAAAGCTAGATTAATATTGGGCTATTATATAATTTTTAGTCAAATATGAAGCTTGTAGGGTCACTAAAAAAGAGATGCGAGAAGTGCTATTTCGTGAGAAGAGGCAAAAGGTTGTTTGTGAAGTGCGAGTCTAATCCAAGACACAAGCAGAGACAAGGGAGAGCATTTGGCACATTTGATAACACGTTTAATGGGGCTCTTGACAGCACATTTAATGGCACATTTCAGAATAATGACTTGGCTTTTCAATATCATCTTCACGGAATTTTCGGAATCCAGATGGCACTTATGAACAACTTCTATTTCAACTATAGGTAAAGTGATCTTTTGGTTTGGGCTTCCAATTTCGCCGCGATAAAAGGGGAGGTGGACAATCCAACTCCAAAAAGTGGCATAAATCCTGAAGGATGAGGTTATGCCATTTGGGAGTTTGTTTGACCAACAAAGTTGGACGGATCAACTCTCCTTTTACTGCAGGGAAAATTTAGAAGCCCGAATCAAAAGAGGGCCCGGACTATATACTAATTGACCAAGAATAGCCCACTAAGGAGCCATTCTTGGTCTGCCAGAAAAAAATTTTGACAAAAAGATCCTAATCCGCCATTACCACTGAGTTTTGGTGTTTCCAAATTTTTTGGGCAAGCCAAATGCAATAAAAAAAATTGTTCTTTTGCGATGATGCAAAACTCAATGTAATGGCGGATTAGGATCTTTTCTGCCATTACCACTGAGTTTTGATGTTGCCAAATTTTTTTGACAAGCCAAAATGCATCATCGCAAAAGAACAATTTTTTTTATTGCATTTGGCTTTCCCAAAAAATTTGGAAACACCAAAACTCAGTGGTAATGGCAGATTAGGATCTTTTGTCAAAATTTTTCTGGCAGACCAAGAATGGCTCCTTAGTGGGCTATTCTTGGTCAATTAGTATATATAAGGCAGAAGGATTTATTTTAGTGAATAAGAAATTCTTTACTCTTTAATTACATTATTAATAAGCTTTGAAGTTTTTCCAAAATTGCCATAGACAATTAGACAATTATATATACAACTTATTAATATGGGATTTTCCCATGGATGGCTCTATTGTGGCCTTGATTTTCCGACTGGGAAAATTTTTTGGTTTGACCAAACCATATGGTACTGGTCGAACCAAAATATTTTTCCAGTAGGGAAATCAAGGCCAAAGCAGCCCATCCACAGGAAATTGCAATATTTTTATATATAGTAAATAGAATAGCGGCTAATTAACAGGGAATGCGTTTTTTATATATATATTATTATATTTTTGATTAATTTTTAAAAATAATTACTATATCAGAAAAAACGAAGAGTTAGGAGAAATTAGACTTGATTTTAACTTGTTATTACGATTAAATTTCTTATAAGTTTTGAATACTTGATATATTAATATTTAAATTGGCAAATGCTTGAAAGGTATAATTCAGATGAAAATAGGAAATAAAAATATTTAAATTCTAATGTGATAACTATTTAAGAATTCAAAGTAAATTATTATAAGAATCTCTTTTTAAAATTAATTTCTTATAAGAAATAGCCTAAGACGACTAAGTACCATCATTAAAACAAATTATTTTTATGCTCCTATTTATTAAAATATATGACAATAAATTCAGATTTTTTATTATATTCTTAAAAATAATAAGCTTCCTCCATGAAATTAATGGCATATCCAATTATTGTAATTAATTAACCATTATTAATAATTAAAATTAAATGGGTTCATCATGCTCATGCCTTAATTCGCATACTACCGCAAGCCAAGAAATCGGAATAATGAACGAAGAATCTATCCTAATAAAAAAAGCTCCAGAAAAAGTCTCTACAGAAAATCAACCCACACAGTTCACAACTTTAAATATAACCCTGCCAGATCCTACCTTCCCAGTCAAAGCTCAAGCTGCTCTCCGTGGATATCTTGCCAGAAACTACATGAAATCCCTAATTATTGAGCATTCCACAAGTATCACCAAAAATCTTAAACGAGAAACTCTTCAAGAAATCCAAGGCGAAATTCCTGATTATTCTAATTCAGCCACAATGGCTGCAATTCACAAATTTGGACCATATCGATATGACTTCGACCCTAAAGATAACAATAAAGTTACCAAAAGAGGCCCAGTTTTGCTTGAAAATGGAGAAATTTATATTGGAGAATGGAATGAGAAGAATGAGAGGCATGGAAAAGGACAGCAGCTGCTCAAAGATGGGTCGATTTATGAAGGATATTGGAAAAATGATATGACTAATGGACAAGGAAGGCTGATTCATGGCGATGGAGATGTATATGAAGGGTCCTGATTTAATGATAAAGCTCATGGGTTTGGGACTTATACTCATATTGATGGAGCTCAGTATGCTGGAAATTGAGAAGAAGACAAGCAGCATGGAGTTGGCGTTGAAACTTGGCCTGATGGAGCTAAATATGAAGGCAGCTATTTGCATGGAAAGAAGCATGGGAAAGGGAAGTTTTATTGTGCAGATGGAAATGTTTATGAAGGAGAATTTCAAGATAATAATTTGCATGGAGTTGGGACCTTTACTTGAAATGATGGAAGAAAATACGTAGGAGAGTGAAAAAGTAATAGGATGAATGGAAAAGGTACGTTTACATGGCCTGACGGAAGATGCTATGTTGGAGATTATGTAGATGACAAAAAACAAGGATATGGAGTCTTCAAATGGCCTGATGGAAGAGTATATGAAGGGGCTTGGTTTAATGGAAAACAACATGGAAGAGGAACTTATCAAGCTTCTGCCCGAGGAGAAAAGAAAGAAGGAGAATGGAAAGAAGGCAAAAGGCTAAAAGATCCTTCAGAATTATAATACATGCTAATTCACTAAACTTGACATATTCATATTAAAAGAAATTCATAATTTTCAAATGTAATTTATTATGAATTTTCCCCATCTCCCACAAGGAAATCCGACAGATCTGCTTTATTTCGATTCATGGGAAAGTGTAATCATCATATAGAAAAAATGACTATCAATATTATACTATTTTACATTAGTAGGAATCTGAATGGGAACTATTTTCTTAACTGTAGAATGCAGCATAAAAGGAGGGAATTTTGGGCTTACTGTTGGAATAATTTTTTCAATTTTTATTTTGGTTTTTGGAGTTTTATTTGTGAGAGCTTGCTTAGAAACCATGCTAAGTGTAGATGTCATTAGGCAGTCATTTGAAAAAGGTGGTGGAGCTGTAAAAAATATGCATCAAGATTTAGAAGCTGAAGAAAGTTTATTGCAAAATGAAAAAGAAAGCGATGAAAATGAAGAGGAAGAAGGCTCAGAAAAAGGAGAAGAAGAGAGCAATGAAGAAGAGGAAGAGGAAAGTGAAAATGAGACAGAAAAGAGTGAGGACGAGTTTTAATGGAAAATAATTGTTTTTTTGTAAACAAGTTTGTTAAGTTATTGAGAAAATGCCGTTTTCAGCACTCAGTTTTGGTATAGAGACCAGAGAGTCGATTTTTGATTTTTGAGAGAAAAAATCATTAAGTACATCTATAAAATCATATTCTAATGCTGATAGGTACTCTGAATGTGCATCCAGATCAAGTTCTATTTCTGTAGAGTTCAAGTATAAATATTCAAATGATGGAATTATAGGGCGGCTTGGAACACTGCAAGAGACTGTAATGAATTTTTCTTTCTTTTCGAAATTGCTGCATGGTTTTACCGGAAATGTCAATCCTAGGCCAAATCATAAAGGTTTCACATCTAAAGAGCTAAAAATCCAATTCAAATCTCTATCTGCCAAATATATAAGAAATTTTATATCGTCGCTTTCAATCTCCAGCTTTTCAAAAATATTAATAATTTCAAGCCTTAATTGAATTTCTTCTATTTCTGGTCTTTTAATTTCAATTTTTTTATATTTGTCTCTACTAAATTCATGAGGGATTTTTGTCGCAGTCAAAATTACTGGATTTCTTGAATTTTTAACTAAATTGGATAAAGCTTTATAAAATCTTTTGTCAGGCTCTAAAACAATATCAATGTCTTCTATAAAAATTAAGGACCCTTTCCAAAAATGGGACTGAACAACTTGGTTTTGGCTTGCTTCCTTCATTAAACTAAGAATTGATGAGCTATTTCTGCACTGTGATGCATTAGATTCAAGGATTTTAAAACCCAGCACATTCGCCATACATTTTACTAATGATGATTTTCCTGATCCATGCGGGCCATATAAGATAATTGCTTTTGGGAGAGTTTCAGACAGAATTACAAGTGTGTCTTCTTCATTTTTATCTAAAAAGAATTGCAAATAATTACGAATTTCATCTTTAGCTGAAATATCCATTAATTCGACATCTTGCTTTGGGGTATATTTAGCTCAAATAGGCAATATCTCATTGTTCCACATAGCTTTAGCTAGAAATAAAACTTCATGTTTATCTTTGTTGCTTCTTTTGGCTATTTCTTCTAAGTCCTTTGAATGTTTACTTATATCTTTTCTTGGAGGCTCAGATTTTTTGTATTTTTTGTGACCTGTAGTGGCTTTTTTAAAAAAATAAGTTAATTCCTTACTCTTCATATACAAGCCTATTTATAATATTTTTAAATAAAAATATTAATTTAGATAGATATTGATTTTTTTAATAAAACGAGTTAGAATCTCTTTTGTTTTTCATTTTTTAAGATTAATCTAAAAGTCCCCTATTAATAAATAAAATTAAATTGGCTGAATTGGCGTTGGACTTACTAATTCTTCAACCCATTTCGGATGACTTGGCTCAATTCCAACTGACTTTTTGATTTCATTTATTTCTTCCCATAAATTCAGCACATTTTTTCTTGGTGGCTCTTCAGTAGGCTTCTCTTGAAGTAACTCTACTGATGCTGCTTTTTCTTTCACAAAAATTGAGGCTATGTCAAATGAACTTGGGACTTTAATTTTTTGCTTAAGCTCCTCAAGCATTTTTTGCCCTTCTCCTTGCTTTGTTTTCAAGTACTCTTGGGCTTCTAAGATTCTAACTTGCTGTTTTGAAGGTATCCACTGTATATCAACGTCAATAAGCTCGCTAAATTTCTTCATTGTGTTAACAATGTCATCTTCTGTTGAGTCAAACTTAAACCTTTGTGCAGCCTTTTCTATGGTGTTAGGGTATTCTATTTCATTAAGTCTTGTAACTTCAGCTTCGTATTTTTTAGAGAAAACAGTTCCAGTTTCAGAGTGGATTACCATGTTGTTGTAGTTTTGCATATAGTGGAGGCCCACTTTTAGACTTCTCTTTCTTTATGTTTTTTATAGGTAAAATATACACTTAGGTTTATAAAAATTCAGCATTAAGTGAGTTCGCCAATCCAAGAGTTGGTTCAACTAAAATAAGTTTGAGAATTGAACTGCTTGGTCTCATCAAAAATCGGGCAATGAAAAGTCTAATAGCGTCCTAACACTATATGAATTGGGACCAAATTCATCTTATGCGGAGGCAAAATATAGCCTGTGAATGGAAACAAGTTTAGATTTCTTGCATGTTTAATAGCTCTTGCTACTCTTCTTTGTGTTTTTGCCTTTAGCCTTGTCTGCCATCTATTTTTAATCAGCCCAGCAGGTGTCATAAACTGTGCTAAAAACTCAGTGTTTTTATAATCAATATCATCCAAATTAACTTCTCTCATATTTCTCCTCCTTGTCCTATCTCTTGTCCATACAGGCTCAGGGTACATTTGCCCTCCATACCTAAAATATCTGTTATAAGTTCCTACTTTGCTTTTCCATCCATGTTTATAATAATAATCATAAGGCTGGATTTTATTAGGGTACAATTTTCCAGCTGCAACTTCATAATCATAAGAATCAGGGACTTCATGCTCATAAATTTCATCTTTAGGCAGTGCAGCCCTTGATCTATCAATCCCTGTGTCCTGTCTTAAGGCGTAATCAATGACTTTTTGGACTGTAAACTCTTCTCCTGGCTTTACCATCATTTCTCTTGCATCTCTATTGTATCGCAAGTATTGAAAAACTGGATCTTCTGATAATGATAAGCCGCCTGGCTTATTGTACAAAATTTCTTCACGGGAAAGCCCAGTTTTTTCTAATTGGTCCATTTTGTAATCAATTTGGTTGTGGATTCGCTCTTTTTCTTCTTTGCTCATCCATTTTAAAGGCCCTGCAGGGGCTCGGTAGCCTTCATAGAAGTTTTTTTCGTCTTCATGGATAGCGTCATGCTCTTTCAGTGGACGACCTTTACCCTTGTAAAACAGAGAATCACCCCAACTTGGCTCTGAGCCTGTCACTTTTACTTCATCAAGTTTTTTTGCAAGATGTGGGAAGGCCCTTTCGAAATGAGGGTTATTATAAAGCTCATTTTCTATGATTTTGCTTGCTTTTTCCGCGAAGGACCTAACTATTGAGGATTTAAGCATTATAAGAAAATGAAATTATTGTGCATAAATAGAGTTAATGAAAGGAAGAACTACAGCAGTTAGCCAAGATTTTCCAGAAAATCTTATAAGTCCATTTATATTAACTCTCCCCCTATTTTTCAGGTAAAAAACAAACCTCTATGAGCAGATAAAAAATTTTTTAATATAAAAATGTTTTATGAAAAAATATTTTGATATATAAGTGATAATTATTATAGCGATATCTCTAACCATTCGATTAAATTTTAAACAGCTTGCATTTTAAAACATAAAATTCGCAAATTAAATTAATATTGGCTTTCCAAATTTTTGCGAATTGGGATTTTTTTAAATTTGATAAAAAAATACTACTATAAAATTTATATATAAATTTTAAAAAAAAAATTAACCCCCCTCCCGCAAGCATATAAATTTCAGAGGGGAGTAAGACTGAAAAGACCTGAGACAAGACCAAGCAAGCAGTTCAATCCAGAATTAAAATTAGGTGTCTCATCGGAAAGTCCTGTATCATTTCATTTATCTAATGTCCCAGTTCTCACTCGAGAAATGAAAATTCAGTATACAGACAGAAAATCCACATCTCCAGACCGATTTATCCCAACCCAAAAACAATATAAAATTATTGATAAAAGAAAATTTACATACCAAAATTATTTATTTCATGGAAAATGCGACCCTGATAAAGATTCTATAAGTCCCAGCAAAAGCCTAGACTTAGATTATGCAGAAATGCCTCAAAAAACTTCAGGCTATAATAGATATTGAAAAAGAAGGTATGATTCTCCAGAAGGGTTTAAAAAATACCAAGGAATGTTTTCATGAAACATCAACCATAAGAAAAACAACTACAGGTTCGAAATAAATCATATAAAAAATCTAAAAGAAAAAATCCAATTATCTTCAAGAAGGACAAGCAGGGTCAACACACCAGAAAAACCAGCAAGACCTATAAGCTGTGATGTCACGTTTAGGCGATATCATAAAGAAAGAGCCTGCAAAAGCAGCAGAGAAAGTATTGATATAACTCTCCAAATAAATTCAGAGCTAGAAAGCTTTGAAAAAAGAATTGAAACACTGAAACCCAATACCAGAAAAATTTATGAAATTTAAATAAAATAATTTGAAATTTATAAATGGAGTGCCCAACCTGTTTTGATGTTTACAATGATGAAACAAAAAAACCTCACTATCTTGAATGCGGCCATACATTTTGTGAGGAATGTTTAGCACGCATCCAGCAGAACCTCAGAATTCAATGTCCAGCTTGTCGAAAAACTTTTACTAACGTAGTACCTAAATCACTTCCTGTTAACTTTATAGCTGCTGATTTAGCAAGAAAATATCATGAAGATCGAAAAAAGCTTGTTATGTGTGATAAACACCCGATCGACCCTATAAAATTTTTTTGTAATACATGTGAGGAATGTATATGCATTGAATGCATAATTCAGCATAGTGGCCATCAGTTTGTGAAGCAAGAAGAAAGCATTAAAGTTTTAAAGTCAAGAGTTGACAAAATCGCTAGTAGACTTGATGGCTGTATTGATAAATCAAATAACGCGAAAAAAGAAATTGCTAAAGAAGAATCCTCTTTAATGCAAAGAAAAGAAGCAGACAAGATGAAAATAGAAAGCGATTTCAATATTTTAATTGAATTATTATCAAATCGGAAAGAGCAGCTCTTAAATGCATATGAAGGCATGCTTGGAATAGAGATAAACAGACTCAAAGAAGAACAAACCAAACTTGATGCTCAAGAGCTCGAAATTTTGAATGTGAGACAGATTTTGCTAAAAAAGGCTGAAGAATTGCAATTTTTAAATGACGCAGATTTAGCTGGAGGAAAATACGCAGAAGAGGTTAACTTAATTAGAGAAAAAGTAGAAAATTTAGAGCCTGCGACAGCTGGGACTTTAAATTTGCATACTATGTGTCCTACAGTTGACATAAACATTACATCATATTTAGACTATATTCAAAGTATTGGAAACATCATATGAGATCCCAGAAGAAACTATGAAATCATAGAGCCCGTGATCTGTTATTTTGGCGACAAGAACAAAGTAATGACATATGATATCACCTCTAATACTTGGGACTTAAAAACCTATTACGGTGCTTATGAATTCAACTACTATGCAGCCGCAGTTGCTCTACCTGACGGTAGCGCACTTATAACTGGTGGAGGAAGCTCGAACTCTGTATACCATTACAAGAACAAGACAATATATTTAAAAGAGCCTATGATGCAGATCAGGAAAGAGCACTCTGCAGTCTGCATAAACAATTATGTTTATGCATTAGGCGGCTATGATGGGATGGCTAACACCTTCCTTAAGCAATGTGAAAGGTATTGCATACAAACTGATAGCTGGGAAGAATGCGCTAACATGAATGTCCCACGCTGTGCTTTCAGTGCGATTTAAACTTAAACTTCTTACAGGTCTTGCTTGGGCCTATTGATAGCGCAGTCGTCATGGATCCCCTATGTGATTCACCCTCTTTGCGATGCTGACAGGGAGAACTTTCTTGAGTAAGATGACTCTTATCTTATGGTATTTATATCGCTTAACGTCCACTACGGGGTTACAACTCCAGGTTTATCACTCGCCTTTCGTCGCATCGGGCCCACCAGTCTGCTGGAGACAAACTCGCTTCGATCACCAAGGTGCTTCCAGGGCAAATGTCCACGTCTTCGACGGCGAGTAAGATGACTCACCAGGAGATGAACACTACCTTTCCTCTTCTTCACCACCTGACGCATGCACCTGCAAAGTAGTTCTGTGTCTCTGTCTTATCCTTGCCTTGTCGACTTCAGTGTGGAAGGCTAAGGACTTCTGCGGCATGCTACTTGGGTCGATGAAGATTGACCCCGCAAAAATCCCAAAAATGGGACTATCTGCAAAAAAAGGGGAAATTCAAAGCCTGGGGCGTAACTCCCAGTCTCACTCTAGGTAGTTGCCCGAGTGGTCTAGGCATTGCCTGTAGACTTTGCTCAGCTTACCCTTTCCAACTCTGAACCCACCATTTTTCTCGAGGAAATATCCAATCCTGAAAGCGGACTAGGGCTAGGCTCTGTACATTGCCAGAGCTGCTTATCCAGCATTGTTGTCCATTAATGGGTCGGCAAAACCTTGTCAAATATAATTAAAGCACGCACTCGAAGGGAATCGGCGAAGCGCTGAGACGCCATATTTAATTGTGCTTTCAGTGCGACAGTTGTAAATAATCGCTATATTTATATTTTTGGAGGATATGATGGGACTCAAAGATTAAGTAGCATTGAAAAATATAACCCAGAGCTCAATACTTGGACTGAATCAAGGGCAAATCTACAATTTCCGCTATCAAATTGTGCATGTTTTTCTCCTGAGAGAAATAAAGTTATTGTATTAGGAGGAGGATTTTCGTCAGGGTTTTCATTATCGGTTGAAAAGCTAGATATAGAAACAGAAAGCTGGGTCTCGCTGCCGATGATGACTGAAGGAAGGGACTTGAGAAATAAAGTTACGTATTTTAATGGAAATGCTTATTGCGTGGGTGGATATAGTTTTAAAGCAGAAATGATTAATTTAGCAAGAGAAATGTGGATACAGCTGCCGAATTACTTGGTGAGTGATAATTTGGACTCCTGGTCTTCGGCTTTAACGTACAGATTAGTAGAAAAACGAGAAAGTGAGTCAGTATCTCGTGCTTCTTCAATCAATATATCAAATAATTAATAATTAGTCAAAATTCAAAAACTCTATATAAAATTGCAGTTAACTTTAATTGATAAACTCTCATCTATTAATTTAAAATAAATGGCATTTTCATATCATTATTATAGAAAGGAATCAATATTTAATAGTAATTTACTAAAATATTACACAATTATTGATTTGAACTCTTTCAAACGTTTTCGTATCCAAATTAAATCGATAGTAATCATGATGAAATTGGATCGAAATTCAAAAATATGCGTGATTTCCATACAGCACATAACTCATTTTATCATAATAAAATGAAACATCATAAATGTCTTTCACCTTTTTTCATGAATACTCGTCTAAAATTTCGCTTTCATAAATAGCTCCTAATTGCCCTATTGCGTAAGCTCTTATTTTATCAGTGACTAAAAATTTGCATATGCCAGCTCTTAGGCTTATTTTTGATTGTGGGATTATAGTGTAAGAATCTATATTAAAATCATATAAATAAATGCAAGAATGCTTGCTTCCTGAAATCAGGATTTTTTTGTTAAAGACAATACATGAGCATTTAATAGAATCAACGGGCAGTGCAGATATGGTAAATCATTGATTTTTTGAAAAATCGAAAGTATGTTCTAATGGGGAATTATTGAATTTATACCCTCCAAATACATACACTTTATTTTCGTAATAAACACCTTCAGCTTGAACTGAGTTAGATACTGAAGGTAAAAGTTTATAAGATAAGTTAATTGTGTCAATAATGCATGCAAATCCCTTAATGATAATATAAAAATAAAATGATTATATTGACTCTGAGCCGCTCTCTGGATTAGGAAGGACCCTCCTAATTAAGCTGAAAGCAGGGCTTCTGTCCTTTTTGAAGTAGGCCTTCATGTTAGGAAATATCTGCCAAAGTGGAAAGATTTGTTTTTCTCAAAAATGTTTTCCAGTCCCTGCCAGATGGGCTAGACAATTCGACTATCACATGATCTTCTCTCATCAGGACTATCAGTGATACTCTCCAGACGGTAGAGAATCTGCACTAGAGAGCTGAACTTTTCTACAGGTTTTCTCAGGTTGGAGATTCAAAAAAACGACCTTTGGAGCTAAGATGAGTGGCGGCTAGTGGGTTTACCCGCTTATGAATCATAACCTTTAGCTTAAATTAGCTTACTGATAATACTCGAGCCATAGCAAAACAGCTTAAAGTTTGGCAAATTAATTATGCAAGTTCCGAAATCAAGCAGTGGAATTTTTATTTTTTTTTCTTTCTCACTGTGAGTCTTAGTATCAAATATTAATATTGATGAGTAAGCTATGGTTGTTTTGCTTGTAGAATAAATGTGGGTATTATCAAATTTCTCTTTATTTTCAACATTTGTTTCTGTGATGTCTCTACCAAGAGTTTTCATATTTAGTTCTAATAAATGTTAATGGAGAAAACTTTTCACAAAAAGCAACTAGTATTTATAGTCTATTGCTTCAATACAAGTATTTCATCTAAAACTCTATAAAGACTACGCCTTTTGCTCTTATTCATTAATTAAACAATAATATAATCTAGTGTTTCTTAATTATTAGATGTGCATTTCGAATAAGATCAATTGCCAAAATAAAACAGTCTAGAATTGGGTAGATTAATAATACAAATTCCTCTATCAACTAAATTACTACCTACTTTCTTTTTTCTTCACTGAAGACTTAATATCAAAAATTGCCATTAGAAATTTATTTTGACCTCCATCATCGATCATTAAGTAAACGTGGGTATTATCAGATTCTTCTTCATTTTTGGAATCTTTTTCTGTGGTATTTCTTCCAAGCCTAATCATATTTTTTAATATGCATTTCAATTAATTTCTTATTTAGATAATAAATAAGTACCTGTTATGCTTACAGAAACCTTTATATTATAGAGTTTTTCCATAAAATTACTGAGTCTCAATTTTAATAAATAATTTATGCATTAGCTAGCTCAATTTTTTTCAATTTTTTAGTATCCAAATTAAATTGAAAATAATTATTAACTCCCCCCCCTCCGTTAGTGAACAAAAAAATTTTGTTCACTCACGGAGAGGGGTTAATTTTTTTTTTTTAAAAACATTAATATATAAATTTTATAGAAAATATTTTTTTTCGAAATTTAAAAAAAATCCTAATTCGCAAAAATTGACAGCAAATATTAATTTAATTTGTAAAATTTATGTTTTAAAAAGCAATTTGTTTAAAATTAAACAGAATTAGCTCTAGATTTCATTATAATAATTATCACTTATATATCAAAATTTTTTTCCATAAAAAATTTTTGTTCAATCACGGAGGGTGGGTTTTTAGGCAAAAAATAGCGATTTTTCTAATGGATTTGTTCACTCACGAAGGGCGGGGGGAGTAAGGAATATCTGATTTGATCCAATATAAATCATATTTTCATTTACAACATAATACATGTTCCATCAATTATAAAAATCCCAGCATTCTAATATATTTTCCCAAGAATGCTCATTTAGAATTTCACTTTCATACATCATTCCTCATTCCTGCATCAAATAGACTCTCTTTTTAGCAGAAACTAAAAGTTTAAAATTGTTAATTCCAATATTCATATCAGAATTTGTAATTATTGAATAAGAATCAGAATCCACATCATAAGAATAAATGTGCCGATGCTGATTCCCAACAATTAAAATTTTTTTGTTAAAAGTAATACACGAGCATTTATCTGATCCAATTGGCAATGAAGATACAGCTCGCCATTGCTTTTGCAGTAAATCAAATTTATATGCAAGTGGCACACAACTGTGGCTGCTACCCTCATCTTTAATTCCTCCAAATACATAAATTTGGTTTTTGTAATATGCTCCAACAGTTTCTCGATATCATTCTTTTGAAGGTAAGAGAGTATATGTCCAATTTTTTGTATCAATAACGCAGGCTAACCCATACTTATAATTCGATCCAGAACTAGCACAAAATATCTTGAAATTTGGCAGCTTAACAACACAGCTTTCTTTGCCTAGGTTATTAATTTTTATTTCTTTTTTATCTTCCCTCCAAGTATTTGTGTCAAAAATTGTCAAAGTTGAGATCAATTCATCCATAGAACTCATTAAATATATATTCGTCTCATCAAACTCCTCTATATTTTCGCTTCCTTCAACTGCAGCTTTCTCTTCAAGTATTTTCATATTATTTTCAACATAATAAAAATTACTTGAAAAACTAGAAGTCATCTTCTAAATAATTGATAATTATGACTTCCACATCCCCTAAGAAATGATTAATTAGTTGTCATAGTAATGACTGCTCTTATACATGAGCCTTCCTCCATCACATGGAAGCTTTGGTTAATTTCATTCAAATTGAAATGATGAGTAATAAACTCGTCAACCTTAAGTTGCCCAGATAAATACTTATCAACATACTGTGGAATCATTGTCCTCCCTTTGACTCCTCCAAATGCGCTCCCACATCACACTCTTCCAGTCACAAGCTGAAAAGGCCTCGTCGAAATTTCTTGGCCAATCCCTGCTACACCAATGATACAGCTTTTACCCCAGCCTTTGTGGCAAGACTCCAAAGCTGCCCTCATAGTATTCACATTTCCAATGCATTCAATGGTATAATCAAGTCCTCCGTCTGTAATTGACGTCAAATGCTGCTGAATTGGCCTTTCTATATCCTTAGGGTTAATGCATTCTGTAGCTCCAAACTCAATCGCCCTTGAGAATTTCCTTGGGTTCATATCAATTCCAATAATTCTTGCAGCACCAGCTTCTTTTGCTCCCATAATAGCAGCTAAACCAACACCTCCAAGACCCCAAATAGCGACATTAGCTCCAGGCTCAATTTTCAATGTATTCATAGCAGCTCCATATCCAGTGGTAATCCCACATCCTAATAAGCAAACTTTACCTAGATCTGCAGCTTGGTTTACTTTTGCAACTGAAATTTCAGCCACAACTGTATATTGAGAGAAGGTCGAAGTTCCCATGAAATGGAAAACTGGCTGGCCTTTGCAATAAAATCTGGAAGTCCCGTCTGGCATTAATCCACGTCCTTGGGTGTCTCTAATGATGGAACAAAGGTTGGTTTTTCCTGACTTGCAGAATTTGCAATTTCTGCATTCAGGGATATAAAGAGGAATCACGTGATCTCCTGGCTGGAGAGAGGTGACGTCTTCTCCAACTGATTCTACAATGCCACCACCTTCGTGACCTAAAATGGCGGGGAATTGGGATTCTGGGTCTTCTCCTGACATATAAAATGCGTCTGTGTGGCAAACTCCAGTGTAAAGGACTTGAATACGGACTTCACCACGCCGAGGAGGGTGAACTTCGATTTCTTCGATTGCAAGAGGCTGCCTAGGACCCCAGCAAACTGCTGCCAGACAATTGATGATGGACATTTTTATAAGTCTGATAAGAAAAACAATTTAAGGTGTGGAGAGGGCTTTTAATAAAGTAATAAAAATAATCAATTAAATAAGAAAATTCACTTTATAATTCGAAAAGGTCAATTAATTATTTTTTAATCTTTTTTATAGATTTTTCCCTATCTTCATTATTATATTTTAGATTATTTTGAACTATTATAGATATGCCAAATTCTATTTTTATCAAAATTTTCATTTTTAGCGTTAATTCGTTTTTCCGCAATTGTGATTACTAGTTGTTTATAATCTTTTTTGTATACAAATAATTTCTTTTAAAAATTTATCCTAACTCCCCCCCCCCCTCCGTGAGCGAACAAAACCATTAGAAAAATCGCCATTTTTTGACCAAAAACCCACCCTCCGTGAGTGAACAAAAATTTTTTTAATAGAAAAAATTTTAATGGAAAAAAATTTTGATATATAAGTGATAATTAGTATAATGAAATCTAGAGCTAATTCTGTTTAATTTTAAACAAATTGCGTTTTAAAACATAAATTTTGCAAATTAAATTAATATTTGCTTCCCAATTTTTGCAAATTAGGATTTTTTTAAATTTCGAAAAAAATATTTTTTATAAAATTTATATATAAATTTTTTTTAAAAAAAAAAATTACCCCCCCTCCGTGAGCGAACAAAATTTTTTTGTTCGCTCACGGAGGGGGGGGGGGAGTAAATAAAAAATGCTTGGAAGATTCACAAGAGGTTTACTTAAGAGATCCTTTGCAGAGCGCACATATGGAGGCTTAAAAGACCAAGACAGAATATTTACAAACCTCTACAAAGATGGAGACCCAATGCTGAAAGGTGCACAAAAACGTGGAGATTGGCATCAAACCAAAGATATTCTGTCAATGGGTCCAGATTGGCTGATCCAAGAAATCAAAGATAGTGGACTTCGTGGGCGTGGAGGAGCTGGCTTCCCTTCAGGGTTAAAATACTCGTTTATGCCGAAAAAATCAGATGGGAGAACTTCATATTTAGTAGTCAACGCTGATGAGTCTGAGCCTGGGACTTGTAAAGATAGAGAAATTTTGAGACATGATCCTCATAAGCTGCTTGAGGGCATGCTAATTGTAGGCACTGCTATGAGAGCTAGAGCTGGATATATCTATATGAGAGGAGAATTTTGGCACGAAGCAAATGTAATCCAAGCTGCAATTGATGAAGCCTATGCTGGAGGATTTTTAGGTAAAAATGCATGTGGATCTGGCATCGATTATGATATTTATTTGCATAGAGGAGCTGGAGCTTATATCTGTGGTGAAGAAAGTGCTTTATTAGAAAGTTTAGAAGGCAAACAAGGAAAGCCAAGAATGAAGCCACCATTCCCAGCCAACATGGGTTTGTATGGCTGCCCAACTACAGTCACTAATGTTGAAACTGTTTCAGTTGTCCCTACAATTATGAGAAGAGGAGCAGGCTGGTTCAGCTCATTTGGCAGAAAAGGCAACGCTGGAACCAAGTTATATTGTATATCAGGCCATGTCAACAATCCTTGCACAGTAGAAGAAGAAATGTCAATTCCTCTAAAAGAACTTATAGACAGGCATTGTGGAGGCGTCAAAGGAGGGTGGGATAATCTCCTTGGTATCATCCCTGGAGGCTCTTCAGTGCCTATTTTACCTAAAAGAATATGTGAAACTGTCCTTATGGACTACGATGCTCTAAGAGAAGTCCAGTCTGGTCTGGGTACGGCAGCTGTTATCGTTATAGACAAATCAGTCGACATTATTGACTGCATTTTAAGGCAAATAAAATGGCTTCGGATGGAAAAGTAATTCACTCTGTATATTCCTTTTCCCTCACAACAAATTTTATTATTATAGGGTTAGATTTTTACACGTGGGTTTCTGTACAAGAGGAGAAAATCTCGAGCAGTTTTATATTTCACCCACCTTGCGTATTGTGCTTCATCTATTTACACAGCTGATATAAAAGGTAGGAACTTTAGTCCGAACAGGCGCTAGAGGAAAGTCAGATAGAACAAGGTAACACGCCAAGCCACTAGTGCTTCCGTACTCCTGCATTCCAAAACGGCTTCACAGAGACTAGGAGGAGCGAGTCGGACTGCGAGGGTCCGATATAAGCTCGAGAGTAAAAAAAAAAATGCGTCTCACCCACTTGCAACTAGAGCTGAACTAGATGTTAGTTAAATAAAGTTAATTGGGTGATTGACTGCATTTTAAGGTTATCTAAATTTTACAAGCATGAATCATGTGGACAATGCACTCCTTGCAGGGAAGGAACTACATGGCTTGTTGATATTTTGACCAGAATCAAGTATGGTAACGCAGACTACGCTGAAATTGACATGCTGGAAGAATTGACAAGGCAGATTGAAGGCCATACCATTTGTGCTTTAGGAGATGCAGCAGCATGGCCTGTGCAAGGACTGATTAAGAATTTCAGAACAGAAATGGAAGACAGGATTAATAAGTATTGGGCTGAGCACCCTGGAGCTAGGAAAAATCCAGTAGAGTCAGTCAGAAATATTGAGACCTTAGAAGGATATCAAAGAGTGCTTGCTCAAAAGCATTAACCAATAAATATAATTGGATTAAATTTATAAAGATTTAAATCCAAACCCTTTAAATTTTTTCAGTTTTTTCATAAAAAGCTATATAGACCTGTGCATTTACAATGTCACTTTCTGAAACCTCTCTGACTCTTAAATCATCGTACTCAAACCATTTATTTCTCTTCGTGTCTTTACAGTAGGCGATATAATGCCCTTTTCATATCGCGCCATAGTGCTGCATCACTGCAATCAATTGATATTTTTGGCTTCCTTCATCACAGCTAAACTGGGATAAGTTTAGTTTAAAAGGTATTTGAACATAAGTAGAAACTTTTGAGCCTCAATATGCATATTTGAATCTTTTCAAATTTATTATCAATATTTGAGGGAGTTTTTTAATTTTATGCTCTTGGTTTGCTTCATTTTTGCTTTCACATTGGCTACAATAATACAAATTATCCTCTTGATTAAGGACTTCAGGCTTAAAATGATGTATTAAGCAATCATAAATAGAAATTATATTCCCTCCACCTTTTCAAAAATAGCTAACTTTTTTTTACCTTTTTACTTGATTAAACCATGAATTTTTAGCCTCTTCCATGTAGCTTTTGTCTTTTCACTCCATCATATCATATGATTTTGGGGAAATTTCTGAAGGGATTGCAAGAGAGAGATCCAAAAATGATTCGTCTCTGGTGGATACAGATTTGCAACCTCTGCATGTTGTTTTGCATTCTATTGTCCCTACAAATGTATCTGATATTATAGATGAGCCTGTGATATGGCGAAGTGTAGAGTCTATGCTATCTAATAAAAATCGTAAAAATTCTTGGGAGTCTTGCTGGGTTTTAGGTCGATAGTCTGGGCATAAAGTATAAGCCTGATTTACAAATTCCTTAGGTGGAGGAGAGAAATAAAATGGTAAAATTGATAGAAATTGAACTCTGAGGCGCACTCCCTATGATCAGGTATGACCCATCCAGATGAGGCTGAAAATAGAGCTTTTGTCCCTTTTTGAAGCAGGCCTTCAGATTCGGGGATGCCTGCCGAAGATGGAAGTTTGGTTTGTCTCGAAGGTTTTCCTATCCCTGCCAGATGAAATAAACAGGTTTAGCATACCACATTATTAGGACCATCTAGAGACCCTGGAGATGGGGCTCTGCCCTAGGGAGCTGAATCCTTGAACAGGTTTTCAGATCGGGAATCAAAATTGGCAACCTTCTATTTTTCTTATTCTAACTCAGAGCTATGGAGGCTGCTATTCTTGGAGCCAAGATGAGGCGAAGGCTATAGTCCCTGAAATTATTTAGATCATTATTGGCCATTCATTTTAATTTCCAAAATTAATTTGTACTTGTCAGCTTTTTGAAAAGTAAAAACGAAAATGACAAGTCTCCGTTTATGGTTTTAAGGTACCTAATCAGACTTATACTGTATAAGACAGGTGCCCTGCACCATATTTTTTCTGGTCGGTATTCTACTGGGGTATAGAGATCTATTAAGGTGCATAAGCTATAGTGGCTAGTTAGTTTATGGCCAGATTAATTTTTAAAAATTAACTTACTCCCCCCCCCCCCCTCCGTGAGCGAACAAAAAAAATTTGTTCGCTCACGGAGGGGGGTTAATTTTTTTTTTTTAAAAAAAATTTATATATAAATTTTATAAAAAAATATTTTTTTTTCGAAATTTAAAAAAATCCTAATTTGCAAAAATTGGGAAGCAAATATTAATTTAATTTGCAAAATTTTATGTTTTAAAAAACGCAATTTGTTTAAAATTAAACAGAATTAGCTCTAGATTTCATTATACTAATTATCACTTATATATCAAAATTTTTTTTCCATTAAAATTTTTTCTATTAAAAATATTTTTGTTCACTCACGGAGGGTGGGTTTTTGGTCAAAAAATGGCGATTTTTCTAATGGTTTTGTTCGCTCACGGAGGGGGGGGGGGAGTTAGGTGAAAGCATAGGATAGCCTTCTCATAAAAATATAATCAATTTCTGAAATTCTTCAAGCAGCCTAAGTAGGAATTACTTATAGTTATACCCATCCTGCTCTCTATCTTGCATATCAACCTGCTGCTTTCTGAAAAACCTTTTGATAGGCTTAACTTTGCTTAGGCACTGCACTGCTGCATTCATATAGCATGTATTTCCTAAGTTTTGCAGTCCAGTCCTTCATTTAAAGTTTCTATTCGGATAAATATTGCCAGCCTGTTCGAATTTTCCAATCATATTTAATTCTATATATATGAGCTAAATAATTATTTTAGTCTTCATAGTATTTAATCATACCTATTTTGAGTATGATATCTTGGTTCGTCACTTGGTCACCAGCAGTATTTTCTTGGGCTTTTCTACCATGGGTTTCTTCAGTTCTAAGGTACATTATTTCTTTAACCATTCTTTTACCCCAAACTTGGCCATCTTCTACAGATGCAGGGACATCAGGGATAATGACAGAAATAATGAACTTGGAGAATAGCAAAATATGCTCCAACCCGATAAAGATCAACAGTAATTCATATTTATCATAGCTGTCTTCATCAAAAATTCCTGATGTAAAAACGACTAAGGCAGCGTTGCTAATTGAACCTGCATAAGCAATTGTTACCAAAATAGCTCGCCAGACACCGATGTCTTCAGCACGGTGAGGGAATGGTCGTTTGGTTAAGCAGCAAAGCTTCCAGGCGTCGACACGGATTTCTAACTCCAACTTTGATTATGGGCAAACAATTTTTAACATAAAAATTTATAAACATAATAATTTTATATATAATTAATGATTATAATAACGAGATCTCAGTTAAATTCTATTTAATTTTAAACAACTTAGACTTACTATATCGGACAAGAAATAGGTGTAGATGAGCTTGATAAATTTGTGAGTTTGCGGATATAGGCCAGGCAATAAGTCTTAGGCCACTATACTAGTCATAAGATTAAATTATTTATATTTACTTACTCCCCCCCCCCTCCGTGAGCGAACAAAACCATTAGAAAAATCGCCATTTTTTGACCAAAAACCCACCCTCCGTGAGTGAACAAAAATTTTTTTAATAGAAAAAATTTTAATGGAAAAAAATTTTGATATATAAGTGATAATTAGTATAATGAAATCTAGAGCTAATTCTGTTTAATTTTAAACAAATTGCGTTTTAAAACATAAATTTTGCAAATTAAATTAATATTTGCTTCCCAATTTTTGCAAATTAGGATTTTTTTTAAAATTTCGAAAAAAATATTTTTTATAAAATTTATATATAAATTTTTTTTAAAAAAAAAAAAATTAACCCCCCTCCGTGAGCGAACAAAATTTTTTTGTTCGCTCACGGAGGGGGGGGGGGAGTTACAAATCTATATTTTTAAAATCCTAAAAAATTAACAAGTGTTTTTAATCGCTCATCAATTGGGAAGTAAGGTGATTTCTATTAAAGCTAAAAATGGAAGAATAGGGAATGCTGAGCAGAATAAAGCGACATAGCCGAATTGGATAGCCATTTCCATGTAATCGTCTAATGGCGATTCGTAATCTTCAAATTTAGCTTGTGACTCAATAGGTCCCATATACTCTCTAATAGAGTCATCATCTGCTTTCATTTGTTTGACTTTTCTGTTCTCTTTCCATACTGCTAGCTTGTGCTTAAACCAAGGAAGGCCAAGTTCAACTACATTTAAGGATAAGTTTACTATGAAAATGAAAGCTAATTGTGTGGAAAGCTCAGTCATGCAGTCTGGCTTGCATTCATCAATATAATCTTTGAGAAATGCAATGTAAAACAGTGAAATATAAGAGTTCACGAATTTAAATAGGAAAAGCTTTACTGCCAGGTTATCATTGTACTCAGTTTCTGTCTCATGATTCTCCCAGCTGTTTAAGAACTGCGCAACTTTTCCATATACAATGTTCATGATTCTAATTTGAATAGCATTTAACAGTCCGCAAACTTGTGGGCTCCAAGACTGTGTTTTATTGGCAGCTCTAAATATGAAAATTCCAATCACAGCTGCAATAACGCAGATAACAAATACACATGCAACGCTGTAGCTGAATAGTTGTCTGATCTTATAGTTATCTGACTTTTCTCTGTGCTTTTTCATAAGCCCAGTTACCTCATCTCTACCAAATTCGCCTTTAAATTCTCCTCTCTGGTCTTCTTCTTGTTCAAATCCTATAGTTCCCCATTGCCAAGCATAGTTTTTTTCGCTGCGGATCCAAATTTGGTCGAAAAATGCTGCCCAAAATGACAAATAAATAGAAAAGGCTACTGTGAAAATTTGAAGTAAAAGTTTTTGGTCGCTTTCTAATGTTAATTGTAATATAAAGAGAGCTAGGCCAAAAACGGCTGCAAAAATCATAAAACAATTGTAGCATCTCATCCAGGCGAAATAGAGGGAAACTTTTTCGCCGAAATAATTGCGGATCCTATTAAGTGGTTGAGCTTTAAATAGCGCACCGACTCTTGCCCAGTCTTTTTTGAGGCCAGCTAGGATTTCTTCATTATGAACGCAGAAATCTTCATTTAAAACTTCATAATCTTGCATCTGGTTAAAGTCAAAGTATTGGAGAAGGATATTTTTAACTATCCTAACCTTATCATTGTACATGAAAAGTGACCCAGTTTCTCCTTGCTTTACTTCATTGTCATTATAATCGAAATGCTTAAACACACTTTCGATCTCTTCTGCGTACTCGTCTTGGTCTACTTCATAATCAGCATATGGTGGATATTTCTTACTCTCCTCCTCCATGAGCGAACAAAAAAAATTGTTTGCTCACGGAGAGGGGCTAATTTTTTATTTTTTAAAAAATTATATATAAATGTTTTAGCGATATTTAAAAAGATACCAATTCAAAACAGATATTTATTAATTTTTAAAGTTTATATTAAAATGTATAGGCCTTTCCTATAGATGGCGCATTGCGCGCCATCTATAGGAAGGGCCTATAAGTCGTTTAAAATTAACCAAAATTAGCTAGAGATTTCAATACTAATTATCATGTATATATCAATTTTTTTTTCATAAAATATCTTTGTTCGTTCACGGAGGGTGTGTTTTTTGGCAAAAAATAGGGATTTCTCAATGGTTTTGCTATCTTTAGGGGGGAGTTAAAAGGATCCTTTTCAATTTCTTCAGGTGTTGCCAGATCACGAAGCTGCAAGTTGTAAGAAATTTCTTTTGCCTTGATTTTTAGCCATTTTTCAGTAGTGTAGAGCTTACAGAAGATCTCATCTTTGTCACGAGAGGAGAAAAGGGAGTATCTTAAACCGACGAGATGCTCAAGATCATATAAGATTGCAGAAATGGTTGAGGTTAGAAAATCTTCATTAGTTATTTCAGATTTTGGCTCAGTCTCGAACTTTGAAAGCCATGAAATTTGGTGTTTGAAGCGGTGGATGACCTTAGAGCTTTTTGAGGTATCACTTGGGGTTGTCTTGAAAATGCGTAAAAATTGTTTCACTGCTTTTTTGATTGTTTTCTTTTTCTTAAGCCAGTCATGGTTTTTCTCATCAAAAGGATGTTTAAAAAGAAGCACATAGACTAAATCCTTGTCAACGTTTGATCTTGAAAGCAGTGGTGCTGACTCTCCTTCAGCCATTATTATATATCTAATAAAAACCTATTCAGTGAATAATGCACTATAGAAATGTCTAGAATGCAAATTCTTTCAAATAGCATAAGCTGATAGCACGGGAGCGATAATAATAGCTAGCAATAGTAAAACTAGTTCAAAATATAAATTTATTAAAATATTGATATAGAGAGTTTTAAAAGATTGAAAAGATCAAATAGATGGACTAATTTGTAAAATATAGGCCAGAATTTAACTGGGAATGCGATGAAAGCTGCATGAATAATAGTTATGCTCAGATTTTTATTTGCAAAAATGGCTTTTAATTTAATTTAAGCAAGCTATTAAAATCTTTTAGAAATTATTATTTCATCATTTATTAATACATGAATTATATATTTATTTATGTTCATGTATATGATTATAATTATATTTTCCTTGGAATTCTGAATTTTTCTATCATTATCAAAAAATTATAATATGTTTAATTAGACTTGTCATCAGTTTTTCCTTATATTCCAAATATGATGAAAATACATATTAAATGATTTTAGTAGAACAATCAACAGTATCAAGCAAAATATTTAAAATAATTTAAAGGTATAAATTATATAATATAATAAAAAGCTCCTAATTTAGGATTTTTAAAATCTTCCAAAGCATTTTTTGGGTATAATTTTTCAAAAAGTATAAGCAATAAAAATGATACTTGGAGGTTACATAGAATACCATTTTTAGCCTAACAATAAAATGGCGTCACTTGACTGATTAAAATTCAAAATAATTGTTAAAAATTTTCAATAAAAAAATCTTCTGTTATCTTTTTCAGCTACTTCTCTTATAATTCTCTTTCCTTAACCTAAATCTTCAAATCTCCTTAAAATTTCCTTTATATTTTTCTTTTATGATAAATAACCTTCCAATTCGTATTCAAATAATATAACAATTCAGCAGTTTTTATCCTCAGATTCAAAATTTATAACCTATTTGAACCTTTTTTCGTTACCTTTCTCTAGGCAAACCAAAGTTCTTAATATCAGTATTCTGATCTTAATTTTATTTACCGTTTTCTCACACAATTTTAGGGTATATACATATGTATTTATACTTATTTATAGTATGTACATTTATGCAGGGTGTTGTTTACTAATATGCTTGCTAAGCATATATTTGTTGTAAACAGATGCGCCGCATATTCCACAAGTTACTCTTGTTGCCTTTTGGTGAACTTGACGATCATGAAAAGTCAAAGCATGCTGATGCTTGAAAGTCTTGTGGCATATGCTGCAGGTTACTCCTTTTTCTTTACTAGAGTGAGCTTTTCCTATGTGTTGTTGAAGTCCTTTATGGCCTTTGAAGAATTTCCCACAGGTTGGGCATTCAACCTCGTCACATTCTGACTCGGTCGTGGAACACGAGTCAGCTGATTTGGGAGATCCTACAGTGTGTGTCTCATAGCCTAAACCTAACCTAAACTGCAAAAAGGAAATCGAATCTGTATCAAGCTCGAAATCTTTAATTAAATGATCTCTTAGCTGAAGAGGAGTGTCAAAGCCAATCCCGCATAACTCGCAGCAGTAGTTAAACTCCTGGGAATTAGTTATGCATTCAAAGTTTGGGATAAGGGTTGTTGACATTTGGCTATTTATTAATTATTACTACGAATGAATATGGTGAATTTGAAATCTGTTAGTCTCCATTTATTCAAAATTGTCTTCACAAAATCTCTTTATTATCCTTAGGACATAAATTTTTATTATGGTAAATTTTTATTGAAGTAATTTTGGTTTTGCCAGACCATCTTTTTTACTGAACAAATTATGTATATCTGAATATCTCTTAGGAAAATATTTTCTATCATTTTAGAAAGTTCATTTATTTGATAATAAGGCTATTTTAATAATTGTTCGATTAATTTACTCTAATCATTCTTTACGATTTCAGCGAAATCAGGGTGTAGGAGCAAAATAGCATTCCCTTTTACTGCAATTGTCTTCTGTTCCACCTTCTCCACAGTTGTAGATAAAAAGCATTTTATCTTGGAAGACTTTGAAACCTCTAGTCCTTCAATAATCGCCTTAGTTTCGACTTCTTCATCCACATACACAGGTGCAGTGAAATTCAATGTCTGTGATAAGTAAGCAGCACCAGGAAAAGTCTGTCTAAATAATTTTGTTATTAGTGAAGCTGACATCATCCCATAAACAAAATTTGCATTAAAGCCAAGTTTGGCTGCAGCCGAGCTATCAAAGTGTACCAAATCTCGATCTCCTATAACAGATGCAAACGTTTCTATATCATTCTTTGTAAAGCTTCTCCTTAATAACGCGTAATTCCCAATGATAAGTCTTACTTTGCCGGCTTCTCTTGTAATCAAAGACATTTATTGGTGGAAAATTATTATGTATCAAAATCTTATTATGGTGATTATACGAGAGGTAACAATCATTGAAATGGAAGAATAGGAATTTTGAGGAAATTATATTAGATTATATTATATTTATCTCAAACAGACCATTTAAGAGCTATCAGAAGACTCCTGGATAGATGGGTCTTTGTTTCTATAAAGCATATTGTATAAATCTTTCATAGACCACGTGCAGAGGTCTCCGAGCTCACTTTCTAACTGGTATTGGATTTTCGCTGGGGTTTCTCCATCATTATACATCTTCACAGCTCTTTCTTTGATGTCTTCAGGTATATATCTGTTTTTTGCTGTTTTTTTGATTTCGTCTATTGTCAATAAATCATGTGTGTGTTGAAGTTTCCTCATAGTGATGACCCACACATTTGCTTTTAGTCTCAGTATGATATGGCATTTGCACATTTTCTTGATACTTTTTCTGTTTCTCCTCTTTGATTGATCTTGGATCTTTCTCATTCTGACTTTCCCTCTCGCAGAGCAGGCATATTCTTGGTAGACATCTTTCTTGCTATTTCCTTTACAGATGTTAAATCCACATTTAAGCGCGTAATCTTGAAAAGCCTGGGCTGCTTCTTCTAAAGTGTTAAAGGCCCTTCCAATTGCTATGCACTCATTATCAACGGGAGGGGTAACCTCTACAAATTGTTTATGTTCTTTGAGAGCTGGGAAGACGGAAATTTCTTCTTTGACGTTAAAAGAAGAAACTAGGTGATTCGTTTGGGGTGTTGATATTTTCGGTTCTTCTTCTGGCTTTAGGAGTGTTGTGATAATTGAGGTATGAAAAGGGACATTGTAATCAGATGCGATCTTCATAAGTGCTTGGGAAGCCTCGACTACGTATTTGCTGACTTTTTCGTGCTCTAGTTTGGATAAATCTATATAAAATTTACCAGCTCGGAGAGAAGTTGTGTCGGTAGGGTCTTTTAGAATTGCGATGAGGTTATTTACATTGTCGATAATCGAATTTAAGGCTTGGGCTGAGGTGATTTCATAAGAGGATTGACGAACGTACTCTTCTTTTGCGCACCAGTTTAAAGGGGAATGGGAATACCATGTCATTTTAGATTCTAAACTACCAATTTACTTAAGCATTTTTTGAGTTCTAATGGCTATAAAATAGGAATATTAGCTAATTTCAGATAAATATGAAGTTTAAAATATAAAATTACAAATTTAAGGGAAATCATAAGGAATTAGCAAAGGAAACAGAATTAAAAAGCTCGTTAGTTTTTTTCTTGTTTAGAATTTTAGAAAATTAATTTTATAAAAATATAAATTAGAATGACGAAAAATAATGAGAAAAATTTCTTTACTTGTGCTTTCTCAATGCAAAAATAGTTATCACGTATATAATTCTGATCTTAAAACACCATTTTAAAAATATTTAGAAACTTCTCACTTTATATGATAATAGTAAATTGATTTGAATAATTATAAAAATTTTGGGCGATTAAATTAGACAAATAATTTTTTTATTGGCAATGCTACCATAACTTAAAATTATTCACAAGTTTTCATCTGGTGAATTAAAAACAATATGGGAAGACCTTTAATTCTCATTTCTCTGTTACTTCTTGGAGCTTCTGCTTTTTTCATTAAAAGTTCGAAGCTTCCTGAAGGCCAAATTCAGTTCGCAGATGTCAAGCCTTTAGATGCCATGCCAGCTAATCTGTTCTGGGGCAATTACTCGGGCATTAACTACTTGACCGTGTCTCGAAACCAGCATATTCCATTATACTGTGGGTCATGCTGGGCATTTGCAGCTACCTCAGCCCTTTCTGACAGATTCAAAATTCTTAGAAATACCTCCTGGCCAGATATTAATTTGGCTCCACAAGTATTCTTAAACTGCGATCTAAATGACCAAGCATGTGATGGAGGAGATCCAATCAACGTTTATGCCTACATCTACGCTAACGGCACCACAGATGAAACTTGCCAAGTTTACAAAGCAAGAGGCTGGACCAACGGTGAAACCTGCGGCCATTTCCAGCCATGCTACACTTGCCAACCAAATGGAAGATGTGGAGTCCCTGCAACTTACCTTAAATATAACGTTACTTCATACGGCCAAGTCACAGGAAACAACCTTACTCAAAATGTCCAGCTTATGATGAGTGCTTTACAACAAGGCCCAATTGCATGTGGAATAGACGCTACTGATGGGTTCCACAGCTATACGGGAGGAATCTATACAGAACCAACAGATAACTGGGATATTAACCATATCATAGAACTTGTAGGATATGGAGTAAATCAGCAAGGCACTAAATATTGGATTGGGAGAAATTCATGGGGAACTTATTGGGGTGAAGGTGGATTTTTCCAGATTATTATGGGACAGAATATGCTGGATATTGAAACTTATTGTGTTTATGCTAATCCAGATCCAAACATTCAAGTATTTAATAGCAGCAGTGGAGCTTTGGCAGAAGAAAAAGAAGAAGTCAAGGCTTATGTTGAAATGAAAGTAGAAGCTGCTATAGAGAAACGAAGAAATCCTGGAAGAGTTAGGAGAATAAGCAGAGAGCAAGTGATTACTAGCCCACCATCATGGGAAACTGTTGATGCAGCTACCCTTCCTAAAGCTTGGGATTGGAGAAACGTCAGCGGAGTAAATTATTTGTCCTGGAATAGAAATCAGCATATTCCTCAGTACTGTGGGTCTTGCTGGGCTCACGGGCCTACATCTGCACTAGCTGACAGAATTGCAATTTTAAGAAACAACACTTTCCCACAGATCAGCTTGTCTCCTCAAGTTCTAATTAACTGCAATGCAGGTGGAAATTGCAATGGAGGTGATCCAATTGGAGTCTACAAGTATGGACATACTCATGGAATTCCAGATGATACCAATCAACAATATGTAGCAGAAAACCCTGCCAAGTTTAGCTGCTCTGGAACTCAAATTAGTATAATTAAAATATGGCGTCTTAGCCTGGCCATAGCCTTCCGGCTATGGAGCTTCGAGCACATATTTTAATTATATCCGGCAAGGTTTTGCTATCCAGAAATGGACAGCAATACTAGGTAAACAATTTTTGATGCTTCAGAGCCTAGACCAAGACCGCTTTCCAGAATAGATTTTTGCCTCAAGGTAAAGGGATACTTGGAAGCTGGAAAAGGGTGGCCCAGCAAAGTCCTTAGGACCAATCGGGCACTTCACTAGCGTGAACACCAGGAGTTACGCCTTGGGCTACATGTTTACCCTTTTTGCCGATAGTCGACCAAAAATTCCATTTTTTGGCGAACATCTCTTGTCTCTTAACAGCCTCAAGCAAGGGTGCACAAATCCGAAGACTGCCCACTCAATACTGGAGCCGCAAGGCAAGAAGGAGACCCTACTGGTTCTAGTGATAGGCGCTGTCGCAAAGCGGTAGAGTCTCCTAGGAGACTCTCGGCGATTGCGTTAAATTATGTCGTCTGCCTGTCTGTTAATTAAGATTAAGGAACTCAAATTAGTGAAACGTGCGTTCCTCCACCTCCACCTACAGGATTTGATAACAGCACTTGCTCAGCTATAACAAACGAAAAGCTTTGGTACGTCGGAGACTATGGTAACGTCGCTGGACCTAATAAAATGAAAGCTGAAATTTATAAGAACGGACCTATTGGATGCGGAATTGATGCTACGTCTAAATTTGAAGCTTACACTGGTGGAATTTACTCTCAGTGGTTACTTTTACCTCAAATTAATCATGAAATTTCTGTAGTCGGATGGGGAGTTGCTATAGATGGCACTGAATACTGGATTGGAAGAAACTCTTGGGGAACTGCTTGGGGTGAGAACGGATTCTTCAAAATGAAGATGTACAGCGACAACCTCGGCATTGAAACTGACTGCGATTGGGGTATCCCAGACTTAACCAGATAAGCTAATCTGAATTAGATAATAAAATTTCTTTTAAACTCTTTCATATTATCTTAAAATATTTTTTATTAAAATTAAATTTTTTTATATTCCATATATTTCTTTTACTTCCTCCAATAAATCAGTTCTTATTTATTATCTCTTAAATTAAATTTTTATTTAGCTACAATTCAAAAATATATTTTCCATCTTCTGGGCGAGGAAATAATTAATATGGGAAAATCTCTCATTCTCATTTCTCTATTGCTCTTAGGAGCTTCAGCTTTTTTCCTTAAAACTGAGAAAATCCATGAAGCAGCAACTCCTTTTGCTGATGTCCTACCAATTGAAGCAATGCCAACAAACCTGTTCTGGGGTAACATCTCAGGAGTTAATTATTTAACCGTGTCCAGAAATCAGCATATCCCTGTATACTGTGGGTCATGCTGGGCATTTGCAGCTACTTCAGCCCTATCAGACAGATTTAAGATTTTAAGAAATGCTTCATGGCCAGATATTAATTTGGCTCCACAAGTTTTCTTAAACTGCGATTTTAATGATCAAGCTTGTGATGGAGGAGACTCAATCAATGTTTATGCTTACATTTATGCTAACGGCACTACAGATGAAACTTGCCAAGTTTACAAAGCAAGAGGCTGGACCAACGGTGAAACCTGCGGCCATTTCCAGCCATGCTACACTTGCCAACCAAATGGAAGATGTGGAGTCCCTGCAACTTACCTTAAATACAATGTCACTGCATTTGGAAATGTTACGGTTGCTAACCAAGCTCAAAATGTCCAGCTTATGATGAGTGCTTTACAACAAGGTCCAATTGCCTGTGCCATTGATGCCACTGCTGAGTTCCATAACTATACAGGAGGAATTTTCTGGGATAAAACTGGAGCTAATAACTTAAACCATGAAATTGAGATTGTAGGATATGGTGTAGACCCTACAGGAACCCAATATTGGATTGGAAGAAACTCCTGGGGAACTTATTGGGGAGAAGGTGGATTTTTCAAAGTGGTTAAAGGAATTAATAACATTGGGATTGAAAGTGACTGTGTCTATGCCACTCCTGACCCAAATATTGCTGTTTTTAATAGCACTCAAACTGCTGTAAAAGAAGAAGTCAAGCCTTATGTCCAGAATCAAGTTGAAGAAGCTCTTGAAAGACCAAGAAAATATGGAAGAGTTAGAAGAATCAGCAGAGAGAGAGTGTACAATAAATTAGATTATTCTGATTTTTTTCATTAATCATTTTCTATTTATATATTATTTTATTTATTTTATAATAATACCCTCATAGAAAATTTTACTGTAATTACCAGCCCACCATCATGGGAAACTGTTGATGCAGCTACCCTCCCTAAAGCTTGGGATTGGAGAAACGTCAGCGGAGTAAATTATTTGTCCTGGAATAGAAATCAGCATATTCCTCAATATTGTGGGTCTTGCTGGGCTCACGGGCCTACATCTGCACTAGCTGACAGAATTGCAATTTTAAGAAATAACACTTTCCCACAGATCAGCTTAGCCCCTCAAGTTCTAATTAACTGCAATGCAGGTGGAAATTGCAATGGAGGTGATCCAATTGGAGTCTACAAGTATGGACATACTCATGGAATTCCAGATGATACCAGCCAACAATATGTAGCAGAAAACCCTGCAAAGTTTAGCTGCTCTGGAACTCAAATTAGTATGGACTGCGTCCCTCCAGCACCTCCAGCAGGTGTAGAAACAGGCAACTGTTCAGCTGTTACTAACGAAAAGCTCTGGTACGTCGGAGACTATGGCAATGTCGCTGGGCCTAATAAAATGAAAGCTGAAATCTATAAGAATTATACATAAAATGGTGCTGCAGATTCAACCCACACTCTTAGTTCCTGTTTAGTATTGTGCCAAAATTAGTTATCTTGAAGAAGAAAGGATGTGCGTCTATTAGATTTTATAGGTGTAGGATGGAGCAGTATGTTAACTGATTAGCCCAAGTATATCCTGGGGATGGCTTTTCCTATTGAGGAAACTGGACACGAAGCTGGAAAGGGTTTTTCCCAGAGTTCACAAGATGCTTCTTGGCTAAACAGGAAAACTTATCTAGAGCAATAATAGACCTTTCACCATGCCCATTTTATCTTAAGCTAATCAGATATTTGATAGTTTGCTATTTCTATGGAAGGCGACCTATCTGATGCCAGCAAGGTGATATAATAATATAACTTCTGAGAAGTGAGAGCAAGCCCTAATCGGAAGCAGCAATACAGTGGAAAAATTTGTGCAGACTAGCGAAAAGAAGTGAAACGTTATCAAAGTCCTTTTGTGCCTAGCTGTGACCATCTCAATAATATTAAAAATCATAGGCAATATCTATAAGAATGGGCCTATTGGATGTGGAATTGATGCTACGTCTAAATTTGAAGCTTACACTGGTGGAATTTACTCTCAGTGGTTACTTTTACCTCAAATTAATCATGAAATTTCTGTAGTCGGATGGGGAGTTGCTCCAGATGGCACTGAATACTGGATTGGAAGAAACTCTTGGGGAACTGCTTGGGGTGAGAACGGATTCTTCAAAATGAAGATGTACAGCGACAACCTCGGCATTGAAACTGACTGCGATTGGGGTATCCCAGACTTAACTAGATAAGCTAAATTTCTTTATCATAAGTTATTAAACTTAAATTTCAATTTGGATTAAAATTTAACCACATTTTTTATAATTCATATCGAACCAATTGAGTTGCTCAATTAAATTATCTCAATAATCATCTAAGAATCTTGAATCTGAATTAAAATCAGCCTGAGCTATTTCATGTAAACATGCTTCTTTTTATTTTTTATGTAGCAAAAATTTATTTTCCGCATTTTTTGTAGCCCAGGAGCGATTATTGATCGCCTTGGGCTATAATAAGGCTCAGAAACTCCCTGAGTTGGTTTTGCAACTCAAGTTGACAAACCAACTCGGGGAGTTGACAAATACCCCCCTTTATACGAGGCATTTGTCAACTCCCCCGAGTTGGTTTGCCAACTTGAGTTGCAAAACCAACTCGGGGAGTTTCTGAGCCTTATTATAGTCCAAGGCGATCAATAATCGCTCCTGGGCTATACTAATCCTTTTAATTTGGATAAATATAGATAAATTTCCTTTTTTAGGTTGCATAACTTTAAATTTTTTCAAAAGGAAATTTTATAGGAAGCAAAACTTTTATAAAACTAGCTTGACCTAATTTAATAGAGCGATAGTGCAAGAAGAATATTATTTAAATTGGAGCAGGATTTTTGTTCCAAATTAAAAGGGTAGAAAATGAAAATATCCCCCAAGAGCTTCAACTTTGAATAGCATTTCGTTAATGATTAAATATTATTTGTAAATATAATCTTTTTTAATTGAAAATAAATTGATATTCAACTATATAACTAACAATCAATTGGTAAAAAAATCTCGTAGGCTATAAAAAAATTCAAATTTAGAGTAATGATGAAACAGCTGCCAACTTCTAAAACTATTTATTTCGCATCTTTTTTAACTTTTGAACCAATTTTTAAATAATCTAGCCTTTCGCTTTAAAAGATCGATTTCTTTTGAATTTTTCTTGTCTTTAAACAATAAAATGAGCGAAGAAGGAACAGAAATACCAGAAACCGGTGGAGAAACAGGAGGAGAAACTGGTGGAGAAACTGGAGGAGAAACAGGCGGAGAAACTGGAGGAGAAACTGGAGGTGAGACTGAGACAGAGGTAGAGGAAGAGGAGGACACCTTGGTCCCAGATATAATTCTTTTTACCTTTTTAGCCCTTCTCTTGATGATAATCAGCTATGAGCTGAAAAAGCATTTCAAGGTCCCTGTTTCCCCAATTCTTTTATTAGTGGGAACTCTTTTCAGAGTCATTGGAAGTACACTTCATGGTCTCAAGCATCCTGTGTCAAGAATTGATTCATTAAGCCCTGAGCTAGTTATGCTAGGAATTCTCCCTGCTTTGATATTTGAAGCAGCCTTTTCCACTGATTGGTATACTTTTAAACGGGAAATTTGGCAAATCCTCCCACTTGCAACAACTGTGGTCATTCTTACCGCAATTCTTACAGCTTTTGTTATAAAAATAGTCCTCGAATACGATTTTCTGTGGGATGAAGCCCTTTTGATTGGCGTCATTTTAAGCGCAACTGATCACGTAGCTGTTGTTGCTCAGATTAAAGATATGCATATAGATAATCGGTTTAAAACGCTTATAGAAGGAGAGACCTTGCTGAATGAAGCTACAATTTTGGTAATTTTCAATATTATGCTTACTCCCCCCTCCGTGAGCAAACAAAAACCATTAGAAAAATCCCTATTTTTTTTGCCAAAAACCCACCCTCCGTGAGCGAACAATTATTTTTTAAAAGAAAAATTTTTGATAGGAAAAAATTTTGATATATAAGTGATAACTAGTATCATGAAATCTCGAGCTAATTCTGTTTAATTTTAAAACAAATTGCGTTTTAAAACATAAATTTCACAAATTAAATTAATATTTGCTTTCCAATTTTCGAGAGGTGGGATATTTTTTTAAATTTCGAAAAAAAAATTTCTTTAAAATTATATATATAATTTTTTTTTTTAAAAAAAAAAATTAACCCCTCCGTGATCGAACAAGTTTTTTTGTTCGCTCACAGAGGGGGAGTTAGCAGTGTGAAAGGCACAACAGACATAAAGCACAGCGCAATCCAGTTTGTGAATTTAACTTGCACAGGATTTGCACTGGGAATAGCTTTTGCAATTGCTATGGGCTGGGTAATCAGGAGAATGGTTAATGACTCAATCCAAGAAACACTTCTAACTTTTGTTACCACTTATTTGCTGTTTTATACCTCAGATGCGACTGAAATTGAAGCATCTGGAGGTATCTCTGTGGTCACTTTTGGGCTGTATATGTCAGCTTATGGGAAAACGCTTATAAGTCCTATGGTAGAAAAATCATTGCATAACTTTTGAAATATTGTCGGAACATCTGTAGAATCTGTAGTTTTTATTATTGCTGGGATGCTACTCGGCATGTTTTTTGTAAAAGACACTGCTTTAGAATTCAAAGACATTGTGATGCTAGTCACTCTATTTATCTTCATGCACCTTGTCCGTGGAGCTGTCATCTTGATCCATTACCCTCTTTTGAAATTCTTTGGATATGGGATAACTCCAAAAGAAGCTGTTGTAATGACCTTAGCGGGCTTAAAAGGTGTCATTTCAACAGCTTTAGCGCTAATTGCTTATAATGAAAAAGAATTGGATGAACATTTTAAAGTTATTTTGCTATTTTTTACTATTGGCATAGCAGGCTTAAGCATTATAGTTGACAGTTTTGCTATGAAATTTGCAGTAAAAAAGTTTGGGATGGAAACCCTTACTCTCTCTCCTATGTGAGCGAGCCAAACAATAACAAAAAAACCTATTTTTTGGGTAAAACCCATCCGTAAGTGACCAAAAATATTTTGATATATAGTGATAACTATATAATGAAATCTCTAGCTAATTCTGTTGAATTTTAAACAGCTTGCATTCAAACATAATTCTTTCTAATTTTGGAATTTTTGGGATTTATTTAAATTTTTGCTATATATATTTTAAAAAAAAAATTACTCCTTTTGTGAGCGGTCAAATTTTTTTTGTTCACTTGCGGAATGGGGAAAGTTAGTGAAGTTGAAGAAAATATGCTAGTAGGTGTAACAACTGCAATATTACAGCATACTGCTAAGAAGGTAGAAGATATGAGAGCAGACAAGCAGTTTAATTTGGTTAGGTGGGACAAAGTAATGCAATTAGCTGGTCCAAAAAATTTATTGGTGCAGATTATGAAAAATACAAATGTAGGAGCCAAAATTTTGAGGAAGCATCAGAATGATAACCCTGAAGAATTGCTGTCAAGATATATGAATAAGTTTAGCTTATCCTCGAGTGCTTTAGTAAAAGAAACAAGAAGGAGATACTTTACCACACTTAAAGGAATTTATTGGCATGAGTTTGAATCTGGACAATGCTCTGGATACGCTTCACTAGTTTTAATCGAATCTTGCAATAGAGCTCTAGATAAAGAAGATTCAAGAATGGGAGATTGGGAACAGCTTGAAAGAGAGCTCTACAATAAGCGTCTAATGACTATCTACAACTATTTTTCAGGCGTTCCTATAATAGGAAAATTCTTCAAAGATTTATTATACGACTTGGTAATTCTTACATATGATGCTGCAAGTACCTTTATTAGTGCCCATCATGAAGCTGAAGAACTGATGGACACTATGGAAATTGATATAGATGAGCTCATTTTCAAAGATGTAATGGATGAAGCCCATGACCAAATCGAGCTCTGCAAAGAGTTTGTAAGGGACAATATCACTGATTCTTACCCAGAAGTTGTCGCTGAGGTTACCTCAAGTATGGCTTGCCATGCTCTACTGATTTCTCAAAGAAAGCTCATCAATAAGATCTTCCATCAAGGTGTTATCAAAGAAATAGAATATGAACATTTAATTGATGCAATTGACAATAACATGAAACAGCTGACATTCCAAAAAAACCCTAGTGTTCCATCAGTCAAAGATATACTGAAAAATAGATTTAGAAAAGCAACAGACGCTGATATTGAGCAGCTGCTACCTATGATTACAGAAAGGCATTATCAGCCAGATCAGTTACTCTTTAAAGAAGGAGAGGCTGCAGATGGAGCTTACTTAATTTTTAATGGAAGAGTCCATGAAGAAGCATCATGAATAGACCAAGAACTTATGATCGGAAATATTGTCGGAGTCCAGCATCTATTGCCTACCTATAAAATTAACACCTCAACTGCAACGGCTTTGACTATGGTTTTTGCTGCTCATATTCCCTCAGCAATGCTTAATAGAGATGTGTTTATAGAAGACTTGTATAAAGAAGCTTCGGAGGAGCTGATATCGTTAAATGCAAGCATTCTTGGCTTTGATGGGGTTGAAGAAGACCATTTGATGAGGATGATAAAAAACTCAACTATCAAATATTTTAAGCCTGGAAACATGATTGATTTGAGAAGAGGAGGAATAGTTTTGCTTGGGAACTTTAGAAAAGACAAGCCTGAGTTTTCTATTCTAGCACCAGTAAGTAAGCCTATGGAAGCTATATCTTCTTGTGTGCTTTTGCTATTCCCTGAACACTTTGCTGGAGCTATAAAGGAGTCAAGGACTATGGCCGAAGCTTTCTTTAGTTACTACTTAAAAAGCAATACCAAAGCGAAAGCAGCTGGAAGTGACGAGCAAGCTAAAGACAATTTGGGATTGACAGCTATGCACAAATTGCATCGATTGGAGTCAAAGAAAGTCCTTACTAAGCGATCAATATCCCACAAAAGTGATAAATAGACTTATAATTTTTATTGAAATTAAGAAAATCATTAATTAGTTTTAATGACAGAGCTAAAGGCTATTTGACTATTTTCTGCATCAAAAATGGTATAATATTTTCTTATAAAAACATCTCCTAACACCCAAATGTTGTTTATTGGGGATGGAGAAAATAGTAATTGGCAAATATTGCCTACTTGGAGGAAGTAGTCATAAGGGCTAAGGAAGCATTTTTGGTTTGACCCAAGCTCAAAAGAAATATCAGGGTATACACTTATATCGAATTTATCTCCACAATCACAAATTAGCACTTCATTCTCCTCAAAGCATTCTCCTCTTTGTCTTATTCTAAGCTTAATTTCATCAACATCGAGCCTTGGCACCGTTATTAGGCTAGTTCCTGTATCAATAACAGCCAAAAATGATACTGCTGGTATAAGCACCTCATTGATTTTGATATTTGATAAAAAGACGGTCCAAAATCCAGTTTCAGAAAACACTTTAACAAATTTCAATTTTTCTTCAGAGGAATAGGTAGCAAGATCATAGCCTCCAATTAATATAGCTGATTCAAGATTTGGCTTTATTTCGCTATTGAACTTATTGTCATTTAAATATACTTACTTACTTAATTAATTAGGGGATTAGGGCTCACTTTGTTAACTCGGCTTCCGAGGATCCACCAGGGATTCATCCACTTTGAAGTAATATCTACTTCCGATTACCGGAAAGGCGGCCATCTCCTCTTTGCTACTTCTTGTTAGCTCCAGTTTTGAATGGGCAGACTATGGGTTCCCGGGCCTTGCTTCAGGCTGCAGCGGCGAAGTTGGCTGCACGGAAAATCAAAAAAATGGGTTTTTGGCTGACTTTCGGCAAAAATGAAACTTGTAGCCCAAGCCGTAACCCCTGATTTCACGGTGGTGAAGTGCCAGATAGGTCAAAAGGACTTTGCTGGGCCACCCCTTTCTAACTTCCAAGTCATCTTCTTCCTCGAGGTAAAACCAAAACCAGAAAATGGGCAAATGCTAGGCTTCTAGCACAACAGAAATGGCTTACCTAGCATAGTTGCATATTTCCAGTGCGGTAAAACCTTGCCCGATATAATTAAATATGTACATGAAGGTTGCATGGCCTCCTGGCCATGACTAAGCTTAGGTGCCATATTTAATTATGTCACTTAAATATACAGAAAATATTTTCTTCTCAATGTGTCCTTGCTCTTGAAGATTGTCTAGCATTGTGTTGTATCCATTTGATAGAACTTTAAATCCTAGCCCCAAAATCCCATCAGCATTTAATCCTTGAAAATCCTTTGTTGTCCAAACTGATATAAAAGTCTGATTCACAACATTGAATTTCTGTAAGTCTCCTATTAATAAGTTATCCTGGCTTAGTTCGCCCTCTGCATAGCCTTTCCCATACACCAATTTCACCTTTTTCCTCAACGGCTTATAAGTTGAGCTATCTGATGTATTGAAATAATTAAAAGAGGTGTGGCAGATAATCTTGCATTCAATAGAAGGGACTCATAATCATGAAGATCCTGTGTCAAAAATGACTTTAAACTCTACAGGTGGGCTGCCTAAACGAATTATTCCACTGTATTGCACATTGAAATAATTCTCAAAATAGCTAGTTGTGTTGGATCCATATAAATTTGTTGAAAATTTCAGAGACGAAAAAGAGTTTGGCACTGGCAGTGATTGACGACTTGTTTTTACGAGTGGAATTTTGAGGTAGGCATATGCAAGTGCCACTAAAGTAATAAATTTAAGTCAGTCCATCTTCATAGACTACTATTAATTCCATATTTCAACAAGTATATACTATTTCTTAAGCTGAACTAATAAGATATTTAATAAAGTTTCTCATTTTTCATGAGTGGTGTGGCATATTAAGGTATTTTCATTATGGGTAGCAGTCTTAGGAGATTTCCTTATGAAACAGGAATGAGTTTTTGGATTGCCTGCCAAATAGGATTAGAAAGAAAATTGAGGTATTAGATTGGTAAATCCACTTCATTAAGCTTTAAAAATCTTACCTATGTGCAGAAGATGATTAGAAAGACTATAAATTGAATTATAAATGGAAGACTTCGTACCCAATCTAACTGGAACAGTTAAAAAAACAGTCGGAGAAAGAGAGAAGCTAAACCTTCTTAGAGGGCAAATGGATGAGATGTCTAATGACTATGAAACTATGCGGAAAGCAAGAGAAGAAGCAAAAAGACAGCTAGATGCTAGATTCCAAGATGTCTATCAAAAAATTCAGGGAACCAGAGACTATGTAGCAGAAGAAGGCAGGAGAGTCAATGAATTACTAACTCCCCCCCCCCTCCGTGAGCGAACAAAAAAATTTTGTTCGCTCACGGAGGGGGGTTAATTTTTTTTTTTTAAAAAAAAAATTTATATATAAATTTTATAAAAAATATTTTTTTCGAAATTTAAAAAAAAATCCTAATTTGCAAAAATTGGGAAGCAAATATTAATTTAATTTGCAAAATTTATGTTTTAAAAAGCAATTTGTTTAAAATTAAACAGAATTAGCTCTAGATTTCATTATACTAATTATCACTTATATATCAAAATTTTTTTCCATTAAAATTTTTTCTATTAAAAAAATTTTTGTTCACTCACGGAGGGTGGGTTTTTGGTCAAAAAATGGCGATTTTTCTAATGGTTTTGTTCGCTCACGGAGGGGGGGGGGGGGGAGTAAAAAATTTTCAAAATAATTTCCAAGAGGAGCTTAAAGTTCTTAAAGAATTCACAATAAAAAGCTTTGAAGAAGAAAAAGCATTAAGAGAAAAGCAAGATGAAATTGACAACAAAAGAATGGATGGGCTAGAGAAAATGATTGAAGATGAACGACAGGAGAGATTAAAACAAACTGAAGATTTATTAAAGCCTATCCGAACTGGGCTTGAAAATTTAGAAACTGCTTTTGAAACAGAAAGAACAACAAGAATTGAAAGAGAAACTGAAATCCTGGACAAACTTGCTGAAGAGTCTCAACAAATGAATGAAAGAATGGACCAAGAGAGGGCTGATCGCATTAAAAGGCTTCAAGATTTAAGAGATTCTTTATATAATGACATAAACACCCAAAATTCCCATATTGAGAAATTCCAACAAAATTCACTTGTGGCTTTAACAGATATGAAAAATGGTGCGGAAGAAGAAATGAGAAGCAGATTGGACCATCAAGATGACATTCTTGACAATTTAAGCAATTTTATAAAGACGTTCCAAGATACTCTCAAAATTATTGGAAAAGATGTCTAATCCTAATAATAAGCTAATTCTTTTAAGTGTGATAATGCATTAAATACTAGTTAATCTATCGATCAATAATATAAAATGAGAAATTATAATTTATTACAAAATAAGGGGAAGTTTCTGATGCAATTTTTTAATCATAGAGCAAGGCCATTTTTGAGTTCTTCATTAGATTAAAATAATCTGCTTCCATCTACGCTTTAAAATAAATTTGACAATTTTGTATAAAGCGCTATTATTCTTGGAATAAATTCGATTTTAGAGTATTTTCAATGTTAGATGGAAAATAATTTTTGGACTAAAATAATAGCATCAACATAGCCATATATAATGCCTTAGCATTAGATAATATCTTAGAGATATTAATTGTTTATATAGGATTGAAATTATAATTCTCAATGCTCAAACCATAAAACTGCTCTTTTTATTTACTCCCCCTCCGTGAGCGAACAAAACCATTAGAAAAATCGCTATTTTTTGTACAAAAACCCACCCTCTGTAAGCGAACAAAAATGTTTTTATGGAAAAAAAAATTGATATATAAGTGATAATTAGTATAATGAAATCTCGAGCTAATTCTGTTTAATTTTAAACAAATTTCATTTTAAAGTATAAATTTTACAAATTAAATTAATATTTGCTTCTTCCAATTTTTACGAAATGGGATGCTTTAAATTTCGAAAAAAAAATTTTTATATAAAATTTATATACAAATTTTTTAAAAAAAAATTTAGACCCCTCCGTGAGCGAACAAAATTTTTTTGTCGCTCACGGAGAGGGAGGATTAGCAAATAAAACAAAGATTTTTGTGTTTCCTATCTTTGTTTTAATCATTTTATTCAAAAAATACCTCAAATCAAATATCTTTATGCTCAAAGATTTAAAATTTTAGAAAACTATTTAAAATTTAAGGGCAAGAATTCTATAAAAATAATTAACTAGCATTCAAATAATAAGCTTTTATAAGCCCTTTAACCCTTATAAATATTATCTAACTTGCATTTATCCATATAGATGTGATCCTATTATAAGCAAAAATAAGCGATCTAATCTAGATGAAAAACGAATATGGTGAATAAGTTTATATGTCTCTGTCTTCTAATCTCACCCCTTTTAGTTTTATCACAAGATGAAGGCACATCTGGCTCAATTTTCGACACTGCTTCAGTTGGGGATATTGTTTCCTATGACGCATCAGATGAAACAACTACCACATCTGATGACTCCGAAGGACAAATTCTTGAATCCAGCTCAACTGACAGCTCTGATAGTGCTGATGAAGTTACAGAAGTGGCAGTTAAAGATGAAGACGCAGAAAGTGCTTTAATTCCAGAAGGAGACTCAGAAGCAGTCGAAAACAGTGAAGACGAAAGTCAAGAGCAATCTGAAAATAATAGCACAGATACAGAAACTGAAACAGAAGAATCTGAAAGCGAGGATGCAGAATCAGAAGAGACTGAAGAGGCTGAAGATTCTGGCATGTCTTTACAAGATTTGTTGGCTGATTCTATGGTAAAAGTAGAAAAATACAGAATTGATGAGCACATCTTGGTTGAGACACTATACGATGAAATGAAAGCTCTAGATGAGTATAATGCTATTATTTTAGGCAAAGTAACAGAAGGCGTTCAAAAAGTTTCTCAAGATATTGAAGATGAATTAACTGAAGATGAAGATGATGAGGATGAAGACAGCGATCTCGTCACCTCAATAACCGCTGTTGCTGTACTTGGACTGGGATTTTTATTTTTATTTGTCCAGACAATCAGAATAGCATCCAAGAATTTAATAGAAGAGGAGCTCAGTAATGCTCTTTATGCCCTCTTAGCCGATACAACAATTTTGGTATTTATTTGATGCGTTACTGCCCTTGTTATATATATTGACTTGTTTGACGAAGATCGCCTTGACTTGGACATGATTTTGGCTGGGTTCGCGATTTTTATTTGCTTCTGGTTTGTGCAAGGATTTTGGCTAATTCTGATATCTGAGGCTTTTACGAAGAGATGACAATACCACGAAAATTCGATAATCAATGATAAAGAACTTTCGATTGACACAAAAAAATATGCAGTAATGAGAAGTCTGTTTATTAGTCCTGCATATCTGCCACAGGCTACAGAGTCATATATGAGGTCTGATTTCAATTTTTCTGAATACTTAACAAGAGCTATGAGTGATACCCTTTCTAAAGCATTTCAAGTGTCATGAATAGGGTATGGGATTATTGTCATAGCTATTATAAGTTGGAGAATAATCATTTATAACGACCAAGCTGCAGAAATTGTATGCCTTTGGATTATCCCTGGGGTTATTTTTATTATCAACTTATTATTGATAATTAAGTTGAATAACGTTGAAAATCAGTTAATTCCTAGCTCCCCCCTCCGTGAGTGAACAAAACCATTAGAAAAATCGCTATTTTTTGCCCAAAACCCGCCCTGCATGGGTGAACAAAAAAATTTTTTAATAGAAAAAATTTTTTATGAAAAAAAAAATTGATATATAAGTGATAATTAGTATAATGAAATCTCGAGCTAATTCTGTTTAATTTTTTCACAAATTGTGTTTTAAAGCATAAATTTTATAAATTAAATCAATATTTGCCTCCCAATTTTTGCGAATTAGGATTTTTTTAGAATTTCGAAAAAAAAAATTTTATATAAAATTTATATGACTATAAATTTTTTTAAAATAAAATTAACCCCCCTCCATAAGTGAACAAAATTTTTTTGTTCACTCACGGAGGGGAAGAGTAAGGATTTTGACATTGAAGTTGTTATTCCTTATGCACAGCACATTAATCCGAGATTTACAGTAAAAAATATTCCAAAGCCTGAATACTTGAAAGGAGAAATCCCATCTGAAAACCCTGAAGAGCTTAAAAGAGGGCTATGGTTCAATCCATTTAAATTGACATGTGCTTATATATTTGTGGGGAGGTTTCCAAATAGACATGAAATTTTGTTTTGGTTCGACAGCTATGGGCCGAGATTTCTTATCAGTCTCTTGCAAGGTCTTATGGTGATTCTTACTTTATGAATTGCAGTCATTATCCTTTACTATATTCCTGTACTAGAAGATGAGTATAGTGGCTGGGCTGTTGGGCTTGTAATTTTAGCCTGCTTTATTTGGGTTTTCCTTGCTTTTTATTTATTGCCTTTAGCTTTTCGGCTTGTTTCTATTACTACAAAAATTGAGCTTATGAAGGACAGAGAAATCATTCAGCAAGTCTCAGGAAAGACCAGCAAAAAACGTGCAGTGGGGACTGTAAAAATATACCGACAGTTCAAAATGATTTATAGAGAATGGAAACGATTAACAACTGGCGAAGAAAAATCCCAAATGCTCCATCAAATGAAAAAAATTGTAGAAGAGTCGTTTTTACTAGTAGCATCTATGACAAATAAAAAAATTCACGTAACTCAGCTTGATGACGTGCTAGGGCTAATAGGAATCAGACTGAAAGAAGATGAGCTAAGGCTGTTCGCTAAAGAGTGCGACCCTGATGGTGATAATTTTATTAGTTTAAACGGATTCAAAAGTGGGATTGAAAGAATTTTAGTTGGCTTTGAACTAAAGCCGCACGAAGTAACTAGATATATATTAAGGCAGCATCTAAAAACAAAAGGCAAAGACAAAGGATCGATGACGATTGAAGAACTCAATGATTTCTTTAAAAAATGGGAATGGCATTTCACAGATACCGATATCAGAGAGTTTTTAATAGAGGCCCAATTTTTAGCCGACAATGGTGGAAAAATAAAAATTTCAGAAATTGCAAATATGGTCAGAGTGGACGTAGAGTCATTTTCCAAATAATTAGTCATAATAATATATATCATGATTTTATAAAATCTATTAAAATTTTTATCACACATAGCTCTGTTATTTATATTAATTTGAGCCATTTATGCATTACTCCTAGGGATGTCACTATTTTTTCTGTGGTGTTTCCCTGAAACAGAATCAGCTCTTGAGTCTTTAGACACAAGAACATCTTTACCATTTTCTTTAATATTGTAATACTTGTCTGTTGAGTCAGAACCATAAGTTTCTTCTCTCGGCCCAGGGGATGCTCTTGCTGATTTAGTATGATGATGCAATCTTTTTTTTGCTGCATTATTTGGAGACGTAGGATTTACAAGAAGTTTTTGAAACAGTTGCTGATTTATCTTACTCCTTTTAGAAAACAAACTTAGTTTTCTTTAATATATATTATAATTAGTTGCTAAAATTTCTGATCGGCTCCCACGAGCCAAAGATGGATTTCACGCGTGAAAATCCAGAAATTCCACGTGCAAGCCTATTTTTGCCTCGTGGGAGCCGATCAGAAATTAAACCAAAATATTATATTATCAAATAAATTATAAAAATTTATGAGGAAATCTATATATTCAGTGTCACTAACTATATATTATACTGAGCATCACTTCCAAGAGTTCATGCTGCTATAATATTTTACTATGCAGAAGAGTTAGTCAATTCATAATTCTGAGAAGCCAAAGCTGTCAGAATATCCTGCTCTCGTTTTGGGCCGTTGCACGTCGGTGATGTACACCCTCTATCAAACTCAAACTTTTGTCGTGAATTATTTTGAGGAGTTAAAGAAGACTGCTTTCCTTCTTCATAGCTCGGCAAAATATCAATAACGAACTGAATCAGCTTTAATAAGGCTTCATCGAATTTGCTATTCTGGATAAGAAGTTTTAAATCCAGACGCTTTTTAAACTTGGCATTGGTGGATGAAGAAGATGAAATTTTTTTTATAAGCTTGGTGCAATTTAAATTTAACTCTTCAATTAACGGTGCATGCTGGACGATGGATTCTGAGTTCATGTTTAGCTGTTTGCTTCATTCCTTTTCAGTTTTAATTATAAGGTGTTAGAATAATTTTCAGAATTTTCTCATCCCTTATAAAATAAATAGGCAATTAATATAAATCTGTATAAATTATCCCAAAATCCTGCGTTCATCCCTTCGAAATTCTTCAATTTTTCTTCAAGCTCAGATTTTTGAGAAGTAAGGTCTCTAATTAAGTCTTCTAATTCACCCTCCTTGATAGCTATCAAGGATGTTTATTTTTTCTGGTTATTTTAAATTTTGAAGTAAAATATTGTCTAAAATAGATAGATTTCTCTTTAAAAAAATCGATAGCTAAAAAGGAGTAGAATTTTTACGAATGGTTTTTGCTAGCCAAGGAGGGAAGTAAGTGTTTTGCATTATTTTCTGCTTGTTTTCTTCTTTTATTTTCTTCTTGGTACCGTGCTTTATAGGTTGTAGCTTTCTTGTAAAGCTCATCATTTTTTGAGTTAAGCTCAGATATAGACGCTTTAAGCTTGGCTTTTTCTGACCTGAGCTTGTTTATAGTTTCTAGAGCTTTTTGCATTTCCTGCTGGATAATTGAAATAATCCCTTGTTTGGTGATGTCTATAGAAGATTTAGGACTATCTTCTCCTTTTTCAACTAATTTATGAAGTGTTTGGTAGTTCCAGTTCTCATCTTGGGACATTTTGTAAGCCAATCTGTTATAATTATAAAATATTGAGATAAAACTTTTTAAGGCTAATTTTTTTTATTTAAACACTTTTTAATTAGTGTAAAATAAAAGCAAAATTTTTTAATCGCATAATTTTAAGTATCTAGCCTGGAAAATTAATAATCTTTAGGATTTTGCAAGATTTATACTTACTTATGTAACTTCAAATAATGGAATATTAACATTTTTATAAAATTTAAGATGAATAATAAACATATAGAGTTATTATAGAGATTTATTAGAAAATTAATGTAAATTGCCTAATTCTATAACTAAACTAAGCTTAATTCAGCATAATCATCAGAGTAAATAATTTCATTTGAAAATTATGAATTTTGGATTTAAAAAAAGCCAATTAAAATATCTTTATCTAGTAAAACTTTATCTGCCATAAAATATAAAGAATTAAGAGCTTTGAAATCAGACTCTCAAATAGCTTATTAAAATGGCAAGCATTGATGAATTTGGTGATCATCATAAGCTAATATAATAAAACTAAAAAATGATCTAAGAGATTAGCTCGGAAGCTAAGCCTTTTTAAAAGCCTATCAACGCTTATGCATTAAATTGAAAAATTTATTCAATGATAGTATCGAATATATGTGCTTGACGGGTCAATAATCTAATGAGTTATTGGACAAAGAGGCACTGTGACTCTATCTGCTTAAACAAAAGTGTTGCATGGAGCTAGCTTTCCAAGTAGCAGACGAACATTAAATAATTATTATAGCCATTTATCATCACACATCTTAATTATCATTATTCAAATAAAAATTCATTATTCTTATGAAATTTCTTTTTCAATGATAATAGCTCTCTAAGATGCATAATAAAACATTTATGGCCGATTTCCAGTTTCTTTCCCCAGTCCTTGATGAGCTACTAAATGGGATCAATGAATGAAAGAGTGTTCCTGACGTCATAAGGCTAACATTTAAGGCGCTCTCAGACGTCATAAAAGCTCAAGGATCAACAATTAAAGAAATCCATCAAGATTTAAATGATAAAGCTTCGAATTCTGATGTCAGAATGGCGATTTCTGCAGTTGATATACTTGAAGAGCTGAAAAATATGATTGATTCAAAGGTTTCTTATTCAGATTTTGAAGAGTTTTTAAATGACAAAGTGTCAAAAGCAGAAATTATGAATTTGCTGCAAAATAAAATTTCATATGTTGAATTTAGGTCGAAGCAAGAAGAATACGATGAAAAAATTTTTAAAATTCAAGAAGAAATCGAGGAATTGAATAAAAAATCATGCAAAGGATATTCAAACGAAGAAATAAATAAAATATATGCGATGCTAGATATAAAAGCAAACAGAGCGGATATTTTAGGGCTTCTTGATGAAAAAGCTAATAAGCAAATGGTTGAAACGCTTTTAAATCAAAAAATGGATACTTTTGATTTAGAACTGCTGATGGAAACAAAAGCAGACTTAAGTAAATTAGAAACATTAAAAAAAGAAATTGATGAAAAAGCATCTAAAGATGACATATCGCGTCTACGCATGTCAATCCAGCAAGATTTAAGTAATTTTCCCAGAAAAGAAGATTTAGAAAATGAAATGGAAAAATCGCGACATCTATTGGACGAAATTCATTTACGAAACCTTCAAATGATGAAGGACTGAGACTTATCAATAAGAGAACAAGTTGATAGAAAAGCAGAAAACTGAAGGGTTGAAATTCTTGCAGAGGAATTGAAAAATAAGCTAGATGCTATAGTAATTGACAATGAATTAGATAAATTAAAAACTGAGTCTTCCATCATGAAAGAGTCTATCAGCAGCAATTTATTGAAATTTGAGGAAAAATATAAAAGCTTGAAAATTGAAATGGATATTTTAAGCCAAAAATGCTCATTTGTATCTAATCAAATTGGAGAAATCGAAAATGAAAGGATAAATTCATCACAGCAAAATCCAAACACAAGCTTAAAAAATAATGGTAAAAACGATAGAAACGGTTTGAATAAAGATAAAGTGAAAAAACTGTTCACTAAATGAACTAAAGAAGTATTATCTGATATTAAATCAGAAAATCAAACTGACATCAATAATTTTTTAGCAAAAACAAATGACGAAATCAGCATTCTAAGACAAGAGCTAGGAAAAATTGGCAAAAGAATTCATAAATTATCCAAATTCCACGAAAATATCAAAGATATCTATAAATCACTTGCAGAAAAAGTTTCAGCAGCAGATCTCGAGCAAATTCTATCTACAAAAACTGATCTGAAATACCTTGCCCAAATTGTTTCTAACCAAGAAGAAATTTCTAAAAGTATTGAAAAAATTCATAAAATTCTTGATGCAAAATGCGATTCAAAATCATTCGAAAATCATTTAAATACATGCGAAGATCTCATGGATTTAATGAATAAAGACCTAATCCTTAAAGCTAATGTTAAAGATGTGTTAACACTTTTAGGAACAAAAACCAACGAAGAAGACTTTAAATTAGAAATAGCGAAGATAAAAAAAGAATTAGAAAATATGGTGGTTCTTGAAGAATTTAACTTAAACCTAGCTGATCAAAACTTAATCAATGAAGCGCTGTATAGTGAAAACTGTCTGGCCAGATGACTTTGAAAATCAGGAAACTTAAAAGATCAAGCAGTTATTTGGGAAATTCAGTCCAATAATACTTGCCCAGGGAATTTTATATGGGTAGAAAATTGTAGTGAGATTGAAACTGTTGCTCCTGGGCTTTATGAACTAGTTTATGGGTTTTATTCTCAATCAAGACCTTGCATCAGCATTTTTGTAAACAATGAAATTATTATTCAAGATAAAAAACCTTTAGAGTTTGAATGACTATTGCATAGTGATGGGAATATTGCTGGAGTTAGTAAAATCGAGTATATTGCACTTCCACCCAGAGCAAAAATAAAGATCCTTTATTCGAATGAGGAACAGGGTGAAGGATTTTTGGGACTAAGGAAACTTTAAAAGCTGTTATATATTCCTATTTAAATGTTAAAAATATTTAATTAAAAATTGCATTACCTTAAATTTTTTAAAAACTGAAAACTAAATTAAGTAATAAATGAAGGCTACGATAAATTACGCCTATCTCTTAATGAAATTCCAAAGGCTAATGAAGATATAAGGGAGATAGCAAAGAAAAACTTAAAGCCTTCTCGATTAAATATCCAGATCAAGTTCAATTAATAGCTGAAAAAATAGTAAAGGTTATATAATTCCGCATTATATAAAGAAATAGACCAGCTACAAAAATATATTGAGTTATCTGAAAATCATTTTATTGCTAACATCAAGATTATTTTTCAAAAAAGATAATATTGTAAAAGCATGATTTTAAGAGGTATAATTTATAAACTTTATTTTTAATTGGATCTTCAATTAATAATTTTTTATTGATAAAATTTTACAGGCGAGATGGCTCTTTTTAATTAGCGATTCCATTTTATAAGGCTAACTCCCCCCCCCATCCTTGATCGAACGGCTCGCCATCGTTCGATCAAGAATGGGGGTTAAAAAAAATTTTTTTGGGAAAAAAATTTTTATATATAAAATAAAATATATATATATATATATATATATATATATATTTTTTTTTATTTATTTTTAAATAAGAAGGTTAAGAGTATTTAATAATTATTTTTACAGCAAACATTTGAATTAATTTCATAAAAATATCAATTTTTAATATTTTGATTTATTAGTTTATCCTTTAAACTGTATAAATTTTAATTTGTTCCTTATTAAAAATTAAATTGTTTTTTTTTTAATTTTTAAAAAAATCTCTATTTTTTAGATTATTGAGTTTTTAAGCCTAGGTTGATGATGACTAAATCACTTCGAATAGTTGATTTCGTAGCTTTTTGTCGTCTCAAAGTCTCTGAAAACAACTTCATTAGGTACATTTTCCAAGCTTTTGATAACTAATATATTTTTATATATATAAAAAATTTGCATAATATGAAAATCGTTCGATGGGGATTAATTTCCCCCATTTTTTAGAAATTTTTACAGTCAATCGTTCGATCAAGGATGGGGGGGGGAGTAAGGTAAGAAAAATGAGAAATTGCAAAGATCAAAATTCTTTAGCTTCATAAATCATTATTGTACCATTATTTATAATTGCTATTAAATGAGAATGCTGAATTCTCATTCTTTCTCAAAACTGAATAATAAAATTTTAGATATCATTGATTATCAGATTAAAATATAGCAATACTCGGCCCGTGATTCTACTGAAAACCATGGTTCCTAGAGTGCATTAATATTTGCAGATACTGGCCACTGAATAAAAGTAAATTCACTGGCGGCTTCTGCAGGACATAGTCTCATATTTATTATAAGCAGCATAATTCCATCATTAATTATCCATTTCTAAATTTACACGTAACTAATACAGAATTATTTAAGGGACATGTAAATATTTTCCTTTCCAGATATTTTTCTTATTTGGTAGTTCTAAGCCTGGGAATTGAAAATAATTTATAAAGCCAAATAGCATAAATTTTCTTACCTAAATCTTTAATTTCTCAAATTTTACTTTAATTCATTTTAAGTTCTCCTGAATTTTTGATCATTACGACCTTTGAAGTCCTTCCTGCCTGAGATCCAACAGCTGCAATCTTTTTCAGAACGTCAACTCCATCTAATACTTCCCCAAACACCACGTGTTTAAAATCTAGCCAAGTAGTCGCATCTAAAGTAATGAAAAATTGAGAAGCATTGGAGTTTGGTCCTGAGTTTGACATCGACAGAAGATAAGGAACTTCATGGGATAGATCAAAATTCTCATCCATAAACTTTTTGCCATAAATACTTTCACCACCTGTGCCATCTCCTTTGATATAGTCTCCTCCTTGGATGATAAAATCAGGGATTACTCTGTGTAAAATTGATCCCTTATAATGCATTGGGACTAAGTCTGCGTTCAATCCAAACTCTCCTGTGCAGAGACCTCTGAAATTTTCAACAGTCTTAGGCACAGCTTTTCCATAGAGTCCCATTGTGATTCTGCCTACTTCTTCACCATCTATAGTGATATCAAAGAACACTTTGTTTGTGACTACAGCGTGATTTATGAGGGCTAGTCCAAAACAAGCAAGACTTAGGAAAATAAGTATCTTCATAAATTTAATAATAAAATCACCATTTTTACATAAGATATTTATCAATAGCTCATTTATTCTTCAAGTACAGGGAGAACAGCTCGACAAGTAGGACATTCCATCTTGATCACCATCCAGTTCATCAAACAGTCTTCATGGAATTTATGTCCACATGGAGTATGCATGGTTTTTGACCTATTCACGGTTCCTTCAAGGTCTTTTCCTTGTAGATTCAGTGGAGTCATACAGATGATGCAGTCAGTGTTTTCTTCAATTTCTTTTTCTTCTTCCAGACTTCTATAGTAGCTGTATATTTTGGGCCGTAAAAACCTTGGTACAAAGAAACGAGGCCCTATTTTAGTATTTTGCATAACTCCCCCCCCCCCCCTCCGTGAGCGAACAAAAAAATTTTGTTCGCTCACGGAGGGGGGTTAATTTTTTTTTTTAAAAAAAATTTATATATATAAATTTTATAAAAAATATTTTTTTCGAAATTTAAAAAAATCCTAATTTGCAAAAATTGGGAAGCAAATATTAATTTAATTTGCAAAATTTATGTTTTTTTAAAACGCAATTTGTTTAAAATTAAACAGAATTAGCTCTAGATTTCATTATACTAATTATCACTTATATATCAAAATTTTTTTCCATTAAAAATTTTTTCTATTAAAATAATTTTTGTTCACTCACGGAGGGTGGGTTTTTGGTCAAAAAATGGCGATTTTTCTAATGGTTTTGTTCGCTCACGGAGGGGGGGGGGGGAGTAAGAAGAATAGCTAATTGCAAGGATAAATAGCCAGTGATGATTGCGCAGAGTTCCAAATTTGGAGAAATAGCTAAAAAGTTGGCTGGACACCCAAAGAAATATAAAACAATGCTTAGCCTTGAGATGAACATTATAGCCAAAATAGGGGTTTTGATGGAATATTTGTATCCATGCTTTGCGTTGAGAATTATTTGAGGAATGAAAAAGCTGTGGATAAGGAGAACCCAATAGTAAAACAAGAAATCAAAAATCACTGCAACTATTACAGATGATATTATCATCAGTAAAAATTTGGTCTGGAACCCACTGTAGTGCCTTCTAAAATTTTCCAATCCTTCTGCGTACAAATCTGGATTCTGGGCCTTCCAGACCAATAAAGTCAGCCTTCCTTGTATTATCATAAAAACTGCAAAACACCAAAAAGATGCTAGCATTAAATAATCAAAAGAAACTTCATAAGTCACTGCCATGTGACAATGATACAAGCAAAAGAACAAATCAATCGTCGCCTGCATCCCCAACATTCACAGAGAAGTCTTCTTGGCTACATTTTCAGACACACAGTCTTGAGTGTGCCTAGCGAAGCAAAAAATCAAAAATACTGACCCGCAAGAAATAATGAAACTATAAGTCACGACTGGCTCCTGCTTTTCTGAGCTGGTAAATTCATGTAATGATAATTTTATATCAAGTCCGCACTCTTCACTTCTCACTGTTCCACGAATTTTGAATAAATTGTTTTTATCTGTTGAGAACTCGAATGAGCTTTCACAGGCACATTTGGTAAGCTCGATGTCTTTTTGGTCGGTTTTTATAACGCACGAGTCACTGCTTACTCCCCCCTCTGTGAGCGAACAAAACCATTGGAAAAATCCCAAAAAATCCACCCTTAGTGAGCGAACAAAAATTTTTCTAATATAAAAATTTCTTATGAAAAAAAAACTTTGATATATAAGTGATAATTATTATAATGAAATCTCTAGCTAATTCTGTTTTATTTTAAACAGCTTGATATTTAAAACATAAATTTTGCAAATTAAATTAATTTTCACTTCTAATTTTTAAAAATTGGATTTATTTTGAATTTTGAAAAAAAAATCCAATAAAATTTATTATAAATTTTAAAAAAGAAAAAGTTAAACACCTCGGTGAGCGAACAAAAAAAATTTTTTTCGCTCATAGTTAGAGATTTCTTGTCTGTGTCGAATTTTGCTTTGTGAAAGGTAAGCTTATATAAGCTATTGCTTTCCCAGATCCCATCAAAAAGATATATCTTATATTCTTTGATTTCTTTCGAATCATCCTTTCCAATGTGGAAATATACAATACCTTCTGTACTCGTCATGCCACTTAAAACTGCATTTTCTTCTCTCACTTTCCAATCTCCTTTATAAAGCTCAGTCAAATACTTCGGTACAAACTGTGAAGTATAATTCTTTTCAAATTCAGAATCATTCGTGGTATTCCGATTAAAGTCAGCTCGAAAATATGATTTCCTTATATTTTGCTCTGGAGAAGGAGGACCGAAAAGGGAAAATACTGCATAGACTGCAGCAAATATACTTACCAAAGCAACTATTTTCTTTCCTATTGAGTCAACCATTTTATATCATAATTAAATCAGCCAGCTTTAGGCAATTTGTCTGGAGAAAAAAAAGTTGATAATATGAGGATTACGAAAAAGTACAAATATTTCTTATGAAGTTTTCTATTAATTTATAAGTTTATTAAAAATGATTTCGCTCCAGAACAAATAAATATCGATAAAAACTTAAATCTAGAAGTAAAATTAAGCAAATATTATTGATCTATTGTTTATCTCTATCTATAAAGCATAGAATGACTTATTATATAATATCAAGAGTATTATTTAAAAATTAATGATTTTTATTATAATTTTGCATTAAACTGCTCCTTATAAAATGAAAAAGGACCATCTTGCCTTCAACTTCCACCGAAAGGACTTAGAACTTATACTAGAATCCAGCACACCCAGAACTGCTGCAAAGAGCCCTCTAAGCAAGACTCCTTCAGCTCCTAAGTCAGCAATCTCCCCACAATCTGACAACCGAGTAAAGCAAAGTTTTAAGTATCTCCCAGATTTAGAATCTCCAAATAAATCCTTAAATCTCGAAGGAATTTCTTTCAATTCTCCCTCAAGCGATTCCCTTCTTAAGCAGCTAAAGTATATTGAAGAAGAAAGAAATTCTTTAAGAGCCGAGCTAAACAAATACAAAGACGAAAATAGAAAATTGGCAAAAATGAATAAAGAATTAAGATTTAAAAATTCATTTCAGCAGACAGCAATCGATAATTTGACTATGGATTTGAAGAAATTAAAATATACTAGAGGATCAGTATCCAATACTGATTTTATTTGAAAAGCGACAAATAAATCGATGTCGAGACCCGTATTCCGCTCAAAAGAGTTCGATAATAGGTTGAGTTCTCCACAGTTTAGAAATTCCTCAAACGATTATAGTGAGGATGTAGGAAACATAAGCGCAACGCTTCACGAAAGAAGACTGAGGCTAAAACAAGCAACAAAAAACTTTTACTACAAGCACTGAGGGGCAATTTTGATTGAATTTACTATTAATTTCTATTATGCTGGCTTCATAGTTAATAATATTTATCTTTCATATTTACCACCAAAAGTAAATTTGGAATTCCTTGATTTTCCATATTTTCGAAATAATGATATTTTTTTCTTTAAAAATGCAACTTATTTTGCTTCTCTTATTAGCCACAGCATTTGGGAAGTTGATTACAAATACTATCACTTTGACCCCAGAAAATAATTGGAAATACGTGACAAAGTTTGCCTGTGATGTCGGACGTGGAGAATGGGAAATCAAGGCCAAGTTTTTAAAAGTATTAAATCAAACATACCCTGCAAACGTAAATTTATTGACGACTGTTTATTTAGATGATAACTGGGATGATGCGCTTAATACTGATGATTGCCAAACAAAGCTTAAGGCAGCCAAAAGAGATAAGCAGGTTTCTATCCCCACAAATGGGGAATGGTCAGCTCAGATCACAGGCTCGATATCACAGAGTCGTAGACCTCATGTATGATATTTCGCAATTTCAGACTGTGATAACCTATTGAAAGAAAAACAAAAGATCAGGATAGAAATGCATCTCCTAAATTCAGATGGATCTGAGTTCTCAGTAGAACGTAAAGGTCTGGACTATTTTTATCCTATACTTCTTATTATCTATCTACTTACTTTATCAGGAAACATGATCAGATTAATCAGAATGTTCAGAAAAACTGATGATTTAGAGACAAATCTAGTTATTTTTAATATTGCAATAGGCTCACAATTTTCAGGAATATTCTGCCAAATTATTCATTACTGGATTTATTCTTATAATGGTAGAGGCCTGTCTGTTTTTGATTTTTTTTCGCAAGCTTTTGAATTGCTAGCAACAATGCTAATTACAATTGAGCTGATTCTTATGGCAAATGGGTGGACAATTAAGGAGAAAGATTTCCCTCATCCAGATATTTATATCCCAGTGTGTTTACTTGTAGTGCTTGTTAATCTGCTAATTATTGGGCTTGGGAGAATTACTGATGATAGCTATTACAAATTTAGTGATTATGAAGGAATTCCTGGTTATTTGCTAATCACTTTCCGCATTGGGATGCTGATCTGGTTTCTCTACCTTATAAGTGATCTTTATACAAATGGAAGCCAAAAGATAAAATCTTTTGTTATTTATTTTGCAGTTTTAGGCTCTGTTTACTTGCTGTCATTACCTATCGTGGTATTTGTCTCGTGACTTTTTGCTACTTATCTGAGAACTAAGGTGGTAATTATTGGTTTATCTCTGATACAAGTAGCAGTTTTCTTCTTATTTACACATCTTTTTAGCGAAAGAAGCTCATTTTATAAGATTTCAACAATGTCCCAAAGTGTTCTTCCAGGAAAGTATAACTAACTTAGCCTTTTATTTAAATATTAAAAATGTTAGCTGGTGAAGAAACTTAAATATGAGCTTAAAAATATGACACAAAAATCAGCAATTTTCAGAAATTTAATTAATCAAAATGACTAGGCTTTTAATCTTCATCAGGGATTTCTTGAATTTGATCAAAAATCTCACGAGAATTGTCATTCGGCTCGGCTGTAAAAAGTACAGGGTCTGAAAAAGTAGGTGGCAACTTTAAAGTTGACTCTGAAGAATACCGTGATTTCGCAAAAGTAAAATTAGAAACATTTCGCTTAGGAGCTTTGTTGGAATTGCACTCTGGTGGCTCAATCTAAATATTGATTACTTCTACCTGTTGCCTGCAACAATTCCCCATAATATTAACTCATAATTTATTTTTTAAGCTTATCTTTAGCATTTGGCTAGGTTTGAACTCAAATCTTATATTCTTTTTTGAACAATTAGTTTTATTTTTATTGTCCTATTTGCACCACATCAAAAATTATTAAATTTTAAAAGGGAATCTTCTGAAAAATGTAGGCAAGGGAAAGGAGGAATAAGGCTTAATAAATGAGAGAGATAATAATAAGGGGAAATTAATTCCCACTCAGAAAATTACTAGAAAAGACGAATGTGATATTATTTATATAAAATATGGGAGTATTGGATCCATTTAAAGAAACTTTGGAATCATGGAAGTCTTCATTACGCAGCAGCATAGCTAGTTCAAGAGTTTGGGTGAAATCTGAAGCAGACAAAGCAGGGGCTTCTTTAAAATCTGCACTTGGATCTGCATTTGAGCAAGGTTCTAAATTTTATAAACAGGAAAAAGAGGATGTTAAAGCTTTATATCAAACATATAAACCAGAATGGCTAGGCGATTTATCCGTTATAAGAGAAAAGAGAGCAGAACTTTTAAGAGACTACAGTTTAGGGAGGAGAACTCTTACCTTTGTATCAGGCACAATCTTAGTTTTATGCCTTTCTCGTGGGATCAGACCTAAGATAAAGAACACCTTGCTCTATAGCTTATTTGTTGGCTCAGCAATTGCACCTGAAGTCATAAGCCCTTTCTAGAAAACCATAAATCTTAATTTCTTATGAAAATTATTCAAATAAAAAACTAATCTATCCCGCTCACACATTTATATTTATATGTATATAATCTTGTAACAAAAGTTCTACTTCGGCTACATGCTATTTTGATCGAAATGTTTTCGTATTATGGTATTTGCTTGGGAAAAAAAAAACCTTTAAATTTCAAAAGCTATAAAAAAATCAACAATTTTCCCAATAAACTGCCAAAAGTATATCTGATCAAAAATCATGGACCCTCTACTTCAGTTTCACTTATATTGTTTCCTATTAAATTGACTTCATTGAGGATTTTCAAAATGTCAAACATTCTCCTTAAAACATTTATGCCATTATTGTCAAGTAAATTGAAAGACAGGCTGAGCTTTTTGAGGTCTATAAGATTATTAAGACCTTGGCTGAGGATTGAAAGCTGCTCTGACGTGATTTCTGTGTTGTCTAGATATATCATTTCAAGTTTCCGGAGTGAGGAAAATGCATTGGATAAGCCTAAAGCTCCTTTGAGACCAATCCGATTTCTGCTTATAGAAAGTACTTTTAATGACTTAAGAGTTTCTAATCCTTTTGAAAAATATTCAATTCCTTCTTCATCTATATTATTTTCTTCAATACTAAGCTCTACTAAGTTTGGAATATTATGAAGAACTTTAGTTATATATCGAACTCCTCTTTTCTCAAGCTCAGTATTCCATAAATTCAAATGACTTATATGAAGGCAGTAAGGAAGTAGCAAGCTTAAATATTTGGTTTGCCTTGATCTCAGAGGATGAAATTTAAAATTTATATCTCTCTAAGCTGAATAGGCTAATTCATCCTTATTATTTTGCTTACAAGCACTTCGCATGCCAAAGTCATTTTGACCAGATAGAGATTTAAAGCGATGAGATCTCCAGTACCAAATAAAGTTGTCACATGAAATGCCCTCAAGAAAAAAGAGCGAGGATGCATATTTTAATATAATCTACTATCATTCCATCAAAAGGGCAACAGATCAGAGATTATAGGCAAATCAATAGAATTTAGAATATCTCAGAGATTTCTATTTCGTTACTGTTGATTATTTTTTGGTAATAATAAGCCACTTCAGTATGAATTTTATTTCTGTGGAGTTCAAAAAATGTTTGGATATGCTTGAATTCTGGGTCTTTTTCTGGTGAAAGTAGCTTAGACTCTATAACCACTGTTTTCAATAAGGACTCCGGGTTTTTTTTCATGTCATCAAATTTATTTGCTGGATGGCAAATGATTAGGGCATCTTTTAATTCATGGATTTGCATTTGGCAGGTTCCCATTTCTTTTTATATAATGTAACTTTACAGCTAATATATTTAATTGCCAATATATAATTCTACTTATATAAAAAAGAATAATAAAGATTTCCCTTTATATAGTAAGCAATGAAATTCCTAAACTTGCATCTTTATCCTATAAAAAAGATTTTGCTTCGAATTTTCTAATTTTTCAGCAGCCAAATAGAGACTCTAAAAATTAAATTAAAATTAATAAAAATATGAGTGGAGCCAGCATAGAATCAGATTTGCGAGGATCAAGCCCTTCAATGGAAGATCGTATTAGCAAACTTAAAAGCCAGTTTAGGGAAATTGACGCAAATGACGACAAGCAGCTTACTTTCGAAGAACTCCATGCATATTTAACGAAGAAAAGTGGAAAACCATTTAATGAAGTCTTGCTCACCGAAATATTTAAATCTTTAGATAAAGATCAAAATTCAGAGCTAACTTTAGATGAATTTGCGCAAGGCTATTACCAGGCAGAAACCTTAATTAAATCTAGAGTTGACGTTTTGAAAAACAGCATCATGGAAAATACGAAAAAATTATCTGATACCAGGCGCCAATATATCGAGGCCAAAGCTAACCAAGGAAAAACCCAGCAAAACGTCTTAACAGTGACTGTTAAAAAAGCAGAAGGATTAAAAGCTGGCGGCCTAACAGGAAATAGAGCACCACTTGTAAGAGTGTCTTGTGAAAACCAAGAGATTACAACCCAGCCTGTTCCAAACCCTTCAAATCCTACTTGGAATGAAACATTTTCATTTTATGTGACTCAAGGGACTGAAGATATCTCAGTTGAAGTTTTTGATACTGACAGAGGCAACCCTACTACTTTCTTAGGAGAAGTAGCAGTGCCATTTAATGCGTTATTTGATCAGCAGCTACATGAAGATACTTTGGAATTGAGAGGAAAAAAGCCAGGAGACAGGATTTCAGGGACCATTCAGCTTGCTCTCCAATGGATTCACAATTTGCCACTTTATCTTGAAGGAATTATTAAGCAGTTTGAAGACATTATAAATGAGGATAAAACAGAATTGCTGGAAATGGAAAAATATTATAATGAATTGCACAGTGCTTTAGGAAAAAATATAGGGCCTGACTGGCTTCTTTTAAATCCTAAATTCAAAGAAGCAGAACTTCAATTTTCAGCAAAAATGGACGAATTTAAAGAAAAAACTTTAGGCAAGCTTTATATAGGCAACATAAAATGGTCTTTCGCTACCCAAATGTCTACTTATTTGCTTCTTCTATTTTCAGTTTTAATAATGTTTCTCAGGCCAGACTTTTTCAATGTAAATGGCATTTAGCTTACTATTGGAATTTTAGCTTTATATTATTACTATACTGGAGTCGGTTCAGGTCCTAAATATAAAATCATCTTTTTGGCAATCCTTGCGTCAGAGGTTTATGACCTGATTTGGCTTTATTTAAATATGAGCGTAAACAGTATTTAGAATTGGGTCAGTGGAACTGGAGATGGGAGTGATGGAGTGAAAAGATTTACTGTTGCAGTTTCGGTTATCAATCTATTCTGCAAACTGGTGTTTGGAGCAATATTTTGGAAGAACTCTATTGAGATGGCTTAGGTTTATTTAATTTAACTACATTTTCTAATTTGATTTTTTTAGATTATAGGATTCTTAATTGTAAGCAAAAATATCAAATTTATCCAATTTAGAATAGTAAGCAGTCTCTATTAAATATAAATTTAAAATAAATATTTTAAACTAATCTTGGCTAAAAATTATATTAATCAATTCTCTTACTCCCCCCCCTTTAAATTGGAACAAAATATAGGTAAAATTTCCACTTTTTTTGGTAAATTAACCCCCTTTAAATTTGGAACAAAATTTAATTTTATAATAAAAAATTATATATAATTTTTATATAAAAAGTTTTGATATAATTTAAATGTTTCTTCTTAACTAAAATTTAAAATTTAGTTAAAGCTTGCTCTTGTTTAAAGAAGAGAGTATAAAGAGGATCTTATTTAAATGAATTTATTATCCTTAATTGCTAAATTTTAAAAAAATTTTTTTTTTTTGTTGATAAAAATGATATTTTTTATTTAAATAGTTTTGATATAAAATTCAATGCGGATTCTTTATAAAATTTTTAAAACTTACTTATTTGTTGCTTTATTTTAAAGAATAGAGTATAAATAACATCTCATTTAAACAAAATTAGCACTTTGATCGATAAATTTTCTAAATTTTTTTTTCTAATTTTTTTTTATCAATAAAAATAATAATTTTTGTGTAAATAATTTTGATACCGATTAATAGTGGCGTATTAACTAATAATGAAAATTTAGTTATATCTTGCTTTGTTTTAAAGGATAAAGAGTAAATAGCATTTTATTAAACAAAAATTTATTAATTTAATTCGATAAATTTTTGAAATTTTTTTTTTATAAAAAATTTTATATTGATTATTTTAAAAAAAAAAAAAATTAAACCCCCTTTAGATTGGAACAGAATTTTTTGTTCCAATTTAAAGAGATGGGAGTTAGATTTCTTGACTTTGGCTTATTTTTGAATAACTTCTTTTATTAGATCCATTTTTCCTTTATTTAGTTGATACTGACTGCTTATTAATTATGATGAAGTTTTATAGTTTGGAATATAAATTATCAGTTTCTGATTTTTTTTAAAAGTTAATATTAAACAGTCGAAAAAGATATTAAATTTAATAAAGCCATTATGCAGAGTCCAGAAGACATAGAAGATTTGAAAAATCATAAAGAAAAGTTCCTCTTCAACCTGACTCAGAATTTCAGAAAGTCTTTAATCATATTCGACATCCGCTCAAAAGAAAAATTCGAAATTAAGCACTTTAAAGAAAGCCTGCATATTCCTATCCAGCATCCTTTCACCTCAAATTTTTCTTTGAGCGATTTGCGCTTGTTATATCCTCAAAACAATGCATTACAGAAACTAAGAAGGTATTGCATTGTAATAGGGAGCGATTCAGAAAATTCTACTATAGCCAAAAATCTGGAAATTTTGCTAAAGTCACATAAGTGCAGAGAACTTTACTTGTTTGACGAGGAATATGAAGAATTTTTAAATAGATATCCTTTTTTAACGGAAGGGTCAGGCGTTCCTCTATATCCGATGATATCGTGCGGGTACCCAAATGAAATTATTCCAAAGTTTTTGTATAGCCCAGGAACCAATATTGATCGGTCTGGGCTGGGGAGAATGCCTGGGAACTCCTCCAATTTTTTTCTCCAACTTAAGGAGACATGCTGCAAATAAACCCAATATAAGGTATTTGCTACTCCCAAGTTAGTTATCCAAATCGAGGAGTTATTAAGCAGCCAAGGTCAATCAATATCGGTTCCAGAACTATATTTGGGTAGCCATTTTCATGCTGAAAATTATGATGTCATAAAGATATTAAACATCACCCATATTATAAACGCAACGCGAAATGTAAAAAATGCTTTTAAAGGCCAAGGTGTTAAGTATTGTAGAGTTTTTGTAGAAGACAATGCAAAAGAAAAAATAAGCTATCACTTTCATAAAGCGTTCAAATTCATAGAAGAAGCTAAACAAATAAATGAAGCTGGAGGCCAAACAGCAGTTTTAGTTCACTGCGCCCAAGGAGTTTCGAGGAGTGCTACCATTGTTGCGATGTTTTTGATGAAAGAGTATGATATTTCATTTGAGCAAAGCGCGGAATACTTGAAAAAGCAAAGATTTGTGGTAGAGCCAAACCAAGGGTTTGTGAAACAATTAAAGCAGTTTGAAGCAAGAAAAGGGCTTTTTTCAAGATCTAACTCTATGGATCTGGGAAATTCTTACAGCCCTTATGAGAGGAAAAGTTTAGGTTAATAAGTTTACTAAATCGAGTATAATAACTCGTTTTTCTTAGATTTTTTAATATATATAATCAAATTTATCTTACTCCCCCCCATCCTTGATCGAACGATTGACTGTAAAAATTCCTAAAAATTGGGGAAATTAACCCCCATCCTTGATCGAACGATTTTCATATCATGCAAATTTTTATATATATAAAAATATAATAGTTATCAAAAGCTTGGGAAGATGTACCTAATGAAGTTGTTTTCAGAGACTTTGAGACGATAGAAAGCTTCGGAATCAACCATTCAAAGAATTTAGTCATCAACATGGGCTTAAAAACTCAATAATCTAATAAAATAGAGATTCTTTAAAATTTAAAAAAAAAAAATTAATTTAAATTAAAATTTATACAGTTTAAAGGGGTAATTAATAAATTAAAATATAAAAAATTGGTATTTTTATGAAATTAATTCAAATGTTTGCTGTAAAAATAATTATTAAATACTCTTAACCCTCTTATTTAAAAGTAAATAAAAACAAATTTATATATATATATTTTATTTTATATATAAAATTTTTTTCCCAAAAAAATTTGTTTTAACCCCCATCCTTGATCGAACGATGGCGAGTCGTTCGATCAAGGATGGGGGGGGGAGTTAATTATATTTTAAGATCTTATGCTGCACAAACTAATCAATTTATATTAAATATAATATTAAATTCTGTGCTGCGTAAATTAATATATTTTATTTTCCATTTTACTGGTTTTTTACTTTTAAAGTGATTTATAAAACAAATAAATTATCGATTTCTGTTTAAATAATTATTCAGAATTATTTTCATATTTTAAATGCAAAAAAATAATAATTAAAAACCTCAAAATCATTTTATCTATATAAGATAGTTATTTAGATCGACTTAATAAAATCTTATATCTGATGGAATTCCTGCATAATCTCCAATACCAAAAAGCCATGACATTTCTTGTGGCCCATACGCTTTTGCCTTTTTACACATCAAGCAAATCCTTTTCATTGCTGTGCTTCGTCCATCCTTATATACATTCAAAGAATGCTTAATCCCTATGTTCGGATCAAGAAGATTCCCACGCTATTAAGGATGGGTTAAAATTAAGGAAAAAAGTGATATGTTTTTAATAATTTAAATTTTTTTATATTAATTATACTCATATAGTTGAATTGTATAATGTATTAGCAAATATACTATAAAATTTTATTAGAATTACTTAAGAATATTATACTTTAATATCTCTAGCATTCATTATTATTAAAGATAGATAGTTAAATATGGGCAGTGTAGGCTGAGCTTCATTTTCGATGTATGAAGATCATTCAATAAAGGATATGGCTAATTTTTCCCCAATTTTTAGTAAATTATCAATAGAGCCGTTCGACCAAGGTAGAGAGTTAACAGTCTCTTTAAAGTCATTAACCTTAGTTTGCAAAGCCTTTACTATATCTAAAGCTTTGTGGACCTTAATATTATTTTCTGCAATTTTCAGCCCAGAAAGATTCAACCTATTACCTGAAGTTATATGGATTTTTCTGTTTACCCTTTGAGATAACAAGAAATTAAGATTATACATAAGAATGTTCATGTCGTCTTCTACTATTTGAAGACTCTCGATCATAGAATCTCAATTATTAAGGACAGATAGTATTTGCTCAGGAATCTTGCTTCTAGATATATCATTTATAATTATATAGGGTGGAGAAGTTTGAATTTCGGTTATATAAGGGTTCATCACAATTAAAAAAATGCTCAGGGTGGTTGGAAGTAAGCAAGATCTAATATATAAATAAGACAGGCACCGAATAAATCCTTTTAAATGCGTATCAAAGTTGGCTATTTTTTCTAAAAATGTATGCTCAATATGATCAATAAATATCATGCCATTATTGTGGCAGATTAAAATTATAATTCTAGCAATAGATTTAAATATTGAAAATTAATTTTAAAAGAATATTTAGTTTGTGGCCAACTACCCTATAGTCTTTATCAATAACTTTATTTTCTATTGTATTTATCAGGAAAATATCTGTTATTTTTTCAGGATTTACCATAAGAATCAGCTTGGTTTTTTTAATAAAGGTTATGGCCCCATAATCTAGCTTATTCTTATACTTATTTATGACTATGTATTTTTAATTTATTGTAAGAAGTTATAGATTTTTTCATGCCTCCTCATCTGGAATTCTGAAGGCATTGCCACCATCACTCAATGAAAGAATTGTTGACTTATTCCCAATTTTATCCGAAATATATTCTAGTATTTGATTATAAGTGCATGTGGTGTCGATGCTGAAGAGTTTTCCATTATAAAGCACAGTCAATTCAGACGAAGAATTTGTATTCATAATACATCCCATTGAATAAATATATGCATATTCCATGATGATAAATAAAATGATATAGCTAATAAATCATGTTTTCGGGTTTCTGATTAATGATTGTTTGAATTAAATAAATTATAACTCGTTAATAGTTATTAAAAAAGAACTAAAATTTCATTACTTATACCATAATTATCTCGAAGAATTTTTTATTCTAAAAATGCAAAAGAAAGTACAAAATTATTGGAATAAAATTATTGTATGATGAAAAAGTGAATTCTGTGGTTGCTAAAAATTCATAATTAAAATTTATTACTTGAACCAAAAACTGATATTATTTAGCTAAAATTAATTAGAGGGATTTTAATTTGTTACTGGCATGCAAAAATAATTTAAGTTAAAAGAGATTAGCTATAATTATTTTATATCCTAAGTTTAAATAAATAAATAAATGCATTTATTATAAAAATTAAATAATTATTTTTTTTTACACCTTTTATTGCTTTTTTTCAATTAAGAAAAGATAGTGAGAAAAATTATTATGAAAATGAGGACAAAATTTTAACTTTTATACCCTCTCAAATAAAAATTTTAATATAAAGACGTTGCGCCTTGTGCCCGAAAAGGCCCAAGGCACAATAGTGTGTTTTATAGTTAAAAATATTTTGTTTTAAAATTTATGAGCTAGCTAGATTTCTAATTAAAATTGATTTTATATAATTTTCGTTTTAATTGTGGGTTAATTCCACAAAGTTAGGATTTTCTATATTTTGTTTGCTTAAGGAGAATTGCGAGTAAATCATTAAAGTGAGTATCAATAAAGTAACTCAGTTGAAACTTCTCTAATAGTGGCATTTCAAATAATTTTTATTAACATTAGGCTCCATTTTAAAATTTATTCGGCTGTTAAATAAGCATCAAAATAAATTAACTTTTCGATTCTTAAGACAAAATATTTTAATTGAACAGCCTGATAGCATTCAGAAATAAATAAGGACTCTGCATTATATTCTTTACTCAACCTTGCAATAGAACTCATACATGATTAAGTTAAACCTAAATTGCATATACAACAATTTTACAAATGTCAATTAACTTTAATTCTTAATGTCACGTCTTTCTCATCTCATAGTTGAATAATTTGTCAGAACGAAAGTCTTTTCCTACAATAAGAAAATTTTCATTGTTCCATATTCAATTAATTCAGTCTTTTAAGAAAGTGAAGCCTAATAATTTTCTTTTATATTATTATCTCATCATATCCTCTTAAATTAGTTGATGTTTTGTTGTCCATAAAAAATATGCTAAGTCGGCTTAGTAGAAATTTCCTTCCAAGCGTCCGGTCCTTCTCAGGAAGTGATCCTTATTGGCTCAATCTCAAGCAACAGCACGACAACTATCCTCAATACGCTCACCTCCACTGGCATACGTTTGATCCACTCGAAATCGGAAAATATGCCAAGTATAGATCAAAAGAGTTATACGGAGATCACGTCTCTGAAGACCCAACACCAATTACATGGTATCCTGAAGTTGATGAGCTCACAACCCTGACCAAAGAGCAACGTGACCTAGTTTATGATCTTTATAGAAAGAAAAGCAATGATTTTCTTAGATATCTAGAGCTAACTGAAGATCTAGACGTTGGCCGCGAAGGAAAAACACTATATGATGGTGTAAATGAGAAACTTTTACATATTTTAAAGCCGGCCCAAGTTAAAGAGTCATTGAAATATGCTAAGAAGGTAGTTGCTGATTTTAAGGCTGCAGGGGCAACAGTGACCAAGGAATATGTGATAGAAAAAGTGTTAGAGCATTTTCTTACTACTTTTAGCAAGCATCAAGTTCACGAGCTCCAGCATGAGCTCGAGCCTTATTTAAAGTCTTACGGCCCAGGCTGCTTGACTGATTAGTTAGCTTAAATAAGAGCTTTTATTATAATTTTTTCGAATTTGACTATCAAATAGCTAATTTATAGCAGTTTAGTTGATAAAATTTATTTTTAGAGTAGCTTTCTACTTAATACAAATATTGATTGCATCGATAATTTTTTGATTTTTCATAACAATATTCTTCAATATATTTTTTCAATAGTATTAAAGCCTATTTAATTATCATTATAGCCGATATAACTATAGATAATATTTCTCTTAATTCTTTATAAACTTTTCTTATTTATTAACTCGAATTTTGTCATAAATAGTAATGGGAGAGTTCTGGGACAATCTAGTCAAAGCATTAGGCCAAGTAGAGAAGGCAAGTCAAGTTAAAGATATCAAAGCCTGCGCTTTACTTCTAAGGCTTCTTCCTTCACTTCGTCGGTCATCCTCCTTAGAGTCTATCACAAATGCTTACAAAGCATTCTACAGCACAGATCCATCATGGGGCCAATCCTCGTCTTCCTCAAAACTTCAATTCTCCTCCCCTGAAGTCGAAGCTTATCTTAATATCCTGATCTGCATGGTCTTAATCAAAGAAAACCACATCGATTCCAGCAAAGAAATCGCATTGGCGCAAATCGAAAAGCATCAAGCTTACACTGCTCAGCCATTTGTTGCAAAATTGTTCTATTATTTTGCGTTATCCTGCGAAATCAAGCAAGAACTTGACGAAAAGCCATTCCTGGACTGGTACAGACAAGCTTGTTTAAGACATGATAATTTTATTCAGGCGACACTGATTAATGTGATTCTGAGATTCTTTTTACTGAAAAACAAAGTACAGCAGGCACAAGATTTCGCTGATAGGACAGGATTTCCAGAAAATGCCCCGTATTCAGAGATTGCCAGAAATCAATATTATTTAGGAAGGATTAATGCTTTGAGATTGAACTATGCAGAAGCACTGAACAGGCTTATACAAGCTCAAAGAAAGGCTCCAGAAAACAGCGGAGCTGGATTTAAGCTTGCAGTGGAAAAGCTAAAGGTAGTAGTTCAGTTATTGATGGGAGAAATACCTGTCAGAAAAACATTGGTAGGGTATAAGGGACTTGGAGCTTATGTAGACTTGGTTAGAGCTGTCAGATCTGGAGAACTTGAAAGGTATAACCAAGTTATCGCAAATTATCAAAACGCCTTTAACGAAGATATGAATCTTTCATTAGTTGCAAGGCTAAGACATATTGTGATTAAAGCTGGGCTCAAGAAAATAAATATCGCTTATTCTGTTATAGCCTTAAAAGATATAGCCCATAAGTTAGGACTGCCATTAACAGATACTGAATTTATTGTGGCAAAAGCAATTAGAGATGGAGTCATTGAAGCAACTGTTGACCATGAAAAAGCAGTTTTGAGGTCAAAGGTACTAGAAGATGTATACAGAACTAATGAACCTCAGCATGCGTTCCAGAAAAGAATCGCTTTTTGCATGGATTTGAGAAATGATACTGTGAGAGCTATGCAATTCCCACAGGAAAAGAAAGAAGCTGAAGAGCATAATGAAGAGATAGAAATCGAGCTAATTGAAGATGATGACGATTTTTAATAATCAAATTAGCTTACTCCCCCCCCCCTCCGTGAGCGAACAAAACCATTAGAAAAATCGCCATTTTTTGACCAAAAACCCACCCTCCGTGAGTGAACAAAAATTTTTTTAATAGAAAAAATTTTAATGGAAAAAAATTTTGATATATAAGTGATAATTAGTATAATGAAATCTAGAGCTAATTCTGTTTAATTTTAAACAAATTGCGTTTTAAAACATAAATTTTGCAAATTAAATTAATATTTGCTTCCCAATTTTGCAAATTAGGATTTTTTTAAATTTCGAAAAAAAATATTTTTTATAAAATTTATATATAAATTTTTTTTAAAAAAAAAAAATTAACCCCCCTCCGTGAGCGAACAAAATTTTTTTGTTCGCTCACGGAGGGGGGGGGGGGGGGAGTTAGTTTTATAAATTCTTAACCGCAAATTTAGTTAAAACATTTTTTACTTATTAATGCATGATTTTAATGTAATTATCTAGAAATAGATTACAAAAATACATTATTATTTATGAAAAAAATAGCTTCGAAGTTATTATAGATTAATATAAAAAGTTATAGCAATTTCATAAAGTTTATGATTATAACTGTAGCCGATGTAAAAATTGAGTTCGAAGCTAAAAAAAGAAAAATATCTCATTATCAAGGCATTTGGTTAATAAATATTAATTGGAAAATTAAAATTTTATTCAAGCTATTATATAGGAATTTATTAAACCTTGATTAAGATTAGAGATATATCAATGAGAAGCTATAGAATACTAAAAAATAGAGTATGAAATAATTGAAACGAAAGTCCTTGCCAATTTAAAATTCTAGGCTTTAATACTCAAAAATGGGTTAATGGGAATATTATAAGTTGCCCAGGTCATAGAAATGCAACTCGAGCCTGACCAAAATACTTGGCTCATTAAAAAATTATTTAACATCAGAATTTACTTTAGGTCTATAAATATAATTGCAGATGATGTCTTAGAAGTAAAATATTTATTTGAACCCCATTTACTTAAATTATTCTCTATTGCAAAATTAAATGGAATTCAAGAAATTTCAAAAATTTAAAAATAAGCAAAAGTTACATTTTTTAATTTCCTTCTAGATTATTACACATAATGCACAAAAGAATTTGGATTCTAAAAACTATTAAGGAAATAAGAATTAAAACTTTTTAACCATTTATAAATCGTGACATAAAATTTACCCATTTATTGCACCTACGATATTTATTACCATATTTAACTTCATACGTCATAATAATAAAAACTACATGGCAAATAGTGAAAAACTAGTTGTTTACTATTCTTGCTTTAATTACGAGATAGACCCTGTGGAATTTCCACAGCTACATGGGATAAAGCAAACCCTTCTTATGAATCTTGGAGAAGAGTGGAAAGAAGCCTTCCAAAGAGAGTTAGAGTTTATGAATATCAGGCAATCCAACCATTGTATGGAGTTCGCAATTGAAGTCTACATCAGGTGCTTAAAGCAAGTCATGTGCCTAGACTACTCCATATTCAAACAAATTTTCATTGAAGAGCTCAATTTGAAAACAATTTGGATTGAAAATAACAAGGATTGTCATTACTTAGACTCATTATTAAATGCATTTTTTAACACAATAGTCAACATTCAAATAGAGCTTGACCTTTCGAACTACGAATTCAAGCTTCTATCAAGTGCCAAGCATCTTTCGCAGCTCCAACCTTTAGTTGTAGCCCAAGAAGTCGTAGAAACGTTTGCGTCAAAAGTTTACAAAGTTTTAAGGAGAGCAAGCTTTCCATTAGAAGCCATAATCCGTCCTGAGTCATTAGAGTCATTATCAAGATACATTCAGTCACTGTCAAATAAAGTTTTGTCTACTTTTCAAGTCACAAGCCAATTTGTGACGAATATTGTGGAAGTCAATCCTTTCAATCAGGATATCAAAATCAGAGTCATACAGCCAGCAAGAGATTTTTATGATAAAGCTATAGACGTTTGGATGTCATTAGGCGACCATATGACACCTACAAGCTTTGTTCTTTGTGTAAAGCAAAGACTTGGGCCTGTTTGGACAGAAAAGCTACTAAATCCATCTCTTCATTTTTATGAAATCGCATCAGAAGAGTGGCTTAAGTCGAAGGAGTATGGAGTTGATTGCTTTATGAGATCTCTACAAGCCAGGTTGTGGGAGGTATGGAGACAAAGCATAGTGGAGACGTCAAAGAATTTCCAAGAACACATGATTCCGAAAACAATAATATAATGTATATATAACTTAAGAAGATTTTATTTAAAAATAATGACTTTTGATACTAAATTTATCATCTAAGGCTTGCATTTCAATATACTATTATAATTATTAAATATTCAAAAATGTAATTTTCCATTTATAATTCTGTTATTTTGAAAAAAAATTATACCTCTTCAAAATTTCGTATTTAGCTCCTAAGACTGCTTCAAATATAATGATAATTTTCTGTTGCTTACTTGCCTTTGCTCTATCTGATTCTGATCAGAATTCTCTAAACTTAGCATTCCGCCAAGATAAAGCCCAAGAAATTTTTGATATAATTGTTCACTTCAGTGAAGGCTATTTTAAGAATTATGATCTTGGAAACTATTCAATCCCTATTAGTTATTCTGGCTTCAAAGGTTCTGTGGCATTAACAAACATAACAATTGCAGATTTATCATTGGATTTAGATAAATCTGGCATTACTTTTGGCACTCCAAACCAGATTAAAACAATTTTTGAAAATATAAATCTTTTGCTTTCTTTCAAATATCATCTCAAAGTTTCATTTATTGATAAATCTGGATCAGGATCACTTGATGTATATGATACTTCATTAAATACTGATATCTCAATTTATAAAAAAGGTGTGCCTGGAATACCAGCTATATTATTAGATTTCTTTAAACTTTCTATAGGGAGTGTTAAGCTGAAAACAGATTTAAGTAATGTCTTGAATAATCTTATACAAAAAGCTATTGAAGAGGAAATCCCATTAATAGAAAAGCAAACTTATGAACTAGCTCAAAATTATACAACTTTAGCAAATGAGGAATTAGCTAAAATTTCATATGAGTATTCTTTTGAGAATTATGGAGTTTCGATAGATTATTATTTAGCCAAAAATACATCTGTTCTGGATAATTATTTTTGTACAGCTTTGACTGGAAAGGTATTTAATGAATCAACAGGGGAGCCATTTATACCATTTTTCCCAAGCGAATTGCCTGATGTATCAGATGTCCAGCTTCCTTATCAGCTATTTTTATCAGATTATTTGATAAGCTCATTAATCATTGGTTTTTGGCCTTCTTGAAATTATTCTTTAAATACACTTCCTCCGAGTTTTCCTATAAAGCTTACAACTGATGGCTTAGCATTTTTAATCCCTAATTTTAAAGAAACCTATGGTAAAGGAAAATCTGTTCACATTTCATTTGCTCCTGCAACCTCTTCGAGTAAACAAGATTTTTCACTTTTCCCAAGCTATTTTACGGATAAAAATATCAATTTTAATGCAACAGTTCAAGTAGATTTTCTAGTTGAAGATATAAAAAATCAATGAGTCGATGCCTTAATTATGAATTTGCCTTTATTTACAGTTTTCCAATCCTGGGTAAAAAATGATGAGGCATCAATTACTGTTCAAAATTTTGATATAAGAAATATTGAAGTAATAAATTCAGAGGTTGGAACAATCGATATCAATAATCTTGAAAAAGCTCTTTCAACAATAATAAATATTTATCTCCCTATATTTAACAATGATTATTCAGATTTTAATATCACATTTCCAGAATTCAAGTATTTCAAAATTTCTCAGGACTTTTTTGCAGTTCATCAAGGGTATTTAGAAGCAGATGCAGATCTTGAAATTAATCTTTAAGCTAAATTCTTATTCTTTCCCATTTAAGGGTAAAATATTGAAATCTAGAAAAATCTAACCTCTGTGTTCTAAGCTGCCATCATTCCTGAAAATCCATCATTGATTTTTTCTATCAATATTATTAATACAGCAAGCCATAAATAGCCTAATGGTTGATAAAATATTATGCTGATATAGCAACAAGTTATAACTAATGCTAAGAATAATATTTCTTCCATATTTAATAGTTAAAACTGAATATTATCATGCAATTTCATAAACTTTTTTAAATGGAACTAAACGGCTTGCTCTTTCCAGCGCCTGAGCCATTCTATGATGCAGATACCTTTCCAGGTGAAATGATATGAATTCCTAGGGTTAAACAGTCCAAAAAGCCTGCGATACCTTGCTTATATTTAGCCTGCCCAAGAGGGTCAAGTAAAATTATGCTTTATTTTCATGGAAATGCAGAAGATGTAGGTTTGGCCTATGAACTGATGGACCATCTAAGATCGACCTTAATGGTCCATGTATTGGCTATTGAATACCCTGGATATGGCATTTACCCAGGAGAAAGCAGTGCTAATCAGATTATAAAGGATGCTGACAACGTTTTCCAGTACTTAACACAAGAAATTGGTATGAATCCAAGAGATATCATTGTTTTTGGCAGGTCCATTGGCTCTGGCCCTGCAACATGACTGGCTGCTGAAAGAAATCCAGGGGCTTTGCTACTTATGTCAGCCTATACATCAATTAGATCAGTTGTAAAAAGCATTGCTGGGACACTGGCTTCTTATTTAATAAAAGAAAGATTTCGAAACATTGATCTCATGCCAAAAGTAACATGCCCTTCATTTATAATCCACGGACAAATAGATACACTGATCCCTTACGTAAACTCTCAGATGCTACATGACAATTGCGCAGGACCTTGCAGCCTTATTTTACCTAAAGAAATGGATCACAATGAATTTGATTTTTTTGATGATTTATCTCTGCCGTTTTCAGCATTCTTAATGCAGTGCGGGATTTCAGTCCTGCCAGAAAGTATGCAGAGTGCCTTTTTGAACTTCCCAGCACAGCTGTTTTCACCTCCTGATGTAAAGAAAAACGAAAATAAAGGGACTTGGAACAAGTTTTTGAAGCTTTTTTCTAATTAGAGGCTTTGATAAGATGATAGAATTTTATCAAAAGTAATAAATTCAGTTAAATTTAATCAATCATACATGAAATATTGATTAATTCATATTAAGCCATTCATCAATGAAGTCCTTGAAATCATCTCTTGCGAATGTTCCCACCCTTTCCAAGAAAGGGTGTCTTAACAAAGTGTCCGCTGATGCTCTCTCACCAGGGTTTTTTTGTAAGCAGATTCGTATGAAATCTTTGAAACTCGAGCTTCATTTGGTTGGATGAGTGAGCTTCGGAGGAGGGTTGTTAGCGATGCTTTGCAATATTTCTGTTTGAGGTTGGTTGAAGTAAGGAGGATTTCCTTCTACAAGTTCAAATAGCACAATGCCAAGAGACCAAATATCAACTTTTTGGTCATAGTAGCTGCTTGAAATTAATTCTGGGGCCATTCAGCACGGTGTCCCTGCTATTGTCATATCATACGATTCATTTGTAATCTGTGCGCACACCCCAAAATCGCTTAACTTTATCTCTCCGTTAATAGAGAGTAATATATTGTCGGATTTTATATCTCTATGAATCCTATTTTGCTTATGCAGCCACCTCAAAGCTAATAAAATTTCCTTACAAATATATGCCATCTGCCTTTCAGTCATCATTCCCCATTTGTCTTTAATGAGGTTTGTCAAGTTACATTTCATAGCTTCTAATACAGCTCATATTTCTCTGTATATAAATTACCCATTATCTTCATAGCATACACAAATAAAATGGCGACGACACACCCGTCCTCCCGAACCTGTAGCGAGACTGGGGACCTTGATGCGGCCTGAAGCCAATCCACTCAGGGAAAGGTCTGGTATGGGTACTGGTATTTGTGTCCGGCTAGGTTTCCCTCCCGGTCCAGCAATGACGATTTTCGGATCGTCTAGACGGGACATGGGCAAAAAAGGGTTTTCCTCTAGGGACTGCTGGTGCCCAAATCGGACGGCACAGCAGATGCCGATAAGAGCTAGGGAGTTAATCCCTAGTTCTAACCCTAGTCGATGACGTGAAGCATGGTGACCCAGTCCGCCTACTTCCGGAATTTCATGACCAAGCCCCATGACCGGAAGGAGCCGAGTGGTAGCCTGTGGCACCTAGGTGTACACTGGGAGCAGGGCAAAGAAAGCAAGCGAGGCGACCAAGAGGAGGAAGAAAAGGACCTACGGTCCTGGCCGGGAGCTACTCAATAACATATATAAGATTAAGATTAAGATCTTCATAGCATCCAAACATTAAAATGGCGAACGTGTCAACCTGTCCTCTTGGCGCAGCAGTTCAGACCTTATGGCTATGGCGAACTGGGAAGGACTCCGACAGAGAATCAAGTGCAGGTTCAAGAGGTATCCGGGTAGGTTTTGGCTGCTTTCCTGTGGTTAGAAATGGAGGCGCTCAACAACGTCCTTTGGATCCGATGACCCATGGGCATTCCTCTACCGAGAAACTGGGGATTTCGGCCCAGGCCACAGGGGAACAGTCTTTTTTCCTGTAGCTGTCGAAGAAAGGCACTTCGACACCCGATAGACTAAAGGATCCTTGGAATCAAGCTACTCCAATCCGTAGCAGGGCCGCAGAAATCCATAAGCCGCCCACTCAAGACTGAAGCCACAAGGCAAGGAGGAGACAGAGGTACCGGAAGGGTACTCGCAAGAGGGATAGACCCTCTGGGCTGGAGTCAAAAAGTGGATGAACCTCCCGCACGGGAGGTCTTTGGTGACTGCGTCGCCAATATGGCTAGCACCTGACTTTAATAATCCTAATCCTAATTTTCATAGCATTCTATAAATTTTACTATATTTGGGTGGTCAGCTGCAATCATCATGAAAATCTCTTGGAGAACTCTATCTTTATCCTCTGGATTATCAAGTTTGTATCTTTTAAGGACTACGTCTTTTTCAGTGCCCTTATTAACACATAAGTATACAATTCCTGATGCACCTTCTCCTAGCCTTGATTTTATTTCATAAATTTCTAGAGGATCTTGTTTGATAGGCTTCACCCTATTTTTAACTTCTTGAAGAAACTAATTGGAACTTACCTGTTTTGATGAAGAAATGTCAAAAATAGCCGGAATTTCTTCATCTTCTACAGATTTCCCTCGCAGCTGCATTTCTTTCTTGTTTGGAGACATAAATTTGATTTCTCTCTCATCTTCAGCCTTAGCGTGCTTACTCCCCCCTACGTGAGTGAACAAAAAAATTTTGTTCACTCACGGAGGGGGGTTAATGTTTTTTTAAAAAAATTTATATAGTTAGATAGGATGACTGGAACGGGGCCTTTTTGGCTTGCCGACAAGCCAAAAAAGCCCCGTTCCAGTCATCCTGTCTAGCTATATATAAATTTTATAGAAAAAACATTTTTTCGAAAATTTTAAAAAAATCCTAATTTGCAAAAATTGGGAAGCAAATTTTAATTTAATTTATAAAATTTTTTGTTTTAAAACGCAGTTTGTTTAAAATTACACAGAATTAGTTATAGATTTCGTTATACTAATTATCACTTATATATCAATTTTTTTTTCATAAAAAATTTTTTCTATTAAAAAAGTTTTTGTTCACTCACGGAGGGTGGGTTTTTGGGCAAAAAAATAGGGATTTTTCTAATGGTTTTGTTCACTCACCGAGGGGGGGAGTTAAGTTCTTTTGACTTGGAAGTGTTAGGTGAATCTTGATCACTACTGTGGATTTCGTCATGCGAGCATGGATTGCAGATTCTCACAATAGAGGTAAAAAACACTTGTTTATGCTTAATACTCAATAAACATTGTGAGCAAAAATAATTTTCTGGCTAAAAGTTACTACACTTATTGCACCTTCCTGAATTGTCTCTATGAGCTAAAGGCTGGCCACAGCTATGGCAGCTTGACGGTCGTCTAAACAATTTTGATAAAAAATCCATAGCTTAAATGTGTTGGTAGGTTAATTATTATATCAAAAATGAATAGTATTTTAAATTACTCTTAAAATTACTCTTAAAATTGCTGTGTATTTCTTGAAATTTTTGGTTTGATTTTTAATTATTTACTCCCCCCCCCCCCTCCGTGAGCGAACAAAACCATTAGAAAAATCGCCATTTTTTGACCAAAAACCCACCCTCCGTGAGTGAACAAAAATGTTTTTAATAGAAAAAATTTTAATGGAAAAAAATTTTGATATATAAGTGATAATTAGTATAATGAAATCTAGAGCTAATTCTGTTTAATTTTTAAACAAATTGCGTTTTAAAACATAAATTTTGCAAATTAAATTAATATTTGCTTCCCAATTTTTGCAAATTAGGATTTTTTTTAAATTTCGAAAAAAAATATTTTTTATAAAATTTATATATAAATTTTTTTTAAAAAAAAAAATTAACCCCCCTCCGTGAGCGAACAAAATTTTTTTGTTCGCTCACGGAGGGGGGGGGGGGAGTTAGGATAAAAGATAAAGAAAAAAGATTAAATCGTTGTAGAAATTAATTAAAAAATTTAATTTTATTTGATGCTTTGCTGTATCTCTATTAGTTTAAAAAATTCATAAAAATTGGGTAAATATTGTAATTTGGGTTGATAAATAAATCTTTTAGATCATTTGAGATTGTGCTGAAAATTTAAGAAGTGCTGAACTTAAAAATGGTGGACTAATTTTAAGCATATGGACTGTTGATTTTAAGTACTTTTTCTTATTAACTCCCCTCTGTAGGCAAGCAACAAATTTTTGCTCACTCGCAGAGGGGTTAATTTTATTTTTTAAAAAATTTATGTTTTTCTTTCAAATATTAAAATATCCAAATTGCAAAGATGAAAAAAAAATTTAATTTTATTTATGTTTTAAAATGCAACTGTCTAAAATTAAACAGATTTCATTATAATAATTATCACTTATAGGTCAAAATATTTGTTTACAAAAGTTTTATATTAAAAACATTATATGGATTTTTCTATTGGCTTATTCGCTAATAGAGGGAATTTAAAGGGATTTAAAATTAAATATTCAAGCTTCTTTCATGAATTTAAATCACTAAAAGAATTTTCTTGGAAAATATTTAGGATTCTGGAATGAATGCATTTTATATATAAATCTTATATGTAACTTTGTGAACCTTCAGTTAAATAAAAATCAGATAATTTGATCTATACCATATAAATTAAAAACTCAACTAATTTTAACTATAAATCAATGCTATAAAAAGGTTGAAATCAATTTGTCCATGAATATTTTTTTATTATCCGAAATATCCAGCATTTTACTTGAACGACATTTTTTGGCATAAATTTAACAACTATATGGCCTAATATTATAGCCCGAGCATCGTTATGGCTAGGCTGTGATAACAACTCCCAAGGTAAGGGGAGCTGGCAAACCAACCCCCTAATTTGCGAATCTCCAGTATCAGGGGATTTGCCACCTAGGGAGTTATTTGTCAATTTCCTGGGTGGCGTGGAAGCTGTTAGCACAGCCTGAGCTATAATGGGGCTTAGGCTATATTTATAAAATGTATCGTGTAGTAATTGCAGGAGCAGGAACAGGCTCCATGACTTTCTGCGGACAACTAATCAGAAGTGGTAAAGTAAAACCTTCTGAAATAGCTGTATTTGATCCAGCTCCTTATCACTACTACCAGCCAGGTTTCACAATGCTAGCTGGAGGACTTATGGGAGACGTTGACCGACTATCTCATCAGATGAAATATGTAGCTAGAGAAACAAGATCTTTATTCCACCCAGATGTTATACTTTTCTTTCTTACTCCCCCTCCGTGAGTGAACAAAACCATTAGAAAAACCCCCTATTTTTTGCCCTCCGTGAGTGCATAAAAAATGTTTTAATAGAAAACATTTTTATGAAAAAAAAATATACTTATTTACCAAGAATAGCCCACTAAGGAGCATTTTTTGGTTGGCCGAACAATAACTGGCTTGCCAAATTCGTTGGCATGCCATATTTTCTGGCTAACCAAATTAAGAATGGCGAACCAAAAAATGCTCCTTAGTGGGCGATTCTTGGTAAACAGGTATATATATATATAAGTGATAATTAGTATAATGAATCTCGAGCTAATTCTGTTTAATTTTAAACAAATTGCGTTTTTTAAAACATAAATTTTATAAATTAAATTAATATTTGCTTTCCAATTTTTGCGAATTAGGATTTTTTTAAATTTCGAACAAAAACTTCCATAAAATTTATTTATATATAAATGTTTTAAAAACAAAATTAACCCCTTTCGTGAGCGAACAAGTTTTTTTGTTCGCTCACAGGAGGGGGAATTAGCAAAGGATAATTATTATTAAATTCATTTTTGGGTTATTCTTGAAAAATATCATAACTTTATCTCCAAACCTGTGACTGGATTTTTCCCTAACTCAAATAAAATAGGGGTTGATGGGAGTGAAATATCCTACGAACATTTAGTTGTTGGTATAGGCCTCTCAATAGATTATATACCTTTTCTAATTAGGCTAATTTATAGGCATCTCTAGCTAAAATGAATGATGGCAATTAGTGTATCAAGCGAAATAAGATAATAAAATCCCAGGACTTTATGAAGCTTTAGAAGATGAAAACTCCCCAGTGGGCACAATATACCAATATAAGTACTGCTTAAAAACAAACAGACTTGTCAACAAATTTAAAGGAGGTCAAGCTATCTTCACTCAGCCTAATCAGCCATTCAAATGTGGAGGAGCTCCACAAAAGATTATGTATTTAGCTATACCTTGACATATAAATCCCATTTATTCTTTAATACAAACTCTTTCTAACTATTTATTGTCATCCCCATAATTCAGTTTGGAACAAAACTGGTGTCAGAGATAAAACTGATATACATTTTTATATTCCCCCAGCTCAAATTTTTGGTGTCCAGACCTATGCTCAAGAACTAGAAAAAATTGCAAAAGAAAAAGGTTGCAATGTGCATTACCAACATTTACTAACTAAGGTAGACCCTACCAGAAATGAAGCTACTTTTAAGAAAGGGACCGAAGAAATGATAGTAAAATACGATTTTCTTCATACTGCACCACCTCAGGGCGCACCAAAAGTGCTGCAAGGTTCTCCTATTTCAAACGAAGCTGGCTATGTAGATGTCAATCCTAATACACTAAGACACAATAAGTATGGAAATATTTGGGCAATAGGTGATTGTAGTGCTGAAGAATTTTATTTAGGACCAAACTCCTTATGTGATTTTCTCTATAAATAAATATAACAAGAAATATAAGTCTAAATTTACCAAATATTTTTATAGGCCTTTGCAAAAATATATACATGATTGTACAAGTTGCCCGACTTCTAAAACTGCAGCTGCAGCTATCGGAGAAGCTCCAGTTCTGGTTCACAACCTTGGCAAAGTTCTAGATGGTGCTGAGCCAAATGCAAAGTATGAAGGATACACTTCTTGTCCTATTTTCTTAGGTGATAATAAGTTGATGCTTTGTGAATTCAAATACCAAGGTCAGCCTGATGAAACATTTGGAAATCAGAATACTCCAAGCTCGCTTGCGTATTATTTGGTAAAGACTTTCTTGCCAAGAGTTTATTTCACACTATTGCCAAAGGGTGTGTGGTATGGAAGAAATTCCATTTTTAAACCTAAATTCGAATAAAGTAATCAAAGTTTATTAGAAATGCTTGCATTAAATAAGAATAATTTTTAGTAAAGCTCTTCTATAAGAAATAATCACCAATAACTTCAGCAACCATTTTTTATATGATATTATAGAAAAATTTAAAGCCAACGTTTTTGTTAAATATTTGAAGAGCTTTCTTTGTGTTTGAAGTAGCCCATAATCCCAAAAACTGCAGAGATATCAGCTAATAAAACTATAAATAAGCAAGCTAGTTGCCAAAAGTAGCTTTCTTGCTCTTCTATCTTAACTTTGTTTGCAACCCTGCTTAGCCCTGAGTATTTTTCTAAATAACTCATGATTTTTGGAATTCTATTCAGTCTTTTCTTCTCTATGCTTGCTTTATAAGCTGATAGTTTTTCATAAATATGCTGCCAAACGTCTTTGAAGTCTTTATATTCTTCGTAGAAGACTGCACACACACATAAATAGTGACTTAATCGACTTGTCCTTCTCCCATACAATCTGGGTTTTTGGTTTAAGAGGGCTGGGGCCTGGAACTTGCATCCGGGATTTTTTTTTTATCTCTGACCGGATACCACATCAGGGTTTTTTTACCCGAACTATAGGCAAGGAAACCAGAGTCAATGTGACAATTCCATACTTTTTGATGCGAAGAGTAATGAGGACCAGAAGGAGGATTCGAGGTCGTGTCCTATCTCCTATAGCCGAATAGATCATGCCGGCTGCTAGGAGTTGTCCAAAGAAGTATTTGGATGTGTTTCCCCAAGAGATGGCGACGTCATTCATTTTTGTGATGCCCGATAGTGTAAGTGCGAACAGATGCCTAGGGCGAGGAGCTTGAAGTCGGCGATAGCCGAGAGGGGCTCTAATTTACCCCGAATACCTATAGAAATTTCCCTTAGATGGCGCTGTTTGCCCTTGATTTGCCCACTGAAAAAATTTTTTGGTTTGACCAAACCCATATAGTACTGGTCGAACCAAAAAATTTTTTCAGTGGGCAAATCAAGGGCAAACAGCGCCATCTAAGGGAAATTTCTATATCTAAACTTTAATCTAATCTAGTCTTAGAAGATTGCGCTGATATCTTCTTCTATAGTCTAAATTACGCAAACATTTATTTGTTGGAGATTAGCTGCAATTTTATCGATAGTTAAGGTATAATCTTGTACATTTTTCTGAACAGGTAAGTTTGGAAAAAGTCTGATTAACTTTTACTTATTCTTTTCTTTCTAGTTTTTATTAATATTTCATTTATAAAATTATTTTAGAATTTCATTTCTAAAAAAAATATAAAACGCTTTATGAAGTTAGTAGAAAAAAGATAATGAATGCTTGATGGATGGATTTTCATCAATGGATGTGCTTGAATTATGATGCTGTCTCCAAAAATAGAATAATTGAAAAAAGTTACCTGGCAAATTTGATCTGAATAATCAAAATAATTGTGCGGTTCAAGATAATTTGATGAGTTTAGTAATAAAAATACGTTGTAGTTTGTGGTGACCCAAGGAAATTTGTTTGCAAATTCTTCGATCGGAATTTCATTCCTGCTGAACTTTTTTCAAAATTCCCAGTATTGCTCATTAAAGTTTGTTTCGTTGACAAAATGATATTCCAATGCTAGCTGTCCTATTTTTTCTGAATTATCCTCTGGCTTTTCATACTCCCAAGAGATCTTATAAGAATCCAAATTAAAAATCACCACTTCTACCACTTGCTTTATATTTTTTAGCTTTTCTAGCTCAGTTGTTATTTCAGATGTGGTCAAGCTCCAAGCTCCAAAGTACAAAAGCACCCACAAGTAACTTTTCCTCATATGAAAATTATTAGAATTTATTATGCTTATTAAAGATAGAAATCAATTTCTGGAAGTACAGTAAAAGGATGCTTATGACCCCATATCTTATCAACCTACCTATAGCGCTAAATTTGCCTCTAGTTTAGCCTATGGTAGCGTGAAAGCTGCTTTTCTCTTGATTAAGGCTTTTTCCTGTTAACACAAATCACTTCATCGACTAAATGTGTGGTTATTATCGAAACATTGTTAGCTTTATCAGCACTTCCTGTTTCGATTTCATGAATTTCTTCTCTATTTTTTTATTAATCTTCAAGCTATCCTTTCTTCTGTTTGTATTGCTTATACGAATGATTTTTCAAGAAAATTAATAGAATTTAAAAATCATGAATGTAAGATACTCGATAGTTGGTGCTATATGCAGCAGAGCATTTATTTTATTTATTAATAAATAGCATGCTTAAATATATTTGCATAAAGACTTAGCCTTAATCTTATATACTTTACTATATTAAATTTTAATATAAAACTTTAAATTAGCTTATCCATCAAGTATTACAAGAAATTCAATCAATACAGATATATTTATATTTTTAAAATAAGTTTTACAAAAAGAAAACTCAAAGAGAGATTTGGTATAAATACATAAACGATTCAGGGTAATTCAGCTGACATCATGGCCGAGTGGTTAAGGCGATAGACTAGAAATCTATTGGGATTTCCCGCGCAGGTTCGAATCCTGCTGATGTCGTTTTTTTATTTTTCCTAATTTTAGTTCTTTTCTCACAGTAATTCCAAATAACTTATAAATCATGCCAAACTAGTCTCTTATGCTATAAATCCATTATTTATCCTCTCAAAACAGAACTATTTAATAATGCTAACTCCTTCAAGTCTTTAGTTAAATCCTTTGGATCTTAGCGCTTGCATAACCAAATCTAAAAATTCGTCAGAATTTGCCAAAGCAATTATAGCTTCCCTTAATCTCTCCTTTCTTGAATTTGAAACTTCTTCATCTTCAAATTGTATACCTTTTTGGAAAAACTCAGGCTTCATCACATTTTCTTCTGGGGCTTTGATAACAGTAGTTTCCCTATATTCTTGCTGTTTTGGCTCTGAAATGGAATCAGGTGATCTTGAATTTACCATAAGATTACTTTCTCCTCCAATATCAAGCAAGCTTTTTAGCATCCTTGACTGTGAATCAATATGCTGTATTTCTCCAAGCTTAATTAAAAGACTGTCAAGCTGATCTGCTGAAGGCGACCAAATACCGTAAACTCCTTTATTTCTATCTTTGATGTACAGCAATTGTGGCATTTTTTTGTCAAACTGTGCGTCCATAGAGATCGGTTGATGGAAATTCGACAGGGTTTGCTTATTTAAGATCGTTACGTAGAAGTATGGCTCTTGACTACGCTTAACGAGAAGCAATGGGCCTTCGATATCACCTTTTTTCCAATTTTTTTCTCCTTCATCAAATAGATAATAAGCAGCATGCTGCATTTCGAAGATAACGTCGATGATGGCTTTATCTACTCTTCGTTGCAGCATAGTGATCACCGTACTCTCCATCTAAGGAAAATATGATTATTATATATATACATTTTATAATAAACATAATTCATTTATTTTCCAAATCTTCCTTCCCAAATTGAGCCTGTTTTTACACTGCTTTCATTAGCTTCGTCTTCTTCTTTTAGAGATTCCAGCTTTGGTCTATATATATACTGTATAGACTCTTTGTTTAAAATTAAATTTTCATGCATTTTGTCATATCTTTCTTCATCATCACCGACTCCGATAACTTCTAAATGTACGCTATTAATGCGCGTCCTTCTTTGCCTATTAATTACCATGAAAACTCTTCATATTATCACAATGTTTCTTAATATCAAGATCATGATCCCGATAGCTCCTTCTATATCGTCTAATAAGGATCTTGATGTAAAAGCTATGATGATTTCTGTTACACAAATCAATGATAGAGTTATATCACATATATTATTGCAGCCTATAAAAAATTTTTTGAATCCTAATAAGTACATTCTTATCATTACCTCTGAGATTATTGTGCTGCCAATTATGACTTCAAGGGTTATAAATCATATTTCCTCTGATTAGAAATTACCGGGAAATGAGCCTATGTGAGCTAAAACTCATATCATACTGAAAAGGCACAGGAGAATTTGGATTGCAAAAAAAATTCTGGCTGCTTTTGAGAAGTAAAATCTATTTATAAAAGATCTGCACTTAGAAGATTTTGTTAGATAAGAGGAGGTTGGAGAGTATGAAGCTGGAAAATATTCAAAAGTTTGTAGGTTCATATTGTTTTTATATATTTACAAATTTTAAATAAAATTTTAAAAAAGGCTTATAAGTTCTTCTTAAGTCAATTTTGCTATTATATCTATTACCTTTTATCTATTACATTCATATCAAATTCATGATTTCTTTATTAGTCTGATGAAAAAATTAGAAATTTTGTTTTAAAGTTATTTTAAATTGGTGTATCTGTCTTACCTGCTATATATTATGCTATAATAGTGCGTTAAATCAACTAATTAATTCATTAAATGCTATATAAACAAATATGCTTAGCAGCTTATCCAATCAAAAAGATAGTAAGTATAATCATTTTGAAATGAGGCTTTTTAAATGAGCTCAATCTTTATGGATAGTTTAAATTTTCCATACTGAGAATTAAATTTTAAAATAAACACCCAAATGGAAAATATAAATCAAAAGGAAGAAAGCATTACAGTTGCTGTAAGAATAAGGCCTATCAGCCAGCTTGAGCTTTCTTCAGACTCCACAATTTCATGAGATGTCGCAGGTCCAACAACCATAAAAGAAAGCAATGGTAATCGGCTGTATATTTTTGACAAGGTTTACGATGAAACTACAAGCAATAACCTTATTTTTGAAGACCTTTGTGAAATCATGATATGAAGGGCAATGGAAGGCTACAATAATTGCTTGCTTTGCTATGGAGAAACAGGAAGTGGGAAAACATTTACTATGCAAGGCAATCGCAAAGACCCAGGGCTAGCTTTTTTAAGCATTGATACAATTTTTGCATATATGCAATATGCGACTACAAAAGAGTTCATAATTCGCTGTTCTTATGTCGAAATTTATAATGAAAGCATAAATGATTTATTGAACCCCAAAGGTCTAAATCTCCAAATAAAAGAAGACAAAAAGGTAAAATTCATTCAGAATGGTATCAAAATAGCCAATGCAACTGAAGAAGTCTGCCACTCTGTAGCCCAAATACATTCTTTGCTTGCTTTAGGAGAAGCTCATAAGCAGTTTTCAGGGACAAAAATAAACCCAAATGGCTCTAGTTCGCATTGCATGTAAGCATTATCACAGATTCAGTATCATAATAGAATCAAAGCTAAGAAGCTCTGAATCTGAAATATTCGCGATTTCTACGCTAAATTTAATAGATTTAGCAGGAAGCGAAGGAAGCGGCATGAATATCCAATCCACACTTGCAAGCAAAAATAGAGAAATGAAGCATATCAATAAAGTGAGATATATATAGAGCTTAATTACTCTAGGGACAGTTATAATGAGACTAAGTGATAAAGCAAACACTGTGCATATTCCTTTTAGAGACAGTAAATTAACAAGGCTTTTAAAATCATCTCTAGAAGGAAGTGCAAAAATTTTATTAATTTGTAATATATCACCATGCTCACAAAATTATGACGAAAGCTTATCTACTCTCAAATTTGCTCAGAGAGCAAAAAAAATAAGCCAGGTTTTATCAAAGAATAATTTTGCAGAAGGAGACTCTTTAATTCTTGAAATTTATAAAGATATTAGAGAATTATCTCTAAAGCTATGTGAAATAGAAACAAAAATATCATTAATTCCAATCATAAATGATGCTGAAGAAGAATCACCTCTAAGAGAGCACAGTCCTGTGAGAAAAGAGCATTCAGGGGTTGAAAGCTTAATTAAAGAAAAACTCCAACTTCAAAACAGCTTAGAAAGACTATCTTCTATGATCATAAACTCAGAAAAACTAGCTGTTAACAATAAAGATGAGATTAATGATATTAATGAATTTGCTGAGATTAGTATTAAAAACCAAGAAAGAAGAAGAACGCGATTATCAATTATGAAAGATTCCAGCCCCCGATAATAAAAGAGAGAGAGAGAGAGATTAGTTAGAGAGGTTAAGCGGGGATTATTTCAGCCCCTAGCCAGTCGGACTTCAGCTTCGTGCTTCATGTGGCACTAAGCACTAAAGCCACCTACCGCCCTTTTTCTTCGGAGCCATCAAAAATGGTGACGTCCTCAGTCTGTCGGGGAGACTCACCCGACCCTGCTGGATCAAAAAATTTTCGGCAAGGACTCTCTTAACCCCTGGTGGTGCTCAGGGTATGAGAGGATCGTCCATTGTCTTCTTCTGGAACCACCTGTGCCATTCGCAGGCACCATAATGCTCCTCCAGAAGTGCTTGATTGATGTTGCGCCGTCGGTATCTTGTCTGTGGGTCGAGGGGAAGCCCAGTCAGCCCAAGCCTGCACCCCACCCCAGAGAATTGCCATCTGCGACCCCTTGGCCTTCCGCCGTTTTATTTTTTTTTTGCACGGCCGAATTCTGGGATTTTTTTTTTGCTGTCGCCGAGCCAAAATGGATTTCCATCTTGCAAGATGGAAATTCTCGATAATAAAAGAAGAATCCAAGTTTCAAGAAAAAGTTGCGAGATCCCGTCAAAGGCACGAAAATTCTATCGTCATAAAATCAAGAAAAAACACCTTAGAAGCAGACATAAAAGTTCCAGATATTTCTTTTGAAGTAGGTCGAAAAGAAACATATCTGCTTGACAGTGTTGATGAATTCTTAGAGTTTCAAGAAGCTCAAAGAGCGAAAGAGTTAAACAATAAAGGACAAGAAAATATTGAGGACTTAAATAAATCAAGCCTAGTTCTTATAGTTGATGAACAAGATATTCTTATTTCAGACATGGAAGGAATGCTAAAAGAGAAAGATAACCAGATTTCGGTATTGAAAGATGAGCTGGAACTGTGTAGATCTAATATGGCTAGAATGCAGCAGCAGATTAAGGTACTTAAAGAGCAACGAAAAGCGATTTAAAATTATATATAAGTTAAGAAATTATATAATTGCATATTGCCCGCTTTATTTTATATTAAAATGATTGACTGCACCGACAATAAAATAGACAACTCCAGCAGATTCGAGCAAAGAAACTCGAATTTTATGGCCTTAGACCCAATGAATCTTATGAAAAGAAACGAAAATTATAGTGTCAAGCTAAGGAAAGACCAGAGAAAAGATTTTTTCCAAAAGAAAAGGCTTAGATTAGATGATAGAACTGAAGAAACAGAAGATGAAAATGAAATGCCCAATTTTTCTTTGCTAAATCCCAAAGAAAAAAACTCTTACTCCCACCCTCCGTGAGTGAAAAAAAACCATTAGAAAATCGCTATTTTTTGCCCCAAAACCCACCCTCCGTGATTGAACAAAATTGTTTTAATAGAAAAATTTTTTATGGAAAAAATTTTTGATATATAAATGATGATTAGTATAATGAAATCTATAACTAATTTTGTTTAATTTTAAACAAAAATTGCTTTTTAAAACATAAATTTTATAAATTATTAAATAATATTTTTTTGCAAATTAGGATTTTTTTAAAATTCGAAAAAAACAATTTTTATAAAAATTTATATATAAATTTTTTTTAAAACAAAAAAAATTAACCCCCTCTGTGAGTGAACAAATTTTTGTTGTTCACTCTTAGCAATATATTCATACTGAATCACAGCAGATACACATGAAAAAATTGTTTATTCCTTGAAGTCTTTTCGCAGGACTTTAAAACAGTTTTCTAAATCTACTGAACTGCTTCCAGAGCTGCGAGAAGAATATATTGACAAGCTGACAAGCTTTATAGGGACTGGATATCCAGATTCTTTAGAGTCTGAGGCAGTTTGGACTATAAGTAATCTTGCTTCTATGGAAAAACCTATAGTAGATAGGCTTGTTAGTTCAAATCTTATACCAATTTTGATAGAGTCTCTGCAAGAATTTAAGCCATTATCAAATGAAAATGCAATTTTGGCTATTGGAAATATATGCATTGATCAAAACAAGTATAGGGATATTTTAGTAAATGTTTACCATTTGCATGAAATTTTACTAGATTATCTTGTGAAAAATTGAAATTCACTTCCCATGGCCACATTAGAAAGCTTGGCATGATGCAGCTCTAACTTGATTGCATATAAAACTCCTGTGCCTTACTCAATCTATGAAAAAATCATCACAATTTTCAAATATTTAATAAAAATAGAAAATGCGCCAATGCAGAAATATATTCTTGAAGGTTTAAACACGATTACAGATGGGGATAATAAGCGAATTCAATTAGTTATCAATGCTGGATTTTTACAGAAAATAATTTCAGCTTTGGCTTCAAATAATAAATCTTTGAGCGTTTCTGCAATTAAGACAATTGGAAATATATCATCTGGAGATGACCACCATACACAACTATTACTTGATTCAAATATATTAGACGTCCTTGCTTCACAAGGAGGAAGTAATATTTTATCAATAAGAAAAGATGTAGCATACACACTCAGTAATATTGCTGGAGGGACAAAAGAGCAACTAGGCTGCCTTATTCATCATCCAGTCTGCCAAAGAATAATGAAGCTATTAGTTGATAAGCATTTTGAAGTGAAAAGGGAAGCCTCATTTATTATAAGAAATATAGCAAATGTTGCGACTGATAATGATATTTTATTTTTGGTTGAGCAAAATGTGTTTATTTACTTCAGGGAAACGTTAAATGAAATTGATCCAAAAATAATAATAAATTTATTAGAATTTGTTGAAAGAGCTTTGGATTGTGGAAGAACAAAAGCAGGAAGCTCAGATCCACAGCTAAATATTTCAATTGGAGCTTTGCATTTAGCCAATTGCATTGAGAGGATTGAAAATTTGTATAATCATATGAACCTTAAGATACGAGCGATTGTTGAACAAATTATAAAAAAGTATTTCGATTTGGAAGATAATGAATGCAATATGGAAGATTCGTCTATGCCCGAAATATTTGAATTTTCTTAAAATGCTAATACTGTTTTAAATGAGAAGCAGTTTGGTATATCTAAGGTAATGCAATAAAAATACGTTTAAATTTTTGAAATATTGAGTAGCCGATTTTAGTATTTGATTTTTATATTATTATCATTAAATATTTAATCTTCTCAAAATAATCATTTTTAATCATATTTCAGAATTGTCTATTGATAATAAATAAATAAAATATTATTATACATCTTACCTGAATTCTTTATAATGCTTAACCCACTTTCGTGAGTAAGTTAAATATTTTTTAAAATTTTTATATTGAACGTTTTGAATATATATTTTTTATATGGGTATATTAGAGCAGATTTTTAATTGAGATAAGAGAAATGTTAGTACTTGAAAATATAAAAAGATTCATGGCACTTACACAATATTCATAGAGATTTGTAGAATGAAGGAGAGATCATGGAGAAACGGTTGAAAAAATTGACAAATTTTTTAGAGGATTATATTCATCAATTATGAGGATCGAAGAGAGAAATGTTGTTAAAATCATCATAAAATAAATTAAAAATTTAATTATTTTTCGGAATTTAAAAATGTAAATGTACTAAATTGTAAAGTAAAAGCTCATTTATTTATAAAATTTAATAGAATTATTTTTACAATAAACTTTTTTTTGTTTGTTTTTGAATGAGTTTTATTAAAATATAAGAAATTCTTTTCTATATTTTTTCTTGCTTAGATAGGGGAGTTAATAAATTTGATTTATTGTGAAATAACCTCAAAAGCTGTGATAATTTTTAATGAATTTTTCAGAAAGAAATGTTTTAAAATCTGTTTATCGTTCGAAAACCCCTGATTTTGACAGCTCATTAAGAAAGCTAAACAAAACAATGGATGGGCAAGATAGACTTCAATCAAGCATTGGAAAATTCGCTGAAAAAAGCCGAGCACAAATGAAAATCATATCGAAATTATTGAGTACTCAAAATAACTACCAAACTGATTTAAGCATTTTGACCTCAGACTCAAATACAGATTACACATTTAATCAAAATTCAGCAAAAATCTTAATCCCAGAGAATCCTTTAAAAATAATCTCTTCGTTTACCCCAACAAAGTTTAAAATCTCTACAAGAGAAAAATCGTCAACTCCAAAAGTCGTATACAACGAAAATGACGCAGGAAAACGACTAGGTCCAGGCTCCTATAATTCTCCAAGCCAAAAAATCTGGCCCTTCTTTTCTTAACTAACTTAAAATTTACTTGCTTTTACCCGTCGGATGGAAGTGGGAAAAACCATGGGCCTTTCACTTTCCCTAAAGTCAGGCCAGAGGGCTGTAACTGCCCCTCCCAGTTGCGTACCTGACTCAGCCGGGATAGAATTCCCTTGGAAAACTAAGCTTCATAATTAGAAAATGCAAATGAGTACTGCTAGCCGGTAGGCCAGTCGCGTACGAAATGCGCCATTTTCTAATTCTGGCCCTTCTTTTCAATTTTCATCAACTCCTCGACCTTTTGTGCAAACAAAAGAGCACATATTAAGTAGTATACAAAGTCGATTTATTTCTACAGAGAGGAAAAAAGAAGCTGATGAAAAAATCAAAAAATTGGTAGAGAAAAATTTATCTCAATATAGTCCAAAGAATAAGAAAGAAATTCTTCAAAAAAAAGCCAAAGAAAAAAATATCCAAGAGTGCCTGACAAAACAAACTAAAAATAACATTGTAGAGTGCATTCACGAACATAGGGAAAGACAGCTAGAAGAAAAATTCAGGAAATATGAGCAGAGGATCCACAGAAAAGAATTCATTGCATTACAAAAGAATTGGAGCTTTTTAATAATAAATCTTGGAGTTTTATCGATATTAAAAGTGCAGCTAAGAAAGAGAAGGATAGTAAAAAGAAAAATTGCTTTATATATAAAACGTCTTTGAGGATTTAGCAGAGCACTTGGAAAATTTCTGCAAAGTTTGAAAAGAGTAAGAAAGTCCAAAACCCATGACAAATTAAGAATTATTTTTACTCCATTTTTGAGAAGATGAGTAGAAAAAAAGCGCTATGAAAAAGGAAGCGTTATATTGGATTTGATAGACAGAGTGCTTACTGCTAGAAGTTTACCTATAAGTGCTCGTAAATGGAAACTAAAAATGAATTTCTTAAAGAGAACAATGAAATCTCTAGCAAAAATTTATTTATCCAGAGTTAGAGTACTTAAAAAGCAGTGAGATAAGATAGATATGGATGATCGGAATAAGAGCTTTATTACAGAAAGTAAGGATAACGTAATTCCTGAAATAATAAAAACAATATATGTAAAGCAGTATTTAAAGAAAAAGCTCAAAGCTTATGCAAGAGCGATGATAAAGCATAAGCAGCTGTGCAAAGAAATGGAAATAGAGCTAGCCATGCAGAGGAATTTTAAAGAAATTGAACAAGCACTAACAGGTAAAAAAGTCGATATGAGCGATGTCATGCCTAAAAGACCTGTTTTTTTATTATATTCTTTTCCTAATGAACTAAAGGATATAATGAAAGCTGCTGAAAACAATAGGAAAAATTGGCATTTAATTTTAGGAGTGGACCCAAGCTTTTTTAAAGAAAATAAAACTAACATTAGAGATGGACACAAAAAGCATAAAAAACCAAGAGATCCAGGCAGAAAAAGAAGCAGCTCAAGCAATAGTGCAATTAGTAGTTCTTTAGCAAATTTTTCTGGCAAGAAAGCTATACAAAAAGCTGAGACACAAATTCCTGTAGCGGAAAAAAGTGGGAAAAATTCTAGAGACCAGAAGCGAAGTAGTGTTAAATTTGCAAGAACTGTTACTTATAGATATGAAGAGCCTACAAATAGTAGCCAATTGGCTGAAATTCCTGAAGTAAGAGCAAGATCTCGCACAAGAAGATAAATTTTTATTTAATGCTTAACCAATATATTAGAAAATGGAGTTTACCAAATAAAAACTTATTTTAAGGATTAATTAGATAAAAGCATAATTCTATTGTATGTGTGCTTGAATCCTGAAAATAAGTATGGCTCTTAATCTCTTAATAATCAGCAGCTTTATTGGTAATCCCACTCCCAAGACTAATCATTATTATCAACAAGCATCCCATACAGCATGCTGATGCCAGAAATACATAATAAACAACTAAAATCACAAATGTCGCCATATATCCTTCATAAAAGTCTGTTTTACAAGAATCGTTGACACTATAATACCAAATATTCCCTAAAATAAGCCACACAACCATAAAAGTCCCTAATATTGCATTTAAAGAAGCTGAGAATACACTTACTCTCCTTCTGAGAACAAGGAAAATTAAAATTTTATATTAGTTTTTTTTTTCAACTAAAATTTAGAGAAAAAAAAATAAGATTAATATTTTACAATGCAAGCTGCCTAAATTTAATAGAAGTAGCTCAAGATTATATTATAATAATCACGTATATTTCGAATACTTATATAAAATACTTTTTAGCTCCCTCAGAGAGGGTTAATTTCCAAAAAAATACGATTTTTTCAATGTTTTGTTCGCTCATGGAAGAAGGAAGATTAGCAAGCTTGATAAATAATAAGGACAATGTGGAGTGCTGATTTCAGAAATGACTAATAAAATCAAATGAAAGCAGAAGACAGATAATAAAACTTGAAGCCAAAGTCGTATCGGCATATCACAATCATTTTCATTTGATAATAAAACTAGCGTCAATGCGATCACATACGCAAGCTCTAAGACTCCTAATGTCAATGCGGTGGCCACTCTATATCTTCCTAGCCAAGTTACTTTTTTGTCTACCATTTATAATCATATCATATTTTATTGATTAGTGCTTTTATAATAATTCAAAGTCAGCAGTGAGCTAAAAAACACCAGGCATACAGCCAGTATCGCAACCAGGCAATATCTCATCCTTCCTACCTTATTTTGTTTTTCAGCCTTAGAAAGTTCATTTATTGCTTTTTTGCTTCTGTCCACTGATTTTTCAACATTAGTTTCTATTAAGTCTAAGACTTCTCCTTGCTCCAGCACCATTTCGCTTACATCTTTTATACTTAATTATAATGAATTAATATATTCCTACTGATTTGTCGTTATCCATAAATAAAATGACGTCTCGGCCCGGGCATTGCCTACCATAATGCAGCCTCGAGGACGTATTTAATTATATTCGGCAAGGTTTTGCTAACCCAGAAATAGACAACAATGCTAGGTAAGCAACTCTGGTAATGCCCAGAGCTAGTCCACTTTAAGGATTGGATTTTACCTCGAGTAAAATTGGGTTCAGAGTTAGAAAGAGAAGGCACAGCAGTGTCTACAGGCAACGCCTAGACCATTCGAAATCTTCCCTGCGTGAAACTGGAAGTTAAGCCCCGGACTTTAAATTTGGCTAGAAAGTTCTATTTTTTGGATTTTTTGTTGAACAGCACACAGCAGAAGTCCATAGCATTTCCTTTTACACTAAAGCTGACAAGGCAAGGAGGATATATGGTGAGGTGGTGAAGAAGATGAAAGGTGTTCGTGCCGAAACTAGCCCGGTAATTCATCTAGCTCAAAAAAGTCCCCCAGCCATCGCTGCAAAGATTGCGAATCCCCTGTAAGAATCCTTGGTGACTGCATTATCAATGGATAACAACAGCCAGCAAGAATATATACATTCACAGTAATTAGGTATAATAACCCATTAACCGTTCTAATTGCTTGCGAAATCCTACTTATTTTCTCATCTCTTTCTTGCAAAATATCATGATGCAACTGTAGCTCAAAATTCATGTTCTGTTGTTGTGGACTTTCCAAAAGTGTGTCTTCCTCTGTAGGTTCTGCTGTATCAATATGAAGCACTTCTTCTATTTTAACGATTTCTTCAGCAATTTTTTGGATTTCTTTGACTTCTTTTTCAAGCTCCCGTTTCCATTTAGAGTATTGAGGTTTTTCCTTGTCACTGAGCTTCAAAATGCTGGTTTGCAGCTTTCCTGCCAGCTCATTGGCTGATTGGAGATTGAAATGGACTTGGACTCGCTTTTCTTTGGGAAGTTTCTTCAGTGAAGGGAGAGAAGACTTGATAAGAGAAATTTTTTGTCGGATTGAATTGAGGACTAGAGCATATTGGTCAGGTGTAGGGAGATTGTCAAGTTTTGTTATAGAGTTTAAAGTAAAAGATGACATGCTATACGTTATTTATGATAATTCTAGTATTTTGGAAAAATGATTTAAAATAAATAAAGCTAACAAATATCCCATACATTGACCAGATTAATATTAGTATTTCTAAAACAGCATACAAATTTATAGAGGAATATATCAATTTATGTTTAAAGTAAGATTATCTTTATCAGCATATCGTTTAGCTTATAAATGCATCAAGCATTTCCTTTAATTTTCCTTACGCATAAAATCATGCATATAATCGTCATAAAACGATTCCAAATGGAACGTCTGCCTATTTACACTCCTGACATCATTACTCTTTGCAACTACTTTCAAATAATCGATCAGCTTATAAAGCTCCCTGTCATCGCTATCATTATATCATGAAATTATCGGAATTCCATTATCAATCTGATGAGCAAAGCTATAAGCTGAGTTATCAATTATGAGCATATCTTTAAGCCGTCTATTGCCTATGACTCTTAAATCTTTTATATAAACCCCTTCGTTAACCACACATCTTTCTCTATAAAGCCTATGATGAATAATTTCTCTGCTTGGGTCTAAATAATCGAGGACTTCGTCAGCATAACACTGCTGGGATGCAGTATATACAATTACTTCAAATTGTTGGCAAGCTGCAAGCAAGCATTCCCTAGCATAAGGCCTGACATTTATCCCTACATCAAGCGTATCTCCATTCGGAAAAGTTACTGTTAGTGGAATATCCGCGTCTAACGGATTTTCACAGCAGTGCACCAATGTTTCATCTAGGTCAAAAATAACATTAAATTATTTCATTAAGATTAATATCCTGAGTTTAGCATTCACTATTGCATACCTTCATGGGCTTCCGTCCCTGCTTCGGGGGCTCGACCCACCAATGTGTCGTGCACCACTTGTCTTCACCTCTGGATTGTCCCTCAGCTTTGGGCATTCATATTTAGACAGCTGTCCATCAAGCTTTCGGGCATGAACATGATTTCCTGCGCAAAAACCCCAACAATGGAACTCTCGGCAAAAACGTCCAACTTGAAGCCCAGGGTTTCACGCTAGAGAATAGGCACTGCTAGACTTACCCTTTCTAATTGCAAGCCTTTCCTTCCCTACAAGGTAAAATCTATTCCTGATAACTTAGGCTAGACTCCGAACTCTACTAAATTGCTTAACTAGCATTGCTATCCATTTCTGGGTTGCCTAAGCCTTGCCGGATTTGCTTAATGCAGACGGTTAGGAGGCCATGACGCCAGATTAAACTATCTCGGTCAAAAATAACAGTTTTTGCGTTTTCATATCCTTTTCTCCTTGGAAGATTGACTGTTTTTAGCCTTAGAGCTTCTGGGTCTATAGGTTTAATGTTTTTTATAAATTTCATAGCTTGGAAGGTTTGGAACAGGTGCTCTTTGTATGCAAGTTCCCCTGAAAGTCCGACAGACTTGACCTGCTTTACGATTTGGTTAAGCTTCATTGAAGAATTCAGAGATCGAGGGGAATTGATGATCGGCGATTTAAAATTTTCCTTTTTGGAATTGGAGAATCGTATGGTATTATTGAAAGAACGGGAAACTTCGTCATTATCTTCAAATTTGAATTTAAAACTTGATGAACATTTTGGAGAATTGATATTCTTCTGTGCTAAAGGCCTTTGTATGTATTTGGGCCTTATTCGTGACTGAACGTTGATAGAAGGGGTCAAGTTGCCAAGTTGAATTGTTTCGTTTGGAAAATCCTGGTTGCTTATACTGAGCTCTTTTATACGAGTTTTGTTTTGAGTTTTGTTGAATTTTCTTCTGTTTAGGGATTCAACTTGCGATAACATTTTTAAATTTAACGATTATGCTTTTTATGGGAAAATATTATTATTCATATTATTATAAATAAATGCTAACTCCCCCCCCCCTCCGTGAGCGAACAAAAAAATTTTGTTCGCTCACGGAGGGGGGTTTAATTTTTTTTTTTAAAAAAAATTTATATATAAATTTTATAAAAAATATTTTTTTTCGAAATTTAAAAAAATCCTAATTTGCAAAAATTGGGAAGCAAATATTAATTTAATTTGCAAAATTTATGTTTTAAAACGCAATTTGTTTAAAATTAAACAGAATTAGCTCTAGATTTCATTATACTAATTATCACTTATATATCAAAAATTTTTTCCATTAAAATTTTTTCTATTAAAAACATTTTTGTTCACTCACGGAGGGTGGGTTTTTGGTCAAAAAATGGCGATTTTTCTAATGGTTTTGTTCGCTCACGGAGGGGGGGGGGGAGTAAAGGATAGAAATATTTTTATATGATTTAAGCTGAAGATCAAGTAATTTCAGTAATTTTGCTTATTGCAGGCTAATATTTATTGACTCTGCACTTTGTGAGCGGACAAATAAATTTATTCACTAGAAGGGTTAAAAAAAAATTATATATAAATTTTATAGTGAAAATTTTAAAACAATTAAATTCGCAAAAATTGGAAAGCGAAAATTAATTAATTGTGAAATTTATGTTTTAGAATGCAAGCTTTTTAAAATTAAACAGATCTAGCTAGAGATTTTGGGTTTTTAATCAAAAAATAAGATTTTTTTAATGTTTTTGTTCTCTCATGGAAGGGGGAAGTGAGTAAATTAAAAGTTAATTTTCTGATATTTGGTTATAATATGCCACTTAAAATGCTTAATAGTACGGATACAGACTGTATAATCAAATCTGGGGCATTAAAGATAGTTATATGATTAGTTAACTAAAAATGGTCAAAGTAGAGATTATTGAGACTGTAAAAGCTTCCCAGACCCAAAACGGGCTCAGACACTCTGATTACTTAAGATATCGTAGATACTGTGCTCAAAAACTTCGTCGGCTCCGAAAATCCGCTAAATTTACTTTTGGAAGAGGAAAATTCCAGCAAAAGCAAATCACAACAGACCTATGCCAAGACTCAAGGTATATCTTAATGCTTCTGTATAATGCAGAAAGATCATGGAGCTATGCTATGCAGCTAAGGCAGCATCTATCCTTATCATCATCAGCCAAAGCAAAAAGGCATCTATTAACCAGACTTCGCAAAGCTGTCAAATGGAGTGAAGCATTAGAACACGCTGTAAATGCCGTTGGAGACGTAAAAAGTACTCTTGAAGCTCAAGCTTATAAGTCCTTAATGACTGGATATCTAGATCTAGAGCAGCAGCACTGGGAAAAAGCTCGAGATTCATTTTTAGCCTCTCAAGCTGTATATCAAAGGCTATCAGAAGTCGCTGATACTATAGAAGTTGTCGCAATCCAACAGAAATTATCAAGCTTAGAGCCAATGATTAGGTACTGCCAACATCAATTGGGAAACTCACTCCCCCCTTTACATTGGGATAAAAAAAATCTTGTTCCAATTCCAAGATAGTTAATTTTTTTAAAAAAATAATATTTAAATTTTCAATATAAAAACATTTATTAAAATTTTATTTTATGAAGAATTAATTTAAAAAATTAAAAGATTTCAGTCCATAAACTGTTTAAATAATATTCTACTTGCATTTTTTCCATTAAATTAGATCAAAACCTATTTTATAAAAAATTATTTTTCACCAGTAAATTTTTTTTCCCATTAAAAAAATATTTTGCTCAAATTTAGAGGGCTTAAAGTATCTAAAATTAGAAATTTTACTGATAGTTTGGTTCCAATTTAAAGGAGGGGTGTGTCAGTCTCCACCCAAGAGCTACTTGACTTGAAATTTTCGCAATCTCCAGAATCTGAACTCCTTAACGCCCAAATAGAAAGTTTATTGGCAGAATCCAGGCAGCAAAGAGTACAAAATGCAGGAGAGATCAACATTAAAGGGAAAAGCTACACAGTTAGGAACGAAAAAGCAAGGCTTGCATTGCAGAAAGCAGAAGAAGTATTCATGGCTTTAGAAAGAGCAAGCAATAAACTGGATTTATATACAGAAGCATTCGGATATTATGATGAAGCTTGCAGATATATCAAAAAAGACAAAGATGAAAGCCAGGCATCAGGAGACGTTGGAGAAGCCGCGATTTGGGGCCAACTCTTAGAAGCGATCCAACAAATCAAGAAAGGTAGAGTTGTAGAAAGAAATTTAGAACTGGCACGGCAAGCTGAAGAAAAATTCGAAGACGAAATCGACATTGCGATAAAAGGAGGAAGAGTCAAAGGAAAGCCTCAAGAAATTGTGAAAATTTATGATACCATATTAACAAGCTTAAAAGCTTTAGAAGATGACACGAGGGAAAACGAAATCAGGGCTAAGAGAGCTTATTATATGAGTTTGGTCAATTTGTATAGTGATAGACTATTGGAAGCTTATGCACTTTTACAGAGATGTGATGAGCTAGGTGGAAAAACTGACGAGGTTAAGGTGTTAGAAGCCAAGCTAGAAGCAGCCTTAGCGCTTAGAGACGAAGTTCCTGATATTTCTGCACTTAAGCTAGTTTCGAAGAAAGAAGATTTCCCTCCTGCATTGCAGCCTATCAGCTGCAAGCCTGTCTTTTATGACTTGGCAATTGACAGCATTGAGTATCCGAATCTGCAAGAAAAAGCAAAGCCAAAAGGATTCTTTTCATCAGTCAAAGGTTGGTTTGGCAGATAATTTAACGATTTCCTTTCCAATATCAACGCTCTCGATTATAAACTTATATTAAAATATTAAAACAGCTAGTTTGGTTAGTTATTAAATGTCTATTAAAGTTGAAAATTCAGACAAGAAAAACCAAATCACTCCAACCTTGCAGCCACCTGGCGACATTGTACTAGAGCTATTCCAGAAATATCCTCTCTATATATCAAAAACTGTCAGAAAAACTTATTCGACTTTAGGTCCATTTTCTGCTGACCAAATCGGCTTAGGACCATCTTGCAAGACAGGCGAAACCTTTGATGGGGTCTTTTCTGGGACTGTTGATCCAGACACTGAAACTGGATTTGGAGTCATGCTATATAAAACTGGTGAAATTTTTGAAGGATTTTTCAGACAAATGAGTCCAATGGGGCAAGGACGGTTTATCGATAGCAATGGGACTGCCTATGAAGGCGAATGGAATGGGAAAATATTAGTTGGCCACGCAAAAATAAACTGGAGTAATGGGAAATCATATGAAGGGAGCGTTAAAGATAAAATTCCCCATGGCAGAGGAACAGAAATTTCTAGCAGAGGCAAATATGTGGGAGAATTCAGCAATGGAGTTAAAAAAGGCTATGGGGAATTTACCTATGCAGATGGCTCTATTTATAAAGGGAACTTTAAAAATGATAATAGATCTGATAAAGGATTATTTATATGGCCAGATGGAAGGCAGTATGAAGGAGAATGGCTTAATGAGATGATGAATGGTACTGGGCACTTGATATGGCCAAAAGAAAAAACTTATAGAGGAAATTTTTCAAAAGGAAAAATCCATGGATTTGGGACTATGCAATGGATAGATGGAAAAATCTATAAAGGGCTGTGGGAAAACGACAAAATGCATGGAAAAGGAGAGCTCGCTCAGCCAGGCAAGCCATCAATAGTTGGGATATGGAGAGATGGAAAACTAATAAATGAAATCAAAAGCGAAAAAAGCTCACTTTCAGTGAGTAAGGCTTCTGAAGAACAAAGTAAAGCGTTATCAGAAAGTGATGAAGAGCTTTTAGTCTCTCTTAGCCAATCAAAGCCTAAAAAAAGCATAACATCCAAAGCAAAAGGAGTCTTCCAAGACACAAGCTCAAGCGACTCAAAACCAAAGATTTCAATTGGCGAATTTCAACAAAGAGAAGGTGAAGAGTCTATATCTTTCCACTCAGAAGATATCAAAGGAGGAGACTTATTCCGAGGCCCAGGCACATTGGAGTTTTTAACAAATAAAAAAGAAGATAGCATTTTTGACCCTGAAGGAAAAAGCAAGCCACAACCAGAAGTGAAAATGCAAACGCTAGATGGCGATTCTTCAAGTTTCGAAATAAAGATCCCTCAGGTGCTGCATCCAAGAGATTTTGATGGCCTAAAAGCTTCAAAAGTCAAAGCCCCAGAACTCCTTATCAAGCCAAAAGCTGAAATTGAACTTCCAAATTCATCCATAAATCAGTCACAGAGATCGTCAGTTAATGATAGCAAGGTAAATATTCGCACCCCAATAAAACCTAAAGACATAAAAGCAGAAATAGACAGCAAAAGAAGCAGTGTCCAATCATCATTTAGAGAAGAAGCCTTACTCCCCCCCCCCCCCCGTGAGCGAACAAAACCCATTAGAAAAATCGCCATTTTTTGACAAAAAACCACCACCCTCCGTGAGTGAACAAAAATATTTTTAATAGAAAAAATTTTAATAGAAAAAAATTTTGCTATATAAGTGATAATTAGTATAATGAAATCTAGAGCTAATTCTGTTTAATTTTAAACAAATTGCGTTTTAAAACATAAATTTTGCAAATTAAATTAGTATTTGCTTCCCAATTTTTGCAAATTAGGATTTTTTTTAAATTTCGAAAAAAAAAATATATTTTTTAAAATTTATATATAAATTGTTTTTAAAAAAAAAAAATTAACCCCCCTCCGTGAGTGAACAAAATTTTTTTGTTCGCTCACGGAGGGGGGGGGGGAGTTAGAGAATAAACCAGATAAAGGAAGTATGGCATCTTCTAAAAAAGAAGCAGCAGAAATAGAAAAATCACCAGCTAAAAAGAAAGAGCGAAAAATAACTGGGCCACAAATAAAAGTAGACACATCATCAAGTGCTCAAAGTGAGAGCTTTTCACAGTCTGATCTTAAAGAGACCAAAAAGATACCTAAAAAAGGTGAAACAGTTAACACCAAAAATGAAGAAGCCTTAAAAGTCAGTGTGGACTTAGACTCTGAAAAAGATTACCCAGAGTACATGCCGTCTTTAAATCTTCCGAAAAATACATTTAGCAGTATAAATGTAAAAAAATATAAAAGTGCAGGAGAGGAGCCACCAGTTGACCTAGATAAGCTGCTAGAGCAGCTGTCTAGAAAAAAAGATTTACCTTCGAATCAAAGCTTAAATTCATCTCAGATTTCTGCTGATATCAGATCGTCTATATCTAGAGATGTAGAAGAAAGTAAAGACGAGCTAGAAGAAAGCAAAGAAGAGCAGAGATCTGTAAGCGAGCTTAGCGAAAGCATGTCGTTTAATATAGCAGCTAAAGAGCCAAGCTATATAAATATTAGCAAAGAGCGCCACAAAGGAAGGCTTGATAAGATTATGGTTGACAGTTCTGATGAAAGTGGGGAAAATTCATTTGTTGAAGATCAACTAGTTGATTTGTATTTAGCAGAACGAAAGTTGGAAGGATTAGCATCACCACTTAAAAGAAATAATTGCCCGACAACAGATTATCAGCAGATGTCTATTGAAGATGTTCTGGAAGAGTTTGATTTCTTTGATATACCAAAAATATCTGATATAAGTGAAAGGTATTATATGCTGCTTGTTGGGATGAGAGAATCCTTAGGAAAATTCGTTTATTACGATAAAGATATTAAAAAAACTAAAAGGTCAAAATATTTCACTGATTGAGTTGAGTGTAAAAAAGGGCTTTATTATAAAGGTCAATTAACTAGAAAGGGTAAAAGGCATGGCATAGGAATGGAGCTGACCGTAAATCATCTATATGAAGGATTTTGAAGAGATAATAAGCGATGCGGACTTGGCAGAGTTATAACAATCAGAGGAGATGTATTTGAAGGTAGATGGGTACTTGATATGAAGCTGGGCTTTGGCTCTCTTTGGAAAACAAATGGAGTAGGCTATGTTGGAGACTGGGAATATGACCTATATCATGGAAAAGGAACGGAGGTAACAGGAAAGTGAACTTATGAAGGAGATTTTCAATCAGGAGTTCGGCATGGGAAAGGGAGGTTGGAACTTGAAGATGGCAGTATTTACAACGGAGAATTTTTTGAAGATGAGCCTCATGGGTATGGTGTTTTAACATGGCCAAATGGTAGCGCATATGCTGGAATTTTCATTCATGGAGAAATCAAAGGCAACAAAGGTATCAAAATTCCAAATTATTTCGCAAAAGAGCTGAATGAAGAAACCAAAGGCAAAACCTCAACTATTAAGTCAGAACTACTAGAAGATGAAGAAGAAAGTAGTGAAGATGAAACCACTTCAGCTAAGCCTCCAATTCATAGCCCATTTTCTAAGCCTAAGGTAAAAAAAGTAAAGCCGCCAATCGATACTAAACCTTTTGAAGGAAAATACTATGGGATCCCTAAGACCACAAACGATGGAGAAAGCGAAGAAGAAACCAAAAAACAAGAAAGCTTAGTCTCATTTCCTGATGACCCAGACAAATCTCCATACTTTAATGAGATCCAACGTAAGTTCACTAACGCTCAATCCCCAGTTCAGCGGAAATTTTCGCAAGATCTTCAAGCTCCAGCTCGACAAAAGACTTCACAAGATATTCAAGCTCCCGACAAAGTTCAAATAAATCCATTGCAATTAAATCTTCAGGGCAGTAAATCCCCATTAAGCATAGAAAATTTAAGCCAAGCTGAGCTGTCTCCAAGTCAAAGATCTGAAAATCAAGGTGGAGAGTCTTCTCCTTTAATCACAGTACGCAATTTACCTAGTCCTGAATCTGGTGTAAAAGGAATTTTAAAGCAAGATGGGAGTCCAAAGAAAGGTATTAAGATAACTCTTATAGTCCCTGAGCAGCCCGAATTGACTGAAGCTGAAATCAAAAGAAGAAAAGAATTGTTTAAGAAAGCGCAGCTTAAGGATAAGAAGCCTTCTAAAGAGCAGATTAATAGGCTTAAATCACAAGAAGATTGGGAATAGAGTTATATCAATAATATTAATAATTATAAAAAATTAAATGAAGATTAAAGCACAGGTTTTCTAGCTTTTATATAACAGTATGTTAACTGATTATTTTTTCTTGTTTCTTGTTAAACAGAATTTAATATCTAAATGATATATCTTTTAATATTGTATTATAGACTCTAATAAATATAGCTATTCGGATATTTAATAAAACAATTTGCATCATTATACTTTTTAAGATATATCAAAATGAGAGGGTTTTGATGACATCATCCATAATTACTGCTGTTGACTAAAATCAATTAAATATAATTTTGTTTGGCATTGAAGTTTAGTTTTCCTTAAAAATCATATACTAATTGAATTAAATATCCTTTTGATTAGCCCTTATGATATTTACTATTTGAAAACAGAATATCATCAACTATTAGGAAGGTTTTTATTCACTGCAATTAACTATAATTTATTATGATTATAATCTTATAATTCTATAAAAGGCTTTCTCTTCCCTTATAAAATTATATAAAATGATGCCATTTTATATAAAAAATTTTCTATATAAAAATGCTTTAGAAAATTAATAAAAAATAAACAAAAGATATGATATGAAATTAGGCAGTCAAATATGAATTTCAGCATCAATCTAGCTTATTCTTGGTTTTTCTGTTTCTTGATGAAACTTAATTTAAAAAAAATAATTTATCACTTCAGCCTCAAGTTCTTTGAATTTTTTGTTAAATCTCAAGTTGTGATTTTGTTGGAAATGATAAGCCATATATCCATTTCTTTTCTTATCCATAATTTCAATAAATTTTATAACTCCGATGCCAGAAATTGCTTTCGAGGACAAGCGTCATTTCTTCATGACACTATGCAAAGCAGCGCTGTTTTTCAATCAGAACTCTCAATTTATCTCAATGATGCAGGATATGTTCACGACAAATCATTTACTGGCTCAGCAAGTTACTAGCGAATTCAATCAATATACTGAAGAATTACTGAGTTTCGTAAACAGCTACAATTCTAGTGAAATCTTAACTTTGTCTAGAGTTAGAGCAGATCCTGATAGAATATACATCGATGGGTGCTGGGACATCATGCACAGTGGACATTTCAATGCAATTCGTCAAGCCAAGATGCTGGGCAAAATTCTCGTTGTAGGAGTCCACAATGATGATGAAATAGTCAGAAATAAAGGAATGCCAGTAATGACTAACCAAGAACGTTTATCTATGGTAAGAGCTTGCAAATGGGTAGACGAAGTAGTAGAAAATGCCCCTTATAGCGCCACAGAAGGGTGGCTTGATTCATTAAACTGCCGCTACATAGCCCATGGAGATGACATCGCAATAAACTCAGAAGGGGTTGACGCTTATGCTCAGCTGAAAAATGCTGGCAGGTTTAAAATAATTAAAAGGACTGAAGGAATATCGACAACCATGATAGTCGGTAAGCTTCTTCTTATGACAGTCGAAAATAAAGCAGCTTACTCAGAGCCTATGATAGCAACTGATATTAACTATAAATCAAATTTCATCGCCACCACCAGAAGGATATCAGAATTCGCGAATAGAACCAGAAGACCTGAAGGGAAAATAATTTATGTGGACGGTTCTTTTGATTTGTTTCATATTGGCCATGTAGAAACGCTGAAAAAAGCTAAAGAGCTCGGCGATTTTTTGATTGTGGGAGTTCATGATGACTTGACTGTAAATCAGCATAAAGGCTCGAATTATCCTATAATGAATTTGTATGAAAGAGTTTTAAATGTGCTAGCTGTGAAATATGTGGATGAAGTAGTCATTGCTGCTCCTTGGACCATAACGGAAGATCTGTTGAAATCATTGAATATTCAGATGGTAGTACAAGGTTCTATTTCGAAACTTGATGTAGAACATAGCCAGAGAAGAAAACAAAGCTTAGAGTATAATGATGAAGAAGATGACCCGTATTTGCTGCCGAAAGCCTTGGGAATTTATCAAGAAGTGCAAAGCGAAAGTGAACTGGAGACGAAACATATAATTTCAAGAATCATTGAAAATAGACTCAAAGTTCTGAATAAGTATCAAAAATCAAGCAAAAAGGAGCAAAGTTACTATGAAAACGGGAAAACGTATGTTGAAGAATTATAGTCATTTAACTTAGATTATTCTGATTAATCCATTTATTTTTGGAATTTTTAATAGTCAATATTATCGTCATATTTTCGCCTTAAGAGAATTTTTAAAAAATAATTATCTGGTGAACTTATCCGTTATACAAATTTAAACAATTAGAATGTCTGTTCAGTATGGAGATTAATGGATTATAATTAAACAATGTTGTCGAGGACCCTTAGAAACTTTGCTTCTAGTCAGGCATCATACACACCAAAGTTCTTTAGCCAAGAACAAATAGACTTCTATAACAGAGAAGGCTTCGTGGTGGCCAAAAACGTCCTACCGAGGCTAGTTACAGATAACCTACAGAATTGGGCAAAGCAAATGGAAGATCTCCCAGAGACTCCAGGAAAATGGATGAAATACTTCGAAATCAGCAAAAACCAGAGACTTTTGTGCCGTGTCGAAAACTTCCTTCCATTCTTCCAAGAGCTTACTCCTTCGAGAAATAACCATTGGAAAAAGTCCTGCTTTTTTGAAAAATTATGGGCGAGAATAAATTTTAAAAGCAAAACTTAATCCAATAGCATAGGGGAAGCTAGGGAAATTTCCTATGGTATGATCACCGATATGAGTTCTGACTTGTTTGGTGAACAAGCAGTTATCTACAAAGAGAAGATAAACTTTAAGTTTCCTCAAGGCAACGGTTTTGCTGCCCACCAAGATCAGCCAGCCTTTGTTAGCTTCGGGGTGAAGAAACTCTTGACAGTTTTACTCCCTATTGATGCAAACACAAGGCAGTCTGGAGGTCTTGATTTCGTAAGACAACATCATATCCCTAAAGAAATTCTTCCTCAGAATTCTGATGGGTCAATTCGTACTGATATTGAAGCAAAGCTAAACTGGATACCACTTGACGCTTCAGCTGGTGATTGCGTCTTTTTCGACAGTTATGCTCCTCACAGAAGTGATGTAAACACAAGTACATTTACTAGGAGAAACTTATATCTGACCTATAATCCACTATCACAAGGATCATGGAGAGATAATTATTACGAAGAAAAAAGAAGATTATTCCCACCAGAGTGTGAAAGAGATCCTACTAACTCCCACCCCCCTCCGTGAGTGAACAAAACCATTAGAAAAATCGCTATTTTTTGCCCAAAACCCACCCTCCGTGAGTGAACAAAAATTTTTTAATAGAAAAATTTTTTATGGAAAAAAGTTTTAATATATAAATGATAATTAGTATAATGAAATATAGAGCTAATTCTGTTTAATTTTAAACAAAATTGCTTTTTAAAACATAAATTTTGCAAAACTGAATTAATATTTGCTTTCCAATTTTTGCGAATTAGGATTTTTTTTAAATTTCGAAAAAAAAATATTTTTATAAAATTTATATATAAATTTTTTTTAAAAAAAAAAATTAACCCCCCTCCGTGAGTGAACAAAATTTTTTTGTTTCACTCACGGAGGGGGGGAGTAAGGATTATAGTGAAGGTGCTAAAGTGTTTAATGTGGCAAACCCTATTAAGTAATATGGTGTTGACCTTAATTGTGTTAAATTTAAGATTTAGGGAAATTTTAGGGAAGGAATTTTATAAATGTCAAACGTTTTTGACGATAAAAAAAATTCATAGTGTAGATGGATAAATTTATGCTGGCTTATTAAGGATTTGAATGCCGATTAGCGAACTGAAAGGATTTCTTCTTTTTTCACTTAAATTATTTTTAAGTAATAGCGCACGGGGCTTTTTTTCTTGCCGGCAAGCCGTGCTGTTTACCCTAAATCACTATATATAAATATGATTTTTTAGGTGTTTAAGCCAAAATTAGTAGAAGAAGAAGTATAGGAGCTTCAATAAGTGATTTGAAGCAGCTGAGAGTCAAAGTGAATAGGATTCTGCAAGAATTTATGGATTTTTATTGTGATCTCAAAGATAAAGATACGAGATCTTCATAAAATTATCATTGATTTTCTTTTGCCTATTTCGCGTGAATGGTCTTACATCGAGAAGCAATTTTTATACAGCTTGAGAAGCTGGAAATCTAGCAGGGGATTACTAGTGTTTGTTAGAATCTTTCATGGGGTACTTGTATTTGAAGTGTGAATTTTTATTTTTGAGAGCGGAAGTTTAAGTATAAAGTTTTTGTTTTAAGGCGAATTGTGGTTTTTTGTGGTAAAGAAAGAGAAGGCTATATTAGTGCCTAAAAAATCGAATTAAATAGATAAATTTATAAATTTCATCAATAGCACTATCTATCTACTTGCAATCGAATCGTATTCATTATGAAACTCTTGAAATATAAAATGATATCTTAAAGCCGTTTCTATATAACTCTAATATATGAAATTAATGAAAAAAGTAGCCAAAATATTTTTATTTATCTGTGAAGAATTAAGTATCAAATTGAATTTAAAACAACAAATTAGATCTTCTAAGAGGTTCTGAAACTATAGCTTCGACTTTGCACATATTTATTCATTGTGGGTTGATAAGTTAGGATTCTACAAAAGTTTATAAAATTTGATTTTCAAGCAAAGTACAGCAGTAAGTTAATGAAGCTCATTTAATGTCTAATCTAAATCATCTGCGAAATAAACGCTTAAAGTTATGTGCTTCTAATTTATTGTCAATAAAGTTTTTAGGCATCTCCATATTTTATTGAAAAGGTATTATCATCTCCTTTCTATATTTTAATATAAATTCAGTTAATGGCCTTTATTTAATTAATCTTGCTAAATTAGCAAAAGGCAAATTCATCCTGGAGATATCTGGAAGCACCATAGAGTATGGATTTTCAGGTTTCAAAGGCTTTTCTTTTTACCCAATATATTTTAAAAGTTTTCAAAAAAATCGATTCTTAATCTGAGCTAAAATTTACTTAAACAGTAAATACATTTAAAGTCTGAATTATTGAATACATCAACTATGTCTGCAATAAAAGATGGTAGAGCGGAATAAGCAAAATGCAAAGGCATCAGAAAACCTACTCCTCCTACTCCGTGATTGAACAAAACAATTAGAAAAATCTCTATTTTTTGGGTAAAAACTGAGGAAAGAATATTATTTATGAAAAAATTTTTGATATATAGTGATAATTATTATAATGAAATCTCAGGCTAGGTAAATTAAATTTTTTCTCAATTTTTTCAAATTGGAATGTTTTAAATTTCGAAAAAAAAATTAACCCTCCTCCGTGAGCGAACAAAAATTTTTTTGTTTGCTCACGGAAGGGGGGAGAGTTAGTTTTAAGCGAGCGCTCAAGTGGGCAAAGCTTAATCCCCCCAGAAACTTCTAATTACTTTTCTTTGCTCAGAGTTTCAGATCCACCTATGGAAAATCTCAAATTATCTAACCCTGAAAGCATAGAAAACCTTAGAGAAGAAATCATTGAGTCAATCAATCAAATTTACAATGAATACCTCAACAATTATATTTCCTGCAAGAGCAAAAGAATGTGATCCAAAAATCCACTTGAAAAGCGACGAAGTTATAATCTTTATGTTGATAAAGCTTTTAGAAGACAGCTTCAAGAAGAGCTTAAGCAATTAATACACTCTGAAGGGACTCAAGAATTACGCGATTCCTTATGTGGATCAGCTCACACTTTTGTAGATTCCTTAAATGATCAGCTTATTGAACTCATGGGGAGGAGTAAAATGTTACGAGCAATTTGCCTGGCTGAAGCTTATCACACGCTCCAAAACTCGTCTAAAGAAATCGAAAAAATCGTCAGCTGCTTATTTAAAGAACCAACAACTTTTGAAAACTTAAATAAGATTTTCTTTTATGAAAGAATTGTGAAAAATTCTGTGCCACTTATTGAATACGTAAAAAATCAAGACCAAAATCACTTTGTGGTTCCTCTGATCGAAAAAATGGAGAGAGAGTCCAAATGTGCAGTAAGTGTGCTGACATCAGCCCCATTGTGTGACATACTTTCAGATGACTCATTTAGTAATCATGAAGGGAGTGCCAGACAGAGCCATCGCATAATATGTCACTTGATGAGCTTGTTAATTTTATAAACGGAGAAACAAAAAGCAATATATAAAATTAAAACTATTAAAAGTAGCCAAAATATTTTTATTTATCTGTGAAGAATTAAATATCAAATTGAATTTAAAACAACAAATTAGATCTTCTAAGAGTTGTTCAGACTTTGGCTTTGGCTTTGCAATTATTTATTTCATTGTGGGTTGTTGAGTTAGGATTCTACAAAAATTCATAAAATTTGATTTTCAAGCAAAGTACAGCAGCATGCTAGGTAAACTCATTTAATGTCTAATCTAAATCATCTGCGAAATAAACGCTTAAAGTTATGTGCTTCTAATTTATTGTCAATAAAGTTTTTAGGCATCTCCATATTTTATTGAAAAAGTCTTATCATTTCCTTTCTATATTTTAATATAAATTTAGTTAATGGCCTTTATTTAATTAATCTTGCTAAATTAGCAAAAAGGCAACATCATCCTGGAGATATCTGGGAGTACTATAGAGCATGGATTTTCAGGTTTCCAAGGCTCCAGATCAATTTCCTTAATTAAAGATTGGCTGATGTAAGTTTTCATAATTGTCCATTTCAAACTGCAATAACATTCATGCTGTTCACTCTCGCAACAATTAATTTCAAATTTTTTGCATAAAACCTCAGGATCTAAATTTGAAAAAAGATATTCTGTATAATAATAATAGGATCTTCTCACAATTGGGTCTTCGAAATAACCTTTGCAAAAGCCTTTATTGAAGCTATTTACTGATCTTGAATTTGGGTTTTTATCATTTCCGTCAGTGATTGGACCGTTTTCTGTCTTGCTTATTTTATTGAATTTTGGCTTGTCCTCGTTGTAGCAGTCTTTCAGACGCTGGAAAAGCTCTTGAGATGAAGATAGCGTCTCATCGTAGCAGTTTAGTCCTTTTTTAGGAACCCTTCCAACTTTCATCTGTCTCATTAGTCTTTTATGGCCTCTGATAAGCTTGCATCTTAAGTAATCCTTTTTGAATTTGCCTCTTTTGCATCAGAAGTTTTTACTTATAAGGTTATCGAAACTGCACTTAATATTTTTTCGACAACTATTATTGGTATAACCGAGCAAGAGTCGTGCTAAAGTCTCATTTAAATCCATATTCTTTTTATTAATTCTTTCTGTAAACTTAATTTTTTTCTTTGATATGATAGATAAGACTATTACTTTTTCTTTAATTAAACGAATCGGTGATAAATGCTGAAAATTTGGTAACATTTAAAAAAATATTTCACCATAAAATTCAGAAAATTAAAAAATATAATTCAGCCATTTTTAGAATTCGGGAAAATTTTTATTTGTAGATAATACTCTTTTCCATGATACTGCACTTTAAAATTACCTATTTTCAGTTGATAAAAAATTAGTTAGCAACTTTTTAAATCAGTAAATTATGATTTAAAGTATTAAAATATTATAATTCATTACTCTTTTTAATGCTAAATCCGTATTCAATGTGTTTTGCAAAAATCAGCATTAAAAAATATGACAATTTTAATATTAAGCATATCGAGTTAACGCCAGTATATATGTTAGTATTTAAAAATCTAAAATGCTTTAAATTTATAATTTAGATAGCAAGAATCGAAACTATTGATCAATCAATTTAACTAATTTATTTTAGTATCCTTTAAATCTTGATTATAATAATGAATTTTTTTTTATATTTGGAAACTTATTGTTTATAAATATGATCTATGAGGCTGATTTTATTATTATTTATTAATTCTATTTTCATTTAAGAAACTAGATTTTATTAAGTAATAATATGGTAGTTGTTCTTTTCTTTGTTACAAAATATATTTTCAAAGTTTTCAAAAAAAGCTTATGGTTGCATAATCTGAGCTTAGATTTACTTAAACAGTAAATACATTTAAAATCTGAATAATTGAATACATCAACTATCCCTGCAATAAAAGATGGCAAAGCGGAATAAGCAAAAAGCAAAGGCATCAAAAAACTTAGTTTCAAGCGAGCGTTCAAGTGGGCAAAGCTTAATCTCCCCAGAAACTCCTAATGACTTTTCTTTGCTCAGAGTTTCAGATCCACCAATGGAAACCCTCAAATTCATTAACCCTGAACGCATAGCAAATCTTACTCCCACCTCCGTGATTGAACAAACCATTAGAAAAATCGTTATTTTTTGCCTAAAAACCACCCTCCGTGAGTGAACAAAAATATTTTTAATAGAAAAATTTTTTATGGGAAAAATTTTGATATATAAGCGATAATTATTATAATGAAATCTCTGGATAATTCTGTTTAAATTTTAAACGAATTGCTTTTTAAAACATAAATTTCATAAATTAAATTAATATTTGCTTTCCAATTTTTGCGAATTAGGATTTTTTTAAATTTTGAAAAAAAATTTTTTTATAAAATTTATATATAAATTTTTTAAAAAAAAATTTAACCCTCCTCCGTGAGTGAACAAAATTTTTTTTGTTCACTCACGGAGGGGGGAGTTAGAGAAGAAATCATGGAGTCAATCAATCAAATTTACAATGAATACCTCAACGATTATATTTCCCGCAAGAAAAAAAGAATTTCATCCAAAAATCCACTTGAACAGCGACAGAGTTATAATCTTGTTGTTGATAAAGCTTTTAGAAGAAAGCTTCGAGAAGAGCTTAAGCAATTAATACACTCTGAAGGGACTCAAGAATTACACAATTCCTTATATGAATCAGTTCACACTTTTGTTGATTCCTTAAATGGCCAGCTTGCTGAGCTCATGGGGAAGAGTAAAATGCTACAAGCAATTTGCCTAGCTGAAGCTTATCACACGCTCCAAAATGCATCTATAGAAATCGAAAAAATCGTCAGCTGCATGTTTGAAGATACAGAAATTACTTTTGAAAACGTAAATAAGCTTGTCTTTTATGAAAAAATTGTGAAAAATTCTGTGCCACTTATTGAACACGTAAAAAGTCAAGACCAAAGGCACTTTGTGGTCCCTCTGATCCAGAAAATGGAGAGAGAGTCCAAATGTGCAGCAAGTGCGCTGACATCAGCAACATTTTCATCAATTTCTATGAACGAATCAGGCCCATTGTGTAACATACTTTCAGATGACTCATTTAGTAGCTATGAAGAGGAGTGCCAGACAGAGCCATTGCATAATATGTCACTTGATGAGCTTGTTAATTTTATAAACGGAGAAACAAAAAACAATACTGAAAAAAAGCCTAGAAAAAATCGAAAATCGAAAGCATCGACTGCAGCAAATTCAAGGTCGCCTAACAGCGAAACGAGTGTAAACACAAGCTTTGACCAAGAGATTGAAAACTTTAAGCAGCGGTTAGAAACGTGCAAAATTCTGCCTAAGCGAATTAAGCCTTTGCTGTCACAGGATTACATGAATTCTTTGAGGACAAAAATTGAGGCCCTTAAAGAAAAACCGCCAGCCTAATAACCATAAATCCGGTTCTTCAACTTTTATTTATTGATTTAAGGATATAAACAGATAAAATTGATATTAGATTGAGATCATTAAGCATCTAAATGAATAGAATTTCTTTCTAAATTTATATAAATTAAGAGCTATATAAAGTAAAGTATTTATTTGGATAGAAATATAGAAAAAGATAATGAAGGCTGGATTATTATAAAACATTGGCACTTCTATAGAATTTTCTATTATTTACTTAATCGAGGATTGCTAGAATTTCTGTGTCCTTGTAGATGTAAAACTTCTCGTTATCAATATCGACTTCTTGGCCACTGTATGATGGGAGCAAAACATTTTGGCCTTGTCTGACCACAGTCTCACGTGTTCGTCCATTTTCAAACATGGCTCCAGGTCCAGCTGCAATTACAGTTCCAATTTGAGTGTCGTTGTCCTTCTTTTCAGGTAAAAGAATGCCTCCTGCTGTTTTATTAGGAGCTTCTACTTTCTGAATAATAATTCTATTGAGAAGAGGGATAATTCTTCTAGACATCTAGCTTATTTATTATTAAAATGGCTGGAATTTTGTTTCGAGATAAGAATTTTCATACCAAATGCTTACGTAAGCTTCGACTATAAGTAGAGAAGAAGTAATTAATCAATTTTATCAAAACTTCTAAAAAAGTTTAGCAAAATTGACTTGGCTAAACTAATTGAAATTTGCCTATTTATAAAAAAGTATAAACTTTAGGCAATATCTAACAAACTTAATATATTAAATTTAAATCAATGCAAAATTCAACTGTTATGAGTAGAAAGATAAGCTTTATTTGATCAGAGTCCATCTTTTTATTAGATTAAATATAAGAACTTATATAAATCATGACAATTTGTGGATATTTATTTTTAGGCTCAAGCATTATCTACTATCGTTATTTGCAGATTTTTGAACTTTACCACCTAAGTGTGGAATTTTTTCCGTGTGTGAAAAGAGGATTCCACATGTGAAGCCCTTTTGATTTCACATGTGGAATCCTCTTTTCACACGCGGAAAAAATTCCCACACTTAGGTGGTAAAGTTCAAAAATCTGCAAATAACGATATCTTTTTCTGATCTCTCTTATTATTAAGCGTAAGAAAGAGCAGAAATTGAAAAGTTTAAAAAAGGAGAAACAAATTGAAGTTACCCTATCAAGTGAAGCTACAGCAAGAGGAGAAGAAACTATTCCAACATTTGTTGATGAGGGTTCTGCTGATAATTCCCCTCAGCGAAAGCCAAAATATAAAGGGAAAAAAACTCTTACAATTGAAATTCCTGCTGATGATGAAGAAACGACACCAGAAGTTAGAATCTTACCAACGCTTTGAAGTGTATTTTCAAGGTTTTTTTCTGTAAAAATTACTTACTTCCACCCTCAGTGATATACCCAAATTTGTTTGCCAATTCATAGAAAGGGTTATATCATTTTTTAGAAATAATTTTTATAATAAAAAAAAACTTTGTAGGTTAATTATTTTCCTATTTACTATATAAAATAGAAAGCGGACTAAATACAAAAGTTTCTATTGGATATAATAAAACATTTTCGAATTTAAAAAATTGCCAATTTATTAAATTTATGTTAAAATCGGAAACTATTTTTAAAAATTTTAGAAGCAAGAGGCTATTTATAATAATTATTACTTATATATCAAAAAATTGTCTGTTGGGCCTTTTGGGGACGAGCAACTAGTCATTTTATACTGAAAATCTTTTTTGCTCATCTTGGGTAATTTCTCAAAAAATAGGATTTTCAATTGTTTTGGTCGCTAGAGGAAAATGTGGGAGTTAGGAGCAATGCTTTCCCTTGTCTATTTTTCAAAAAGAAAAAGAGACTTTTATAAAATCTTCAAGACTTGCAGTATGATATATGACATTTTCTATAGAGTGTCTGATTTTATTTATATTTGCAGACCAGGAACTATTTAAGGTAAATTCAAGATATTTTTTATATCCTTTTTTATCATGCTTGATCTGCCTCCCAGTCTCGATTTTATGGACTCTAGGCTTCAGATCTTCTGTAATAAATAATTAGCAAAGCAAATCAACCAAGATCCTCATGAATATTTTTCACTTTTTGGGTTTTGTAGTCGTAGTATTGATTGAATATTATAGCTTTACTATAGATGTATTTTATAGATAGATTGATGATGAAGGCTTGCCATATTTTTGAATCATTTTAATATTTTTGGAATTATTTGTTATAGAGCCCCTTAGAACATCTTTGAAATATGTTGGTTTGGGCTTTTCAAGATATAAGAAAAACTGTGAAGAATTTTGCCTCACTTTATAAAGCTTATTAATAATTAAGATCCTATTTTTTGTAAAATTAATTCCTACTTGATTGCAAAACTTTTTAAATATGAACTTTATTCTGTCCAATACATGGAGTGGATTCGGAACAAAAGGCCCTCATGGCACCTATATGAACACTTGCCAACTCATTAAGCTGGTTTATTAACTTTTGGTTCTGTCAATTTGTGCAAGTTAAAATATTTTGATTAGAGCTCTAGCAAATTATATTAAATATTGTGCTCCACGAATGCTTTAATCAATAGATTTTTTATTTATTAAAATTAAATTATAATAGAATTTTAATATAGAATTTAAAAAACTTTCCTCTCCGTTTGCAAGTAAAAATCTTTTCGTATTAGAGAGAAAGCTATTAAATAAATAATTGTAATAGATTATCTTTTAAGCTGTATAACTAGTTGACCCTTTATTAAGTAGATGTTCTGACAATTGAACTTTAGAGTCAAATATATCATGAGAGTTATCTGAATTAAACAAAAGCCCATCAGGAAGTGATTCTTGATCATCCTCATCACTTGTAGTTTTATTATTAAGCGTAAACAAGACGACACATATAGGAGATATTTCAATTGCTCCATAATAAAATATTACCAAAATCATCCTACATAATTTTTACCAAAAAACCTGAGAATTGGCAAAAGGACCATCATAATATATAATTTATGCACCATAATAGATCACTATGTCCCAGCAGAATACTACCAGAAAAAAAATATGGTCCAGGACATCTGCCTTACACAGTCTAAGTCTGATTAGGCATCTTAAACCATATATGGAGATTTGTCATTTTCGTTTGCATTTTTCAAAAATGCTGGCAAGTACAAATTAATTTTGAAAATTAAAATGGTGTCAATAATGATCTAAAATATTTTCAGGGACTATATAACAATAAAGCAAATGGAGCTATTGATTTGACAAAGAAAGCAATGCACAATAGCAATGATACAAATCTAATTCTTAAAGATATTTTTTCTCCCATTGAAGATGGATACACATCAATAATGTGATTAGATAAATATCTTCCTGACATGGAGAGCCCTATAACAGTGATAAATGAAAAAATAATATTCGGAATCATTAGATTTTCCCATATAGTGTCATATATAAGTGCATGAACATGGAAATAAGAATCTACCACAACGTAGATATGAGTCGAATAATTTATGAAATTGATAATTATAGCACCTGCACTCTTTTCGCCTATTATGCTCCAAAAGAGTGCCGGGCTCACAACATTTTTTAAATTATTTACTTGCAATCCAAAATGGAATTGCTAGACTAAGCTGCTTTTATAAGCTCTTACTGTTTTATTTTGGCTTACCAAGCTAAAGGTTTTGATCCCTACTCTTTTGGTATCAAAGGAGAGCAAAAAAAATGTAGAAGCTATGCATATCCTAGCAAGGCTAATCTATTTCCAAGATTTTTCTGTTGATCTGTAAGTACCATGCTGGTGCTGATATACATTTCAACCCATAATAAGCAAAATGTTGTTCCTAAAAGGGTTAAAGTTGCACAGCTTAAGCAGTCGAAAATCGAGTAAATAAATAAAGAATAAGCAAAATCTAAGCGTAATAAGGAAAGGATCCTCACTGATTATAGCTTACGAAAGAGGATAAAAATGATGATAAAATAGTATAGTTTCAGCCCTACAAAGCCAGCATCTCCTAAGGATTTGAAGCTTCTATAAGTTTTCCCAATAGAAATCCCAAATAGAAAAAGGTAACCCGCTAAGATTACATGTAAGCCAATCTCTTCACCTTCAGTTGGCACGGCTGGTCGTACGCCTAATTCAGTCATATTGGTTTTTATAAGCAAACTTACATATAGAGCTTAAATCTATAAAATTATTAATTATACTTGTTAACAATTTTCTCCAAGCCTAAATCTCTGAGTTCTTGCAAAATTTCTTCCTCTGTGATAGCACTTGTGTTGCCCATTTCAATTTCGAAGACATCCTTTTTCTCTTCTTCCACTTTTACAGGCGTTTCAACCACAGGATTTATTTCTTTCTGGTTTTTCAGTTTGGAATAAAACTCAAGGTAATTTGCAGTTGTGTCTGTTTTCCCTTTCGAAAATGTTTTGGATCTCTTATGAAATGAAGGATCATTAGAAGACCCTAACAGCCCTTCAAGGCCTTTTATTCGGGCAAGAATTATTTCTTTGTCTTTGATTTCTTGCTCAAGCTGTGCTGATTTACGTTTGAATTTTTTTTCCTTAAGTTGGATCACATTTTCAAGTGATGAAATTTTTTCATTGACTTGGCTTAAGTCTTGAATGTGTGTGGAGAGTGTTAATGCAAGCTCTTTTAAGTATTTTTCTTTTTGCTCTAAAAGTAATCTTGCTTGTTGCAATTCCATATTTCGGCTAAGTAATTATTCACTCATTCAGGAAAAATTAAATTACCTATTTATAGTTTAATTATTTAATAAAATTTCAATTTAGTAAGAATCTTTGACTGATAAATCTGAAAAGTGGTTTTGATAGCTTTCATTGGACATATGAGAATCGTTTGACATGAAAGACACATCTTGATCAGAAACTTCGCTTGGCCTTCTTGCAAGTGTTGCTTTCACTATATGGGGCCATAGCTCAGGAAGATCAAACTGTTGTCGTTTAAATTCTCTGATAGACGTTTTTTGATAAAACAGCACATAAGCTTCAGGTGAAACCAAATCAGTTTCATCAAGCTTGTCTACTAAAGAGTCATCATAAGAGTATCATTCTTGGGCACTTTTATTCTTCACAGCAGCACTGTAATGACCATTTTCTAATGACCCTGAATGGTCAATTCTTGCAAATGCTTCATAAAGTGGAACCTCTCTTTGGGTGCTTGCTGTATATTTTGTTAAGTCAAATCCTTCGAGAGGATAATTTACAAGACCTTCGACCTTGCCTCGTTTATCTCTATTGAAAATAAATCTTTTAAGGTGAATAATTAATATTGGTGGAGCCTTTCATATATCATATTTTTTAGCAGCTGACACAGGTGTCTGACATTTTGGACAAAATCATTTATCAACTAAAAATTCTGCTTTTGTGAATTCTCTCATACAGTCATCAAGGCATGGATTTTGTATATTTGATGGTATTGGTAAACTTAAATGTAAAAAGTTTTCAAACTTAACTTTGGCTCCTTTACAATTCAAGCATTTTAATGTTGACCGGAGTTGCCCTTGAAATAGATCAATTATTATTGAACAATTGGTCTCTAAGTAGCTTCTCCAACTTTTCGCTGCATATCGCTCGGATCTTTTCCCTTTTATTGTTGCCAGTTTTTTACTAGTTTTTGGTGCTCTGTTTAAATCCTCATGCAATTTGTCTAAAAAAAAAGAAAGAAACTCATGGGCATCTTGTGGAAGACCTTTACGGAAAAGTATAGAACTCTGCCAAACTAAATTTACGAATTCTTGAGGTCTGATATATTTGTTAGCCCTTAGCCAATGCTCTGTTAGGAGTGTTGCGAGAGCTCTGGCATATTCACCTTGGTTACTTGCGTTTTGGCTTATATCATTTTGGTAGATTCCTCCTAAAAAATATTCCTGTAAGGGTTGTGTGTTAAAAATACACTGCAAGACAGCGTTTATAAAGCAGGTGTTTCCTAGATTTTGAAGGCCTGGTGGTCCAACAGGATTATTTGCTGTTTTTCCGTATTTTGGACGTTTTTCTTTGTTTCATCATTTTTTAGGGCTCTCTTGGGGTAATGAAGGTGATTTTTGGCTTTCTTTAGTCCTAGAGGATGATATTGAACGGCCTACTGGCTCAACTGCATTAGGTCCGCAGCATAAACTTCCCATATTATTGACGCATGTTGCAATTATTAAAGCTCTCACTGAAAAAACTTTGGTTTAAAGTTGATTTAACTCTTGATAATAAAAATGACGTAAGCAAAATTAATAAAAATTGTTTGCTCTGTTGTTTTGCTCAATAAAACTTTGGAGAAATGCTTTAGAATTTGATATTGTTTGCCATTCAATCAGAAATAAATAATAAGCAATAAAATCTGTTTGTTTGAGTATGAATTGAATGTTTGGAGTAATATAATGTGTTAAGGTATTGACAATTATTTAGGGACTAATTTTAAAGAGAGTTAAATAGTTGAGCTCAAAAAGATTTTATATTGTTAAGGCAGTTAGAATTCAATCAAACTAAAATATTCTATGATTATGAATGATAAAATGCTAGATTTTTTTAATTTAAAATAGAGCTTTTAAGAAAAAAATAACCTTAAATTTCGAGTTCAGAAATCAAACGCAATTATTAGAAGATTTTTAACGATTAGCAGTATTAATTTAATTTAAATCTTAAATACACACTGATATAAATTTTTTGCTAGCCTATCGTGTTTGTGATGGCTGTTTGAGGACAAGTTTTGAAAGTTGAAATGTATGCTTTTAGCCGCAAGTTAGGTCGTATAGATAAGCACACTACTACAAATATATTTGAATGATGCAGTATCGTATCCAATTGAAATCCAGAATTTTTAGCCATAAGTTATGACCTTGAGATGTATAGAATATCTTATATGATTAGCATCTTTAATAAATAATAAATAGATCTTAACTCATTCAAACTATTTTATATTTAACCTTCTCCAAAAATTAAATAAATATCGCTTTATTTCGCATTTGTTTTTCTTTTGAGAGTTTTTATAAGCTTAGCAGACTTTGCCACTTTTCCTCCGGTTTTTATGCTCACATTTTTCGTGTTTGGTTTAATAAGAGATTTTGAACTTTTTGAAGTTTTCCTTTTCGGCCTCAAACATGTTTTATTGCTTATCCCTATTTTTTCCTTTAAATCCTCACAGCTTTTAAAGCTTTCCCTTAATTTATCTTCAACGGTATTAATCTTCTTCAAGCAATCTTCTGCCTCAATCTCTCCATTTTCTTTCCGATTTATATCTCTAATTTCATCCCTCAGTCTTTCGTTTACCCTCATTTCATACAGATATTTTTCCTCAATTTCTTTATATTTCTCTTCCAAATTCCCTGTGCTTCTATTCGAAATTAACCCTTCTTCTAATTTTTGTTCAATTTGGTTTTTTGACTCATAAAGATTATTATAAAGGCCTTTTAATTTTTCGAAATCTTCAGTAATGCTTTTAGAGTATTGCAGTTCTCGTTTTAGATTTAAATTTTCTTGCCTAAGCTCTGCGACGATCCTTTGTAGAGATCGAGTATCTGACAGGCTTGGAGATTCTCCAAGAGTAGAAAAAGTTCGATTGTCATAACTTGGATAATTGTCTTGGATATTTATACTGCTATATTTTTCTCGTTTAGAAGATAAGGGATCGTCGATAGCCGAATCAAAAGTTTTAAATAGTGATCCTTGCCCGATTCTGTCAGTGTGATCAGGAAATAAAGACGTGTGGCTATTGAGGAAAAACTTTCTATGATGATGAAATTGAGTTAGTTTTCTGCTTTCATCTAAGATTTTTCTGCTTTTGTTTAAAGTTGTATTAATACTGTAAGTCAAATAACTGTACTGGCTAGCAAAAGGACTATCTCTAAAACTTCTTTGGGATAAAGACATAATATTTTAGCTAATTATAACCTTAAGGTTTGTTTTCAGCTTAAGACTAAATTACTCAAAAGTATAGCAACTGTCATTGGACCAACTCCTCCTGGAACTGGAGAAATATAATTAGCTGTTTGGCTTACTGAGTTATAATCAACATCTCCAGTTAAATGAAATCCTTTTTCGCTATTATCTGGAACTACATTTATTCCAAAGTCTATTACAGTGCAGCCTTCTTTAACCATATCTTCTTTAAGAAATCCTGGCTTCCCAACAGCCACTGCAATAATATCTGCATTTCTTGTAAATTCTCTCAAGTTATGAGTATAAGTATGGCAAAGAGTCACTGTTGCATTTTCTTTCTGCAGCATCATAAGTAAAGGAATCCCTACCAAATTGCTTCTTCCTATGACAACTGCATGCTTTCCACTTATTTCTATTCCATAATTCTTCAAAAGAAGAACAGCTGCTAAAGGAGCACAAGGGTAAAATGTTGTACTTCTGCCTTTTGTAGTCAGTCTTCCGATATTTATACTTGTTAAGCCGTCTACGTCTTTTTCTTCAGATATAAGATCAAGTATAGAGCATTCATTCAAGCTTTTAGGCAGTGGTAACTGCACTAAAATTCCATTTACAGAATCATCTTTATTAGCTTGTTCAATAGTTTGAGCTATTTGCTCATATGTCGCAGTTTCTTCGAAATTAATGATTTCTAATAATCCACCTATTTTTTCACAAGCTTTTTGCTTGTTGGAAGTATAAGTACGACTCTCAATTCGATTTCCAACATTTATACATATAGCCTGAGCAAAATTGTGTGGCTCTGGTTATCTGTCTTCCAGAAGGGAGAAAAGGACTTGGTTCAGCAACTATATTGATCAAACCAATTTTTAAATTGCAGAAACCTATAGCAAATTGTTCTGCCATTGGGGAGTTCCTTAAACAATTTCCCTTTTTTGCGTCAGGAAAGATATGAAAGCCCGAGTCAAAATCGTTCTCAGGCTATAATAGCTTTGGCTTTGAAGTTGTAGAAAATCTATTTTGCAACCTTTCAATTTCAGTCTTAAGTCCTTCAGTAATATTTTTGGCGATCTGGACCCCATCCATAGTGACACGCTCATTTGGCACCTCATCTTCAATCATCATTTCTAAAATTTCTTTACCCTATTTTTTATTGAGGAATCTGCTTAGTGTAATAGTTCTCTGAAAAATCCACTAGCATAATAAATCGAATGAAAACTGATATAATGAGTTAGGGTGAACAGCACGGGGCTTTTTTGGCTTGCCGGCAAGCCAAAAAGCCCCGTGCTGTTCATCATAACTCACTATAATTAGCAGAAAGTGATATTTATTTTAAAAGTATACAAATCATTAATATATGGCCGATACATTTAGCTATATTAGCAATATATTTGAGTTATTAATCAGAATCTATAATAGTTTCTTGTTTGTTTTGATGATTTTTAAATAATTCTAGTTAGGCCTACCTTATAATAATATGGCTGATAGAAATGTACGAGTAACAGCAATTGATATTGGTAACTAAACTGCTAGAGCAGGCGTAGTTGGTAGTAATGCTCCAGAGATTAAATGCCGAGAATTATAGGTTGCTCAGTATTATAGGAAAATAGAACACTAAATTAGTAATGAAGCCAAGCTAAACAAATCTGAATATCCATACGAATGTGGAGTTACACATAATTGGGACGATATGGGAATAGCACATAATCCACTAAAGAATATCATGCTCCAGCCAATGAGAACCCTTATATGTTTAAAAATATGCAAACTGTTACAATTTAATGTAATTTATTGCAATTATTATTTATAAAAGGATTTATTATTAAAAAAAATTTTCTCGCTACTCAATAGAGTTAATTTTACCAAAAAATAGGAATTTTCTAATGGTTTTGCTACTCACAAAGGGGACTTACTCTCACACTAATTCTTGTTTATTCGTGGGTTTTAGCGCAAAATTTCCAAATAGAAATATTTATTTAATAGAATGAAATTTGCTTATTATTTAAGGGCTCTAGATAAAATATCAAAAATGCAAATTTGGGCATTTGGTCCAGCACAGGTCGCAACCAGACACTCCACCCCCCCTAAAAGGGTACCCCCACCCCCCTTTTTAATGGTACCCCCACCCCCCCTTTTAATGGAACCCCCACCCCCCTTTCACAGATGGTACCCCCACCCCAACCCCCTTAATATATCATAAATATATGACAAATGCTAATTTAGAGCGTCGTAATAAATAAATTATTATTTTAAATATTCAATATTACTGATTTATACAATATCCACATAGCGTAGCACAATCAATTAAGGAGTGGAATGGGGTGAGAATTTCCTATAACTACTAAGCACACCACATCTGAAGAAAATTGTTAGCAAGCATAATAATGATCTTTGATATTAATCCTGCATGTTTATGAACTTTGTGGAACAATGGCTAAAGAGTCCAATTAGAGATCCAAAAGTAAAACTGATAATAGCAAATACTATTTTTATTAGCATTATTGAATCCTGTTACCAATTCAGTCCTGCAATCCCTGTACAATGGGCATCAGATTAGCTTTAATTTAAGAATCAATAAATTTAATGCAAGTTATTGTATTATGCTTGGCTAATTTAATAATTAATGCCATAATCTATATCTTTGGCATTATGATTAAATTATTCTGCTTGTTTCCTATCAATTACTTCTATAGGATAAACCCTTTTATTTTTTGAGGGGGGGTGGAGTGCCATCTGTGAAAAGGGGGGCGCACCATTTTTAGGGGGGGGCTTCCCTTATTGGGGGATGGGGATGTCTGGTTGCGACCTATGCTTAACCAGGCATTTAACCCCAATCATAAGCAAATTTCGATCTATTCATATAAATTTATTATTTGAAAATTTTGTGCTAAACCCTCCAAGAATTTGCTTATTAATGAGTTGAGAAGTTAGTGAAATACTTCTTAAAATTAGAATAGCTTGAAATTTTATGTAAGAATGAGCATGCTAAATTTGTTTTTATTATTTTTTTCGTTAAAAAATGTAACTAAACTTGATCATCCCACTATTTTCCAAACCTTAAATATCTCTACTATCCATTTTTAAATTCTCTTAAAGACAACTGTTATAACTTTTCCGTTAAAAGTTTAATATTCATAAACAATGTCACTAACATCTAGATCTTCAGCCACCAGCTTGCAAGACGGTGCATTATTTGAAGGGGTTATTGAAGAAAAAGTAATCAGCCCTAGAGGTAGTGTATCTATAAAGCGCTACAGTAAGGGCCGATTTTTAGGAAAAGGCGGATTTGCTCGTGTGTATGAACTCCAAGATTTAGAATCTAAAAAGAACTACGCAGCCAAAGTAATTCCCAAGTCAACTCTCACTAAGTCAAGAACAAGGCAAAAATTGATGTCAGAAATAAAAATACATAAAAGTTTATCCTCATAGAAGATGAGTGCTCATATATTATGGCTAGTAAAGTACTAGTAAATCCAATAATTATATATGAAATCAATAATTTAATATATATTATTAATCGGTATAAAGCATCCAAATATCGTTGGATTTGAGCATTTTTTTGAGGATCATGAAAATGTTTATATTTTACTTGAAATTTGTATAAATCAAACATTAAACGAGCTTCTAAGAAGAAGAAAAAGACTCACTGAGCTTGAATCGATGGTGTATATGGTTCAAACGCTATCAGCAGTAGAATATTTGCACAATCATAGAGTTATTCATAGAGATCTGAAGCTGGGAAATATGTTTTTAAATGAAAAATTAGAAATAAAGCTAGGGGATTTTGGATTGGCTTCAAAGCTAGAATATGAAGGACTTAACTTACTTAATTTATCGGTCGGTGTTTAAGGTGTCTAGTGCCGCACCCTAAAATAAACAGGGATTTAGCTAAACTAGTGACGTAACGGAGCCATCTTGGAATCGCGATGGTCAGCCCACCAGCCAAGCCTTCTATCGACGTTTCACCTCCAGTCGCCGCACATCTCACCCGGCGGGTTACTGTTGCCTTCCGTTGACTCAGCTCCTGCGCGTGTTCCGCGTAAGGGTTATCCTCCCATGGGGATGTGCTGAGAGGTAAAACTCTAAGCCTCTTGAATGCACTATGGAGCTGTTCCTTTTTTATCCCTAAAGTTAAACAGCTACGCTGTGCAGAAGTTCTCGAGAAAACCCAACCCCATAAATAAAATTTCATGAGGGAGAGAAAATTAGCAAAGCTAATTTCTCTCGAACCGTATGCCATTTTATTTATTAGAATATGAAGGACAAAAAAGGAAAACTGTCTGTGGGACACCAAATTATATAGCTCCAGAAATTTTAGAAAGCCGAGAAGGCCATTCTTATGAAGTTGATATTTGGTCATTTGGGGTGATTTTATATACTTTATTAATAGGAAAGCCTCCATTTGAAACAAATGATGTAAAAACTACTTACCTCCCTCTGAGAGAGATAATAACTATTGGAAAAATCCCTATTTTGTGGGTAAAACCCTTCGTGAGTGAAATAAAGCTTTTTATTCACTCAAAAAGTGGGGGAAGTTACAAAAAGATAAGAAAATGTTCATATTCATTTCCAGAAAACGTGCAAATATCAAGCCAAGCTAAAGATTTAATTGAAAAAATTTTGCAAGCTGATCCGGAGTCGAGACTATCCATACAAGATATGTATAAACATGCCTTTTTCAATATGGGATTTGAAATACCTAAATTTTTGCCTCCAAGTACTCTTGCAATCCCTCCTTCAGAGTCTTTTTTAAGTCAATACATGCCCAAGGCTAAATTAATATTTCGGAAAATAAGCTCCGACACAGTCCCAATTATCCATGAAAGGAACGCTTTAAGTACATGCAGAAATGCATCAAACACTCAAAGAAACCCATCTTCTACCCACAAAACCCCCAGCTTATCTGCTCTCAATGGCGAAATTAAAACTCCTTTCATAAACAGGTGGGTGGACTACAGCAACAAATATGGTTTAGGCTATACCTTATCAACTGGAGCAATCGGAGTCTACTTTAACGATGCTACAAAAATAGTTTTAGACCCTATTTCAGACTCATTTCGGTATATTTATAGAGATGAAGAAAAAAAAGACATCATAAACTGACATACTTTAACTGACTATCCTCAATCTCTTCACAAAAAAGTTACCCTTTTGCATCATTTCAAAGGCTACTTGGATACAGACAAAGAAAATCCTGAATATTTTCAGTCTGATGAAGCTCCCTATGTAAAGAAATGAATGAGGACAAAAAGGGCAATTCTATTTAGAATGTCAAATAAAGTTGTGCAGGTTGTTTTCCAAGACCATTCTGAACTAATTATTTCCACAAAAACTATTATTTTTGTAAATAAATCAGGTGCTAAGCAATCAATGCCACTAGGCCAAGCTTACGAAAGTGGCGATCTTGATCTGTGTAAAAGAATCAAGTATACAAAGGATATTTTAAATCATATGAATAATGGGAGACCATTAGGAGACGAATAATAATAAAATTTAACACAAAATTAGCTATTTCTTACTAATTTCATTTTTGCTTTGACAGACTGAAGCAGAAGGTCGTTCATATATTCTTCTATTTTCAAGCTTTTATCGCTCATAGGAGATATAGATTTCGATATAATTTCTTGTCGCCTGACTTCTCTTTCAAGATCTTGTGCCATTTCTCTAATGATTTTTGCTCTGTCTTGCCTTAACCCCGTTCCAAGCCCAATGCTATCTCAATCAATGTGTTCGTATTCAAAAGAGTTTTTTAGGGTGGAAAATTCTTCTCTTTTTTTGCGTTGTTCAGATAGATAATTATGTGTTTCTTTTATTTTGGGGGTGATGCTTTGCTGACTTTTTATTTTTAATTTCGGTTTGATTTTTTTAATTCGTTCAGTGAAAGGAGATGGGATAGGACTTATACTTGCTGAACTTGCTTCAGTTGCAGCTCTGATGTTTTGGTGTTTTTTGATTCTCATAGGTGTTGCAAATTGGTTGCCTCTGAAGTTTAAACTTGACTCTGACCTAATTTTTTCTGCAAGCTTAGGTGCGAAAAATTCTCTAACAATTTCGCCATATTTTTTTTGCTTTTTCATTTTGCACTGTCTTTCAAAAAATTCTTTTTGTGCGCAATCGTCAGGTTTATCTTCAAAACGCTTGAGAGATCTTACACTTGAATAAGAGTTAAGGCTTCTTTCAAGCGAGTTTGCCTTGAGCTTTCGAGCTCGTCTTTCTTGAGCATCTTTTATGTATTCTTTATATTTTTTTAAATGCTCTTTAAAATCTTCTTGATTCATCGGCTGAACTTGGAATCTTTTTTTAGCTAAAATTAATTTACGTTTTTCTAGCTCAGGCATTTCAAACTCATGTCTGAATTTTTCTTCCATAATTACAAATCTCGGTCTTTCATGGCTTGGGGTTCTTTCTTTTAAAATTTCTATCTGCAAGCGCATTGATTCTTTTCGCTGCTGGCTTTTTAAATGCAATTCTTCTAACTGTTGCTGTTTTGTTAATCTAATTAAATTTTCATGTTCAGTTTTAGACCTTTTTATTTGCTCGATTTCTTCGCTAATTTTTAGTTGATGTTTGGCCTCTTCTTTTTCCATCAAAATTCTTCTTTCTTCTTTTTCTTGGTTTAATTTTTTAAGCAAATCTTTGAATTCTTTTCGTCTTCTTTTAATTTCTTTTTCTGTGCTAAGTGAGCTTGAGCTAGCTGTATCACTTGTGAGTTTTGAATTTTTTGATACATTTGTGTGAGATTCTTTTATTGGTGATATGCTGATTCGTTTCTTTGAAGATGCTCCAATATTTCTATCAACAGATTGCAATGATTGCTTGATAATAAGGCTGATATTATCACATTTTTGTGGAAAAATCATTTGTTTATTAAGAAACTTTTCTTTTATACTCACAAGTGAAGCATCTGTTTTCAGCTTAGTTAGCTATGTTTTGATTACGTCTAGTAGCTCAGAAGAATCTATAGCTTGACATCTATTGTTGAAGTATTCATAAATGTCATTTTGTTTCATTATTAAACTTTTTGAGATTTTGAATTTATGGTTTTACTATAAACATTGCATTTTTAATAAGGAAAATTTTTCCAAACTATTGATGATTTGATTAATAATGCTCTTAAAATAAGGCATTTTATAATTTTTTCATAATCGTGGAGCTAAAAATATAATTTATAAATTATTTTTAAGAAATAGGTCTATATTCACATTTCATAATTCATAAAGTGGATTTTTTGCATAGGATAGCAAAAAAATTGGATAACAGCATACAATATCAAACACATATTTAAATCATCATGCATTAAATTGTTTATTAAGTAATTTATTTATTATGGAAGAAGAATTGACAGTAGTTAGAAAAGCATGCCTTAGCCTTAATCTGTAATTTTAACACAGAGAGCAGCATGCAATCAGCTCCATTTTGCAACTTTATAAAGACGCAAGAAAAGTATTACCATTAGACATTTCATTTTATGGAAGCTTAATAGCCGGAACAAAATTATGTGAATGCGGGGCAAGAATTAGAGATATAATAAACTGTGTCTGCTATCACATTGAGCATACAATTCACTACAATATTGATACCTACTTTGACAAGCGCGATTTTGGTGTAGCCGCTGAAGAGTCTTTGCTTTCTGCAATTCGATTTGAAATTTATAAATACCGAGCTCAGGAGCATTATATTTTACTAATAAACTTGGCATATGCTTTAAAACTGCCCCCTCAAGCTCTTCAGCTTGCTTGAAGCTTATTAAATGAAAGGTCTGATTAATTTAGCTTTATGATTCCTGAAATTGATCTAGGATTTTATCCAGATATGGTTGGAGCAGTTTTAGACCTTGCAATTACTGCTATTAAAGAAATAAGAGCTGAGGAATGCTATAAAACGCATCAATCTTTTATAGGCATTGGGTGTGATGAAAGCAGCGATTTAACTAATATGAACGAGCTTAAGGCTAGATGAGAAATGGTGAAAAATATTCAAAATAATTGATGAAAAGACTTTGGGTTTAATGAGCTACTATTAAATGAAGCTCTGGCAATTGTATCAAGAAGGGTTGAAACTGCTGCAAAAACTGGAATTTTAGATATAGAGAATAGTTAAGGTTGATTGTTATTTATAATTGGTTCAGACTAAAATCTTTTTCCATATTGCAAATAAGGCCTTGAATCATTTTTTGTACTCTGAGAGAGCTTTCTTCTATTCATCTGCAAACTTTTCCTTACAGGACTAACACTTTTGATATCTCTTCTATATTCTTCTCTTAATGTCTCAGGATTTGCAATAGCAGGGAGACTTTCTTGCTCACTTCCAATAGAATAGATTCATAGATCTTTACATAAATCGCTACTTGCATTAGAAACGCTGTCTTGCTTATTCCAATCATTGCCGCTTTCAGTAGTTTTTTTAATATCATATTTTACTAATGGTTTTCTCAGTTTAACAGTTCCTTGAAATGAGTTTCTAACTTTTCCCTCTGTCTGCGGGCAAAACCAATGGAAAATCTTACTTTTCGGGTTAAATAACTTCGAGCAAAACATTTTTTTATATTAAAAAAATACTTACTCCCCAAATTCTTGCTTAATGGGGGGTTTAATATAAAATTTTCAAATAATAAGATAGATCGAAATTTTCTTCAGATTGGGGGCAAATGCCCAATAAATAAGTAAAATATTATCTATTTAAAATTTGGTGAAAAATCCAAGAATTAGCATATTACTGACAAGGGAGTTATAGAAAAAGAAATATTAAAAGAGCCCTTAAAATCGCATGTAGAGAATTAAGTGAAACTTACAGCTTTTCTATGATTTCTTTTAAAATTTTATACCTATAAATAAGTATGCGTTAGGTAGTTATTTTTATTAAAATAAAATTATTTTCCCGATAATATTAAACCTCCGCTTTTATAAGATATATCTTTTTCAGCCAAACTTTCTTTTAAAATCGATATATCCTCTTGATTTTTAGCAGATACTTTTTCCATATTCTCAAGCCTCAAACACAAGGCTTCTAAGGTAGGTTTTTGTTGCACAAGTTTAGCTACTTCCCCAAATCTACTGGGAGATGAGTCAGGACCGATAACGGATCCTCCAATATCAGACAAAGAATTTGAAGATTTTCCAGGGCTTCCAGGCTCAATTCCTAATTTCTTTTTAAGATTTATCATAAATGGTTTATGAATTTCATTCATTGACGCTGATAATATAACTTCCATGTTTCTCAATACCAAAATTCAAGGTGTTTTTTCAACTCCGAATTTCTGCCAATCTGAAATAGATGATGCTGAATACACTTTCATTAATTTTGACTCTTTTTTAGCTCAGGTAGTTACATTTATTATAGAATCCCCTTGGTAAAGCCTGAATGGGTATACCAGCTCTACTGACAGTCTGGATCTATCTGGAAGTCTGACTCTACCTGGCTCTAGCTCTACCTGCCAGTCTGACTTTACCTGTTTCTACTAGCTCTGCCTAGCAGTCTGGCTCTTCCAAAATAATTTGCCTAGGCTTTTAGAGTAAAAAAATTTAATGAAATGGACGATGACATATTAGATTTAAATGTAATAGCCTGTAACAGCATCATGCTCAAAGGATTCTTTAAAGATATCTGTATCTATATTGCATTACTATCAATATATATAATTTTTTCAAAGCCTATAACGTAATTCAGCGATTTATAAAGGAAAAAATGCTGATATAAATTTTTAAAAGTATTCAATATTAAGATAATCATATTATCAAGCAATAGTAAACAAAATCATATAAAACTACTATTATTTCATCAAAGTTACAAGACAAAGATATTATTTCATCCAATTATAAAATGATAATCATTGCATATTGGAAATGTTTAAAATGATGCACTTGGTTATATATTTTTTAAAATTATAAGAAATAAGAACATAAAGGCTCAGAAAGAAATGATAGAAATATAAAATGAGAGGCTCATTTTGCATTTTTAACGAAAATTCGATTAATTCTTCAAAATTTAACAATAGAATTAGTCTTTCTAAAACAATATAAATATTAATAATCTCTCTAAATAATTTTGATTCTATTAATTAATTAAAAGGCTCAATTAATTTGAATCGCTTATGTTCTCAGTGAAACATCGTGCTGCTTCTTTAAAATATCAATTTTAATAGAGAAATGCATTATATCATAAGACACTTTTATATTATAATATGCCTTCATCATTCTAGAGCTTAAACTCTACAAAATCAGTAATATAACCCAAGATAGAAAGGTATAAATTGTGGAGCAATAAGAGAAGAGAAAGTTAAATTTATTTTTTTAATATCAAGGCTATTTAAAATTAGTAAAAAAACATTAAAATTCCTACTGAATTAACGCTAAATATTAGATTCTTAATAAAATATTAGTAAAAGAAGATTATTTGAGAGGTGTTGCCATTCAATATCTACCTCCTGCAGCTTATTACATTTAAAAATGAACTTATAATGCAATTAAATTAAAATTTAATGGATTTATTTATTAAAGATAAAATTCACTCCCCTTCACTCCGTGAGTGATCAATACCATTGGAAAATTCCCTATTTTTTTTGGGTAAAAACCCACCCTGGACTGCCAGACTGCCAATTAGAGTCAGTCGAGCCAGACTGCAAACTGTCAGACAGCAAGATTGTGAGACTGTGAGACTGCAAGACCGCCAGGTAGAGCTGTAGAGCCAGGTTGACCCAGTCAGTTTGACCATCCCCTAACTCATCACTCTTTAGAGTTGTCAAATTCACTTTCATGAATTTTTTGTTGTTGTTGTATTTAATTCCTAGATCTTAAGAATTTCCAATATGCAAGTCTTTTTGATTTAACTAAAGCTGTCTAAAAATCAACAGATTTAGTAGGACACTTCATAATGGTCATTAATTTCCCAAAATAATTATTTTTCAATGATTTTGCTCGCTCTTAAAGGTGAGAATAAGAAAACTCCTAATGGCTGCATAGAATTGTCTTTTATTTCTTTATATATTTCTTTAATAGCCTGAAACTGCTTAATTTCAAAAAAAATCAATAAGCAAAAAGTGTTTTCTGGGAGTGCAAAATCTAAGGGTTCCCTTGTTTGTAAATCTAGTAGCGGTAAAGATTCCATGATTTTATTTATTAAATGATATTTGCATAGATAATTAAAATATAGTTTGGCATTTATATTTAACAATTGATGATTAAAATAGCAGTGCATTTTTAAATAAATTAAGATTGCTTATAAATCTTAATTTATCAAACTCGCCAATTTATTACAACAAAGGATTGCGTCCATTACAAGTTAATCACGGATGTGTTTTTATTGAATTCAATGAAATTCTTCTTTCTGGATCTTCCTCCAGAAGCTTGCTTACTCTCTTATTAGAGCTAGCAAAATATTATAAATAGAAATTAAATTGCTCATTCAGAATATTCTCAAATTAATTTTTAAGATTCATGTACAAAATTTTGAAACAAAAAATTCGCCTCTCATCTAGCGAGCAAGAAAATCATAATCACTAGCCAAGGCAGCAGTTAGCAAGTCAGTTAGATCGTTTTGTTCATCATTATCAAACTTATGCTGTCTTTCTGGGTACTTTTCATTAACCCAAAAGTATAAGCAAAGTCCAGTTCCTCAAACATCAGCAGCCCGGCCTTTAAAGGTTCTTCGGCTTGACTTTATTTCTGGTGCTCGCAATTCATGCTTATGAATCCAACAAGCTTCATCATTCCCATTTATTATTGGCTGTGCAAGGCTAAAATCAGTTAATTTGATATTTTCATTAGTATCAACTAATACAGACTCAGGAATTATATTTAAATGCGCTATAAATGCTTCATTATGAAGATAATCCAAAGCACTTATAAGTTGCCTGTAATATCTCCTTGCTCTTGCTTCAATAATTGGCATTTTTCTCTTAAATTTGCCATTTGATGCAAATTCTAGTACTAAAATGAGCTTTCCGTTGGTTTTTGAGTCTATTACTTCTACTAACTTTTGTATGTATTTATGGTTCAGTCGAAGAGCCAAATTAACTTCTTCAATAATTTTATCAAGAGCGCTTTTCCCATTTCCCATACTTTTTTTTTGGAGAAGCTTTTTATCATAGCATTTCACTATAAATTGGTTAAATTCTTTGTCGATTGCTAAATATGTCTTATAACATGAATCTGATAAAAGACGCTTTGTTAGCTTATATCATTTGCAATAATTATGCACTCTTTTGCTATTTTATTGACAAAATGTTTAGGATTTATAACGAATTAAGATATAAGCTTTAAATAACTCATTGAGGCAGCTCAGCATATACTGATTGATTTGTTTTGAGCCGTCTTCAAAATAAGTGACAACAAGATCTGTGTTTCTCTTTGAAGCGGAATTTTCAGGGAAGCTGCTCTCGCTCTCGAATTTTTTCTTATAAGTTGGCAGCTCACAAGAATTCTGCCTCTGGTGCTTACTCTGATTTTTATCTGGACTAATGCTTGATAGTTTAAAGTTTGCGAGCACAGTTTCAATTGAATTTGGGACAAACTCTTCAGAGGATTCTGAATTGCATTCCAAACTTCTATGAAGCGGCGGAGGAGACAAATCGCTACTACTTTCGCTTGAATACGACAAGTTGGGGTCCTCCTCTTTTTGCTGATTTTTTTCATCAATTGATGAAGGCTCAGAAATCTTCATTGACCCAAATGAAGAAGAAGGAAATTCTTTGCTTCTTGAGTCATTTAGGCCTTTCTCAAATGAATCTTTCTTACTTTTCCTACTATTTATTGTTTCCTCTTATATATAAAAATATTTATTCGCAGAATGAGAAATTTTTAAATTCTATTTTGATTAAGGGAGGTAGAAACATCTGATTGGTTTTGAAAATTTTCTGATTCAGAATAAGTCAGTGATATGCTTGTGATTCTTTGGACTTTGCTTGCATCCTCTGGTGGATCTTCAGATACAGAATGAATGATTTTGGTTCCATTTCGAGATCTTATGAAGTCTTCAATCGCAGCAGTTTGCATATCTGATGCCATTTCACTATCTTTATATAAGTCATGCCTCAGGTTTTCTCCGCTTTCATATATATTGGTTCCAGAAGAATATGTATTTATTTCAAAGTATTTAGGCTCTTTTCTTCTGTTCTTTTCATTTTTATTTCAATCTTCAGATGGACTGTCTTTTGATCCTGTATTTTTTCCAAAGTGATTTACAAATTTCACACTTTTTTTGACTGGCTGCGCAATAATTTTTTTAGGCTGAATTTCGTTTATAATAGATGAATTCACTGGGATTGTTGCTATTGACTTTAAATTTCTAATATATCACTTACTTATGTGGACAACAGTTTCCCATAAATAATAAATAGTAAAAAACATTGCCAGAAGCTGAGCGAGCAAAAATTTTCGCTTGCTAAAATAAGTAAGTTTTTACTTGATCAAGTACTGGGATTAACAAATTTCTAAAGAGAAAAACGCAGACTTCTTTTTGATTTCAATATATTTAAATAAAACATTGCAGATATAAATATGATATGGATAAGTTTGGCAGCATTTTTTGTTCATTCTTCGAAATTTTATATAAAATTAATTATAAGGTAAAGATGCAGTAGTACCTATAGATGAAAAAGAATGCTTAGTAAAATAAACCAAAAGCTATTAAAAGTCTAAAGTTTTTTTGGTCACAGAAAAATCAGGGTTGGGTAAAAAATTTTAGGCATAAATTCAGCAACTTTAGATATTTGTTTAAAGCAAGCAATTTTGATTATATTGCGAACACACGCTAATGGATTCCTAGACTTCTGATATCTCTCGAGACAACTGGAGTTCATTTCATCAACTTATGTTGATGAAACCAGCTCTTGAGTTGGCAAGTATATTCGATATGACAGATTTGCCATTTAAGAGTTGTTTTTATCGGTATAAGCTGATGAAGCCAATACCTGATCTTCTTGGTAGCATCGGAAGGATAAAAACTATAAGATCTATATGCTGTATATCTCGGTCGTTTTAAATATCATTAATTTCAATAGGAAATATTGATGAATGCTTAATTGCGGTATGAGATATAAAATCAGGAAAAATATTTGCTACTTCTATATTAGAAAATTATGCAAATCAGATTATTTGGATTTCACAGGACTCAACATTAGAGCTTGTGACACTATCGAATCATGATATGATATTTTTGAGACTAAACCAATATAACCAGCTTGAATTTCAGAAGGCTGAAGGAATTGGAACTAATGAAACTCTGACTTGACCTGAATTTTCTAAATTTTTCGAGAAGATTTCATCCCATCTTTTGTTTGCAGGTACTGAGTCAGGGATGGTCTTAATACTCAATGCACGAACTAATACGCTGGCATCAAGTTAGAGATTAGTTGATTTTAAAATCACTTGTATTTCTTCAAAAGAAGATAGAGTTATAGTTGGCAGTGGGCACCCTAAAATCTATAGCTGTAAATGGACAGATGGCATGCTTTCTGGCCAGCAAGATACAATTTGCTAGAAAGCTACCCAGAATCTTATGCTTATGGCATATCTGGGGATAAAGACCTTGCAGATGGTCACCATTGCAATATTTGGTACATTGATTGAAATGAGCATGCCACACTACGCATCATCAGTAGCCATTCAGAAGAAATTACCTCAATTGCTTGTCGAAGTTTTGTAGCTTCAGCAATCAAACTATCAGGATTTGAAATGAAGAAATCTTTGAGCAAGGCATCCAATTCCTATCTGCAAGCTACTAGTGTCTATCATTAGCTTTCCATCCGACACTTCCATATCTATGTGAAGGGTTTAATGGGAGATCACGATTTTCGAAAATCTCCAACGAAATGCATAGTAGCAACCAAAGCTTATATTGGACTGACAACCTCATTGGTTTTCAGCAAGAGCAACATTCTTGTCGGAGCAGAAGCAGAATGATCACTGTTGTGTTTATAGAAAGATGGAATCAATTAAGCATAAGACTGATTGACTTCGGCGAGGCAGGAGGCCTATTAATATTGATATAAAAGAGAGATCTTTATTAGCCTCTAAAGTTGAATGAAAAGTTAGTGTCTGGGAAAAGAAGTTTGCATCTCAAATGCTTGCTTGATGAAAATCGTTTGAAAGTGAACAAAGCGAATTTAATATAATTGGCATATATAATCTAGAGCCGAATGAAAAATCGAAAAATTACTTGGCTGTAATGGAATGAAAATTGGAATCAGGCTGTGTGATGAGAGGATAATTGTGTATGAAGAAGGAAAAAATAAGCACACTCATTAATTAATTTAAGGGTTTAAGTCCTTCGTTTGAAGTCCATTAGCACATTACTTGCACGGTTCCCGTCCCCACCCCTCTAAGCGTGCCGTGCACCACTTGATATCACCTCTGAATGGTCCCTCTGTTTCGGGCGTTTTGCTGTTGACGACTGCCCTTCAGCTCTTCTGACATAATGGGTCGTCTGCACAAAAATCTAGAAAATGGAACTTCTGGTCGACTGTTGGCAAAAGTTCTAACTTAGAGCCCAAGGTGTTAGTCTTCGTTCACGCTAGGAAATTGTCCGAAGGGTCAAAAGACGCTGATGGGCCTCTCCTTTTCTAACTCTAAGCTTTTCCTTTCCCATGAGGCAAAATCTAATATTGAAAAAGAGACTTGGATCAGGCTCCGCACGAGGAGATTTCTTACCCGATATTGATATGAATTTCTGGGTTGGCAAAATTTTCCGGGTATAATTGAATACGTTCTCGAGGCTGCATAGTCGAGAGGCTATGCCTTATCCCAGACACTATAATTAATTAAGAAGATGAAAAAAAGAGTATAAAGGAATTTCGGATTCTGCTGGCACATTGGTGTCTACATCATATTCTTTGGCAACTGCTCAGGAGCAGAACTTAGCATATTGACTGTTTAATATAATAAATTAATTTTAACATTATGCGAACGACTCTGCCTCTTGAAAACTAAAGAACTTAGCTTCTTCTTTCCCACAGTCTTTCAAAGGCTCAGTGTTCAGTCTTTTTGCAGGCTTTTCAGAGTTGGCTTCTTCTTCATTTGCTCTATAGGTGGATATTATTCGAGTAGTCGACTCAGGAGCATAAGTATTATCACAGTTATCCAGCTTGTCTAAGTTTAGAGTATAGCTCTTCTTTTTTCTTTTACAGGATTTTGCCATCTTAATCGTAAATAGGGTCGTTTCTGCTATAGTGCATACCACAAAGCATAAAATAATTAAGCATGCTATTGTGATTGCGAAGTACTCTAGACCATTATTTTTGTATTCTTCTGCTATTCCTAGAGCTAAGAAAAAGAACGCTGTAAGTAGGTGATAAATAAAGTGCAGTAAATTGTAGTAAAAGCTATCAAAAGGCTGCTTTAGGACGACAAGTGCTGAAAAGATCACGCCAGTAAAAAAACAAGGAATTGTTTTGCTCCAAACGTCTGGAAAAACTACAATGAAGAACAAATACAAGACTTTCTGCAGCAGCAAGATAGGATAATAGTGCATAGCGATTTTTACTGAGCTTGGCTCAGGAATAGCTGCAAATGTAATTTCTTCATGATTCTGTGGAGTAAAATCAGAAACTGAAGCATCAGAAATACTTTCAAGCTTTTTCCAAGGAGTTGAAAAGAAAACCGGCCGGTTTTCTTTCTTTTCAAGAATAAATGATCTTTCAGCCTTATTCTGTGAAATATCATTTTTAACAGTCATACTTTCTACTTTAGGAGATCCCTGCTTTCTTTGGCCATCGCTATCATAATCACTACTTGACAATTCAAAGTCATCAAAAGATTCTTCTTTAGGTGCTACTTGTTGCTTAAACCGCAGCCCAATCAACAGTGGCTCAATTTGGCTTGAATTTTTCCCCTCATTTTGTAATTTTTTCGAAATAATTACAAGGATTATCGGCAAGGCAATTGTATACACTAAGCAGCAGATAAAAAATATGACTGTTTCTGCTGAATCGCATTCTTCCATGTCAGTTAGCTGCATGAAGAAATACCCCACAATGATCTGATAAGTGATAAAAGCGTAATAAATATAAATTTTGAATAAGAAAAAGTTTTTGAAGAGCTCTGAAATATTTTTTGGGATAAAAATGCAGACACCAAAAATCAAGAGGTTGAGGAGAACAATTCCAGCAAAGTAGATCATGACCTGGCCAGCATTGAACCAGATATTAGAAGCATCAGGATTTTGTGAAGGAAAAATGTTATCATCAAGCAGTTGACGCCCTTTAAAGTGAGTTTCAAAGAGTCTAAACATGCTCCATTCTAAAGATTTAAGGAACTTTGATAGTGTTTTTGTCTCTGAAAATGAATAAGCAAAGTACATAACCTGATATGAACTGATTAAAGTAATTATACCACCTAAGAAATTTCCAATTGCTTTTTCAAGTCTTATTTTGGAGATTGAGCCATAGATAATGGAAGCTCCAGCCATAAAAAGAGTCAGCAAGCCTGTGTATTTTCCTATATTGAAAGAAAATGATGAGGAAGAAGTAGATCTGTTAGGGTTTTTAGAAGGAATATCAATGCACTTATTTAATGTTTCGTTATAAATTGTTCCATTGGTGCACACTATAGTTGAATTATCACATTTGGTTTGGTTACAAGTCTGATTTCCGCCTGAGTCTGTATTGTTTCCACCTGATTGACCTCCGCCTGGATTTGTGCTATTTCCACTTGAGCTAGAATTGTTTTGGGTTCCGTTATTATTGTTATTTGAGGTTCCATTGTTATTATTATTTGAGTTTCCGCCATTATTGTTATTTGAGCCGGAGCCAGGATCAGTCCCATTAGTGTTGTTTGAGCCATTCGTATTATCTGTCGGTATTGTGTGATTAGAAGGGTTGGTATTATTATTGCTTGGATTCCCTGGATCTGTTTGGTTTGATGATGTATTATTATTTGAATTAGTGCTATTATTGTCTGTTGAGTTTGTAGAATTATTGCCACCACCAGTCGTGCTATTATTTCCTGTTGAAGGGTCTGACGAAGTATTATTATTGCCTTGAGGAATCGACGAGCAAACGTCTGGAGAATTTAGACCTCCCCCAGAGCAAGTATATCCATGATCTATTTTGCAGTTTGTGCAGCCTTTATTGCTTTCACTTTCTACTCCTATATCGCATTCTTCTACAGTTGACCATCTTCTTCCATTTCCACAAGCATCCTGCCTATTCATAGTGACTGATATTTCTCTATGGATATTTGTACTTTCAGCAATGACTTTGAGGGTAAAATTTAGCCCATAGACTTCTGTGATAGGCAGTAACAGTGTTGAGTTCATCAAGCTCAAAGAGCCATAATTGGTAATATTATAAGGAGAAGTTAAATATAAGGATGCATTTGAATCAGTAGTTTGGCAAAGGATTGAGAAACTTTCCAAGCTATCAGGAATAGTAACTGAATAAAAATCATTCGCAGAAGAAAAGCTTGGTGATTGATCCAATGAGCCTTCAAAATTTAGATACAGTAGTGATGTGTCACCAGAAAGATAATTGAATTGGACATAATATATATATTCATATGCTTCATCTTCAGAAACGATATAGAAATTTAAGTTATTTTGGCCAACTTTTAAAGGAGACACTGTTTTTGGTGAATTAAAATAGTCAGTTTCATTTGCAGCTCCATTTAGACTATACTTAACTGTAGCTCCTGAATCTTCGCCAGTAGCTAGTATCATAAGTCCTGGAGAATTAGGGTCAAAATTAATATCTTCAAGATTCCAATACCTCCTTGTTGAAGCAAATGATTGGACTGTTAAAACTTGTGCCAAATCCGGGGTAGCATCATATACAGCAGTAGTCGATGAAAGATTTGTTGCATTGTATTGATAACTGTACCCTAATTCGAGCGATGAAGAATTAGATGAGTGGTCAGCTGAGTCAACCATCAATATTGGGTTTAAAAAGAACCTTAAAGAGCCTAAATTAACGTTTCTTGACATTCGGTAAAAGGTAAAGCTATACATATTTGACACAGTTGAACCAGTTCAGTCAAAAAAATTGCAAGTATAATATGCCCACTTTAAGTCCAGATCAAATCCAGGAGAATATGTACCTGTCGACCAATAAAAATGCTGAAAAGGCCCAAGGGTTGGATAGACTGCACATATGGTAGGAATTTTTGCAGTAAATAAAAGAAGAGTATTTCGGTCTGAATCTGAGGCAAGTGGAGGGACGAGGGTATAGTTATAAGTGTTTGGGTGAAACCTAGGCTTTAAATCTCAATAGTAAGGAAGAGGAGCTTCTTGGTTTGTAAGCTTGGCTGTAGCCGATAATGGGACATTATTAGGTACATCTTTATTAAACCTGAAGTAATAATATTGATATAAACTTGGGTCTTGAGTGGACGAAATTTTTATTCTTGCAATATTTTCTAGGAAATTATCAAAGAAACCAGTAACTGTGAAGTTTGAATCTGATGTGAGATTATAAATATTAGGCGAAAATTGGACAATGGAAAGATGTTGAATAGAAATCAATGAGTTACTAGAAGCAGTTGGAATTACTGCTAAGTCTGAAATAGCTTGAGATAAGGTGCTGGAACAGTTGTAGTCCATGATGCTTGATGATATACTTGGACTATAGCTTAAGCTTGTGCCATTTGCATAAAATTTTATATTAAGGAGTTCACAGTCCAAGCACTTCACGAAGATGTCGATTTGGTAAGTGTAGACATAAGACTTGTAAGAGGATGTAATCTCTAGTGTATTTGGGCCTGGCTGAAGAGATCCAAGGATTGATAAATTTTGAGTTGCATTCGAAATCAAAGGCACTGATTCTTGATTATTCAAACTGGCAGATATAGAAGGATAAGTAAAAATTGAGGTTGCAGTGAATTGAACGACCTCATTGCCAGTGAGAACTTTCAAAAAACTGTAGCTTCCAAAGTCTCATGTTGCAAAGGGAGGATAAAGAGGATTAGAGACTTGAGTATTGTCAACAGCAAATGTGATATTCAAAAGAAGAGCTATTTGATTGGGGACTTGAGCGAGGACAATAGAAATTAAGTAGAAAATTAACATTATAACCTTCAGCTTTCACTTTCAAAAATATCGATATACACTTAGGATACGCAGATACGCTGCTGAGAAAAATTAGAATTTAGGCCTATAAACTTGGGGAAGAGAAATTAAAATTCTTTTTATTGCTTTTTTCGTATTTTAAATATATCTCTTTAGTAAGAGCTAGTAAAATTAAACTTATAATTAAGAAAGCTATTGCATGCTGAAATTTGTAATAAAAAAAGATAAAGCTTTAAGAATGATTGAAATCAGAGCACCTTTTTCTAGCATTCTTATATGCACACTTTTCTCGAAAGCAAAGAAAACTTAGTCATTATAATTATAGAATTCGGATAAATGGAAATAATATCTGCAGAAAGGATGCTTACTCATGAATATTAAAAGTTTGGATCGAAATCCTCCATTTCGTCTGAGTGAATTGAATCTGAGTCTGGTCCTCCAGCTTCTAGGTCCATTGGATTCCCTATCCTTTCTTTTCTTTCTTCCCTAGCGTTCTCTATGGGCACTTGACCAAGTCCTTCAACCGCTCCAGCAATCTTATAAAGATCTGGCCTCGTGATTTTAAGCTTTATAAAATTATCTATCGCTGCTTGCACCTGGTCAAGCATAGGTAGCAACCAGACACCCTCCCAATAAGGGAACCCCACCCCGCCCCCCTTTCACAGATGGCAACCCCACCCCCCCCTCTCCGGTTTATTCTGTAGAAGTAATTGATAGGAAACAAGCAGAATAAATTAAATATAACCCAATTAAAACACTATATTGATAAATTAAGTCCACAAATTACTGTATATTTATGATTAATTAATAAATTTAAATTAATTAGCAATTAATTAAAAAATATATTAAATTTGTTTTTTACATTTATAAATATAATGCCAAAGATATAGATAATAGCATTAATTATTAAATTAGCCAAGCACAATACTATAACTTGCATTAAATTTATTGATTCTTAAATTAAAGCTAATCTGATCCATTGTACAAGGATTGCAGGACTGAATTGGCAACAGGATTCAATAGTGGTAATAAAAATAGTATTTGCTATTGTCAGTTTTACTTTTGGATCTCTAATTCGACTTTTAGCCATTGTTTTACAAAGTTCATAAATATATGCAGTATATATTGCTAATTAATACCAAAGATCATTATTATGCTTGTTAACAAATTTTTTCATATGTGGTGTGCTTAGTAGTTATAGGAAATTCTCACCTCATTCCATCTACTCCTTAATCGATTGTGCTACGCTATGTGGATATTGTATAAATCAGTAATTTTGAATATTAAAAATAATAATTTATTTATTACGTCTGCTCTAAATTGGCATTTGTCATATATTTATGCTATATTAAGGGGGGGTGCCATTTTTTAGAGGGGGTGCCATTTTTTAGGGGGGTGGGGGTACCACTTTTAGGGCGTGGGGGTGTAGGGTTACGACCTATGCTTGACCATGCACCTCATTTACTTTCAAAGTGATAGTAAACCAATTTGATTCTTTAGTCATTTCCTTGAACCTCTGAAAATTAGTTAAAATTTCTTGAAATACAGGGACATCGGTATTTTTCTTCACTCTCTCTTGTGTGACTACGGTCTCTACTTAACTTAGTTAGATTATAGAAAAGCTCCTTGTTGAGATCCGAGGATCCTTATTCCCTTCCATAGCGTTCCACTCGTCTCGCCGGCAATCATCCCACGACCTTCAAAGTCTTGATCCTGCCAGACATGGGCTTGTGCATGCTTCCTGGCAGTCGGAAAGCTTAGCTCACCGTGCCGTACGCCAGCGGATATTGCTTCTGGAATTTCGAAAAACAAAATTTCTGGTCACCTCTCAGCCAAGCTGAAAATTCGTAGTCCAGGACGCAACGCCTGATATCGCGCTGGGAAAGTTCCCGATAGACCAGGAAGAATCTTACTGCTTTTGTTAGGACACTGATTCCAACTCCATCTTCCTCTGAGGTAAAATCTTGACCTGGATGTGAGCTTGCGATGCGCCACCAGGACATTGCTCTATACCAAACCAAGTAAAACCAGGCTGGACATACATACCGAACGCCAAAGCTCTCTTCCATATGGTTTCTCGGCCTCCCCATTGCACGTGCTAGGAGGTTGAGTTGATTCACCACTCCTTTTTATGTATAGAAATTGCCCGAGGATGGCGCTATATTGCGCCATCCTCGGGCAATTGGAGACACGGCTCCACACGGGAATTGTGTTCCACGTGGGAAAAATGTGGATTCCACACGTGGAAAAATGGCTCCACACGTGGAATACGGTTCCCGTGTGGAGCCAATTTTCGCTTGCCCTAGGATGGCGCCATATAGCGCCATCCTAGGGCAAATCCTATATGTGACTACGGTCTCCAAAGCAGCCAAATAGTTTTGTTGAATAATCATCACCCTTTTTAGCTCTAGCTCCACTTTTTCGTTGAGCGATTTCATGATGCCTTGAACGGCTCTTAACACATTGGTGTATTCCTTGTCAATCTTTTCTTTGGCACATCTCATTACCTCTCTCAATTCTGCGATGCTTTGAGGATCAATTCTCATGTACATTGATTCGTACTTATGATTGAAACCAACTTGCTCTAAATGATCTGGAACATGAAACTTGCATAAATTAAACGCTTCTGGTATGCACCTACAGAAGCCTTCAGCATCATTACTGCAATTAAACCATTGACACTTAGTTGCCATATTCTTTTATAATAAAGATTTCTTCTCTATAAAATTTTTACCTAAAAATTTTATATATGATAGCTATAATATTTTCCTTCCAGAAAAGCTTACAAATATTAAACTTGATTAATGATTTTTTTATAAAAAAAATTATATGAAGGGGTTTATTTAAGCTTGCTATACCAGCAAAGAGTTTTTTTGTTTTCAAATATAATGATTTTTATAAGAAAGCTGCTTCCAAAAAAATATTTGGGTTGTCTATTTTAATATTTATCTTCAGTTTTTTATGAATTTTAGATTAATCAAAATTCCGGTTTTTTTTGTGTAATTTTCATTACTAATAAAACACTTATAAATCATATTAATGGGTTGCTGTAATTCTCAGCCTGTGGATCCACCAGTAAGCAAAGGTAATCAAGGGAGACTTCGAGCTGACTCCTCAAACATTAGTAAAGGAAATTTCGTCAGAACTACTAAAGGTTTGGTTAGAGACCATTTCGAAATTTTGAAAACCATTGGAAGTGGAGGATTCGGAACGGTTTTCAAAGTAATCGACAAGAGAACTGGTCTTGAACGCGCAATTAAAGAAATACCAAAGTCCAAACTAGGCCCTAGCTCTGAAAAGCAAATGCTTTTGGAAGTAGAGCTCCTTAAAGAGATGGTAAAAAATAATTAGGACCATCCCAATATTTTGAAACTTTTCGAAGTAATTGAGTCAGATTTATGCTACTATATTGTTTCAGAGCTCCTGACTGGTGGCGAACTCTTTGATAAGGTGTTAAAAGACATGAGATTTAGTGAAAAAATAGCTGCGAAGTATATTCATGATATCGTTACAGCAATTAACTACTGCCATCAAAAGAATATTGTCCATAGAGATTTAAAGCCAGAAAACCTTCTACTTCTGAACACAACAACCCGGCTCCATGTCAAATGACAGTGGATTTTTTTGACAGTGTCATTTCATCGAAATGCATTTGGTTGAAAATAAACGTTTTTATTCAGTCAAATGTCTCACTGTCAAAAAGTTTCAAGCAATTTTTGGCCAAAAATACTTCGGTGAAATGGACATTATCAAAAAGGCAATGTCATTGGACCTGCACCCCAAACAACCCAAATGCCCCATTAAAAGTTATTGATTTTGGAATTTCCCAAAAACTAGCACCTGGATCAAAGCTCACAACAGCTATAGGGACCCTTTATTATATGGCTCCTGAAGTTTTTTCAGGGACTTATGATGAAAAATGTGACATATGAAGCTCAGGAGTCATTTTATACTTAATGCTATGTAATTTTTATTCAGCCGGACGACCACCATTTATAGGAAACACCGAAGTTGAAGTGTTAAAAAAAATAAGAGCTGGGCAGCCTGAGATGACAAAAGGAATATGGCCAAGTATTTCTGAAGATGCCAAAGATTTGATCCGGAAAATGATTTGTGTGGACTCAGCTTCAAGATTTAGTGCTAGTGATGTTTTGAATCATAGATGGATAAAGCAGCATATCAGTGGAGAAATTGAAGACAATCCAATCAATACTCAAGCATTCGAACAGCTAAACAAGTTTAGAGTAAGTCTTATATAGTCTCAATCCAAACTGGAAAAATCAATTCTTACTTTTATTACTGCACAAGTATCAACTCCTTCTGAAGAGTCAGATTTAGTCAACCTTTTCAAGCAATTAGACAAAAATGGAGATGGGAGATTAAGCATTAAAGAAATTTCTGATGGCTCTGCGATCCTTGGGCTAGGCTCTCAGCTAGATGTGATGGAAATTATGAAGAACTGTGATAGCGATGGCAGCGGCTTTATTGATTATACTGAATTTTTGACTGCTGCAACAACTTGGAATAAAGTCATTCAGAAAGAAGAACTTCAGAGAGCTTTCAAATTATATGATGAAGGAGGAGATGGGCAGCTCTCACTTAGTGAACTTAGAGATTGTATACCTGGAATTGAAGATTCAGAATGGAGCAAGTTTCTTTCAGAAGCTGATAAGGATGGGAATGGAGTCATCAGTTTAGAAGAGTTTAAGCAATATCTTACCGATAAGATCTTGAATGCTTAAATAAGGAGTATTTAAAATTTAAACAATTTAAGGATAAATCTCTTACGCTCAGTGCCTGTTTCGCTTAAGTGTTAATTATCTGCTAAAGTAAGTTAACAAAATCAATCAATAACTTTTATAAGACTATTAGCTTTAATAAATATGCAACATATGATATATATCTTGATGTTAACGCTAACTAGACCTTAAATAACTTAAATCTACTTTATAATTTGAATTATAATATGTCACAAGACGACCCTCAAAACCCAGAAGTATGCCCAAGCTTTGCTAAAATACTGAATTACTTATCATTTGAATTCGAAGATTTTCTACTCCAAATCCAGCATTTTGCTGAAGAACTTACATTCTTGGTATCTCTAGCTGAAAACGATATAGCATTTTGTACAGATAGTCAAGATATAATTAATCAATCTAAAGCAACACTTGCAAAAGTTGACCATTGCGAAGTAAAAACTTCTAAAATACTTGATATATTTTCTGTTCTCACAAGAGAAATAGATAATCAAATAGAAAAATCTTTAAAACACATAAAGAATTGTCAAACTGAAATTAGCCAGATTTATTTTTTTCTCAACGATTTTATATCAGAAGAATCTGCTAATTTAATTGGTGCTGTCAAGGATATGATTTCAGAAACAAGAGTTAATTTTGATAATTTTAATTGAAAAGAAGACATATCGGCTGAAGAAAACTGCTATTCGAAAAAAATCCCTAAAATAACTTTTTCTCATTCGATAAATTCACATGAATGCAAAGTGCCACAGCAATTAGGACAAATACACTTGAATCTTCAAATGACAGAAGCTAAAATATATAAAAAGAATCCCAATTTAATAGCTGAAGTCTTTAATTATAATGCTCAGATTTTAGCGAATGCAAATAATATGCAAAAAGTGCTGCTTTATTTAAAAATAATATTAGAAAATACAGAAAAGCACATAAAAACTATAAATGAGCAAACTTATTTGAAGCATGAGGCATATAGCCACAAAGGTAATATAGCCCAGGAGTGATTTTTGATCGCCCTGGGCTAGGATAAGGCTCAGAAACTCCCCGAGTTGGTTTTTCAACTCAAGTTGACAAACCAACTCGGGGAGTTTCTGAGCTTTATTCTAGCCCAGGGCGATCAAAAATCGCTCCTGGGTTATATTCATCCTTATATGAAAGATAAAATATATGATGAAGACAAATATTCATCATTTCTTGCAGAATTAACCGAAAACTATAATAGGTTCTCTGAAGAGCTTTCAAAGCTTAATTCTTATATTCAGAATTTTGGCAATCAATTTGGAATCTCTCAGATGTCATTAATTCCAGTAAAGGATCTGCTCTCTTATGCTATTGGGAAAAGAATAAATAAAATGGAACTCAGCTTGAGAGAGAAATTAGCTTTGCTAATTTCTCTCCCTAATGGAATTTTATTTATGGGTTTGGTTTTACATGGCATAGCAATTTTTGTTTAACTTTTGTCGTATAGGGCTAGAGAAGCCTCAGTGCATTCAAGAAGCCTGTATTTTTTACCACTCAGTACCCCTGGGAAAAGTGACCCTTAGCAAGAACGCCCATAGTAGTTGAGTATGGCAAAAGTGACGGCACGCGCCGGTGAGAAGTGGGGCTTTAGCTGGGGACAGAAATGTCAAGGAAGGCTATCCACATGGTTTGCCATTTTAAATGGCAGGATATCTGTGACTTCACTAGCTGGGCATGATCCTTATTAAAATGGAGTGGCTCTGGCATCTTAAACACCAAATATATAAGTTAAGTTAAGTTATTGGAAAAAGAACCATTCTTGATAAACTGAAATTAATATATAATAACGCAAGTAAAATCTCTGATTTAATGAGAATTTTATCCGAACAGAATGAAAATACTCAAGTCATAAAAGGAATTATAAAAGATTCAAAGTTAAATCAACTTAGAGATAGTGATAGCCTTAATGATGATAATCTTCACAGATTTAGCATATTAAGAAGGACTAGCACTATAGTTTCACAGACTCTCCATGGAAGAATGCATAACAATATTTTATATGCACTTTTTCACATGAAAGCTTCAATTTTAAAGAAAATTCAAATACACTCTTTAGTAGTTGAATTGAGCAATACCAGGACACAACTTGTAATAAGCATGAAAAAATTCATAAAAAAGAAAGGGATTGACGCTAAGGCCTGAGAAAAAAAATTAAAAATTCTCACGATTAAGAAGTTTAATTTTGATGGAATAGAAAACAAAATAAAGCATTCTGAAGGGATAAATGTAGCTGGCTATCACTCCTATAATTCAAGTTGGGACCTGCAATGTATAAATGAAGATGAGAGTCTTCAAAAGCCTTGCAAAAATAATTCAATTGGAAGTCAAAGCCATAGTTCTGATAGTATATCGTCCTCAAGTATATATGCGGAGAGCTTACTTTCTGATACTGAAAACAATAGAGATAAATCATCAACCCAGCCTTTTGATAAAAATAAGATGAATTATAAACCATTAGGGAAAAACCAAATTGACTCTGAGACTCTTGATCATCTTGTGAATTTATTAAATAAAGAAGTAAAGAAGATCCACTCTAATGGAGTTGGTGGCTGAAAAAAACGGCTCAAAGATTTAAATAATGTTGAGTCTAAAAACGATTTTGTTCCAGCCACAAAGATGCATTTATTGCAAAGAGTTTCTCAAGCTAATCTAGTCAAGGAAAGGCCCTCAAAGCTATTATTGCTTTTATTAACGTTTTAATATTTGATAAGCAAACATTGGAATTTATTTTTGCAAATTAGTGCTTAGTCTTACTAAAATTGATCCGCTATTCAATAAAAGTAGTATAACAATGCGTAGGTCTACAACTCCAGAAATCCCGCACTTTATTCAACTTCAAGCCCAATTCACTGCAAGAGAATCAATAGTTTCAACAACCCCTCAGCCAACTTGCTTACCACATTTCCTTGAAGAAGAAACTTATCTTATCTTAATAATCTATAGCACGCTTAACATCCACTGCCAGGCTGCTGGTCCACAGTTACCCCCAAAAAATCTCTGGAGAGAATTTCGCGCCATTTTCCTCAGAGCCGCCCAAAGATGTGGCTACCTCGGACACTTTGTTAACCAGCTAGGATGCCAATCTTGAAGTTAGGGCTTCGATAAACTTTGAACGAGAAACACCTAGCAGAATTAGAAGAATCACAAAACCAAATAAACCACCTCCGCTAGTACTTAAGTTAAGTTAAATGGTTAAATTTACCATAAGTGGGCAAGCCCATTAGCCTTTGCCTCATCTCGGGTCAAGAATAACAGCGTCCATTAACCTTGAGTTCAAATAAGGATGATGGAAGACTGCCATTTGTAGAGTGCCCCAATAGTCTCGACAAAGGGAGACCATGTGCTAGGCAAAACCTGTCTAGCCCATTTGCCAGGGACAGAAAAATCTTCGGGGGGGAAACAAAATTTTCCTTTTTAGCGAGGCTTTCCGAAGACATGAAGGTTCGCTTCAAAAGGGACAGAGGCCCTGATTTCAGCTTCATCAGGATGGGTCAGACTTACTCCATAGGGAGTGATCTTGAAGTCCAATTTTTATTTTATTTCTATACTAGAACTTACTCCCCCCTCCGTGAGTGAACAAAACCATTAGAAAAATCCCTATTTTTTTCCCCTCCGTGAGTGAACAAAAATTTTTTTAATAGAAAAAATTTTTATGGAAAAAAATTTTTGATATATAAATGATAATTATTATAATGAAATCTAGAGCTAATTCTGTTTAATTTTGAACGAATTGCTTTTTAAAACATAAATTTTATAAATTAAATTAATATTTGCTTTCCAATTTTTGCGAATTAGATTTTTTTTAATTTCGAAAAAAAAAAAATATTTTTTATAAAATTTATATATAATTTTTTTTTTAAAAAAAAAAATTAACCCCCCCTCAGTGAGTGAACAAAATTTTTTTGTTCACTCAAGGAGGGGGGGGAGTTAGGAATAATAAATTCTCTGCCCAAGAAGTCATCAGGAAGATTAAAAAAACTCTTTATGGTGAAAAACTCTCTGCAGACATATTGGAAAAGAAAAAAAGTGAAGAAAACAATTTAAATCGCTGTTTTGAGACTCAAAATAAGCCGAATTCAAACATGAAAAAAGGGATGAGATTTTATAACTGTGCAGATGCTTCAGTAAAGAGGAGGATTCTTCAAATTGATAGAGATAGGTCGCTTTCCCCAATTGATAAGCTGCAAACAATGAGAGGTGAATTTGAGCACAATAAAACGAAAAGCCCAATATCACAGCGAAGGAAAATTTCGCTCATGAAAATAAAGGGAAAAGACTCATATTTAATGTCAATGACTTAAGCATTTTTTTCTATGCGTAGCAATTATTCTACTTGACCTAATATTATAAGCAGCTCATAAATTAAAATACTTATAATTAATTATATAATAATATTTTTAATTCATAATCTTTATACAATATTTTTATAAATTAAATATTTTGTCTGATATACAAACTCTAACCTACTCCTCCCTCCGTAAGACAACAAAACCATTAGAAACATCGCTATCCAAAACCCACCCTCCTTAAGCGAACAAAAAATTTTATAATATAGAAGCTTTGATATATATAGAGGTTGCCGGATGATGGCGCATTGAGTGCCATCATCGGGCGACCTTTATAACTGATAATTAGTATAATGAAAACTCCAGCTAATTCTTTTTTTATTTTAAACAAATTGCATTTTAATTAAATTTAAATTTAACAAATTAAATTAATATTTGCTTTCCAATTTTTGCAAATTGGGATTATTGAAAAAAAAATTTACTGTAAAAATTATATATAAATTTTTAAAAAAAAATTCACCCCTCTCCGTGAATGAACAAAATTTTTTGTTCTCTCACAGAGAGAGAGGAGTTAGCAAATAAATGAAGTTCTTCTAGAAGTAAGTATCTATATTTATGCAATGAATTCGGAAACTTAAAATGAGTTTTATTATCGATTAAATTCCAAGCCGAAATGCCCACAATTCGATTATCATGGTAAAATTCACTCAGCAACGACGTATTTATAGGACTAGCTATCTTTTATGCAGGAGCTGAGCTAGTAATTGCATGAAGTGACTTCCAGTAAGATTAATTTAGATACTGTTCCAAGCCAATTCACATCTGACTTCTCATATCATGCTTGATTCTTGGCTTATTTAGACTTGCTCACGCTTTGGGAGATCCTGATGCTGATGAAATGAATGAGCCATGATGTTTTAAGCTGTTTACTAGCAGAAAAGGCTAGGCTAATTAAAGTTAAGTGTTAGCATATGGTAGCACAGCCATCAAAAACCTCCCATACGGGAGGTTCAACTGCTTTTCGACTGTAAATCAGAGGGTCTATCCACCAAAACGGGCCCACTTTCGGTGCCTTCTGTCTCATCCTTGTCTTTTGGTGGCTAATAGATTTCTGCAGGCGATTGGAGTAGCTTGAAGTTAAGGATCAGCTCCTTGGAGTGGAGTCAGTCAGGTTTCGAAGTGCATTCCTTCGACAGCTATAGAAAAAAGACTGCTCAGCTGTTTACCAGCAATTCTGGCTTTAGATCATGCATTGTTGTAGGAATTCTCTATCCATTTTTCTTATGCTGGATACTTTTAGGAACTTTTTGGTATGCAGAAGTTGAATCAAAAGATGCAGATTTAATAACAACTGAAGATGTAAATCAGCGATGCTTTAAAGATCAGCAGCAAAGCTGGTATTTTGTATTATGACTTATGATTTTTTATGTATGAATAATTGCTTATACGACTTCTATTATGATTTCGGCAATGGTTTATTTCAGAAACAGGGATATTAGAGGGCAATATAAGTCTTCATGCTTATGAACTCCCATGGCTCCGATGTCTGCCGAAGAGATCCGAGGATTGGTTTCACCAAATTGTGTTGACGAAACTATCATTAATTGGCAATTCGTCTAATAAAGCAGATTTGCCAACTTGAGGGTTGGTTTCACCAACATAATTAGTGAAATCAACCTTGGATCTCTTTGGGAGACATCGGGGACTATGGGAGTCCATATGGCGTAAGTACTTATATGTTAGATTGACAGAACAATATGGAGACGACCCAGCCCCAAGGCTAAGTCCTCACATGCAAGGGTTGTCACCAGGGTCGATCTTGAGATTTAATGTTCAAACTATTGAAGCATCTGAAGCAAATATTAATCAATGCACAGTGTGCCTGGAAGATTTTAGAGCTAGAGAAAAGGTAAGGATTATGCCGTGCGGACATAAATTTCACCTTCAATGCATTGATGTGTGGCTTATGAGACAGAGCAATTGTCCAAACTGTAAAAGAGATTTGAGAGCCAATAGAGAAGCAATGCCTTTAATACCAATATAATATTTTATTTATAAATTATATAAACATATGGAATAAAGCTAAATAATGCTTATAGTGAATTAAAATATTAAGGCAACAAGGTATTAAATCCGAACTCCCTCCTTTAAATTTGAACAAAATATCGATAAAATGCCATTTCACTGCAGAAAAATTTTATGTTAGAAATTTTATAGGTTTTAATAGCAATTTCTATATTAATAGCTTTGACCACTTTAATGAAAGAGTGCAAATAGAATGCTATTTAAATAGCTAGTACCCTAAATCAATTATTTTATCAATAAATTCTTCAACAACAAAAAAAATCTCTTTTTTATTGGGCCTTTTTTGGCACCAGTAAGCTGGATAATTCTGCAGTCAGTAACCTATTCTGAAGTCTCCTGATTGGAAATAGGTAATTGGTTGCATGCAACTGGCCAGTTTACTGGTGCCAAAAAAGACCCAATAAGCAATGTATTAAAAATTTTCTATAAATTTTTAATTATAAATTTTTTTTAAAAATAAATTCCTCCTTAAATTAGCATAGATATTTTTGCTCCAACATAAATAAAAATTAAGAAAATAATTAATTTTAATTTATCATAAGTAGATATCTCTTTCAAGCATTCGCATTATCCTAGAAACTGCTGAGAATATAGAGAATACATTTTTTCACAGCACTCTAAATTTAAATTCGTTTGGGTGAGTTCAGTTAACTCTGAACTTCACAAAGGCTCAATATTCAATACTTTTCTACCCGAAGCAATAAAGCTCAATGCCAACTCTTCAGCTGAATATACTAAAAAGCTAGACTCTTGAAGGCATAGATCTGCAAAAAATTGACTATATTTTCTCACATTTCTTACAGCTTTACTTTTATCTTTTGTTTTAATAGTATCTGAATCAAATACGCACCCAACTGATATATAAAACTCTAAAAAATGCAAAGGGGTCGCTCTGTGGGCTCTTCAATCAATGCTGTCTAAAACTTCCAGTTCTATTTGCTTTAGCCGATTATATGGGATTTTTGTAAACCTAGCGATGTCTTTAATTTCTAGGGCATCGTCTATTAATTCTTCACACTTTGAAGCTATTACAAGCGAAATTAGTGCAACCCCTTGGTATTGAACTACAGGGATATCAATTGTTGACAAGCTAGTATCCATTATATATATTGCGCTATGAATAGTTAGCACTTTGACATTTAGGCTTTCTCCTATTTCAAAAATCCATTCAATAAGTACTTTTCGATATAGTAAATAAGGAGAAGACATTGAAAATCTGTTGAATCTTTGCAAATCGCGAAGTTCATTAAGCACATCTTTTGGGGAAAAATGTAACTCTGAAAGAAATTCTTGTTCTCTTATTGTTTTAGATCCTGATGAAGATAAAAAAGCTCCACAAACTGTGCAAAATTTGATCCCTTTGTGATAGTTCTTGCTGTGTGTGCAGATCATTAAGGTTTTTATATTTTAATTAATTTAAATTATCACAAAACGTAAAGAATTTGTGCAAAATTTATTTATTTACAAATTTTTATTTTAAGATGCTTGATTTTATTATATTTATAAAAATATTTCTATGAGAATATCTTACTTCAATAGGTAAATGATAGCGAATATTATCATTAAATGTTTTAGTTCTCTTTATATTAAATTTGTCTTCAATCAAGATAAGAAAACTTAATCTGGCCTTTTCTCATTTATCAAATCATATGATTTCGCTTTTGAAAATGAGTCAACTGCACTCAGGAGTGCTTCTCTTCCTTGTCTAATTAATCCAGCAGGAATTTTATTATCAGGGCAAAGTCCTTTAAGTCTTAAAATAACTTCTTGTTCTTCCCTCACAGTTCTGAAAATTCTTATCATTTTGTTAATTGCTGTGACTTTAGCCCTCATAACTTCTTCTCTATTATCCTTAAAGTCCTCTTTAAATTGCTTAACTCTATCTCCCGCCATTGAAGCTCTCTTTATCAAGGGTTCAGAGCCGCTAGTATTTTTCAGCACATTTTCCATTATTTCCATCACTTTTTCAATGATAAAAGGCAAACTTCACTCAAAACCCAGCATAAAATCAGGTAAAATATATGGATGTGCTGTATAATTAAACTGCTGTATATTTAATTGGTTATTTTCAAATTTCAAAATAGCAGCCTTGTTGTTATATACATCACAATAATTTGGCGCTGAAAATATTGTAATAACTGAAGGAAATTCGTTTGCCCCATGCCATCTATGCATTTTGAATCCTTCTTTCTGAACTTCATGTGCTCTCAGAACAGCTATAAGACGAGATTTTTGCAAAAAAGAATTCAGGGCAGTTATTCCAAAATAATAAGCACAACCTCTTACACCATTTCCTGCATATATCTCTGGACAAACTCCTTGGTCATGGTCAATAGGATCACTTCACAATATATCACAAAATAATCCTGCCTTGGGTGGCTCTGTAAACCTATTGAATTTTGATAAATCTTGGACATTTACCAGATCAGGTGATAATCCTCCATGGACAGCTAAAAATTTATTGTTAACTATGCATGCGATTGGAAGGGCGTCAAAGCTTTCCATGACTGCGTTATAGATCTCTATATCAAACTTGTGAAGGCATTCACTTCTGAAGTTGAAATGGCTTGTAATTTGCCTTGATTCATGATTTCCACGAAGGAGATATATATTTTGCTTGAAATTTAGCTTGAGTGCATATAGTAGTAGCACAACTTCTATTGAGAAATATCCTCGATCGACATAGTCACCTAGAAAAAGATGTTTGAAACGAGAAAAGTCACCTTCTGATTCAAGAAGCTGTAAAAGATCATAAAATTGACCGTGAATGTCACCAATTACATTAATCGGCTCTTTTAGCTCAAGAACATTATTTTCTCTTCTAAATGTGTCAGTCGCTTGCCTTATTAATAAAAGACAGTCTTGCTTAGATAGTCTTCCTTCTGAAGCTAAATGGTTTCTCAATTTAGTTCAGTCAGGAGGATAAGCAATACCTCTTGGATATAACTGAGATCGTTCTAAAGGCCGGTGTGGAGGAGGATCTAAATCCGATACAATTCTGTCATGTAAAGGATTTAAAAGAGGTTCCATTTTAAGAGTTTTTATAAAAAGGTTATGTGCCTTAATTTAAAAATAAAACGTGACTCTATGCTAAACAATTATTATTGCGCTCATTATCTTATTTCAAGTCATAACGATTATATTATATATTCCAGGTTGGCACATCCAGGAGTAAATGACATCATAATGCATTATCTGCAAATCACATTTATTAAATCTTATCATAGCTTTATAGGATTTTTATAAATGGCAATTATACTTATAAGTAAATAATGGTTTCTAAACATACGCACACTTGCGTTTATGCTATAAAAATTCATCCTATTATATACTTTTTTTTATTGAGATAAATGGGTTGTGTAGCGAGTAAAAAGGAAACAAATTCTCAAGCATTGAGGATTTCTACTGTTACTGAGATCAAAGTCCAGCCTTCAAGCTTTATAGTTGAAAATGAGCACAGGTTTCAAGATGTTTATAAACTAGGCAAAAAAATAGGATCTGGAGCATTTGGAGATGTCAAGCTATGCTCCCACTTGATAACAGGTGCAGAACGTGCTGTTAAAATATTTCGAAAAGATCTAGCAGTAGAACCCGATAAACAAAGAATCCTTATAAACGAGCTTGACACTCTTAAAATATTGGATCATCCCAATATAATCAGAATATACGAGTTTTTCGAAGATTCAATGAGATTTTATATCGTAATGGAAAATTGTAAAGGTGGAGAATTATTTGTAGAAATTATTAAGAGACAGAACTTTAATGAGCTTCAAGCTGCACAAATAATGTGCCAGTTATTTTCTGCAGTTTTATATCTTCATGAAAATGGGATAGTTCACAGAGATATAAAGCCAGAAAATATTTTACTTGAGGAAGAGGGTGATATTTCCAACATAAAGCTGATTGATTTTGGATCAAGTACACGATTTATTAAGGGCCAATTAATAAAAGGAACACTGGGGACAACTTATTATATTTCTCCAGAAGTTCTTTCTGGAACATATAATGAGAAATGCGACATGTGGAGCTGTGGGGTGATTCTTTACATTCTATTGTGTGGGCATCCTCCTTTTGATGGAAAAAATGATGAAGAAATCATTGAGTGCGTAAAGAGAGGAAAATTTACTTTTAAAGGGGAAATATGAAGATCAGTTTCTAATGCAGCTAAAAATATGATTTCTGAATTACTGTGCCTAGCTTCGATGAGGTTGTCAGCTTCTCAAGCGCTTTCTCATCCTTGAATGACAAGAAATGCTTCATTATCATCTCCTGATCCTGAATTAATTCAGTCAGCCCTAATGAGTCTTCAGCAGTTTCATGCTTCAAGTAAGTTAAAAGATGCAATAAATGCTTTTATAACAACTCAGTGCATTTCTCTGAAAGACACAAAAATGTTACGTAACATTTTTCAAGCCATCGATACAAATCATGATGGAAAGTTGAGCAGAGAAGAGCTAATGGCTCAATTCATGAAAATTATGGGCGATGAAGCAGCTGATGAAGAGGTCAAAAGAATTATGGCAGAGGTCGATACTGATCATAATGGATTTATAGATTATTCTGAATTTTTAAAAGCAGCAATGGATAGGAAAATTTTGGAATCATCAGAAAATATGAAGCTCGCATTCGATGCATTTGATAAAGATGGAAATCAATCCATTTCTGCACTAGAAGTAAAGAGAATGCTGGAAGGAAAAGCTTCTTCAGAAGATAAAGTTTGGGCTACTATTATTGGAGAAGTTGACGAAAATAATGATGGAGAAATTGATTTTAATGAGTTCCAAAAAATTGTACTTAGCCATGTGTAAACTCTCAGTATAATATAAATATAGTCCGATTATTCTAACTGTATTAAGAATTATCCAATCCTTTGAAACACTCTTATTTCACATTTCCAATTAATGGCATTAATATAGGCATTTAGTGTGGCCATATCCAGATGGTGTCTGCTGCTGCCAACCGAAAAGGTCAAAATGATGATGATTTTATCAAAAGTTTGATATATTAGAAAAATAATGAGAGAACGGGGAAGTTTTAGATTATTCATTGAAAATTTTAAAATCGGTAAAATGGCTCTTCATTCAAAAATAATTTTGCTTTCTTAGTCCATCAAACTCTAAAAATGTTTCTATGATAGTCTTATATGTGTGTCTTTATCATTTTCGAATATACCTCCACTATTAGCTCCAGAGTATATGCACTCGCTTCAAAATATTTATTAGATTTAATTAGAGAAAAACATGTTGCTCAAAACCCCATCTCCGCATAGTCAACAGCTCTCATTAATACCAATAATCAACAGAATTCGTGTTAGAGCTTCAGGCAAAAAATCTCGCAGTCCTTCCCATTCAATTCGGTCTAGAAAAAATTCAAGTCCAAAAATAAACAAATCATTCGCAGCTTATGAAGATGTTTCTCCTCTTGCAAGAATTAGAAATAATTCTCTCCGGAGACAAAGCAATAGCTCTGTATGTGAAATGAAATCTTTTAGATCTAGAAAACAAAAATTTAAATCAGAAGTCGTTGAGGATTTATTCAACACTTTCGACTCACATATTGAAACTGCAAAAGACGCTATAAGGGATAAGCAGTTCTTAAAGGCAAAAGGATTTTTAAAAGAAATCCTCATGATTGACCATGAAAACGTAGCTGCACTTTATAATAAAGCTATTTGCCATGCAAATTTACATGAATATGAATCTGCAATTTCAGATTTCCATGCAGTATTCAAGCTGAACCCAAAATATTCCAAAAATGCGTATTTGGAAATGAGCAAGTGCTATGCAGCACTTAATGATATAAATTCTGCCTTGAAGTGAATTTCGAATGGACTTTCGAAATTTCCTAAATTCTCTGAAGGGTATATAGACAGAGGCTATCTTTTTTTGAAGCAAGGGAGATATGAAAAAGCTTTGAAAGATTTTGCCCAGGCTTTGAAGCAAAATTTTGATAAAGCTCATACATTTCTTGCAATGGCAGATTGCTTTTCTGGAATCGGCGACAATGAATCTGCAATAAAGATTTTAACAAAAGCTCTAGCCCTTGAAGATTGCCCTCCAGAAGTAGCTTTAAAAAGAGCCAAAATTTATAATTCAATCGGCAATTTTACTGAAGCTATTGAAGATCTAGATCTATATCTTTCGTTAAAGCCTGACAGCTCAGAAGCAAACTTTGAAAAAGGTCTAATGATGCTGAAGATTAATAAAATATCTGACGCAACCTTATGTTTTGAACAATGCATAAAATTTGACAAAGAGAGATCATATTTAAGCCAGGCAATATTCCACCTTGGCACTATAAAAATCAAGGAAAAAGATTTTTACGGAGCTTTGTACACATTTAAAAGAATAAATTCAGAAGATGAAGATCAGAGCCAAAAAAGTTTAAGAATTTATGCAGAATCAGTAATAGAACTTATAAAGCGAAATTTTGAAGTAGGAATAAAATCATTTTCAAAGCTGATTAAGAGAAATGATAGTGTCATAAATGAGTATTTGAGCAGCTGCTATAATTGTCGAGCATATGGGTACATTATGCAGAGAGATTATGATAAAGCTTTAAAAGACTTCAGGAAATCCTGTCTAATTGCAAAGCTTGACAGGCCTTCAAAGTTCAATCAATGCCTCTGCTTAGGAATGAAATTAATTATTGAAGATGATGTCAAGCAGGCTGCCCAACAGTTTAAAAAGGCTCACAAGTTATTTCCTAGAAATCCAGACCCTTATATTTTAAATGCGTCTTTATTGCTTTGCCATGTAAAAAGTGAGAACACTGATCATATGAAAACTTTGAAAATGGTTAATGATCTTGTAGAAAAAGCACTAAAAGGCCGTGAACATGATTATGAGATATTATATTATCGAGCAATAATAAAATATTTAAACAAAGACTGGTCTGTAGGGCTTGATAGCGTTAATAATGCCATTTCAGAGTCAGAAAATAATGATGCTGAGCACTACCTTTTAAGAGGGCTAATCTATGCAAGCTTAGGTCTCTATAAAGAAGCTATTGATGACTTTTCTGTTTGTTGTCAAATAGATGAATCTTTTAAAGATGCATATTATTACAGGGCCAGATGCCTATTTCTCAGTGGAGATTCTAATAAGGCTTTTGAAGATTTTCAAAAGTATATTAATGAAAATAACGATGACCCTCAAACTCATATACAAGCAGGAAACATTTTTATGATTATTGGCTCAGTTCAAGATGCAATAAATGCTTTTAATTTTGCGAATAGTCTTAGCTTTAGCTATGAAACAAGCTACCAGATTGGGATGTGCCAAATAATCCTCAACAATTTAGATGAAGCTTACAATGAGTTACTTAAAGTGTCAAATCTCAAGCCAAGCAAATCCTTGCAGCAAGATATTGCTATATTAAAATACCTAAAAGAGCTTCTTGAAAAACCATTTGATAAAGCAAATTTCCAAAGAGCCAGCAATTATATGTCTGAATTACTAGAAGACAATACCAGAGAAATATTTGATAATAAAAGTTTAAGACTTTTTAAAGGCGTTTTTCTTATGTACTCTGAGCTATATGATCAAGCCATCTATGAGTTCCAAACAATTTTAGATGCAATCCAAGTTGACAACATCGAAAATCTCCCTCCTGAAGACGCGATCTCCATTGAAGAAGAAAATTGTGAAGTCCTCTATAATATCGCAGTCTGTAATATTAGTGTAAAGCAAATTTAGTTAAACCCAAATCACGCTTTGCTGATTTTTCAAGATTTATCAGAAATCCTTAACAATCAGCATCGAGGAAGCATGCTATTTTTAGCAGGCGTCGTAGAGAAGTCTTTGAATAATACAGAGTCCAGTGAGAAATATTTCAATGAGTCTTTATTATGCGACCCTTCTTTGTATAGTAATTTCAGTAGCAATGAATCGTCTATTGTTCTTCCTTTGAATACCAGTAATCCATTTGCTCTATTATTTCCTTTAATTGATTTACCGTTTAAAAACTTGCCGAAAATCCAGATAAGGCCTTCAATATCATTGCCGAGAATTAAAGTGCCGGTAATGAAATTTGAAGTGGAAGAAAAGGCAAAGCAACTCCTGAGTGTTGAAAAACTCAAACTGAAATTAGAAGCGCCTTGACTCTAACTAACTAATTAATTATAACGTTTAACGTCCACTACGGGGTAGACTATCCCAGGCCCGCCACTTGCCTTTCGCCGCATCGGGCCCACGAGTTGCTGGGCCAACCCGTCTCGATCACCAAGGTGCGCCTAGGGCAAATGTCACCGGCTTCGACGGCTCATGAGTGAGCTACTGCTTCTGGACATGGGTTGCCTTTCCGAAAATCAAAAAAAAATGGATTTTCTGGTCGGCTCTCGGCAAAAAGGAAAAACATGCAGCCTGGGACGTAACGCCCAGTTTCACGCTAGGGAGTTGCCCGATTGGTCTTTTAGGACTCTGCTGGGCTTCCCCTTTCCAACTGACATGCCTTCCTTCCCCACGAGGAAAAAAACCAACCCTGAGAATAGACTTGGGCTAGGCTCTGAACACAACCAGAATTGCTTACCTAGCATTGCTGTCCCTCTCCGAGCTGGCAAAACCTTGCCGGATATAATTAAATATGAGTCGAGGCTGCATGGCCGGGAGGCCATGCCCAGACGAAGACGCCATATTTAATTATTCGAAGCGCCTTGACTCAATAGGGTTCATGGGTCAATACAGTTTACAGACGAAGTTATTACTTTGGAAAACGAACCTAGTGATGGGTCTGAAGAAGAAACGGCAGCGAATGTTACAAATGTGACAGACTTTGAAGCTACTGAACTCAATCCACGAAAAATTAAATCAATGACTCCACTTAAAAGTTCTTTGACTCCTACATAAAAGCATAAGTGAAATATTTACACATAATAAATATAAAATGTTTATAATATGAGGTTTAATTCTTATGGGGATAAAGATTAACAAAAATGGCTATGAATTTTAGATTATGCCGATTATAATTTAAAATCTTTAATTTATAATTTTAAGTTTAAGTTTAATAGATCTTTCTTCAAGTCCTGTTCCCTGACTGTCTCAGCTCAGACCAACAGCTCTAATTAATGGTAGATGAGACAAATCTAACCGCCGACCTGTTTCTGTCCCCAAATCTTTTAGGACCTCTCTTTCTACACCAGCCTCAGTGTAGAATGCTTCTCTTTAAGCCGAGACTTTCAAAGAAGTTGAGAGCTTCTCTCACTGATCTCGGTGTAGGATAGCGATCCTACCACTAACTGCCATTTAAATTGTGACTTTCGTAATTAATAATTGATCTAATCTTTCTTATCCATGATATTTTTATTCACAAAGATCAATTTTTTATAAGCTGTAAAAATTTCCTATTTACGATTAAGACCATATATCCTGCAAAAGAAAAAAGAAGAAACCGAGAGAGCAAATAAGAAGAAAAAGCCGAAAAAAACAGAACACTGAGCCTGCAAAAGACTGTGAGAACGAAGAAGCCAAGTTCTTCAGTTTTCAAGAATCAGAGTCGTTCACATAATATTAAGTTTAATTTATTATCTTAAACAGACCATAAGCTAAGTTCTGTTCCTGAACAGCTAACCAAAGATTTTGCTGTAAACACCAAAGCGCCAACAGAATCTGAAATTCCTTTATACTCTTGTATTTTTCCATCTTCATACACAATTATCCTCTTATCACACAGCCCGATTGCAATTTTCGTTCCATTTACAGCCAAAGTCAGTGGGAATCCTGACAAGTTCACTCTCCTAACTATTTGATGTGTAGCATAATTTCTAAAAAGCAAATACTGCAACCCCCTCACAGTAATTAGCAAAATTTTATCATTTAGCAAGTCAAATCTTGCTTTACATTCCAAAGATTCAGGCTGCGGGTAGTAATTTTTCGATTTCTCATTCGGCTCTAGAACATTATATATGTCAATTAAATTAAATTCGCTTTGTTCACTTTCAAATAATTTTTTATCAAGCAGGCTTTGAGCTGTGAATTTCTTTTCCCAGACACTAACTTTTCCTTCAACTGTTGAGGCTAATAAAGATCTCTCTTTTATATCAATATTAATAATTCGGCCTCCTGCCTTGCCGAAGTCAATCAGTCTTATGTTTAATGGGTTCCATCTTTCTATAAACACAGCAGTGATCATTCCTGCTTCTGTTCCGACAAGAATATTGTCGCCATCCTTACTAAACACCAGTGAGGTTATCAGTCCAAGACAAGCTTTTGTAGTTCCTATACATTTAGTTGAAGATATATCGAAAATCCTGATACTACCATCATTAAACCCTCCACATAGATAAGGAAGTGATGGGTGGAAAGCTAATGATAGACAGTAGTAGCTTGCAGATAGGAATTGGATGTCTTGCTCAAAGGTTTCTTCGTTTCAAATCCTAATGGTTTGGTCTTTGCTTGCTGAAGCTATAAAACCTCGACAAGCAATTGAGGTAATTTCTTGTGAATGGCTACTGATGATGCGTAGTGTGGCATGCTCGTTTCAATCAATGTACCAAATATTGCAATGGCGAGTTCCCACAGGGTGAGTTTAATAAAGTACACTGCACTTTTTAAACCCCTCCTAAAACTATAAAATGGCTGTAATTTTCAAATATGCTTTTTTTTACCCCTTACATTTATTTAGACAATATTGGGTGCTATTTGTAAGTATACTGTAAGTAATGCTTATTATACAATCCCATCTTGAGCTTTCTCTGCTTAAATTCTTATTCTTGAAAGGATATAGATTTTTAAACACCTTAACTTGCTTTACCCTCTTGTTTGGAAAAATCAAAAACACACGTTTGCACTTTTTCATGTCAAAAGATCATTTTTGAAAATTAAATCATTTTTATAGGGCTTGAGAGGAGTTTAAAATACAGTGCACTTTATTTAGCCTCACACGTTCCCACAAGGCCTTCATTGCCAGATGTGTCAAAAGCAAAAGATTCTGGGTAGCTTTCTAGCAAAATTCTATCCGGTTGGCCAGAAAACATACCATCTGCCCACTTTCAGCTATAGATTTCAGGATGCTCACCACCAACTATAACTCTATCTTCTTTTGAAGAAATAAAAGTGATCTTAAAATCAACTATTCTCTTGCTTGATGCCAGCGTATTAGTTCGTGCATTGAATATTAAGACCATCCCTGACTCAGTTCCTACAAATAAAAGATGGGATGAGATCTTTTCGAAAAATTTAGAAAATTCAACACAGGTCAGAGTTTCATTAGTTCCAATTCCTTCAGCCTGCTGGAATTCTAGCTGGTTATATTGATTTAGTCTCCAAAATATCATATCATGGCTCGATAGTGTCACGAACTCTAATGTTGAGAGCTGTGGGACCCAAATAATCTGATTCGCATAATTTTCTAATATAGAAGTAGCAAGTATTTTTCCTGATTTTATATCTCATACCGCAATTAAGCATTCATCAATATTTCCTATTGAAATTAAATAGTTATTGCATGGAGAAAAAGCCAAACATTTTATAGACCGGTCATGATACTCAAGTGAGCTAACTATTTCTCCTTCATCTGAGTCCCAAATTAAAATCCTAGCTGAGCCTTCTATATTTAAGCTACTTTCAGCTGAAGCAATAAACTGATAATTCGGACTCACAGCAATCACTTCAACATCATTTATATGCTCATGAAGCAATTTTTGCTTTTTGCTTCCATGAAGAAGCATTTTAATGATATTTGAGCAGTGGCTGTATAAAAACCATCCTTTTTCTGGCGCCCAATGAAGATTAAACCTATGAGGAGTGTACCCAAATATATACTCTAATGATGGTTTTTTATAAGGCTGGCTTTGAGTTTGCACTAATTCTACTTGTTTAAGGTACTCTTCTGTTTCTTTTTCTAAATTCATTATTTTTTCTTCAACTTCTTCATTTATTTCTAAAATCGGCTCCACTTCTTCTATATACTCATTCTGTTCCACAGCTGGTGGGGAAAACACCGATTTACTGCCTAAGAATTCTCATATAAAAATCCCATCTTTAGCTGAAAATGATAATAAATGATCGCAGTTTTGGCCCCAGAACACTTCAGTAATTTCATCAGTATGGCCTAAAAATGCTTGTGGGGATTTTTCTAAAAAGAAATCTCATATTCTGATTATTTTATCGTGGCCTAAGGATGCAATATATCTGTTATTTCTGGATATTTTGAATTTTTTTATTCCGAGAGGGACTGAAATTTCTTTTTCAAGAGAAACTTTTTCTTCAGAAACAACGTAATATAGGAGCTTATCTGTCTCTGTATGTGTTAAAGCTACGAGATGGCGACAATCTTCTGAAAATTCTAGCTGATTAATAGATGTAAGCAAATTTATTTTGAACCTCTGTGTCAAAGTTTTAGTATCCCAAATGCAAATTGAGCTTCCATAGCACCCCACAATTGCAAAAAAGCGAGAATCACCGCTAAAAATTCCTGTGATAGCCCCTGGGTAATCATTTGCAATATCTTTGACAGGTTGGAACTCTCTATTTCCGTCATATATACTAGTGGATCCATCTCCTCCTAAAGAAATCAACCAAAATCCATCTTTACTAAAAATGCAGGTTTCAACCCCACCGTTATGCTGATGATGCTCATCTTTTACCTTGGAGTTATCCAGATCAAATATCCTTACTGCTCCTGAAGAAAATCCACAAGCTAAAATATTAATTGATGGACTAAAAGCAGAGCAAAGCGGATCATCTAAGGGAGAACTAAACTCATAAAGGAGCTCAGTTGATAGCGGATTTCAGATTTTAATGGTTCTGTCGTCTGAAATAGTAGAAACTTGTAGTTTTGAAGGATGGATTGAAATAGATAAAATCGAGTTTAAGTGGCTTCTGAATAATGTTTTATAGTCATTTGTATCTAAATTAAGCGTTCCTAAGGTCCGGTTTTCTGTTGCACAAGCGACCTGAGTTCCTAGCACATCTAAAGATAATACCGGAGAGTTATGTTGAACTTCTAAATAAGATTCAGTAAAAGATTTAGGCCAAACCTTTAGAGTTTTGTCAGCGCTTGAAGTAATTATGATGTCTCCTTTGGTTTTAATGCAATAAATTGCTCCCTGATGCAAATTATATGAAGCTTCAAGCTCTTTCGCAATTAAACTTATTTGTATAAGAACCCCAGATGATCCTCCAACAATTAATTTATGAAAACTTCCTGTTTGCACACATTCTAAAGCCATTCATTCTTCTTTTGAGTGTGGACCAATTGATACAGTTGTTCCTGGCATGCAACCATTTTTGATTCTTCAAAACCTGATATTTCCTTTACCACAACTAATAACCCTATTGTCATCTTTAGGATAAAAAATAGCTGCATTTATAGGAAAATCGCTTAATTGCTGTCCAATTATTGCAGCTTCTTTGGACTTGCTAATTGAAGAAATGTCATAGAACAATAAGACGTCACGGTTAAGATCATCTAATCCTGATAATAACAGTTTCTGTCCTGTAGGATTAAAAATCAAGCTTTTTATTCGAGTCATTCTCTTGACTTCTATTTTTTTGGGCGGTTTTCTGGTTCTTAAAGACCATATGAAAATTGTGCAAGGTTCATTCTGGGTTGATACAAGGAGCTTTTGGTCTTCAGAAAGCACTAACAATTCAGCTGTGTTTGTGTGACCAAAGAAAAAAAATTGGTTTGAGTTTGAAGGATTTAAAGCGACAATAACACAGCCTGATGTAAATAAAAGAATTTTTGAAGTATTTTCTTTTAAATAAGGCGGGTAACTTGCGAAAGAATCAGAATGGGCTCAAACTAAGCATTGCCGGGAAGTGTTAATATGCAGAAGCTTAGACAAGTGCAAAATAGGATCTGGAAAATATAATTCTTGATCTTCTGTTGCTTCTGAATTATTTCTTAAATTATCGTAATTTTGAATTACCTTGACTTCTTCAATTTTGTTAACTTTTATCTCAATTTGCTTTTTTTCAGTTTTTTTCATTTCTTCTTTTGCTAATTTTTTCTCATTCTCTTTGTTTTGTTTCTTTTTGACTTCTTCAATCATTGTTTTGGCTCTTTTTTCTAAGGTTTTATTGACCATCATTAAAATTTTTATTATAATTCATAAAACCTTATGCAATTATATATTTTAGAATCTAGCTTCCTTTGGCTAGAAATCAAAATACATAAGCATAATATTTTTAAGTTAAAATAATAATTCTCCTTTATTTTAGCACTAAATTATAATAAATGTCTTTAATAAGACTTGCAGCTTTAGTTATGTTATTGGCAACAATAACCTCAAAGCCAGTCACTCAATTAAAACTAAGCAAATATTTGAAAGGAGTTGACATGTGCTCTACGTGCGTGACGTTCGGCAATGAAAATTTAAGCCAGTTGTACCAAAACGTAACAGGGCCAACAATTCCTTCAAATTGCACTGTTTTATGCAAAGACCTTGCAGATTCCTTAACTTACCAAATCTGCATCTATTTATGCTCTGGGGCAGGGTTTAACCCATTTATTTCAGATGTCCAGAAGGCCAATCCAGATCCCATTTACTTTTGTGAATTATTAAATTCATGCCCAACAATAGTAGGAGGAGCTGCAAGCATCTCGAATACTTATGTAGTTCCTACTTCAGGGTCTGTTGGAACCACTTTTAAGGTTGAAATGACTTTTGCTGTTACCAATACAACAGGGACTGGGCAAGTAAAATTGACGGTCAATCCTCCAGATACAACGCTAAAGCCATTTTCATCTTCCTATTTAAATGAAGGATTTGAAATTGGCAGCTATTCTGCGAAGTTTGAAATCAAGACTAACAGTTCTTATCCAGTTGGAAACTATACTGGGACTCTGCAGGTCTGTTCTGGGACTTGTGGGATGACCAACCCAAATGAAGCGACTCTCTCGAGTGCTAATGTTAAGTTTACAATAAAATAACACGTTAAAAATCAAAAGTTAAAGTGTATTAAATATGTGAAAATGGAAAAATAGGGAATTTTAAAAATTAATTTGGTTTTAAATGTTCAAGGATATAATGTTATCCTTAAGGTAAATATAGAAGTTTCCTATGTTTGGCGCTGTAAGGCCGATAAATTCTGATCGGAATTTATCGGTAGGTTGCACCAATCAATGCCTTGGTCGGACCAAAAAGCGATTTGGTCCGACGAACTTGGAAAGCTCCTGGGAGAATGTCTGCGCTTTTAGCGCTATATAGAGGAAACCTCTATATATAAAATCAATCAAATTTTAAGTATCCATAAGCATTTCAATAAAGTTATGATTTCAACAAAGATAATTGATTCTGTAAAAAAATTAAAGCTAAAATATTCTAAAAGTAATAATTCTAATTCGATTAATTTTCTATTCCCATACATAAGTGCTCTATTTTGCATTTTCCTTCTTGGCAAATAATTTTCCATTGTAAAATTTTATTATCCATATCTAAATAGATATGAAAAATCAGCCAATCAAAATCCATTTTTAGGATTATTTTTGTATATAAATTCTTGAAAAATGCAACTTGCAATATCATAAAATGGTTAAAGATATGCTCTTTAAGTTGAATTTTAAAACCAAAGTACCAAAATCCTGTCAGCGTTATCCTCTATTTCTCTATAAAAGTGTATTATTATTGCTATCTAAAAGCATTTATTAATTCAAAAAAATATAGTAAATCTCCCTCAGAAATAAAGAAAAAACTATAGCTTTTCTTGACAAAGCAGCTTATCTTTAAAAATTCCCAGGTGGAGGTGTAAGAAAGGAGAATCAGCCGTCAAAAGCGTAGACAAGAAGAAAGGAAAGAAGAGATCAGAGACTTTCGCACTCTATATCTACAGAGTCTTAAAACAAGTCCACCCAGATATTGGAATCTCCAAGAGATCAATGAGCATCATGAACTCATTCATCAACGATATTTTCGAAAGAGTCTGCTTTGAAGCAAGCAAACTCGTGAGATACGAAAAGAAGAGAACCCTCAGCAGCAGAGAAGTTCAAACCTCCGTCAGACTTATCCTCCCTGGAGAACTTGCCAAACACGCTGTAAGTGAAGGAACTAAAGCAGTCACCAAATTTACATCATAATTTAATTGAGTTTTACTTTTCAAATTACTTCTTAAACTCCTTATTTTCTTCTTGTAATATCAACTCCAAAGTAGCGTTCAATTTGAAACTCAGGGAAGCTTTAAACTCGTAGCTCCTTTTGAAGCTTTTGGCTTTGCGAATATAAGCAGAAGAGGTAGTCCAGTCTCGGCTTTTCACATAGACGATGCCGAGTTCGTAATAGATGTGGGGAACTACTCATATTTCTTTTTTTACGTCTTGTTCGAGCTTGATGCCTGCTTCAAGAATTAAAACGGCTTCTCTTAGTCTTCCTAGGTGTCTAAGGATTGCGCCTTGAAGAAGCATGCTTATGACGATTTCATCCTTTTCTTCAGAATCTTCAATGTCAATTGAGGTGAGATAATCATAAGAAGACTCCAGTCAATCATACTTCAGACCTTGCAAATAGTCGGTGACATAAGAAATTTCAAAAGGAAACAGCTGAAACCACCTTCTCCCTAAGTAGCTTGATGCTCTTTTATGAATTCATTTTTCTTCAACTGAGCTCGACTCTTTATTATATGAAGCTATACTTTCTAAAGTGTCTTCAGCAAGCTGTAGCTCATTTAGCATGCAGTAAGAAACCCCTAATAGCAAATGTGTGAAAGGGGTGTCGCTTGCTTTTTCAATTGATATTTCGAAGCATTGCCTTGCTGACTCCCAGTCTTGGCACAGGAATAGAACCCAGCCTCTTTCAAAGGACAATCTCCCTGGATTTTCATCAATTCCTGTTCTTCCTGAATACGCTATCACCCTATTTAATAATTTTAATGCTCTCTCCAAATTTCCCTGGCGTTGATTCATATAGCTCTCTAGTCAATAAAAATAAGGGCTTTGAGGGAGATAATGCAAGGCAAATCTTATTAGGTCATGAGCTTCGCGATAGCGCTCATGCTTGCCAGGTATGAATTCTGGGATGTAAATTAAAAGCCAAAACAGCACGAACATCAAAGCTAAAGGCACCCGAACTCCTTTTTTAGAGTTGATGCAGTCATACAAAATTTTTAATCCTCTGCTTTGGTCTCCATCTAATCCAATTATGATATTGGCGAGCTTTGACATGGTTTTAGGGGCCATTGAAAGTCCTAAACAGATAACCCCTTCTCCAAACTGGATAAAATTATTGATATCTCCTTCAATTTGAGTCTGCAATCCTTTGATTTCTTCAGGTGAAAAATACTGCTTTTCTACCCATTTTTGTGCTTCTGCAATTTTATTGGCTTTTTGGTAAATTTTTCAAGCCCTTCTGAAATTCATAGAACCCAAACTTAGTTTATTTTTAAGTATTTGGTTGCCTGATTTAAATAAAGTCGCTTCAGCTTTGACGACCAAAGCAAGTCTAAGATTTTGAGCGGCTTTAATAATTTTCATTGCTTCGTTAGGACTTAGCATTGTTCCTTTTGTTTCTAAAACCTTGTTGCCTTCTGTTTCTCATTTTTTCACAAATTTTTCAGCAATCATTTCAGCGTTATCTAGTCTTTCAATAACTGCTTCTTTTGACTGATTATCTCCTAAAATAACTGCTTTCAAAAATCCAGCTTCAGCATAATGAATTGCACATCTTGGGTCTTGTTCTAAATTCCTTTGAAACCAATCTTCAGCTACAGGCAAGTTTGAAGTCCACATGAATTTCACAGCTTCATGGACCGTCAATTCTGAATTTTCGACAAACCTTTCAGTAGATTTCGGAGAAATATCGTTTAATCTGCTTGTAGACTTCTGGCCATCAGCTGTTTGTAGTGGAGCTTTATCAAGATGATCATCCATCAAATAATGCTGCCACATAGTACTCAGTATCTTTTTCGGCCGATTTCCTCCTTCTTTTCCTATTTCTATTAAATTCTTATTTAACTTGCAGCGGACACAGGCACTTGCATCATGGTCTGGATCGTCATCTATCCCAGTCACTATGAAACTTACCCTTTCAATACCTCTACGAACTACATCTAGGCTTAGAGTACTCGCATATAAAAACTCTTTTTGGGATGGACCTGATGTAAATGCAAAATGGCAAGCAGTGCTGTTTTTGTTGTGGTAATAAGCGGAAAATCCAGAAAGAACACTTCATAGTTCCTCTGTGCTAATTAGAAATCTTACCAGTTGATATATGGAGATCTACTGAGAGGTTATAGCTTTGTGGGAAATGGCCTTGTTCATAATATTTATGCCTTCGAACATCTATAACGAAAAATCCTGGCTTAGGCTTCCTTACCTCTTTTGCGGAAATTGGCAAAATTTGGGTATTCTCTAGAGAATACGCATCTAAAGAGCTTGGCAGTTCTTTTTGGATAGTAAGTTTCTTAATAAGCCTATTAAAAAACTTTGGGGTTGAGGATTGCAGCGCTTGAGCATCATCAATAATCGCCGTTAATTCATCATTATCTGCTATATGAATTTCTAAGTTGATCTTCTTTTTATGTTTTTTCGTTAATAAATCTCTATTTTTCATCAGTAAAGCAATAGCAAAATAATACGGAAACATTGGGTTATTCTCATTCAAACACCATTCCCAGAACTCAAGCAGCTGAGTAATATCTAACTCCCCCCTCCCGCCGTGAGTGAACAAAAAAATTTTGTTCACTCACAGGAGGGGGTTAATTTTTTTTTTTAAAAAATTTATAGGAAAAAAATTTTTTTAAAAAAATCCTAATTTGCAAAAATTGGGGAAGCAAATATTAATTTAATTTATAAAATTTATGTCTTAAAACGCAATTTGTTTAAAATTAAACAGAATTAGCTCGAGATTTCATTATATACTAATTATCACTTATATATAAATTTTTGTTTTCATAAAAATTTTTTCACTTAAAAACATTTTTGTTCACTCACAGAGGGTGGGTTTTTTGGGCAAAAAATAGCGATTTTTCTAATGATTTTTGTTCACTCACGGAGGGGGGGAGTAAGCATGCTGACATACACGTATAAAACCATTTCTCGATAATTGACGAATTATTAGGCAAGGTGGACTGTAAGGTGTTAGAAAGCAAAGGGTCATGATAAAGTAATAATCGTTGAAAAATTTTATATGAGTAACTAATAGATGAATCTTTGGTAAATAGTCTTGGCATCATTTTGTCAATGAAAGCTGAAAATGCACCGTATACAGTTTTTAACGTCGTGAATCGGAGCACAAAAAAGGGTGCAAGGATCTCGTGGAGGCCAGAAATGTAAGGAATTGAGCCACTTTTGCAGTAGAAAGTTAAGAGCAGCTCAAGAGCGTTTTTTAAATCTTGCTCTTGGAAAAGAGATAGTTTCTTGTGGAGAGATTGGCAGTCTTGGTGGATTTGAGCTTGGTCTGGATGGTCCAATCTAAAATATTCAGGGTGATTTTCAAGTAGCGCTTGCTTATCTTTAGCCTCATCAGCCAAACGTTTGAGATTTCTTGCTATCTTCTCTGTGCGTGGCATTTAAGTATTAAAATTAATAGTAAATAACATTGTTCTAGTGGTAATTGGAATTTTTTTCCAACTGCTTTTTATTCTTCGTAGAATTTAGTTAATCTTTTGATAATAATTAATAATAAATATCGCTTTTCTCACATTTTAAACTTTAAAAAGCCAGTATAATTAAAGAATTTAGAATAAATGCAAATTCATTTAAATTTAACTTTATGAAGCCTAAAGCGCCTGTACCTAAAATGCCTGACCAAAAATCTGCCCCTAAAATACCCGAACAAAAATCTGCAGCACCAAGTAAATCTTTAAAGCTGAAGAAAAATGATGTCTCCTCAAATAAACTTCATCCAAGCTTATCTTCCAATGAAGAAATACCAAAAAAAGAATCCCAGCCTTTACTCAAAGAAATTCAAAACCTTAAAATAGAGAACGGGAGACTTTCAGAATTATTAGCAAAAACCCAAGAAGAATTAAAAGACAAAGATGAATTTATGAACGTCATTAACTCTGTACCCGAAGTTAGACACGATGAAAGACGATATTTGCTTTACAGAGCAAAAATAAAAAAGCAAGAAAGAATGGTAAAAATTATTTAGATAAATCATTTACAGAACGCTCTTGAAGCGCACAAACGAGTTTATTTTGAGACTGATAATTGAATAGCCAGTGTGAGTCAATTGTCTGAGAATTCAGAAAATGCAGTTGCATCAATGTCAGCTATTAATGGAATAATGAAAATTGCTAGAGCTAAGCTAAAAGAGGCTGAGCATTATAGTAAAATTGCTTATACACAGCTTATTAATAATTTAAGGTCAGAAGAAGTTTCTCAATATGAAATACAAGGAGCTCTTGATTGAAGACCGAAAATAAAGCTAAATGGGAACGATATTTTGGACGCAGAGATGAAGATCGGAGAACTTTTAAATGCAATACTATCTTCAGACAATTCAGTGCTTGAAACCCTTGCGAGAGAATCATGCACAAAATTAATAAAATTAGGAACGAAACTCCCCAGTATAGAGAAAACTGAAGAAGATTATCTGTCAAAAGATTCACAAGAAATGATTTTGATGCAAGTAAAAGCTGCAGGTAAAAATTATAGGAGTTTTTTCTATATGGCCCGATAAGGGTCGTGGGTTCTCCGGGGAATCCCTCTGCTGGCTGAACCAGCCAGTGAATTGGTCAAATCAACGCACTGAGTTGGTTTGACCAACAGAGGGATTCCACGGAGAACCCACGGCCCTTATCGGGCCATATAGAAAAAACTCCTATATATGAAAGCGGTGATTTCAAAGATGCAGGAGGAGAGAAGCAGCCTGAAAATGGAAAAAGAGATGATTTTGAAAGAAATAGAGAATAAAAACGAAATAATTGAAAAAATGGCAAATGATCTGGAGTTTGTGAAAAACGAGTATGAAAAGAAAAGTAGGGCATTTTATGGCAATTTAGAATGCAATCTTGTTGAGCCTTGAAATGATATATGGAGTGTATATGAAAATATTGAAAATGCAAGCTCATCAATTCAGCTATGCTCAGTTTTTAAGATGCTTGGTCCAAAAATTAATGATTTTATTATAAAAATAAGCCAATAATTACTTTCAATTATTTTAAAAATATACCTTCTACAATTTTTTATCTAATCTAATTAGCAATACCATTAATAATTTTAAGATGAGGTTGCTTATATTTTCATGCCTATTACTGATTGTGTTCAGTAGGGTTCACGAGGATGCGGAGATCACCCATAAGGTTTACTTTGATATAGTTGACTGGCTTATCTAAGACCATTTATATCTTTTGCATAAAAAATGCTAATCTTTTCCAAATCTCCCCTCACCTAAAGTAAATATAGGCTCGTAATAATTACTAAAATATCCAGATGACTATATTACCATCGACGATGAAGATGCAGGCAGAATTGTAATGGGCTTATATGGTAAAGTTGTGCCAAAAACAGTAGAAAATTTCAGAGCATTATGCACAGGTGAAAACGGAAAAAATTCAAATGGTGTTGTTCTCAGCTATAAAGGAAGCACTTTTCATAGGATCATACCTCAATTTATGATCCAAGGAGGAGATTTTACGAATTTTGATGGGACAGGAGGGGAATCAATTTATGGAATAAGGTTTGCAGATGAAAACTTCGCATTAAAGCATACTGGTCCTGGATTATTATCTATGGCCAACGCTGGTCCAAATACTAATGGCTCTCAATTTTTTATAACTACTGTCGAAACATCTTGGCTTGATGGAAGACATGTGGTATTTGGGGAAGTCCTTGAAGGATATGACGTGGTTCAAAGAATTGAAAGCTTTGGAAACAGATCAGGAAGACCTTCAAAAGTCATAAAAATTAAGGAATCAGGGCAGCTTTAATAGTAATTTATTATTGCTCTTAATCAATAATTTTAGAAAATATTGTTTTGAAAGCTAATAATAAATGTCCAAAATCCTTATAAAATTTATACAGGATAAACAGAAATGGGAAGCAATGGGGAAAATTGGACAAAGCTTAATGAGCCTTGCTAATCAAGATGGTGAGATATTTGGATATTGTGGAGGCCAACTTGCCTGCACAACATGCAGAGTTTATATAGCTAAAAAATACCAACCTTTACTCCCTAAGCCAACAGAAATAGAAGAAGATGTGCTTTGTGAGCTTCCAAATAACATAAATTATCCTGAAAAAGATTATGTAAAACGAATGTCATGCCAATTGAAATGCACGAGCCAGCTTAATGGCCTCACGGTGGTGATTCCTCCGCCAATTCTTTAAAAGTATTTAATTCAAACACAACAAATGAATTTTCAGCTTAAAATTAACATATCTGACGAGCAATCTTAAAAATAAATTTTAGTGCTATTAATAAAATGCATATGATCTAGAACTGAGTAGCAAAGTGGAGCCTCCAAGCAAGACGCAAATGATTTAGCACCTAAAATAAGCTGAAATTTGTTATTATTATGAAAATATAATGAATTTTTTGACTTTCCTTCAATCGATTGCATAATCTAAACAGCTAATTCAATATTTAATTAATTGTATTCATATAATCAAAAAATTGTATGAAATCGGATTTTTTGCGAGCTGCAACCTCAAAAATTCCTCTAAAACCAATATCTAGGCTTTTCAGGCTGTATTAAAGTGAATAGCTATAAGTAAAGAGTGGCTTATAAATGGTGCTAGTTTCCAAGAGTGAGAAGAGACAGATCTATCAATACTTGCTTAAAGAGGGAACACTTGTCGTTAGAAAAGACGCAGGACTTCCAAGACACCAAGACATCGCAGTCCCTAACCTCAAGATCATGATGATTTGCAAAAGCTTAAAATCAAGAGGTCTCATTGAAGAAAAGTTCAACTGGCAGTGGTTCTATTATTACTTAAATGAGAAAGGAATACTAGCTATGTGCGAATATCTTGGATTACCTTCAAATATTAGACCAGATATCTACAAAGCACCTGCTGTAAAGAAGCCTAGAGAAAACGAGGATAGAGTCAGAAGAGGAGGGTTCGGCAGAGGTCTTAAAAAAGAATAAAATCTTACAAAGATCGCTTATAAGTATGTTTTCAAAGCCTAATTATTAGTTTTGCCCATTTTGTGGCATTTTTAAAGGGTTCCATAACAAATTGCTTTATGATTATTAGAATACTAAGCAAAAGGAATCTTGGCTGCATTTTCCGCCTGTTCTAAACATGGAGCATCCTATATGCGATCCTTCATTTTCAACTATTACCATATCGCCATTGATCAATCTCTCGGTCAGTATTGGCTCATTTTGAATATCTTCTATTATAATTGCATTGAGTTTTTCTTTTTTCTTCTGCACTGATATGAATTCTCCATTATCAGCTGTTTCCTTATCCTTTATTTCCAGATCAATTGCTATATCATCAATCATTTTTACATCTTCCACGCTTTCCTGCTTCTTTCTTTTGCTCTTTTTCCGCTTTTCTTTAACCTCAACTACTTCAATTTTTTCTTCTTCACAATTATTCACCTCCTCATCTACGATTTTTTGTTTTTCTTGTGAAATTACGTCAAGTATTGGATCTTCTTGGACTTTATGTTCGAGATTGTCTGCTGGGATTTCTATTTCTTTGACTTTTTTCCTTTTCGAATTTTTCTTTTTGCGAATAACTTTTTCTTCTTCACTATCATAAGGTTTAGGATCTTCTATTACTTCAGACTTGATATTCTGTGGCACATTTGGATGATGCTCAAAATAACTGTCTCTATTGTCTAAGTAATTTGCAGATGGAGACTGATATGGCCCTGGCGGAATCATAGGGGGCCAATAATTGGTCAAATTTGGAGCTGTCCCTCCATACTTTTGCTCAACTTGATTCCTGTTGCAGTGTGTAAAAAGTTCTTTAGGAGCGTTATCACTTGTAAGTTTTATTTTTTTTACAGTAACTTTGTCCATAAAAGGTTTGATGCATTTCCAGAGAAAATTGATCCCTGAAGGGACGTTAATCACATAATTCACCCCTAATCTGCATCTAAAATTATCTTGCAAATCCTTGATTACCTTTTTCAAAGCAGAAGTAGGCAGATCAGAAAGGCCTTTTCGGCCTAAGTCTGAAAAGCAAACCCAAGCTTCAATCTGACCTGGAAGTAGCATATTTTGGACCATGAATTCCAGAAGAAAGCAGATCAAAACTACATAGTCATGATGGGAGTACTAAATTAGATTTTACCTGTTTAAAATTGAATTTTGTGAGGTTCATAATTAGAATTGGACGGAAAAAGTGGTCTCTCCCGTGAATATAAAGACAGCCAGAATTCTAAATATTGGTTACGAGAAGGTCACTAAGCTGAGGATAAAGTGATATGTAGCCGTTCGGCATGATTTCCTTTCTCCATTCCAAATGATCTGTGAGTGCTTTGAAAGCTGATTTAGGCTTCCAGTCTGTGCCATAGAAAAATCTTAGAGTGTTGCTCCTTTTCCATCCTTCTGGAAGTATGATCCCAGCTTTTTGAATTTCTGCTTCTAGCTGCCTTAGATTTTGTTCTTCAAATGGAGTAAATTCAACCCCATCAAAAATTAATCTTTGCATCTTTTTGTCTTTGCCATAATATATTTGCTCTCCTGAAGGCCAAAATCTGTAAGCCTCTCGAGGGACCTTGACAGTTTCAGAGATTTCCATGTCAGATTGATATTTTTGTATAAGAGAAATGGAAAGATGCCTTTATTTGATTTGAAAATAGAAAAATGTATGAATGGCCAAAATAAATAATAATAAATATTGAATAACATACTTGCATTATTTGAGGAAAATTTTAAAATTTTTCAGATTCGGGAGAATAATATGATGAAGTTTTGTTCAATTGGTTAGTAGGACTTTATTCCATTTTAAATAATTAATAATTCTCATAGAGAAATATTTAATAGTTTTTGAGAGTCTAGAAGTAGTTCGTCAAAATAATGCTTTTTCTCCAAAACTTCTCTATTAAGTGGTCCATTTTTAAAATTTAATTTTTTTATTATTTATTATGTTAAACAAATTTTAAAAGGCAATTTTATGCCTAGAGTTTGCATTCTTTAATTTATATGATTGAATTAATGTCTTCTAGTATTTGATATTCTAATTAACTATTAATTTAATTCAAATTTTATAGAGATTTTATATTCTAGAGCTAAAAATTATATAATTTGCTTAGAATTAGTAAAATATCCTCCACTGTAAATAGACACTACAAAGTTCTAAATTTCTGATAAAGATGGAAACCCAAGATTCACTAAAAGTTTTATTGGAGTCCAGAACCTATTCCATTTTCAACTTCCGATCGTTGACTTTTCAAGCGCTTAAAAGGTAATCCTCATTCAGATCGGTTTGCGATTTATTAGAAGACCCTAGTTCTTCTTTTGAATTGAAAGCACCCTATTTATCAGGTTGGGTTGACATAATTGATGATTCAACGTATTTTACTTTCATTATCAATGCAGTATCTCCATTGATATATGTGTTTTATCCAGGTATTTCATAAGAAGGAGCTCCAAGCATTCTAAGAGTTCAAAGCTATAATTTAGCTATTTTTGGAAAACACAAAAAGTGGGACGAAAGAATGCATATGATCGCACAGCAAATTAAGGAAGTAAATCCTGACATCATAGGAGTCCAAGAAGCAAAAAGAGACCCTCTATATGGGCTATATGGAGTTGAAAGAGTGCTTACGAAATTTATAGAAAACGTGGCTGGGTCGAATTATTCAGCTCAAGGAAGAGATATGATGAAGGATATTTTAGAGCTAATCCCAGAATATCCTTACTCATATTTGCATGACTCAATGCATTATAGTGATGGCTCTACTGAGGGCATTGGAATTATATCGAGATTCCCAATTTCCAACATTAAACACATCCAGCTATCAAAGTCCGATTCAGATGGGAATAGCCGTTCATGTTTGAGAGCAACAATCTCTCATCCTATGAAAAATTTGCTAGTTTACAATACTCACTTAACCTATGATCTCAAGGGACAAGTTAAGCAGGCCAGCGAAATTCTGAGATTTATTGATTCTGAAGATGATAAATTTACAGCACAGCTGCTAATTGGAGATATGAATTCTGAAGAAAAATATCCACAGCCAATGCGTCTGCTAGAAGGAATAAGCCAAGAGCCTTTAAGTCGAGGAAAATTAGATGATGCATGGAAAAGTGCCAATGGAGAAGAAGACGGATTCACTTATCCCAGCTGGGAGCCTTCAGAAAGATTAGATAGAATAATGTTCCGAAACATTGAAGCTCCTCCAGTTTGCGAAGTGACTGGGTATGCTGAAACTGAAGATAAATGGCCCTCTGACCACTGCACGGTTTTTGCTGATTTTATTTTGACTCAATAGAAAATTTGATCAGTTGTAGTTTTATGTTAACTTCGTTTAAAATGGTGAGTTTTAATTAAATAAAAAAATAAGCCAATATCTTTTATGTTCTTTAATAATTTTTTAACTGACTCGTAACACAATCCCTTCGGGTTCTATTATGGCTGAATTTTTATAAATAATTTTTCTCAATAAATATTGCATTGTAAAAATTCACTCATATTAACAAATAATTTATTAGATTTATGGATAGTAAATTCCTTTCTCCAAGCGACTTTATCTCCGGAACATGTGCTGGCATTGCCAGTGTTTCAGTTTGCGCTCCTTTAGATACTGCAAGAACTCGCTTGCAAGTTCAAGGACTTTACAATCCTCAGTATCGAGGCCTTCTGTCAGCGGTTTATACAATTTATCGCACTGAAGGAACTCGTGCTTTATACCAAGGGCTAAATGCTTCAATAATAGCAGCTCCTTTCACATGGAGTATTTATTTCCCCTTATAACGATGACTCCCCTCAATCTTCATGTCTATTGCAACAAAAATTTTTCGAAAATTTGTTGCAATAGACATGAAGATTGGGGGGGTCATTGTTACAATGGTCTAAGATCGTATTTTAATACAAAAATTGATAGCAAACTTTTGAGCAATATTTATGGAGCCTCAATCGCAGGACTTACAGCAACAATAGTCAGTAACCCACTTTGGCTAGTCAGGGCAAGGATGCAAGTAAACCCAGCCCAATACCAATCTGTTCTCCTTTCACTCAAGAACATTGTACAAAATGAAGGCTTTCTAGCTTTCTTCCAAGGATGCAATGCCTCAATCTTCGGCATAATTCACGTCACCGTCCAATTCCCACTCTATGAGTATATTAAAGGACAATTTTGTCAAGACGAGCTATCTCCAACAGCAATAGAAATGCTTTACTGTACCTCAATCCCCAAAATCATGGCAAGCTTATTTTCCTACCCACATGAAGTTATGAGGTCAAGATTGTACCTCCACAACAAAAAAGAAGAAAAAAGATTCCAAGGGCTCTGGAGTTTAATTAAATATACTGCACAAGCAGAAGGTCTGAAAGGATTTTATGCAGGATTTTTTGGAAACTTGGTGAGAATCCTCCCATCGACTTTTATCACCCTTTACACTTATGAAAAAGTGGCATGCCTTTTCAAGGCATAAGCCAAAGTTTTAAAGTTATAAATAGAGTAAGGAATAGATGTAATACTCCATTAAAATTAAGATCTGCTACAAATCATATTAAAGATGTGTAAATAAAATACACAAAAAGGTATGGGATGCACTAGCTCTATCAAAAGACCAAAGTTTATTGTTCCTGCTGAAAATAGTATGCCAAACGAAGAAGATAATGGAGTTTATTACCAAGTAAATGTCCCAAAACATAAAAAGTACAATAATAATATTGGCATCCCATTATTTGTAGTAAGAGAAGAAGTTTCGGCTCTTGAAGAGTCAGCAGCTCCTTCAAAAGCGCAATCGCTTGCGACAAATACTTTGCAAAATGCATTTATTCATATACAGAATAACATTTAAAATGTTTGCTATACGAAATTTATGGAAGTTTCTTCAGTAAAAATTTTCAAGAGAATGAATTTTCGAAGGTTAGCTAAATTAATGATATATTATTTACAGCTATTTATCATGTATATATCTAAGAAGTTAACACTATATTCAAAATAATTTTTATTTGATTAGTAAATATGTGCAAATCAAACCTCAATGATTTATAATTAACTCATTGGTATCTTTAATCCTGCTTTTTTGGGCTTTTTTAAATACTCAAAGGTATTCATTTCGGTAAATCCCATCGATATATCTCCTCTTTTATTCAGAGCTTTTTCAAATCGGTTAATATCATTCTTGCCGCTGTCAAGTCTGGCATTTCTTGGGCTGTTTTTTTCTTCTTTTATTGGCTTTTTTAAAAATCTTTCCATACTCAATTTGTTTGCCCAAAGAGAAGTAGGTAGAGTTTTCTTGAGTAAATTTTTATCGAATTTCAGCTCTTTTTCGCTCTTATTTACATGCATCAATGGAATGTTCCAATGTTTCTCAGTTCTTCTTAGCCTTTCTTCAAGAGTGCTTTGCAGCTTTTCACTGAATCTTTGCACTCTGTAACTTTGGTTGGAATCCACAGTAAAAGGGCCTCGATTTAATCCGAATCCATCATGCTTTAGTTGATTTTCATATACAGAATAAAAAGGAGACTTATTTTTTACGTCTGGTCTCTTATCCGCAAGTAAGTCACACAAGTGACTTGGCTTAAGAGTAGAAAAGTCAAAATCATTTCGGTGTCCTTTAGTATTGAAATCCTGATAATTAAATTTTCTTTTTTCTTGTGTAATAATAGATGAGGGTGGATATAGCTTCAAGGCATCAGATGAGTTCATTGTATAATATCCTTTGGATAGCTCTTCAGCTTTAAGCTCATTAGTAACAACTGGGACATGCTTTAATTGGAAACTCTTTGGCGAGTCAGGTGATATTGCAGTGCTCATTTTGGCTTTTAAGCTTTTAGTGCCATATCCTTTTGGAGGGGAAAAGTTGTGAAAAGATGAATAGTTAGTTGCAAATGGGCTTTCTTGAGATATTGAAAAAGACATTAAATTGTTGATATTTATATTTTCTGTCATAATATTAATTTTTTTTTATTAGTATGAATGAATCAAAGTAATTACAACAAATTATAATTTTTATTTAAGTAATAAATTAGAGCAGAAAGAGCATACGCTAATAGCTCTATTTTCTAATTATATTTTTTAATTGGCCTAAAATTTCTTCAATCAAGCTTTTTTAATAAAAGAATTATAAAATCATCTGATAAAAATAGCATAAATCTGCCATAATAATCTTTTTAAACGTTTCCATATTTCTAACTCCCCCCCATCCTTGATCGAACGATTGACTGTAAAAATTCCTAACTCCCCCCCCCCCCTCCGTGAGCGAACAAAAAAATTTTGTTCGCTCACGGAGGGGGGTTAATTTTTTTTTTTAAAAAAAAATTTATATATAAATTTTATAAAAAATATTTTTTTTCGAAATTTAAAAAAATCCTAATTTGCAAAAATTTGGGAAGCAAATATTAATTTAATTTGCAAAATTTATGTTTTAAAACGCAATTTGTTTAAAATTAAACAGAATTAGCTCTAGATTTCATTATACTAATTATCACTTATATATCCAAATTTTTTTCCATTAAAATTTTTTCTATATAAAAAAAATTTTTGTTCACTCACGGAGGGTGGGTTTTTGGTCAAAAAATGGCGATTTTTCTAATGGTTTTGTTCGCTCACGGAGGGGGGGGGGGGGAGTAAGAATTGGGGAAATTAACCCCCATCCTTGATCGAACGATTTTCATATCATGCAAATTTTTATATATATAAAAATATAATAGTTATCAAAAGCTTGGGAAGATGTACCTAATGAAGTTGTTTTCAGAGACTTTGAGACGATAGAAAGCTTTGGAATCAACCATTCAAAGTAATTTAGTCATCAACATGGGCTTAAAAACTCAATAATCTAATAAAATAGAGATTTTTTAAAATTTTTAAAAAAACAAAAATTTTAATTTAATAAGTAACAAATTAAAATTTATACAGTTTAAAGGGGTAACTAATAAATTAAAATATAAAAAAAATGGTATTTTTTATGAAATTAATTCAATTTTTTGCTGTAAAAATAATTATTAAATACTCTTAACCCTCTTATTTAAAAGTAAATAAAAAACAATTTATATATATATTTTTATTTTATATATAAAATTTTTTTAACCCCCCATCCTTGATCGAACGATGGCGAGTCGTTCGATCAAGGATGGGGGGGAGTAATAGAATAATAATAATAAAATTTACGGTAATGCTTTCAAATTTTAGAAAGATTACACCTTTACTAAACAGAGTCATGATTAAAAGATTTGAAGTTCCAAATAAATCTGCTGGTGGTATTCTGTTGCCAGAGACAAAAGAAAAAGACATGCAAATAGGAGAAGTCATTGCTATTGGCCCAGGATCATATGATGAGCAAGGAAATTTCCAAGAAATTGCTGTCAAAGTTGGTCAAAAAGTCTTACTGCCTCCTTATGGTGGAACCTCAGTCGATTTCAAGGATGAAAAATATTCAATCTATAAGGATTCAGAAATACTTGCAGTTCTAGAATAATCTAAACTTTTTATAAAAGATTATTATATTAAAAGATCAAAGAAATAAATTTCTATTCAAAATTATTAGAATTAATTTATTCTTTTTGCAATTCATTATATGCAGAAAATGAATTTTCTTATCTTTAGTATAATATAAATTGCGATTTTAATATCCTTAAAGCTTTAACGTCCAAGCACTCTTTGAGCTAAATAACTCTTTTTAAAGAAATAGAGTATGAAAGCTATCATCTGGTATTTTACAATAATAAAAAAAGTTCAATAGCATTTAACTAAATTAGATATTTTAATTGCTTATTGTTAGTACAGACTCGAATGGAAAACCCTTCAACTTCCGAACTGAATTCCCATTGAAGCAAAAACTTCGCATTGGAGTAAAGCATGCTGTCAACCTTTTCGGCATTGCGCTTCACCAACCGAAAATTTAGCCGAGTATTCCCGAACACCATCCTCGCGTCTTTGAGGTCTTCTCAGGTTTTAACGTTGTTTGCCTGCACAGAAAATTCAATAAAATTATTTACTACTATAGTCAGCGAAAAGCACAAGGTCTAGCTCTTGGTTCCACGCTGGAGCGTGCCTGATTGGTCTAATGATACCTATAGACACCGATGAGCTACCCCTTTTCAACTTCAAATCTCCTGTTCTTGACGTGATAAAGCCAGGCCCTGAAATTAGACTAGGGCTAGGCTCTGAACGCTTCTGAATTGCTTGCCTAGCATTGCTATCTATTTCTGTCCTGTAAAACCTTGCCCTATAATTAAATATAGCACTCGACCAGACAGGGCGATAAGATATTTAGCTCTAATAGATTATATCAGGAAGATGGAATTGCTACATGGAAATTCGAAGAAGAAATCTCTGTAATGCTCTCTCTTATCATTTGTACAATTTTTACGAAGTTTTAATGAGATCAATAATGGGTTTATCGCTCGGATTGACAAAGATTATCCACTTATGATGAAACTAAAACTTGGCTATAGAAAGGTTATGCATAAAATAACTTTTGCTCAATATATCAGGATAGCAAATACTAAAAAACAAATGCTTACTCCCCCCTCCGTGAGTGAACAAAAAAATTTTGTTCACTCACGGAAGGGGGTTAATGGTTTTTTTTTTTAAACAAATTTATATATAAATTTTATAAAAAATGTTTTTTTCGAAATTAAAAAAAATCCTAATTCGCAAAAATTGGAAAGCAAATATTAATTTAATTTATAAAATTTATGTTTTAAAAAGCAATTCGTTTAAAATTAAGCAGATTTAGCTCTAGATTTCATTATACTAATTATCATTTATATATCAAATTTTTTTTTCCATAAAAAATTTGTTCTATTAAAAAAATTTTTGTTCAAAAAAAAGCGATTTTTCTAATGGTTTTGTTCACTCACGGAGGGGGGGGAGTTAGTGAAACCGTAAAAACTCCAAGAACAAGCTGAAGAATTAAGCACGCCTTCATATAAGTAGCATTCTGAAAATATAACTTCGAATAAAAGCATTAAAATATCAGCTTGCAAATATAAAGAGTAATCCATAGGCACCGAAGTAATCATTATTCTAAAATTGATTACTTATGCATTTTCACTAATATATATTTTGTGCTACTCAAATTTGAATATTTCCAGCAATGGCATACATTAGCTATAAGCTCTAATAGGTTATTGACTCCTCCCTTTAAATTGAAAAAAAAAAAACTCATCCAATTTAAAGGGGGGTTAATTTTTTATATTAATATAATTTTTAAAAAATAAAAAAAATATAAATGGAATTGCAGTTCTTATGAATTTTAATTTATTTTATGAAGTATTAATTCAAATGATTAATGATTCAATAAGAACACTATTTAAATAATATTCTACTTGCACTATTTTTATTGATTTAGGCCAAAATTAATTTAAAATATTAATATTTTCACCTATAAAATTTTCTTATTGAAAAAATTATTCCAATTTTATGGGGTGCTAAAGCTAAAAAATCGAAATTTGACCTATATTTTGTTCAAATTAAAGGGAGGAGGGGGAGTTAATGTTATAAAGCAATTTCTTTAAGCCGGTTTCTGACGAAACCATTTTAGTGTAGATAATTTTATTCAATTAATTAAATATATGGAATTCTCAGAAGCTGCAGAATTGAAACAGGTTGTAAAGATCAACATGGGCATGATGGATCAATATGCTGCTAGTCCAGAAATGAGTGAGGATATACTAATGAAGTACCAAAGTTTCCCATCAAATCTTCTTGGATCAACTCCGAAAAACTCATTTACCTCCAATTTGCAGAGGTATCGGTCAGACTCTGATTTTTTTTCTGAAGGGCTTGGCCAAGAAAATCGCACATCTGATACAGCAAATCTTGATTGGAATAGGAATATAGAAATTGTAAAAGATGAAGAATATTTGCAAAGTAAGCTACTTCAAAAGAAATCACCCTATATATAATTTAAAAAAATAAAATAAATAGGCATATTTGATTGAAAATATAGCGAAGATTTCAATGCAGCTTAATATACAAACCAGCCTCAAGTTTCTTCACTGACAGAATCAATTAAAAATAAATCAAAATTTGAATCTGAACCATCAGAAAATCAAATTTTAATTCATGTTTATTTCTTTGAAACTACCAATTCTATCGACATAATGATCTCCCCAAATATAACAGTTGCAAATCTCAAAAGAGCAATAATTTCGAAATATTTAAAATCTCCACTTGCAAAAACCACACCATTACCGAACGGCACAAATCCAAATGCTTATGAGATCTGACTTATGGACGACTATGAAATGGTGCCAGATACAGATTTCTTTATAGACGAAAACACAACATTATCTGATTTGACTGCTGATGCACTAGCATTTTGTTGTAGTTCCACTTATATTTCTGAAGACTCAAAGATAAAGTCAGCATCTCTTAGGCGTTTATCAGAGATTTCACAAGGCACAGTAATAAAAGTGCTATTTCATTCAAACTGAACCGTTCTTTCAGTTAACCCAAAACAAAAGTTACGTGATCTTATGGGAATTTTATCAAGAAAATTTTCTTGATCCATCAGTCCTTATACCCATGAATTCAGGATGGACGTCGAAATTGATGAAAATTTTACTACAGAAGAATGCCCAGTTGACATCGATATGTATGTAAAAACCTTAAAAACGACAGAATTAAAGCTATGCAAAAAAAAGTTTAAAGACAGCCCTCCAGGTTCTCCGCGATCATTATCACAAGGCAAAAGATTTGAAGTAGTAGAAATAACGAAAGATGGGAAAACTGAAAAGATTCTGACAATCACAAAGCATTTCGTCTCAACAGAATCAATAGAATCACAAGAATTAGCGAGCTTAAATTTAATGACAATATGAGAAGAAGATCAAAATCCGATACGAATTTCGTCAATTGAAAATGTTTGGATTGATACAGTAGAAACCAAAAAATTTTATATTCAATATCAAGAAAAAACAAAAATAAAGCAGAGGGTTTTTGAAGCAAAGCTTGTTTATATTGCATGTGTTATAGAGAAAGAAATAAATTACATGAGAAACGCCTATTCAGAATAATCAAGAATTAATAATATTTATATAAATTACTTAATTACAACATCCTGATCTTTTCTCAAACTTCGGAATTAGCACGTTCCCTTGGCTTTCATTTTGTCTAGCTCCTTTGTTAGACCGTGATTTGACGATATAGATTTCTATTTATTTTTTACCTTGCAACAAATTCTCAAAGGCTTCTCTAACTCTAGTCGTTGTGACCGCACTTGTTTCCTCAAACAGCATCCCATGATCTTTCGCAAACTTCTGAGCCAAATCAGAAGGTACCTTTTTGGCTGTAGGATCATTTGATCCAAGGTCAATTTTATTCCCAACAAGCATAATCACGATATTTGGCTCAGCATTTTCTTTGAGATCAGCAAGTCATTTTTTCAAGTTAACAAAAGATCTTTCATTGGTAACGTCATACACAAGTAATGCTCCTACTGCTCTTCTGTAATGGGCACTGGTAATTGATTTGTATCTTTCTTGGCCAGCTGTGTCTCATATTTGAGCTCTAACAGTGCCTCCGGAAAGCAACGGAACAGTGCGAGTCGCGAATTCTACACCAATAGTAGATGTTGGGTTCTTTGGAAGGGTTCCCTTTATGTATCGTGAAAGCAAATGTGTCTTACCTACTCCTGCTTCTCCAACAAGCACTATTTTATAGAGATAATCATAATCCTCGTCCTGCAAATTTTGCATATTAAATACTAATTATCATATCTTTATTTAAATCTTTTCGTTTTCATCATTTTACTGCTATATTTAAGCTATCTATCGCATATAATTCTTTTATTAATAGTAAAATATTTGAGAAATCTCATATCTGATATAGAATCCTAATGCGCAACACATGATTTGGAAACAGATTAAGGCTGTCGAAAGATTCTTTTCATGCTGAGGCCCAGTTACCCATAGGACAAAATTGATAAGTGTGAAATGGGTAGGGACACATTTGGTCAAGCATAGGTAGCAACCAGACACCCCCCACCCCCCCTAAAAATGGTACCCCCACCCCCCTTTCACAGATTGCACCCCCACCCCCCCATCTCGGGTTTATCCTATAGAAGTAATTGACAGGAAACAAGTAGAATATTTTAAATATAAACCAATTAAAACACTATATTATAAATTATGTCCACAAATTACTTTATATTTATGATTAATTAATAAATTTAAATTAATTAACAATTAATTAGAAAATATATTAAATTTGCTTCTTATATTTATAAATATAATGCCAAAGATATAGATAATGGCATTAATTATTAAATGAGCCAAGCACAATACAATAACTTGCATTATATATATTGATTCATAAATTAAAGCTAATCTGATGACCATTGTACAAGGATTGCAGGACTGAATTGGTAACAGGATTCAATAGTGGTAATAAAAATAGTATTTGCTATTGCCAGTTTTAATTTTGGGATCTCTAATTCGCCTCTTTAGCTATTGTTCCACAAAGTAAATATACGCAGTATATACTGCTAATTAATACCAAAGATCATTATTATGCTTGTTAAATTTCTTCAGATTTGGTGTGCTTACTAGTTATAGGAAATTCTCACCCCATTCCACCTACTCCTTAATCGACTGTACTACGCTATGTGGATATTGTATAAATCAGTAATTTTGAATATTTAAAATAATAATTTATTTATTACGTCTGCTCTAAATTAGCATTTGTCATATATTTTATGCTATATTAAGGGGGGTGGGGTGGGGGTGCCATCTGTGAAAGGGGGGGTGGGGTTGCCATTTTTAGGGGGGTGGGGGGGTACCATTTTTTAGGGGGGTGGGGGTACCACTTTTATGGGGGTGGGGGTGTAGGGTTGCTACCTGTGCTTGACCACACATTCCAATGTATCAGTTCTTGGGTCGTATTTAGGAAGACGATGCCGAGGGCATGGAACAATTCCAATAAGCTGAGGGATTGAAAAAATAAAATTGAGAATCTGAGGGATAAAGAATAAAAGCAGCGTTTTTGAGTAATGACCCAGTATCCCAGCCATTGCTAGTGTCATGCCTGCGAAGTAGCAAAAAGTGTCACCTACAAAAACCTTTGAAGGGTACTTATTGTATTTTAGAAGTGCTAGAGTATTGAATATAAATGGTATCAGCAATGAAGCAGATAATAGATGTTGTGTGTAAATTTGGTCATTTATATGTAACGTGATTTCCTAAATAGAATATACAATAAAGTTATGAGTTAAAGCAGCACAGCCAATAACTAAGCTTTGGCCTGCTTCTAAGCCATTTATTCCAGCATATATATTGATAGCATTAGTACAAAATACTGCAAGCAAAATCATATATAAACTATATAAGCAGCCAAGCTCAATAGAATACCCAAGCAGGTCTCTCAGCATCCTCGGGACAACTATTGCAGTCGTACCTGAGTAAGCCACAAGCAAAGGCAATGAAGCAATTGTAGGGAGCAATAACTTATATCTTCATCTCAAATTCAGCACGTCATCACAAAATCCAAGCAAAATCATAAAGCATACAGATAAAGTTGCAGAATTATATTGGAATTGCGCATCATGGTCTCTTGCAAACAGAACCTGAGCTAAAATCATGGTGACTAAATAAAGGGTCGCTGGAACTATTCCTAGGGATTCAGGACTGAATAAAATTTACATCTTTTTGTTGCTGACTTTATTTAAATCTCGTCCTCCGAGTCCTGCAGCGAGAGTGGATTCTTTGATAACTGGGATTAATTTGTACCCGATGATAAAGGAAAGAGCCGAAGCAATAATCACTGGGAAAATTCTGTTTCATTCTTGGAAGCCTATGTAGTATCCAATAGCAAATGGCATCGCAATAGATGTGGAAATTGCAACATTAAAGTTGTCCATTTTATATTACAAATTATGATGTGTAAAAATTAGAAATTAAGTTCCAGCTTTAGGCATTATAGGAAGACTGCATTATCTGATGAGGTTTCATTTAAGGAATATGTTTGAAATTAAGTATTATATAAGATTAATAATTAAAATATTTTATTGCACTTAATCGATACTTGGTCAAGCATAGGTCGCAACCAGACACCCCCGCCCCCCAATAAAGGAACCCCCCACCCCCCCTAAAAAAATGGTACCCCCACCCCCCCCCTCACAGATTGCACCCCACCCCCCCATCTCGAGTTTATCCTATAGAAGTAATTGATAGGAAACAATCAGAATAATTTAAATATAATCCAATTTAAACACTATATTGATAAATTAAGTTCACAAATTACTTTATATTTATGATTAATTAATAAATTTAAATTAATTAACAATTAATTAGAAAATATATTAAATTTGCATTTTATATTTATAAATATAATGTCAAAGATATAGATAATGGCATTAATTATTAAATGAGCCAAGCACAATACAATAACTTGCATTACATTTATTGATTCATAAATTAAAGCTAAAGCTAATCTAATGGCCATTGTACAAGGATTGCAGGACTGAATTGGTAACAGGATTCAATAGTGGTAATAAAAATAGTATTTGCTATTGTCAGTTTTAATTTTGGATCTCTAATTCGACTTTTAGCCATTGTTTTACAAAGTTCATAAATATATGCAGTATATATTGCTAATTAATACCAAAGATCATTATTATGCTTGTTAACAAATTTTTTCATATGTGGTGTGCTTAGTAGTTATAGGAAATTCTCACCTCATTCCATCTACTCCTTAATCGATTGTGCTACGCTATGTGGATATTGTATAAATCAGTAATTTTGAATATTAAAAATAATAATTTATTTATTACGTCTGCTCTAAATTGGCATTTGTCATATATTTTATGCTATATTAAGGGGGGTGGGGTGGGTGTGCCATCTTTGAAAGGGGGGGTGGGGGTGCCATTTTTTAGGGGGGGTGGGGGGACCATTTTTTAGGGGGGTGGGGGGGGGGGGGTACCACTTTTAGGGGGGTGGGGGTGTAGGGTTGCTACCTGTGCTTGACCAGATACTCTGTAAAGTTATAAAGTGCATTTTTTTAAATTATTGTTTTAATTTTTCCTGTAAAGAGTTAGAGATCAATCAAATAACCAATGTCTCTTTAGCCACTGAAATGCTAATCTGATACTTACTATTATAATATTAACTTTAAAACACAAACTTATAATAAAATGGAAGAGCAAGAAGTGCAAACTAAATGTCCTGAAACCTTTACTTCCATTCTTAAGTTAGCAGACAACGAGCTCAACTGGGCAGAAATCCACCAAGACCTTGAAGAGTTAAATTGGCTCCAAAAAGACACCACCAAAGAAGACGATATCATCAATGGAGCCTGAAAAGTTTGTGACCGCTGGGCAGTTTCTGTACTTGAAGGAGAACCGATTTTTAAAATTACAAAAGTGAATCGAGTCAAAATGTTTGTGAATGAAATCGTTTACAACCTTGTAAACAATAAAGAAAAGCTTCGGCAGGTCTGTTTAGCTTGCAAAAAACAAGGAAGCGAACTAGCATTCTTTAAAAAAGCCAAAACAATGCTGTCAGCTGAAAATGAAGAAGACAAATTATGCGCCCTTGCACTTACGATAAACAATATTTATAAAGATTTAAAGCAAACTTTTTCAGCACTTTTTATGCATTTAGATAAATACCTAACCCTTGAGATCAACAAAAATCTGGCTACCTTTTTAGATGAGCAGTTTTTCAATCAGGTGATAAACCCAGTCAAATTTCAATTAGAAGAAAACCCTCAGGTTAAACCACTTTTAGACGAATACGATAGAAATTATATCTCACCATCAAGCTATGGAGGCTACTCGTCAATAGGATACTCTTCTTATTCATCCTATTCTTCATACCCAAAAGAAAACGTATATTTAGGAGAGCTCGATGATGACGGAAGAAGAACAGGGTATGGAAAAATCACCCATTTCAATGGAGACACCTATGAAGGATACTGGGAAGATGATAAGCCACATGGAAAAGGAATTTATAGCTGGAAGGATTGGGGCAGGTATGAAGGCGATTTCAATAAAGGTGCCATATCTGGCAACGGAAAAAGAATATACACCTCTGGAAATGTGTATGTTGGAGAATTCACCAATGGGAAAAAGCAAGGAAGAGGAGAATTAAGGTTCAAAAATGGAGACGTATATGAAGGAGAATTCGATGATGAAGATTTTCATGGAAAGGGTAGATATACTTGGAAATCAGGAGATGTTTTCGAAGGCACTTTTAAGAGAGACAAAAGAGAAGGAAGAGGCACTTTGACACTGTCGACTGGAGAAGTGATTGAAGGAGAGTGGAAAGATGGGGTGATGTGCCAACAAGAGAATACCCAAAGCTAATTAATGTTTTAGGTTAAAACTATTTTGGGGAATATAATGATCCACTTGAAATCCGGGTTCACTTCGATGCGAGTTCTGCTTTGGTCTGTGCTATCTGCTTCGACAGCTCTGTGCTTTCTTGGGCTTTCACTTTCTTCGTCTAAGATGTCTAATAGATAGTCACACCTTTTTTCAATCTCGTCACATGATTTAGATTGAAACCAAATGTTATACTCTTATTGATTATTCTGTTCACAATGATAAATAGTTAATATATAGGTTATTGGCATATCATTTTCTTAAATTCAGTTTTACCTATAATAAATCTGAACTCTGGCACCATCTGGATTTCGCTTTTCATATCGTCCCAGTTACCGTACCCTCTCGTTATCAGCTGCTTCAGCAAAAACTGATCTTCTTCTCTGCTAAAATGTGTCGGCTTAGGATCCGAAGGATAGTCAAGAGGTTCGCCAGCTTCAATTCTATTCCTCTTCTTCCCAAGGATAGCTTCGATTTTAGAAAGCCTTTCCCTATCTCTTTGTCCTTGCTCAATCCTTTCTACAAGTTCAGCCCCATTTGGCATTGATTCATAGTGCTGCCAAAACGCTTTTGAGTATTTTTTTATTTCTTTTAAAGTTTTGGTGCCGACTTCTTCTTGGATTCTGTCAAGCTCGTCTTTTCCATATATTTCGCAGCCACTAATAAAGCTATTGAATTCTCGTTTCGTTCAGTTCGCGAAGCCTTCATTTAGCAGCTCTTTTCTATAAGCTTTATCTTTATCAGTAAAAGCTAGCGGCTTATCAGCTGCAGCGTCGCCTCGAGTTCGCCTTTTTGTTTTTGTGTTTAAATATTCGTTCCAGTTTTCTTCTTTTTGGTCTAATTTGTCAAGCTCTTCGTCGTCAAAAAACTGATGTGGGTGTCCTCCACCTACTAAGGCTCTCCAGCCTCTTTTAGATTTGTCTTTCTTTTGAGCTAGTAAGCTTTTCTTCATGTCATAAGCACCAGTTGCTTTTCTGTTTCGTTTTCCTAAACTGATATGCTCTTTTTCCACATTTTTGTAATTTTCACCTTCAAATTGGTATAATAAAGCGCCATCAAAGCTCAGGTCTTTTAAATTAAAAGTTTCTTCTAATTTTTTGAGCTCTTCGTTTAATTTATCCGTTTTTTCTTGTGCGTATTGCAAAAGTGTATCTATGTCTTCATCTGCAATTTCTCCAGTTGTTTTTAAAACCTGCTGGGCTCCAAATTGCAAAATTTGCTTCATTTCTTGTGCAGACGGCGCTTTATTTTGTGAAGCCAATGCTCCTTTTTGGATGACTAAATGATCCATTTTCAGCTTCTTTGCTGCTCTTTCAGCAATTTTTTCTTCAACAGTCCCTTCAGTGACAAATCTATAAACGGTGACTGTCCTTGTTTGGCCTATTCTGTGAGCTCGGTCCATAGCTTGTAAATCTACCTGGGGATTCCAATCAGAATCATATATTATTACAGTATTTGCAGATTGAAGATTAATCCCTAACCCTCCTGCTCTTGTAGACAAAATAAAGAGATTTATGCTTGAATCCGCCTTTTGGAATTCATCAATTTGAGATTCTCTATCAAGATATGGGGTGTTGCCATCAATTCGGCAAAACCTATAGCCTCTCATATTGAGAAAGTCATCGAGAATGTCCAATAGACGAGTCATCTGTGTAAAAATCAAAACTTTAGAGCCATTTTGGATCAGTTTTGGGATGAGTTTGTCTAAAAATTTAAATTTCATGCAAGCATCAATAATGTGATCCCCATCTACAAATGGTGGTCCTGGCTCAATTCCTTCAAACAAGTAAGGATGGTTGCATACTTTTCTCAGCTGCATTATGGTGTTCATATACTGACTTCTTTCTCCAAATCCATTGATTACTTCTATGTTTTTTGTGAGAATTGTCTTATATAGTTCTCTTTGTGTTTTAGTCATCCCTAAAAAGACGTAGAGTTCGTTTTTAGGAGGAAGCTTAGACTCTACTTCTCTTTTCAGCCTTCTCAGCATAAATGGTCTTAGCACTCTATGAAGTTGTCTGACTAGGTAATCTTGATTATCAGAATTGGCATGTTTTAGGTCAAACCACTGGTCAAAGTCATCAGAAGACACGAAAATTTCAGGCATCAAGAAGTTTAGTAAAGACCACAGTTCATGCAAATTATTTTGCAAAGGAGTTCCTGTAATTAGCAGTTTTAGCTTACTAAATAATAGAAAAAAAATTCAATATTAGTAAATTAGTGGGGTTTTTTATATTTTCAATATAAATAACTACAAGTGCATAATAGAAATAGCTTTTAAAAATGCTTCATTAGAAAATTTCTAGATTTGCTCTTTGCCAATTAGGAGGTTAGTTGAAAAGAGTCTGACAATCTTAGAAAGCACTGATTTTTCGTTTTTGATACGATGAGCTTCATCGACGATAACATAATTCCATTTTACTCCTTTGAGTATAGTTTTTTCAGCCATTGCAATTTCATAAGTGGTGAGTAAGACATTATAAGTGTTCGTCCTCGGGACTTTTGGTCTAAGCAGCTCACGCTCCTCAAGGTTCCCATAGAACTCAAACACTTGGATAGAAGGTGCCCAGTGCTTAAACTCTTTGACCCAGTTGGAAAGCGTGCTTTTAGGAACTAAAACAATACTTGGCGCGGTTTCCCCATTCAAGATCAAATATGATTAGATTAGATTAGATTAACGCTAGGTATTTAAGGTCCCCACTACGTCCGAGGAAGCATTCTACGGTTTCCCCGTATGGTGGCAGAGCGTTCACCAAGCCCGGGCCGAAACCCCCAGTTTCTCGGTAGAGGCATTGTCAAGGGCCGTCTCATACCGGCTTTGCTGACTGCCTCCATTTCCAACCTGGATCGTCGCCTAAGTTTACGCCAACACTGCCGCGTCGTCCGCCAGATCTGCCCATTGAAGGGCACCTTTTAAACTGGAGAGACCCCCGTTTAGCTGTCTAACTCGCCTTCCCCTCTTTTCCGGTCATCCCGAGAAAGAACTCAACAGCTTTCGCCATTCGGGGCGAGCCACAAAAGCAGCTTAGGCAGGTAAGTCGCTCTGCCTCATTTCGGGCACTCACTGGGCTGAGCGCTGCTGGCAAAAAGAAGTCACGAGTAACTGCCCATGGGTTTGGTCACAAAAACAGCGGCTTTTGCGCTTAGGCCTCTCGCTTCGAGGTCCCAGACGTTGTTGGGCTAACTCCTGGCTCCAAAAACCCATGCCCGGTAACCACCACTGAGAGGGGTGGGTCGGTCGCCGTCCGCCATTTTACGTATATAAGATCAAATATGATAATAAAGAAATTGTTTGGAGGGTTTTGCCAAGGCCCATTTCATCAGCTAGAATTGCGCTCACCTTGCAAGCATTCATTTTCAGCAGTCAGTTGAGGCCTTCTAATTGATACTCCCTCATTACCCCATTTACAATACTCTTCGGCTGTTCAGTCAACTTTACGGTGTAGATTGTGCTATAAAATTTTATATAATTGATCTCAGGATCACAATTAAAAATGGAGCGCATGAATTAGGGTCATTGTCCCCTAAAGGTCATCCTAGTAAGGGAAGTTCAGTCTTTCTGAAGGATATTGGCGCTGGAACTGCTTCGGCAGTTCCTGGTGTACTTGAATCAACTTCAAGGGAGGAAGAGAGACTCGTCTAGGTCATAGGCTACTGTAACGGTTCAACGGTTAGGCCGATTCCACCTACCGTTGTTCAGAGCTGTTAGCCAGTTATGGAATTCAGGAAGGATGAGCTTGTATTGTCAAATCCTAAGCTAAGTGGGGGTCGACAAAGTGTTATCGTAATCTTAAATCTTAAATCTCAGGATTGACAAGCAAATAATCTATTTTTAAATAAATTAGGACCTTGCTTATTATATAGATATCTAATTAAAGCTCATAAAGAATATCAGTACTCACAAGATCTTTTTCATCCTCACCTTCAGGACCATGCCTTCTCTTTCCTATATTTGTGGCTGTGTTTTGGCGTTGTTGAAATTGGTTCAATGAGTGTGTTAGGCCATCTATTTTGTCCATTAGCAATTGAAGTTTTGTTTGGGAATCTACAAGTGCTATCGTTGGTGGCCTCCCTGCATTGGACTCAGGAACATACTCAGTATCTTTTTCACCAGGAAGAGCCTCGTCTTCGCTTGAAAGTCCTTGAATATCCATATCCAGCCTTGCCATGATTTTATTACCTGGTTTTTTCGTTTATTTAGCTTATGTGCATATGAATTATAATATAGCTTATACTAAATTCAACCGGATACAAAATTTAGATCGTTATAATGAAAAAGAGGGCAAAATTATCCGATTTTAGGCTCTCAAGAAGGAGATTCTGTACTACATTTTAAAAATGGCAAGTTTTGTAAAAATTTGATTTGCATAGAAGCTCCTAACAGAATAAGGCTCTGTAAAGTGAAATTTAATATAAACAAGCTTTGAAATTTGAAAATAATTTAAATTAACTTTAAAATATAAATGAACTACAAAATATTTAAAAACTAACATTTTTTAATTTTTTAGCCTTTTTAATGTATCTAAATATATTAGTATTTCAAAAAATTTAAAAAGAGTAATTTACTGTCAAACAAATTTAATATATTAATTTTGCCTTTAATCACATTGATATATTTAAAATTTGAATTCAATATTTTATTTAAGCACTACTATCAGATTCACCATCCTTTAGCCACAAACTAAAAAATCCAAAAGCTGACCAGATTTATACAAGACCAAACTCTATAAATTATATACCTATAGAGCAGGAATAAGCCATAAAGCCAACTTTTAGTTAAAAATTTCATTCTTCTATATGGAGCATATTTCATAATATTCCATCTGATCATATTATTTCAACACATTTCCCTTTTAAAATAAGTGGATTATAAATGCTAGGCAGATTAGCTCGCAGTTTCGCTACCAAAAGAAAAACCACCCAACTCAAAGATATGCTCCACAGCAATGAGCTTCAGTTTATCATGGAAGCCCACAATGGTATGTCTGCTGTCATCGTTGAAGAAGCAGGCTTTAAAGGAATTTGGGGAAGTGGCCTTTCTATATCTGCCCAGCTGGGTGTTCGTGACTGCAACGAAGCTTCATGGACACAAGTCCTAGATGTCCTGGAGTTCATGTCAGATAGAACATCAATTCCAATTTTGCTTGATGGCGATACTGGATATGGAAATTTCAACAATGCCAGAAGACTTGTTCAGAAACTCGAACAAAGAGGAATTGCAGGTGTTTGCCTTGAAGATAAACTTTTCCCTAACTCAATTAATTGAATTTTCTAATAATAAACAAAATAAATTAATAATTTAAAAAAAACTGAAATAAGGGCTAAGACAAATTCTTTATTAGATGGAGCCAAGCAGCAACTTGCTGATATTACAGAATTCAGTAAAAAAATTGAAGCTTGCAAAGAACAAGCAAGTGATAAAGATTTTGTAGTTGTTGCCAGAGTAGAAGCTTTTATTGCAGGATGGGGTCTTGAAGAAGCTGTGAGAAGAGCTGAAGCTTACAGACAGGCTGGAGCTGATGCTATCCTTATGCATAGCAAGTTAAGTGAACCTACTGAAATCCAAGCTTTTATGAAAGAATGGAATCGCAGACATCCAGTTCTTATTGTCCCAACGAAATACTACACAACCCCTACAGACAGTTTCAGAGAGTGGGGAGTGAATATGATTATTTGGGCTAACCACAACATCAGAATTGATTAATTATATTTAAAGTTCCGACTCCTTCAGAACTAATGCCAATTTTAAGCCTAACAAGTGATTTCACTGGATTCCGACTACAAAATGGCATATGCACCATAGTGTCTATACTAAATAAATTCCACCACCAGCCGAGCCAGTGCCTAAGACTGATTGCCTTGCCATGCCCTTTCTGACTCAGCTCCGGCGATTCCACTTAAGGGTCACCTTCCTTGGGTATGCTGAGTGGAGAAACCTTTAGCGTCTTGAGTGCACTTGGAGTAGTCTCCTAGTCACACACATCTATAAGTTAAACCGCTATTGTTGTGCAGAGTCTTCAAACCAATAAATAAAATCACATGAGGGAGAAAATTAAGGAAGCTAATTTCTCTCGAAACGAATGCCATTTTATTTATACAACATCAGAAGTGCAGTGAAAACTATGCAGCATACAACCAAACTCATCTATGAAAATCAATCGCTTGTCCCTATAGAAAAGGATTGTGTGAGCGTTAAAGAGATTTTCAGACTGCAAAATATGGACGAGCTTAAGAAAGCTGAAGATAAATATCTTAAATTCTAGTCGTGATTAACTTTAGACATCTTTTAATATTTCAAATCTTTTGTATAATTAATTTTTTAACATTCTTAAAGATTAAATTCTTAAATATTACTTTGAAAAGTTTAAAATAAAAATATGAATGAAATTAATCGGCAAAGGTCTCATCTCGACATGTCTCATATATCTGTAGAGCCAATGCCACCTTTTCCATCGTGCACTTTACTTATATACATTACTGGTGTAGTTTTTGGTGGCTTTTTAATACTTATTGGTTTTATTGAAGAAGTTACAAACATCAACCCAATGCTTGGCTCAACTTTTTGGGTTTTAGGAGCTTTGATTTTCATACCGTCAATTTATTTCACAATATTGCTCATCAAGCTTCTGAAAATTGAAATCCCAGCGGATTTTGTGAGAATAGCGAAAGACATACCACAACTATAATTTAATTGAATTAATTTTAACTTGACCTTTTGCACTATCCAATTAATTTCTGGTACTTGCAAATTAAAAACTAAAATAAATACATTAATAAATGACATTTCTTATATATTTTGATTAGAGCATTACAAAAAGAGTGATATTAATTGAAAACTATTGCTTAATCAAGAGTTATTTATAGCATTTTATTCTAATAATGGGGCCTAATATATTTAAAAAATTAATAAAATTAAAATAATTTAAAAAAAAAAAAATTTCTAATAATATTTACAATGTCGAGAAATGTGATACGATGGGAGCAGCCACTTTGTGGCTGCATGAGTAATATGTGCAGTTGCTTATTTGTGTGTCTTTTTTGTCCAGGGGGAAGCTGCATATATCAAGCCTGAACTGTTCACAAGGCAACAGGAGATTCTTGCTATCATTCATTTTGCTGCTCATTTTTATGTTGTTGTATTGGGGCAGCAATAAACCGAACAAAAATTAGAGATCGTTACCTGATAGATGGTTCCTGCTGTGGAGACTGCATCACCCACCTCTTTTGTGGACCATTAGCAGTGTGTCAAGAACACCGAGAAGTGTACAGTAGAGAAAATATGTATCCATGGGGATAATTTATTCAACTTTATCGAAAATCAACACAAGATTTTTGATTTAATTATGAAATAAAAATCATTCAATTTAAATGTCGTTGCATGAGTTTGACAGTTCTCTTGTATAATATAGAAATTTCCTATAGATGGCGCTGTTTGCCCTTAATTTGCCCACTGGGGAAATTTTTTGGTTCGACCAGTACCATGGTTTGGTCAAACCAAAAAATTTTCCTCATGGGCAAATCAAGGGCAAACAGCGCCATCTATGGGAAATTTCTATATTACTATTTACTTTAAGTTATTGAGTATGTTATATCCATTAATAAAGCTCCTCTTCTAAAATACATTGGCCAATCAATGGAAGTGACTCTCTAAGTCTCTGGCTTATTATAACCCTTTTAGATTCTTCTTCCAGAATCTTGAACCCAAGTCACACACCTTCAGGCTTGCTATATACTCGCATTTTATATCTTAATGCTTCAACAAGGTGATGTATTTCTTCAAGATGGTCTTCATATACAGTAGACTCGCTGAATCTCCAATATATCTCAGTTATATAGTCTTCAAGATCGTGCTGAACTTCTTTCAATTTAGCATCAGCTTCCGGCTGAGTTATCACCTCAGCTAGCTTTAGCATTGATTCTAATGTAAATACTTGATGCTTTGTATTTAACTCGCACAAGTTTTCAAAGGAAATTGCTTTGACATTTTCATCCTCATCTGATGAGAACGATTCACAATAGGCATCAAATAGCTGCTTTGCCAATTTAGGTGAAAATTTCACACAGGACACATGCCTGACTCCCCCCCCCCCCTCCGTGAGCGAACAAAAAATTTTTGTTCGCTCACGGAGGGGGGTTAATTTTTTATTTTTTAAAAAAAAAATTATATATAAATTTTTAATTGTAAAATAATATTTTTTTATAAGTTGAAAATTATTTTAAAAATATTATGGGGGGAGAGTAAGGGAATTTCCCAAAAAAAAAAGAATACCATTTGATTAAAGGTAAAACACAGCTTAATTTTTCAATAATTTAATAATCAATAAACCTATTAGTAATAAATATATGCATTCAGTTAAAATATTTTTTATATTTTTCTTATTTAATATAATAAGCAAATTCTCTATAAATCATAATAAAAATGTACAAAGGGAAAAGAAAGTACATTGAAAATTTGGCAGAAAGTTGAAATTGCTGAATTTTACATTCAACACCAAAATGAGATGAGCATGAGAGATGTTGCTGCAAAGTTTCATGTCAACTCCTTTAGCTCGATTTCCGAATGGGTGAATAAGCTTGATGAGTTGAAGAAATCAGTAAAATCTGATAAAAAATTAAAATTAGAAAGCTTCACTCAATTTCCAGAGCTAGAGAAAGAACTAGTTCATTGGTTTACTGCAATCCGTGAGCAAGGTATTCAGGTTCTCAGATCAACGATTGAGGAGAAAGCAAAAAGTTTGGCGGCAGAAATGGGATTGGCGCGATTCGGCTGTGGAGGTAATGGTGGCAAGGATTTAGGACCAGAAATAATTATATCTTTCAGAAAAATCAATGCCTCAAGCATTAAGCCAATCGAAAAAGAGGCAGAACTTGTCAGGCAATACCTAGATGATTTAGCGTCATTGCTTCCTCAATTCGTTCCATCTAACATTTACAATTTCGATGAAACGAGATTTGATTGAGATGTAAAAAGCAAGTTCACTTATGATTTCAAGGGAACTCAACGAATTCTAGGCGTTCAATCAGCTAAAATGAACCATTTTATCACTGTTATGCTTATGATTAGAGCTGATGGAGAAAAAATGCCTGCTTTGCTCATTTTTCAAGAGAAAAATGGCCAGATCCCGAACCTTGTAAGAGAAAGACTGAATATTCCAGAAAATGTCATCATAAAATCAAATAAATCTGGCTACATTTCTGACCAGATTCTTAATGACTACCTCAGAACAATATTGAGACGAGAAAACCAACTGCTGATTTATGATCAGGCTGGAAGTCATAAAACTATCATGATTTCTAATGCAATTTCAGATTTAGATGCAACCAAAATTGTGATCCCTGGAGGGTGCACAAAGTATTTGCAACCACTTGACGCACTGGTAATTGCAAATTTCAAATCAAAAACAACAGATTTCAGAATCAAATTCCAAAACAGAGCAGATTGAAAGAAGATCGAAAAGAACTGGAAACCTCAAAGCTCTTGATCGCCAGCAACTGATAAACATTGCTTCAAAGGCGTGAGATGCTGTAAGCCCTCAACTTGTCAGAAAATCATTTGAGTTGACGGGTTCTTATGGCGTTAATCATCCAAAGATTTTCAGCCATCAAGTTAATATGAAGAAGTTAATTATCTAATCGATTTCTTCTATTCATTTTTTTGTCTTAAATTTAAAATTGTTAAATTCAACCTTTTCACTTATGGTATTCTTTTTTTTTTAACCCTTTGAATAATATATCAAACAAACTTAATAATTATTTTTCAATATTATCCTCTTTATTTGTATTAAATATAGATATAATAAACTATATATAAAATTATATGTAAAAAAATTTTTTGTTCGCTCACGGAGGGTGGGTTTTTGACCAAAAAAATAGGGATTTTTCTAATGGTTTTGTTCGCTCACGGAGGGGGGGGGGGGGGAGTGAGTAATAATTCAAACTCTTTTTTTTCCAAATAGCCATCTTCATTTAAATCTGCAGCTTCATATATACATCTCATAAAATTCATATGGTCTTGCTTATTTGCATGATATAAATCAACCAAAAATTCAAGGAAGGTATCAACATCTATGACTCCATTCTTGTTCTGTTTATCCTGCTCTTTGAATTTTTCTATTTTCTCTTTGAGATTGTTTATTTCTTCTCTAGGAATGCGCTTTTCAAAATGTTTTATACACTCAACGCACCTCACAAACGGTACCTTAATGCTTTCTGCGCTTTCATTGTTGGATACCATTTTGCCTGATAGAGAATTGTTGAGGAAATTGAGGCACTCTAAATAAAATTTCAAGTCTTCTGAATCATATGGCTCATAGAGTCCGATAAATCTAGCGAAAACTCTGACCCTTTTTATTGATTTATACTTCATGCAGCTTGATAATAAATGGTTAAATCTGTTTTCCGCAGCTTTTTTCATTATGAACTTTTTAATTAAAGCTTGAAATACATAGACTCCAAATTCTTCTTCTTTTTCTTCAGAGTCCTTATATAGCCCGAGCCTCATTTTAGCTCGGGCTATACTGACGTTGGACGAGGAGTTGGTTTTGCCAACATTTGTTGTAAAGCCAGCTCCCAGATGGCAAATCTCCAATATACAGTGGATTTTTAATCTGGGAATTGGCTTTATCAACAAATATTGGTAAAAAAAAAAACTCCCTCCGACGTCAGTATAGCCCCAGTCAAAAGGAGGCTCAACCAATACTTGTCTTCATAAAATTGTGTGATTAATTTAAGTAGCATTTTTTTGAACATGACATTTTTGAGTTTATGGACTGGAGTCGCGATAACTCGTTTTATTGTAGCTAGGGCTTCTCTTGCAGTGTCTCTGATAACTTTCTTTTCGTCTTCTACATATATAATTGTTTCTAAAAGTCTTTGCTTTCTTTTGAAGTTGGCTTCTTCATCTGTGATTTCCTCACTTTCTTTGATGGTGTCTGGTAGAGACTCTAAAGGATGGTTTGAAAGGACTTTTAGTGCTTGGTTGAAGCTTTTATATAGCAAGTTTAAAAGCTTTGAGTGGGGCATGTCTTCGAAATTCATTTCTTCAAAGATTTCTTCTCGTAAAGTATAGACAAGCTTTTTAATATGATTATGCTTTTTCTTCATTTCGTGGACTTCAGGGTCGTCATCTTTTCCAACAACAATGAGGACATCGTCTTCTTCTTTTGCAATTTGATTGAAAAACATTTCGACATCGTCATCTCTTTTGCTGACCCCATCTACTGCAAGTGTCTGAGACGGTTTAGCTCTTCTTTTCTTAATTCCGATGCTATCACCACAAAGATCTTGCACATCAGTCATTATTTCTTTATCTGCATAATCAACTCTTGGCATCTCAGTTTCTGCATCTTTAAAATCATCTTGCTGGAACATATCTCTTTCGCATTTTTCATTAATCTTAATTTTCTTTGACAATGCTTCTATATTTTCATTTATATTTACCTCCTGTATATTTTCCAGCACAGGGTCGCTTTTTAAAACATTTTCAATATCTTGCTCATTTTTAGGTTTAATTTTTTTTTGTGTCTTTTTCCTCCTTCTCAAGTTTCCATTTGTGTCCTCTTCATAAACTACCTCAGTGTTCTCGATTTTTGCTTTTAAGACTCTATTTTCTTCTCTAAGAATCAGCACTTCTTTTTTGATTTCTTTATAATGATCTTGGATAATTTCGACCCTTTGTCCGATTTTTTCTTCTTTTAAGTTTTTAGTTCTTATAATTTCTTCTTTAGCTGCAAGCTCTTCCATTAGTGGCTGGACTGATTCGCTTAAAGTTTTGACCTTTTCTTCAAGCTCGTTTACTTGCTCGCCATACATTCTGTGAATGCGGTTCCTGTCATTAATATACCGCTCTTCTACCAATTCAAGTTTTGATTTGCTGATGCTGAGGGCTTTTTCAAATAAAGCTTGATAGGCGTTTCAGACCTTTCCCATGAGCATCCCTCTTTCTTTGCATTGAACACTTACTTGTCGGATTATTTCATTAAGACAGGTTGAATAAATCATATGAGTACTTTCAAATAGCTTGTCAGGGTCATCATTCTGCTCTTGTAGTGCTTTAGAAAGCATGACATCAACCCATTCTACAAGCAGTTCAGCATCTTTTCTGCTTGCAGGCAACCCAAAATCATAATTTTCAGATTCAAACCTTTTTAGATCTGATGTAGGAGAGCAGCATCCACTGCTGGGCATGCTTCCTTTTTGTGAATATTTTCCAAGCTGCTTTAGATTTAAAGGAAGTCTATGTTCAGGCTTCTCTGGGGTAAATCCTAAAGTGTCGAGTAATATTGTTTTTTGTCTTGGAATAGGTTTCGAGATTTTTTCAGGCAAATATGATATACTTTGATATGAGCTTAAGTTTCGAGAGGTTTTTGCTCGATCTAGACAAAGTATTTTATTTGCTGCCTGAGATGAAGTATAGATGTCAGGAATGTTCCCATCTGAATTCAAACGATTTAATTTTTTGTTTGGCTTTATAAGTGAATCTTTTGTTGTGGCCTTCGGGCTAAATCTCATAAACTCTTGCAATAGCTGCAAATCTTGGGATGGCTTTGGTGAATGTTTAATTGAAGATGACTTTGAGGAAAGTGGAGTTCTTAATTTCATTAATTAGTGTTATTAATGTTAATTCCTGAAACTACTATCAATATGGAAATAAATTTATATCTCAACAATCCAATTAACGCTTATTATGTAAAAGAAAGTACAAACAGGTAATTATCCTTTGGCTTCTCAAGCCATTAAGTTTCTCAAAAACAAATTCTAAAAAAATTATTCTATAAAATATTATATAATTCAAATTCACAATTTTATCATCGTATTTCAAATAATTTGAGCGAAAATTGCTTAGCACATCTCCTAATTGAGTTTATTTATATATAATAAGAAAATGCCAAAAATTCTCCACTCCATATTCATTCTTTTTATGAATGATTCTATTTCAAATAGTATCAAAATTCAGAATCATTTTCAATATCCACTATAGTATCTTATCTCAACCACCTATTTTTACCATCAATATTAATTCTATTATCTTATATTAGTTGGCCCTCATTCTTTTACTTTCCTTGACAACGTTCGAATCTTGCATGACCTCAATCGCCGTTTGTAAGCACTCTGGACAGTACCACCTCTCATTGGTATTCAGCTGCCTCTCTGTTTCGCTTGCCTGCATATTGATACAATTCGGATGATACCAATTGCCGCAAAATCCTTCACACTTAAACATGATTTCTCCTTGCTGGTAAGGTCTATTACATATACAGTAAACAGTCCCATCTTCCACTTTCTCTGTTGTGCTCTTTACTTGCTGCTGAGGCGAGCTTGGCTTTTCCTTGTGGTGAAATTCAGGAATCTCTTGTGAAGCGTATCTGTCCGGCTTTATGTGGTTTTTCATCTGCGAAGTCTTGAAATACGCTTGCAAAGTCTTCGGGAGGGCTTCAAATTCAATTGCTTGGATCTCTGTGGTCTCCGATTTCGTGAACTGTTGTTGGAGATCTACAGAGCTTTTCCTCTTGTACTTATATTTTGACAGGATTTTCGGGGTACTTTTAACGTGGAAAATTTGCTGCTTCGACTTTAAATTTCGTTTGAGGAGAGAAATCGGCTGTATTACTTGTTTGGGCATATTATTTTATCAATTTATTAAAATTAAAGATACTCAAATAAGTATAGATAATGTTGATTACCAGACGATGCTTGATCTGAATAGTGTTGTAACAAAGTTTGAAATGAGCATTTGGCCAAACCCTGAGTAATGCCCACAGATGATTGTGAAAATAAATGAAAGCAGTTTGGAAAGAAGTCTGAGAATAGCCCTAAGCTTTAGCTCAGGCAGCGCTCTTCTTGCGTACCATCCTGCTGCAATTCCAATGCAGACTATTATTACTAGTTTGATGCCGTGCTTTATTCTCATTCTGTAGCGTAAGTTAAGAGCTGCTTGGTTATTGCTGCTTTGGCTTCTTAATTGGTATTCTTTGGGAAAAAGCATTGATAGGAAATTTTCAAGCAGGTGGTTTACTCTGTAACCTGAGGCTGGGAGGATTGATCGACAGATTGGGCATTTCGCATGATAAAATCGATTTCGAACAACTTCTTCAAGGCAGGTCATGCAAAAATTATGCCCACATTGAGTGGAGACTGGGGCATATAGCATGTCCAAACAAATTGGACATTCAGTGCTTTGACTGAGCTTAAGATCAAGTTCCATCTTGGTTTTAAAATATATAGACAGCATGTTTGTTAATGTTTAAATAAACTCATATCCGTGTGGAACATAAAACGAATTAGAAAAAATATTAATGAGTAGAGAGGGAGATTAAGCAATTAAGGGATTAGAAATAACTAGAGAAATTAATTTATGAAAATAACTTACGTAAAAAATAAGACAATGAAAGATAACATTTTATTTCTACTAAAAATGGTTGAGAATTTTTATTTTAAGCGGAAATAAATTCGCTTTTGAATGTTTCAAAGCAAAATTGAAGAGAAATTATTAATGGCTGTTGGAAAAACAAGACTTGGAAATCAAATATAAATTTTTAATAATAAATAAGGCTGATTTTCTAATAAAATTATATGATATTTAATCTTTTTTAATCTATAGTATGTAAATTTCAGTTATTTCATATTACCTTGCTTATTTAGCCCATCGCATTTCTTCTTTCACTTCCAGTTTCACTTTGTGGTCTTGACTCTGAAAAATTAAGCCTCCCTCTAAAAGAAGGTCTCAATATGGACCCAGGTGCTGACTCTGAAGGTCTTCCTTTTGTATCCTTTTTAAGTGAATCAAAGCTCACCAACAAATTTTTGAACTCATTTTCGGCTTTTAATTTAAGTTTATGATAACTCTTTAAGTCCCGTACTTTCTGACCTTAGCTTGGACTACAGCTTTAAATAACAGTATGCCGGCCGGCCTAACTGTCAGACTGCTTCTGTGTCAAATCCCTTAGGACCTCTCTGATACACGCCAAACACAATGTAGACCCATTCTCTTGAGCCGAGGCTCTCAAAAAGTCTTAAGCTTCTCTCACTAAGCCCAGATGTAGTACCCCTAACTGACATTTTTACTTGTCTTTCAGCTTTTAATCTTTTGCTTTCTGGCAAAACCTGCAAATCATTATTAACCTGTATGAAAAATTCATTTATTGATTGAGCTCTCTCATCAAACTTGTAATTTGGTGCTAAATCTTTCCCTTTCGAAGAGCTCCACAAGTTTCTTTCTACTGCTTTTTTATTGAGATCTCTGAGCCACGTTTTTAATATAAACTCAAGTCTTGCCAATAGTGTCCAACACATTTGCGGATCATCTTTAGACTCTTTATAAAAACCATAATAATAATCCCAGAGCTCAGCGTATCCTTCTTCAATGGGCAATTGTAAAGCAAGATTAGGAAGTCAGTTATTTACAATATTTTTAGAAGCATTTATTGGCTCAGCTTTGCTTATAATATAAGACAAATTAAATGCGTAAGGGTATTTGGTTCCGAATTCTTCAAGCTTCGAAATGATTTTATTGGGCCAATTGTCATCAGCCAATGACTTAATTAGAGGAATATAAATGGATTTCATAGAATTTATGACATCTTGGTTCTCCATGTTGGAGTTTTCTTTTACATAATGCAGCAATTCAAATTGTGAATCCAGTAATTCATATTTTTTGGCAAAATTTTCACAAAGATCACTTACAGTCAAGAAGTTTCTGTTTAATAGCTCATATGCAGTGCCTAGTGCATAATTAAAATATGGCGTCTCCACCTAGCATGGCCTCCTGGCCATGCAGCTTCCGAGCACATATTTTAATTATATCCGGCAAGGTTTTACTAACCCAGAAATGGATAGCAATGCTAGGTAAGCAATTCTGGTACTGTACAGAGCCTAGCCCTCAGTCCAAATTCAGGATTAGGTTTTACCTCGAAGGAAAGGAGGGGTTCAGGTTTGGAAAGGGCAAGCTCAGCTAAGTCTACAGGGAACACCTAGACCAATTGGCCAAGTGCCTAGCGTGAAACTGGGAGTTACGCCCCAGGACTTGAATTTTTCCTTTTTGCCGAGAGGTCACCAGAAATTCCATTTTTTTTTGGGATTTTTGTGTGCTCAACTTCGTTCACTCAAGCAGCTTGCCGCAGAAGTCCATAGCCCGCCCACTCAACACCCAAGCCGCAAGGAGAGGAGTAGACGTCTAGGTGAAATCTCACTTCAGAATACCAGCCCATTAGGAGCTGAAGAAGGAGAAAGGCAGTGCTCGAGCTGATTCTTGGGCCAGCGAACCATTGCCCCAATTCGAACAAGGTGGAACCGAAGACGGCGCAAAGCAGGTGAATCCCGCATTGGGATCCGTGGTGACTGCGTAATCAAAATGGCAGACGCCTTCTAATTTCTAACTCCCCCCCCCCCCCCTCCGTGAGCGAACAAAACCATTAGAAAAATCGCCATTTTTTTGACCAAAAACCCACCCTCCGTGAGCGAACAAAAATTTTTTTAATAGAAAAAATTTTAATGGAAAAAAATTTTGATATATAAGTGATAATTAGTATAATGAAATCTAGAGCTAATTCTGTTTAATTTTAAACAAATTGCGTTTTAAAAACATAAATTTTGCAAATTAAATTAATATTTGCTTCCCAATTTTTGCAAATTAGGATTTTTTTAAATTTCGAAAAAAATATTTTTTATAAAATTTATATATAAATTTTTTTTAAAAAAAAAAAATTAACCCCCCTCCGTGAGCGAACAAAATTTTTTTGTTCGCTCACGGAGGGGGGGGGGGGGAGTAAGTAAGTAAGCAGTGCCTAGTGCATTTCTGTCCACTTCACTTTGTACTTCATTGACTTTTCTGCCTATTTCTTTGATCATATTTAGCTGTATTCTTGCCAAGTCTTTCCTTAATTCCAAGTTATCTTTTTCTTGCTTAAGCTTTGAAGTTTCTTGAGGGGTTCCCTTGAAATTTTCAATATATTTTTCTAAGCAAAGAGAGCTTAAATCTAAGTATTCCATTCTCAGTTCAACAGGAATGTCCACTTTATCAAGAATTGCAATTCGCCCGAACTCTTTAAATGCAGTCAAAAAGTCTTTCATTTTCATGCAGTATTTAGCCAACAAAGGGGAGTCTGGAGCTGAATTGGAATTGTAAGTTTTTTCGATGAATTCTTTTACAAATGGACTTTCCAGAGACAAAATGTCCATAGGTGAGCCGATATCATTAAACCATGTAAACAAAGCCCAGTGTAGCTGCCTATCGTTGACCTTACAGCACTCGTCTATAATTTCACTTCGAAGCTTAGCTAAAAAGTCAGCAGGATATGAAGCAAAGCTATTGCTCACTACATTTGATCGATCTATTGCTTCTTGAATTTCATGTAAAATTTGGAAAATATATTGATAGCAATCATACACTTCAGACCCAGATTCTTTGCCTTTGATATCTGCTATATCTTTAGCCTTTTGCAGGCAAAGGTGGATAATTCCTTTATAAAATTCCAACTCCTTTAGTTCTCCCACAATTTTTTGCAGTCCAACTGACGCTGCGTTTCTTAATAATCTTTTCATGGCTTCTTCAATGTACTCATTTTTATGCTCAGTCATTTCACTTTTGGCTTTGGATAAGCATTCTTCAGCCACATATATTTCAGAGTCTGCGGTTGTGAAGAAACTTGAGCATTTTTGATTTAGATTCCTCAAACACTCCTCCAGCTGCACTTTCTTTGCTCTTGAAATTCTTGGATTTCTCAGCTGGGTGATATAAGCTTCAATTAGAGCTTTTGCTAGAATATGTCCTTGGCTAGTGCAAATTAGGTCTCTGAAGGTTATGGACTGAAGAACCATTTGATCATCATTGGTAAGCTCATTGACGACTTTTCTGAACGAGTAGTCGTCTGATAGTAAAGTTAAAAGCTCAATTCCATCTAATATGCGCTTTGATAGCTGATAGATATTGATAATAGGATCTTTTGATGCTTCTGAGCTTTTTATGTTACCTTTATCAACGTCGCCAATACTTTCAGGATATGAATCTCTAATAAACTTAATGAAGGGTATCATCCTGTCTTTTAGCTCCTTTAGCTGAGGAGAATGAAACTGCTCAGTTTGATTTGAATAATCGCCTTCCCAGTAGGTGATATTTTCGCTTCAAACTGGCCGCAAAATTCGTCCTAAATGGATATAAAGAGCCTTGAATTCAGCAAGAGCCATTAGTGGGTCTTCAGGCCTATAAGAGTGAAGATAGGTGTCCCAGATTTTGTTATTTCCAATCTGTCTGAAGAAATTAAAAGCTTTTTGCATTTCTTTGCTTGAGAGGGGCGTTTGGATATCCCCCATTTTCTTACTTAATTACTTAATTTAGCTCGACCTCTAGTTGGGCCCCTAGATGCACAATGCCACGAGGGCATATTTTTTTCTCCGTCTTGTCGCTACTCGCGTACTCGAGTCGGGCCTCGCTGTACGGCTCGCTCCTTCTAATCCCCGTGAAGCCATTTGGGAATCCAAAAGTACGGGAAACACTAGCGGCTTGGCGCGTTGCCTGCTCTGTCCGACTTTCCTCCAGCGCCTGTTCGGCCTAAGGGTCCTGCCTTTTATATCGGCAGGGGAAAGAGGTGAGACACGCTGTATAAGGCTGGCGAGATAAAAGGTCCTCGCCATTTTACACACCTTGTACAGAAGTCCACGTGTAAAAACCTAGCCCTATAATAATAAAAAGCGGGTGAGAAGGAGAGGGAATTCACGGAGTGAATTACCCTATCCGCCGAAGCCATTTTATTATTATGATATCCCCATTTTCAGCAGATAAAATCAGTGGAGAAGAAAGAATTGCTACAAGCATCGCACAAACGTGGACAATCCCATATTTTTCGGAAAGGTCTCGAATCTGTTGGATGTCTTTAGGGGGGTCTTGTATTAGTGCTTGATAAACAAGATCAATTGGACGAATTTCAGAAAACTCTAAAAGCTCGCTAGATGTTAACACTAGAAGCTTGCTGGGAGGCCTGTATAAGATGTTGGAAAGATTAGACAAACATTGAAAAGATAGATCTCCAGATCTGCATCCTAAGTATTTGAGAGGTAAAGTGGATCTGAATTCATTCCTTGGCAAGAAGTTGCAGAGCTGAGCACAATTTGGAGACATTCTAATTGAAGCTGGGATTTCTGCCATGCATTGGACGTCAACTTCACTTACCCTCTAGCAAACTGATTTTATTTACAAAAGATTATATATTTTAAAAAATAAATTAATAAAGCATAAATTCATTATATAAAAATGTAAAATTTAGAAAACTATTAAATAAAAGCAGCTGAAAATATCAATTATATTTATCTTTATATCTTTAAAGACCTTTATGATAAAAAACGGGGAATTAGCTCCTCTATGCAGCTTACAGTTTCATCTGGCTCAAGAATGTATCTTCCTTTTTCCCCTTGGAATAAAGCAATTCTGCTTAAAGACCTGCCAATATTAACCAGCTTTGCTTCCATTTCTCCTTTTTCTGAAATGATGAGGTTGCCGTTTTCAATAAGTTGTGCAATTTCATAGCTTGATGGCTTGTCTGAGGTAATCCCTAACGCAAAAGGCTGAGAATTGATTTTCTCATCTCTTTTATATGTAGAAGCTGGAGGAAATTTTATATTAATCGAGTATTCATCCAGTGGCCTTCTAAGATAGCCCTCATCATAATACTCCATTTCAATGAGTGCTTCATGAAACGTAAAATAAATCCTTATCCCATTCCTCGTTAGCGCCATCAAATGATACTCAAGTGATAGAGCTCTCGAAATAGCTGAAATATGGACGACTTCAAGTCTTTCCCCACTTAAATTTGCAAGTCTTGGAGAATGCTCTCTCAGCCGTTGAAACAGTTCATTTGAATTGATATTTACCACTTTTCTCGTTGTGTCTCCATATATGCCTAGATCGTAGACTTCAATTCTGTAGCTTGCAATGCTCACAGTGGATTTTATCAGTGCATAAAGAATATTTCGTGAAGAGTCGACGCTAAGCTGCTTTACGCTGTTTGGATTAATATGCCTTTTCAAAAATCCTGGGATGAATAAAGACAGGAAACTACTTGAAATGCATTCTTTTTTATATTTTTTTGTGGAGGAAAACCAAGAACTAGTTGTGTATTTAAGTTCGTTTATATTCCCATCTGCGCCACCTATTAAGATTCGGCCATTATTTAATGTTGTAAAGCATTCCATATCGACTTCGTCAGTGGTCACATTCATTTCACTTGAAACTAGCTCCTCCCCTTTAAATTGGAACAAAGCATAGGTAAAATTTACTTTTTTTGCGAATTTAACCCCAATGTAAATTGAACAAAATTTTTCAATAGGAAAATTTTAGAGGTAAAATTAATAATTTATAAAATTATTTTTGCCCTAATTTAACAGAAAAAGTTTAAGTAGGATATTATTAAACAGTTTTTTTACTGAATTGATTAATTTCGTAAATTAATTTCTTATAAAGATAAATTAAAATTCAATTTATATTTTTTTTAAAAATTAATCCCCTATAAATTGGAACAAGATTCTTTGCTCCAATTTAAAGGGGGATTAAACGAAACTCTGGCTCTGTGACCACACCTATAAATTGCATGTCTATCCTTGTAGCTACAAGAAGCACATAAGACACTCTATTGGTGAAGAGCTCAGTGTTTTTTGGCAAAATTGCAACTCCAACGATCACATCATTCGATCCTGCGTGCTCAATGATGCTATTGGGCCTTGTATAGTCCCAGAGTATCAAAATATTATCAAGGCTGTACCAAACTCTATGAATTTCTGGCAAAATCCCACTTAGCATTGTTGCATTGGGAGAAACTCTGTAGCGACTTCTCAAAGTATCGTTGATTTCTATCCTTTTTCTAATTCCTTTCGTAGTGATCAAAATAATTGGAAATATTTTATTTTTGGAAAATTAGACCCTTCGTTAACAAGCAAAATAATTAGAAACATTTTATTTTTGAAAAATAAGTCTTTCCATAGCAACAAAAAGCTTTTAATATAATTTTTTGAGTGTAAATTATATTTTAATATACAATTAATTATTATAATAATTAGATCTTCAGCTAATTATATAAATGTATAATTTTTTTTAAAGATTTTTCTTTTTAAACACTTACAAATTTGGTTTAATTTTTTCTGTAGAACACTATCCCTTTGGTTAGCAAATAAAAAAGTTAGCTCGCTACCAAGGGAGTAAGAATAAAGTCAGGTGTGGCTTGTTGATATGGATCTTCAGGCTGTGAGTGTTTTTTATAGTCTTCTATTTCCAAATGCTGCTCTTCTAACGATAAGTATGTTTCTAGCGTCTGGCCACCCGCGATTGATAATTTTAGCTTGCTATACTCTTCTTGAATTGTGGCTTTTGTTTGAGGTGGAGGACCAATTGGTTTGGACTCAGCTTGAAGCTCTGTGTAAGTGCGCTTTTTTGGAAAACTTAAAAGGCTGCTGGGTTCTTTAGGCTGTATTAGGGCAAATCGATCTTCCATTAAATAATATTTCGAAAAATAATATAGCTTAAGACTCCTTATAGATTCTTTAGCAACAATACCAATTGCTATGGAATAGACCACGGAAATGTAAATTTTTTATGAAAAGGGCTAATTAAAAATTGACAAATATGAGCTATAATTTACATTTGTCAATTTTAAATTGCACTTGTCAAAAAAAACTGACATTTTCGTCGATTATCCTATGATCAAAGGTATTGCTCCTAAAGAGCAAAAATGGGATGTGAGCTATAGACTGTACTCTAATTTCTTATAATTCCAAAATAAATATATATAAGCACTTAAATTAGTTTTTAATAAGTTTACGATGAAAATTGTCTAATCTTTCGATTTTCTCTTTTTGTTCAATTGAAGATTTTGCTCTAGACTTGATTCTCTTCTCATATGGATTTTTCGGTCTATTTCTGGCATCCAAGTTTGCATTATCAGGCTGCCTATATGGGGAAAGACTTCTTTTTACATTTTCTTGCTGCTTTTGCTGAAGAATTCCATATTTTAATGACGCTAGTGATTTTCTATTTTTTTGGTGGTTAAGCTCTTGATGCACTGTTCTTTCAGTAAGTGCCTCATTTTGTTTAATGTCTAAATCGAAATATTTATTGTATCTGGCTTGCTTTGGGAGAGACCGTCTTCTAATCAAAGCTTTTGCCTTGCCTTCTCTTTCGATCTTAACTGCCATAAGACGAGAAAACAGATCTTCGTATTTGAAGTGGACACCGTATTTGTCATCGACTGTTGGCTCTCTTTGAAATCCTGCAAGAATTTGCTTATGTAGCGTAGCATCGTTGAGCATTCGCTTATATTTACTGAAAATAGAGATATTAAATCATTTTAGTCAACATAAATAAAAACTTGAAGCATTTGCGATAATTTATGCTTTAATAGGTGTGATATTAGAACAAATTTCAAGAATTAGTTTTAACCTCATATAAAGATAATAAGTATTTCTTACTAATTTAGAAACTTAAGAAATCTAAATACGGTCTAATTTACCCACCATAATTCATATCATTAAATGTCTCCTTTTCAAAAATTAATATTTATACAACAAACAAGTATAACTCTATAAATAAGGATTAATTAGGATCTACTTATTTAGAAACCAAGTTATCAATAACTAGGTTTGCAGGCTATAAAAATGCTCGTTAATAATATAATTTGAAATTAATGTCTAAAAGCACTGCTTGGATTTTTTCTTTCCAAAACAGCCAACACTATTGAAGATTAAGTATCAAATTATGTATGTATTTATGATTACCTTAACCTATAATGAAAGTAGGAAGTAGGAGAGCATTGTCTCTTCTTATTCTATATGTAAGCTCTTTTAATTAAAATTGCTTATTGAGCATAAAAGTCTTCTTGGATCTAACATATCCTCAAATTTATTTATGGAAAATTCAGTTAATGTCTTTTTGAGATTATTGTTATAATAATTATTAAATATGAAAGAAATTTCAGTTGACCGCTTATCAATCCAGTATAATGAAAATATGCCTTTATTTCAGCAAAAAGAAGATAGAAGCTCAATCGATGAAAATAATTTTTGCATCGAATATAGATTTTTGTCTCATAAACTTGAAACACACTCGTTCAGAAATTCTTTTATAAATCACTCAGATATCCCATCTCCAGAAAAAAGGCGAGGTATTTTGGTAACAAAAGATGTTATAAATGATTATGGCCAAACACAAATACAACTTTTTGGAAATAATGACAGTTTGCCTAAGCCAAGCCAATTAGAAAAAATTAACAACAGACATAATGATGAATATGCAGACACAAAAATTGATAAGCTTGAAAAGATTTTGCAACAGAAAATTAAAAACAAGGAAAATTTAGAAAGAGAAATCAAGATAAAAAGAAAAGAGCTTAAAAATATTGAAGCATATAGAGATAAGGCAAATAAAAAGTGTTCAAAATATATAGAAATAGATGAAAATCTTTCATTGAGCATGCAAAATCTTAAAATAGAATCAAATGATAAAAATATTTTAATCAAAGACAGCGCTAACACATTAAAAGAATTGCAAACACAGCTTGAGAAAAAAGAAGAAGAAAGCAAGTCTCTATTTTTGAAGATCGAGTTGGCAAATATACGAATAAAGGAAGCAATTTGGATGAAAGAAGAAAAAGAAACCGAACTATTTTTGCTAAAAAAATTAACCCCAGAATTCGACAGAGAGCTTCATAACTTAAATAGGATGGAAGCATTTAATACAGAACAAATTAATGAACTTCGAGATACTGAATCAGGGCTAAAGGAAATGGTATCAAATTTAGAAGATGATATAAAGGACCAAAGGAATATTGTTAGTATTTTGACCTCAACGATCAATGAATTAAATTTCAAAGCAAATAAGCAGCTTGAAACTTTACATAAACAAAAAGAAAAAAAGGCCAAATTTAAAGCAGAAATAGAAGAAATCGAAAAAAATGTAGAGAAATCGAATGAGATTTATGCGAAAAATGAAAGTGAAGTTAAAAAACTCACTCCCCCCCCTTTAAATTGGAACAAAATATCGGTAAAATTTCCACTTTTTTGGTAAATTAACCCCCCTTTAAATTGGAACAAAATTTAATTTTATAATAAAAAATTATATATAATTTTTATCTAAAAAGTTTTGATATAAGTTCAATGTTTCTTCTTAACTAAAATTTAAAAAATTTATTTATATCTTGCTCTTTTTTAAAGAAAAAAGTATAAAGAGCATCTTATTTAAATAAATTTATTATCCTTAATTGGTAAATTTTAAAAAAAAATTAATTTTTTTTTTTTAAAAATTTTCAAAAAAAATTTTTGTTTTTTTTGATAAAAAATGATATTTTTTATTTGGATAGTTTTGATATAAATTGAATAGGAATTCTTTATAAAAATTTCAAAATTTAGTTATTTCTTGCTTTATTTTAAAAAAATAGAGTATAAATAACATCTTATTTAAACAAAATTAGCACTTTGATCGATAAATTTTCCAAAAGTTTTTTTATCAATAAAAATAAAAATTTTTGTGTAAATAATTTTGATACCAATTAATAGTGGCGTATTAACTAATAATGAAAATTTAGTTATATCTTGCTTTTTTTAAAGATAAAGAGTAAATAGCGTTTTATTAAACAAAATTTATTGATCTAATTCGATAAGTTTTTGAAATTTTTATATTTTTTATAAAAAATTTTATATTGATATTTTTTTTTAAAAAAAAAATTAACCCCCCCTTTAAATTGGAACAAAATTTTTAGTTCCAATTTAAAAGGGGGGGGAAAAAATGTTGGAGACCATTAGCTGTCTTGAAGATATAAGCCAAGAAATTAGTGCATTTTATATAATTCTAGGAGAAAATTCACCTTCAAGTAGGATGACAATGACTTCTCATGGAAGAAAATCTATATGATTTTAAATGTAAATTTTAAATATGTGATAGTTTGGTATTGATTAAATTTATAAATAAGTAGCACTGAATGCCTATAAAACTAATTCTAAATTTTACTTATGTTTATCTATTTTGTTCAGAATATTTTGTATTGCTTTACAGATGAGCAATCAATTTTTATATGATAACAACTCAGATAAGTTTTAACAAATTACTAGCATACAATGTTTTAAAAGGGGCAATCAATTTAATTTAATCTTATGAAGTCAAACATACCAAATCCTTCAGAAGACAAAGAGAATTTTTGTCAGAAGCAGAAAATTTCAAACCCAAACTCAAGTGTCAGATCTTTTGGCAATGATATCACCAATTTGGTGCTCCAGCCATCCCATCTTAATGACTCTGACTCCAAGCCATCCTCAGCTGTAGAAGAATACGCCGAAGAAATATACACATATCTACAGTTAGTAGACACAACTAACAAAGCCAAATGAGGATATATGGACACGCAAATCGAAATTAATGAGCACCTAAGAGCCATTCTTGTAGATTGGCTCGTTGAAGTTGGCTCAAGAATAGACGCTTCTTCTGAAACTCTCTTTTTAACAGTCAATATATTAGACAGATACCTTGAAAAAGTGCAGGTCAAATTGAATTCATTGCAATTAATTGGGGTTTCTTCACTTTTTATAGCATGCAAATACGAAGAAACTTGAATTCCAGCCACTTCAGATCTAACACATGTTTCAGGGGATACTTTTACCTCTGACTCCGATTCAATACTAACAAACAATTCTGCTAACTCCCCCCCCCCTCCGTGAGCGAACAAAAAAATTTTGTTCGCTCACGGAGGGGGTTTAATTTTTTTTTTTAAAAAAAATTTATATATAAATTTTATAAAAAATATTTTTTTCGAATTTAAAAAAAATCCTAATTTGCAAAAATTGGGAAGCAAATATTAATTTAATTTGCAAAATTTATGTTTTAAAAACGCAATTTGTTTAAAATTAAACAGAATTAGCTCTAGATTTCATTATACTAATTATCACTTATATATCAAAATTTTTTTCCATTAAAATTTTTTCTATTAAAAAAATTTTTGTTCACTCACGGAGGGTGGGTTTTTGGGTCAAAAAATGGCGATTTTTCTAATGGTTTTGTTCGCTCACGGAGGGGGGGGGGGGAGTAAGGTTTAATTAGGGTAATTATTTTTTTTAGATGAAATAATAAAACAAAGTTTATTCATTCAAATTAGTTTATAAACTTTATCGAATCAAAGCGCAAGCTTTATTAAATAGTGTTATACTACGATCTCCTTTAAATAAAGCAAGCTAGATTTAAATTTTGATGTTAAAATTATTTAATAGAAATTATTCTTTTTACCTACAAAAGTTAAATTTGTGCTTTAATTTAAAGGTCTGAGTGAGGAAATTTTGAATATGGAAGTCAAAATTCTAATAAAATTAGAATTCAAGCTAACTGTGGCAACACCTTTTAGATTCCTTGAAAGATATGCGCAATTAGAAAATATGGATAACTTTTCTTTTAACTTTTCAAGGTATCTTATTGAACTTTCACTTGGTGATTATAATATGTTGAAGTATAGACCATCAGAAATAGCTGCTTCTTCTGTTTATGTAACTAGTAAATTATTGGGAAAACCAATTTCGTTGCTGTTATCACTTTTGAAAGAAATTGGCTATACCGAAGAAGCTTTGCAAGACTGCTCCTTAAGTTTGTGTAAACTTGTACAATCTCCTCGATCCTCTGCGCTAAGATTTATAGCGAAGAAATTTTCTGTACCTTGGCTTTCAAAAATAGCAGATATCAAAAATTTAATTTAATTTTTGTATGGTATTCAAATCTTAATTCTGAATAAATCAAATGTGTTTAAATGTTCATATACTTACACATAATAAATATAAATCTTAAATTTAGCGATTATATTAGATTTTATTCCGCTAGCAGAATTTGTTCTTTAATTGTTAAAAATATATTATTAAATTATTAATTATTAGAGACAATTCTTTCCTCCTATAAATTTTTTTCTATTAATTTATTCTTTTAATTTTTTTGGTCAAATTTGATTGCAGAGGTTTTGAATAGCTAAAATAAAAACGAAAATAAACGATAGATAAAGTTTGAGCCTAAAGTTATTATATATTTAACTGATATATAAGTTCATTATTTTATTAAAACTCTGATAGATGCTAAATTTTTAATATGATAAGAAATGTCTGAAATCGCAGACCCTTTAGAAGAATTATCTCAAGCCACAGTAACTCTGGACCCAATTCGATATTATAACACATTAAACTCATTTCCAGGCGATATATGAGATATGCTCTCCACAGAATCCAACAATAGTGATTTTTATCTAGTTTTCCATGAAATTGCACTATCTGTAATTAGAGAACAAAAGCTATTACTCTCTTCTTGCTAACAAAAATATTTTTGAAAAGTCCTACTTTTTCAGATAATTAACCCTTCTTTTCAAGCAAAATATTTTACTTATTTTAGCTAGATATATTTAATGATTATAATGATCAGATTTCTAGATAATATTATTAAATTTTAGACATTTTTCATTTGCAAATGGATTGAAAAACCTATAAAGTATTTTTTATAAGAACTTTGCAAACAATTGACTCCTTCGTTATCGAAAAAAATTTGGTCACTAGCTAGCTAAAGGGCGATATAGAGTTTTTAGATCAAGCAGTTCTATTTGTAAATATCATTCAGATAAAAAATAAGTACCCAGACAATTACGCAGAAGTATTTAAACGCCTGCTTAATCATAAAGATAATGATGAAGGAAGGACCCCACTTCATATTGCTATTATGGCAGGTCGCAGGGTAAATCATATTCAGAATCTAACATATTGTTATCTTAAACTAGGAGCAGACTGCACAATTGTGGATTCCAAAGGAAAAGGAGTTATTCATCTTGCTGCATCTGCAGGTCAGCTTGCTTTGATTGCGAGATTTCATAAAGAGTTCAAAATACCGCTAGACATCAAAGATAATGATGGGAGAACTGCACTTCATACCGCTGCTTTTGAAGGCCAAGAACAAAGCTCCACTGCGCTAATTGCCTGAAGCCAAGACATGAATGAGCAGGATAACGAAGGAAACACACCTTTACATTTATCAACATTGGCTAAAAGCTACAGAATTATAAGACATTTACTCATGCGTGGAGCAAGCAGAGAGATCAGGAATAATGAAGGCTTCACTGCATTAAACCTTGCAGAGCAGCATGGTGCATCAATTCAAATCCGAGAAGCCCTAAGCTCGCAGTCATGATTTGCTAATTTCAACCCGATTGGGACACCTTTAAAGTATTAAACTAACATTACTTATAGAGGAGTCCTCTGCAGAGCATGCAGTCAATTAAGTCCGACGCTGATCCCCGCCAAACGAAGTAAAACCCGGTCGAATGCACCTTTCCGAAGGCTGACTCCTTTCCACAAGGTCGGCCTTTCCCAATGAACCTACCGGCTGCAGATTTTAAGAAGTCAGGTTGGGCTACTACGCTATTTTAATTTGCATGCGCCTTTAAAGCCAGTTGCGAATTCATATGCAGCATTTTGTGTGTTTCTTTTTGTATTTGTAGGGAGATGAGCATCAATTTTTTTATTTGTAATACCACACTTGGAATTTTGGTTTGGGGTTGCATTTTGTGTCTCATTTGTGGCGAATTTTATATTGTTTCAAATTGCATCAAATACAAATCCTGGATATGCAGAAAGAGACCCCAAAATGAATATTTTTAGATTGTATGAGACATATAATGGCGATTTTGTGTGTGCATATTGTGAGGTTAGAAGATCGTACCAAATAAAGCATTGCCAGCATTGCAATAGATGTGTGAAAAAATTTGATCATCATTGCCCATGGATTCATAATTGTGTAGGGAAAAAGTATTCTCTATTTAGCAACCATTTTTCATTTTTTCTGTTTCTTTTGGTTATAGAAACGGATTTTTTATATACATTTATTATAGGAATTTTAGATGAATTAGAGATTGTGCAAGGTGATGGCTTGTATCATGAAATCTTTGAAAATGAACCTTGGCACTCTTGCGGTGAAACTGTATCGTTTATTGTTGGTATAATAAGCGGAGTGCTATTTCTTTTAGTTTTGCCTTTATTTTATGTCCAATTAGTAAATGTGATAAAGAATACCACAACTCATCAAAGATTTGCATATAACGTATTGTTTAAGCAGAAAACAAAAGATGTAAAAGGCAGAGAAAGTCGAGTGTCTGCAGATTCTGATACAAGTTCAATGCTCTTACTATCTCTTCTAATAAGCATGCAAATTAAGAAAATCATATATTTTTGAGAAATTAACCCTCCATGAGCAAATATAATAAAAAAATATAAATAATCTGAATTCTATAAGTCCAGCGAAATGAATTCCTGAAATAATTTATAGTTAGTGACACTGACTATATAAAAAATTAGACCAAAAAGAGGACAAAAATATTTAGTATTCTTGGAAGCGATAAAGTTAGCAAATGAAGATAATGAAATCACACATTTAACTGGGAGGCTTTCCCCAATAAGCGATAGTGAAGTATCTGTGCAGGAAACCACAACAAAATGCTTCTGCTTCAAGAAAAAATCAATAGTTGATTGACAAAAATTAAATGAAGAAGAATCAAATAAAGGATAGATGTAACTTAAATATAACTTACGCTTATTAAATATAACCCAATTTATTAAATAATAGTCATAATGTTTAATTGAAAGAATTAGCATCTTATTATAATTATAAATAGACCCCCTTGCATAAGAAACAGCATCTATTAAGTAAGTCTAATGTATAATAAATAATCTATGGAAAGCAACTCTGATCCCTCTCAGACCCTTGACCAAGGACTTTATACTCCCAAGCGCCTCAGAGGCAGAACCAATTCCAACTACTTATCTCAGAGCAGCCAAAAAAACACTTACAGAAAGCCAAGCCACCGAGCATCAACAACAAAAGAAAAGCCCAAGCGAGTTTGGAAAAAGGTTTCCAAGCATACATATAGCTACGACGAAATCCTCTCTGTCAAATCCCAAGAATCATCCCAGATCAAAAGCGACGCAATTTTAAAAATTTTAGATCGCAAATTAAAAACTGTCGGTTCTGCATGGCGAAGCACCCCACAAAAATTAAAATCCAGCAACGACGAATTGACGAAGAACTTTAAATCCCTTTTAAATAAGCTAGCCCCTACAAATGCAGAATCAATTCAAAATAAGCTTCTCGCTTTGCTTTCTCCTGAATCATCAGAAAGTCTCAGCCTTCTAATTCTAGAAAAAGCATCAGCTGAAGGGAAATATGCAGAAACCTATGCGAAGATGTGCGTAGAAATTTCAAGGCAGATTTCTTATTTCAGGAATAATCTACTTACTGCTTGTCAAGTAATGTTTGAAAATTCTCATGAGAATGGGGAGTTTTCGGACAGAAAAAAGGTGCTGGGGTGTGTGAGATTTATTGGGGAACTGTTTAAGGCAAAATTAATTCCGCCAAAAATTATTTGCAGCTGCTGCAGTTATATGCTTGAGCTTGGATCTGAAGATTCAATAGAGGCTTTGTGCTATTTATTAAGTGTGTGCAATTCTTTATTTGCTAGTCCAAGATACAAAGAAACTTTTCATCTGTATGTGGTCAAATTGCAAGAACTTGCGAAAAATTTGAGCTCAAGATTGAGGTTTCAAGTACTTGATTTGTCTGAAAATAAAGAAATCAAAACATTGGCGATACAAAAAGCTGATGCGCCAGCAATGCTTCCAAAATAATCATAAATTAAATGTGAAATTAAATATTTATTTTGGTGTAAATTGTTTTTAACACACAGTAAATTAAAAGAAGCTTTTAATTTAAATATTTTTCGCGCTAAACATATTAGCAGCCACATCTATTATCACTATGGTACGTATATAATTGCTGCAAATCCAATTTCACTCCTTTTCCACTCGGCTTAAGTAACTCTTTCGGCTCATCTTTGAGGCTATGTCTACCTAATGCGTTCCCAATGGTTTTATCAAAAATTTTTTCTATCCCACCCACAATTTTATCTGGATTCATCTGGACTTCTCTATCCCAAAATGCTGAAGTTTCATGGTATACAAGTCCATGGGCATTTGCATACCTCATGGCTTCTTCACGTGATACCCTTCTATGATTAGTTGCTTCCAAGTCCATTTTGTTGCCTAGTAAACAGACAATGCATTCTTCAGGAGTATTGTCTTTAAGTTCAGCAAGCCAGTTTGGTACCTCTTCAAACGATTCTTTGTTTGATATATCGTACACTATTATGCAGGCATCAGCACCTCGATAATAATGCTTTGTGACGCTTTTGAACCGTTCTTGGCCTGCTGTATCTCATATGTGGAGTTGGACTTTTTGTCCTGTAGAAATGCTTGTAACAACTCTTTTCGTGAATTCAACTCCTATAGTTGAAGTAAGGGCTACTGGAAGCTCATTCAAAACATAGCGGTAGACTAAAGCAGTTTTTCCTACGTTGGCTGCTCCTATGAGGACAACTAAATATGTTTTACTTTTTAATATCTCACTAAAACCTTCTGCTTCCTCAAAGGCCATATTGTATTTTTTTGAATCATCTATTTAGATATAGGCTCAATAAATAAAGTTAGATAGGAGGGTAAGTTTGGTTATCTTTTTATTTAGTTAAAAAATAGTTTTTAAACGATTTGAAATCAAAATTTATTTATGCTATTTATTATACTAGCATTAGCTCTCTTCAAATGCAATATAAATTAAAATTATGAAAAATCATATAATGACACAAATAAGCAGTGGAACCGATATAGAAAAACTAGTGGAGAAGCACAGAAACAATATGAGCAAATATCGACATTTACTCAATCAGCCAGTCAAAGATAAGTCTTCAAATCCTCAAGACACATTAAGTCGAATAGAAAGCAAATTTGGAATCTCATTATCAAAAAAACAGGCAGATGAAGAAGAAAAAAGGTTAAGTGAATCTAGAGTCGTGACTGATGAAAAAATCAAGATCTGGATCCAAGAAATTAGGAATAAATACAGACCTACAGAAACCACATCCTCATTAACCTCCAAAGAGGCCACTCCCATTGCATCGCCTAAAAATGATATTGAAAACGATCACCTTATTGACTTTACTCCTGTAAAAGCTCCGTTAATTGACTTAACACCAACTAAACACGAAAAAGAAACTACACCTACAAGTTCACCTAACAAAACGTTGCTTGAGCTTGAAGGGTTAGAAATACCACCAATAAAGCAGAAGGTCGAAAAATACATTGATTATAGTAAAGAAATAAATGACAGCCCATTTGATGGTGCTTTATCTATTGAAGATTTAGTTTCAGAGCCTGGAGAATTCCAGTCGCCATCATCAAATTTAATACCAAAGCTGGATTTGTCAGGGTCAGCTCATAAGCCACCAAGGAAAAAGAGCTTAGATACATCAGACAGCCATATTCAGCCAATTTCGGATAGAGATGAGCATAATAGGTCTTTTAATGAGAACTCAATGAGTATGTCATTTAGAAGAGCAAATGCTGAGCATATGATAAGCAAAGCTATAAGTGACATTATCACCAAAAACCTTGGGATTTCACTACATAGAGCTAGCAAAAAGGCAGAAAAACCAGTAGAAAAATCACCGATTTTATCATTTGACCAGTTTTTGGCCGATGCAAGCAGAGAAGTTCAAACAATCCCGACTAAAATCCCATCAAGGTTTAGTCCAATTGTGAAAACTGTAAATATTGATAAGATTTATCAAGAGGATTCTATTTTGCAGCAATTAACTTCAAGAGAGAAAAGTATTTTAATTGAGCTTCAAGAACTAGAAAAAGAAAAAGCTAAGCTCCTCTCTATGCTGTAATATTGCCCTTAATTTAAATAAATGTTGCTAATCTTTTATTATTGATTAATTTGTAGAAACTCTTCAGCTCTCCTAAAGTGGAAAAAGCAATAAATCCCAATATCCCTTTATATTAGACTAATTCTCAACCATCTTGTTATAATGCATTAAGCAAGCTTGTTTTATCTTTAAATCCTTTATATGCGCTTTGCATCATTCTAGTTTCCTCATAAAATCTTTAATTTATAAATGGGCTTATCCAACTCCAAAGACTCTCATTCTGAAGTAAACAGTGGGGTTACTTCCCAGCTTTCTGAAGCCTTAAGGACTTCAAACTCTTCAAGAATCCGAGAAATTATAACAGAAAACAACATTAATATCAATGAATTAGTTTTCACAGTCAATGACATCGAAATGACACCTCTAATGTATGTAGCTGCCTTTGATAAAGCAAAGCTAATACCTTATCTTGTTAGAGAAATGCATGCAGATGTTAATAGAGACTACAAAGGAAACACTGTTCTCACCTTTTGTATTATCAATAACTTGTCTGCAGGATTTTATGAAACAGTGCAAATGCAAGAAACAAATTTGAATCAGTGCACAAGCCAAGGAAAATATGCAATTGTAGAAGCAAGTAGGCAAGGAAAAGATCCTGCATATTTTATTGGCTTGGCTAATAAAGGTGCTTCTTGTGAGCCACTTACTCCTCTCTCAAAAAATAATAGAACATAGAGAAATCGTATTTTTGAGAAATTAAACAAAGAAATAAAAAAAATTATATATAAAATAATTATTTTTTTTGACTCTATAATTTTTACTAAATTGAAAACAACTATATATAAAAATCTGAAAAGCAAAAGAATATTCTTCTAAAATAATGTGAACAACAAAAAATTCTGTTTATTTATCAGCACCAAGAGTCAGGAATCTGCCTGGCTCTTTTCAAATGATAAGGGAAGCTCTTGAGCATCTTCCAAACTCTAACAATTAAAAATAATCAAAAGCTTATTTATTAATTTTTTTAAAGCCTTATTTATGTGTATTACTTTAGCAGTTCCATTATGAGTCAATATCCATTTCTTCATCTTCGAGTGTTTTAGGATCATAAGTGGTCTCATAATTTTCAGGCACATTTTCCCCTTCTTGCAGCTCTATGATTTCTTCTTGGACCACCCTTGCAGTTCCACACTCCATTACATTTTTGATCAAGGCTTCAACCTTGGAGACTTCTTCTGGATTCTCTTCCACTTCCCTCTTAAAGAACCTTGAAGTGATATTGTGAGTCCCTGGGGTAATTCCAGACTTTACTTTGTATTTTTCGCCTTTGATTAGCATTCGGCTTAAAGAAGTCTCTATTTTATTTCTTACTTTTGGCTCTAGGATTGGTTTTTTCGTGCTCAGGGACGATATAAAGCAGCTGGGAGATATCTGATGTTTTGAAGCAGTTTATGTAGTCCAGAGTTTTATGTGTTTCAACTATGCAAGGCAGGTCTAGTAAAAATCCAACTGATTCCAGTGTGTTGAGCTTGATTTGAAAGAATCGGCCAGGGTCTTCATCTGAGTTGTTGTCAGGGATGATTTCAAGCTTTGAATTTGGGTCTAGCTCTCTTAGCCAGTCTTCGGGTACTCGTAAAATTAAATGCTCTTCTGGGTTCATTATAAAGGGGATCTATTAATGGATAATGCCATAAAGTGAAGAAACTAATAATCATAGGTATAATAGTAGCTTATTTAGATAAGAATTGATTGTATAGCTCTCCTGTCTATAGCAAACAAATTTCATTTGCAAATATTTTAGTCAGGATATTATTGAATAAAAAATAAATGCTTTTGCATTGAAATTCAGAGAATTTACCTATGCTTAAAATGAACAGTTAATAAATGAATCAGCCGAAGATTAGAGAAAGTCATTAATGCTTAAATAAGTAAGTAAAATAAAAGCTTAGCACTAGAATATACACCATCTTTCTCATTCTACATACCTTCTAATTATTTCTATTTTCTAAAGCTTCTTTCAATTGCTCTAACAAATACACTTGGTCATTATGCTCCATGCTCATAACTTGAACCATCACACTTGCAATTGAGGGTGGCTTCTTCAATACAATGGAATGTATCCATACGAAAGTAAACATCCCCATCATAATTTGGCAGTCCATTCTATCAGTAATTCCTCCATGTCCTGGTATAGAATCTCCAAATACTTTTAAATTAAATGCTCTCTTAACTCCCGATGCGAAAAATCCTCCGAAAGGTGCAATAAACCCTGCGAAAACCCCTAACACCATTGCATGAAGTTCTAATGATGAAGCATTTATAGTGCTTAAGCCGATGTATTGAAATACCCAAGGCAAAATTCTTTCTTTTTTCATTAAAATATCTTCAGAGTTGCAAGTTAGACTTGTAAAAGGCGTTAAAATAATTTCTGGCTGAGGACATAAGAAATAATCGTATTGAGCCAAAGCATGAGAAAGCTAAATAATAAATACGATATAAGCAGAAATTATTGTAGACAGTAAGCCTCCTATGAAACCTTCTAGAGTTTTGTCAGGAACTACCTTTATAAGCTGGATTCTTCCAAAAAATACTCCGAAAATGTAAGAAAAACAATCATTTACGACTACTAATAGGGCAGGCAGTAAAAACCAAATTAATCCAGTGTAAATGTTCATAAGAATTGTAGTGCTTTGTGTGACTACAAGCAAGCAAGCTATATGGGTTCATGCGAATATCATAAACTGATATTTATAAGACCCTTTTCTCAGTGAAATCACAAATAATACAATTCCTAGAACATAAAGAGAGAAAAAAGTTACATAATGATATTGATATAAAAGCTCAATTGCTGTGCCTCCTAATAGTAAAATTCGTTCTTCAAGTAAAATTGAAGTTGTGCACAACTCTGTAAGAATAAAAAAGTATCAGTTATTATATTAGTAATGAATTAATTTAGCACCTATAATATATGTTTCCTTTAATATTAAAATAATAATAATAATTATAGCCTGTTCCCGGCTATAGATCGGGCTATGCCGATTTTTGCCGGGAAACTCGGGGTTTTGTCTGCGTCACTTCGGGGTGACGAGTCAACTCCCCGAGTTGGCAAATAGCCACCATTAAGTGATTTGCCAACTCGGGGAGTTGACTCGTCACCTCGAAGTGATGCAGACAACCCCCCGAGTTTCCTGGCAAAGATCGGGCATAGCCCAATCTATAGCCGGGAACGGGCTATATCGTTATATTATATAAAAGAAAGGAAGCTTTGAATCCCTCTGTTCATTTCTTTTGATCGACAAGATTTCTTTATAAATAAAAGTATTCGCCAAAAGTACTAATAAGCAACAATACAGATGACCTGCAGCTACAATTAGCAAAAATCCTCCAAACATAAGCAAAGTCCATATGGTTCTTGTTTTAAAAGACTCAAGTCTGGCTTTAAGAGGTCTTTCGGATGGGTGAATATCGGCTGTGCTGTCAGATTCAGATGATTCAAGCTCATTAAGATATTTTCTTTTAATCAAGGGCTTTGTAGGAAATTTTCGATGCTGCTGAAAATCATCAATTTTCTTTTTATGATAAGACATCTTTTGGTTAAAATAATAGATAATATTAAAATTTCGGATTGCTAGGAAAAGCCTCTGAGAGTTTATTTCTGCTGCCTTTTTCAGTCAAAAATGGCTGATTTCTTTCTCTATTTGGTTTATATTTTAAGGATTTAGAATCAAAATTACAGCAAGTCTTTATATATTATATCTTTAAGGCCAAATCTCCAGCTATAATAATTAGATCTGTCAAATACTTTTTAAAAGTTTTTTCCTGGAAAGATTGAGGAAAAAAACGGAGCAAGGTTTTTCTTGCATACTTTTTTGTAAAACGTGTTGAATTTTTCCTGGAATAAAACAGGAAAAAATTTTCAGCCATTAAAGATTGTAAAGGCGACAGGAAAAAAACCCTCACTCCTCCCCTTTAAATTGGAACAAAATATCGACAATTTGCATTTTTTGGGTACTTATGTTGGAAAAATTTATTTTTCAATAAAAATTTTAAATATTTGTTTTTAAAAAGCTCCTTTAAATTGGAACAGGAATTTTGTTCCAATTTAAAGAGGGAGAGCCAGTTTCTTTTTGGCACAACCCAAAATTTATTGTATTACTAATTTGATAGCCTTATTTAAAAGATAATGAACTTACTATTTAGCGAAATCTTGCTTAATGTTAGAAATTTAAAAAATTTTATATATGAGCCACAGAAATCTGAAAATATTGATATAAAGGATCAAATTCCGGCTAGTTTTGGCCAACTAATGGCATTGCAGCTTTCGTTTGGGTCAACTCGGAACCCTCTACTATCTTGTTTCTTACTGTCAGGATGCTTGCTTCAGCAGAGCTACTGCCAGTCACACGAACTTTCCTTCTAAATGACTTTTTCGAAGTTTTGAGTTCCAAGTTGCAGACGTCATCATTATACTCTTTAACTAGATGGACTCGGCTCGATGCTAAATGATTGATATTTTTTGATTGTACATCATTTTCTTTGAAAATTTATTTGAAATTTTTTGATAGCAAGAAAAAGACAGTAAATTTCGACCTATTTTCTTCGAAGAAATGCACACTGTCAAAAGTAGACAATCATTAAGCCTGCACCCGAAGGATTCGGCTTGTGGGCAAATTGACTCGAGCAGCTTCTGCCACTTAACATTGCTCTAGATGCTTGTCTCAAGATCGCTTCGAACAACTTCATGAAGGTATCCTGGCCCAATGAAATTTTAGTACAGGTGGAAAATAAAAAAGTTTCAAATAGAAAATATGCAGCTTTTGAAGAAAAAACCCTCCTACATAAATAATTGAGTCAAGCGGAATTTATCGCTTGGGTAAATTACGTTTAACCCATAAAATTTGATTGATAGAATTGCTTGGGAACTCTATCTTAACCATTTACTCATATAAATTTAAAATGAAAATTGGCATAATTATTCGCGTAATTATCCAACAAAATGGATTTATATGCAGAATTTATTAATTTCATGTCTTTTTATTAATTTCAAATATAAATATTGTATAATATAAACTGAATTTGTATAAAAAGCTCAATAATAAGAGAGATTTAATCAAACTATTTGGTAAAATGCATTACCTATCCTCATTTATACATAATTTATATCCAATTTAATATATTAGTTATATCCTAATTATTGATTCAAATAAGCAATTCATATTTTAAAATATCCCAAAGTCAAAATATGAAATATTACTCAATTTAATAAATGAGACTCTTTGTTCTTTTAATAGGGTTTATTTCAGCATGCAAACTGCCTTGTCTTTTAAGCTGCAAATCTGAAACCTGCTTGAACGATTGCGGATGTAGTACTTCTTCCACCTCAACTAAAATCATTGATTCGATGGCTATCACACAGACCAAGATATCGACTTTTGAAGGAATTTCCAATTGCACCATGGAAATCATAAAATATTGCAGCAAAGAACTGCAAATTGAAGATAAAAACAAGTGCTTAATATCTGCTGGATGCTCTGATGAAACCTCAAAAGTAATTTACACCAATTGGATGAAAGCTAATATGGACGAAACTGAGTGTATTGAGTCTTGCACTAATTATTGCAAACAGCAAACTACAATAAACATAGATAAATGCTTAAGCCAATGTTTAAAAGACCAGTGTGTAAGCACTGAGCCAGAAGATTCAGATAATTCTTTAAATGCAATTTATAAAGCTAAGGAGAGCTCAGTATTATCTTATTGGAAATTTGCTGCTTTATCAGTTTTGACTACCCCACTTTTAATCTTCTTGTATAAGAGGCTTAAGACAAAAGAAAACTATGAAGGCTACATTAGATTAAATTAATTTAAATAATTTACTATTAATGCTAATTTTCCAAATAGATTATATTAACGACTAAATAACAAATTTTATATTAAAACCTCTGCAATCTCTACCATTTGAATTGCATCCAAATCTGTATAATCCATTTTCAGTTGAATCATATTAAAATAGTTTGCTATAATAAGCATATTTATGAAATCTTTTGAATTATCCTACCAAAATTCATATGACTCTCCAAACCATCCCACATCATCACGAAAAACCACCATTATGTCTCTCTCCCAAGCCATCATAAAATCCTCCCATCTGGCAGATAGTAAAAGAATCCAACTTCCCAACAAAAACATAAAGCAAATTGATCTTCTTAATCCTATGTACCATAGCATCACCTACTTAAACCTCGCCGATAACTACATATCTGACATCTCATATTTAACGCAATTTTACTCTTTGAAAATTTTGAATTTGTCAAACAACAATATTGATCGCATAGAATCGCTTGAAGTTTTCGAAAAACTCCCACAGATAGAAGAACTTGACCTTTCAGTGAACCCAATTTGCTCAATTCCTATATACAAGCACCATTTGATTTATTATTTGCCTTGCCTAGAAAATTTAGATTTAGAAGAAATCCAGCCAGAAGACCGACAGTTGGCTGATAAGATTATAAAGAAGCAAGAAGGACTGACGAATATTATCATGAATAATGAAGAAATCATTATTAAGCTCGACAATTTGAAGAAAAAATTAAGGATGCATAGGCAGATGATTATAAATCAGTTTTTGACTGATTATAGAGGGGTTGATGTAGGGCTTTTTGTGTCGACATTGCAGCTGCAGCTGCCTGAGGAATTTAGGTCTGATGTAAAAATATGGGTGATTGCAAAAGTTAATGAAATCTTAGATGGAATGCCTGCAGAAAGCAAAGATTGGGATTGGGCTTGAAGTGAATGCTTGGTGCTCCAAAAAGATAAAATAGTGAAGCTTACAGATTTTTGTGAAGAACTTGCAAAAGAATGCTTAAATCTATTCCAAGGAAGAAACCCGCAAAAGCAGCAGGATTATTTGCAAGGCTCTTTTGTATTATCGACTGAAGACAAATCATCATCATTTACTAGACCATTAGATTTTGTCAGCACATTTAGTGGAAACCAAAGAAGCACGCCTAATACTTCTGATTTTTTCCAGCTGAATACTTCAGGCCATGAATATAATATTATTGATGAAGAAACTCACAAAATTGTAATCCAAAGAAAAAACAGCAGAGAAAAAAACGAAGCATTAATGCTGCCTATCGCGCAAAATGGTGAGCTTGATGACCATCTTGAATATATAAAATGCAAAAGCTCTGACACAAATGCTATGCAAATTACAATTAGAGAAGGATTAAATATAGTTACAGACAGATTTAAAAGAAATCAACTATTGAGAACTATTTTTACAAAATTTGCTATGAGAACCCAAAGACAAAAAAAAATAAGAACTTGGACTAGCAAAAAGAAAAATAAAAAAATTTATGATTTAAAGAAAAAGATTTTTTATTCGCTTAAATGATTTAGTAAGACAGAGTTTCTAATAAGAGATGTTCGAGAAAAAAAAGCATTTTTGTACTTTGAAGCTTGCTTTAAATCATGAAGAATATTCACAGGAAAAGAGTTGCTTATTAGAGATATGCAGGACCAAAGAAATTATAGGCTAAAGCATAAGATTTTTCAGAGGATGATTATGTATCCATTAATGAACAGAAAAACACTTTTGAAAAAGCAACGGGCAATTGTAAATCATTCTCATTTTATAGGCTTGAAAATTCTGAAAGAATGAAGTTTATATGCAAAAAATAATCACCAAAAAGAATCATTTGATACAGTGTCTATGACAAGCAATCATTATAAGAAAATATTGAAAAAAAGAGCTATGCATGCTTGGTGTGCATGGCATTTTGCAATCGCTATTCCAAAAAAAGAAAAAATATGTATAGCTGATGCAATTTATGATCAAAATACTAGTATTAGAGGGCTGAAATTGCTGAAAAATAATGTGAGATTAAGACATGAGCAAACAAAAAATGCCTTGGATTTTGCCGACAAGCGAATTTCAAGAGTCAGCAAAAAATGTCTTCAAAATTGAAAAAATTGCTGCAAAAAAAATAATTCGCTTGCCTTATCTGACCTTGATGCAAGTGATAAATTCTCAATGAAAAATTATATACAAAGGAAAAGGACACCTCTAAAGTCAAATATTGATAAAGAAAAGGTAAAAGCGCTTCAAAACAAATTGATTAAGGTTCACATGAAAAGCAAGGGCTGAAAATTAAAATCAAAGATATTTAGCACATGAAAAACAATAATAAAGAATAAAAATGCTAACTCACCCCTCCGTGAGTGAATAACAAAATTTTGTTCGCTCATAGATGGGGTTAATTTTTTTCGCGAAATTTAAAAAAATCCCAATTGGCAAAAATTGGAAAGCAAATATTTATTTAATTTGTAAAATTTATGTTTTAAAATGCAATTTGTTCAAAATTAAACAGAATTAGCTCGAGATTTCATTATACTAATTACAATTTATATATCAATTTTTTTCCAAAAAATTTTTGTTCGCTCACGGAGGGTGGGCTTTTGGGCAAAAAATAGCGATTTTTTTAATGGGTTTGTTCGCTCACGGGTGGGGAAGTAAAGAGAAGATAACAGGCTTTATGCTTAAAAAATACCAAAAAGCAATATTTTTTTACAAATGGCTTAGCACGCCTTCCAGAAACTCAAATTCTCTATCCCAGACATCTTTAACCCAAAGAGAGCAAAACATTAGTCACAAGCTCAACAAAATGGAGCTTTCAGTCCAAAAAGCAAGAAAAGACCTTTCAAAATATCAAGATTATGACCCATCTGATTGGCTAAGTGAAGTTAAAAAGTTAAAATCATGCTTAAACTCAAAACAAATCGAACTTCAGGATTTAGAAGTAAGCCTGAGAATGAATAAAACTAGCCATCGAGATGATGTATTAGAAACAGAGGAAAAAGAGGAAAAAGAGGAAAGCTATAGAAATGAAGCCAAAAAAATTTCAACTGATTCTAATAAGCTAAATAAGCCAAAAGATCGAGCTCTTAATAAGAAAGATCTAAATTTCCCTGTAAATTGAAACAAGATATCGTCCTTTAAATTTCTTTTTCATTAGGAAAACTTTATCAGATGGGAAGTACTAATTTTATAAAATTAGTTTTTGCCTAATTTAATAGACAGAATGAAAGTAGAATGCTATTTAAACAGTTCTCACACTGAATCGATTAGCTTTTTGGCATAAAAATAAATTAAAATTCAAATTATTGTGCTCAATTTATATTTTTTTTAAAAAAAAATAAAAGTTGAAAATACAAATTTTTATTGACTTAATTTAAAGACAAAAATCAATTAAGATGCTATTTACACATTTTTTACTCTGGATAAATTAATCTTTTATTTAAATTCTTCATAAAAATGTTTTAAAATTCAAATTATTATGCTCAATTTATATATTTTTAAGATTTAAAAAATTTTTTATAGATAAAAATTTAATTATAATTTTTTTAAAAAATAAAATTTAATAAACCCATCTAAATTGTGACAATAAAAGGGGGAGTAAGAGAAAATCGATATGAGAAGCAAAAAAGATCACCTATAATAATGCCATTAAGGTCAATAACTCCAATTGAAGAAAAATGCTCATCCCCGTATACACCTCCGAAGATTAATTCAATTAAGGAAGAAGCCAGAATGAGAGAGCATCTACACAAATTAAAATACGAACGCTCCATAATTAGAGAGGAAATTGAAGAAAGAATTAGAAATATAACCCCTAAGAAGAAAGAAGACATATCTTTAGATAACATTAGTATGAGACTCAATCTCCTAGAAGCCAAGCTTGTGTCAAAACTAAAATAATATAAATAATATTTTTAACACAGATTCTTATTTAAAATTTGAGTATAAATTAAGGATTTTAGTTATTAAACTGAAATTCCGCTAAGTTTTCCTTCTTGTTGCCTTGCTTTGATGTAGTTCAAAGTAGTTCTTAGATACGATTTGATATCCTTAATGCTAACTCTATTATCTCCTTCTTTTTCAGCTGTTGCAATACTGTCTTTAGTCGCCTGAATTAGCTGATTCACGGAGTCTTCTTCAAGAGTGCTTACCCCTTGTAAAAGATAATAAAGATATTTATTGATCAAAGTTAAATATAAATTGACTGAGTTCTTATGAGTAATGCATATTTCTGCAATTTTCACAGCTTTTCCTAACTTCCCTCCCTTTTTAGCGAGTAAAATCATTAGAAAATCCCCTCTTACAAATAATAGCTGGATATATAATTAATAATTCTAATAATGAGATCCTAGCTAGCTATATTAAATTAAAGCAGAATTCTCCCTAACTCCCCCCCCCCCCTCCGTGAGCGAACAAAAAAATTTGTTCGCTCACGGAGGGGGGTTAATTTTTTTTTTTTAAAAAAAATTTATATATAAATTTTATAAAAAATATTTTTTTCGAAATTTAAAAAAATCCTAATTTGCAAAAATTGGGAAGCAAATATTAATTTAATTTGCAAAATTTATGTTTTAAAAACGCAATTTGTTTAAAATTAAACAGAATTAGCTCTAGATTTCATTATACTAATTATCACTTATATATCAAAATTTTTTTCCATTAAAATTTTTTCTATTAAAAAAATTTTTGTTCACTCACGGAGGGTGGGTTTTTGGTCAAAAAATGGCGATTTTTCTAATGGTTTTGTTCGCTCACGGAGGGGGGGGGGGGGAGTAAGCATTAATTTATAAATTAATAGATTTCATTCAAATTTTGATTTTTTAATTTTTTTATATATAATCTAAAGCATTTTAAAAATGATAATCCTCAAGAAGGAAAAATTTTTTCTCTAGCCAACTGGGGAGTAAGCAGTCGCTGATGATTCTTTCATTTTGGTTGAATTCATTATAAAATAAATGGGTGCAAGAGCTTAATCCAGTGCATTGGTCATGCTTCTTAAACTGTCTAAGTGCTTGCTGAGTGCATAATTTAACAAGAGAATCTGAAGTGTCGTCATCAAAACAATTTAATGTCACCAAAGTTGCACATATTAAATCAATGGCTGCATGTTTTGCATACGAATCAGCGAGTTCTTCTTTATAAACATAAAATGCTTGCTCTACAAATTCAAGAGCTGTGTGCTGGTATTTATTATTTTTGAATTGATTTATTAGCTGTAAGCACTGCAGATTCAGCTTAAGGGCAAGATCAGGGTTATTTTCTGAGGTTTTGCTTACTAATTCTGCTAACTCCCCTATTTAAATGAACAAAATATAGGGAAATATTTCATTTTTTTTGGAAATTTAGCCTTTTTAAAATGTAATTCCAATAGGAAATTTTATAGACGAACATAAATTTTTATAAGATTAGTTTTGACTTAATGGGAAAACTGCAAAATTTTTGATTAAAATTAAATTCAAAAATATTAAAAGTTTTAAAAAAATTTTTTTATTGAAGAAAAATTAACCCTGCTTTAAATTGGAATAAATTTTTGCTCCAATTAAAGGGGAGAGCAAGACTTCGAGCACTTGCTCCAGATGAGTATTCCAGCTATCTTCAGAAGCATTCAAAAGTTTAGCGAAATTAATATAAGCAAATATAAGTGATGGGAAAGTGTATTTTATTCTTTTATCCCCTCCTTGCGAAAACCTCTGCTTAAGAAGACTCAGTATTTTGTAGTGAGTATCAAGATCAGCTGACTTTACAAGATGAGAAAGCTTTGCAATAGTGTTTTGTTCATCTTCAAACTCATAAGCATCAGCTCCTTCTTCTGAGTCACTTGTATCAAATAGCAAAGGTGACACAAATTCAAGCAGCTGAGTTGTTGTTTCAAGCGTATCAAGACTTTTCTTGCTCACAACCACTGACTGAACAATCTTGAAGGCGACTTGCTTTCTTGAAGAAAACGGCAGATAAGTCATTAGTTTTGGATAGTTGTTTAGAGTTAAAATAGCGAATGATAAAGTTTCTAATGGGAAAGAAAGGAGCTTGACTATCGATTTAAGAGATTCAGGATGGATTCTGTTTTCTGGGGTACTTTTGTCAATAAGTGAAACGCAAGATTCTAGGATAGTGTTAACGTTGTTTGTATTTAATGAGTAACACTTCAGTGAGAGCTTCATAAAAGCGACTTGTAATAAAAGAAGCTTTTTTGTATCAAGAGAACTTTCTTGATCGGAAACAACTTTATCGATGTAAGCCTTAATTAAGCCAAAAATGTCAATTCTTTGCACAACTTCAAGCTCTGCTTCTCCTGCATAGTCTGAAAGTCTGTTAAGAAGAGTAATCACAATGGATTGGATATCTACAGTTGGCTGCAAATTGCTGCAAGCTTCTAGCAGAGGCTGAAGTGTATGTAGGTGGAAATCCGGTGACAATTGAGAGGTAAATTTTTTTATCAATATTTTTTTAAAAAAAATTAACAATCTTGCTGAGTAGATGTCTGACTATCAAAAATATTTGGAAAATTTGTGTATCTGAGTGACTTCAAAAAAGTGCTGGGCGAAATTCATGCAGCCGTGGAAATCATCAGAAAACGCCTGTATAATGCAATCCATCAGGTATTGCTGAGAAATAGCATCTTTATTCGAAACGGCAATCTCTAATATCTTAGGGAGCACTAATTCTTGATATACATCAATATTAACTCCTTGTAAGCTTGACAATCTATTGATATTTTCTCCTACAGTCACTCTCAAGTCATTTCTTTCTTTTTCTCTCTTTGTTTTGTCCTTCACAGACCCTGTATGCTGCATTCTGATCCAAAGTCTGTTCATTTCAGACAAATTCTGCACCAAAAAATCAATTGAATCAGTGACATCTCCATCTCCAAAATCTGAGCCTTTATCAGGAAGCTTGTCCTTACACACTTTATTAAGATAATATCTTAAGAACAGCCCTCTTAGTGGATGTTGGACACCTTTTACCATTTCAATGAGGTCTTTCAATATATCCTTGGCTGGGAGCTCTTTGGTTTGTATATATACTGAGCCTACAGTGATTAAGAGGTAAAGTCTGGGAAGAATGCTGATGGTATGCTGGACTTTCTCATAAAGCTCTACAATTCTTGTACCCCTGCGGGACTCTTCTCTGAAAAACGCCTCAATTCTGCTCAGTTGATCAAAAACCTGCATGTAGAGCTCATAATAAGACCTCGGAGATAATAATGAAGTGCGAAGTTCACCTATCATATTAGAAGCATGCTTTAAAGCCTCATTCAAGTTATTAGAATCAAGAGCCCTCTGCATATGATACGACTCGTCTTTAACTACAGAAATTGCGTCTTCTAAACACTTGGTCTGGTCCTCGTCCATTTAATTCCACAATATATGGAATAAATAATTCCATATGGAAGAAATATTTTCCTATAAATTTTTATTATTTATATTAGTTTACACGCACTTCAGACACTCGTAAAGAGTTGATTGGCGAGGCGTCCATATAATTAAAAATGGACTCATAAAGTTCGCTTCCAAGTAGCCCTTTGACCGAAAGCTCGCCTTCAGAGAAGTCTTCTTTTTTTGCGCTGTGTCCATCAATTGGCAAGCTAAGGACGTAGCCTTTAGGGTCTCTTTCAAAAATGATATAGTCGAACGTTGGGTTAGCTTTTCTGTATTCCTCCATTTTATGACGGGCATAATGGGCGTCTCCTATGATTTCTCCAGATTTCCTGACCCACTCCACTCTGTGCCGAGTCCAGTTTCTGAAGCCTTCTAAAGCTTTTCTAGCTGAAGAGTGAGAATTGAATCTGAGGAAAGCGTAATAATTTGTGTCCCCATCCTCCTCTTCAGTTCCCATCACCACTTCTAAAATTCTTGAAGAATTGTTGAACAGCTCCCTCACTTTATCAGAAGTTTCATCTTTATGTAGCCCTGAAACTTTTAAAATCCTGCTGAGAGAGCTAGCAGTTTCGTCTAACTGCTTGTAAATGGTATTGTACAAGTTTTGGTACTTTTCAAAATCATTTACAAATAAACCGCGGTGGGTCTCCAAAAGCTTGCAGGCTTCAGCGGTTTTGCCTCGCTGGTGCAATAAACTGGCTAAGTCCTTAACTGCGCTTTCTACTCTATCGCCTTGGGCTATGGCTTGCTTGTAGTAGAGCTCGGCCTTTTTGTAATCTTTGTCTTTGTATTCAGCTTGTTTGGCTTTGGCATATGGATTGTCTCCGTGGGGGATTGGAAGTGCTTTGGCTGGGTCACTATCGGACGTGGAGGAGGCTGAGTCTTTTTTGAATTCTGGTGGTGAGCCTGGCTTTTTGGGGCCTTTTTTGGTGAAGCCTTTTTTAAGTTTCCCTTCGGTGTGATAAAAGACTGTATGTTTTGGTTCTTCTGACGATCGCATTTCTGACATAAGCATTATAGCCCAGGAGCGATTTTTGGTCGCTCTGGGCTAGGAGAAGGTTCAGAAGCCCCCGAGTTGGGTTTTCAACTGCAGTTGACAAACCAACTTGAGGAGTTAGCATATACGCTTTATATGAGGCATTTGTCAAATTGAGTTGAAAATCCAACTGGGGAATTTCTTAGCCTTCTCATAGCTTAAGGCAGTCAAAAATCGCTCCTGAGCTATATTTATTAGATAATCACACCATATTCGAGCTGATAAGATAGTGATTCTTTTTTTTAATGGCTAGGAGAAAATGGATTTTCTCAAAGTAGATATCAAATTTGAAGGTGGCCTTAGTTGGAGATTTTTAAATTATTTAAACATAAATGGGGTTATGAAGATGGGATATAAAAGTTCTATGGAATTTGAAAAGCCAATTTTTCGAATTCTAATGGAAGCTAATTGAAGATATAATAAAAATATAATCTTTGGCAAAAAATAAGTAAAAATTAGGAATAAATTTTGTAAATTATAACTCTGAAAGAAAGTCAGTATTTGTTAAGCAATTAACATAAATAATTTAAATAGCTAAAATAAATATGGTTCTTAAAGTTATTAAAGTTATTAAAAATGGGGCAAATATAAATTTTAAAATAATGAATTGCGAATTTATGAATGACTAATTTAATAATTGGAGAAAGGTTTAAATTTAAATAATTAATCCTAGATTATAGAAAAAAATTTTATTAAAATAATTTGATAAGCTCAAGTGCTAAGATAAACACTTAAATAATTGTAAATCATGAATAAGTAGCTTATTTAATATTATTCCAAATGAAATAATCCTGTTAGTTATCAAGATAATTAAATATATTCCAGATATTCAATTATGCTATTAAGGGCTATATTTTTAAAATAAATTTCTTTAAATTTAAAAATATGACAGAGATTATAAAAGGAAAAGATTAACCGGTAAAAATGATATAAAAATCACAAAATCTTGATAAAAAATTTATAACTTATATATATCCAGCTTAAAATCTCAGAATCATTTTGATTTTATTTGTCTAATTTTTCTTTTCATTTAAAATCAAAACCTTAAAATTCTACTCTGTGGCAATTTTGAGGCATTTGAATTAAGACATTATAGCATGAAAATGAATTTTCATGCTCTATATCTAATAAATTAACATGTCCGGAATAAACAGCCGCAATCGAGTTGCATCATTCAAAGAGTTCCTCAATTCCAATCCTTCAATAGAGGAAATTTTGTCTAACGATTTTACAGAGGATGAAATTATGAGTGGGAATGTTCAGCTCGCAAAATAGTAAATTTTATGGTTCTTTTTTATTCATTTAAATAATTAGTTTATTAATTAATGTCTCTTGTAAAGCAAACACCTATAGAAAAAAATTGTAAATAAATCAAAGGATTCTGAAAAATGGATTTTATTTAAAAGTTACTAATTTTATACAGTATTACCAAAGACCATCTAAAAGTTTTACTCACAATGATCACAGAAGAACCTCCTGAAGATGCTGACCAGAAAAGAGCTTACAAATTTCCTCTGGTAGCAAGCCAATTTTTTGCAGGTGATCTCAACCGTGTCCTCGACTTACTATTCGAAGACGAATCACTTATTCAAACACTATTCAGTTTTCTCAACAAATCAGAAAAGCTAAATTACCTGCTTGCTGGGTATTTTCGGAAAGCTTTTGATGGCCTATTGTCAAGAAATCAAGGAGCGATTTTGAAATTCGTTTACACAAACAGCTATCATACAGTCCTCCTTTCACATATTTATAGTCAATCAATTGGAGATATTTTGTTTAGGTGCTTGACTGGTATCAGCCAAAGTGAGAGCTATTTGAATGAGCGGCTTAGTATAGTTGATGGGCTTATTTCAAAATTAGCTGACAGTGATCCTATAGTATTCTATTTTATATAAAAAATAATTTTTCCTAATTCCTTATAGCAAATCTCTCGTAAAATTTGTTTTTATTATGAATCTGCATATCAATAAACGCAGAAGCAACACTTTCGAGATTAATTTCAGAAAAAGGATCTTCAAATTCTGCTGACTTAGTAGCCAGAATTACGTCTTCAGAAAACATCGAAAAAATTTTCCTAAATTTAAACGACCAGAACAAATACATAGCAAGATCTTCAGCAAAACTTTTGAAAAGCCTCCTCATGATTAAAGGGATGAATATTGACAGTATAGGGCTAGCAGATGCTTTTTGCAAATTTATGGAATTTTTCGCAGGAATCCTGCAGTCTGACTCTCAGTTTAACATAAAATCAACTTTTGGAGAAGAAATCAAGACTCTTGGTGAAGCCAAAATAATATTGGCTGAGGTAATTATACTTTTGGTGTCATCAAATAATGCAAGTTTGCGTCAGGAAATAATAAACCACCAAATCCTTCAACATTTAACCACACTTTTTGTTGAATATGAATGAAATTCCGCCTATCAGACTGTATATCTGAACCTTATTCAAATAATTTTGCAGCTAGACTCACTTGATTTAAAAATCCAGCTATTCCAAGTCCTACCAAAATATCTTGTAAATCTAGCTGACAATCCAGAAATCCAAAAAGGCTCAGTTTTGATTAGAAGAGGAATTATGGCCCATGTGTATAAAATCGCTAATTTATTAACAAAGCAAAAATATATACAAGAGCTCCAAGACATTTTGCTGAATACAGAAGGCTGAAACAATTTTGAAATTAACTTATTAGACCCTTACTTAGAATTAGAGAAAAAGACCCTTGGAGGCAGCACAAGGTTTAATTTATTTGATTTAAACAGCTCTGAAGAAGAAGGCCCAAGGCTTGAGCTTGACTTAGACGTAAATTGTATATAGAAACTGATTAACCAAAGAAACGCCCTTAAAGATGAGGAAGAAGAAGAAGATTTGGAAGAATTTGATGAAGGAGAATGCGACGATATCCCTGAGTAAGAACTATTTAGTTTATGTGCTGACAAGCCAATGACTGGAAAAGATCTTGAAGAGCTTTCAAACATGTTTGACTTTGGGGAAGAAAATCCAACACATAAGGATTTATTTACATCGACTATTTGTATAAAAACAGCGACTTTAGAAGAATTCGGAAACACAGACTACTTGAATAATAACTATTGGAAAGTCCCCATTAACTCTGATAATGTCCCAGATCTTGTTGATTAAGATGTAAATGATTTAGAGATAACGCTTTTTATTATAACTGTCCTGAATTAAAGATTTAATATTAAAAATTCGAAAGATTTTGTTTAGATACTTATTGAGTCTTCAATATATAAGACTAATTAAGTGGATTTAGATATATAAAAACGGCTTATTATTTCTTATACTTCAAAATTCAATAGTTTTGATATATCTTAAGTACATAGAGCCAAGGGTATACTATTAGAAAACAGTTTTTATATATTCTTCACTTATTTAATCTGCAAGCGCATAACCTTCATACAAATCAAAATGGATTCAGCAGCCAATATTAAAAGATCAATCCGCATAATTAAGAAAAAGTCCAAAACCTATGAAGACATTGAAGAACTCAATGCTTTACTCAGCGACCTAAAACCTCTACAAAGCGTTATGGATACGTTAACCATGACTAACCGAATTCTTTTATTAAGCAGTTTTACTGTTGTAGAACTAAAAGAGAATGAATTATTATTTTCCAAAGGAGACCCAAGTGACTGTATCTATGTCATTTTATCTGGTTCTCTGCAGCTTTATAACCATTCTCAAAAGGGCAAAACTGACATGATACCTGGAAATATTCTAGGAAAAGGGACGATTCTTGGAGAAAGAGGAATTTTGAAAAATCTCACGAGGAGTTTGACGGCAATTGCAGTAGAACACATGCACTTGCTTAGACTTGAGGCCCAAATTTTCAAATCTCTATTAGGCAAAGAAATGAACGCCAACATGGAAACAAAAAGAAAAATCGTGGATCAGTATATTCCTGGTCTTTTACAAATGCCAGCTCAACAAAAAGAAAGGCTGGCTTATTTATTAGATATTGAGTATTATAACCGAGGAACTGTAATTACAAAGCAAGGGGTTTTCAATGAAAAAATTTTAATAGTCTTAGAAGGTGAGTGTAAAATATTTTTTCAGCAAGGCCAATACAAGCGGTTTTTATCAACACTAGAAAAAGGCTCGTGAATTGGAGAAGAAACGGCTTTATTCGACAAGCCTTCAGCGTTTTCAGTTGTGGTTACATCAGACACATTAAAAGCAGCTAGAATAAAAAATTCGGATATTAAGCAGGTATACCCTCAAGCCGCTGTGCAGATGTTGAGGTCTTCCTACCATGCACGTGAATTGGCAAGAAATAAACTTGCTAATTTTTCCCACCCTTGCTTAACTCCTAAAGCTTCTGTGCCTTCTTCACCAAGAAGTTTTCCATTAGCGACGCCAAAGGCAAAACAAAAAATGAATTCTCTTATACAAAATTCGCCACATTTTAGAAGCACAACGCTTGCCCAAGAGCTTCTTAAGTGTAATTTGAAAGGGGATATTGAGAGCCAAAACGAATCAAAAGCATTTAGGATTAGACGAGCATTTGCGAGATGTAGGTCACAAGAATTAAATCCATAAGTTTTGTATGTATTTTTGCTACTTACTCCCCCCCTCCGTGAGTGAACAAAAAATTTTTGTAATAGAAAAAATTTTTATTGAAAAAAAATTAGATATATAAATGATAATTACTATAATGAAATCTAGAGCTAATTTTGTTTAATTTTAAACGAATTGCTTTTTAAAACATAAATTTTATTAATATTTGCTTTCCAATTTTTGCAAATTAGGATTTTTTTAAATTTCGAAAATAAAATTTTTTTAAAAAAAAAAATTAACCCCCCTCCGTGAGTGATCAAAATTTTTTTGTTCACTCACGGAGGGGGGGAGTTAGTAATAACATTAATGATTATAATGATTCCTGCTTATGAAGATGCAAAATTTACGGCAGGAAAGAAAAAAACTAAACAGGATTTCGAATGTGGATCTAAGGAATTTGGAAATAGTAGAAATAGTGCTCTATAATGAGAAGTTTGAAGAATATACAGAGAAATGCAACAGTTATCAGAAAGCTTGAATATATTTGATAATAAAATATATTTTGTACCAAGTAAATAAGAAAAGAAGAAATAATGCAGAGATTCATAAGCCTGAGAACAGCTGATAAATTAATGATAATAGTGCTCACTTTATTTAACTTTTGAAGAAGCTCATCGAGACGGCATATTTTCTTTCGATTATTGCTAAAAGCTATGACTAAATTTGTTTTAATCCTAATCCTAAATTCTACTATCCAGAGATTCAAAATGCAAAAGATTATGTCCAAAAAGTAAAAGCTATGGACAATTATATTGTTCTGATGCCTGCCCAGTCAATATTTTTACCTTTTTGGCCTTTTCTTAGCTTTATTTGTTTAAATTAAGCTTATTAGCATTTTACTTTTAATAATCTTAATTCTATTTTAACTTAACTGAGAAAATTATGTCTGGAATGGAGTACAAGGTAAACATCCACTCATCATTTCACCATCAGTCATTTGAAGACGAAAAAGAGCCTGATAAGATTATGCCAAAGCTTGAAATTGAAGTTCCAAAGCCTCACGTGCAAAGAGGAGAAGAGATCCTTAACATTTTAAAAATTTGTTTCTTTCTCCTTATAGGGATTTTGTTTTCTTTAGCGGTATTTTCTTGGTATACCTGGAAACACACGAATTCAAAGGTGATGATAGGAATTATGGGCACAAGCCTAGTTGCAATTGTGGGGTGCATATTGGGGATTATTGGGAGTTTTAAGAGCATCCAAGAGCATCATCAAATTTATGCAGCCAATATAAGAAGGGAATATGGGCATGATATCATGATGATTTCGCTTTATTTTTTAGTAGCGGATTTTATATTATTTTCAGTGCTAGGAACTTTTGCTTTATTATCCACACAGCAATCACTAGACTTCTTACAAAATTTATATGATAACGATAAAGAAGGCTGAAAATTAATGTATGGGGACAAAGAAATCGACGAAGTCAAAGAGTGGGCAATTTTAATGATCCATATAGTTAGCTATACTTGCTATATCATCGTAGTTTTGATAGTCCTCATTTCATTTTTCAAGTACAAATTCAGAGAAAATTTCAAAGATGCTCCTATAATCCATTAGCAAAACCTTATTAATATTTAATCACTTCAATTATTTTGTGATAATTTTGATTTATTTTTACTGAGCAGAATATTCTTATAAATTTAAATAAGTTTCTGGCCAAAAAAACTGTCTACTTTATTTAAGGTGTTTGAAATATAAAAATTAGTATAATGCATAAGTTCCCATTATTTTAAATGTTTCTATATACATAGATTAGAAAACCTCTAAACTTTGACCTTATAAATATGTTTTTTTGGTTTATTTTTGTAGCCTTTGCAGCAACAATTCAAGTCCCATTCGGCATTATTTATTCAACAAACACAGACTCACGATTTATTGCGAGACTTTATGGAAATGGTATGGGATTGGAGAACAGGGTAAAGCTAGAACTGAAATTACCTTTTTCTTTAAGCACTTTGATTGCAAGCATTAATTTAACTGATACTTCAGATTTATCAGTCTGGGCAATCCCTCCTGCTTTCCTAGATAGCCACACTCAGCTTATAATCGATGCTACAAATTCTCTCGCCTACACTCAGTTTTTATCCTACCAAGCTATTCAAATGGACTTTGTCCATATTGTTGTGCAAAGGTCATTTGATAACAGTAATGAAGAATCTATATGCGAAAATACTATATTATTATAAAAATTTTACATTCAATTTTTCTCACTTCTCTTCATTTAATTCTATTTAGATAAACTATTAATGTGCTATTTATTATTGACCTGGCTTGCAAAATTAATCAAGGATTATATATTTTTTTGAAACTAACTACCAAGCTGAGTCTAAAGCATTTTTTGATTTAATTTCAAATTATGGGTGGGAAAATCTAGGTTTAGCTTATGACGAAAAACCCTCACATATTAACTGAGCAAACTCATTCAAGGAGCTCATAACTGGTCATACTATGAAAGTTCTTGATGAAATTATTATAGACTTAGATGACAAAAACTCTGGAGTTACTATTACATCAAGATTGCAAGGGACAACACAAAACTCAGGTGCAAGGGTCATTTTAGTGTGCACGGATTCAATGCATGCGGCTCAGCTACTGCATGCGGCTGATATAAGTGTTATGGGAGGATCAGGATTTGCATGAATTTTTTGTGACGATGCTATGGTTGATCTTGGAGAAGTGTCAATGAATTCCTATGCTGACTTAGATTCAAGCACTTTTGGGATACTAAAATCAGGGGCAATTGGGTTTTCTTCGCCTGAAGATGCATATTTATCAGGCCACCTTTTGGGAAATATTTATTCAGCGTTGACTTTAATATGCCAATATCTAGCCCAAATAGATTTATCCCAAACTAAGATTTCCGGGAAAGCAATTGTGAACTATTGTAATTGCCCGAGGATGGCGCTATCTTGCGCCATCCTCGACAATTTAAAAAATGCCCACACCGGGAATTGAACCCACGTGTGGGGCTTTTTTTGGTACGTGGAAGTCGATGTTCTCCACATATCAAAAATGGTCCCACACGTGGGTTCGATTCCCAATGTGGGGCCATTTTTGAATTGCCCGAGGATGGCGCAAGATAGCGCCATCCTCGGGCAATTACTATATATTTTAACAAACCCTTCAACTCCTACTTTGGATTATCCTATAAAATTTGATACCAACCGAATGAAAGTCCCAAGCTATAGTATCTATAATATTCAAAATTTTCAAGAATATTATGTAGGCTATTGGAACTTAGCAGGAAGAAGTGTCACTATTAAAAACACAATAATTTGGCCTGGCTTTACTACAACAGTTCCTAATGACAAAATCCCGCTACTTACTATTTGTTTATTATATCCTGCACATGATCAGGATGGGAATACATATGCTGGAGCTACAGCTATAAAAAATGGCTTTGATCTTGGCGTTTCTGAAGTAAACTCATTAACAATTATGGGTGACTATCAAATTATTGTTGAGTATAAAGACACTTATATGAATACAGATTTAGCTGCATCAAATATAAAGTCTCTTGCAAGCTTAAATATTTTAGCATATATAGGCCCGTATACCACAAGTGAAACAGTTGCATATTCAAAAGCGATTTCAGCCACCTCAGATCCTAAACCATTGATCAGTTATGGGGCTACATGAACTAATTTAACGAGCACTGATAATTATCCTCAGCTCATAAGAACCATTGAAGCTGATGATTTAGAAGGTGTAGCACTCGCTTTATTTATCCAAGAAATCGGTTGGAAAAAAATTGGCGTGATATATACATTAGATGAATACGGAATTGATGTATATTCCTCCTTTATGAGCAACATAAAGACTCTTGGAATTACTGTAAAAAATGATGTGAGTAAGCGAGGAATTACTTATGACCCAAATTTAGGCCTTACTTCGAAAACGAAAAACAGTGTCGATGAAGCCCTTTCTAACATAGTCAGACATCAAGTTAAAGTGATTATTTATATTGGCCACCACACTGTAGGCTACCAAGTTGCACTTACTGCACATAAAAAGGAGCTTTATGGGTCTGATTATTCTTGGGTTGGCTCAAGATGGCTGACTGATGAACTGGAAGCTTTGATTGAGAAAAGCTCAAGCTCGAAAAAAATTTATGAAGTGCTTAATGGGGCTTTTGGAATCACATATAGAAGCGCTATTGGTGATGCAGGCAGTAAATTCGAAACAAATTATGCTGCCAAGTATAAAAGTGACTATTCAGTTTATGGGATGTATGCTTATGATACTGTCTATTTAATTGCATATACAGTAGCGGAGATGATTTCAAACAGTGAAGACTTCAATTCAGGTACTGACCTTACCAAATCTCTCAGATCAGCTGATTTTACTGGGGCAAGTGGAGTTGTGAAGTTTATAGATGGGTCAAATGATAGGTCTGGGTTTGGGTTTTCTATTGTAAATATGCAAAAAAATGCTATTATTACTGTACAAATATATGACCCAAGCAACCCAAGTGTATTTTCTAGCGTCACAGGGACTTCTTTGATATTTGGAGGAGATAGAAAATCTCCTCCATCTGATGAGTGGTCATCTTCATATGATTGTCCCTTCGCGAAAAATATGGTCTCTGTTGATTGGGATGGCATCGTCATTGTAATTGTTATTGGCTTTGTGCTGTTTTTACTTACCCTTGTGCTTAGCTATTTCGCTTATAGAAAATGGAAACAGCTGGAATACCAAGAAATCACTGAACCTGTTGTAAGGTCATGAAAAGACAATTTGGTAATTATTACTATTGGAATTGAGTTTTTCCAGTTTATTGCAATTTCCCCTACTTTTCCTGCTCTGAAGTCAGCTGTTTCTGTTGCCGCGAATATTTTTATGGTCGATTTTCTGAAGATGACGTCAGGGAGTAAATCGACCTATTGGACCTTCCTTATTGTTGTGTCAGTTTTATGCTACACTTGGTTCTTTTTAATATTACTTATTATGGCAAATGCAGAAAAATGGTTAATTCATGTACCTTTATGTCAAAGATTTATGGGCTTAGTAAACACGATGTATTTACCATTTTTCGGAAACACAATGTTTTTGCCATTTATGACAATGCTGCTTGATGTCTTTGTATGTGACCACAAAGCACAAGACAAATCATTTGTATGAAGAGACTGCTATATGAATTGCTGAACTGATGACCATTATCCATATATCATCATGTCAGCTCTTGCATTGTCATGCTATCAGCCTATTGCAGTTTTTTCTCGGCCTCTTTGGCAGCAAGCAAAAACTGGTGTAAATTTAATGGTCAAGCCATTTTTCCTTCTTTTTAAAACATGTGTCCAAATTCTGCTTATTGCTGTAGGAAAGTCTCTTCAAGGATCACAGCCAATAGCCCATGGAGTTTTATTTTCATTTTTGATTTTCTGTTTCTCAGTGATCACTTATAAAATCAAGCCTTTCAACTATGGAAGATGCAATTTATGGGAGTTCGCTTCGCTTGTAGGAGTTTTCTATATTTCATTTTTAGCTACCCTTTCCAATGCAGGGCAGCAAGACAATATCGCATGGTTTATTGCTTTATTTATCGGGTGGGGCATTATAGCAATTGTTACTATAATTATTCAGAAAAAATATTTCCCAAGCTTGCTCGTGCCAGCTGCTGGAAAACCAAAAAATAAGATTTATGATGCTTTGAAATTCCAAAAAGATGAGTCTAATGAGATGGATAATTCTGTAGTTAGTTTGAGAGCTCATAATCAAACTCCCTTGGACGATTCCCGTGTGGAAGAAAATGTGAATGAGCGTATGAATTGCAACGAAAGCCTGGACGAACAGAGAAACGGAATGAGTTAAATATATAAATGTTAATAAAGATTTAATAGATATTTGTAAAAAGGGTCCAGGGTCAGGAGTTGAACCTGAGAAATAAGGAGTGAGAAACATATTTTGGCCCCGCCAGCCCTGGATTGAAAATAACTGCTTGCGGGATATTATATAGATCGCTCTGCTAAAATTTTGTGGATATAATAAAGATTTTGGCTAAGCTTAGAGATTTGCCAGAGTTAGGAGGTAAACTGATGAAATAGGGGTGAGAAAAATATTTTGGCCTGGCCACCCTGATTAGAAATAAATGCTTATAAAAAAAGTTATATAGATCGTTTATTAATGCTTTGAGCTTCAAAATAATTCTAAAAGTCCTTCAATCATTAGTTTTAAGCAATTTATATAAGTCTGCATAATTATTTATTATTTAAAAAAGTCCAAGGTCAGGAGTTGAACCTGAGAAAGAAGGGAGTGAGAAACCTCGTTTGGCCCCGCCAGCCTTGGATTAATATTGACTATATTCGGAGATATATATAGTTCTTTCATTTCAGGAAAACCAATGCTTTTGAATCGAAAATTATTAATATCCAAATCCAAATGCTTGTTATAAGGAAAAAAGATTTATTTTATATTAAATGTATAGATTTGCATATACTAGATTGAGCTAAAATCTGAAATACTGTATGATTTTCAGATTCCTCTGTCAAAAAATTAAAAATATATATCTTGAGACATAATACCGATGTTATCTGATCTTCAAAAATTCCAAATAAATAAATCAATTATGGCTAAAAATACATTATCTAAAAAGTTTGAGGTAGGCTTTTAAGGTTTGAAGAGCAATAAAGATATATTATTAACTTAATTACCTTTTGCTTATCGATACTTGGCTAACTATGAATTAGCTTAGATGATGACGCCTCTATAAATATATGACAAATTATTTGAGAATATCTTTTATGAAGAATACATAGATTGATTCACTTTCAAAACTTAACTTAAGTTTTAGTAAATTGAAAATTATGAAAAATACGCATTTACTTTACCCTTAATTCTGCATTAGGCTAGCTCAATTAATTTTCAGAATTTATGATTAAACAATAAACTATAGTATGCTAGATTAGCTTGGATTAAAGAATCCTATGTCAAAACCACATTTGAAAAATATTTATAATTTTGCAGTTATTTTGTTTCAATCCAGGGTGGCCCGGGGCCGAAGCATGCCGCTCTCATCGTGTTATACATCGGGTTCAACTCCCGACCTTGGACTATTTTATTATTCATTGTTGATCAACAAAACTATTAAATTTCTAATATTCACAATTAATAGTTAATAAATATTGCATTAATTAATTACTGCTAATTTGGTACAGGAGATACAGATCTGCTAGAATAATTTGGTGGAGTGACAGTTCTAATTGGAATTCTTGATCTTGGATATTTTAGCACATTTCTTGATACTTTAATTCTGGACGTGTTTGGTCCTAAACATATTTTAATTGGAGAATTTTCTTGCATACAATGAATATCCATATCTTGTTTTTTCTCTTGCTTTGGTTTTTCGCTTTCATTGCGCTTTTTATCTGTCTCAGTTAATCCAAACATACTGTAAGTTTTCCTTTTTGGGATACTTGAAAGTCTATTTTCCTTCGAGGATAGCACAAATGGATTCTGCAGATTAGTTTCCCCTAATAGTGCCCTCATCAAGCTAAGCAGTTTATCTTTGCTTTCAGAATCTTCTTTAAGCCTTTTAATTTCTTCATTTAACGTCATATTCACTTCTCGTGTGTCTGCAGCAATTTTCTTGACAAGCTCAAATTGAACGTCATGCATTTTGCTAACGGCCTTTTGGACATTTGAAAAATTAAATTATTTTAATTGAATTTGCTATTTTTTAATATTATAAAAATATTTATCCTTTTCAATTTAATTTAGGATATCAGTTTTTAATTTTTCATTTTCTTGTTTTAGCCTTTCTCTATCTTCATTAACAATATCAAGCTGAGCTTGAAGCTCTTTAATTAACTTGCTGTGAGGACTCTCGTTTAGATTTACAATGTCATCGAATTCGTAGCAACTTAACAACCCTGACTCTTCAAAAAACTTTAAACTTTCATTGCTTGATGACAGTTGAATCTTCAACGGATTTCTTTTAAATTTAGACTCCATTTTTAAAACAAAATATATAAGAAAAGTTAATTAATCTTCTTTGGATATATTTAGCGGGTCTTTTTTCCCAAAAATTAGTAAACTATTGTGTGAATTAATAGGGCATTTTATTAATTACTCCACATCTTATATATTAAATAAAGATTAGATTCTATCTTCTTTATAAGGGACACTTCTTAAAGCCTCCATGTTAACTCCATCTTTGAGCTCGATATCTTGATCATTCTTTTCTCCCTTTTTAGATTTCTTTGCAGGCTTTGCTTTAGCTTTTTGCATCTTAGGAGAGGTACCTCTTTGCCTTTCTATTTCACGTTCAACAAGTCTATCCATTCCTGGGGTTAGAGACGAGGCAAGCTGTCGAGTCTTCTTAGCTTTCTTTTTGCCTTGAGGGATTGAGTCAGGCCATCTTTTTTCAAACTCACTTACAAAGACTTCATATACAGATTTTTCTTGGCTTGCAAATTTGACTAACTAGCTGTCATCTTTGATCGAACGATTTAATTGAATAATTCCTAAAAATTGGAAAATTAGACCTCATTATTGATCAAAACAATTTTCATATGGAGAAAATGATCCTTCCACCAAATCTAACTGCCTATCTTTGATAATAACGAATAATCAAGATACAAAGTATGTTTCCTGGTAAATTCCAATTCAACTTCTAATATACTTTCTGGTATCTTACATGCTTTATTTCTTGTGGAGAAAATAATTAAATATTTTATAAAAAAAAAAATTTAATATAAAATTTTTTAACTACTTTTTTACTAAAAATATTGTCAAGCCCTATCATTGATTGAATAATGAGATTTATTCAATTCAGATAGGGGGATAAGTTGTATTTGGTACCTTCATGGGAAAGAAGATATTGCTGAACTGTATCTAGCATAACAGGAACAACTATATCAAGGGGATAACCAAATGCGCCTATACAAAATGGAGGTAATGCTATAGAATTTATTCCCAATTCTTCACCTCTTGTGAGGACGCTTCATATCAGTTCTCTAATTCCCCAAGTATTTATTTTTTATTTTTTGATTTAATTTATAAGGCAAATTCTAAATTAATAGGCTACAATAGGTTCTAATATATCCAAATTTACTAAAATTATATCATAATTCTTCATTGGGATAAGATTTGAGTCTTGTCCAGGTAGCGATCTTTGATATGTGGGGCTTGAAAGGTGCATAATATGAATTGCTGCAAGTTTTCCTCCTGATGTTACGGCTATATGTCCAGGAGCAAGCTGACCATTGTCCATTACCCACTTTCTACACTCAAGCAGCATCTGGTGGCTTCCATTGCTTATTATTTCTTTTGCAACTCCATCTGGTTGATCTAAAGTGGCATTTGTGATGTTAACAATCGCTCCAACATTCTCTTTACTGATTGAATTTCTCACAATTTGAAGTTTTGTCGTTCCATGGGTGAATTCGCGTAATACCTTTGGTTTCTTTCTGCCAAATAAGCCAAACATTATGCTTAAGGTAGATATTAATATAATACGTAAGGCGAATAAAAGAAATCAGTATAAATGAAATGTCTTGAGCTTTGAATCAATAAGTTACTGCCCTGAGTTGAGCATGAATCTAAATATTCATGTATTATCAAGATTAATATAGAGAAAAAGTATAATTTTGGCAAGCACCGATCTATCCTTCCAAACATATCAAATTTAAAATTTTTATCTATTATATAAATCAAAATTTTCAGGTTTATGTTATAGAATAAATGACAATTTTAAGTAGCAGGAAGATTCTTCACAAGCTGCAGTATTTTTAGCTTTGACTCTACCGTGATCCCATGCTGCTTCGCAAAATCTTCTACAACTTCTTCTAAATCCATTCCTTCTTTTATGTTTAAATGTTCTGTTTTTCCATTTCCCAAATTTATTTCAATGTGCAAATCGTTTTCGTCTTCACTTCCATACAAAGTTTCTTCGTTTCCTTCAGTGACTTCATTTTCTTCTTCAAATTGTTCAAGACCTCCATTAAACTCATCCTCATCTGATATATTTTCCATTTCTTCGTCTTCATAAATGACTTCATTTGATATGAATTTTCCATTTTCTAGACTGGAGCCTGAATCATTCATATAGTCAAAACCGTTAAATAGCTCTGATGGAGGTGCTGATGAACAAGGAGCTTGGTCATGAATAGGATCTGCTTGACACTCAATATTTTCATGAGGGCTGCTCTCGGGCTTTTCTTTGCTGAGAGGGATAGGAATTTTATGATTGCTTGGTTTTGGAATTTGAGACTTGGGTAGAAGATTTTTCGATTCTTTTGGAAAGATTTTCTTACTCACAAATATTTTTTTTAAGAAAAAGTTTTAAGCCGGCTTATTATGACCAAAACATTCTAGTTTTAACTGCTATCATTTTTTCATACAGTAAATAGAACAATGGCTTATCAGCATGATATTTTTAGCCACTGCAATTAGGCATATAAATTATTTTATTTTATTTTAAAAATTGTTTTTATAGTAAAGATTTTAGTTTCTTTATCTTTAGCACTTTTATCTGGCTGTTTTTGTGGAGGTCTTGACGATAGTTTTCTACCTCTAGTTTCCTGAGTCACTATATTTTGCTTCACATCATTTTCAGGGGATCTTGTCCATCCTTTTTCTCTTAAATTTTTATCATTTTCCTGATCTTTCCTTGCATATCTTAATCTAGCTACCATTTCTTGCACACCAGGCTGCTCATCAGGTACCGCATCAGGCTCTTCTCTTGTATAAAGCTTCGGTTTAAACGTCAGCTCATTTTTATTTTTCTCTAATTCTTGCTCTTCAAATGGCTTATATTTATTTTCTTTTTTATTTTTTTCTAGCGATGCCAGCGAAAAAAGTGCAGCCGCTCTATCAACCTTATTTGGAGCACTATTTAAAATATTCTTATAATCCTTTGACAATGTTTCTTTTTCTGTTGTTTTTGACTGCTGGTAAGTTTTAGGCAGATCTTTTATCCTGGGAGCGAATGTGCATTCTTTAGAATCCAATGCTTCAAATTTCAGTTTCAAAGCTGCCTGTTTTTCTTGAAGTAAAATTTTTTCTCGATGAAGTTCAGTGGCTAATGAGCTTGAGCTTCTTCTGCTGTCTACTGATAAAGTTGCAAGTCTTTCCGACATCACTGAAAGCTGAGGTCTAAAAGTGCAGTCTAAGCTTTCTTTATACGTTTTATTTGCTGTGCTTTTATTTACAACTGATAATCGGTTATCATAAAGTAAACTGTATTTTAAGTGGAGCTTTTTTGCAGTGGCTTCAGATAGATTTATCCTGTTAGGGTATTTTTCTGGGTTTTCCATTCAAGGCTGGTAAAACCCCATAATAGCATTAATTATAACAAAAAGGGATTCTTTAGTAGGAGGCTTGCTGCTGGTTTCTAAATATTTCCAGAGCTCCAAAGTAAGCAGTCTAGATTCCTCTTGCTTTTTAGGATTCGCTAAGAAATGCATAGATCTGAGCACTTCAAGCATTCTGGTATATGAAACCAGCTTGGTGTTATCAATGTCAATATAAATCCATCCATCTTCAAAATCATTTTTTAACTTCTCCATTAGCACTTTTTCTGATTTATCACTTATGATTTTATTTTGAATCCTTATAGGAGAAGGGTTCAAGCTTTTATTGTGCCTTCTTAAAGCATCTTCATATAAAATGTTTTCAATTGAGGAGTTTCTGATTAATTTTTTCGATCTTTCATTAACTGAAGGATGAAATAGAATTTGAGAATCCTCACTCTCCCCCCCCCCCCCTCCGTGAGCGAACAAAACCATTAGAAAAATCGCCATTTTTTGACCAAAAACCCACCCTCCGTGAGTGAACAAAAATTTTTTTAATAGAAAAAATTTTAATGGAAAAAAATTTTGATATATAAGTGATAATTAGTATAATGAAATCTAGAGCTAATTCTGTTTAATTTTAAACAAATTGCGTTTTAAAACATAATTTTGCAAATTAAATTAATATTTGCTTCCCAATTTTTGCAAATTAGGATTTTTTTAAATTTCGAAAAAAATATTTTTTATAAAATTTATATATAAATTTTTTTTAAAAAAAAAATTAACCCCCCTCCGTGAGCGAACAAAATTTTTTTTGTTCGCTCACGGAGGGGGGGGGGGGAGTCAGTGGATTGAGATAGCTGCATTGAGTCAGTCGATTTTTCTTTTAAAGCACTCTGCAAGCCTTGGTTGTCTTTGGATTTGTGAAGTTGATAAAGTTTCTCATATCTTGGATAATTATTCCCTGATTTCATAGATTCAATCTTTATAGAGTTAGGACATAGCGATGGTCGAAATGGTAATTCTTGGCTTTGTGTTCTGATAAGCTGCTCATTTTCTTCTTGTTTATTTTTAATTCGATTTAGCTTGTCATCTAAAAACCTCTTCATGTCATCATAAAATTCTTCATGTGTTCTACTCCTTGCTTGAGTATAGGGTTTTGCTCTATATAACCCTGTAAGGGCTTTGGATTCTGTCCGGAATCCTTTGGTTGGTGGACCCAACTCAGTACGTTGGTCGACCAACTCACTTGTTGGTACCACCAACCCCAAGGATTCCGGACAAAAATCCACAGCCCTTGTAGGGCTATATAGGGGAAATCCCTATATTAATGACTGGCTTAAACGTGCATTTTTCAAGTTCTTCTTTTTCAGCTTGCTCCTTTTGTGCTGATTTTTTATTTTTTATTTTTTCTCAGTCCGCTAAAAGCCTATCAGCTACATCAGTAGTCTTTGGAGCTGCATTAGGGCGACTTTCTAAGCTAATATTTTTATATTTAGGCAGAGAAATGCGTTTTTCCAAGCCTAATGTCCTTAAAGCTGATTTTTGAACCTTTGGATTCATTAGTCGGTCTATATCATAAGTATTTTGGTTTGTGGTTTCTTTATTTAATAATGGAATTCTGCTTAGACTTGAAGGTCGTTGGCTTTTTACATTAGGCTTTACAGGTGCAGGAGGACTAGGAAATTGTCCTAGCTTAATTTCTTTTTTATCCGCAGTAACAGTAGAATCAGTCTTAACAGAAGGATTAGTTTGAACAGGATCATCTAATGTTTTGGATTCTGGTAAGTCGCTAATTGAAATGCTGCCTGAAATTTTAGCAATGGTTGTTCCTTCATCTACATCTAATTCTGAGTCGTCAGAAAAATCTACGTCACTATCAAAGTCTGAAGATGAACTGGACATATCGCTATTATAAAAATATATAAAAAATATAATAAATAGTTTGCTATTAATTTATTATCTAATTTGTTAGTGATATATTTGATACTAAATGCTATATTAAATAGAGTTAAGCTGCTGACTATTTCTGTTACCAATAAATAAATTAAGAAATTTTTCATTCATAAATAGTATATTTTATATATTAATTTGCTTTATATAAAAATAAATAGCCACCTTTATAAGAGCCATTATAACGCTTATAAAAGTTTCCCAGATCTAATCATCTGAGCAGTTTTTCTTTCTTTTCGCACATTTGTTGAGATTAATTTCTCAATCTTAATCTTGCTTTCAATATCTCCTCTATTTGCAAAAAAATCCTTCTCAAAAGATTCATTTACCTCCATGGATTTGATTTTCTGAATTATTGGCACAGGAACTTTAGTTTTCGCGGCTTGTTCTTGACTATTAATACTGTTTTTATTCTCTTTAATTTTAGGCTTTATTGTTTTTGATATGTTTAGCTTTAGTTTGTTCCTTATATGAATTTTATATTTCTTATCCAGTGATTTATCACTTTTGGTGCTCATTTCATTCATCGAAAGCAAAACATTATTTTTTTTAATTGGGGTTATAATAGGACTTCCAAAATCTCTTCTATAAGTAGTTAAAATCTGTGAAAGCGGCTCTAATTTTTCAAAAGATCAAAATGATTTTTCTGATTGTTGATTTTTTTTATTTACATATCTTGCAGATAAAGCTTTAATTTGATCAGAAAATTCTTTTAGTTTTCGCTCACTCCCCCTTCAGTGAACGAACAAAAATATTTTCGCTCAGAGAAGGGTGCTAATTTTTTTTTCGATATTTAAAAAAATGCCAATTCGCAAAAATTGGAAAGCAAATATTTATTTAATTTGTAAAAATTTATAATTTAAAATGCAATTTGTTTAAAATTAAACAGATTAGCTAGATTTCATTATACTAATTATTACTTATATATCAAAATTTTTTGCGGAGGGTAGGTTTTGGGCAAAAAGTCGAGATTTTCCCAATGTTTTTTCTCACTCACGGACTGGAGAGTCAGATGAATGCTGGTTTAGCCTGTTTTTCCCTTTAATGTATTCTTCATCATGAATTAAAAAGTTAGCAAATTCATCAGAAATGTGTAATAAATCATTGGATCTTTTTGAATTTATATAATTTGAAGATGCTGCGTCTAGTCTCTCTCTATGGGTCAATTTTTCAAGGGTTTTGCATTTAGTAATTAAAGTATCTAGAGAGATTCTCATTTCTTTTAGACTTGTCGTGGATTTCTGCTTAAGAAGCAGAGGAGGTTGGGCTGATTTAGGCAGGGCAGTGATAAAAGTTGACATATTATATAATCTTAAAGAATAAATTTTAAATAACTTACAGATATTATTCTTTTCCTTAAAATTAATAATGGTATCATGTTTGCAAAGTGGCACTTTCTTATAGTTTTCATATTTTTCTATGAAAGCTGGTTAGGCTTAATTTCCTCTATAAATATTTATGGGAATGAAGTCATCTAAGGAAAGAGGAAAGAAAAGAAAAAAAGAGCCAGAGCTGCCAGATTTTTCTGAGGAGAGACCCATAACATATCAACCTTTGCCTTCTCGCAATCACTCGGATATTGAGTGAGAATTAAAACTCGCAAAAAATAAGATCGAAACTCTTGAGTCAGAACTCAAAGACTGTAAGCAAAAAATAGAAGTCCTTGAAGAAGACAAAAATGCAGCTTTAGAAAAGCTTGAAAAGCATAAAGAATATAAATTTTTGTCAGAATTTTATATTAAGCAAGTCGAAGAATATAAAAATACATTGGATAAACATGACGATATGTATTTAAAGCTGAGGAGTGAGTATGATGATAAAATTGAGCATTACAAAAATCAATTGCAAGAACATCAAGGTGCATTTAAATTCCAGCAAAAATATGAAAATTCTATAAAATCACAGCAAATTGCTCATAGATTGGATCTGCTTGATTTAGAAAAGCGATTATTGGAACGTAAAATCAAGGTTTTAAGTGATGCATCATATTATAATGTCAATAAAGAAATAGAAAAAGATAGAAATAGGCTACAAGAAATATACGATGAGGCTTTTATGAGTCGAAAATATATAGCAAATGCATATTACTCAGATGAAGAAAGTGGGAGCTACACGATAAAAGAAAAAGAAGGTATTCGAATGATAAAGCCAAGAGATTATGATCCAGCCAAATGCCTTGATTATTTTAGAAGAAAAAGTTCTGAAACAGCCCGAACTTTTAGCTATTCAAATACAGATTCAATAAAAAGTATTCCTAGATCTGGTAAGTATTCAAGTTATTCTAACACAGATTCTCATCATACAAAGGCTAGAAGTGTTGCTAATACCACAGAAACATGAGATACTCAATATGAACCTGAACAATGAAACCTCTACATATCATCATTTAAAAGTCTTAGCCAAGTTTTAGAGCATTTTATTGACTTAAGCAAAGAAATTAAAAGCAGAGTCAACGATGTAAGAAACAAATTGCTTTATCTTTTGAAACCTTATAAAAATCACAATCAAGAGTACATGAAGAACGTTTTATTCGAATTTTTCAAGGGATTCTCAAGAAGAATAGATATCCCTCAACTTTACAAAAGTCCTGCTGATCTATTCAATCATTTTCTTAATGAGTTTGGCTTTGAAAAATCGCCACCAAACTTATTTGATTTTCAATTATCTAAGATCACTTGTTGTGAATTCTGCAATTCCTCACTCCCTCAAAGTATCTGTAAAGTTTCCGTATTTGAGGTAAATTAATCCTCTTTAACTTGGGAGCAATTTTAATTTAGGATATACACATAGGGTAAGCAAGGAAACCTTAATCTTTAATATTACTAATCCTAGTAATTAATGCCGTCAAAATACATATAGCTAGGAGTGCAAATATCTACTATTCAACCAAAGTTTTCACAATAAAAATAATTTTATTACGAATATTTAAAATATTTTATATATTCCTTAAATATGAGCAGATGTTTTATTTAAAGGAGTTATTAAGAGACACTAACGAATTTTATCTTTGGTTTCAACTAAAGGATTTGCCTTTTACTAGTATCCAATCTTTTATCAAATCTTCTTTAGAATCATATAAAAGTGAAAAGGCAGAGCATTGCGCAAGTTGTATGGAAATTCAGCGAATGAACTGCAGTACCGTTTTTTTGACCTTACCTAAATATTTAGTTTTTGAAGATGATCCCAATAATCTAAATAGTAAAATCAAGAATAGACAATGCATCTTAGAAAGAAGGATCTTTGTCAATGAAGACGAGTATAATTTGTTTGCATTTATTTTCAAAAATAAGGAAAATTTATATATGGCAAAAATATTTGATAAAGAAGCAAGTGATGAAAGTCTAAGTTTGAAAAGGGGGAGTCGATATTCGTCTGCTTTGATGATATTTTATATAAAGAAATATATTACTTACTATTACTTGCTTAATATTATACAAAAGTTCACTGTTAGGTACCATAGGGGCCTTATTCCTGACCATAGTACTTAATCGTTTGCTCACCAGTTTGCGCATTACGGCATAGCGAAGACTGTCCTGCACAATGAGGTCTGCACTCCTTGTTCAGTATTCGGAAAATTGTATCATCATACTGCGCCAAATAGGCTGCCACCACCAAAAATTCAAAAGAGTTGTCCATTTTGATCCGTGATTGTTTCTAAGAGTTGCATCTTCTTGGGCTTCTCTAGTTAAATTTCCTTCTAGTTCGACACAGTATTTGGCATTATTTGCATTTAATGTATATAACATTGTTAAAGGATTGCTTCAATTGATTAACACCACCTTGTGATTGAATGTTTTGGATTTTTTTCCATACAGCTTCAGGAATTCCATTTTCCCCTGATGTTGCATCTAATTTATGAGGCAAATTCATCGCTTCTAAATTTTGCGAAATTTCTCTAGTGATTAATCCAGCTTTTTCATTTTCTTCTATATTTATCGCTTGCAAAGTATCTTTATATTCAGCAATTCGCTGCAAAACTTCTGGGGAAACCAAAATTTCTAAGACATCCTGCAATAGGTGACATTATATCGACCTTTGGCGGAAATTTAGGCTGAATCATATTGACGTCTTCTGGGTCTGACAATGCAAAATGATCTGGGATATTGCCAATGTACACTCTCATATTATCTTGCTCAGCGCTTTCTTTTTCGTTGGCGATTAAGGTTAAAAGATTTCTACCAACATCAAGCATAGGCCCTCGGATTCCTTTTATTTGGATTGCTTTTTGAATGGCATCATAAGCTGATCTCAGTCTCGCTACACCTTTTCCAAAGCCTTTGCCTGTTTTTGAGCCTTGCTCCCTTTCATTGAAAGAAATCCAATATCTCGCTGGTGCAGAATACACAAGCTGCTGATATCGAAGGGATAATCTAGTTTCATCAGGAACGCTGCGTGATAAAATTTCATTTAAAGCTAGTTCATATGCTTGACCAAAGTTTTTGAGGCTGTCTGAGAAAGTTTTGATAAATTGACTCTATTGGCTGTTGTCTTGTCTAATTTATCAGGAAATTTTCGATATAATTTTATATAAAAAAAAGAAAAATAATTTTTTAAAAAAAAAAATTATTTTACGTGGGCTATTTTTCTTAATTTTTCAATTTAAGTTTGATTGGCATATATAAAGCACGTGTAGAATGGAAGAAAAATAAATATTGTGCCATAATTTATCATGCATGCATAAAGCTTGGGCTATAAGAATATTTGTAAGGAAACTTAAATGTTCAGGGCTTGTGTCTGCTGTCGTCACCTGCCTCTTCTCAACAGCGAGCTTTCTAGCTTCATCAAAGCATCCAGCAGCCACTTGGAAATAGTTCAAGCCTAGCTTGGGGCCATCAGGTGATTTAAGATCTATATCAGCACCTAATTTGCTATTGAATTATCCAGTTTGCTTTCTCAAAAAATTGAAGATAAAAGCCCAGGTTGCAACACCCGCTACTTCACGTGAGATAATCTAGATGATCAGGGTATTATTCTAGTGCTGCTGTATATGCATATTGACGTCGGTTTCATCCCCTCATGAGGAAAAACTCTTGCTACCGAATTGAAATTGTGCTGATCAACTCAGTAACCTGCTCCTATTAAGCTTTGCCTGATATCAAATCAGATTTAATAGGGATTAAGACTAACTCTCAAATTCTAATTCTTATAAATAAAGATAAATTAATGCTAAGAAAAGATTGAAACTCCAAAAATGTGCACTGTCCTCAGAATCAATTGAAATTGCAAACCCAATTCTGTAGTTTTCAGCATCAAAAATGGTGTAATACTTTCTTAAAAACACATCTCCCAATATCCATACACTATCAAAAGGAGAAGCTGCAAACAGAAGCAAACAATCAGACCCCTGTTTTAAGAAATAATCCTCAGGCCCCAATGTAAATCTCTTCGACAACCCTAGCAAAAATGAAATTTTGGGGTAATCTTCTAATTTGTTTTGATATCCACAGTCGCAAAATAAAAAACCACTTGCAATTTGGCACGCCCCACTATTAGAAATTTCCGTAAATATTACATTCGCATCATTATAAGGGACATTGATTAAGCTTGACGACGTATATGAAATTTTCGCTATCTAAATTCATTCTCCATTTTATGATTATGAGGCCCGGTTTTCCAGTATCAACAATCCCTACAAAAGTTGTACTCGCTAAATGATCATCATTTATTTTAATTCCATCTAAGAGCACTGCCCAATATCCAGTTTGCTCTAAAACATTTATATAATCAATTTCATCCACTTTAGCATAAGTTTTCAAATCATAACCCCCAAAAATTACTACAGATCCTTCTGTCGGTCCAGCCTGAAATCAATTATCTGTCAAATAAACAGAAAAAATCTTCTCTTCGATTTGGCCTTGGTGTTTTAAGTTATCTAGGAGTGTTGACTGGTTATTAGAAAGCTCCTTGAATCCTAAGCCTAAAATTCCATCTGCCATTAAAGCTTCAAAATCTTGGTCTTGATTTATTGTCACAAAGGACTGGTTTAATACAGAAAGGGTATAGGTATCTCCAATAGAGACTTTATCATATCCAATATCTCCAAGTGCAACTCCTTGGCCATATGAAAGTTGGATTGTTTCATTATATGATGCATATGTGGAGCTTTCAGAGCTATCAAAATAATTTGAAGATTCATGGCAAGAAGACTCACATTGAATAGATGGAACCCAAAGCCAAGCTGAGCCTGTATCAAAGATCACGCTAAATTTTTCTTCAGGGGTTCCTATGCTGATGCTACCAAAATATTGCATATTGTCAACATTGAGGATTTGTGATGTAGAATTAGAAGTTACAAGGTCTATAGAGCTTGCTGCTGCTTTAAAAGCTTTGAGATCTAAATTACTGAGAGGGGTTTTGCGTTCTAAAGGAACCTTAATATAGCCAAATGCAAGAGCACTGCATAATAGAAGAGCTATAAAAGCCATTTATACATGTATCGTTTTATCAGAATATCTGATGCATGCTCTACAAGATTCTATCCAAGCTAATCTATATTAAATAATAATTAAAAATAATTTAAAGATCCCCCTAATTTTTTGTTAGCAAATTTATAACAGCGCATGTTTCAAGCGAGGATTGCCCAGCTCGGAGACTTCCGAAAACTGATCGATATCGTGAAAGATATGATTCCTGATGCTAATCTTGAAGTAAGTGAGGCTGGAATTTGTCTGATGTCGACTGACCCTTTAAATATTTTGCAAGTTACAATAAATTTGCCAGCGATTTTTTTTGAAGATTATGAGTGCCATGAAGCTTTTAAGATGAACTTATCACTCCCAGGACTTAGCCAATTGCTCAAGCTTGCTGAATCAGAAGATTCTCTTATTTTCTCATCAGCTCCAGATCTTACTGTCCTTAACCTGTGTTTTCAAGCACATAGCCGTCCAAAGGTATGTGAGTTTACACTCAATTTGAACGCAAATATCATGGAAGATGTAGATCCGCCTGAGCTGCCTTATCAAACGACGTTTTATATAAATGCAAGAGAATTTCATGGTATTTGTGGAGACTTGATTCATTTAAGCGAGTTTCTTATTATTGATGTTAACAAAGCTAGAGTAAAATTCAGCATTAAGTGTTCTGCTGCTGGTGGGAGTATTAGCTATAAGCAGAGGATAGGGCAAAATGGGACTTTGATAAGGACTTTTAGAAGCTGTAGGACAGAGCTGAATTTGGCTTATTTAAAAAAAATCACAAAAGCGCATGTTTTATCAAAAAATACTGAAATTGTAATTCATCCTGATGAGCCGGTACTGCTGAAGTATGCTTTTGGAGATGCAGAAATAAAATTTTATTTACTGCACCACTTTAGATTGGAACAAAAAATTGTGCTTTGACACATACATAAAATGGGGTGGCGAACCAACCCAAAATTTTAGTTGGGAGAATCAGGGAGCTTATGGAAGAGAGTTTTGGCGCTAGGCAAGTGTATCCGGCCAGGTTTTGCTTGGCTTGGTGGACCACAAAACAAGAGTAAGTGGGCCGCGAGGTCAAGATTTTACCTCTGAGGAAGATAGAGTTCAGAATTGGATATGGGCGTCCCAGAAACACCATTGAGGTTCTTCCTGGCCAATAGAGAACTTTCCCCTGCGTGATACCAGGCGTTGCATCCCGGACTACGAATTTCATCTTGGTCGACAGGTGACCAGAAAATTCGTTTTTCTAATTTTCTAGAAGCCAAACCCTTTGGCGTACGGCACGGTGACCCAAATTCCCGACTATCAGGGAGAATCTGCGGATACCGACAGGGAGCTTTTTAAGTGTAAGTGTAAGCCCCCTTTAAATTGAAACAAATAGGTTTTTCAATAGGAAAATTTTTACAATGAAATACTAATTTCTATAAAATTAGTTTAGACCTAATTTAATAGAAAAAAATACCAGTGCTCAATTTATAATTTTCAAAAAAATTAATAATGAAAATTTTATTTTTATAAATTAGCTTTAACTCAATTTAACAGTTAAAACAAAATGCTATTTAAACAGCTTTCACACTGAGCCGATTCATGCTTTTATTTAATTTTTCATAAAATAAAATTCAAAGTATTATCTCTGTAAGAAAAAAGTGCAAGTAGAATTTATTTCAATATTTTTACATTGAGTCGATTAATCTTTTAATTTTTCTTCTTAAAAATAATTAAAATTCAAAGTATTGTGCTTAATTTATATTTTTTAATATTTTACAATTTTTTTATAAGAAAAATTTTAATATAAAATTTTAAAAATAATAATAATTAACCCCCCTTTAGATTGTAACAGGATTTTTTGTTCCAATTTAAAGGGAGAGAGTTAGCGCCAGGAATTTCAGATAATGAATAATGGTGAAAATCAAGACATGTAAAATTTAATAAGTTAATTATTGGTTAATATATATTTTATTAAAATAATTAAAATAAAAATTAACATTATGGATTGAAGAGTGTGATCAACAAAAGAGTTCTTTTAAGTGAAAATAAATTATTTTTATGAAAGTTTTAGATACAATTATTGTTAAAATATAATTCTTTAGCCATTCAAAAATTGATTAGATTTTCTTTTATCAAAAAATCCACTGAATATTCCAGCTAGCAATAGGCCGATCATTAAAGCACTAACTCTTCATCCTTAATTGAACGATTTTCATATATTGCAAATTTTTATATGCAATAAATCAATAATTAGTTAATATTTTTATAAATTATGAAAATTCATAATTTGCATTGGCAACTTAAAGGTAATTTGCGTGCTTTTTAATAATCTGCACGAAATTAATTATCTAAAGTGCTTTAGACATCAGCCTGGACTCAAAAGCTTAATAATCTAAGAAGTCTAGAACTATTATAAATTAAAACTAATTAATAAGAAACTAAAATATTTTATAGAGTGGAAAGGGTAACTAGAATTTTATATTAATAAAATTTTTCATTTTATAGTTTTATTATATAATATCTTAATTCTCTTATTTAAAAAGTACAGCAAAACAATAAAATAATTTTCTAAAAAATTTTTTTTTAAGCCCCATCCTTGATCGAGCAACGGGGGATCGTTAAATCAAGAACGTGGGGAGAGTAATCAAAAAGAAAACACCAAAAATGCTCAAAGTCAAATCATACCCCACTTTAAAATTATCTCTGCAAGTAGAGCTGCTTAAAATAAAATATGAGCCAATGCTAAGCCAAATAAATAGAAAAGTAATCCCAAATCCCATTGCAATGTTATAAGAATAAAAGCCAGTTCGGTAGCTTAAACACTTAATAAGGCAGGTCTCAACAATCATTGAAGTTACTGATATCAAGCCTAGTGTTCCTGAAAAAATAAATAATCATTCTCGAAGAGGTATGTCACAATGTCCTCCTTTAGCTCCAAGAATTGAAAAAATTGCTACGGTCATTATTAAACCTATAGCTGATAGGATAGATAAAGTCCACCTAGATGATTTACGATGAATCGTTGTTCCGATCGGTTGTTGCTCCATTTTATTTCCATATTGGCCATTTGTTAATTGTGTTGGTTCATTGAATTCTTTGTTCTGATAAATTCAGTTAATATCTACTTAAATATTTTCAAGTGATTTTTAATTATTATACCAATTGTTTAAATTTGCTTAACTTAGTCAAAGCTTATCTGGATAGTTTTTCGCTAACATAGGTTTTTGAAGCAGCTTTTGCTCCTTCTTTGGCTGCTTCTCCTGCAACGCTAGTTGAATTTAAAAAGCTGTTCGGGCTGAATATTTCATAGCTCAGGAAAAAAATAGCTAAGCCTCCACCTATCATAATCAAATAGTCTCTTGTTTTCGGATCCATTATTTTATTAAGATTAATCAATGTCATTTAGATTATTTAGGCTTACTTCTTGAAGGACAGAAAATTTTTATTATTACAAAAATAGATAAAAGAATGCTTTGTGATTCTATAAAGTACCAAAAAAATTTAATATTCTGCTGTATTTTTATATAGCTTTTAGCATTTTCTGACTAAATTAAATTTGTTATTTTATAAAAATATGAAATAAACAGCAATATTGATAAGTTTTTAAATTGGTTATTAATAGATAAAACATCAATAGAGATGAAAGGCCCAAAAATAATTATCTTTTAATTTTACTATTAAAACTCTAAATAATTAAAAAATACAATGCTGGACGACTCGAATATTTTTAGCACAAATCCTTGACAAAATGATATGTTAAGTGTCAAAAAAATCATATTTTTGAATTACTTTTTAATGAAAAATCAAATAGCTAGATAATTTTAATAACAATCGAAATAAAATAGTATCTCTAATTCATACTTTAGAAATAAGAAAAGCTCAAGTTATTCTTTAAGATACATTCCAGGAATGCCACATCGAGTGACTCCATATCCCTTCAATTTATTTAATTTTATTGATATTAACTCGAATTAAATTCCTCTAAAGAATAAGCTCAAACTTAGTTTATTTCCTTTTTATTGAGACTTGGTGGTAATGACTGTTTAAGTTTGTCTGCTTTTTGCACATCATCTACTACCAAAGTATAAAGGTACTTATTGCAACGAAGCTTGAATTTTGTGACTTTGCCGACCTTCTTGATGGTGACAGATTTGGCTTGTGCTTTTTGGTTGGTGCCTGGTCTGCACATTTGGACGAACATCCTGATGTCTTTAACTTCTTTAGGCTATATAGGTCTTACCATTGCCAACAAAAAATGGTTATAAGCCTCTCATTCTCTATGTAATTAGAATTGGCATGGAGAATGGAATATTTTAGATATATATTATGGGGTAAACGGCAAATACTTTGGTAAAACAGCGGTTCAGATAGATTGAAGGCTTATGAAAGTAAAATTATGAAGACAATAAGAAGAATCATATAATTTATCTGAAACAATGCAAAGAAAAAGTTAGTTTAGAGACACAAAAGCAATATCAAGATTAAGCGATTAGATCTATATCTTTGATAAATTGAAGAGGCGAAATATGATTTGAATTAAATGAGTAAGAAAAATAAACTTTTTAGAGATGAAAATTAAAGTTTAACTTTATAAAAACTCAAAAGCAAATTAATTTATAATTCAAATAGTTAATAATAGTAAAAAATACATTTACCTTGCACTTTTAAGCGATTCTAAATTAGAAGTTCTGGAAGAAATAAAATCACTTTTCGTTGGAGAGTGATTATTACTTGTAGTTCTGCGTTCTGTATAAGCTAAATATATTCTTTTTGCTCTGTTTTTCATAAATTCGAGACTTTTAGGACTTTTTGCATCCTCAGAATCAGATTCTTGATAAAGGTCTTTAGACTCCAAAATTAGCTAAATAAATTTCACATTTAACCTTGGAACTGTCTTTTGAGGACTATGAAACTTCATCGGAGTTAGCGGCCTAGGATAAGATAAATTAGAAATAATCATCTGAAAATATGAAATATACTCCTCAATCTGGCTTAAGAGAAAACAAATGTTTTCTTCGCATGTTTCTTGAGCCACAATTGGTGGATTTGTATGAATTTGGAGCTGGATTGGAGTTTCTTTGCACTTTTTACTCATTTGCTAACTAAGAATTACTTTTATCAGAGTAAATGAGTGGTTTATATGGAATTGCACTTGAGCATATCTATAATTCAGGTCTTTATTGCTTTCTATTGACCTTTGCAATTGTTTTTCTACTGTCTCAGATCTGCCACTCGCCGATTTTTTATTAAAACTCGCAGTCATGCCTTTCTGCATTAAAAATAAAAACATAAAGGCAAGATTTTTTAGAAGTATGTCAGCTTCTGCATTTAGTTCATTTAAATATTTTGTAACAGATCCTATTTGCTCTTCTGATTTCAAAATCTGTGTCACAACCTCGCTGCTACTAGTTATGCCAGTGGCTTCAGTTATGGCTCTTAAAGCAGTTTCTAGCTCATGGACTTGTTCGATATAGTCATCTATTTCTCCTTGTTTAGCAATTATTTGGCTTTGATACTTTGGTATCAAAGAACTTACAACTTTGGTGTTGTCTAGCATGTTAAGAGGTCGAAACATTTGAATATTTAAACTTTCTTTTATGTTTTTCAGTGTTTGGGACTTGTGTTGCTCCTCATTTTGTATAATTGAGGCAAGGTTAGTTATTCTGAATTTGATTAATTTAAGCGTTGGATTTATTTATATAAAAAATATATTGAGAAAATAATTATGCAAAATTTAATTTAAAAAACCATATTTTACTTGCAAATTTTTCTCTAGCACTTGCACTTTTCGACCTTAAGATGGTCAGTTGTTGCTGATTTTGTTCTTCTGACTCTTTTAATTTTTGAATGGTGCTATTTTTTGTTGAAGACAATTTAGAGTATTTTTCAATATCTGATTCAGCGGTTTTAATAACTCTCTCATATGAGAGTATGTTTTGCCGTAATGCATCAACTTGTGATCTTAACAGCTGGTTTTCATTTAAGATTTCTTGGTATTGAGTATTAGAAATTTCAAGCTTTTTCTCTGAAATCGAAATTGAACTTATAAATTCTCTATTTTCTGAGAACTTTTTAATTTTACCTTGAATTTGTTCCAACTCTTCTTCAGCCTCATGAATCTGTTGGTCCAATCGGATTCCTTCTTTCCTTTCTTTTTCTAAAGTTGCCAATTCATTTTCAATATCCTTTTGTAGCCTGACTGGAATTTTTTCCCTCAGCGCAGTGCATTTTGTGTCCAAAAACGAACTATAAACCGTGCTCTCCATATAAAGTTTCCAAAAAATATGAGCTTTTTCAAAGTTTTGGTTATTGGAGACGTAGGTGTTGGTAAAACTTCTCTCGTTAACAGAATTGTCTATCCAGTCTTATATTAAACTTGACATAAGCAACTTATATACTATCAAGATCTCTATAAAAAATAGTAATTAAATTTATATATCCCAGCCTAAATTTAATCCAAAAAACGCTTATAATACATTCACTGAAAAATACAAAGCCACAATCGGTTGCGAATTTGGCCTCAAGATAATTGAAATCAATGGAGAACCAGTTAGGGTTCAATTGTGGGATCTTGCTGGGCAGGACAGGCTAGGAGGTATTTCAAGACTTTATTGCAGAGATGCCAATGGAGCATTAGTCGTTACTGATGCAACACGTGAAGGAACACTTGAGCAAGCCAGTTTGTGGAAAGGAAGTGTTGATGATAATGTAAGATTGCCAGACGGCTCACCCATCCCTATGGTTCTTGTCGCAAATAAATCTGATTTATTAGTCCCTGGCAGTGGCATGACAAATGACGATTTGGCGAGATTTGCAAATCAAAGGCAGTTTGTAGCAAGTTACATGACAAGTTCGAAATTGGGGACAAATGCAAATGAAGCATTGGTACGACTTGTGGAAGAAATTATGAAGAGAAGTCAAGCAAAGGAAGATGCAATGGAAAGCCAAATTAAAGGGATGGGAGGAGAAAAACTGAAAGCTGGCAAACAGCACACTCAACAGAAAAAATGTTGCTAGCTCCCCCCCCATCCTTGATCGATCGGGTCGCCATCGTTCGATCAAGGATAGGGGTTAAAAAAAAATTTTTTGGGAAAAAAATTTTATATATAAAATAAAAACTATATATATATTTTTTTTATTTACTTTTAAATAAGAGGGTTAAGAGTATTTAATAATTATTTTTACAGCAAAAATTGAATTAATCTCATAAAATACCAATTTTTTAATATTTTGATTTATTAGTCACCTCTTTGAACTGTATAAATTTTAATTTGTTTCTTATTGAATTAAATTTTTTTTTTTTTTAAAATTTGAAAGAATCTCTATTTTTTAGATTATTGAGTTTTTAAGCCTAGGTTGATGACTAAATCACTTCGGATGGTTGATTCCGTAGCTTTTTGTCGTCTCAAAGCCTCTGAAAACAACTTCATTAGGTACATCTTCCAAAGCTTTCGATAACTAATTTATAAAAATTTGCATGATATGAAAATCGTTCGATCAAGGATGGAATTTTTACAGTCAATCGTTCGATCAAGGATGGGGGTTATTTTCTCAAATTTTTAGGAACTTTTACAGTCAATCGTTCGATAAAGGATGGGGGGAGTAAGCTATTGAGATAAGGTTAAGTGAATTAAATAAAATAGATTAAAATATGAAATATTACTATGCGTAGATTTGATTCTTTAATAGCATTTAAAATATATAAATAAAATGGCGGATGACTTCCGACCCACCCTCTCATGGGTGGTTACCCGTGTATACCCAGGCATGGGTTTTGGAGCCGGGAATTGACCCAGCAATCCTTGGGACTTCAGAGCGAGAGGTCTAAGTGCAAAGACTACTTTTTTGCGACCAAACACTTGAGCAGTTATTTATGACTTCTTTTTGCCAGGAGCTCAGCTCAGTGGGTGGCCCGAAATGAGGTAGAGTGGCTTACCTTCCTAGGCGCTTTTGTGTTTGCCCCGAATGACGAAAGCTATTGAGTTCTTTCTCGGGATAACTGAAAAGAGGGAAAGGCAAACTAGACATCTAAACGGGGATCTCTCCAGTTAAAAATCACTCTCAGCGAGTGGATCTTGCGAAAGGTACGGGTAGGGTTTGTGTAAAAATAGGGCGATGTGATAAGTTGGAAATTAGAGGCGGTCAGCGAAGACGGTATGAGACGTCCCTTGACCTTTACCTCTACCGAGAAACCGGGGGTTTCGACTCGGGCTTGAAGTGGTTGACCCCTGCCACCCCACAGGGTAAAACGTGGAACGTTTCGACGACAAAGTGGGGACTTGAAATATAAATGCAAATCTAATCTAATTTAATTTAATCTAATAGCATTTAAAAAAATTATAATTTTGCTTGAGATAAAGAGTTAATAATAAAGCTTACGTGATAAAAACTTATATTTTTCTATCCTTATAATTAAAATGGAATTTTGAACATTAATTTTTAAAAAGTTAAAAGATACAGCTATTTAATAATTAAGTATAGAAATTGCCCGAGGATGGCGCTATTTGCGCCATCCTCGGGCAACCGAAAATCAGCTCCACACGGGAAAGATTTTCCACATGTGGAGCCATTTTTTCACACGTGAGAATCCTGACTTCCACGTGTGAAAAAATGGCTCCACACGTGGAAAATCATTCCCGTGTGGAGCCGATTTTCCATATCGGCAGAGAATGGCGCAAATAGCACCATTCTCGGGCAATTAGTATAATTTTTTCGGCTTCTCTATACTCTTGACATGATGCACAAGGGCTACAGAATCAATGAACACAGCAATCATTTAACAAACTTCCTTCTATAGTAAGCAATTGACGAATTCTTGATCTATTTATTGCTCCTCCAATACATCCTAAGAAGCTACCAATCAGGCAAGGCATACAACAACCTTCAGCACCTTTAGTTGCAGCTTTTATAGCGTATCCTTGCAAGCAGTAAGGCCCACAAGGAACGCAGCCTCCCCACAAACAAACTTTGATATCTGAGCAGCATCCGAATAAAGATTCGGTAAACTTTGACATATTAATAATAGAACAGATAGAAAAAAATATGAATAAAATGCTCTAAAATTAACAATATTTTATTAGTAAAATCCTGGTTAAATTTTATATGATAGAAACAAACTAAATTTAATTAGGCAAGTGAGTATTAAATTTAGCTTACAATTGAGAAATTTTAGTATATGGGCCGTGCTAAATTATTTATCACTATGACTTTGTAAGAATTTAATTTAATTTTCTCTTTTGAGGCTTAAATAAAATTTCACTCAGTCGAAATGCCTACTAGAAATAAAAATAAGTTTTTGAAGCTTATTTTTGGAACTTTAATTTTGGTCAGAAGCTAATAATCCATATTTATTCTTATCAGATAGGTTTCAATTTAGAATTAAAAGTATTTTATATATATTAAGATGATAAGCAAGCTTTGAATCATTTAAAAGAATTCCTTAAATCTGTTTTTGCCAATTATAAAAAATATTGTTATCTTGATATAAATGCTCATACGCTAAAGTTCTGAAGCGGATTTCTTGAAAATTAAGGAAATATCTATCTTATTTTTTATTCTGTCTATCATCATTTATACTGAAAATAAGCTTTTGAATACGGTATTATTATCAATTAATTTTAAATATAGGCATTGCCATTTTGCAACTTTATTAGGTCTATAAAATAATAATTCCTTATATATATTTGAAAAAAAATATCAGAATCTATAAATGAATGAAATAAAAGATGCCATTTCAATTTAATTTAAATAAAGACCGCTAGGCTCTGTGATTATCTTATAATAAGCATTAAAGCGTAATGTATGGGGTCAAGTCATCAGATTATAGTCAAATAATCTTAAATCAGCACTACTCTCAATGCTAAATTAAAGATAATTGATCAATTTTCTCAATAAATTTCAAGAAACAAGATTCTTTAACTTACTAATTAATATTTTGCTTACTCCCCCCCCCCCCTCCGTGAGCGAACAAAACCATTAGAAAAATCGCCATTTTTTGACCAAAAACCCACCCTCCGTGAGTGAACAAAAATTTTTTTAATAGAAAAAATTTTAATGGAAAAAAATTTTGATATATAAGTGATAATTAGTATAATGAAATCTAGAGCTAATTCTGTTTAATTTTAAACAAATTGCGTTTTAAAACATAAATTTTGCAAATTAAATTAATATTTGCTTCCCAATTTTTGCAAATTAGGATTTTTTTAAATTTCGAAAACAATATTTTTTATAAAATTTTATATATAAATTTTTTTTAAAAAAAAAAAATTAACCCCCCTCCGTGAGTGAACAAAATTTTTTTTGTTCGCTCACGGAGGGGGGGGGGGAGTTTAGAAAAGATCCATTAGAGATTTACTTAAATTGAAATAAATCGATTTTCCATATTTTAAATAACTTCTTTAGTGAGCTTGGTCCAGTATTTTAGAAAATGGAACAGGTAAGATTAAATCAAATAAGCTTAGATAGTGCTATATCACAGCTTGATTATGAGTTCAACATATTGTATCAAATCAATGTTTCTGATCAGTTCACCAAGGATGACTATGAAAATGCTGTGAGGCAGATCCAAAGTGTAAACACTTGCCTTGAATCATTGAAGCCTTTTGTTGAATTCGAGAACGGGCTTGCTAAGAAGCAAAATGAAATTTGTTCAAGCTCATTAAAGGCGATCAAAGAAACAGCGAATTTAAAAGCAGAAAGTAAAAGGGCTCAATTCATGGAGCATTAATGGAGTGAAGCACTAAAGATATCATAATAATAGATATAAATATTCAGATAAATTATTTTAGTTATCCTATGAAATTGCCTACTATCATTATATCTAAATTACTATAGATTACTATAATTATCCATATTTGTCACCAGAATTCTAAAATTTCTAGAAATAAAGACAATAAATAAATGGATTATAAGTAAATGCTATTTAAAGCATCTAGAAAAGAATGCACTTTTATATTTTAGGAATATTCAGATATATTCTATGGAAATATTATTAAAAATATTAAAGAGAAATTATAAAACTAAAAATTAATATAATTCGGCTATTAAGGTAATACTTTTAATTGAAAAATTTGCAAAGCATTAATTCGTGTTTGTTAAGTTAAATTATTCTTTTAAATCCATAAAATTTAATTTGTCAATACTCTGTATAAGAGAAACCAGCCTTTTTATGATTTACCCGTAAAAAGTTTGAGTTTATTTTCTCAAAAACTAATGGAGATTTTGCATAATTAAATGATTTAAAGATATTATAAATAAACAAGTAACGTATAATCAATAAATGAACTTTTATTTCTAATTTAAATATTCTTTTTATTAGCATTAATTGTATTATATTAAATGCTTTATAGCTTGCTAAGCCTAGCAAGTTCAATTTTAAAATCTTAATTAATTTAGTTCACATAAAATATTCTTGCGTAGCAATATCCAAATCTTGTTCCAAAAGCTCCTTTCCAGTATTTCTCATCTTTCCCATAAAATGATATGGATGCTTTCTTATAGTTTTTATTTAATTTTATTTTCATTATCAGTTGTCCTCAATTGCATAGCCCTTGGCTATCTGGTTCTGTCAATGGTGGTTTAATAGAAATCGATCTTTTATTTTGTTCTCTTTTTCAAGCAGGGAATAACCTTGATTTTTTAACATTTTTTTCTTTGTTATTTCCTTCTTTAATAAGTTCAACTTCAAGTCTTGCTTCACCTCCATTAACGTCTTTTCTCCTTATAGGGCTTCCAATAACTAATAATTTTGGTCGAGAATTTTCTGGAAATTCAACTATCTGGGTAAGATGGCACCAAAATGCACCACTCACATATGTTGATTTTTTATTACTTCAACAGCCTGAATTTTCAATAATTCACGGTCCTGAATAAGAATTCCAATAATTAAAGCCAAATTCTCCGCATGGATTTTTGATTAAATTGTAAGAATGCTTAATTGAGGAATAAATATCTCGAAAATTCGTGAATGAGCAGCCGAGAAGTTCTGATAAAAGAGAGAACGAGTTGTTATCATCTATTATTTGGTCGTTAAATATATCAGAAAGGATTAAAAGGCATAATCTTCGGAATCATTCATCATTTGGAAGTTCTGATTTAAAAGCTTTATTTAGGGACAGCAAATTTAGGGTATCACTGATAGATAAAAATTCAGCTGATCTTCTGAAGATAAGGATAATTGAATTTAAATTGATGCTTAATGAATTAGCCTTAGTCTTAGTCTTAGTTAAATTTATAGAGTAGCTCCCTGCTAGGACCGAGGTCCTTTTCTTCCACCTTTGGACGCCTCGCTTGCTTTCCTTGCCCTTGCTCCCAGTGTGCACCTAAGTGCCACAGGCTACCACTCAGCTCCTTCCGGTCATGGGGCTTGGTCATGCTATCCCGGAAGTAGCGGACTGGGTCACTGTGCTTCACGTCGCCAGACTAGGGTTAGAGCTAAGGATTAACTCATTAGCTCTTGTCGGCCCCTGCCATGCCCTCCAAATTGGCACTAGCGGTCCCTTAGGAAAAACCCTTTTTGCCCCGTGTCCTATCGGGACGACCCAAGGATCGTCGTTGCTGGACTGGGAGGGAAACCTAGCCGGACACAAACTACCAGCACCCATTCCAGACCTTTCCCCTGGCGGATTGGCTTCAGGCCGCAGCAAGGTCCCCAATCTCGCCTCAGTTCCGGGAGAGGACGGGTCGGTGTCGTCGCCATTTTATTTGTGTTGATGCTTAATGACATTTATTATTGGAAATTATCTATAGATTTATTTTATTAAAATTTTCTTTTACTATTGCTAGATGGTCTTAAATAATATTTTTTATTTATTTAAATATTTATAGAATTGGGGATTGTGCTAGCAATAAAATCTTGATATTTTTTAGATAGCATAATGGAATATCAAAAATGCTTTTATCAAGGATGTAATGAGCTGCCTTTCGGCTATTGTGATTGCAATGAATATTATACAATGTTCTGCCCATCTCATATACGAGAGCACATGTCAAGTGATGAAAGGAAGCACCGTTTCATTGATTGCTATCTCAATGTCCCAACAGAATCCCGAAATATAATTATAAAAAGACTTTGCGACATAAAATCAGATATAAGCTCTAATATTCGATATTTAACTGCCAAACGAAATCTTCTTATTGAAACAATTATTCACAGTTTTGATATGTCTCTTAATTCTTTGAAAAATCTAGAAAAATACTGCAATGAAACTATAAAATATGTTTCTCAAAGCAAAATCTCGATTTTAGACCCCTCAAATATTACAAGTATCCTTAAACTCAACCCATATGAAATTGAAGAAAAACTAGAATCTTGGGATATTATAAAGCCTGATTTAAATTTTGACCAAATAATAAAATTCATTGAGCAATTTTTTAGGAATAAAACATATGAGTTTACTTATGAAAAATCGCCTAATTTGATATTTTTTCAATCACAAACTAAAAATTTAATAAGCTACAATGTTGACGAAATGAACGAAAATAAAATTTTAGATGCCTTGAGTTTAACGAATAATATGGACTGGAGTGTATCATTATGTAAAATACCAAGCCAAAGACTATTTTGTTATGGCCGTTGCTGCGGAAATTGCTTTACTTTTATTATAGAGAAAAATAAAACTATAAGAGATGTTGCTTTAGGAAAAGGAAATTCATTGCTGAAAACTGTATTTATGGATAGTTTTGTTTATGCAATAGGCGGAGAAAAAAATTTAGCTGAAAAATATAATATAGAAACAAATAGCTGAGAGGAATGCTCCACCCTTCCTTTTGGAAATTATAGTAGAAGTGTCAGCATAGTCTATAACAATAAAATTTTAATAGCAGCTAGAGACATGGAAAATATAATTAGCTATGATAAACGTGAAGATCAATATTTTCAGGTCCAGAATTTAGTTTTATCAAAGGGTTTAAATAAATGATTATTGACAGATAATAAAAGAGTTTATGCAATTGAACTAACAGCTGGAATTTATGAATGCGAAATAGATAATTTAATGATTTGGAAACGTGTAGGGGATAATCAAGTTAAAGGCAGATATATTACTTCATTTGATGTGCAGTATCAAAATTCATTTTATCTTATTAATAGCAGTTATGATCTTATTAAATTCAGCCTTTCAACGAAATCACTTGATGTAGTAAAAACAATTATAATCTAATGGAAAGATTAAATAAATTTGCTTATATAAGAGTAAAGATATCATTGTTTATAAAAGTTTTTAATTAATTTATTTCAATTTTAAGATAGCTAATAAAAAAAGCATAAGGCGCGATCACAAGTTGCTGGTGGATTTGGTGGAGTTTTCTGTTTTTAAGTTTTGATGTTTTAAATTTAGATTTTTTGATTTTAAACGAAAGAAGTATGGATCTTCCGCTTTAAAAGATAAGAATAAATAAGGATAGCTAATAATGCAATACAAAACATATTCTTCTGAATTATAAATTATTGCACGCCGCTATTCAAAATAAAACGATTTTATTTACAACCAACATGATTAATATCTATTTTAAATTATTAATGTATTCAAATATTAAATTAAATGATTTTATATAAATATCATTTTGATTGCAATTATCCTCTTATCTAAGTACAAATCATATTTAAACTATCTAAATTTCATACTGTAATTTTCTTCTCCAATATCATGATGAAAAATTAATTGAACAAACAATATCATCTTACCGATGTCATTTGTAAGCTATCCACAACTAAACTCGAACAGATTGCTTTTAAGTCCATGAACTGGGTTTTCGAAGCGCCCATGAACATCTCAAAAGCTAAGAAGAACATTTGGCCAGAGTCCTCTGAGAAACTCTACAACCTCACCAATCAGCCAAAGATCATATTTAAACATATCACAGCTCAATATTTCTTCGAAATTTGAAAATCCTCCATCTCCAATTTCTCTTGCAAAAAAAACTACAATATTTTTAAATATCCCAACCTTAAAATTAGAATCTGAAAATACAAAACCATCCAATCGTTTACAGAGAAACACATACTTGAGATATTCAACTCCTGATTCAAAAATTGAAAAAAATTCTGCTATAGTGATCAAGCCTTCTGTAAAATTAACTACACAAAAGGTTAAAATTCACACATCATTGATGGATTACGCAAGAAATAATAAGACACCAAAGCCGAAAGAAGTTAAGTCTTCTATATCTGTAGATGGAAAGCGAATAAGTCTGAATTAATATAGGGCATATTAATTTAAGAGACTATTCTATTTAAACACTATTAATTTAATAAGAAAATAAATATTTGTGTGAATAATTAAGGTTTCGATAATGTCTCTAATAATGTGCAAGCTTTACATATTTTGTTACTTGAAACGTTTCCACACCTTTCACAAGTCATTTTTGCAGGGGCTGGAGCACTAACGCTTAGCATTTCTCCTGAATGAATTATATCTAAAATCGCACGAGGTCGGATTCTTTCTAAATCCTTTAAAAATTCTCTTGCATATCCTCTATAAGCATTTGGGGAGTATACACATTCTGTTGAAAAATAATCTAAATTTTGGTAATGAGCGTACAAAACAATTTCTTTTTCATATAAATACTTAAGTGGCTTACATCTTGGCATATCTCCTTCCTCCCCAGTAACAATATCTGTGGATTTTCCCAATCTAAAATGATCACCTCTCAGCAAGTTCATCAGAACAGTTTCTGCAATATCATCAGCATTATGTCCAGTCGCAATTTTTTCAGCCCCAATCATCCTTGCACCCCTATCTAAGGCTTGTCTACGAAAAACTCCACAGTAGGTGCAATTATTATTCAGACCAATTTTTTTGACGATTTGGTCCATTGTCCAGCCAAAAAGTTCACTATAAGAAACTATTGTAAGTGGGAGTTGATAGACTTCTTGGTTTCTTTTAACAGTCACTAAACTATCATCTCGATATCCGACTATGCCTTCATCGATTGAAAGTAAATGAAGCTCAATGCCATAGTTGTGGCGCTTATTTAAGAGGTCAAGAAGATGGATTAGAACGGTGGAATCTTTCCCTCCTGAAGCTCCTATAGCAATCTTTTCACCTGGATGAAAAAGATTGGAGCTTATTATTGTCTCGTGGACTTCGTTTTCTATTGCTGAGAAGAAGCAAGGCTTGCAGATCCCTTGGCCTGTTTTTGGACGTTTGATGGCAGGCTTTTCTATGCCACAAAGCTCGCAGGATTTTATCATTGTTTTCTGTGTATTATTATTTATTTCTTAAAATTTTTTATACTTGGTATCTGCAATGATGTGGATCAAATTTAGATTTTAAGCAAATTGATTAATAAATATATCAATTTATTATATAACTGTTCTTTAATTGATAGATTTTCAAAAATAATAGCTATTAAGGCTCTAAAATTTCATATGGATAATTTATAAATTACTTTCGCAATGTCTTAAATTCACAGTTCATATTTATTATAATAAAAATAAAACCAATATGTTAAAATTACCAACCGGTTCCCTTTCAAGAAAAAGTTCCAAAGAATTTTCATCCCGAGAAGTAGACCAAATAAGTAGTGAACTAAAAGAAGAATTCGAGAACACAAAAAAGTTTATTGAATCTGACTTTGAAATTTCTCAATTAAGATACCAGAATTTAGTAGCATCCCCAAAAGAATCCATGAGGCTAAAATCAATTTTAAACGAACTCATCAATCAAACACACAACAAACAAAAATATCTTGATGATTTAATAAACAAATCAGCAGAGCTGAAAAACTACTTTAAAGAAAACGATAATTTTGAGAAATACGAAGCAAAAATTGAAAAAATCAAAAAAAAAATTCAAAAAATTAACAAGAAAACCGAGCAAGAAGAAGAAAATTCTGAGTTTTACCAAAATTTATTAGAAAAGTGTCAGGAAGGTCTGCAAATTTACAAAGAGAGAATAGGCAGCATGAAAGAAATGTACAAAGAAGCAACAAAAAATTATGATAGCGTGATGATGGAAAGATATAAAGCTCGCAATGATTTTATTGCTGTGAAAAACAAAGTAAGCCAAACAATAAGCAAATTTCATGACGAAAAAACGATGTTCGAAAATTGCTATGAAAAAATGAAAAATAAATTTACCGAAATTTGTGAAGAAAACACATGTGAAATTGAAAAACTCGCAAATTTGAATTTAAAATATAAGGAATATAAAGCAACAAGAGATAGCTTTATTTCTTCCTTGAAAGAAGAAGCAAGTGGGCAAAAAGAAAACAAAAGTCTATCAATGAAATCAAATAGCAAACTATTTTCATTTCAAGAGGATGTGGAAAAAATCAAAGAGTAAATTATTAATCAGAGTTCTTACTCGATTTGGAATTGAAATAAAAGAAGATTTATATGAGATGGTCTCTCATGGCTGATACCAAGTCATCTCTAAAGAATCAACCTTGAGGATGGAATTTGAAGCAATTTCTGAAGAAGTAATATAATATATAGCAAAGATTAAAGGAAATAGAATGCAACGAAATTAAAGAAGAGCTCAATAAAATAAAAACAAAAAATGCCCCTGCAGCCACTGAAACGCCTTTATTTCATAATGAATCAGAAATTGTAGAGCATGAGCAATCAATACTATTTTCTTATTACAAAACTATTGATGTTTTATCAAAATTTTTTCAAATAATATTCAATATTGCAATTAATTCTTATTTGGTTGAAAATGACTTAAAAACTCATCTTTCAGTGCTTATTCATGAGTCAAAAATACTAGCTAAAGGATTTCCAAAAAATTTGGAAAATGAATTTAATCCTGAAAAAATGGGAGACTCAATTTTTATTTCGCAAACAAGTGAAATGCTTATTGATGATTATCTAATTTATGGCCCTATTTCCAAAAAAAAATTAAAAGAATTGTATGGAAAATATCTAAATTCTGATACAAATGCATTTATCGAGGTCTTTAAATCGTGCAAGCCTACAAATTTATTTTGCAGCCATAGTATGCTGCAAGAATTTTTTAAAGACTTAAAAGAAGAAAATCCTATTGAACTATTTCCAAAATTAGTTTCTCAATGCCATCAAATCATAAAAACAGAAACTGCTTACTTCTTGAATAATTCTTCTAATCTGTTTAAGATGGTGATAAAATCAAACAATGAATTTTCGAGCTCAAATCAAATTACTCCTCAAGTCACTGATTCAAATTTATCATCACAACTACCGAAAATAAATAAAATCTCGAAGCCATACTCGAATATAGGAAACTCAGATTATACCTTACTCCCTATTTTTTGAGCTAACAAAAGCATTAAAAATCCCTATTTTTTGCCCAAAAACCTATTCCATAAACGAGCAAAAAGTGTTTAATATAAACATTTTATGAAAAAACATTTTAATATATAAGTGATGCTATTATAATGAAGTCCCTAGCTAATTTTGCTTAATTTTAAATAGCTTGCATTTAAAAAATAAATTTTGCAAATTAAATTAATACTTGCGCTAAAAAATTATTTCGAATTGGGATTTTTTTAATTTTTTAAAAACATTTTGAGCAACAAATTTTTTTTTTTCGCCCATATAGGGGGTGGAGCTAATAAATAAATACAGAGTAACGGAAAGGCTTTTAAGAAGACCAACAAAACAGCAAAAAAAAGATGAATTTATTGCTTCAATTTCTACGATAAATTCATTGCAAAATAGCTTTGCATCAAATAATAAAGCTGCAACTCTAAGTCAATGCAAGAGTTTTGAAGCATCGAGCTTTCTAACAAATTCAGCTTTAAGTGAAGTTAAGACAATAGAGTCAAAATTAAGAGACATAAAATTGCTAGAAGGTAAAGCTAAAAGACATAGAAAAAATAATTCACTTGACTTTGAAGAAAAATCAAGCTTCATATGAAATGGAGGTGTAAGGCGGCAGAATTCTGCAGGAATTTTAGTGTCTCCAAAAGCTAAAACTTCTATTAACTTTCTTGTAAATAAAAAATCATTAAAAAGCTAACTCCCCCTTTAAATTGGAAACAAAAAAACTCTTCAAATTGAAAAGGGGGTTGACTTTTTTACTCTATAAAAATATTTTAAAAATTTTTAAATATTAAGAAAATATAAATTGAAAATAATCTTTTTGAATTTTAATTTAAAAAAAATTAACTAAAAATTTAATCGATTCAGTAAGAAACTGTTTAAAAGGTTCCAACACTTTTGAATTAGTTTTAGCTGAATTTATGGCAATATTACTTCAATATTTAATGTTTATGACTTTTTGGCTTGCTTATGCACCAAATTCCAAAGTACTTCAACTGTCTATATAAAATTTATTAAGAGTGTTGTGGCTATATTATGCCCAATGGTACTAAAAATATTATCTATTTTGTTATCAGTACCAACTAATTTTCTTTAAATATTTGGTCAATAGCATTCTACTTAAGCTCACCATTTGGCAGAAATAACAAATCTCTCTTCAACTTATTTATTTTTTATGTTAAAATCTTTTAAAAAGAATAATATCTCTCTGCAATACTGTTTTCTTAATTTTAAATTAATGCTCAGTTCATTCATTTTTAATTGCTTCATGAGTAGATTCTTTAAGTTTTTGACGTCAGTAGCATTAGCAATAATAGGCTGGTTTCATATAGTGGCTTCAATTAGTTAATTTTTTCATTAATTGTATTTATATAGCCAACTATACTTTTACGGTCTGATTTTGAAATCTTTCCTATTATGCCACTAAGGGTTATAATTAATTCTTTAATTGAATGAAATTTTGGGTTTGATAGGATTCTTTTGAATTTTTTTCAACATTCATCTATTTTATGCTTTTTGTTAAAGCCTTAATTAAAATTAATAATGGTTTCAAGCTCTTCAAAATTAGGGAGAACGTTTTTTGTATATAATTGATTGCAGTAGCTATGCCTTCTCACAAAGCCAATTATCTTTCTAGAGGAGCTTTGATGCCTTGTTTTGACTTTTCCTTGGGCTGACAGGCTTCCCCTCGTCCTATAGAAAAGAGACTGGGGCGCAGAATCAAACGAGCACTTCTGGAGGAGCCTTTTGCTGCCTTTAAATAGCGGAGGTAGTTTCAGAAGGAGGTATCAGACATTATCCTGATACCCTGAGCACTACCAGAGTTAAGAGATTCTGTGCTGAGATTTTGATAAAAAGAGGTTCGGGTGTGTCTCCCATCAGATGACGACGTCACCATTTTTGGTGACCTTCAAGGAAAGGGCATAAGGTGGCTTTAGTACTTAGCGCCTCATGAAACTGAAGCTCGACTGGCTAGGTGCTGAAATAATCGCCGTTTAGCCCCTTTAACTAATCTTTCTCATAAAATTACTATTCCTGCTTATCTTTTTGAATTACAAATACTCATAATCCTAAATTATTAATATTTTATAGAATGGCACTTGAAAAAATAACAATAAGACTAGAAGACATCAACGGGATCACCAATGCTCAAGAAATCTATAGAGACTGAAAATACTCAAATCTAGCAAAGAAAATAGCTGATATTTATGGGGTACCGAATGCTCAGCAATCTATTGTGTTCCAAACAAGAGTATTGAGATTTGATCAGCATAAAGATATAACATTAAGGGACTTGGGATTAGTAAATAATTCAGTAATAAAAGTTATGCATCGGCAGTTAGGAGGCAAAAATGAAGGCTTGAATATTTATCAGAATTAAGTAATAGAATTTCTACTTATTGCTTAATGTATTTCTTAATTTTTTGCTGATTATAAAGGGAAAATATATTATAAGCTGATGAGAAAAATATTGCTAAATTTATAATCTTTTAATTTATAGAATCAAAATACTTTTGATTGACTTTGATACCAAAAGTATTAAAATTATAAAACATGCATATGGCAAGAACCTTATAGATTGGCATAAGAGGCTTTTTAAGTTTTATTTCCAGCTGAGATTGAATCTAAAAATGAATGGCAGCTGGAGTCGCTAAACTGCAAAATAATAGCTTTAAGTTTTTTGGTTAATTAAAAAGGATAAAAGTTAACTGAATTTTGGCACCCTCAAAAAAGGATATTAGGAAATCAATTCAATTTTATGGGCTGTGCTCAGATTATGAAGAGACAAATTTGTTGGACTACTAATTAATCTAATTTCAAAAAAATGTTAAAGGCTATCAGTTATAAATATATTACAGCGAAGATGCATTCTTTCAGTTATATTTACCTCAAAAATGTAATATTTAAAATAAAAAAATTCAAATCTCTTAATAAAAATAGCAGTAAATACATAAATTTACAATCTGCAATAAATCATAATTTTTTAAATTTAAATTAAAATTTTAATTTTTAAGATTTTCTCCTATTTTCTAAGCTCAAAAAATCAAAAAATTATTTATTGGTAAAAAATTTAATTCATTTTTAGCCATATATATATATGTCAGACCATATCAGGCAGTTAAATAAAGCGAAACATAAAGAATAACAGTTTAAAAGAATTTAGATTATTCTCTTTATAATTTTGAGAGGATTAATTAAGTCTATTGGAATTATGAAAAGATAGTTAATTAAAATTTTTTAATTTCTAAATTATACCTCTTGCGTTTGTTTTATTATGCAGTCTGTCGCTTAATTAGTGTTGATGAATTGAATTTCGAGTACAAAAATTAATTTAATTGGCGAAGAAAACAAAATTTTGCTTCGAGTTCATTTTTATAATAAAATGTAAGAGAAATTATCCACAAACAAGCATGAATTTAATTTTAGAGTTATCAGGCTTCTTGCATAGCCTGCAAGAATTAATTCATTTGATATTGAGAAATTATAAGAAACACTAGCAAGGTTTAAAATACTTATAAGCAAACTTAAGTTACAGAAAAATAAGAGGAAATTACTAAACTAAGAGAAAATGATGTTGAAATATAAAATAATAAAACTTAAAAGTGGCAAAATTTGCTGCTAAGTGTTGAGTTTAATTATTAGTTAAATAAATTTTTAAACCATCCAAAAAATTGTTAAATCAATAATTATGCGTCCATTAAAAATCTTGCTATTAAATAGTTTATAATTAAAATGGAAGGCGATAAGCTTGCTAACTTTGGGAAATTTTATCAGCTCTTTGTAGCGCCTCAAGTAACCATTATGCTTTATACAGTTGTTGAATTAGATATACCACGTCTTCTTATCGAACCAAAGACTTTCTCTCAATTAGCAGAACAAACTCCAGCAATCCCAGAAAAGTTAGAACGTATTCTATTTGCTTTGGAGCCTTTAGGATTCTTCTCATTTAACCAAGAAACTGGATTATGGTCAAATTCTCCTATGTCTGAAACTCTATTGGACGAAAAAATTAATGCGATGGCAAGATGGCTTGGAAATCCATTTGAGCTTGATATGCTCACAAAATTCCCTGAGTCAGTAAGACAGCATATATCAGCTGCTGAATTGCGTTTTGGATGCCATCCCTTTGAGTACCTAGCTGCACACCCAGATCTCTTAGAAACTTTCCAAAGCACCATGAGAGAATTCACTAAAATTTTTGGAGATGGCTTCAAAATAGTTGATCTCTCGTCAGCAAATAGAGTTCTTGATGTAGGTGGAGGAGATGGCTCACTTCTTATTGAGCTATTAAAGTGGAACCCTCACATATCAGGTGCTGTTTATGAGCTTGAAGCTGTCAAATCTAAAGCAGAAAAAAATTTTACAGATCACAATTTACAAGAAAAATTCAGCGTAATTTCAGGCAGTTTTTTAAATAGTGTTCCTGAGGGTTTTGATTGCATAGTTATGAAGCACATTTTGCATGATTGGGATGATGAAAACTCAAAAAAAATACTTCAAAACTGTAGAAGAGCTTTAGAGGCAGGAAAACAGCTTAAAATAATCGATAATGTCATTATTAGGTCAAGTGATCATTATCTTTATTCAAGAATGGCTGATATTCATATGATGGCTATGCTAAATGGAAAAGAAAGATCTAAGGAACAACTTGAAGCTTTACTTAATGAAACTGGCTTTAGACTTGATAGTGTTGATCAAATTAAACCAATTCAAGACTTTGTTGTCAGCGCAACAGCAATTTAATTAGGTTTAATTCAATTAATTATTTACAAAAAAATATTATCCATTAATAAATAAAGAAATGAAGCTCAAAGCTTACAAAAATAGGCTATCAATTATAAATGTTGAGTTTAATTATTAGTTTAAGAAATTTTAAACTATTACAAAATTATTTAAATGATTAATTATTTGTCCATTAAAAATTTTATTATTAAAAAAATATCACAATGGAGGAAGATGACTTGGTCAAATGTTGAATTCAATTATTAGTTAAATAATTTTTTAAACCATTCAAAAAATTGTTTAAGAATTAATTATTCGTCCATTAAAAATCTTGCTATTAAATAATTTATAATTAAAATGGAAGGCGATAAGCTTGCTAACTTTGGGAAAATTTATCAACTCTTTTTAGGGCCTCAAGTAACTATGATGCTTTATACAGTTGTTGAATTAGATATACCACGTCTTCTTATCGAACCAAAGACTTTCTCTCAATTAGCAGAACAAACTCCAGCAATCCCAGAAAAGTTAGAACGTATTCTATTTGCTTTGGAGCCTTTAGGATTCTTCTCATTTAGCCAAGAAACTGGATTATGGACAAATTCTCCTATGTCTGAAACTCTATTGGACGAAAAAATTAATGCGATGGCAAGATGGCTTGGGAATCCATTTGAGATTGAAATGCTCACAAAATTCCCTGAGTCAGTAAGACAGCATGTATCTGCTACTGAATTGCGTTTTGGATGCCATTCCTTTGAGTACCTAGCAGCACACCCAGATCTCTTAGAAACTTTCCAAAACACCATGAGAGCAGTTACTAAAATTTTTGGAGATGGCTATAAAATAGTTGATCTCTCGTCAGCAAATAGAGTTCTTGATGTAGGTGGAGGAGATGGCTCACTTCTTATTGAGCTATTAAAGTGGAACCCTCACATATCAGGTGCTGTTTATGAGCTCGAAGAAGTCAAATCTAAAGCAGAAAAAAATTTTACAGATCACAATTTACAAGAAAAATTCAGCGTAATTTCAGGCAGTTTTTTAAATAGTGTTCCTGAGGGTTTTGATTGCATAGTTATGAAGCACATTTTGCATGATTGGGATGATGAAAACTCAAAAAAAATACTTCAAAACTGTAGAAGAGCTTTAGAGGCAGGAAAACAGCTTAAAATAATCGATAATGTCATTATTAGATCAAGTGATCATTATCTTTATGCAAGAATGGCTGATATTCATATGATGGCTATTTTAAATGGAAAAGAAAGATCTAAGGAACAACTTGAAGCTTTACTTAATGAAACTGGCTTTAGACTTGATAGTGTTGATCAAATTAAACCAATTCAAGACTTTGTTGTCAGCGCAACAGCAATTTAATTAGGTTTAATTCAATTAATTATTTACAAAAAAATATTATCCATTAACTATTTCTACTAATTATATTTATAGTTAACGCAATGCTCTTATATTTCTCCTCTAACTATTAATTTGTCACATAATAGAACTTATCTAATTATTTTCCACTTTTTTTTTAACTTAAATTTTTCCAAACGAAAATAATGAAAATGGTGTTTACATTCCTATTATACTCTCAAAAAAGAGGTGGCGAGAACGACTGCGAATTCTACCTTACCATATTTTAGGCAATTTTTTTAAATATGTCCCTACAGGCTTTGATTTCATAATTATGAAAAATCTTTTGGATTTCTTGGATGATGAAAACTCAAAAATAGTATTTAGAAACTGTAGAAGGGCTTTAGAGGCAGGCAAACAGCTCAAAATAATAGTTGAAATTATTAATCGGTCAAGTGAGGACTATAATGTTGCCAAATAAATATAATCACATTTTGCAGGATCTTTGGCTCAATTTGGCTGATATTAGAGTATTAACTATCATAAAGCTATTACAATTATTGCCTTTTAGTATTTATCTTTTCTCAAGAATGACTGATATTCATACGATGGCCTTTTTAAATGGAAGATTAAGAATGAAGGAACAATTAGAAGCTTTACTAAATGAATTTGGCTTTAGACTTGATAGTGTGGATCAAATTTCATCACTTCAAGATTCTGTTGTTGACGCAACAGCAATTTAGTTAGGATTAGTTTAATACAAATTCATCTCAAAATAAAATATCATCTATTTAATGAATTAAAACTATTCCCTAATAATTGATAGAAATAAAATGATGATTTTGACGGAAGGAGGACTTTGGCGCATTTTCACTATGGTATGGATAAGGTAGGACCCATCTCGATGAAGTTGAAAATAGTGTAAAATTAGTTGATTAAATTTCTGATCGGCTCCCACGAGCCAAAGATGGATTTAAAGCGTGAAAATTCAGAAATTCCACGCGGAAACCTATTTTTGGCTCGTGGGAGCCGATCAAAAATTAAGCCAAAATATTTTATCACTTTTAAAGTAGTTTTTCTATTTTCCTTATTTCCCTTGAGCAAACAAAACCTTTGAAAAAATCCCTATTTTTAGTATAAAAAACTCTGAAAGAAAATTTGATATATATGTGATAATTAGTATAATGAAACCTCTAATTCTGTTTAATTTTAAACAAATTGCTTTTTACAAATTAAATAAAATTTTTAGGCAAATTTTTTTAAAACAAATTAACCCCCCCTATGTGAGCGAGCAAAATTTTTTAGTTTACTCACGGATCGGGGGAGTTAATATTTCGCATGAGAGTTTATCTCATCAATGCGAATCACACATTTTTAATAAAACTGATTTGTAGTATAAAAGTAGGCGTTAGACTTCAATTTTATCAGTTCGTCCACTATTTGACTCTTAAAGTATATTTAATAAGCCAAAAATTCCAATAAGCATGTAATTGATTTTTTAAGCATAAATTAAAAGAAGCAAACTAGATTTCATATGCTAAAAAGCTATCTGGTTCACCCTAAAAATATTTCTTACTAGGCTATTCAAGATAATTCAGTATATAAAAATTGGGGACTAAAAATGAATGAATATCTATCAGATCAAGAAAAAACCCGAGAACTTGCTCTTAGACTTAAAGCAATAAAAGCAGAATTAAAGCCACTCTACAACGGTAAGATCCTTCGAGCGAAACAAGTTCCAAATCGCCTCAAAGAAGAAATCGTCGAGATTTATGACCAATATGGTGGAAGAAGCATTCTTATGAAGCTTTTCAATATTTCTTACAGCCATATCAAATCTTGAAGAAAGCAATGAAAAGATAACCCTAATTGTTTCAAAGAAGCGGATAATGACCCATCTTCTCAAAGTCTTCATTTTACTAATAGTGTTCTAGAAGGCTTCAAAAAAACTACAGAAAAATCGATAGAAAGATTCAGCAAGTCAAGCTTTAAAATAAAAGAAGACAATGAACCACTTACTTTGAGTAATGTAAAGGAGCTACTTAGCCCAGAAATTCAGGAGAAATGTGAAGAAATTAAAGAAATGATGAGCAGGGCGAAGAGATTGTATAATAAAATGCTGGATAATGAAATCAGAGAGGAAATTGTGAAATTGGTTATTAAAGCTGGATATGCAAAGCCGATTGCGCTGTTGCTGGGAATCAGTGAAAAAACCATTTTGGGATGGAGAGATTTGTTTGTGAAAGAGCTTGATGAGAATAATCAGAAAGTAGAGGATATCGAAGAATCTTAATGGATAAACAAATTTTATTTATAAATTAGGGAGCTTTTTCAGGTAAAAATTGTATATTTAATCTATGAATATCTGCTTTTAAATTTTTTTTATGGAGAAAATAAAATAGATTGCGTTTGATGACATTTAACAAATATGTTAAATTTATGACAATTAAATTAATTTTAGATATAATTAATATATAGCTATTTCGTTTAAACAGTCTCATAAGGCTATGATTTCCCCTGGGAAGACATTTTTGGTTAGACCAAAGATTCAGCCCTGGTAAATCATAGCCTTATTGGACTATCTAAAAGAAAAGCTCATAAAATTTATTATATAAACTTCAATAATAAATACATGTTTTATAAAAATATAGAAATTAATTGTGGTTTTATAATTTTGGAAAAGATGCGAAAAAATAAAATTCAATTAGTAAAATCTTTATTTGAATTAATCAACATTATACTCCGTTCTGTCCTGATTCCAACTTGATTCCGAGCTATCCTTACTTTCTTCTCCTTCACCATTTGGAGCATTTTCATTTCTTCCACTGGCCTTGTCAGCTGATGTTGGCAAATCAATATCATATTCAGAATTGATACAAGATGAAGCTTCAACACTATTGACATGAGAATGTTTAATACAGCTTTCTTCATCTTGAAGCGTTTCTGGTATCATACTGATAAAACATCTGCCATAGTCAAACGTGGATCAAATACATTTTTTAACTCTTCTTTCTCTGGCTCTTTACAAAATATTGAATAAAATTCTTCACCATCCTTTGTTACAATATGGCCCTTTTTAGGATTGTCCAGCATATTTTTGTCATAGCCATCATCCCTATATCACTTATTCCGGAGAAAAGGTAATCAAGAAAAATATAATCCGATGAGTTATATGGCTAAAAGAATTATTAAATATATCAAAATTTTATGGTTAAATTCTAGGATCTTGCTCTTTCTCTGTTTGAGTGTATTTACTTCCATTTGACTCTAGAATTAAAATATAGTTATTCAGATTAATCAACTTTTAGCTCAATCATCTCCTGCTCCAATGTGGCATCCAAGCTTTCCAATTTTTCTTCTTTTTCTTTCTTTTCTTCTTTTTCTTCTTTTTCTTCTTCTCCATCAGTTAAAGGCAAATGTCTCTCTTTTTCCTTAGACCTTTCAGCTGATGTTGGTAATTCAACATCAAACATTGAATTTTTGCTAGAGATTGATTCAAGACCTCGATTTAGTGAAATGCTTTCTAAACTTTCGTCATATTCAAGTGCTTCTGGTATCATGCTTATAAACACATCAGCCATAGTTAAACGTGGATCAAATACATCTTTCGAGTCTTTTTTCTTTGGGATGCTGTGCACAATTGAATAAAATTCTTCACCTTCCTTTGTTACTATATGACCTTTTTTAGGATTTTCGAATAATTTATCATCATAGCCATCATTTTTATATCACTTGTGCTTGAGAAAAGGTATTCTTTTTTGCAAATTCCTCAATCCTGTATCTATTAATTTAAAAAGCCAATAATATAAAAAATAAATGTTTGAGAACACTATAATCAAGAAAAATATAAATCGGCTAATTTCATCTAAAGAATCTGTTAAAAAATAAAGGCCACAATAAATTGTAGTGGCTGATACAAAAATCGATCTTAATTCCAGTTCATTTAAAGCTGGGCCGCTATAGGGACTATTTGTATAGTGTAAGTGGAGGGAGGCTGCTAGTATTATTGTTACGGTAAGGGCTTGAACACTGACAGATATATTAGCTAAAAAAACAGAGCAGCAGATAACTAATATTTTTCTATATAATATAATAAATTCTCAGTAATAGCATGACTTTTTATAGCCATTGAAGAAGAAACCAAACATGAGCCTTGGGCCGATTTCATTGAGTTTTCTTCGGTTTTTCACTGACTTATCCCATTTAAATTGGAAAATAATTATGTCTGGTATGAAGTTTGTTAATTATTTTTAAAACAAATTTATATATACTTTCTTAAATAGTCGAAAAACAGCTTAAAAATCAAAAAACTTGCGAATTTAGATTAGGAGAATGAACTTGGAGTGCTGAAAACACAGAAAGAATAAGCAAAAATTCCGCAAAAATTCTCTTTATCTCATAAAACAGGCATAAAACCGAGAAAAATTCCCAAATACCAAAAACAAAAAACTTTTGTGCTAAAGAAAAAATATTTTGGCAAACCAAAAAGTCATTTTTGATTTGCTAAAATTTTTTGGCTTTCCAAAATTAATTCATTGCCATTGTCGTTGAAATCAAAAAAATTTTCAGAGTCTTCTTTTTTCTTGGTTATTGGGAATTTCTTGGTTAAGTGTTAGTAACCAAAAAATGGAGAATTTACCAATATTTTGCTCCATATTAAATGGGGGAGTAAATTAAGTAAGCACAAAGCAGGAATTCCAATCCCCCAGAGTATAATAGAAGGAATAACAACTAAGCACAAATAAAAGATATGTTTGCTATCTCAGCACCTTATATCGTAATCTACTGTAAGTCACCGCTCCCCTGAATTTATTTGTTTACAACTGAATGCACCAAACATCATTTTAACGATATTTGGGTGGATTAAAAATAGTAAAATAACACATGTAGATATATAATCATTCCGAAAATGCCTTAAGTTTTTCCTCTTAATCCCCGCTCTACAAAAAACATCAAATTGTAATCTACTTTACGGGGTCTTTCAATAAAATTATATCAATTTCCCAATTTCTTAGTCCCGACCCTTAAATTGGAACAAAAAATTATGATCCAATTTAAATGAGGGTAAAAATTTAAAATAAAAATTGAGCTCAGATACTTTTATTTTAATTTAACTTATATAGAATTATTGTAAAAATTTAATCGTTTCAATGCAAAAACATTTTATTTTATAAATTAATATTTTCGCCTATAAATTTTCCTATTGAAAAAAAAATTGCTCCAATTTAAAGGGTGGCTAAATACCTAAAAAAAGGGAATTTTACATATATTTTGTTCAATTTAAAGTGGGGGGAGTTATATTGTTTTTATCTAATTTTATTATTCTTAAAATAATTAAAAAAGTGTGTTTGTATTTTTTTGCTCTCTAAATTTTTATAATTATTTTTAAAATTAAAATTTTTTACAACTTCTTCATTAATGAAAGTTAGTATAAATTAAAATTCATACGGTTAAGGAAACTAGTGCAATAACTAAAGGTGCAAGACTCATTAGAATTAGCTTGCTGTAATAATACTGATCAGGTTCATCTTTAATCTGCAAAAAACAGTCAAAAGAAAAAATTTGATCATTTGCTGAGCCAGCTGTATTTTGTATAGCAAATACTTTCCACACAAGACTTGGTCATTTTAAGTTAAAAGTAGTCACAAGCATAACTAACTGTAAATAATTCATAAAAATTTTTATGTAAATCGATGCTAGTGATGTAGGTTTAAATGCAGATCTTCGAGTTGAATTTACCATAATTGCACAGATAATTATGAGACTTATAGAAACGCCAGCAATTCTCAAACTATTCGAAGATTCGTCTGGGCAAGGACTGCACGTTTCATCAGCTGTTTTTGAATATCCATATTCACAAGATTGACACATATTTCCTTTATACCCTTTGTCGCATTCTCCTGTATATGAAATGTTTTCAGCGTCAGGCGAGCCAAGACATGCATCAGAGTTTGGGCATTTTCAAAAAACGCTTGCATACATATTATCTCGCCAATACCCACGCTTTGGAACCATTGTATAATTTCCATAACAAATTGCATCATCAGGGCATGTCAGACATTCAGGGATGGAGGGGTCTAAACTATAATAGTTCGACCCACAGATTTTGCATAAATTTCCTACAGTTGCTTCTCCAATCTGGCAAAGTCTAAAAGTAACGTTAATAAGCATAATTTGATGATACTCTGCGTCATCTTTGGCCTTACTCTATTATTTTTAATTTCCATAATTTATTTATATTACAAATTTATATATAGAAATTATATTATCAGATTTGGTTGGAGAATGAACATAGAGAAGAAATGGAGGAAATGAGCAACTTAATAAACGATTTTATTTATTCAATAATGAAGGTAAAAGAGAGAAATGCTGAAAAATCAGCGTTAAACTAACGTAATAATATTATCAGATAAAAGTTAGTACTTTTCGATGTATCAATAGCTGATGTATATACTAAAATCTTTGTATTTACTCCTGGATACCCAGTTAGTGTAAACGAAGAAAATGTATAAATACCTTCAACTGCTACTACCCTGATTAAACCAGAAACTGTTGTTTTGTTATCAATAGTCTGAAGCTCAGCAGTACTTGTATTATCAGTCTTTACTACATTTCCATCATGATCAATTAAAGCAATAATTAATGGTGTTGTATAAGTTTGGCCTGAGGCTACATTTTCTAAATTAGCTATAATTGGAGGAGCTCCTAGGCTTCTGCTTTCGAGCCTTCTTAATGATGAATTACTTGATTCTGCGACCATTGAAATAGGATATGATGCAACATTTGGCGCATAAGCGGCTGAATTATTCAAAAAAATATTATCGATAGAAATCGGCATAATGTCATCCCATGCATAGGCACCTCCATTATAGCTTGCTGCGTTCCCTCTAAAATTAAAGGATATTTTAAAAGCACCTATATCACAAATCTATTTTTTGAGTCTATTTTCTTTTTCCATTTTTTTACTTTCTCTCATCTGTCAGCTACAAAGTCATAAGAAAAGAATTATAGGCTATCTTAGAGACATGTAATTCTAGGAGAAAATAGCCAAAAATCAATTTTCTAAAAATAGGCTGAATGTCTTGCGGTGCAGACGCAATGTGAAGGAGCCCTAAAATAATTATTAATAAGATAAAATTTGCATATATCAAGATCTTTACAATTTAAGAAAAGGCCTCCTCCAATTCCATATTGAATTTTGGTATTTGCTTGATCTGAGTCTGATACATACGCATGATTATGGTATATGAAAGAGTTTGTTAGATTCAATAAGATGTTATTTGCATAGACCGCACCTCCATTTAAAGCTGTGTTATTTATAAAGTAAGTCTCATCTACAATATACACAGAGTTTATCATTGAATCTGAAGAAGTTATCAAATGAACAGCGCCGCCTAGGGTAGCATTGCAGTTCACAAATCTACTGGTTTTGATGGCTATATCAGAGCAAGCTATGCAATAGATGGCTCCGCCATTAACTCCATTGGCACTATTAAAAGATGAGCCTGTAACATATAAATTTCCTAATTTGTCACCATAGATTCCAGTACTGGAGAAATTTTCAAAAAATGAGTTCAATATTGTTACGTTGCTTTGATATAAATCAAAAACTGCATCGGGGCATATTATTTGACCAGAGCATTTTGATAGTGGGGCGATTGGTTGGGGAATTTTGGTTATGTGAAATTATTGAAATTTAATTTTTTTTAAAAAAAAAAAACTTTCCTAGAAAATGACTTCAAAAATTAGTTAAAATGGCAATTAGTCAACTGCACCAGTGCTGTATGAAGTAAGGTGTGTAAAATTGGATGACTGAATAAAAAGAGAGCTATCTGAATAAGCTAGAATTGCCCCTCCAGAGTTTGCTTGAAGATTTGAAAAAACACAGTTTAATGCTGTAATTGAGGTGGAAATAGCAAATATGGCACCTCCTGAGCCTGAAGAAACTGCATCTTTAAAGGTTGAGTTTGAAATATATAAAGAGCTCTGGGTTGATGAATATATAAAGCATCCTTGCTTACTCGGCTGAGAATAAAATTGAGAGCTCGAAATATTTGCACTTGAGAGGGTCAAAATCAGCCCGGGGCTTGCTTCATCTGCTGAATTTTCATGGATTTTGGAAGAGTTAATCAAAATCGACGCATCTAGAAGGACGATTGCTCCTTCAGATGCTTTGTTATTGTATATATTTGTTCTTATTATCTGAGAAGAAACTAACTCCTCCTTCTGTGAGCAAGTAAAACTATTTTTAAGAATTTTTTATTTTAAAAATATTTTTATTTATAAGTTACAATTATTATAATGAAAGCCTATTGAATTTGGAGCTAGAAACATAAATTTTTAAATTAAATTAGCTTTTACTTTCCAATTTTTCTAAAATAGAATTTTTTTTTTAAATTTTGAAAAAAATGTTTCCTCACTAAGTTGAAGAGGAGAGTAAAGAAGTGCCTAAAAGATACATCACAGAGCCCTTCCTAAGACAAGAATTTCCTGTAATTATAGAATCCTCAATTATGCTATATTTGATTAGGTCTAGCTTCTCTCCGAAGGGCCTTTTTTAATATAAATTAAAAATGAAATAACTATATTTTATTATGATTAAATAGTTTCTCTAATCTGTGTTAAAATCAATGAGTTTTGCTCGACATAAATAACTCCACCAGAATTTTCTGCATAATTATTTGTAAAGTTGCAAAAAGAGCATTTAAAAATTGATTGAGAGCTAATCGATGCAGCACCTCCAGTCGCTTTGCTTATATTTTCATAAAAAATAGTGCCTGTTGACTCCCCTGTTGCTTGGTTTTGCAGACTTACTGAGCTTCCTCCTTTAATTGCAGTATTATATCTAAATATTGATGCTGTTTCTACCCAATTATCATAATTAAGCAATATAACTGTCCCTAAGTTTCACTCAAAAAGACAATTTGTCGTTTCCAAATATGAATATTGGCTTAAATCATCCATATGAATAATTGACTCTCCTGAGTTATTTGTAATTGTGCATGTGTCTAATATAGTTTGCGATCTTAACGAAGACCCATCTTCTTTTGTGGTGATATAAATGGCTGACCCTCATTTCGCGTAATTTTTTGAAAAATCAGTATCAGTTATTGACAAAATTCCATTATAAAATGAAATTGATAAAGTCCCTGATGTCTCTGCTGTATTGTTTAAAAAATGAGAATCTTCTATTGAAGAATATTGGCTTAAAGCAGCTGTTTTTTCAATATAAATAGCAGCACCATTTTCAGCAGAATTATAGAAAAAAGAAACGTTTTTAAATTGAAGATCTATTTTTGTAGAACCGATAATTTTCTCTTCAATATAGATAGCACCTCCATAACTGATAGCTTGATTTTTGTTGAAATTACAGCTGTCAATAAAAAATCCTGAATTTTTATAAATAATTTGAGGAGAATAATAAATTGCTCCTCCAAGCTCATTTGGGGATTTATTCATAATAAAAATACTTTTTGAAATATTTAAATATAGGCTTATCCCTAAGATAGCCCGATATGGGCGAGGGATAGAGGTCAAAACCTCTCACTTGGTCCGCCCACTCGGATTGGCCGAACCAAGTGAAAGGAAGCTCATTCGCCACTTGCCACTTGGTTCGACCTACATGAGTTGGCCGGGACCAAGTGGGAAGTTTTGGCCTCTATTGCTCGTCCATATCGGGCTATCTAGGGATATGCCTATATCTCCCTTGGAAATATAATGCTCCTCCATATCCAGCAGAGTTCGATTGAAATAAGCAATTTTCTAAGGTCAAGTTTAAATTTGAAGTTATAGTTCCAATTGCTCCTGACCCAGATGAAAGATTGTTAGCATTGCTTATAAAAGTGGAGTTTATAATTGAGGTTTCTATAGCTGCTGCTACATACAGGCATATCGGATGGTCTCCATTTCCTTCGTTTTTTGTGCAATTAAACCTTGAAATTGACAATTCTCCAATTTTTGATAAGATAAACACAGGCGAAGATTCCTTGCAATAATTATTTGTCATGCTAAAATCTGAAATAGAAATATTAATTGAAGAGTCTACAGATATCATAGAAGCGCAGTCAATAAGAGCAGCATCGTCGTATTGCAGTTTGAGATACATAGTTGAATCCTCTATTCAATCATTAAGTATTATATCATTTACGTCAATATCTGTACTAGCGCCATTGGAATCTAGCGACAAACTATTAACATCTATATTCACTAAATTATTAATGTCAATCATCCCAGAACCACCTGAATAATTTTCAAAAAAATTAATGCACTTTGTAATAAACCAGCGCGCTTTATAAAATGCAGTTACTCTTTGCCCTGTTGTTAAAGTTGCTGGTTTTGTCGTGTCTAATTCATATTCGGCTTTAATTTCATTATTTATAACATATATCAATGAACCACTTTCAACTCCATTAGAAGTTATGCTTACCCCCCCTTTAAATTGAACAAAAAATCCATTTCCAATTTAAAGCGTTATAATTTTTTTTAAAAAATATTAACTAACACAATGCTTTAAATTTTAATATATTCTTATAAATAAATAATTAAAAAATTAATCGATTTAGTGTAAAAACTGTTTAAATAGCATTCTACTTGCACCTTCCCAATTAAAATAGGTCAAAATTAATTTTATATAAAAATTATATCTTCATCTTTAATTTATTTTAAAAAACATTTTTAAAATGTTTAATAAATTGACATAATACTTTGAATTTTATTTATTTTTACGAAGATTTAAATAAAAAAAAATGATTGATTCAGTATGAATACTGTTTAAATAATATACAAATTGAGCCAAAACTAATTTATGAAAAATTAGAGATAAAATTTTCCCATCGAAAAAATAATTTTGTTCCAATTTAAAGTACCCAAAAATGCGAATTTTAACGATATTTTGTTCCAATTTAAAGGTGAGAGTTAGATTTTCAAATCGAAAGTTTTGGAGTTGTCCTTTGAAGCTTGCATACAAAATCCCATAAAATTTCCCGAAATTTCCTGTAAACGTTGAATTGTGTATATAAATGTGATCTTGCAATAAATCAATAAGCTCATTATTTTCGTTTACAGCTATTACAAAATTTAGCCCCTTTGATGCTATGCTAATAATTCCTGTATCAGCAATATTTGAAATAAATTGGCAATTATTAATTTCTAAATTTCGAAATATTTTAAGGGTAATAAGAGAGCCTGTTTCGAATGTGGATGACTGCTGAAGAGCCACCAAATTTTTTTCAAAAATTACATTTGTAAAAGTTGCATATTGAATTTTTTCAGCATATAAAAACCCTCTAAAATCAATCGGATCGGCATATTCAAAGCCATTGTTAATTCTAGATACTTTCCCATTTGTATAATTCAAAGTGCCACAATTATAAAAAGCGTTATCACAATCTTGCATTGAAATGACTGCAGCAGCTTCATCACTAAAAATGACGATATTATCAAAATTTACATTATTAAGTGTAATATTTCCCCCTCAGCTTTCTATTAAGGCATAATATAGAGTTCCCCAATTAGAAAAGGTTACGTTTGTTAAATTTAAAATAGCTTGATTTGATACTCCAAATAAATAATTTTGATTATAAGTCGAGCAAAATGTTGACGACAAGTATTCTGATGTCTTTATTTTTTGTCCACGATCAGTTTTATATGAGCCATCTATTTGTTTTTCGATATATGGACAATAACTACAGTATATTAGGCTAGAGCATGATGTGGTAATTAGAGTTCCATCAAAAATAACATTTTCAATTTCTAAGGTAAGCCCAGACCAAAGTCCAATATATATGTTTGATTTGTCAGGGATTGTCTTTATTTTTATAATGCTCCCATCTAAACTTGCTATTTTTATATATACCATTGTCCCCGTATCTCCTGAGTTATGATGGGCAAGTGGAGATCGGCTATTTTTTATAAAATTATTTACAAAGTAAAATTCGTCAACAGGAGCCCACTCATAATCCCCATCATTTATCAGATAAAGTATCGAATATTTCCTTTGAATCAATGCTAAAGCAACTGCAAAAGTTTCAAAAGGAGACTCCAAAGTCCCTTCCCCTCCTGTCACATCACCATGTTTTTTGGAGCTTGCATAATAAACATAAGGGTTTCTCGGTGTCGAAATGTCGACTAATGGCAAACAAATTGGATTGCTGCCCATAATTGATTTAGCTTCATACCCATAAGGGCAGATTTCTGCACAATAGCCAAAAAGCTGAACTGTCGAATCGCTGCATTTAAAACATTTTCCTTCATCAGTCCCATAGCAGCTTATACAGTCATCATCTTTGCATTTATATGATTTTTCAGGCTCACAGTTTATTCAATTATATGCACAATCAGCAATGTCACAGATTTGATTGCAGTTTGTGAAATCATAAGCTTTGGTGACATCACAAGTTGACCACTCATCTGTATCGGAATTGTAAGTGCGTGAGTTATAGATGCACCAAAAATAATTAGGAGCGCTATCAAAAGAGCCTTTAACTAAATTTTGATATAAGTCAAGTAAAACTAATCCTTTATTATTGCATCTTCTTGAAGAGTCTGAACTTATCTGATCATAGGCACATTTTCCAACAAGGCATTCAGCTTTGCAGTTCCCAAAATCTGATAAAGCACATCCGTCAGCACATCCACAGTCTCCATAGTCCCAATTACAATCTTTATTATTGCAAGCATCATCACATTCAAGATTTCCCAGCATCGTATCATAGCATCCTGAAGAGCAGTCCCCACAATCATGATTATCAAAAGAGCAAGCAGTATTATTGCACAAAGAATCGCATTTTCCGTCACCTCTTATCGAAGAAGTACATCCAGGATAGCAATCGCAATCATACTCATCATAATTGCATTCCTCCATGTGGCATTCTTCTTGACAAGTAGAATCTCCAATCATATAGGTATAGCAGCCTGGAGCACATGAGGAATTCTCACAGTCACCGAAATCATAGTTACAGAAAGGCCCATTACATTCAGAATCACAAATCCCATTTCCCAGCATATCAGCTGTGCAGTTAGTGGCGCAATCCTTGCAAGCTCCCATATCGTTGTAGCAAGCTATGACGTTGCAAGCATCATCGCAGGTTCCTCCTAGCATATATTCATAGCCTAAATATAGTTTACATCCATTTCAGCAATATCCACAGTCTCCTAAATCGAACCCACAATAAGGAGAATTGCAGCTTTGATCGCAAACTCCGTTGCCTAATAGTGAATAATCACAGCCTATATAATATAAGCAATCTCATAGGCAATCTGAATCAAGTATTTGAGTTTGTGGGGAAGATGAGACTGCTGAGTCATATTCACAATAAGGAAACATACAAAGTGGGTCACAGTAATCATCTCCTCTCTATATAGATCTTACGTTTCTTTTTGGGCATACGTTTAGATTGCAAGTAATATCTAAACCCAAAGTTAAACTTGCAATAATTAAAAACTGAAGCATTCAGATAGCCTCAATTCTGATCATTTATTATAATTTGCAAAAGAGAAAAAAATTTCAAGGATAAAAGAAAAGAAAAAGCAAAATTCTTTCTGCGGATGTGGCAAAACTAGTCAATCTATAAGCAGTAATGAAGCTAATATTTACATTTTTTATTTGAATCATGGACTATTTAAAAGCTGGATTCAAATAAATCAAAAACTACTGTCAGAATTTTTTAAAATTGGTGTCTTTCGTTGGAGGTTTTCTATTTTACGCATTTTCGTTAAGAATACTAAAGAATTCTTGGGTATTTATAATTGGAATAGTTTTAAAATTTTTCTAATGCTTCTTATTAATGTATCCGATAAAATTAAAAAGGTTGCTTTATACTTCCTTTTATTAACTAGCTAAAGAGGATTTAAAAGATAAAATATTTCTGAATCATTATCTTTTTCTAAAAACATTTCCTGAAATAATATAATTATTTTAAGCACTAATATTTTAATTAAATTGAAGGATCAGATAATTAATCAACCTTCAGCTCACTATTATCTTCTGGCACTTGATGCACGCTTTCTTTTATTACTTCCTTCTCTTCATCAGTCTTTTGTCCATTTTTTCATTTTCTTTTATCTTTCAGCTGGAGTTTACAATTTGACATCATAATCAGAATTTTACAATGCATAGAATCGGAAAATTGAGCCTGGACTTGATGATAATTGGATTTTCTTCAATTTCTAGAGCTTTTGGAGTCGTGCTTATAAACACATCTGCCATTCTAAACTCGGATTAAATAGACGAGGGGCTTTTTTGCAATTTAATATAAAATTAAAACTCTTCACATTCCTTTTATTTTAAGAGCTTTATAATAATTTTCGTCGTTGCTATATATGAGAAACGAAACTCTTTAAGGCAATGCAATTTTTTTGACAATGTTCAATCCAGTTTGCATTAGTTTTAATACCTATAGTATAAAAATACAAATTTTAAAGCAAAATAATTAAAAAATAAAAATCTACTGACCTCATCTAAAGATCTGTTCGAAAATAAAGCCAACAATAAATTGTTGTAGCTGGGACAAAAATTAACTTAATTCCATTTTGTTTAAAAAATAAAGCATGATATGGTTTATTGCTGTATTGAAGATAATGACAGACTATTAATGCATTATTACGGTAAGAGCTTGGACACTTATGAAACATTAGCTAAATGTCAGAGCAGCAAATAAAGTGATTTGTTTAGCTGTCGAAAAAACCCAAAGATGAGACTTGGGCCAATTTCGTTAAGTTTCCTTCTATTTTTAGCCAAGCTAAGTAAGCATAAAGCTGGAATCCCAATAACTCTAATTATAATAAATGAATAAAAATAGTAACATTTTTTTTATTCCAGCATTTAATATCGTAGTCCTCTTTAATTCAAATTCCACCGAGTTTATTTGATTACAGCTAAATACCTTAAAATTTATTTTTTAAATATATTGGTGGATTAAACCAAGCTAAATCACACATATTGATATATATTCGTTCCTCAAATCCCTTGACTTTTCCTATAGTAAAAGAGCATAGTCCAATTGCTAGGGGTGCTAAACTCATAAGAATCAATTTGATAAAATAAATTTTGAAAATAAAAGTCAAAAAAAGTTCTAAAAATATTTAATTTCCTTTTTAAAAATAATTTTGCCTTATTTTCATATTTAATTTTGTAACCTGCAATAATAAACTTTGTACAAAACGTAAAAAATTGTTTGAATAATTAATTTTGGACAATTAAAGTTGTTGAATAAATTGCTAATTGCTTTATAATGATCAAGTGATAAATAATGCATTAAATGGGTCTTTTAAAGGCTTTACTATTATCAATTATACTTGTTGAAGGTCAGATAATTGTTGATATAACTTACAGTCCTTGCACAGAGCAAGACTTTGCTTCAAGCCTGAAAGTAATTCTGGAGCAAAGTTTCCAAGACGAATTTGAATTTAATTTAGTCTATTTAGAAAACTATTGGGATATTGGCCTAGTTATCAATAGTCCTGATATAGTTTTTGACCTTACCTTCAGCGCTTCATTATTAGAATCAATCAAAAAAATTGCTGAAATACAGAATTTCATTATCGGCTCTATTGCCAAGCCAACTATTTTATATAGCAACTGAGAGTTTTTTATGCATAATTCGTGGAAAAATCAGATGAAAACATTATATTCTATTATTTCTTACCTAAATTGGCAAACATTTATAGTGATATCTGATGAAACTTATAGCGAGAATAATGAGTTTTATGATTATTTTTTTGATAAAGATTATCATCGATTTTATTTCTCAAACATCAACGACGAAAAATCAGCAGATTTATTTATAGGAAGAGCAATTCAACCTATCGGAATTAAAAATATTGTCATATTAAATAAAGGTGAAAGCACAAAATTGCTCTTGAAAAGCTTACTCCTCACTATTTTTGAGTAAAAACAAACCCCTTATGAGCGACAAAAATTTTTTTTATAAAAAATTTTTATGAAAGATATTTTGATATATAAGTGATAAATATTATAATGAAATGTCAAACTAATTCTGCTTGGATTTTAAAATATAAAATTTTACAAATCAAATTAATATTTATTTTCCAATTTATGCAAATTAGGATTGTTTTAAAATTTCGAAAAAAAACTATAAAATATATAAATTTTAAAAAAATATTAACTCCCTCAGTGAGCGAACAAAGATTTTCCGTTCGTTCATTGATGGGGCGGCGAGTTAGAAAAATTAGATTTACTTGGTTTTGGTACTGGGGTTATTGTAGGAAGTGAGGGCTCTTGAGGCATATATGGAAATGGAGTTGTTTCTTATACAGAATCAGGATTAGAAACAGCTGATAGCAATATTAGCTATAGGGCTTTCCCTTGAATAGCCCGATAACTGGCTGGCTTCATTCATCCGTTATCGGGCTATTCAAGGGAAAGCCCTATATCAAGGTTTGGCAATAATCAATTTTTTAAAGCTTGTGCTTAGCTTTTCTCAACCTTATGGCAATTCAGATTTGCTTGAATTTTTATTGAAAAATACAAGTGACCATCATCCAATTTCAAAATTTTCGCTTCTGAATAATCAAAATAACCTAAAAGTCATATCAGGGAGTATTGCTAACGATACATTATACATAATGAACCCTTTAAAATATCCAGGAGATTCACTAGCAATTCCAAACTCTCCTACCACTTCTATCAATATATGATACGACAATTCAAGTTTAGGTCTATCTGTACTAGATGCACTATCTTATGCTTTAGAATACTATAAAACACTTCACTCTTTGGATGGCTTTAAAATAACAACCACACCTTGCAACTGTGGCATGATTATATATGACCAAGCAAGCGGTTTTTCTTGTTTTGCTAAATTAGTGACGATCCCTGCTGTTGGTTTTCTAACTTCATTTGCTCCATGAACTAGCATTTTATATATATATGCTTTAAGATCTCTAAAGTGTTCAATCCCTAACGTTTCTCCATATGCGACTTCAAGTCTTACTCAAAATAAAACTGCTTTTCCTGAATTTATGACTGTTATAAGAGACGAAAGATTTAACTCACAAGTCATATTGGACTTGGCTGTTATTTTTGGCTGAAAAAAAATTATCGTGCTTTATGATGATTATAATAAAAACACTTATTTATACTTTATTGCGTTGGCAGAAAAATTAAATATTAAAATTGCTAACAGACCTGAACTACAAAAAATAGATAATGAGTATACTAGAGATAAATATCCAATATGAAAGGACTGGTTTGCTGAAATAGTTAGTCTAAAAGTAAGGCTTTTTGTAATATTTTTGAGTCCTCCTTTTGCATTGTATATAGCCGAAAGTTTTTATGATGCAGGATTAAGACAAGGGGATATAATTATATTGTCAAACAATAAGCTTGCATATGGATTTTCATTAGAAACTGATATTGAACAAAGAAGAAAACTTTTAGAACTCTCTTATGGAGGAATTGTGATCGTGCCTTCACACGACGACTATCTCATAACGATTGCTTTTGTTGGCCTATTTTTTTCACTTTCGGCTTATGTTTTTTTTGGCCTATTATTTTTTGACCTTTTTTTTGGCCTATTATTTTTTTAAGCCTATTTTTTCACAGGGCTTACTTTAAGAATACAAATTAATTACTTTTTAAATTTAGAAAAATTATTAACTAACTCAATACTACTTGCATAAGTATGTCTCAGCTTCTCAATAGTTTTGGCCACAAAAAGAGGCTAAAAAAAATAGACTAAAAAATCAGGCTTAAAAAAATAGGCCAAAAAAAATAGGCCAAAAATAGGCTAAAAAAAATAGTTGTTATGAAATATGCGTCGTGTGTAGGAACCATTGTGATAGCGCAAGTTGAATGAATTGGGGAATATGGAAAAATGCTTAAAAATGGTTTTGTAGAGAAGTATGGAAATCATACAGATCTGGGCTGCTGGGCTTTTGATGCTGCAATGCTACTTTTAAATGGAATTGAGTTTACTATAAAGCAAGGCGAAAATGTTAAATTCCAACCTCCGTGAGCGAACAAAAAAATTTTGTTGTTCATTGAGTGTTTAATTTTTTTTTTAAAATTTATAAATAAATTTTATAATTTTTTTTTTGAAATTTAAAAATCAATTCGAAAAAATTTGGTAAAGCAAATATTTATTTAATTTGTAAAATTTTATGTTTTGAAATACAATTTGTTAAAATAAACTTATCAAATTTTATTACACTAATTATCACCTATATACAAAAATTTTTTGTTCGCTATTTTGTGGTTTTTTGGGAAAAAAATAGGAATTTTTTCATGGTCACAGAAGGGAGAGTAGAGTTATGAAGTGATGAATAAAAACCTGAGAAAGCAAAAGTTTGTAGGCTGTTCTGGGACTGTGTCTATTGAGTCTGGGGGTAATCAGAGAAGTTTTCCAACTCTAGGTATATACAGTTTGAGATGGGACGAGAGAATTCAATCTCTATATGAGGATTTTGTAGGGCAATATGACATTAATAGTGCTCAATTGATTACTTTATATAAGAGCATTTTGTGATATGATAACACAACAGTAGTACCTACAGACACAATAGTGTATGAAAATGGCTGCCCATTTCCTAAAAGCAAAATTTCTAATTCAAATAGCGGCGCTAGTATATTATATGGAATATCAGCTGCACTGATAGCTTTTACAATTATTACAGCATTTGCTGTATGAAAAAGGTTTTGAAAAAATATCACGATAAAAAAATTGAGCACAGCTACCCGTGTACATTTTGAGGACTATATTCTTATGTGATTTATGGCTGCTGATTTTTTCCAATTTATATCTCAAGGGCTACACAAATAAAATGGCGACGTTAAGTTCCAACGACGAAGGCATAGTAGTACCATACTAGCTAGGGAGTTTATCCCTAGATGAAACTCTAGTCACTCAAGCAGCAGCTGCCAAGTCCCAAACCTGATACTCCAAGATTCCGAGACAGCATTAAGAGCCAGGCTGAAATCTAGAGGCGAGCTATCTCGGTGGAAATGCTGATATACCCAGGAAGGTTCGCTAGCTACTGAAGTAGTCTTCTACCAAGATTTGTCTCAATTAAGGCGTAAAAAGAGGAAGGGCCCTAGTCTTTATTTAATGCTAATATCTCAAGGGCCAGATATAAGTGAATTATATATATGGTTATCAAAAGCTTGTAGCTATTCCCTTATTCATTTTGATTCTTCAGTTACAGGAGATATTTACTGAATTTATTTATATTCTGCAATGATTATTGCTTGCTTTTGAATATTTTCAGCTTTTATTTTAATATTTAAACTGAAAATGCTTGATAGTTGGATGCTGAGATATGCTAGAAAAATATCTTTACTTTTGCTACCTATCATTGGAAATTTGTTATTTGTGCCAATGATTTCCGTCCTTTTAAGCATTTTTCAATGTGATAAAGGAATAGGCTCGATTATTACTGATTCTTTTATAAAAAATGATTGTACAACATATTGCTGAACTCAAGAATATTCTATATGAGGAGCTCTTTCAATAATTTTTTTAGCCACTTATATCCCATTGACAATTTATTTTCGGGAATATTATGAGAATGTTAATGACCATATCAATATCAAAACAAATCCCCGTTTTATTTTAGAAAAGTCTATTTTTCAAGTAATCATAGTTTCTATGAATAAGACGATAAAGATTTATAATGAATCTTTACATGGCCTTTGCTGTATCATCCTTATGCTTATCTTAATTGTAATTAGCTTAAAGCAAAACTCTTACAATTATAGTAGGATGAATCTTTGGCTGATCATTTCCTATTTAGTCCACCACGGTGAGCGAACAAATACATTGGAAAAAATCCCTATTTTTTTGCCCAAAAACCCTAGTGAGCAAACAAAAATCTTTCATATAAAAAAAATTTAATATATATAGTGATAATTAAATCTCTTGCTTTTTCTGCTATTTTTAAACAGCTTGCATTTTCAATTTAAAATTTTACGAATTTTGAAAAAAAAATTACCATAAAATTTACAGATAACTCTTTAAAGCGAACAAAATTTTTTTGTTCTCTCTAGCAGGGAGGGAGTTAGCAATTTTGTGGAATTTTATTTTATCATCTCTTTATTGACTCACAAAATTTGATTCACTACTATGGCCTATGATGCAATATTCATTCTGGCTTATCTTTATAATAGCTGGGATAATAATTCAATGCAAATGGCTTCCAAATTTACTAATTACTGACAAAGGAGCAGATATTACAATATTTTTCAAATTTTTAATAGGAAGCCAAGTTTCAGCAGCCGATATACCATTTTTTGCTCATTTAGGAGCAATATTTTTGCCAATTTTTCTGACAATTACAATTAAAAAATTACAAATGCAATATATAGCTCATAACTGTCAATTTTTAATTAGCTCTTTTCATAAAAATTAGGATTTTCGTGGCCTAATTAATAATCACAGGTATTATTGTTAAAGAATCTATAAAGGGTCTTAAGCTATATCAATAAAATAAGAAAGGAAGTTGCAAGAAATAATTTTTCTAATAGAGAGGCTCCAAATTCTTTATCAAGATTAAATCTCCAGTTTTAATAGCTTCTTTAATAAGACTTTATTATAATCAATAACATTTAGAAAAAAAAGAAAATCAAAAAGCTTTATTTTGGAACTTAATATGCATTTAGGATTAAGGCCCAATGACGCTACGGAATCGCTCCTTTAAAGATTTGAAAATGTAATATTAAAAAGAATGAGAATCCAAATGATTTGTGTGAAATGTGTTTAGTTAGAGAAACTGAACAACATGTTTCAAATGCTTGCCCAAAATTCAAAAATAGAAAGAGAGAGTTAGTTAGAGGGGTTAACGGGGATTATTTCAGCCCCTAGCCAGTCGGGCTTCAGCTTCACACTTCATGTAGCGATAAGCGCTAAAGCTACCTCATGCTATTTCGTTCTGGGCCACCAAAATGGTGACGTAGTCAGTCTAACGGGAAGGCTCACCGAACCTGCTCGGACCAAAAATTGCAGCGCAGGACTCTCTTAACCCGTTGTAGTGTTCAGGGTATGAGGGAAGTGTCCAGTTATCCTTCAGGAACTACCTCTTCCATTTACAGGTAAAATAATGCTCCTCCAGAAGTGCCCGATTGGTCTTGGGCCGTCGATCCTCTTGTCTGTGGGTCGAGGGGAGGCCAAGTCAGTCCAAGCCTGCACCCCACCCTGGAAACTGCCACCTGCAATTCCGTGGCCCTTCGAGGCCATTTTTTTTAATTTTTGGCCTTGAGTTCTTGGGTTTTTTTGCTATCGCAATTTCCATTATGTCAATTAAAATAGAAAGAAGGAATTTTATTAATAGACTAAAAGATGTGGTTGGAGTAGATTATTTAAATTTAAAATATCATTGCTGGATGCTAGTAGATACAAATAAGCTACAAGAAATGGGAGAACTAGAACACAAAAAATCGAATGAATTGATTTTATTACTAAAATAAACTTGATGATCTTCGATACGAAATTAAAAGAAATAGACAGCATTCAACCGGAGATTACGAAGAAGAATTGATACAGGTAGGATTTTATATAATGAATAATAAATATAAAGATACCATCAATTGAAAAATCTTTAAAAGGCATAGTAATTTTTTTAAATCTTATATTAATGCATCCGATATAGGTAATTAAGGATGGAGAGCTCTAATGTCCAGTTAATCTGGCAATTTAGGTTGGTCAAACCAACTGAAGAGTTGGCAAATGAGGCTTTTGTAGCTCAGTTACCAATTCTCCAGTCAGGCAAATCAACCTGAGTTGGCTAGGCCAACTGGAGATTAGAGCTCTCCATCCTTACGCCTTGCCGGGTAATTTTAGGTAATAGCCTATAAATTAAAAAGGTTACTTTATGCTTCCTTTTATTAACTAACTAAAGAGGATTTAAAAGATAAAATATTTCTGAATCATTATCTCTTTCTAAAAACATTTCCTCAAATATTATAATTATTTTAAGCACTTATATTGTAATTTAATTGAAATATCAGGTAATTAATCACCCTTCAGTCACTATTATCTTCTGGCACTTGATGCTCGCTTTCTTTTATTGCTTCCTACTCTTAATCAGTCTTTTGTTCATTTTTTCACTTTCTTTTATCCTTTTAGCTGAAGTTTGCAATTCGAACTCATTATCAGAGTTTTTACAATGTATAGTATCAGAAAATTTGAGCCTTAACTTTATGATAATTAGACTTTCTTCAATTTCAAGAGCTTTTGGAACCGTGATTATAAAGACATCTGTCATTGCAACTCAGATTAAATAGAAGAGGGGCTTTTTTGCAGTTTAATATAAAACTAAACTCTTGACCTTCCTTTTTTATTTTATGACCTTTTTAGAGTTTTATAATAATTTTTCGTCATAGCCAGCTTTTAATTATGAATTCAACTCTGCTATATATGAGAAACGAAGCTCTTTAAGGCAAGGCAATTTTTTTGACAGATGCTCAATCCAGTTTGCATTAGTTTTAATACCTATAGTATAAAATTACAAATTTTAAAGCGCAATAATTAAAAAAATATAAATCTACTGACCTCATCTAAATATCTGTTAAAAATAAAGCCCACAATAAATTGTTGCAGATGAAACAAAAACTAACTTAATTCCATTTTGTTTAAGAATAAAGCATTATATGGCTTATTGCTGTATTGAAGATAATGGCAGACTATTAATACATTGCTACGGTAAGAGCTTGGACACTTACTGAAACATTAGCTAAAATGTCAGAGCAGCAAATAAAGTGAATTTATCGGTATAAAATAATGAATTCCCATTAACATTAGCATTAACATTAATTAAAGATTAGGGCTATTCCTGCTTTTGCATCTACCCGGGATAAGTCTTTGGAGAAGACTGGTTAAACTACTAGCCAACCTCTCTGGGTATTTCAGCATATCCACCTGAGATAACTCTCCTCCAGCTTTCGGCCTGGCTCTTCTTAATGCTGTCTTAGAACCTTGGAATTGACAGCTGCTTGAGTGACTAGAGTTGCAGCTAGGAATAAACTTCTAAGCTAATATCGGTACCGCTATGCCTTCATCGTCGGCACTAGGGATCTCCAGGGGTAAAAAGCCTTTTTTCCCAAATGTCCATTGGGAAGACACAAAGTCTTCATTGCCAGACGAGGAGGCAAAACCCAACTGAGCACCAATGCCCATACCCGTAGACTCGTTTTTCTGTCGGTTTAGCTTCAGGCCGCATAGAGTCCCCAAACTCGAAACAGGAGAGGATAGCTAGATGAGGTCGCCAATAAATTCCCAGTAATAGCATGATTTGTTTAGCTGTTGAAAAAAATCCAAACATGAGACTTGGGCCAATTTCGTTAAGTTTCCTTTTATTTTTAGCAAAGTTAAGTAAGCATAAAGCTGGAATCCCAATACCTCACATTAATAAATGAACAGAAATAGTAGCATTTTTTTATTCCAGCATTTAATATCGTAGCCCTCTTTAAGTCAAATTCTACCAAGTTTATTTGCTTACAGCTAAATACACTAAAAATTATTTTTTAAATATTTGTGGGGACTAAAAAGAGCAAAATTGTCATTCCTGAAATCGAACTTTTCCAATAATAATCAAATTGCTAGGGTGATAAACTCATAAGAATCAATTTGATAAAATTAATTTTGAAAATAAAAGTCAAAAAAAAAAATCCTAAAAATATTTAATTTCTTTTTCAAAGAATATTTTTGCTTTATTTAATATTTTGTAACCTATAATAATAAACTTTATATAAAACATAAAAAAATAGCTTGATGATTAATTTTAGACAATTAAACTTGTTGAATGAATTGCTAATTGCTGCATAATAATCAAGTGATAAATGAGTTATTGAATAGGTCTTTTAAAGGCTTTAGTATTATCAATTATTTTTGTTGAAGGACAGCTAATTGTTGATATAATTTACAGTCCCTACACAGAACAAGGCTTTGCTTCAAGCCTGAAAGTAATGCTGGAGAAAAGTTTCCAAAACGAATTTGAATTTAATTTGGTCTATTTAGTGGACTTTTGAGATATTGATCTAGCTATAAATAGCCCTGATATAGTTTTTGACCTTACATTCAGCGCTTCATTGCTAGAATCGATCAAAAAACTTGCTGAAGTACAGCATTTTATTATTGGCTCTATTGCAAAGCCAGCTGTTTTATATAGCAACTGAGAGTTTTTTATGCATAATTCATGGGAAAATCAGATAAAAACTTTATATTCTATTATTTCTTACCTAAATTGGCAAACATTTATAGTGATCTCTGATGAAACTTATAGCGAGAATAATGAGTTTTATGATTATTTTTTTGATAAAGATTATCGTTGATTCTATTTCTCAAACACCAACGACGAAAGATCAGCAGATTTATTTACAGGAAGAGCAATTCAGCCTATCGGAGTTAAAAATATTGTCATATTAAATAAAGGTGAAAGCACAAAATTGCTTTTAAAAAGCTTAGAAAAATTAGATTTATTTGGTTTTGGTACTGGGGTTATTGTGGGAAGTGAGGGCTCTTGAGGCTTATATGGAAATGGAGTTGTTTCTTATACAGAATCAGGATTGGAAACAGCTGATAGCAATATCAGCTATGAAAGTTTAGCAATAATAAATTTTTTAAAGCTTGTGCTTAGTTTTTCTCAAACTTCTGACAATTCAGATTTGCTTGATTTTTTAATGAAAAATACAATTGACCGGCATCCAATTTCAAAATTTTCACTTCTGAATATTCAAAATAACCTAAAAGTCATATCGGGGAGTATTGCAAATAATACGCTATACATTATGAGCCCTTTAAAATATCCAGGAAATTCACTAGCAATTCCAAACTCTCCTACTACTCCTATCAATATATGATACGATAATTCAAGTTGAAGTCTATCTGCACTAGATACACTAACAATTGGAGAATTTTATGCTTTAGATTACTATAAAACCCTTCACTCATTAGATGGCTTTAAAATAACAACCACACCTTGCAACTGTGGCATGATTATATATGACCAAGCAAGCGGTTTTTCTTGTTTTGCTAAATTAGTGACGATCCCTGCTGTTGGTTTTCTAACTTCATTTGCTCCATGAACTAGCATTTTATATATATATGCTTTAAGATCTCTAAAGTGTTCAATCCCTAACGTTTCTCCATATGCGACTTCAAGTCTTACTCAAAATAAAGCTACTTTTCCTGAATTCATGACTGTTATAAAAGACGAAAGATTTAACTCACAAGTCATATTGGATTTGGCTGTTATTTTTGGCTGAAAAAATGTTATCGTGCTTTATGATGATAATAATAAAAACACTTATTTATACTTTATTGCGTTGGCAGAAAAATTAAATATTAAAATTGCTAACAGACCTGAACTACAAAAAATAGACAATAATTATACAAGAGATAAATATCCAGTATGAAAGGACTGGTTTGCTGAAATAATAAGCCTAAAATTAAGGCTTTTTGTAATATTTTTGAGTCCCCCTTATGCATTATACATATTTGAAAGTTTTTATGATGCAGGATTAAGACAAGGTGATATCATTTTTTTGTCTAACAATAGGATTGCATATGGATTATCATTAGAGACTGATAATGAACAAAGACGAAAGCTTTTGGAGCTCTCGTATGGAGGAATTGCGATAGCGCAAACTGAATGGATTGGAGAATATGGGGAAACGGTTAAAAATGGTTTTGTAAAGAAGTATGGAAATCAAACAGACTTTGGCTGCTGGGCTTTTGATGCTGCAATGCTACTTTTAAATGGAATTGAGTTTACAATAAAGCAAGGCGAAAATGTTAAGAATTATGAAGTGCTGAATAACAACCTGAGAAAGCAAAAGTTTATAGGCTGTTCTGGGACTGTGTCTATTGAGTCTGGGGGTAATCAGAGAAGTTTTCCAACTCTAGGAATATATAGCTTAAGATGGGACGAGAGAATTCAATCTATATATGAGGAGCTTGTAGGGCAATATGACATTAATAGTGCTCAATTGATTACTTTATATAAGAGCATTTTATGATATGACAACACAACTGTAATACCTACAGACACAATAGTCTATGAAAATGGCTGCCCATTTCCTAAAAGCAAAATTATTAATTCAAATAGCGGCGCTAAAATACTTTATGGAATATCAGCTGCAGTGGTAATTTTTACAATCATTACAGCATTTGCTGTATGAAAAAAGTTTTGAAAAAATATCACGATAAAACAATTGAGCATAGCTGCTCATATACATTTTGAAGACTATATTCTTATGGGAATTATCGCTGCTGATTTTTTCCAATTTATATCTCAAGGGCCAGACATAAGTGATTTATATATGTGATTATCAAAAGCTTGTAGCTATTCACTTATCCATTTTGATTCTTCAGTTACAGGAGATATTTACTGAATATATTTGTATTCTGCAATGATTATTGCTTGCTTTTGAATATTTTCAGCTTTTATTTTAATATTTAAACTGAAAATATGTGATAGCTGGATGCTGAGATATGCTAGAAAAATATCTTTACTTTTGCTACCTATAATTGGAAACTTGTTATTTGTGCCAATGATTTCCGTCCTTTTAAGCATTTTTCAATGCGATAAAGGAATAGGCTCGAGCATTACTGATTCTTTTATAAAAAATGATTGTACAACATATTGCTGAACCCAAAAATACTCTATATGAGGAGCTCTTTCAATTATTTTTTTAGCCACTTATATCCCATTGACAATTTATTTTCGGGAATATTACGAGAATGTTAATGATCATATCAATATCAAAACAAATCCCCTTTTAATTATAGAAAAGTCTATTTTTCAAGTAATCATAGTTTCTATGAGCAAGACGATAAAAATTTATAGTGAATCTTTACATGGTCTTTGCTGCATTATGCTTATACTTATCTTAATTGTGATTAGCTTAAAGCAAAATTCTTACAATTATAGCAGGATGAATCTTTGGCTGATCATTTCCTATTTAGCAATTTTGTGGAATTTTATTTTATCATCTCTTTATTGACTCACAAAATTTGATTCACTACTATTATGGCGTATGATGCAATATTCACTCTGGCTTATCTTGTTAATAGCTGGTATAATAATTCAATGCAAATGGCTTCCAAGTTTACTAATTACTGACAAAGGAGCAGATATTACAATATTTTTCAAATTTTTAATGGGGAGCCAAGTTTCAGCAGCTGATATAGCCCCAGACCCATTTTTGCTCGTTTAGAAGCAATATCTTTGCCTAGGAAAATGCCAATTTTTCTACCATGTACAATTTAAAATTACAAATGCAAATTATAACTCATATTATTACAATTTTTAATTAACCTTTAAATCGGCATTTTCGTGGCCTAGTAAATAATCATAGGTATTACTGCTAAAATCTATCAGATGTCTTAAGCAATATCAATAAAATCAGAAAAGAAGTTGCAAGAAATAATTTTTCTAATAGCCAGACTCCAAATTCTTCATCAAGATTAAATATCCAGTTTTAATAGCTTCTTTAATAAGACTTTATTATAATCAATAACTTTAAATCAAAAATGGAAAATCAAAAAATATATTTTGGAAACTTAATATGCATTTAATAAAGGAAGCCAGGATTAAAGCCCAATGACACTACGGAATAAAACCTTTAAAGATTTAAAAATGTAATATTAAAAAAATGAGAATCCAAATGATTTCTGTGAAATGTGCTTATTAGAGAAACTGAATACCATGCTTTTAATACTTGACCAAGATTCAAAATAGAAAGAAGGAATTTTATTAATGGACGAAAAGATGCGGTTGGAGTAGATTATTTTAATGTAAAACATTATTACTTATTGCTAGTAGATAAAACTAAGCTGCAAGAATGGCAGAACGAGAAACATACAAATTCGAATGAATTGATTTTATTACTAAGGATCCCCCCTTCATTTGTCCAATTTTCTAGTCTTTTTTTTCTAACTCCCCCCTTTAAATTGGAACAAAATATAGGTAAAATTTCCACTTTTTTGGTAAATTAACCCCCCTTCAAATTGGAACAAAATTTAATTTTAATAATAAAAAAATTTTATATATAAAAAAAATCATAATTTTTATGTAAAAGGTTTTGATATAATTTAAATGTTCCTTCTTAACTAAAATTAAAAATTTAGTTATATTTTGCTCATGTTTAAAAAGGAGAGTATATAGGGCAGGGCATCTTCATTAAATAAATTTTTTATCCTTAATTGCTAAATTTTTAAAAAAAATTTAATTTTTATTTTTTTAAAAATTTTTGTTTTTGTTGATAAAAAATGAGATTTTATTTTAAATAATTTTGATATAAATTCAAAGCGAATTCTTAATAAAATTCAAAATTTACTTATTTCTTGCTTTATTTTAAAAGAATAGAGTATAAACAGCATCTTATTTAAATATATTTAGCACTTTGATCGATAAATTTTCTAAATTTTTTTTTTATCAATAAAAATAAATAAATTTTTGTGTAAATATTTTTGATATAATTTATTGGCAATATTTTTCTTATTTATAGAAAATTGATTTTAAAATGGCAAAAATTTTTTTACATGTTATTATATATAAAAACTGAGTCTATGATATATTAAAATTTTTTTGACGTTTTAAAATCAATTTACCATAAATAGGCAAAATGAAATTTATGCAAGGGATTATACCAATTAATAGTGGTTTTATTAACTAATAATAAAAATTTAGTTATATCTTGTTTTGTTTTAAAGGATAAAGAGTAAATAGCATTTTATTAAACAAATTTTATTAATCTAATTCGATAAATTTTTGAAATCTTTTTTTGTAAAAAATTTTCTTAACCCCCTTTAAATTGGAACAAAATTTTTTGTTCCAATTTAAAGGGGGGAGGGAGTAAGAAAAAAAAATTTTAAGGACTTCATTTGTACCAAAATCTAGTCAAAAATGATTTGTGAATATTTTGTTTTTCTATCAAAATTTTGACTAGAAAATTGGAAAATGAGGTCCTAAAAAAATTTTTTTTTCCTATAAAAAAACTAGAAAAAATGACAAATGATAAAAGACTAGAAAATTGGCCAAATGAGGGGGATCTTATTAATTTGATCATTAATAATTCATAAGTACAGCTTAATCTTTAAATTATTCAGATATCATAACTGCTTTGGACGTATAAACAATTGATTGGGAATCAATAATTGAAGTTCTCATTTTTGATGAGTTTTGAATCTCCATCAGCGTTTTTTTCATTTTATTAATCTCTGTAGCAGCTATCTTGTTTCCCAATGAAAATTTGAAAAAGACTGCAATGTCTACTGGTTTTTCTGTATAGAGCAAGCTTGGGCATCATTTGCATTGAATCGCAATGCCTGCAGCTATAAATATGAAGAATCCTGAGTATTGAAGAGTTAACCAGAGTATTATTGAGTCAAATTTTATGATTCAATAAACAGTTGACAATATAAAGCTTCATAAAATAGCCAGATATGATATAATCAGCCACAAGTTCATTCTATGATAGTTATAAGGTCTTTGTATATGGCATAGGGCAATTAAAATGATAAATAGAATTATACAGCACAGCCCATGTAAAGATTCATCGTAAATTTTTAATGTTTTATTCAGGACTACAATAATAATCTGAAAAATTGTTTTCTCTATAATAAAAAGTGGCTTAGTTTTGATATTAGTATTTTCATTAATGTTTTCAAAATAATGTCTGAAATATAAAGAAAGAGGGATATAAGTCACTAGTGAAGCTATGGAGAAGATTCCTCATAATATATATTTATTATCTCAACAATAAGTATTGCAGTCTTGTCTTATAAATGAATCAGTAAGATCTGAACTAATTCCTTGGTCACATTGAAAGATGCTTAAAAGAACTGAAACCATAGGTAAAAATGCTATATTTCCAATCAAAGGTAAAAATAGCAAAGAAAGGCTTTTAATATGCTGCAGCATAATTCTTACTCACCCCCTGTGAATGAACAAAAAAATTTTGTTCGCTCGCGAGGGGAGTTAATTTTTTAAAAAAAATTTATATATAAATTGTATAGAATTTTTTTTCTTCGAAATTTAAAAAAATTCCACTTCGCAAAATTGGAAAACAAATATTAATTTAATTTATAAAATTAAAACAGAATTAGCTAAAGATTTCATTATACTAATTATCACTTATATATCAAAATTTTTTTCCATAAAAATTTTTTCTATTAAAAATATTTTTGTTCGCTCACGGAGGGTGGGTTTTTGGCCAAAAATAGGGATTTTTCTAATGGTTTTGTTCACTCACGGAGGGGGGAGTTAGACAATTTTTAATCCTATAAAATAATAAAATGAATGTAAAAATCAAGTAGCAGGAAATCCCCATAGCTGTATACAAGTAAACCCAATAAGCATCTCCCGTAACTGTATAATCAAAATTAATCAGTGAATAAGTGCACAATAAGGACAGCCATTTATTCCGCCCACTTATATCTGGCCCTTGAGATAGAAATTGAAAAAAATCTATTGCTACTATTGCCATCAAAATATAATCTTCAAACTGCACCAAAGATTGTATCGTTAATTTATTAATGCATAGGTAGCTTCATAACTTTTCCCACATAATAAATGCCTCGATTATCGAAATAATTATCAATGCAGAAGAAACTCCATATAAAACTCCAGAGCCTTTACCAGACCGAGAAATAATTTTAGCTGGAAATGGGCAGCCATTTTCATACTCTATAATATCAGTCGGCACATTTGTGGTGTTATCATATCATACAATAGCCTTATAAAAAGTGATTAACTGAGCACTGCTGAGATCGTACTCTCCGACAAGATCCTCATATATTTTACCAGAGCTCTCATCCCATTTTAGGTTATGAATTCCAATTGTGGGCAGACTCCTCTGATTACCTCCTGGCTCAATTGATATTGTCCCAGAGCACCCTGCAAATTTCTGTTTTCTTAAATTTGCGTTTATTACTCCATAAATCCTTACTCCCCCTCCATGAGCGAACAAAAAAATTTTGTTCGCTCACAGAGGGGGTTAATTTTTTTTTGAAAAAAAAACTCACTTCGCAAAAATTGGAAAGCAAATATTAGTTTAATTTGTAAAATATGTTTTAAAACGCAATTTGTTTAAAATTAAACAAAATTAGCTAGAGATTTCATTATACTAATTATCACATATATATCAATTTTTTTTCCATAAAAATTTCTTCTATTAAAATATTTTTTTCGCTCATGGAGGGTGGGTTTTTGGTCACAAAATAGGGATTTTTCTAATGGTTTTGTTCCTTAACATTTTGACCTTTTTGTATAGTAAATTCTATCCCATGCAGAAGCAGCATTGCAGAATCAAATGCTAAACAGCGAAAATCTGTGTCGTTGATATAAGCTTTTATAAAGCCATCCCTCAGCATTTGTCCATAATCTCCAATCCATTCAGCCTGGGCAATAACAATTCCTCCATACAATAAATTAATAAGCTTTCTACGCTGAACTTCATCAGTTTCCCATGAAAGTGAATAAGCAAGTCTCGCGTTAGCTAAAAAGATTCAATCGCTTCTCCTCATCCCAGCATCATAAAAGCTTTCAGTCACATACATTCAATAAGGAGGTGTCAAAAACCCTACCATAAGTCTGGCTCTTAGCTTTATTATCCCCTCGAACCAATATTTTCATTTCGGATAATCATTTCTAGTATAGTACGTATTCGTTTTTATATCATTGTAATTTTTTAATTTATAAGCCGAGTTCTATATTTTCCTTATATCATTACAGTTCCTGCAAAATGATGTTCGTATCCTAATAAGTTAAAATATCAATTTTTTGCAATTCTGGAGGATTTACAATCCTCATATTGAATTTTTTTAGTTGCGCAACAAAATAATTATACATCACTATACCTGCATCGTCATAAATTACTACAAAATTTTTTCAACCAAAAATCACTGCGAGGTTTAAAATGACTTGGGTATTGAATGTTACATCTTTTATGACTGTCATAAATTCAGGAAATGCTGTATAATTTTTTAATTATAATAAATGGGACTTAATTGTGAAATTTAGAACAGTTATGCCAGATAGCAAACAGGAGCGTATATCAGTACTGTGGTAAGACCTTTGGCCTTAAAGGAAGATATCTTGTCTCAGACGATCATCTCTCTGCTGATTTTTGAATCATAAAGAAATACGCCCAGTCTTCGTCACACATTCCTTGATGCCGGTCAATCTCGCCAGCCTCTCTGTCCCAGAAGCCCAAGCTCCGTTGACTCGATGGTAGAGGTTGACTTGAGGAAAAGTTTCTTTAAGCTGAGCAAAAACCTCAGCTAGGAGAAAAAGTGATTAATAAAGCTCATGGTCAGTCGAGCTTCATTTATAGATCATATTTTTTCTTGATCTGGAAAGACCATAAGATTTTTCCTATTTTGAAGCAAAAAATAAGTCTCCTGCAGCATTCAGAAGCAAAATCGAGAGGCTAAAGAAATCTAGAATGAGCCACTATGATAAAATCAATGTCTACAATATAGCTTACACCCCGTTTTAGATCGACCTTGAGCACCCCCCTTCCAATGCCACCTACCCCCTGACGGTCCCAAATATTTGAGGGGGATTTGTAAAATATTATTTTAACATTTAAAATTTTCAGGATCTCAGGGGCGAGTGACATGGGGAGGTATTTAATGGCGAGCAACCAAGAGGGGTGTGCTATAATAAGTCAACTAATTCAGTGGCAGAGTAATTAGTTCAGATGAAAACTGAGAGAGTATCACAATAATCGCTAAATAATTAATTGAAGTATAATTTTCTGTAACAGTGGAAGGGGCATATGGAGAAATATGAGGCATTGAACAATTGAGATATCTCAATGTATAAATATAGCCATAATCACAAAATGGCGTCATTCGAAATTTCTGGTCGCAAGCGAAAATTCTCTCTTTTGCATTTTATGATTGCGAGGCTTAGCTTCCCCAGCGAATTTATCCTGATTATGACAGGGCTTTAAAAACCTGCGATGTGTAGCACAGGAATCCTGCCCCTTTAGGGACTGGAAGGATACCACCAACCCAGGTGCAGAGATTGGAATCTTTAGGGGCCTGAAGGACCCAAGTTGGTTTCTGTTTGAGCCAGAAGGACAAAAATCGAACACTCGAAGCCTATCGACAATTCAGAGGCGAACGCGCGCGGTGCCTTATATGACAGTGGATCGGGGGAACTCAGAAGCAGGAAGGGAAGCTCAGGCAGATGACATGGTATTGGACTCTAAACGAGAGGAAGATTAATCTTGATATAATATAATGTATAAATATAGCCAATAGTCATCCATGGATAAAGAGAGGTTAAATATCCAACTCCAGGGGTTTCAAGTAATTTAGAAAAGCAAGAATACGCATAATCTGCATTGTATATTGTTACCCCACAGTCTGTGTCCGTAACTGTGATTTCAAAGCCATCTAGCTCCCTCTCAACGTAAAAACTAATTTAATTCATAAAATTAACGTTCATAAAACAAGCTATTTGTAATTTAAAAAAGCAGCCAGAGATTTCTTTTAATGATCATTGTTTATATATAAAAACGTTTGGTGGGGTTTAATTTATAGAAAAATACTTATTTTACAACAGTTTTGCTAGCTCAGGAAAGTAAGGCATGTATACTGTTTCAATAGCTTAATGCATAAAACTCGGCATATGTCACAGTTGTTGCCAATAGTTCAGGATCAGCTCCTGGATTTGTTGTTCCATCTGCAATTCATATATTTACATCCGTAGTAGGAGAGTTTGGAATTATTGAAGAATCTCCTGGAAAATTTAAAGACTTTGAAATGGTCAAATTTCCGTTAAAAATATTCCCTGCTATAATCTTTTCATTATTCTTGAAATTCAATAAAGTAAAGTTAGATATAGGATGATGATCAACTGTATTTTTATCTAAAAATTCAACCAAATCTAAAGGACCCGACCCTGAAGGGCATTCAAGAACCAAATTTAAAAATTTTATAAGTGCTAAGCCTTCATAACTATAATAACTATCAGCATTTTCTAATCCTGATTCTGTATAAGAAATGACTCCATTTCCATATAAATTTCATGAACCTTCATTTCCTACCAATACCCCAGTCCCATTAGTAAGAAAATTATGCTCTCCTAAACTTTGCAAAAGCATTCTTGTGCTTTCTCCTTTATTCAATATCACGATATTTCTAACCCCAGTAGGCTGAATTTGTTTTCCTATAAATAGATCTGCGGAATTTTTATTGTTGCTATTTGAGAAATAAAATCATTGGCAATCTTTTTTTGAAAAATAATTATCTTGAATATAAATTTCATCAGAAATCACTATAAAAGTTGTCCAATTTAAATACAAAAGGACACTTGATAAAGCTTCAATTTTGTTTTCCCATGAATTGTGAGTAAAAAATTCCCAATTGGAATATATACTAGCTGGCTTACTAGTTTTAACTAAAATTATATGTTTTTCTTCGGCAAGCTGCATTATTGATTTTGAAAAAGAAGTGCTAAAAGTCATATCAAAAATTATATAGACCTCACATTTATATTGATTAAACGACTTATATTAGCTGTGCAGCTTGGCGAGCTGAGTTTTCCATTTTTGAATTGCCAGGCAAACTATCATATTAGAAAACATATAATACATATTGATTTGTAATTATGAAATTGGCTTTCCAAAATGCTTCTGCTCAATTTGATAAATAAGAATATGTGTGCCTGATAATGTATTTCGTCAGGTATATCTGGAATATCCACAAGATTTTCAATATCCCAAATGTTTCCAATGGGAACTAAATTAAATGAAAATCGATCTTGAAAATTTTGTTGCACCAAAGCCGTAAAATTTGAAGCTAGTTGTGAATCTTTAAAAGAGCTTACAATTATATCAACAATTAATTGAGATTTTGTAAGAAGAATTGAGAGAGATATAATTCATAAACCCCACATTGATTATTTAGTATACTATGTATTTATTTTTAAAATAATTTTTTTTATTAAGCTGGGATAACAAAAGTATATTGGAGATTGGAGTAAAAAATGATGCATTAGGAATATTAAATATTGATATCAGAATTTGATTTTTAACATATTTAAATTTTGCATAAAAGAATTGGATAAAACTCATTTTATGATTTTGTGAGGTATTTTCATGTTTAACGATAAATATAGATTTTTCTTTTAAATAGAATAGGTTCAAATATTGATGATTCTTTTATTAAGCACGACTGGATTGCATCATAAATGACTAGTTATAGTTAGATAACTCTCTTAAATAGCTTGTCGTCTATTTTTTTGAAACCTTTTTACCTGAGATACAACTTCTGTTCTAAACAACGAGTCGGTTAGTAACTCGACTATTATTCAAAGAGCACTCTTCTTCCACTAACCAGTGTCAGTAGATAGCACATCTATATAGGTAAAACTCTTACTCCCCCCCCATCCTTGATCGAACGACTCGCCATCGTTCGATCAAGGATGGAGGTTAAAAACAATTTTTTTGGGAAAAAAATTTTATATATAAAATAAAATATATATATAAAAATTTTTTTTTATTTACTTTTAAATAAGAGGGTTAAGAGTATTTAATAATTATTTTTACAGCAAAAAATTGAATTAATTTCATAAAAATACCAATTTTTTATATTTTAATTTATTAGTTACCCCTTTTAAACTGTATAAATTTTAATTTGTTACTTATTAAATTAAAATTTGTTTTTTTAAATTTGAAAAATCTCTATTTTATTAGATTATTGAGTTTTTAAGCCCATGTTGATGACTAAATTACTTTGAATGGTTGATTCCGAAGCTTTCTATCGTCTCAAAGTCTCTGGAAACAACTTCATTAGGTACATCTTCCCAAGTTTTTGATAACTATTATATTTTTATATATATAAAAATTTTGGATGATATGAAAATCGTTCGATCAAGGATGGGGGTTAATTTCCCCAATTTTTAGAATTTTTACAGTCAATCGTTCGATCAAGGATGGGGGGGGAGTTAGAAAAACCAAAGTTCCTTTCACTGAGCTCAAAGTAATGCCTCGATTTTTAGCTGTGATCATAAATATGCGCTATAAGGAGCCTTATCAATGGTTTCTTTCCACTTTTCCATTTATTTTAGACAATATTAAGAGGATATAATATCATATCAACATAAAAGCAAGCCCCTTTTTAATAATAGAAAAACTATTTCCAAGTCATTATAATCTCTATGAATAAAACCATAAAGATTTACGATGGATTTATCATATTCTTTGCTATATTATCCTTTTTCTCATTCATGATGGTCATTTGTGTTAAACAAGCTCTTATAATTATAGCAGGATAAATTTTATGCTGGCAATCTAATATCTCCTTTTTTCAATTTTATTTTATCATCTGCTTATTGGCAATAAATTAATCAGAAAATATGTTTATTCTTAAAATTTGTACTAGCAAATTGAATTATAGATAATAAATCCATAAAGTAAAATATCAAACAGTTAATAAAATTAATTTTAAATTGAAATTAACACTAAATGATTTTATTATAAAATTTAAATTCAAAAATGAAGGCAGTGTAATAGCTGGAGAAGGTTTTTAGTGCTGATTTATTACAGCCCTTAGTTAATGTAATATTGATAATATTATATTAAATTGTTTAACCTCCATAATGAATAAAATTTTAGTTGTCAAAGTCTGAGTGCTGATTCAATCTACAGCTAGAAACATTGGACAGCTCATCAAATTCGGAGTCTTCGAGATACCTAAATAATTATTATCCAAAGTTTCTTTTTTCATTTAATTTATCTCTTTAATCCTGCCTCCATAAGTGAGCAAAAGTTTTGCTCATTCACAGAGAAATAATTTAAGATTCTATTCAAATTTATATTCATTTTTTTTCTCGAAATTTTATAAACTTGTTGAGATTTCTTTATATAATTCAAGATCTTTATAAGAAACAGTTTTATTTAATAAATTATACTCATGGAGGGTAATACAAAAAAAAACTAGGATTTCTTCTAAGGGTTTGGGCACTCCAGATGCGAGGATTTAGCAGAAATCTGACTTCCCAGTCCAAATTTCAAAAATATTGCTATAGTCCGAGCCTCCTTTTAGCTCCTACTATACCAAGTTTTCTGACGTCATCTAGGGAATTGGTTTTACAAACATTTGTTTGTAAAACCAATGTTCAGGTGACATTGGTATAGCCCAAGCTAAAAGGAGGCTCGAGCTCTATATCTATTCCCTTATCAGTCAGCAATAAGCTTGGAAGCGATTTCCATTGGTATATTATCCCAACTATTATTAGAAGAAGTCAAACTAACCATTCTATTATAAATCACACTATTCAATTATCAAATCTTATAAGTCAATAAAGCGATGGCAATATAAAATTCAACAAAATTGCAAAATACGAAATGGTCAAGGCTTCATCATAATGTTTTACAGTTTTATTCATGACAATTATAATAACTTGAAAAACTGTTTTTTCTATAATAAAAATAGGCCTGGTCTTTATATTAATATGGCTATTAATATTTTCATAATAATTTCTGAAAAAAAGTGCTAAAGGAATAAATAGTGTTATAGATATTATTGAAAAAACTGCCCATACAGAGTAATTATGCTTCCAGCAATAAGCTGTGCAGTCATACTTTATAAAAAAATCAGAAATATTTGAGCCTATTCCTTTATCACATTTAATCTGAAATAAAATAGTGATGTTGACTGAAGATGCACTCCGATTCAGGCTCCATATGGAATAGCTATACCTGCCCCGATAAAGCTGAATAGTACCTCTGCCACTTTTTGAAGTAAGCTTTCAGCTTGAGGATACCTGTCAAAGAGGAGAGTTTTGTTTCTCCTCTGAAGGCTTCCCCTGTCCCTGTCTAATGGGTTAGACAGGTTTTGCCTCCTACCTAGTCTTTGCTTATAGGGATTAGGGGGCATCCACAAGAGGTGGCTCTAACCTAGGGAGATATCCTTAGGCTAGGTGGGCTTATGCCAGATATGCAGGTGAATGATCTATCCACTTATGGCCTTATAATTTTAACCTTATCGCATTCAAAAATACTTAAAAGTATAATAACTACAGGCATAAATAAAACATATCCAATAATAGGCATCAAGAATAAAGCAATATTTCCACCAGAGATAGCTCTCCTCAGGCTTTCGTCCTAATTGTTAATGCTGTCTCAGAACCTTAGAGTATGCAGATTTGAGACTTGACGGCTGCTTGAGTGACTAGAGTTCCAGCTAGGGATAAACTCCCTAGCTAGTATCGATACTATTAGCATTAGCGTTAATTAAAAAAATTAGGGCTCTTACTCCTTAAAGTCTCACCCGAGACGAGTCTTCACAAAAGACTCGTTCAGCCGTTGTCGAACGACCCTGGATATATCAGCTTTTCCGCCAGAGTTCTCCTCCAGCTTTTGGTCTGGTTCTTAATACCATCTTGCTACTTTTGAGTATGCAGATTGGGATTTGGCACATACTTAAGTAGAGTTAGAGCTAGGGATAAGCTCTTTGGCTAGTATCGGCGCCAACTATGCTTCGACATCGGCACTAGTGTCTCTAGGAGTAAAAAACCTTTTTTCCAAGTGTCCATCGGAGAAGAGATAAAAGTCTTCATTGCAGACAAGGGTGGCAAAAATCAACCGGAGCATAAATACCCAGTACCCATAGGCTCCGCTTCCTGCTCGGTTTGGCTTCAGGCCAAAGTAGTCCCCAAACTCGAAACAGGTTCGAGAGAGGACGGGCTGTTGACATCGCCATTTTATTTGTGTAATAAATTCCCAGTAATAGCATGATTTTTTTAGCTGTTTAAAAACCCAAATATAAATATTGAGCCAATTTCTTTAAGTTTCTATCTTTAAACAAGTTAAGCAAGCATAAAGCTAATATTTCAATACCTCAGATTATAACGAGTAAGTGGGGTTGGATTTCCGATCCCATTAATTAAAACCCTTACCCCTCACCTCAGATTTTAATATAAGGAGCAGAAATAGAAAACCTCTTTTTATTCCATCATCTAATGTCGTAGTCTTCTTTAAGTCAAATTCTAGCGAGTTTATTTGCTTACATCTAAATGCACTAAACATTATTTTTACAATGTTTGGATGGGCTAAAAAAAGTAAAATCACACATGTTGATATATAATCATTTTTTAAATCCCTTAATTTTTCCTATGAAGACAGTTAATAATCCATATAACAAAAGAGCATAGTCCAATCGCTAGGGGTGTTAAACAATAAGAATTATTTTAATATAATAAACTTTGAAAAAAAGTCAAAAGAAAGAAATTCCTAGGTTTTTCGGCAAAAAATAGGTATTTATCTAGTGGCTTTGTTCGCTCGCGGACTGGGTGAGTAAAAATATTTAAATTTCTTTTAAAATAATATTTTTACCTTATTTCATATAGAAATTGTCCGAGGATGGCGCAAAATAGCGCCATCCTCAGGCAATTTCTATGTTTAATTTTATAGCCTATAATAATAAACTTTTTTGTATAAAACGTAAAAAAAAGAGTTGAGTAAGTAATTTTAGACAATTAAATTAATAAATTGTTAATTACTTCATAATAATCAAGCGATAAATTAATTATTGAATGGTTTTTTTTTAAAGGCTTTATTATCAATTATTTTTGTTGAAGGGCAGCTAATTGTTGATATAATTTACAGTCCTTACACAGAACAAGACTTTGCTTCGAGCCTGAAAGTAATGCTGGAGAAAAATTTCCAAGATGAATTTCAATTTAATATGGTTTCCTTAGTGGACTTTTGAGATATTGGCCTAGCTATAAATAACCCTGATATAGTTTTTGACCTTACCTTCAGCGCTTCATTGCGAGAATCAATCAAAAAACTTGCTGAAATACAGCATTTTATTATCGGCTCTATTGCCAAGCCAACTTTTTTATATAGCAATTGAGAGTTTTTTATGCATAATTCATGGGAAAATCAGATAAAAATTTTACATTCTATTATTTCTTACCTAAATTGACAAACATTTATAGTGATATCTGATGAAACTTATAGCAAGAGTGATGAGTTTTATGATTATTTTTTTGATAAAGATTATCATTGATTCTATTTCTCAAATAGCAATGATGAAAAATCAGCAGATTTATTTATAGGAAGAGCAATTCAACCTATGGGAGTTAAAAATATTGTCATATTAAATAAAGGTGAAAGCACAAAATTGTTCTTGAAAAGCTTACTCCCCTCCTCCGTGAGCAAACAAAACCATTAAAAAAAAACCCTAGTTTTTGCCCAAAAACCCACTCTCCGTAAGCGGAAAAAAATAAGTGATAATTATTATAATCTCGATCTAATTCTGTTTAATTTTAAAGAACTATAATTCTAAAGCATTAATTTACAAATTAAATACATATTTACTTTTCAATTTATGCGAATTGGGATTTTTTAATTTTTGGAAAAAAATAATATAAAATTTGTATATATATTTTTAAAAATATAACCTCGGGAGTTAGAAAAATTAGATTTGCTTAGCTTTAGTACTGGAGTTATTGTAGGAAGTGAAGGCTCTTGAGGCTTATATGGAAATGGAGTTGTTTCTTATACAGAATCAGGATTAGAAACAGCTGATAGCAATATCAGCTATGAAAGTTTAGCAATAATCAATTTTTTAAAGCTTGTGCTTAGTTTTTCTCAAACTTCTGAAAATTCAGACTTGCTTGAATTTTTAATGAAAAATACAATCGACCGTCATCCAATTCCAAAATTTTCACTTCTGAATATTCAAAATAACCTAAAAGTCATATCGGGGAACATTGCTAATGATACACTATATATAGTGAACCCTTTAAAATATCCAGGAAATTCACTAGCAATTCCAAACTCTCCCACTACTTCTATCAATATATGATACGATAATTCAAGTTGAAGTCTATCTGCACCGGATACACTAACAATTGGAAAATTTTATGCTTTAGATTACTATAAAACCCTTCACTCTTTAGATGGCTTTGAAATAACAACCACACCCTGCAACTGTGGCATGATATTAAATGACCAAGCAAGCGGTTTTTCTTGTTTTGCTAAATTAGTGACCATTCCTGCTGTTGGCTTTCTAAGCTCATTTGCTCCATGAACTAACATTTTATATATATATGCTTTAAGATCTCTAAATTGTTCAATCCCTAACGTTTCTCCATATGCAACTTCAAGTCTTACTCAAAATAAAACTGCTTTTCCTGAATTTATGACTGTTATAAGAGACGAAAGATTTAACTCACAAGTAATATTGGATTTGGCTGTTATTTTTGGCTGAAAAAAATTTATCGTGCTTTATGATGATAATAATAAAAACACTTATTTATACTTTATTGCGTTGGCAGAAAAATTCAATATTAAAATTGCTAATAGACCTGAATTACAAAAAATAGACAATGATTATACTAGAGATAAATATCCAATATGAAAGGACTGGTTTGCTGAAATAATTAGCCTAAAAGTAAGGCTTTTTGTAATATTTTTGACTCCTCCTTATTCATTATATATAGCCGAAAGCTTTTATGATGCAGGATTAAGACAAGGGGATACAATTTTTTTATCTAGCAATAAGCTTGCATATGGATTATCATTAGAAACTGACATTGAGCAAAGAAGAAAGCTTTTGGAGCTCTCGTATGGAGGAATTGTTGTAGCACAAACTGAATGGATTGGAGAATATGGGGAAACGGTTAAAAATGGTTTTGTAAAGAAGTATGGAAATCATAGAGATTTTGGCTGCTGGGCTTTTGATGCTGCAATGCTACTTTTAAATGGAATTGAGTTTACAATAAAGCAAGGTGAGAATGTTAAGAATTATAAAGTGCTAAATAGCAACCTGAGGAAACAAAAGTTTTTAGGCTGTTCTGGGATTGTTTCTATTGAGTCTGGAGGTAATCAGAGAAGTTTTCCAACTCTAGGCATATATAGCTTGAGATGGGACGAGAGAATTCAATCTCTATATGAGGAACTTGTAGGTCAATATGACATTAATAGTGCGCAATTGATTACTTTATATAAGAGCATTTTGTGATATGATAACACAACTGTAATTCCTACAGACACAATAGTGTATGAGAATGATTGCCCATTTCCTAAAAGCAAAATTTTTAATTCAAATAGCGGCGCTAAAATACTATATGGAATATCAGCTGCAGTGGTAGCTTTTACAATCATTACAGCATTTGCTATATGAAAAAAGTTTTGAAAAAATATCAAGATAAAACAATTGACCACAGCTGCCCATATACATTTTGAGGACTATATTCTTATGGGAATTATGGCTGCTGATTTTTTCCAATTTATATCTCAAGGGCCAGACATAAGTGATTTATATATGTGATTATCAAAAGCTTGTGGCTATTCACTTATTCATTTTGATTCTTCAGTTTCAGGAGATAATTACTGAATTTATTTATATTCTGCAATGATTATTGCTTGCTTTTGAATATTTTCAGCTTTTATTTTAATATTTAAACTGAAAATATGTGATAACTGGATGTTGAGACATGCTAGAAAAATATCTTTACTTTTGCTACCTATAATTGGAGATTTGTTATTTGTGCCAATGATTTCCGTCCTTTTAAGCATTTTTCAATGTGATAAAGGAATAGGCTCGAGCATTACTGATTCTTTTATAAAAAATGATTGTACAACATATTGCTGAACCCAAAAATACTCTATATGAGGAGCTCTTTCAATAATTTTTTTAGCCACTTATATCCCTTTGACAATTTATTTTCGGGAATATTACGAGAATGTTAATGATCATATCAATATAAAAACAAATCCTCTTTTTATTGTAGAAAAGTCTATTTTTCAAGTAATCATAGTTTCTATTAATAAGACAATAAAAATTTATAATGAATCTCTGCATGGGCTTTGCTGCATTATCCTTCTACTTATCTTAATTGTAATTAGCTTAAAGCAAAACTCTTACAATTATAGCAGGATGAATCTTTGGCAGATCATGTCATATTTACTTCCCCACAGTGAGCGAACAAAACTATTGAAAAATCCCTATTTTATTGCCAAAAAAACCCTTATGAGCAAATAAAAATTGATTTGAAAAAAACAATATTTTGATATATAAGTGATAACTAGTATAATTAAATCTCTTGCTAAATCTGTTTATTTTTAAACAGCTTGCATTTTTCAATCTAAAATTTTACTAACTCCCCTATCCACAAGTGAACAAAAATTTTTTGTGAACAAAAATGTTTTATGAAAAAAATTTGATATATAAGTGATATATCATGAAATCTCGAGCTAATTCTGTTGTTTTTTAAACAAATTGCTTTTTAAAACATAAATTTTACAAATTAAATTAATATTTGCTTTCCAATTTTTGCGAAGTTGGGATTTTTTTTCAATTTCAAAAAATAAAAATTCTATAAAATTTTATATATAAATTTTTTTAAAAAACAATTAACCGTCTCCGTGAGCGAACAAGAATTTTTGTTCGCTCACAGAGGGGGTCGAGTAAGTAAATTAATTTTTATTTCAATTTTCATGAATTTTGGAAAAAAAATACCATAAAATCTATATATAACTCTGCGAACGAAATTTTTTAGTTCTCTCTAGACGGGGTAGTTAGCAATTTCGTGGAATTTTATTTTATCATCTCTTTATTGACTCATAAAATTTGATTCACTACTATTATGGCGTATGATGCAATATTCACTCTGGCTTATCTTAATAATAGCTGGGATAATAGTTCAATGCAAATGGCTTCCAAGTTTACTAATTACTGACAAAGGAGCAGACATTACAATATTTTTCAAATTTTTAATGGGAAGCCATGTTTCAGCAGCCGACATATCTTCAATCCCATTTTCGCTCGCTTAGGAACAATATCTTTGCCCGCAAAAATGCCAATTTTTCTGGGCATGTGCAATTTAAAATTACAGATGCAAATTATAGCTCAAAATTGTAGATTTTTAATTAACCCTTTTCATAAAAATTAGCATTTTCGTGGCCTAATTAATAATAATAGGTATTACTGCTAAAGAATCTATAAGGAGTCTTAAGTTATATCAATAAAATAAGAAAAGAAGTTGCAAGAAATAATGCTTTTAATAGCTATGCTCCAAATTCTTCATCAAGGTTAAATCTCTAGTTTTAATAGCCTCTTTAATAAGACTTTATTATAATTAATGACTTTTAAATAAAAAGGTATAATCAAAAAGCTTTATTTTGGAAACTTAATATGCTTTTAGTCGAAGAAACTAGGATTAAAGCCCAATGACGCTACGGAATAGCTTTTTTAAAGATTTGAAAATTAAAAAGAATGAGAATCCAAATGATTTGTTTGAAATGTGTTTAGTTAGACATGTTTTAAAGACTTAACTAATATTCAAAAATAGAAAGAAGGAATTTTATTAATAGACTAAAAGATGTGTTTGAAGTAGATTATTTAAACGTAAAGTCTCATTGCTTATTGCTAGTAGATGCAACCAAACTACAAGAAATGACAGAACTAGAAACATACAAATTCGAATGGCTTGATTTCATTACTAAAATAAATTTGATGATCTTTGATATAGAAATTTCCCTTAAATGGCGCAGTTTGCCCTTGATTTGCCCACTGAAAAAATTTTTTGGTTCGACCAGTACCATAAGGTTTGGTCAAACCAAAAAAAAATTTTCATTGGGCAAATCAAGGGCAAATAGTGCCATCTATGGGAAATTTCTATACGAAATTAAAAAAATAAAAAATTCAATTGGAGATTGCAAAGAAGAATTGATATAGATAAGAGTTTTATATAAAAATATCGTAAATTGAAAAATATATAGGAGGCATAGCAATTTTAGTTAAATCTTTTATTAATGCATCCGATAAATTAAAAAGGCTGCTTTATAATTCTTATCATTAACTAAAAAAAGAGAATTTAAAAGATAAAATATTACTGAATCATTATCTTTTTCTTAAAGCTATTCCTCAAATAATATAATTATTTTAAGCACTTATATTTAATTCCAGTGAAATATGGTAATTAATCAATCTCCTCCAGCTCACTATTATCTTCTGATATTTGATGTTCGCTTTCTTTATCACTTCCCCTCTTCATTTTTGGTCCATTTTTCACTTTCTTTTGTCTTTCAGCTGAAGGTTACATTTCGAAGTCATAATTAGAATTTTTCAATGTAGAGTATCATAAATCTAAGCCTGGGCTTAATGATAATTAGACTTTCTTCAATTTCAAGAGATTTTGGATTCGTGCTTATAAAACATCTGTCATTGCTAAACTTGGATTAAATAAAGGAGGGGCTTTTTTTGAGTTTTATATAAATTTGAATAAAACTAAAACTCTTTTTTAGAATTTTATCATAATTTTTTGTCATAACCAGCTTAATTATGAATTCAACTCTACTATATATGAGAAACGAAACTCTTTAAGGTAGGCAATTTTTTTGACAGCATATTCAATCAAGTTTGTATTAGTTTTAATACCTATAGTATAAAAATACAAATTTTAAAGCATAATAATTAAAAAATAAAAATCTACTGACCTCATATAAAGATCTGTTAAAAAATAAAGCCCATAATAAATTGTTATAGCTGAGACAAAAATAAACTTAATTCCATTTCTTTAAGAATAAAGCATTATATGGCTTTTTGCTATATTGAAGATTATGACAGAACATCAATAAATTGCTACGCTAAGAGCTCGGACACTTACTGAAACATTAACTAAATGTTAGAGCAGCAAATAAAGTAATTTTTCAATATAAAATAATGAATTCCCATAAGCATTAGCATGATTTGTTTAGCTGTCGAAAAAAATCAAAACATGAGACTTGGGCCAATTTCGTTAAGTTTCCTTCTAATTTTAGCCAAGTTAAGTAAGCATAAAGCAGAAATACCAATACCTCACATTATAATAAATGAACAGAAATAGTAATATTTTTTTTATTCCAGCATTTAATATCGTAATCCTCTTTAAGTCAAATTTCACCGATTTTACTTGCTTACAGCTAAATACCCTAAAAATTCTTTTTTAAATATTTGCGTGAATTAAAAAGAGATAAATCACACATATTGATATATAGTTATTTCTCAAATCCCTTGACTTTTCCTATAAAAAAAGAGCATAGTTTAATTGTGGGGGTGTTAAACTCATAAGAATTAATTTATAAATTAAATTTTGAAAATAAAAGTCAAAAAAAATCCTGAGAATATTTAATATCCTTTTCAAAGAATATTTTTGCCTTATTTTATATTTAATTTTGTAACCTATAATAATAAACTTTTGTATAAAACGGAATAGCTTGAATAATTAATTTTAGACAATCAAACTTGTGAATAAATTACTAATTGCGACATAATAATCAGCTGATAAATGAGTTATTGAATGGGTCTTTTTTTAAAGGCTTTAGTATTATCAATTATTTTTGTTGAAGGACAGCTAATTATTGATATAATTTACAGTCCTTACACAGAGCAAGACTTTGCTCCAAGCCTGAAATTAATAGTGGAGAAAAGTTTCCAAGACGAATTTCAATTTAATTTGGTCTATTTAGAAAACATTTGAGATATTGGCCTAGCTATAAATAGCCCTGATATAGTTTTTGACCTTACCTTCAGCGCTTCATTGCAAGAATCAATCAAAAAATTTGCTGAAATACAGCATTTTATTATTGGCTCTATTGCCAAGCCAACTTTTTTATATAGCAATTGAGAGTTTTTTATGCATAATTCATGGGAAAATCAAATAAAAACTTTACATTCTATTGTTTCTTACCTAAATTGGCAAACATTTATAGTGATATCTGGTGAAACTTGTAGCGAGAATAATGAGTTTTATAATTATTTTTTTGATAAAGATTATCATTGATTCTATTTCTCAAATAGCAACGACGAAGAATCAGCAGATTTATTTATAGGAAGAGCAATTCAACCTATCGGAGTTAAAAATATTGTTATATTAAATAAAGGTGAAAGCACACAATTGCTCTTGAAAAGCTTAGAAAAATTAGAATTACTTGGTTTTGGTACTGGGGTTATTGTAGGAAGTGAGGGCTCTTGAGGCTTATATGGAAATGGAGTTGTTTCTTATACAGAATCAGGATTGGAAACAGCTGATAGCAATATTAGCTATATAGGTTTTGCAGTGATCAATTTTTTAAAGCTTGTGCTTAGTTTTTCTGAAACTTCTGAACATTCAGATTTGCTAAAATTTTTAATGAAAAATACAATTGATCATCATCCAATTCCAAAATTTTCACTTTTGAATATTCAAAATAACCTAAAAGTCATATCGGGAAGCATTGCTAATGATACACTATACATAATGAACCCTTTAAAATATCCAGGAGATTCACTGGCAATTCCAAACTCTCCGACCACTTCTATCAATATATGATACGATAATTCAAGTTTAGGTCTATCTGAACTGGATGCACTAACAATGGGTGTATTTTATACTTTAGACTACTATAAAACCCTTCACTCATTAGATGGCTTTGAAATAACAACAACACCTTGCAATTGCGGAATGATCTTATATGACCAAGCAAGCGGTTTTTCTTGTTTTGCTAAATTAGTGACGATCCCTGCTGTCGGCTTTCTAACTTCATTTGCTCCATGAACTAGCATTTTATATATATATGCTTTAAGATCTCTAAATTATTCGATCCCTAACGTTTCTCCATATGCAACTTCAAGTCTTACTCAAAATAAAACTGCTTTTCCTGAATTTATGACTGTTATAAGAGACGAAAGATTTAACTCACAAGTCATATTGGACTTGGCTGTTATTTTTGGCTGGAAAAATGCTATAGTGCTTTATGATGATAATAATAAAAATACTTATTTATACTTTATTGCGTTGGCGGAAAAATTCAATATTAAAATTGCTAACAGACCTGAATTACAAAAAATAGATAATGAGTATACTAAAGATAAATATCCAATATGAAAGGACTGATTTGCTGAAATAATTAGCCTAAAAGTAAGGCTTTTTGTTATATTTTTAAGTCCTCCTTATTCATTATATATAGCAGAAAGCTTTTATGATGCAGGATTAAGACAAGGGGATATAATTATATTGTCTAACAATAGGCTTGCATATGGATTATCATTAGAGACTGATATTGAACAAAGAAGAAAACTTTTAGAACTCTCTTATGGAGGAATTGTGATAGCCCAAACTGAATGGATTGGGGAATATGGAGAAATGCTTAAAAATGGTTTTGTAAAGAAGTATGGAAATCATACAGATTTTGGCTGCTGGGCTTTTGATGCTGCGATGCTACTTTTAAATGGAATAGAGTTTACTATAAAACAAGGCGAAAATGTTAAGAATTATGAAGTGCTGAATAACAACCTGAGAAAGCAAAAGTTTATAGGCTGTTCTGGGACTGTTTCTATTGAGTCTGGGGGTAATCAGAGAAGTTTTCCAACTCTAGGTATATACAGTATGAGATGGAACGAGAGAATTCAATCTCTATATGAGGAGCTTGTCGGGCAATATGACCTTAGTAGTGCGCAATTGATTACTTTATATAAAAGCATTTTGTGATATGATAACACAACAGTAATACCTACAGACACAATAGTCTATGAAAATGGCTGTCCATTTCCTAAAAGCAAAATTTCTAATTCAAATAGCGGCGCTAAAATACTATATGGAATATCAGCTGCAGTGGTAGCTTTTACAATCATTACAGCATTTGCTATATGAAGAAAATTTTGAAAAAATATCACTATAAAACAATTAAGCATAGCTGCCCATATACATTTTGAGGACTATATTCTTATGGGAATTATCGCTGCTGATTTTTTCCAATTTATATCTCAAGGGCGGCATAAATAAAATGGTGATGTTAACTAGGGAGTTTATCACTAGATGAAACTCTAGTCACTTAACAGGCCAGTCCCAAACCTGCATGCTTTAAAGTTCCGAGACAGCATTAAGAGTCAGGCTAAAATCTTGAGGCGAGCTATCTAACTGGAAATGCTGACTTACCCATGGAGGTTTGCTAGCTGCTGGAGTAGTCTTCTACGGAAATTTGCCTCAGTTAAGACATAAAAAGAGGAAGAGCCCTAATCTTTAGTTAATGTTAATATCTCAAGGGCCAGACATAAATGATTTATATGCATGATTATCAAAAGTTTGCAGCTATTCGCTTATCCATTTTGATTCTTCAGTTACACGAGATATTTACTGAATTTATATATATTCTGCGGTGGTTATTGCTTGCTTTTGGATATTTTCAGCTTTTATTTTATTATTTAAACTGAAAATACTTAATAGTTGGATGTTGAGACATGCTAGAAAAATATCTTTACTTTTGCTGCCTATAATTGGAGATTTGCTATTTGTTCCAATCATTTCCGTCCTTTTAAGCATTTTTCAATGCGACAAAGGAATAGGCTCGAGTATTACTGATTCTTTTATAAAAAATGATTGCACAACATATTGCTGAACCCAAAAATACTCTATATGAGGAGCTCTTTCAATAATTTTTTTAGGCATTTATATCCCTTTGGCAATTTATTTTAGGAAGTATTATGAGAATGTTAATGATCATATTAATATCAAAACAAATCCCCTTTTTATTATAGAAAAATCTATTTTTCAAGTAATCATAGTTTCTATGAATAAGACAATAAAGATTTATAATGAATCTCTGCATGGTTTTTGCTGCATTATCCTTCTACTTATCTTAATTGTAATTAGCTTAAAGCAAAAATCTTACAATTATAGCAGGATGAATCTTTGGCTTATCATTTCCTATTTACTCCCCTCCGTGAGCGAACAAAAAAATTTTGCTTGCTCACGGTAGGAGCTTAATTTTTTTTTAAAATAATTTATTTATAATTTAATAGTAAATATTTTTTCAAAATTTAAAAATAAATCAATTATCAAAAATTGAAAAGTGAATATTAATTTTATTTATAAAATTTATATTTTAAAATGCAATTTCTATAAAATTAAACAAAAATAGTTTGGCATTTAATTATATTAACAATCACTTATATATAAATTTTTTTTTTCATTAAAACTTTTTGTTTGATCACTGAGAGTGGGCTTTAGGGCAAAAAATAGGAAATTTTCAAATGGTTTTTGTTCGCTCAAGGAGGGATAGCAATTTTGTGAAGTTTTATTTTATCATCTCTTTATTGACTCACAAAATTTGATTCACTACTATTATGGTCGATGATGCAATATTCACTCTGGCTTATCTTGTTAATAGCTGGCATAATAATTCAGTGCAAATTGCTTCCAAGTTTGCTAATTACTGACAAAGGAGCAGACATTACAATATTTTTCAAATTTTTAATGGGGAGCCAAGTTTCAGCAGCCGATATAGCTCAAGTCCCATTGTGCTTGCTTAGGAGCAATCTTTTGCCTATTAATAGTCTACCAAATGTCAATTTTCTGACAAGTATAATTTAAAATTACAAAATGCAAATAATAGCTCATATTTTAATTAGCTTTTTCAGAAAAATTGGCATATTTGTTGTTTAATTAATTATCATAACTCCCCCCCCCTCCGTGAGTGAACAAAACCATTAGAAAAATCGCTATTTTTTTCCCAAAAACCCACCCTCCGTGAGTAAACAAAAAATTGTTTTAATAGAAAAAATTTTTGATATATAAATAATAATTAGCATAATGAAATCTAGAGCTAATTCTGTTTAATTTCAAACGAATTGCTTTTTAAAACATAAATTTTATAAATTAAATTAATATTTGCTTTCCAATTTTTGCGAATTAGATTTTTTTTTAATTTCGAAAAAAATATTTTTTATAAAAATTTATATATAAATTTTTTTAAAAAAAAAATTACCCCCCTCCGTGAGTGAACAAAATTTTTTTGTTCACTCACGGAGGGGAGGAGTAAGTATTTCTGCTAAATAATTTATAAGGGGTCTTAAGCAATATCAATAAAATAAGAAAGGAAGTTGCAAGAAATAATTTTTCTAGTAGTCAAGATCTAAATTCTTTATCAAGCTTAAATATCCAGTTTTAATAGCTTCTTTAATAAAATTTATTATTCTTAATTAAATGCACAATAGCTTAAACTTAAAACCTAAAATTATTGCAGGGCGGCTATCGCCTATTGTAGCACGGCCAAAGGGCCAATAAAGTTGATCCGCTTTGTGACTTTGTCGGCCAAACTGGGTTTGGAATTGGATGGCCCTCCAAGTGCGAAAAGGATAGACACTATATTTCTCCTTGAGAGTGGGTGAACTATGGACTTTCAGCTGCTGCATGGGGATTACACGAAGGTTTTCTGCATAAGAATCACGGCAATGGAATTTCTGGCCAGTTCTCAGTAAAAAGGAAAAATTTGTAAGTTAAGGAGTACTCCCATTTAAAAGTAGAGGTGTGTCCGACTAGTCTTGGTATTGTCTGAGACCTTATCAGCTTCCTTCGAAGGTAAATTTCAACTCTGAAAAGAGAGCTTGAGCTAGGCTCTGAAACGTTATGAAATTGCTTAACTCGAATTGATACCCATTTATGGATTGACAGAATCTTGCTAAATATTTTTTAATTAATTTATTATTGCATCTTTTTGAAAAGTCTGAACTTATTTGATTATAGGCATAAGGCATTCGGCCTTACAGTTTACAATTACTGATAAAATGTACCCATCAGAACATTCAAAGTCTCCATAGTCCTAATTATAGTCTTTATTATTGCAAACATCATCACATTCAAGATTCCAAGCATATTACTTCCTCTCGGTGAGCTAGCAAAAACATTGAAAATCCTTATTTTTTGAACAAAAATATTTTATGAAAAAAATTTTATATATAAATGATAAATATTACAATGAAATCTTAGCTAATTCTGATTAATTTTAACACAGCTTTCATTTTTAAAATATAAATTCTGCAAATTAAAATTAATTTTGCTTCTCAATGTTTTACAAATTGGAATTTTTTTGATTTTTAAAATAAAATTGTACTATAAATTTATAGAGGGGGGAGTTAGCAAAGATTTCAGAACAGTCTCCACAATCGTGATTATCAAAAGAGTAAGCAGTATTATCAAACAAGGAATAACATTTTCCATCTCCTATTATAGAAGAAGTAACTTATCAACAATTCTTTAGTATTCTAAAGGAAAATGCTGCTTAATTTAGTAAGCCTACTAAATTTAATGAAAGATCCGTTTTTAAAAATTCTGAAAGTGTTTTTGATATATTTGAATCCGGCTATCTCTTTAAATATAGCCCATGATTCTTTTAAACTAAATAAAAAATGTAAATATAGCGTCATTACTGCTTATAGATTGCCTAATTTGCCACATAAGTAAAGAGAATTTTCCTTATTCTTTTCTTTTATCCTTGAAATGCTTCAGTTTTTAATTATTGCAAGCTTAGCTTTGGGTTTGAATATTACTTGCAATCTAAACGTATGCCCAAAAAGAAACGTAAGATCTATATAGAGAGGAGATGATTACTGTGACTCACTTTGTATGTTTCCTTGTTATGAATATGACTCAGCAGTCTCAGCTTCCCCAAAAAATCAAATACTCGATTCAGATTGCCTGTGGGATTGCTTATATTATATAGGCTGTGATTATTCACTATTAGGTAACGGAGTTTGCGATCAAAGCTGCAATCCTCCTTATTGTGGGTTCGATTTAGGAGACTGTGGATATTGCTGAAATGGATGTAAACTATATTTAGGCTATGAATATATGCTAGGAGGAACCTGTGACGAGGTTTGCAACGTAATAGATTACTACATTGATATGGGAGCTTGTAAGGGTTGTTCCACTAACTGCACATCTGATATGTTGGGAAATGGGATTTGTGATCCTGAATATAATGGGCCTTTCTGTAACTATGATTTCGGTGACTGTGAGAATTCCTCATGCGCTCCAGGTTGCTATACCTATATGATTGGAGATTCTACTTGTCAAGAAGAATGCCACGTTGAGGAATGCAATTATGATGAGTATGATTGCGATTGCTATCCTGAGTGTAAAGTATTTAGCATTGGGAATAGCTTTAAATTTTTTCTAATGCTACTCATTAATGCATTGATAAATTAAATAGTTTACTTTACTTTCAAGTAGTTCCACAGGTTTCAAGCCTTTTATCAACGAAAAAGAGTATTCAAAAAGATAAATTATTACTCAATCATTATCTTTTTCTGAAAAACATTTCATCAAATAATATAATTATTTTAAGCACTTATATTTTATTTCCATTGAAAAATCAGATAATCCAGCTCACTATTATCTTCTGATATTTGATATTGGCTTTCTTTTATCACTTCTACTCTTCATCAGTATTTTGTCCATTATTTCACTTTCTTTTATCCTTTCAGCTGAAGTTTGCAATTCGAACTCATAATCAAAATTTTTATAATGTATAGCATCAGAAAATTTCAGCCTGGGCTTGATGGTAATTGCACTTTTTTTGATTTTAAGAGCTTTTGAAACCATGCTTATAAGCGCTTCTATCATGGTTAAACTCGGATTAAATAGACGAGGAGCTTTCTTGGCTGGAGTTTTATATAAAATTAAATAAAACCAAAACTCTTCGCCTTCATTTTATTTTATAACTTTTTTAGAATGTTCAAATAATTTTCGATGGCACCATTCTGATATCATTTATTTTTAAGGCAAGACAATTTCTTTGCAGCATATTCAATCCAGTTTGCATTAGTTTTAATATTTATATTATAAAAATACAAATTTGAAAGCACAATAATTAAAAAATAAAAATCTACTGCTAAAAAATAAAGCCCATAATTAATTGATGCAGCTGAGACAAAAATTGGCTTTAATCCATTTCGTTAAAGAATTAAGCATAATATGGATTATTTCTGTATTGAAAATTATGACAGAATATCAATACTCGTGTTACCATAAGAATTTGAATACTAATGAAACATTTTTTAAATGACATTGCAGCAAATAAAGTAAATTTTTCGATATAAAATAATGAACTTCTAGTAATAGAATGCTTTTTTAAATTTGAAAAAATCCAGGCATGAGCTTAGGCTAATTTTGCTAACCTTCCTCCTAGTTTTAACCAAGTTAAGCAAGGATAGAGCTTGATCCCAATACTTCAGATTATAATAGAAGGAACAGAAAATAGAATATGTTTTTATTCCAGCTAATATTTAGCCTCTTTAAGTCAAATTCTCAAGAGTTTATTGGCTTAGAGCTAAATACGTTAAACATTATTTTTAAAGTATTTGGGTGGATTAAAAAGAGCAAACAGGCATATTGATATATAGTCATTCCTGAAATCCCTTAACTATTCATATGAAGACAATTTATAATCAATATAAAAATGAGCATAGGCTAATTCTAGGGGTGATAAACTCCATAAGAACCATTTTAATATAATTAATTTTGAAAATTGCACTCAAAAGAAAGAAAGAAAGCATTTGAATTATAACTCCCCTCAGTGAGCGAACAAATAATTTTGTTCACTCACAGATGGGGGCATATTTTTTCAAAAATCCCAACTCGCAAAAATTGAAAAACAAATATTAATCTATTTCTTAAAATTAATTTAAAATGCAAGATGTTTAAAATTTAACAGAGAGATTTCGTTATATAATAATCACTTATATATTAATAAATAATTTTATAATAAAAAATTTTTGTTAGCTCACTTAGGGTAATTTTTACCCAAAAAAATAGTATTTTTCCAATAGTTTTGCTCTCTTATGGAGAAGGGGTAAGAATATTAAATTTCCTTTTAAAGCAATATTTTTGCCTGATTTCATATTTAATTTTTTAACCTGCGGTGTAAACTTTGTATAAAGCGGAAAATATGAGTTGAATAATTAATTTTTATTTAATAAGTTCTGATTAATTCATATTAATTGTTGAATGGGCATTTTAAAGGCTTTACTGCTACCAATATTCTTGGTTGAATGCCAACTAATTGTTGATATACTTTACAGTCCTTACACAGAACAAGGCTTTGCTTCAAACCTGAAAGTAATGGTGGAGCAAAGCTTCCAAGACGAATTTCAATTTAACTTGGTCTATTTAGAAAACTATTGGGATATTGGCCTAGCTATCAATAGCCCTGATATAGTTTTTGACCTTTCCTTCAGCGCTTCATTATTAGAATCAATCAAAAAACTTGCTGAAATACAAAATTTCATTATCGGCTCTATTGCCAAGCCAACTTTTTTATATAGCAACTGAGAGTTTTTTATGCATAATTCGTGGGAAAATCATATAAAAACTTTATATTCTATTATTTCTTACCTAAATTGGCAAACATTTATAGTGATATCTGATGAAAATTATGGCGAGAATAATGAGTTTTATAATTATTTTTTTGATAAAGATTATCATTGATTCTATTTCTCAAATAGCAACGACGAAAAATCAGCAGATTTATTTATAGGAAGAGTAATTCAGCCTATCGGAATTAAAAATATTGTCATATTAAATAAAGGTGAAAGCACAAAATTGCTTTTGAAAAGCTTAATCTCCCCTCCGTTAACGAACAAAAAATTTTTCGCTCATAGAGTGGAATTATTATTTAATTTGTTTTCAAAATTTGAAAAAAATCCCAGTTGTAAAGTAAGTATAGAGGTTTCCTCTATATAGCGCTGAAAGCGCAGACATTTTCCCAGGAAGTTCGTCGGACCAAATCGCTTTTTGGTCCGACCAAGGCATTGATTTGGTGCAACCAACCGATAAATTCCGATCAGAATTTATCGGCCTTACAGCGCCAAACATAGGAAACTTCTATATTTATTATTATTCGATTATGAGAAAAAGAGAGAAATGCTGCTCATGCAGCGATGGATAGATTAATAATAACAATAAGTATTTATTATTTGTAAAATTTATGTTTTAAGATGCAAGTTATTTAAAATTAAACAGAATTAGCTCGAGATTCAATTATAATAATAATCACTTATATCAAAATCTTTTTTTTCATAAAAAATTATATATTAAAAAATTACTTCGCTCATAGGTAGGTTTATGGGCAAAAAATAAAAATTCTTCTTAAGGTTTAGTCGCTCACTGAAGGGGAAGTTTAGAAAAATTAGATTTACTTAGCCTAGGCACTGGGGTTGTTGTAGGAAGTGAGGGCTCATGAAACTTATATGGAAATGGAGTTGCTTCTTATACAGAATCAGGATTAGAAACAGCTGATAGCAATATTAGCTATGAAGGTTTAGCAATAATCAATTTTTTAAAGCTTGTGCTTAGCTTTTCTCAGACTTCTGAAAATTCAGATTTGCTTGAATTTTTAATGAAAAATACAATTGACCATCATCCAATTTCAAAATTTTCGCTCCTGAATATTCAAAATGGTCTAAAAGTCATATCGGGGAGTATCGTATCTTCACACGACGACTATTTCATAACGACTATTTTTTTTTGGCCTATTTTTTTTTGGCCTATTTTTTTTTGACCTATTTTTTTTTGGCCTATTCTTTTTTGGTCTATTTTTTTTTGGCCTATTTTTTTTTAGCCTATTTTTTTTGGCCTATTAAAAAAAAATAGGTGAAAACAAAATAGGCCAAAAAAAAATAGGCCAAAACAAATAGGCCAAAAAAAAATAGGCCAAAAAAAAATAGGCCAAAAAAAAATAGGCCAAAAAAAAATAGTCGTTATGAAATAGTCGTCGTGTGAAGGAACCGGGAGTATTGCTAACGATACATTATACATAATGAACCCTTTAAAATATCCAGGAGATTCACTAGCAATTCCAAACTCTCCCACTACTTCTATCAATATATGATACGATAGTTCAGGTTTAGGTCTATCTGATCTAGATACAATATCAATTGGAGAATTTTATGCTTTAGACTACTATAAAACCCTTCACTCATTAGATGGCTTTAAAATAACAACCACACCTTGCAATTGTGCCGTGATCTTATATGACCAAGCAAGCGGTTTTTCTTGTCTTGCTAAATTAGTGACAATTCCTGCTGTTGGCTTTCTAACTTCATTTGCTCCATGAACTAGCATTTTATACTTATACGCTTTAAGATCTCTAAATAGTTCAATCCCTAACGTTTCTCCATATGCGACTTCAAGCCTTACTCAAAATAAAACTGCTTTTCCTGAATTTATGACTATTGTAAAAGATGAAAGATTTAACTCGAAAGTCATATTGGACCTGGCTGTTGTTTTCGGCTGAAAAAATATTATCGTGCTTTATGACGATAATAATAAAAACACTTATTTATATTTTATTGCGTTGGCAGAAAAATTCAATATTAAAATTGCTAATAGGCCTGACCTACAAAAAATAGACAATTATACTAGAGATAAATATCCAATATGAAAGGACTGGTTTGCTGAAATAATAAGCCTAAAAGTAAGGCTTTTTGTAATATTTCTGAGTCCTCCTTTTGCATTATATATATTCGAAAGCTTTTATGATGCAGGATTAAGACAAGGGGATCTAATTTTGTTGTGCAACAATAGGATTGCATATGGATTATCGTTAGAGACTGATATTGAACAAAGAAGAAAGCTTTTGGAGATTGCGTATGGAGGAATTGTGATAGCGCAAACTGAATGGATTGGGGAATATGGAGAAATGCTTAAAAATGGTTTTGTAAAGAAGTATGGAAATTATACAGATTTTGGCTGCTGGGCTTTTGATGCTGCGATGCTACTTTTAAATGGAATTGAATTTACGATAAAGCAAGGCGAGAATGTTAACTCCCCCTCCGTGCGAACAAAAAAAATTTTGCTCGCTCACAAAGGGGGTTAATTTAAAAAAAACATTTATAATTTTATAGTAAAGTGTTTTTAAAAAATTATTAAAAATGGAAAGCAAATATTTATGCAATTTCTAAAATTTATGTTTTAAAATGCAATTATCTAGAGACTCATGAGGGTGGGTTTTTTTGCAAAAAATAGGAATTTTTCCAATGGTTTGTTTGCTCACGGAATGAGGAGTAAGAACTATGAAGTGCTAAATAAAAACCTGAGAAAGCAAAAGTTTTTAGGCTGTTCTGGGACTGTGTCTATTGAGTCTGGAGGTAATCAGAGAAGTTTTCCAACTCTAGGCATATACAGCTTGAGATGGGACGAGAGAATTCAATCTCTATACGAAGACTTTGCAGGGAAATATGACCTTAGTAGTGCTCAATTGATTACTTTATATAAAAGCATTTTGTGATATGATAACACAACAGCAATACCTACAGATACAATAGTGTATGAAAATGGCTGCCCATTTCCTAAAAGCAAAATTTCTAATTCCAATAGTGGCGCTAAAATACTATATGGAATATCAGCTGCAGTGGTAGCTTTTACAATCGTTATAGCACTTATTATATGAAAAAAGTTTTGAAAAAATATCACGATAAAAAAATTGACCACAGCTGCCCATATACATTTTGAAGATTATATTCTTATGGGAATTATCGCTGCTGATTTTTTCCAATTTATATCTCAAGGGCCAGATATAAGTGATTTATATATATTATTATCAAAAGCTTGTAGCTATTCGCTTATCCATTTTAATTCTTCAGGTACAGGAGATATGTACTGAATTTATATATATTCTGCAATGGTTATTGCTTGCTATTGAATATTTTCAGCTTTTATTTTATTATTTAAACTGAAAATACTTAATAGTTGGATGTTGAGACATGCTAGAAAAATATCTTTACTTTTGCTACCTATAATTGGAAATTTCTTATTTATTCCAATGATTTCTGTCCTTTTAAGCATTTTTCAATGTGATAAAGGAATAGGCTCGAGCATTACTGATTCTTTTATAAAAAATGATTGTACAACATATTGCTGAACCCAAAAATACTCTATATGAGGAGCTCTTTCAATATTTTTTTTGGGCATTTATATCCCTTTGGCAATTTATTTTCGGGAATATTATGAGAATATTAATGATCATATTAATATCAAAACAAATCCGCTTTTTTTTATAGAAAAGTCTATTTTTCAAGTAATCATAGTTTCTATGAATAAGACGATAAAGATTTATAATGAATCCTTACATGGTCTTTGCTGCATTATCCTTCTACTTATCCTAATTGCGATTAGCTTAAAGCAAAACTCTTATAATTATAGCAGGATGAATCTTTGGCTGATCATTTCCTATTTAGCAATCTTGTGTAATTTTATTTTATCATCTGTTTATTGACTCATAAAATTTGATTCCATACTATTATGGTCTATGGTGCAATATTCACTCTGGCTTATCTTGATAGTAGCTGGGATAATAATTCAATATAAATGGCTTCCAAATTTACTAATTACTGACAAATCAGCAGACATTACAATATTTTTCAAATTCTTAATGGGAAGCCATGTTTCAGCAGCCGATATCAATGTAATAAGAAATGAATCTTCAAGAAATAATTTTTCTTATCGTCAAACTCCAAATTCTTTATCAAGATTAAATATCCAGTATTAATAGCTTCTTTAATAACACTTTATTATTCTTAAATAAAATGCGCAATAGTCTAGATTTTTTACAATGTATATATCAGAAAATTTGAGCCTGGGCTGATGATGGTTTTGCTGCATTATCCTTCTACTTATCTTAATTGTAATTATTTTAAAGCAAAACTCTTAAAATTATAGCAGGATGAATCTTTGGCTGATCATTTCCTATTTACTCCCCTCCGTGAGCGAACAAAAAAATTGGGAAAATATTTTTTGCCATAAAACCCCCTTTGAGTAAACAAAAATTTTTCATGAAAAAATTTTAATATATAAGTGATTATTAATATTTTCGTTGCCTGATTAATAATCATAAGTATTACTGTTAAAAAATCTATAAAGGGTCTTAAGCTATATCAATAAAATAAGAAAGGAAGTTGCAAGAAATAATTTTTCTAGTAGTCAAGATCTAAATTCTTCATCAAGCTTAAATATCGAGCTTTAATAACTTTTTTAATAACTCTTTATTATAATTAATATCTTTTAAACAAAAAAAGGAAAATCAAAAAAATTTTTTTTATAAATTTAGTAGAGGAAACCAGGATTAAAGCCCAATGACGCAGAGGAATAGCTCCTTTAAAGATTTGAAAATGCGATATTAAAAAGAATGAAAATTCAAATGATTTTTGTGGAATGTGTTTAGATAGAGAAACTGAACAACATGCTTTAAATACTTGACCAAGATTCAAAAATAGAAAGAGCTCCTATTCATCAAGCTTTTGTCCATTCGCACTCCTTTTATACTTTCAGCTGAAAGTTACAATTTTAAATCGTAATCAGAGTTTTTACAATGTATAGTATGATAATAGACTTTATACAATTTCAAGAGCTTTTGGAACCGTACCTATAAACACATCTGCCATTGCTAAACTCGGATTAATAGAGAAGGGGCTTTTTTTAAGTTTTATATAAAATTGAATAAAACTAAAACTCTTCGTCTTCCTTGTTATTTTATGACCTTATTTAGAATTTTCAAATAATTTTTCGTCATAGCTATCAACAAAATATTGAGTAAATAATAAGTTGATTTGCTGCATACCAGAAATAAATGTCTATGGAAGCATGCTCGACTGGCCTAGAGGATACTTAAATTAAATTATTATTTCTCCTAAGGTGAGGTTTTTTGGCTCAGCAGACCTTGAGCTTTTCCTCAAGCCGAGCCCTGCTATGGCCTATGGATCTGGACTCCTGGGATAGGATGGCTGGCGAGATAGACCTGCATGGGACGAAGGTTGGATAGTGTAGGCTGCACGAGTCTCCGCTCAATTCAGAGTTGGCAGAGAGTGGATCTCTGAGGCAAGATAGAAGCAAGTCCGCAGCTCATCGGACTTATAAAAGTTAATTGGGGTGTAATCGCATCGAAGACCGGTGCTCTGGCCAAGACAGCGGGTGCAAGATGTAGAGATAAACTACCTTGCTGTCACTAGCGGCGGGTAATCAAGGCCTTAAGGCCTAACGCGGCAAGCTTTGGCCCCCCATAAAAGGTCTTATAACCTCTGAATAAGTATGCATGCATGATTTGCTGCATATCTTAACTTAAAGTTTATAGGAACTTTATATTGAATACAATTTTTATGACTACTTTATAACTTCCCTGAACCGGTTTTTCTAGTTCTGATATTTTTATTAAAATAAAAAAAATCAAAAATGAAGATGTTAATTGCTTTACTACTTGCAAAGATCTGTTTAGCAAGTCAGCTTACTGTTGGTATAGTTTACAGTCATTTTACAGACCTTGATTTTGCTTCAAATCTAACTACTTTGGTTAAAAATAATCTCGAAGATGAGCTTGAGGTTAATCTTATGTATTTTGATAGTCTTTTGGACGAAAGCAAGGCTAAATATAGCCCAGATATTATTTTTGATCTCACTTTTAGCACCACACTATCAGAATGAATCAAAAAGTTTGCTGAAGATAAAAAAATTATAATCGCCAGTATTTTCTATGCATTGTTATGGATCAGCCTTAAGATCTATTATAGTTTGCCAATGCAATTAGTGTGCAAGCCAAATTAAATGAGTTGAATGAATGATTTTAATATCAGATTGCTTTTTGTTTGCCACAAAATATAGCAAGCCAGCATACAATTTAGCAGCAAGCTAAATCTCAAGCTCAATTCATAAAAGTGTATGAACTATATTCATAGCGACACTCAAGCCCATAGTGACTGAGAATTTTTTATACATAATTCTTGGAAAAATCAAATCGAAGCTTTATATGGGATTATTTCTTATTTCAATTGGCAAACTTTTATTGTAATTTCTGATGACATTAGCAATAAAAACAGTGAAATGTTTTCTAATTATTTTAAAGACAAGGATTACCGCTGATACTTTTTCTCTAATGGGAATAATGAAAATTCAGCAAATTTGTTTATAGGGAAAAGTTATTATTATTATTATTATTATTATTATTATTATTATTATTATTATTATTATTATTATTATTATTATTATTATTATTATTATTATTATTATTATTATTATTATTAATTATTATTATTATTATTATATTTATTATTATTATTTATTATTATTATTATTATTATTATTATTATTATTATTATTATTATTATTATTATTATTATTATTATTATTATTATTATTATTATTATTATTATTATTATTATTATTATTATTATTATTATTATTATTATTTATTATTATTATTATATTATTATTATTATTATTATTATTATTATTATTATTATTATTATTATTATTATTATTATTATTATTATTATTATTATTATTATTATTATTATTATTATTATTATTATTATTATTATTATTATTATTATTATTATTATTAATTATTATTATTATTATTATTATTATTATTATTATTATTATATTATTATTATTATTATTATTATTATTATTATTATTATTTGAATTATCGCTGTGATCCAGCCTTTCTCTCTTTTTTACGCACTAATAAGTAAATAAATTTCTTTATACAGTTGTCAACTCCAACCATTGCATCATCATGATTTTCCTTCAATCATCTAATAAATTTTAAAATCATATAGCACCACTTCATGCATCTTAAAAATTTCTCTTAACAATTCCTTCTAGTACTCCGTTACTTTTGTAGCTGCATTAATAACTCCACACAAAAAAACAAAAGTTCCATCAAAATCTTCAACAAAAACAAAGATTCCATCAAAAATCTTCAACAAAAATCCAATGAATCGACCGATTCATATTTCCATTGCAACCCCACGATGCCAAAAAGATTGACTTTTAATGAATCACCTACTTGCACATAACTCATCCAAGGTAGGCCATCAAAAATCCACAACTCCGCAGAATCAACAGAATTTCAACCTCTCACAAACTCCTTCAAACTTTTTGGCGCGAAAAAGCGCCCCTATTTAATTATTTATAGGGAAAGTTATACAGCCAATTGGTGCCAGACCAAGTAAAATCTACCAGAAACTCCTACAAAACGCTGTTCTCCCTTTCATACGGTCCTGACACTTCCATCAGATTTAAGAGTGGTCATTTAGACTAATTGAGTAATTTCCTAGCGCGATGACAAGAGTAGCACCCTTGGGCTGCAAGTTCCATCTTGGTAGACAACACAGCCAGAAATTTCGAGAACCCTGGTCAGGCGAGCGGCACAGTGACTCATTCCATTACGCTCAATTCGTGTGCGATCTCATTTCTGGAAGAGCATAGCCGATAGGCAGACAGCTTGCAGTCGCGAAGCAAGGAGAGAAAATTACTTTTTCTAGGCATCAAAGGAACTTTCTATAATCTTAACTAAGAAAAATGTATAAGAAACATTGTGCTACTAAATCAAGGAGAAAGTGCAAAATTATTATTGAAAGCTTTAGAAGAAAAAAGCTTGCTTATCAATGGAACTGGAATTATTGTGGGAAGTGAAGGCTCCTGAGGGTTAAATAGTAATGGAATAATTGCCTATGTAGAATCAGGGCTAGAGATGGCTGATAGCTATTATAGTTATCAAGGATTAGCGTTTATCAAGTTTTTGAAAATTATTCTGAATTTAGAATTTTCATCTGATCTCAGTCTCTTTCAGAAATTAAATAATTATTATAGCAGAGAAGCAGAGAACTTAAGAAAAAATAGAAGTCCAGCGCTCCCTGATTTGCTAAAAAATTCAAGTTGCTATGAAATTTCTAGCTTGAAAACAGATTGCTTGCCTCCCAATTTATTTGCAGTTGATAATCACCCTATTTCAAACTTCACTCTTCTAAATACAAAAAATAACCAAAAGATTATATCTGGAAATATTTTCGAAGGAAATTTGACTACACTAGCTCCTCTTTCATTTCCAGGAGACTCTTTAATAATACCAAACTCTCCATTTACTTATATTAATATATGGTATGATAACGGACTACTCCTCTTGATTCATGAGCGAGATTTTTCTGATTATTAAATTTTCAAATAAAATTGTATATATTTTTTTTAAGAAAATCCAGAAAAAAATTATTTAATTTAAAAACACTTTTTTGGGTTTAAATTTTAACAGAGCTATTTATAAAAATACTATATAAAAACTGTTTCTAAAATAAATTGCTTTCTCTTCTTAAACGAGTGCATATTTTCTCAAAAAGTTAGGATTTGCTAGCTCTTTAAGTGGGGGAAGTTAGGATTATCAGCTGGAATCCTTTATACTTTATTCTACTGAAAAAGTGTCCACTCTTTAGAAGGCTTTGAAATAGCCTCAACTGAGCTTCTTTGCTCAGGAAACACACATCACCAAAATCTCTGTTTTTCTCATGCATTGAGCACCCCAGCTGTAGGATTTATAACATCTCTTTTCTCATCAGAAAGTGTTTCTTTTATTCACACATTGAGATCCTTAAATTGTTCTATACCTAATGTTTCTCCATACTCTCCTTCAGACGCTTTACAAAATAAATCAGACTTTCCTGAGTTTATGACAATCATGAAAGATATCAAATTTAATGCAAAAGTTATGCTGGATCTTGCTGTTGTTTTTAGATGGCAAAATTTTATAGTCCTTTATGATGATATTAATGATCTTGATTGCCAATATTTCATATACCTTTTGCCAAGAATAGCCCACTAAGGAGCATTTTTCGGTTCGCCATTCTTAAATTTGTTTAACCAGTATATGGCATACCAACGAATTATTGTCCGGCCAAACCAAAAAAAAGCTCCTTAGTGGGCTATTCTTGGTAAATAAGTATATCATTAATAGAGCAATTTAATATGAAAACTGCAACTAAATTTAATATAAAAATTGCAAATAGCCCTGATATGAGGAAAATGAACACGACCTACACTTTAGATAAATACTCACAATGAAAGGGTTGGTTTAAGAGCTTAATAAGCTTAAATGTAAGGCTATATGTCATTTTTTTGAATGTCCCTTCTTGGTATCATGTTGTTGAAAGCTTTTATGATGCAGGATTGAGAAGGGGTGATGCCATTTTTTTATCAAATGGAAGAGTTGCATATTCACTTACATGGGAGACAGATACCTCACAGATCAGTAAACTTATTGAATTGTTATATGGATCAGTTGTTGTTTTCCATGCTGAATGATTTGGAGAATATGGGAAAAAGTTGGAAAATGGCTATTTAAAAGAGTATGGAGGATCCTCAGTTTTTAGCTGCTACTCTTTTGATGCTACAATGTTGCTTCTGCATGGAATAGAATTTACTATAAGACAGGGCCAAAATATAAAAGATTCTCAAGCGTTAAATATAAATATGAGAAAACAAAAATTTTTAGGGTGTTCTGGGATTATATCTATTGAGTCAGATGGTAATCAGAGAAGTTTACCTACTATAGGGATTCATAATGTACGTTGAGACAATAGCACGCAATTATTATATGAAGAACTAGTAGGAATATATGATACCAACAGTTTGCAATTGATTACTTTATTCCAAAGCATTTTATGATATGATAATTCTACAATAACACCTACAGATTCTATTGCGTATGAAAATGGGTGTCCATTCCCTGAAAGTAAAATTTATCATTCTGAGAAAGGCGCTAGCATTTTATATGGAATATCAGTAGCTATAATAGCCCTTGTAATTGTTGAGTCGTTTTTTATTTGAAAAAAATTCTTAATGAGAATAAATATAGAAAAATTAATAGTCCCAGCACGCATACATTTTGAGGATTATTTTCTTATGGGAATATTGGCTGTGGATTTTTTTCAATTTATTTCTCAAGGTCCAGGTATAATTGAGTTGAATGTCTGATTATCAAAAATATGTAACTATTCACTCATCAATTTTAATTCTTCAATTGCAGGAGATATGTACTGAGTTTACTTATGCTCCGCAATGAGCATTTCTTGCTATTTGGTTTTTACAGCTTTTATTTTATTTTTTGGTTTCAATAATTTTGAAATTTGGATAGTGAGATACATTAGAAACATTGCTTTATTCTTGATGCCTATTATTGGGTATGTTTTATTTGTCCCTGTGGTTACTATACTTTTAAGTATTTTTGAATGTGATAAGGGAATAGGCTCAAATATTTCTGATTCTTTTATAAAGTATGACTGCACAGTTTATTGCTGGAAGCATAATTACTCTGTATGAGCAGTTTTATCAATAATATCTATGACAGTATTTATTCCTTTAGCACTTTTTTTCAGGAATTATTATGAAAATATTAATAGCCATATTAATATAAAGACCAGACCTATTTTCATTATAGAAAAAACAGTTTTTCAAGTTATTATAATTATCATGAATAAAACTGTAAAAAATTATGATGAAGCCTTGCATGGTCTCTGCTGTGTAATTCTTCTCACCATGCTAATCTTTTTATGTTTTAAAAGTAGCCCATATAACTATGGCAGAATGAATTGTTGGCTGATTATTTCATATTTTGCAATTTTGTGGAATTTTATATTGTCATCGCTTTATTGACTTATAAGATTTGATAATTGAATAGTGTGATTTATAATAGAATGGTTAGTTTGACTTCTTCTTATAATAGCTGGAATAATATACCAATGGAAATTACTTCCAAGCTTATTGTTGACTGATAAGGGAATAGATATAGCAATATTTTTGAAATTTGGTCTGGGAAGTCAGATTTCTGCTAAAGAGATAAATAAAATGAAAAAAGAAACTGTGGATAATAATTACTTAGGTATCTCGAAGACTCCGAATTTTGATGAGATGTCCAATGTTTCTAGCTATAGATTGAATCAACACTCAGATTTTGACAATTAAAAATTTATTCATTAAACAATTTAATTTAATATCATCAATATTACATTAACTCAGGGCTGTAATAAATCAGCATTAAAAACCTTAAACTGCCTTCATTTTTTCATTTAATTTTTTTTAATAAAGTAATCATTTAGTGTTTAATTTCAAATTTAAAATTAATTTTATTAACTATTTGATATTTTTTCTTGTAAAATTGTTATCTATACTTCAATTTACTAATACAAATTTTAAAAGCAATCTTTTTAGAAATTTGTAATACTTTATTGGCTTTGCTTAATCTGTTCAATCCCAACTTCAAACTTATGTCTAAACGCCAAAAGAAAACCAGTACTCAAACAAATTGGTGAAGATTTCTATGTTTCGATTAGACTTAGGATCTCCTAAACTCTCTTTTATATCTTATTTTTATGCAAGCTTAATATTTTCTTTTATCATAATTATTTTTAGCCAGAGTCTTTGAAGATGGCAGGGAAGAATAGAACTATTTTTTTTGAATATTTATGAGAAAATTCCTGAATGAATAATCCCTTTTCTTTGGAATATATTCTATACACCAATAATCTTTACTTTATTAGGGGTATTCCAATGTGACCAAAGCATAGGTAATGAAATTACAGACAGTTTTATGGAAGAAGATTGCACTATATTTTGTTGGAAAGACTCACATATTAAATTAGTAGTTCTATCAATTATTACATTAGTTCTATACCTGCCTGTTGCAATGCATTTAAAGCCATTTTGGGATTATGCAGTTTCAAGCTCAAATGTGCAGGTTAGGCTGACATTTTTACTTGAAAAGCGTGGATTCCAGGCTATTATAGTGGTACTCAACAATACAATACTGGCCCACCAGCCATCACTGTATGGAATAATATATATTTTGCTCATAATGTCCTTTATCATTTTAGCATTTTTAAAGAAAAACCGTATAATTATAGCAGATGCAATCTTTGACTATGCATTTCATATATAGCTGTTGGCCGTTTGTAACGCCTCCACCACAAAGCAAATTTTTTGGTACTTATTACCTATTTTTTACTCGTTTTTGCCTATTTTTTCTGATTTTTAATATAATATTGTTTCTATAGAGATCATGATATTATTAAAAAAAATTAGCCCAATAAAAGTAGCAAAAAAGCCATAAATCTTTGTGGTACATGCGTCTTGCGAAATCATGATAGCTGCTATTTGAAGTGTGGGTATTTCTTCTATATATGAGTTCACCAATGATGGGTTATTAGAAATATTAACCTTGCTTCAATATGTTGGATGGGCATTTCTATTGGTTGTTGGTGTGCTAATACAGAAAAAATACTGTCCTGGGTTACTATATTCAGAACGTCCTCCAAATATTGCTCTTTTATTCAGGTTCGCATTAAGCAAAAAAATATCAGCAGATCAAATAAATAAAATGAATAAAGAAAAAGCAGCAAGGCACCTTATGTCTTCTATGAGAAAAAGGGCCTTCAGCAGTTTTTCTAATCAATCTATGATTCTTTAGATTTATGAAAATGAGGTCTAGAGGAATTTTAAATATAAAGTTATTAATAGTTTAAATAATTTATCTTTTTAAAATCGCTGCTTATTAGCAAACTATTATGCTCAGGCTTTCTGCTATCTAAATGTTATTAGGATAGCAGAATTTTAAAGCTAATTTTATTACAAGAATTGTGAAACTAAATAAATGATTTATTTAAGAATCCCTGAGGATGATATATTCCCTTTTATATGCCTTTCGAAATTATTATTCAGCCAAATTGCTTATTTTCACATTTATAATATATTTAAATTCTAAATCAACTAAAATTTTATTGCTTTTAGTTTCTATATATATGCCATATCTCACTAAATGACAAATTTTCTTGTTTGCTCAAATTCTCTCACTCTTATGTAATCTTTTTGAATTTCTCAAATTATCACTCTTTTAAATGGCTACATAGTGGCTTGCTCTCTAAAAATATAAAAGGCTTTACTGATACTTAAGCAAAATCGAGTATTAATAAGAGTTTTTTAGCATATTAGGCTATTTACTTCAGCCAAAACTTCAATATTTTTAAAAATGAATAAATTAAATTTTTAATTTTTGATATTTATCTGAAATCTGAAAGTTATCTTATTTATTTTTAACTTTTTCTTTTGTATAAGGAACTCTTATCTCCTCAACTGAAGAGTCATTTATCTCTGGCTTAATCTCATTTTCATCAATCTCTTCTTCACTTTCCCCTGCTCTTAGCTCTCTACTTTCCTCATCACGGACTTCTCCACTCATCTCCTGAAGTGTAGATGTTGTATGTCTTTCTCTTTCTGATTCAAAAACACTACTCGTCTGGTACTCAGATATCGAGTCTTGGCTCTCATAGTTGCCAACTGAGAGTTCTTTTCCCGCCTCAAATTCTGGAATTACACTTATAAACATATCAGCCATGGTGTATTTCGGGTCAAAAGGCTTGGGCGCTCTTTTGTCTCTTTCATGTTATGTAACATTGAAAACATCTTTTCCCCGTCATTTGAAAACACGTGACCTTTCTTTGGGTTGTAGAAAATTTCATCATCAAAACCATCAGGCTTGTGGCCCATTAATTTTCGTATGAAGGGGATCTTTTCACCGACCATGAGAAGCCCTGCGTGAAAAATCTTTGTGAGCCAGAAGTATAAGAAATATAGGTTCATTATGACAATGAGTAAAAAGAAAATTAGGCTGCTCCAGTCGTCAAGGTCATTAGTTAGGTAGTAAAGTCCACAATAAATGGTGATAGAGGATACAAGGACAGACCGAAGCTCCATTTTGTTCAAAGGTCTTCCGTTATAAGGTCGGTACCTGTACTGCAGATGAAGGCTAGTCGCAAGTACGATCGCTACCGTAAGTGCTTGAACGCTGACTGAAATATTAGCCAGAAACACCGAGCAGCATATAATCAATATTTTTCTATACAAAATAATGAATTCCCAATAGTAGCACGAGGCTGTATACCCATTGAAAAAGAACCCAAATTTAAGTCTAACGTTTAATTCGTTCAGTCTTCTCTTATTCTTCATGAGATTCAGCAAACAAACAGCTGGGATTCCAATTCCCCAAACTATAGCAGCTGGAATAGAAACTATAAACAAATAAAATAAATGCTTACTGCTCCAGCATCTAATATCAAGATTGTCATTGAGTCAGTATTCTCCAGAATTTATTTGCTTGCAATTGAACGAACCAAAAATCATCTTTACAATGTTCGGGTGCACGATAAATAGCAAAATAATGCAGGTAGATAGTCGTTCGTAAAATCCTTGAAACTTTTACGCTTAAGGTCGATAAAAACCCAAATGACCAGAGCAAGTAGAGATATTCCGATCGGCATCAGACTCATAAGTATCAGCTCGTTGAAATAGTATTGGTCTGGGTCACTTTCGCTGGTTTGTAAAAAGCAGTCAAAGGAAAAGACTTGGTCACTCACTGACCCAGCGCTGTTTTGTGTTGAAAAGACTTGTAGGACTAGACTTGGCCAGTTTAGGTTAATAGTAGTCACAAGCATGACCAGCTGCAGGTAGTTCATAAAGATTTTGATATACACAGAAGTCAGGGACTTTGGGACAAAGGCAGAGTCTCTTGTAGATTTGACCATAATTGCACCAAGGATAATAAGCGCGATGAAGATCCCAATAATTCTCATACTGTTTGTGGCTTTGTCTGGGCAAGGACTGCAGGTGTCATCGCCTGTCTTTGAGTAGCCATATTCACAAGACTGACACATGTTTCCTTTGTAGCTGCCTGAACACTCACCTGTGTAAGAGATATTGTTTGGGTTGGTTGAGCCTAAGCATGCATCTGAGTTCGGACACTTCCAAAAGACATTTGTGTACTTGTTGTCTCTCCAGTATCCAGACTTAGGCGCCATCGTGTAGTTTCCAAAGCAGATTCCGCCGTCAGGGCAAGCGAGACAAGAGGGGTTCTTAGGGTTTAGACTGTAGTAATTTGCCTCACAGACTTTGCATGTCGCCCCTACAGTGGCCTCTCCAAGTTGGCATAGTCTAAATGTAACATTAATAAAAATTTCTGAATTGTAAACCGCGCTATCATGAGCTTTCTCTGCTTTTGAGACGTATATTGCAGACGTATAGACCTTTATTTGAGTTTTATTCCCAGGGTACCAACAATAATAAATTCATCGAAATAAAAAACTCCTTGTACAGCTGTCACTTTGGTAATTCCTCCAATTGTAGTCAAGCTGTCAGTTGGCTGCAGCTCTGCTTGGCTTGAGTTATCAGTTTTAGCCACATTCCTATCATGATCAACCAGGGCAATAGATAGTGGTATCGACGTCATCTGTCCTGACGCCATCCCATTTAAGCTTGCCAGTACTGGGGTATCTTCTAATCTTCTTGTCGAATTTCCTGTAGAAGTGTAGATAGGAGTCATTGAAATTGGGTATGACGACACATCAGAGCCATATGCAGCTGAGTTATTCGTAAAAGTGTTTCCAGATACTGAAGGCATAATGTCATTCCAAGAATAAGCTCCCCCGTTATAGCTTGCCTCGTTTTCGATAAAGAGATTATTTGTCAAATTAAATGCACAAATATCCACATCTCTGCAGTTCAAGAAGAGCCCTCCTCCAATTCCATACTGCACAGCTCCTCCTACAAGTGTTGAATCAATTCAATTAAAATTATTAAGATTCTTCTGTACACTACTAGTTTGCTTGCTAGCATAGCTGTCTTAAAAACTGCTCTGGGGTGAATTCGTGTCATCTTTTTCAAACCCCAAGTGCGGCTACCTTGACATTTTTTGCGATGATGGCGGCAGTTCCTGAAGTTTGGGCTTCTTTGAGCTCAGCTGCCGTCAGGCAACCTAAAGGTTCTAGTCTTCACTCCTAGAGTAGAACCTTTCTGGGAAATTCGATTTACTAAGGTCATGAGTCAGGTAGGAAAAACCTCGCTGCTCTTGCATCCCTGACGTAACTAAGATAACTTCACCAGGGAAACCTACCTCATAATAAAATATGCAAGAAATGAATTTTCGGTCCGGAGACCAGAAAATTAAAACGACGCTATATTTTAATATAAAGTGTTGAATAAGCTGCAAGTGCTGTGTTTTCCCTCAATTCAGAATTCTTGACAGACAATTTGACGTTATTTGTATAGACAGCTCCTCCATTAGTTGCTGAATTTTTTATAAATTTGGAGTTTTCTATGACATAAGTATTTTAGATTAATAAATCTGACTGTGTAATTAAATATACAGCTCCACCAATAGTAGCATTACAGTTAGAAAATTCACTGTTTTTGATAGTGACTTGGCTGCACATTGAGCAGTAAATAGACCCTCCATATACTCCAAGGCCGTCATCAAAGCGAGAGTCATAAATAGACAGACTGTGCAGTTTTTCTCCATACATCCCTGAATGAGAAAACATGTCGAAATTTGAACTTTGGATTAAAATTGAGCTCTGACTCCCCCCCTTTAAATTGGAGCAAAATATAGGTAAAATTTCCACGTATTTGGTAAATTTAAACCCCTTTAAATTGGAAAAAAAATTTAATGTTATAATAAAAAAATTTTATATAATTTTTATGTAAAAAGTTTTGATATAAGTTAAAAGTTTCTTCTTAACTAAAATAAAAATTTAGTTATATTTTGCTCTTATTTAAAGAATAGAGTATAAAGAACATTTTATTTAAATAAATTTATTATCCTTAATTGCTAAATTTTAAAAAACAATTAATTTTTGATAAAAATGATATTTTTTATTTAAATAATTTTGTTATAAATTCAATGCGAATTATTTAGAAAAATCAAAAATTTACTTATTTCTTGCTTTATTTTAAAGAATGGAGTATAAATAGCATCTTATTTAAACAAAATTAGCACTTTGATCGATAAATTTTCTAATTTTTTTTTTTTATAAATAAAAATAATAATTTTTGTGCAAATAGTTTTGATACCAATTAATAGTGTCGTATTAATTAATAATAAAAAATTTAGTCATATCTTGCTTTGTTTTAAAGGATAAAGAGTAAATAGCATTTTATTAAACAAATTTATTAATCTAATTCGAGTTTTTATTTTTAAAAACAAATTTTCTTAACCCCCCTTTAAATTGGAACAAAATTTTTTGTTCCAATTTAAAGGGGGGAGTGAGAGGCGCCTACAATGCCTCCTGAAATGTCAGAACTAGTGTTTCAGACGTTTGACCCTTGAATGTTAAGGATAGAGTCAGAGTACGCCAAAATGGCACCTTCTGAATTGGCATAAATATTCATGAACTGGCAGTTCTTGATATTAATTGTGCTAGAAATCGAAAAAATAGCCCCACCAGAGCCAGAAGCAGTGCCGTCTGTAAAATCAGAATTAGAAATTTCAAAGTAGCTTTGCGTGGATACATATACAAAGCAGCCTTGTTTTCCGCTTTGGGAGTACATCTGGCTGTCAGAGATAGTGGCGCTGGAAAGGGTCAAGAGAATTCCGGGGCTCGTGTTTTCTGCATAATTTTCGTGGATTTTTGAGTTAGAAATAGAGATAGCTGCGTCTAAAAGCACAATGGACCCTTCTCCAGATGCATAATTTCTGTATATATCTGTATAGCCCCTGAAATATTTTAGATCATTATTGGTCATCCATTTTAATTTTCAAAATTAATTTGTACTTGTCAGTTTTTTTGAAAAGTAAAAACGAAAATGACAAGTCTCCGTTTATGGTTTTAAGGTACCAAATCAGACTTATACTGTATAAGGCAGGTGCCCTGTACCATATTTTTTCTGGTCGGTATTCTGCTGGGTATAGATATCTATTAAGGTGCATGAGCTATAGAATTTATATAAGAAGGCGCTGAAGAGGTCCCAAGCAGATACATGACAGAGCCTTTATTCATGCAGGAATTTTGGTTATAATTGAGTTTTGTATGGCAAAATAAGAGTTCTGCTCGACAAAAAAGACCCCACCAGAGTTGCCTGCATAATTATTGGTGAAATTACAAGTTTTGCATTTAAAAATAGATTGGCTGCTAATAGTAACCGTTCCCCCAGTCCCTCTATTTGTATTGTTAAAAAATAAGGCGTTTTTTGACTCTCCAAGTGCTTCGTTCTGCATGTTTACTGCACCCCCTCTCTTGATTGCAGAGTTATACCTAAAAACAGACCCAGAATCAACCCAGTGATCATAATTTAGTGCTACAGCAGTCCCTGAGTTTGAGTCAAAAATGCATTCATACGTTTCTAAATAAGAAAATTGACTGAGATCGTCCATACAGGCAATTGAATCACCTGAGTTTTCAGTTATCTTGCACAATTTTACAATAGTTTGTGATCTCACTGAATCGCTGTCTGCATTTGTATTGATATAAATAGCTGCTCCTAGCTTGGCAGAGTTCTTAGAAAACTCAGAATCAGAGATCGTGAGGATTCCGTTATAATGTAAAGCTGAAAAAACTCCAAGTGCAGAGGCTGCATTATTAATGAATTTTGATTTCGAAACAGTTGAACTCTGGGACAGTGCCGCTGTTTTTTCAATAAAAATTGCAGCGCCACTACTAGCACTGTTTCCGTCAAACAGACAATTTGCCATCTGAAAATCTATTTTTGACGAGCCCAAATTGGCTTCTTCTATATATATAGCTCCTCCAGAGCTAAGGGCTTTATTCTTAATATTAATTTTAATGTTAATTAAAGCCATTCGCCTAGTAGGGCCGAGGATTTCCACCCCTGCACAATCATCGCGCCCACGGTACCTGGTGGACAGTCTTGACATTCATGGCTCCTGGAGCCTAAGGGCCAACCATCTGGGTCGAAACGCCCAGTTTCTCATTAGACAAATGCCACTCTTAAATTCTGTTCAAGGGAATTGGCTTCTTTCGGGACTGTCGCCGGTCTTGTCATCTCAAATGGTTATTCTGGAGGTAAAAGCCTGAGTCCCACGGATTAGTTCCTAGGGCCCAAGTAAAACCTAATCCGATTTACATAAAGGGTTACCAACCCCTTTCCACCTAAATCGCCTCTACTGGGCAGTTGCCTGCAGGTGTTGACGAATAGGGTTGAGAGGTTGGGTGGCACGCTATCGCCATTTTTATATATATGTTTTATTCTTAATAAAATTGCAGTCTTGTATATAAATTCCGCTTTTATTTGTAATTAACTGTGGATAAACATAAACAGCCCCTCCAAACTGAGTAGGGGAATCATTTGCCTCAAATAGCAGATTTGACAAATTGAGGTATTGTTCTTGGAATAATAAAGCTCCACCATACCCAGCACTATTTGATTTAAAAATGCAATTTTCGACTGTAAGGTTCAAAAGGTCAATTGTGGTACCGATCGCTCCGACTCCTGACGATAAATGGTTTATGTTATCGTAAAAAACAGAATTCGAGACTGTCAGCTTCATATTCCCCTCTACATTAATGCAGAGGGGATTGCCACCTGAGCCTTGGTTTCCTGTGCAGTTTAGATAAGAAATGCCTCAGTTTTTTACTTTGGAGACCCAAAAAGATGGTGAGTTTTCTTCGCAGTAGTTATTTGTTAGATTAATGTTGAAAATAGAAGCGTTGACTATGCCAGAGAGATAAGCCATAGAAATGCAGTCAATTGTTTTGGCTTCGGTATAGTTTGATTTAATGTAGATATCAGGGCTATCAATTCAATAGCCAAGTATGACGGAGTTCACTGATTTCCCTTCTGAGGCAGGAGCTCCATTGGAGTCTATTAAAATGTCATTTATTTCCAAATTAACCAAATTAATGACATCTAGCACCCCTGCTCCTCCTTGATAATTATTTGTGAACTCAATATAGTTTGCCGAGAACCACCTCGCTTTATAAACAGCTGCAGTACTCTGCCCTGATGGCAATGTAACTGGCTTCGTAATATCTACTAAATATTCCTGTTTAATTTCATTATTTTTCACATAAATCAATGGTCCACTCTGGACACCATTCGAATCCACAACCAAATTTTCCAACTTAATATTTTGGAGCTCCCCTTGGTAGCTTGCCGAAAGAATCCCATAATTTTTTCCATAATTTTTCGTAAATTTAGAATCATGTATATACACATGATTGAGCAGTAGGTCAATAAGCTCTTTATTTTTATTAATATCAGTCTTAAAGCTCAGTCCTTTAGAAGCTATGCTCACAATGCCAGTGTCAGCGATATTATAATTAAAGCTGCAATTGTCAATTTCAAGGTACCTGAAGACCTTTAGCGCTATAAGAGATGCGGATGTAAAGGATGAGGAGGTCTGGATTGACACAAAATTGTTCATGAAATTGATGTTTTTTAAGCTTACATAACCAGTCCTTTCTGCATATATGAAGCCTCGGAAATCGATAGGGTTGGCATATTCGTAGCCGTTATTGATCCTTGTTACGTTCCCATTGGTGTAGTCAATAAAGCCACAGTTATAGCTGCTGTCTCCACAGTCGTGGACTGTAATAACAGCTGCGGCTTCACTGCTGTATATATAGATATTGTCAAAATTTACATTGGTTAAGGTGATTGACCCTCCCCAGCTTTCAAGAATAGCATAGTATCCAGTTCTGGAAGGTCACATTTGTCAAAATCAATGAGGCTCCATTATAAACTCCAAAAAGGTTTACAGTGCTTGACCATTTGCAGTAGCTTGACGGCAGAAACTCGCTGCTTGAAATTGTTTCTCCTCTGTCATTTTTATAGGATGCATCAATTTGCTGCTCCACATATGGGCAATAATCGCAGTACTCTGTTCCTTTGCAAGTCGACTGTGTGTAATAGCCATCAATAATTAGGTTTTCTATTTCTATTTGCATACCGCTTCAAGCTTCTATATGGATATTCCACTTATCAAGGGCTGTTTTAATTGTAATTATGCTCCCATCAAGACTAGCAATTTTTAAATACTTTAATGTCCCAGTGTCATAATGATTGCCATGATTAAGTGGCTTAGTTTCATCATAAACCCAATCTGAGATAATATAAAGATGGTCCACAGAAGCCCACTCATAAGTTCCATCATTGATGAGGTAAAGAATAGAATAAGCATGCTGGATCTTGGCCAAAGCTGTTGCAAAAGTCTCAAAAGGTGACTCCAATGTACCTTCTCCGCCTGAGGTATCCCCAGACCTGATAGAAGTTGCATAAAAGATTTTTGGATTTTCAGGAGTCGATGTATCTATAAAAGGAAGACATACAGCATTACTGTCCATAATTTGTCGCGGCTCATAGCCATACTCACATACCAAGCTGCAGTACCCATATCACTGAAAGTAGCCTTCTTTGCATTGATAGCATTCCCCATAGTATGGGCCATAGCACCACTCACAGCCAGCCTCATAACAATAATAAGTCTGCTCAGTTACGCAGTTTAGTCACGAATATATGCAGGATTTTACTTCACAAAGACTATTGCAGCTATAATAATCAAAAGCCATTTCTTCGGTACACTTATATCATTGCGAAGTTGCTTCATCCCATTTCCATGAATCATCTTCGCATCAGAAGTAACCAGGAAGAAAGTTAAAATCTTGCCAGAGCAGGTTTTGCCGGAGATCGAACATAACCAGTGCATAATCTTGGCATCGCTTGTCGGGGTCATCACTAATTCTATCCCTTTAAATTGGAACAAAGCATCGGTAAATTTTGGATTTATCTCTTTTAAATTAGAGCAAAATTAATTTTCAATAGGAAAATTTTATAGATGAAAATATTAAGTCTTATAAAATTAGTTTTGGCTTAATTTAATAGACAAAATGCTTTATTTCTTCGTAAAAATAAATTAAAATTCAAAGTATTATGCTCAATTATATTTTTTAAAAAAAACACCTAATTTTTATAAAATTAGTTTTTTTTCTGATTTATTGAAAAAGTGCCAGTAGAACGCTATTTCAACAGTTTTCACATTGAATCGATTAATTTTTTTAATTATTTATTCATAAAAATAAATGAAAATTCTAACTCCCCGCCTCTGTGAGTGAACAAAAAAATTTTGTTCACTCACGGAGAGGGGTTAATTTTTTTTTTAAAAAATTTATATATAAATTTTTTTATAAACTTTTTTTTTTCGAAATTTAAAAAAATCTCACTTCTATAAAAATTGGAAAGCAAATATTAATTTATATATAAAATTTATGTTTTTAAAAACGCAATTTGTTTAAAATTAAACAGAATTAGCTCGATATTTCACTATACTAATTATCACTATATATCAAAATTTTTTTCCATGATATTTAAAAAAATTTTTGTTCACTCACGGAGCGTGGGCTTTTAGGCAAAAAATAAGATTTTTCTAATGGTTTCGCTCACTCAGGGAAATGGGGGGAGTAAGTATTGTGCTCAATTATTTTTTTTTAAAAATATTTTTATAAAGAAAAATTAAGTAAAAGTTGTTTTTTTAACCCTTTTAAATTGGAACAGGTTCCAACTTAAAGGGGGAAGTAAGCTGATCATAAGCGCATTTTCCAACTAAACACTCAGGCTTGCAGGACCCATAATCTGATAAGGCACACCCATCGGCACAGCCACAGTCTCCATAGTCTCAGTTGCAGTTTTTGCTGTTGCATTCTTCATTGCATTCCAAATCCCCAAGCATACTTGTATAACACCCAGAAGCGCAGTCTCCACAATCATAGTTATAGCTTCTGAAATATTTTAGATCGTTATTTGCCATCCATTTTGATTTTCAACACTAATTTTTACTTGTCAGTTTTTTTGAAAAATAAAATGAATATGACAAATCTCCGTTTATGGTTTCAAGATGCCTTATCAAATTTAGATTGTATAAGACAGGTGCTCTGGACCATATGCTTTCTGGGTTGTATTCTTATGTGGTATAGCAATTTATTATGATGCATAAATTATATCGTAATTGCATCTTTCAGAGTTACAAACAGAGTCGCATTTACTGTCGCCTAGCAGGTCTGTAGTGCAGCCAGGGTAGCAGTCGCAATCAAAATTATCATAGTTGCATGATTCGACATGGCATTCTTTTTGGCAGATAGAATCCCCAATCATATAGTAATAGCACCCACTAGCACAAATTTCGCCTTCACAATCTCCAAAATCATAGTTGCAATTACTATTGTCACACTCAGGATCACAGAATCCATCGCCAATCATATTTTGAGAACAGTTTTCTGCACAAGTATCGCAAGCACCTAGATCATAATAGCAAGAAGAAACGTTGCAGGCTGTGTCACAAGTCCCGCCTAGCATGAATTCATAGCCTAAATAGAGTTTACATCCACTGGCACAAAACCCACAGTCTCCTAATTCTTTTACTACTAATAAGGTCTATTGGCTTACTTTTATCGAACAATTCTTTATATAAATGTTTAAGGAAATTATTATAAAATATTTTTAATAATAAAAAAATAAGACTTAATAAATTCTGTGGGAGGGTAAATCATAACCACATTCTCTTATGTTGCAGTCAGAATCACAGTTTCCATCCCCAAGATGAGAGGAAGAACACCCGTTGTAGAATAAGCACTCCCAGGTGCAGTCTGAACTGTACATCTGTGTTTTTGGGTCACTTAGGCTAGAAGAGTCGTAGCCACAGTAAGGGAACATGCAACTTTTATCGCAGTAATTGTCGCCTCTCTAAGTTTTTCTTGCAACACCAGAAGGGCATAAATTCAAATTGCACGTAATATTTAAGTCTGCAGCCTGAACTGCCACAATAAGGGCTATTATAGCTGCAAAAACCATAATTATTGATATTATTTAGGCTTCTGGTGCAAAATCATTTTGAAATTTTGTCAACCATTTTAGTATTAAGAATAAAAACTGTATTTTAAGGTAATAAGATGGCTTATGAGCTTTTATATGTGTTTTTAGCATTTGATGCTTGATTATGCTGAGTTTAATGGAAATTCGCTTCTGAATTTTATTTCAGCAAGCTTCGATTAAGAATTTGATAGACTCTATAAATCTGTTTATTTGAAACATCTAATAATATAAGAATAATTTTTATCAATATAATTGTCTGTTAGAATTTATTTACTGTGTAAATTCGATCAAGACGAAGTTTATTGAATTTTAAATTTAAAACTTGTTCATAGAATTAAGCGAATTTTTAATAATTAAGCTATAAAGAGGAAGCAATAAAAAATTATATAGAGCCAGCAGGTTCCCTATTTATTTATTAGTCATAATAAATATTAGTTCGGTTGTTTACTTATAGTACTTCGTGCTTTGGGATTAATTTTAATAATAGATGCCATGCTGTTTTATAAGTATATAAAAGTATTGTGAAATGAAGAAGTCCAGCATTCTCGGGGAGCCCTTAGTCATAGCCTTTACTGAGGAGCCAAAGTTCGAACCAGATAAAAGAGCTGTAACTGCATTAAATAAAGACTGGACAGCAATAGACTTCTCAAACTTCTGTGCTTTTCGAAGTCAGCAGAGAATTAATGTCTAAGATAAAAGCAAATACGAGATCCCAATGCTCATCTTTTGGCTATGATCAGAATCAATAATTTTGTTTTTCAAAATAAAAATCTTAAAATCAGCAAAAAGTCTTTCTTTATTAAAAATTTGATATATCATTAATATATAATAATCGGATTTTCTGCTAATTATATAAAATTATAAAGGCTTGTCCTTTAAATAAATTTACATTTCAAAAAAGATTGAAAAATTATAGGAGTAAAAAATCTAGATAGTTATTTAAAGGAGGAATCATATTTTATAGTTTACACATAATAATTTTTGTCTAAAATTAATAATTTACGAATATTTTATTTTACTGTCTCAATAATTCTGGAATTTCTATTATTTAGTCAACAAATGGAAATTTTCTGAGCTATAATCTCCAGCATAAATATTTTAGATATCACCAGATTAAACTTAAAATTATAAAAAATTATTAGCAAGTATTCAATGATTAGAGCATAAAAAAGCAAGATTCATATTAAATTAAATTAAATTTAATCAATTACTCCGACTATATCAAGCTGAATTTGAGCAGATTAATATTAAGATTCTGAATAGCAGTCGGGAATATAACTATAATTTTTTTAGATTAGTCTGAAAGACTATTTTTCCTAGATAAGGCTTGCTCTTTTAGGCCTTATGGAAGTGCTTAACCTGATATTAAAAGTTTACGCTTAAACCTCATATTGCATTAGTCAGAATATTTTTAGATGCAATTGCATCCAATCACCTTCAAAGGCTAAAGCAATAAGAAAAATTATATATAAGGTTTTGATAAATCTTCTAAGAACTAAAATTTCTAAAAGAAATTTGTAATACTTTATTGGCTTTTGCTTAATCTGTTCAATCCCAACTTCAAAATACCTAAATGCCAAAAGAAAACTAGTGTAAAAATTTAAGCTCATTGGCTGGATTTAAGTTAGAAAAAGAGCAATTTGCCAGTAATAAGTTATAAAAATAAGTGTACAGAAGCTGCTTGCATATTGTAACATAATAAATATTAAAAACTATGAAATGAGAACAATTTTTTTATCTACACTAAGGCAATAAAAAAAGGCAAAAGGGCAAAAAATAAAAAATAAAGCAAAAGACCTGATAGAAAGCTCAGCAGAACCTCCGAAAGATATCCCAACAGAAGCCGAGAGAAAATTCAATAAATGCTTTTGATAGATCGGAAACTCTAAATGTCAATCCATTTTTACTCGTGGAATTCATAAAATTTTCACTATTACTGTTTAGCTCTGTTTAAGCTTAAAAACTAATTAGCTGTCCAATTCAGCAGGCTCTTGAGGAGAAATTTTAGCTCTTTGAATATATTCCTTTATTAATTTCTTGAAATTGTTTTATTAAATAATAAATTTTAATTAAATACTGTATTGCTTTAATTATCAATATGAAAAGCATTAAATATTTATTTTTCGCCAGCTTTGTCTATTGCCAGATATATATTGAGTTACTTTACAGCTCTTATACTGATTTTTCATTGGTTTCAGCAATTTTGGATTCGCTTCAACAAAAATATTTTAACCAAGTTGAAGTTAGGCTTATTAATTTAAGCATAATGCCCAATCAGCTTACTTCAGAAGAAATGCCCCAGATTGCAATAGATTTGACTTTTGCTTTGTCTTTATCGAGCTTGATAAAGCAATATGCTTCTCAAAACGAAATAATACTTTTTTCGATACAAAAACCTTCTCCCTCTTTTAACGAATGAGAATTCTTTACACATCCATCGGAAGAGACCCAACTTAATGCACTTGCAGCCATCATATCTTATCTGAATTGGGAAAAAATAATTTTTATTACTGATTCTAATTTTTCAATTCTTGATCAAAAGTTTTCAAATAAAAATAAAAGAATATTTTTTTTCCCAAGTGATGAAGATCAAAAATCTGCTGAAATTTTGATTAAAAAAGAAATCAAGCCTTATGGATGTAAGAATATTGTAATTTTGAATAAAGGGAAAGCAGCTAAATATTTAATAAAAAGCATAACAGATGCAAATTTACTTAATTTGGGCACTGGGATTATACTAGGAAGTAAAAGTTGACAAAATGCAACAGAAAATGGGTTATTTGGATTAGTTGAAAATGGGCTGGAAAAAGCAGAAGAATATTACAGCTATGAGGTTTTAGGGATAGAGAAATTAGTGAATCTCGTGCTGAGCTGCAATCAATGTTTAGATACAAAAGAAATTAGAAATTATTTAGAAAAAAGTGCAATAAATCATCAACCAATATCAAATTTTACAGTTTTAAACGTCAAAAATAGTGAAAAAGTAAGAATTGGATATATTTTTGAGCAGGAATTAGTTATTCTCGAATCCCCAATTTTTATTGGAAATTCCTCTTTTATCCCAAACTCGCCTTATACAAACCTAACAATTTCTATGTCAGATGGTGTCACAAATCCTGACTATCCAAATAGTTTATACTCAGATAAGTTTAAAGAAGGAGCTAAATATGCATTGATGTGTGCAAAAAGAGATAAATTTATAGACGGCTTTGAAATTTTGGTAACCCACACTGACTGTGGCGCTGAAGTTTATAATCCAAAATTTTCTCTTAGCTGTTTTAAGAAGCTAAAAAATAATCTAGGAGTTGGCCTTTTAACAGCTCCTGTTGCTCCTACAGCATTAGGAAATATTGCTTCGCTGCGAGCTTTAAATATTTCAATTCCTCACATATCTGAATACGCAACAGCAGAAGTTTTAGCAAGCAAACAAAATTTTCCTGAATTTATGAGGGTGACCAAAGACAACCGATATAACGCTGAAGGAGTTTTGAACCTTTTCACGATTTTTCAATGGAAAAGATTTATTATATTGTATGATGATACTCCTGGGCATGTCTCTTCCTACCAATTTCTCTTATCAAGTGTGAACAAGACAGGCATTGAGATTGTTAACTCTGTTGATAAAAGAAAGGTAAAGCAAAATTATAACCATAGTGATTATTCTACATATAAACCCTGGATGGAAGAGTTTTTGCAGCTAAGAGCAAGAGTTATTTTTCTTTTAATACTGTCCCCTTCTCAATTATATTTTGTTGAAGATTTATATAATACAGGCTTTAGGAGAGGAGACGCAATTTTATTTTTATATAATAGAGCAAGCAGTGCTTTTGTGTATGAGTCTGATCCTTCAGAAGTACAGAAATTGTGGGAATTGTATTATGGGACGGTCACGATGGACCAAGCTGAATGAGTTGGCAATTATGGCCAAAAGGTAAAATCAGGCTTTTTAAAAGCATTTACTCAAGTCACTGATTACCGCTGCTTCTCATATGACTCTGCTATGCTGCTGTTAAACGGAATTAAGTATACAATCGACCAAGGCGAAAATGTTGAAGATTTCACAACTTTGAACACAAATTTGAGGCTGCAGCGTTTTCTGGGGTGTTCAGGAACTATTTCAATCGATAAGAATTCAAATGATAGAAGCAAAAGTGTCGTCGGGATTTTTAATATTAGGTGGATTAAGGAGTCAAATATATTGTATGATTACCAAATAGGAACTTATGATTTAGGCAGTCAGCAGCTGTTTACTTTTACTGATAATATTATTTGATATGACAATTCCTCAAATGTACCAAGCGATTTAATTACTTATTCTTGTGATTTTGACCCAAAAATTGTGGTATTTTCGATGAATGGGGCGAGAGTTTTATATGCGGTGGATTCTTGTGCACTGATTAGTATTTTTATTGCTTTTTCAATAATTAGGAAATGCTGATATCATGTAAAGATAGAAAAACTCATAGAGCCGCGAGCCACTGAGTTTGGAGACTACTTGGCATATCTTGTTATTTTTATTGATTTCCTCCAGTTTTTATTCTTAGGCCCGAATTTTAGTGAATACGATAAATACTCAAATAAATTGGTGAAGATTTCTATGTTTCGATTAGACTTAGAATCTCCTAAACACTCTTTTATATCTTATTTTTATGCAAGCTTGGCATTTTCATTTATTATAATTATTTTTAGCATACAGAGTCTTTGAAGATGGCAGGGAAGATATAAGATATTTTTTTTGAATATTTATGAGAAATTGCCTGAATGAATAATCCCTTTTCTTTGGAATATATGCTACACACCAATAATCTTTACTTTATTAGGGGTATTCCAATGTGACCAAAGCATAGGTAATGAAATTACAGACAGTTTTATGGAAGAAGATTGCACTATATTTTGTTGGAAAGACTCACATATTAAATTAGTAGTTCTATCAATTATTACATTAGTTCTATACTTGCCTGTTGCAATGCATTTAAAGCCATTTTGGGATTATTCAGTTGCAAGTTCAAATGTGCAGGTTAGGCCGACATTTTTACTTGAAAAGCGTGCATTCCAGGCTATTATAGTGGTACTCAACAATACAATACTGGCCCATCAGCCATCACTGTATGGACTAATATATATTTTGCTCATAATGTCCTTTATCAGCTTACAATTTTTAAAGGAAAAACCGTATAATTATAGCAGATGCAATCTTTGATTATGCATTTCATATATAGCTGTTATTTGAAATGTGGGTATTTCTTCTATATATGAGTTCACCAATAATGAGTTATTAGAAAAATGAACCTTGCTCCAATATTTAGGATGGGCATTTCTATTGGTTGCTGGTGTGCTAATACAGAAAAAATACTGTCCGGGGCTACTATATTCAGAACATCCTCCAAATATCGCTCTATTTTTCAGGTTCTCATTAAGCAAAAAAATACCAGCTGACCAAATAAATAAAATGAATAAAGAAAAAACAGCAAGGCACCTTATGTCTTCTATAAGAAAAAGTGGCTTCAGCAGTTTTTCTAATCAATCTATGATTCTTCAAATTTATGAAAAGGCAGCTGATGAGGTCTAGAGCAATTTTTTTATATAAAGTTATTAATAATTTATCTTTTTAAAGTCGCTGCTTATTATTACCATTATGCTCATGTTTTCTGCTATTTAAATGTTATATGGAAAGCGGAATTTTAATGCTAATTTTATTACAAGAATTTTGCAACTAAATAAATGATTTATTTAAGAATTCTGAAAATGATATATGCCCTTTTATATGCCTTTCGAAATTATTATTCAGCAAATTAAATGGTCATATATTAATTCGTCAGTTAGTGCTTTAGTTTTCAAGTGTATAAAGAATCATTAATAGCAAACAATAAATCAAATCGTAATTTAAAGGGTTAAATGCTTTGGTTCAAGAGTTCTTATCAGCAGCATTCATATAAAGTCTAATCTTAAATGAGGCGAGCTGATTTCCTTTATTCAGCAAAAAAATGATAAATAATATGCTCTTGAGCTGTAAATTCATTGAGAGTCATTAGGCAGAAAGCGAAAGTGAAAATATATAGAGGACAGTAAAAGCCTTAAAATGCCTTCAGGAACTTATCTATTATATTAGCTAAGAACTAAGATTTCTGAATCCTGATTTCACATTTAAATAATATATTTAAATTCTAAATCAACTAAAATTTTATTGCTTTTAGTTTCCATTTATTATCTATATATATGCCAGGTCTCACTAAATCACAAATTTTTTTTTTCTAAAGTTCTCTATGTTTATTGCCACTCTTATGTAATCTTTTGGAATTTCTCAAATTTTTTTGGCTAAAAACTGCCTTTATCTGTAAATCTTTTGCTGTGAGCCTATAGTAGTTCCTTCTCAATTCAGAATTTGAATTATTTTATCCATTACTTTAAAATAAATTGCAAAACTTTTATGATTATTATTCGATTTCATTCCTTTCTAAAAGCTAAGTGAGTGATAATTAATCAGACAATTTAAGAAGAAAATTTAATATCTTATTCTAATAATTAAATTATTTTAAACCAAACTATTTAAAATTTTGGTAATTATCAATATGAAAGGCATTAAATATTTCATTTCCACAAGCTTTGTCTATTGCCAAATATTCATTGATATTTTTTACAGCTCTTATACCGATATATCGTTGGTCTTATCAATTTCAGACTCACTACAACAAAAATTTATCAGCGAAGTTGAAGCAAGGCTCACTAATTTAAGCTCTACATCTAGTATGCTTGATTTAGGAGAAATGCCGCAAATTATAATAGATTTGACTGCTACTTTTTCTTTATCTAGTTTGATGAAGCAATATGCTTCAGAAAATGAAATAATACTGATTTCCATACAAGAGCCAACTCCTTTTATTAGTGACTGAGAATTCTTTACTCATCCATCAGAAGAGGCCCAAATTAATGCACTTAAAACAATTTTCTCTTATCTGGGCTGAGACAGAATAATTTTTATTACTGATTATAAATTTTCAATTCTTGATCGAAATTTTCCCAATAGCGATATTAAAATATTTTTTTTCCCAAGTGATGGAGATCAAAAATCTGCTGAAATTTTGATTAAAAAAGAAATCAAGCCTACTGGATGCAAAAATATCGTGATTTTGAATAAAGGGGAAACAGCTAATTTTCTTTTAAAAAGTATAAACAATGCAAATTTACTTAGCTTGGGTACTGGGATTATACTAGGGAGTAAAAGTTGACAAAATGCAACAGAAAACGGACTGTTTGGATTAGTTGAAAGTGGCCTAGAAAACGCAGAAGATTATTATAGCTATGAGGTTTTGGGAGTTGAAAAAATAATAAATCTCGCACTGAGCTGCAATCAGTGCTCAGATACCAGTGAAATTAGAAATTATTTAGAAAAAAATACAATAAGCCATCGACCAATATCAAATTTTACAGTTTTAAACGCCAAAAACAATAAAAAAGTAAGAATTGGATATATTTTGGAGCAGGAATTAGTTATTCTCGAATCCCCAGTTTTTATTGGAAATTCTTCTTTAATACCAAACTCGCCTTATACAAATTTAACAATTTCTATGTCAGATGGTATCACCAATCCTGGCTATCCAAACAGTTTATACTCAGATAAGTTTAAAGAAGGAGCTAAATATGCATTAATGTGTGCAAAAAGGGATAACTTTATAGACGGCTTTGAAATTTTGGTAACCCACACTGACTGTGGCGCTGAAGTTTATAGTCCAAAATTTTTGCTTACTCCCCATCTGTGAGCGAGCAAAACCATTAGAAAAATCCCTGTTTTTGCCCAAAAGCCCGTCCTCTATGAGCGAACAAAAATTTTGATATATAAGTGATAATTAGTACTACGAAATCTCGAGCTAATTCTGTTTAATTTAAATAAATTGCGTTTTAAAAATAAATTTTATAAATTAAATTAATATTTGCTTTCCCATTTTTGCAAATTAGGATTTTTTTAAATTTCGAAAAAAAATTTTTTCGATAAAATTTATATATAATTTTTTTTAAAAAAAAAAAATTAACCTCCCTCTGTGAGCGAACAAAAAAATCTTGTTCGCTCACGGAGGGGGGGAGTTAATTGTTTTCGTAAGTTAAAAAATGAACTTGGAGTTGGTCTTTTAGCATCCCCTTACGCATCTACTTCAATAGGAGCAATTATTTCCTTGCGGACTTTAAATATTTCAATTCCTCACATATCTGAATACGCAACTGCAGAAACTTTAGCAAGTAAACAAAATTTTCCTGAATTTATGAGGGTGACCAAAGACAACCGATATAACGCTATAGGCATTTTGAACCTTTTCACAATTTTTCAATGGAAAAGATTTATTATTCTGTACGATGACCTTTCAGGGCACATCTCTTCTTATCAATTTCTCTTATCAAATATTAATCAAACTGGGATAGAAATTGCGAATTCTATTGATAAAAGAAAGGTGAAGCAAAATTATAACCATAGTGATTATTCTACATATAAACCCTGAATGGAAGAGTTTTTGCAGCTAAGGGTAAGGGTTATTTTTCTTATAATACTGCCTCCTTGACAATTATATTTTATTGAAGATTTATACAATACAGGATTTCGCAGAGGAGATGCAATTTTTATATTATATAATAGACCAAGTAACGCTTTTCTCTATGAGTCTGATCCTTTAGAAATACATAAACTTCAGGAATTATTCTATGGGACAGTCACGATGGATCAGGCTGAATGAGTTGGCACTTATGGCAAAAAAATAAAATCAGGCTTTGTTAAGGCATTTTCTGAATTCACTGATTATCGTTGCTTTTCATTTGACTCTGCTATGCTGCTTCTAAATGGGATTAAGTATACAATAGACCAAGGAGGAAATATTGAAGACTTTACAACTCTGAACACAAATTTGAGACTCCAAAGGTTTCTAGGGTGTTCTGGAACTATCTCAATAGACAAGAATTCAAATGATAGAAGCAAGAGTGTCGTTGGGATTTTTAATATAAGGTGGAATAAAGAACTCAACGTTTTATTTGATTATCAAATTGGAACTTATGATCTGAGCAGCCAGCAATTGTTTACTTTTACTGATAATATTATTTGGTATGATAACTCTTCAAATGTTCCAAGTGATTTAATTAAATATGAATGTGACCTTGACCCAAAACTTATCAAATTCTCAATTAGTGGGGCAAGGGTACTTTATGCTGTAGATTCTTGTGTGCTAATTAGTAGTTTAATTGCTCTTTCTATAGTTAGGAAACTCTGATACCATGTAAAGCTAGAACCTCTAATAGAACCACGAAGAGCTGAATTTGATGATCTTTTGACTTATCTTACTCCCTCCCTTTAAATTGGCACAAAAATCTATTCCATTTTTTAAAATATTTAAAATTGGAAAAAACTATAAATTGAGCACAATACCTTGAATTTTAATTTATTTTATGAAGAATTAATTTAAAAAATTTATCGATTCAGTGTACAAGTGTTTAAATAGCATTTACTTGTACTTTTTCCATTAAATTAGGTCACATTAATTTTAGAAAAATAAGTATTTTTACCTTTTAATTTATTTTAAAATTTTAAAAAATATAAATTTTGAATTTTTAATTTTATTTATATGAAAAATTAATTGATTCAGTGTGAAAGCTGTTTAAATGGCACTTTTTCCTCAAAATTAAATTATTATTTTTACCTTTAATTTTTTTAAAAAATTATAATGCTTTGAATTTTAATTTACTTTTATAAAGAATTAAAAAAAAATATTTAATCGATTCAGGGAAACTCTTTAAATAACTTTTTACTTGTACTTTTCCCTTTAAATTGTGTCAAAACTAGTTTTATAAAAATTAGTATTTCACCTATAAATTTTCTGGTTAATATACCCAAAAATGCAGATTTTACCATGTTTTGTTCTAATTTAAAGAGGACTAGTTATGATTTTCATTGATTTTCTCCAGTTTCTCTACTTAGGACCAGATTTTAGTGGCTACAGCAAGCACTTAAACCAGCTGGTAAATATTTCTATGCTCCGATTCGACTGGGAATCTTCTAAAACCTCATTTTTAACATATTTTTATTCCAGCTTGGCATTAGCTTTTATTATAATTATCTTTAACATCCTAAGTTTATGAAATTGGCAAGGAAAAATTAAAGATATTTTTTGAAAAATTTATAATAAGCTGCCTGAGTGATTGATTCCTTTTCTTGGAAATATATGCTACACACCAATTATTTTTACTTTATTAAGTACATTTCAATGTGACCAAAGTATAGGAAATGAAATCACAAATAGCTTTATGGGAGAAGATTGTAGCATATTTTGCTGGAAAGATTATCACGTTAAATTAGTAACTCTTGCGATTATTATGTTTGTTTTATACTTACCTGTAGCGATGAATTTGATGCCATTTTGGAAATATATAAGTGCAAACTCTAATGTGCAAGTAAGGCCAACGTTTTTGCTTGAAAAGCGTGTATTCCTGGTGATTATAATAGTACTGAACAATATATTATTAGCCCATCAGCCATCACTGTATGGGCTTATATATATTTTGCTAATAATGTCCTTTATCATTTTTGCATTTTTAAAGGAAAAACCATATAATTATAGCAGGTGCAATCTTTGACTAGGGATTTCATATATAGCTACTATTTGAAATGTAGCGGTTTCTTCGACATATCAGTTCGCCAATCTAGGGTTGCAAGAGGAATGAGCTTTATTTCAATATGGAGGGTGGGCTTTTCTATTAGTTGCTGGTGTATTAATTCAACAAAAATACTGCCCTGGGTTACTATATACAGAGGATCCCCCAAGTATTGCTCTTTTTTTTAGATTTTCATTAAGCAGAAAAATATCAGCAGAACAGATAAATAAAATGAATAAAGAAAGGACTGAAAGAAATATTATGTCTTCTATGAGAAAAAGCAGCTACAGTAGTTTATCTAACCAATCTCAAAGAAAGTTTCAGAGTTTTGAAAATTCAGCTTAGCTATTTCGTGTACAAAATCAATAGTTTAATATAAAAATTTTACATTTTTTAATTTGATGTTTATAAATATGATGCTAAACTCATCTTTATGAATCTAAATAGGGATTTTGAATGAAAATATGTGAGTATTCTTGCAATTTACATTGATGGAGTTTTGAAGAAATAGGTAGCTACCTTCAAGTTTTCCTTGAAAATGATTTTTTAATTTCAAAATTTATTATTTACACTAATTTAGTCTGATGATCTTGAAATAAGCGTTGAAATTGTTGGCAAAGTAATCGATAAAAAATCATATAGCAATAATTATTAGAGATTCTCTTACTCTCCCCCCCATTTAATAACGAAACACTTTTTTTGTTTCTTATTAATTGGGGTCTAACTTATAAAATTTTTTGGAAAAAAAAAATATATAAAATTTATATTACATATCTATGATTTTTGTATAAAAATTTCAATTAAAGGGTTAATAATAAAAGGAGTCAAATGATGACAACAGAAAGAGAAATCACCTAAATGAAGGCGAAAAGATAACTATTGCTAACTCCCTCCCCCTCCGTGAGCCTATAAAATCATTAGAAAAATTCCTTACCCTCTGAGCGAACAAAAATTTTTTAATAGAAAAATATTTATGGGAAAAGTTTTGATATATAAGCGATAATTATTATCATGAAATATCTAGATAATTCTGTTTAATTTTAAACAAATTGCGTTTTAAAACATAAATTTTATAAATTTAATTAATATATTTGCTTCCCAATTTTTGCAAATTAGGATATTTTAAAATTTCGAAAAATTTTTTATGGAAAAAATTTTGATATATAAGCGATAATTATTATAATGAAATTTCTGGCTAATTCTGTTTAGTTTTAAACAAATTGCGTTTTAAAACATAAATTTTATAAATTAAATTAATATTTGCTTCCCAATTTTTGCAAATTAAGATTTTTTTAAAATTTCAACAAAAAACAATTCTATAAAATTTATATATAAACTTTTTTACAAAAAAAAAAATAACCCCTCTGTGAGCGAACGAGATGTTTTGGTTCGCTCACGGAGAGGGAGAGTAAGCACCAGCTTAAGATTAAGCCACTAGTAACTTATTAGCTCTTATTTATTATTCTTTGCTCGATTATACTTGTCCTTATCTTACTCTAACTACTTAAAATTAGTAAACTGTAGAGACTAATTTACTTATATAAATTTTATAGTAAATTTTGTTCGTTATTAAATGGGGCCTAAGGAAAAATTTTTAGGAAAAAAAAATGACTGTTTTGTTCGTTATTAAATGGGGGGGGAGTTAGCAGTATTATGATGCAGGATCTATATTTTGAGTGAGGCAGGCTAATCTCTTTTCTTTAGCTTCAACAAAAACATAATGACTAAATATCATGCTTATAGTAACCCATTGCCAAGTTTTTATTTACCGATCAATTTACTTTTAAATAAATAACCTAGAGAAATACAAAAAATTGAGATATTGTGTAAGACTTTATTCTGAGTGTCTTTCCAGTTTTTCTAAATACTGATTTCGAATATTATTTTGCTCATCCTTCATGCCTCATTCACGTAAACTAAATATTTCTTCCTTTTATTTTTTATAAATTCTCTTTATATCTAATAACGTTTTCATGATGCTCAATTTATATCTTCATTCACAAACTTAATTGAATTCACAGATTCTGTATACAAAGCCACACTCCAGTTATAAGTTATGATCCTCAATAAAAACTATCATAATTTTATTTTTAAAGTTTCATTATGAAATAGCAAAATAATAATTTTTAATTAAACAAAATTACTTACGTTTTAAAAATTATATTTTCTATTGTGCGATATGATTTTGCTTATAAATGGTGAATTTTATCATTGTCGTTCTTCTTCACTTTATTTCTTGCCAGTTATATGTCGAAATCGTTTATAGCTCAGCCGTCGACATCAAATCAGCCCAATCATTAGCAGTAGCTTTAAAAAATACCTTTAATAGCCAAATCGAGCTAAAAACTACTAAAATAAGCACGAAATTTGATATTTTAGCTCTAAAAAGAAACTTGAAACTTATAATTGACTTGACTTCAAGCGTCTCATTAGCAAGATATCTTGAAGAATTTGCTACACAAACAAACTCAATTATATTATCTTCTAAAAACACAGAGCAAGGCTTTCACAATCGGCGTTTTTTTACCCATTTTCCTATTGAAGATCATGTAACAGCTGTCAGAAAAATAATTTCTTACCTAAATTGGGATAAATTTCTTACTCCCTCTCTAAGCATGCAAAACGTTTGGAAATTTTTATTTTTGGAAAAATTAACCACTTATAATTTTTATGTAAAATAATTTATTATTAACTTATTAACTTAAATTTTATCTCGGATGTACCGCATTTCTCTCGTTTTTACTCAAAAAATCCCAAAAGATTCCAAAAAACCCCAAAAAATCCCAAAAAGTCCCAGAAAATCCCAAAAAAATCCTCAAATAGGCAAACAAAAAACAACACAAAAATAATTCACCTCACAGCACATCAGCAAGATCACCAACAGCAACCTACAGTCCTTGAAGCTGAGCCCGGAATTTTCAGACGAAATACCGATTAGCACATTCCTCATCCTAAATCGGCCTCAGAAAACTCAAGCACAGCTTCGCCAATTCATCTCCGATTTTTCCGTCATCTCGCTATGTTCCACTCCTCCGCCTAAAGCACCCGCACTACTCTCTCCTCTTCTTGCTTTTGGCGCGAAGAGCCTAAAAAATTTTTTTTTTTTAATTTTTGTGTAAAATAATTTATATATAATCATTGGTTATTATAACAGATTTCTAGCAGCATAAATTCTTCCTTAAAATATATTAAAAATTGAAATTCTAAACCCAAAATAATTTTTTAATAAAAATTTTTAATTTAACCTCCTTTAAGAATGACTTTCTCGAAGTGCAGAGTTATAGTTTATGACTATACAGAAGAAGCAATTCTCCAAATTCTGAAAAATGAATTTTCTGACAAACTTGTTAGCTTTTATTCATTTCTTAGTGGTGGAAGTCAGAGTTCAGCAGATTTGTTTATAGGAAAATTAATTAAGCCTATCGGAATTAGGAACATTGTTTTACTTACTCAAGGGGAAAACACAAAAAAAATTATAATCAGTTTAAGAACAAAATATATTTTTAATGCAGGATCTGGGATATTTTTAGGAAGCAGCAGTTTTAGCTCTAATATGACAGCTGATGGAATTATAGGGTTTATAGAATCAGGATTAGAGAAGTCAATTGATTATTCTTCCTATGAATTTATAGCATACGCAAAATTTATTAGCCTTATTTTAGGATTTTCTTCAAGTTTTGACCAATTTGCTTTACATAATTTTTTAGAAAAAAATACAGTTAAGCATTGCCCAGTCCCAAATTTTTCGATAATAAACATCCAGAATTACCGAAGAATAATTATTGGAAACCTCTCAAATGGCTCTTTAAATATCACCTCCGCCCCTATTTTTCCTGGAAATACAACAACAGTCCCAAATTCTCCTTTTACATATATTCCTATATCAATAGCAGATGGTCTCACGAATCCAGGCTACTCTAACAGCACTTATAAAACAAAAGAAGGCGCTGCTTATGCACTTACTTATATAAAAGAGCACAATTTTTTTGAGGGTTTTGAAATGTCAGTGACTCATACTGATTGTGGGGCTGATGTTTTTAACTCAACATATGCTATAGCTTGCTTTAAAGCCCTACGTACCAAGCTTGGCGTTGGCTATTTAACTTCTCCATTTCCTTTAACGTGTGTAGGAAGTATAATGATCCTAAGAAGCCTAAATGTCACAATTCCTCACATTTCTGAGTATTCCCAGTCCATTTACTTAAGCAACTCTACAGTTTATCCCGAGTTTATGAGGACTATAAAAGAATTGAGATATAACATTGAAGTCTTGCTTAAGTTTTTTGCCATTTTTCAATGGTCAAATTTGATATTTTTATATGAAAACCAGTCCGGAGCAATTATGGCATATGAGTATGTGCTGGAAAAAGCAAAAAAGTATAACATAAATATAGTAAACCCTGAGAGTGAAAGAATAATAAAAGCGAACTACCGGCACTCAGACTTTTCTGAGTATAAACAAGTAATGAAAAACATAATAAACCAAAAAGTAAGGATTTTTTATTTGAATCTGACTCCTCCTTCTTGCTTTTATTTTATTGAAGATTTGTATGATTTAGGCTTGAGAAGAGGCGACGTCATTTTTTTGGCTCCTCAAAGAGCTGCGTATCAGTTACTGAATGAAAAAGACCCTAATCAGCTTCGGAAATTGAATGAACTTTTTTATGGAGGACTTACAGTTGACCAAGTTGAGTGGCTTGGCAGTTTTGGTGCAGAAGTCAAAGAAAACTTTTTATAAGCAGCAAATTAAAATACCATTTTGCGACGCAAAAACTTATTTAATTCACAAATTCTTAAATTTGTACCCAAATTAATACAGCAAAATATAAATATTTATCATTCTTCGCCTAATTTCAAGTGCTTATCATTTGACGCAGCTATGCTATTGTTCAACGGACTAAAGTACACAATTCAACAAGGCCAACTTGTGGAAAACCCAAGGGTGCTAATAAAAAACTTGAGAAGCCAAAAATTTACGGGCTGTTCAGGACTAGTATGGCTTAAGACCCCTTATAGATTCTTTAGCAGTAGAACCTATGCTATTGAATAGGCCACGAAAATCCAATTTTTATGAAAAGGGCTAATTAAAATTGACAAATATTAGCTATAATTTGGATTTTTCAATTTTAAATTGTACTTATCAGAAAAATGACATTTCGTGGCCTATTCAATAGGCAAAGATACTGCTCCTAAGCGATCAAAAATGGGACTGGAGCTATATCTATTGATGGAGCTTCAAATGATAGAAGCGTCAGTGTTATAGGGATTTATGATATGAGGTGGAATAAAGCTGAACAAATGATAGATGAAAATCAAGTGGGGATTTATGACATTGGAGGGGAGCAGCTATTCACATTTTCTGAAAAAATTCAATGGTATGATAATACTACTAATATCCCTTCTGATTTGATTATATACCCAAATGGATGCCCATTTGATCCGAAATATAAAGAATTTTCTATCAAAAGTGCCTCCATTCTATATTCTGTCGATTGTCTGTGCTTATTTGTGACGGTTATCACAATTTCTTATGCATGAAAAAAATTTAAAGGTGTTGAAATAGAGAACCTAAAGGAGCGCAAGCTGATAGACTCAGGAGACTATATTGCGTTTGCAATGGTCATCACTGATTTTCTTCAGCATCTTTCTTTTGCTCCTGATTTTTCTGACTATGACTCAATTTTTACATCAATTTCTAAAATTTCTATGTTCAAGGTAAATTGGACATCATTTACGGTTTATTTTTATTTCATGGTCGTATTAGCATTTTTATGACTATTTTTGCTGCTACAGATGGTATGCCGATTTGATAGGAAACTTAAAAAATGTTGCTTTCTTTACTATAAAAAAATATCAGAATTATTATTGCCACATATAGGGAATTTGTGTTTTTTGCCTATAACTTCAATTCTTATTAATGAATTTATATTATATTAGATTAATATCGAATGCAGAATAATCCATGAATTATAATAATGCAGCTTGCAATACAAATAACAAAGCTATTAAGTTATAGAATAATTGCTCAGAAAGTATTGGATCAGATCTTACTCAAAGTTTTCTGAAAAATGATTGCGCATTATTCTGCTGGAAAGGTTCACACATAAATTATATTATCCTTTCCTCAGTTGCGCTTATATGTTATCTCCCCACTGTGCTTTACTGCAGGCCTAGTATCGAAATCTCGAACAATTCTGCAAATATTAAAGCAAGACCATTATTTATTGTATCATAGATGGCATTAATTAAAGTGTTTGAGGTTTATAATGCTACGCTCGTTAAAAGGAAGGGGTTAAAATGGTGAAGTCACGAGTTTTCAGATCCAAAAGGTCAGACTATCCCAAATATCCTGACTGTAATCCTGATCAGCGCTTCTCATCCGACGCAGTGCTATCGCCCCTGTCTGACTCAGCTCCTGCGCGTGCTCCACCTAAGGGCTATCCTCCTCCGACTTGCTGAATGGTAAAACCCTGAGCCTCTTGGATTCACTGAGGAGCAGTTCCTCTGGCTATCCTCAAAGTTAAGCCGCTATTACTGTACAGAAGTTCTCGAGAGAAAACAAAACCAATAAATAAAATCCATTAACTACCCTCTCCGTGAGCAAACTTAACCATTAGTTAAATCCCTATTTTTTGCTCAAAAACCCACCCTCTATGAGCGAACAAAAATTTTTTATGAAAAACAAATTTGATATATAAGTGATAATTATTATAATGAAATCTATAGCTAATTCTGTTTAATTATAAACAAATTGCGTTGAAAAAATATAAATTTTATAAATTAAATTAATATTTGTTTCCAATTTTTGCGAATTAGGATTGTTTTTAAATTTCGAAAAAAAATAAAATTTTTTTTCCCTCCTTGAGTAAACGAAATTTTTTTATTCAACGGAGGGAAGGAAGTAAGGAGAAAAATTTAGCTAACTCCCCCCCCCCCTTTAAATTGAAACAAAATATAGGTAAAATTCCTACTTTTTTGGGACGTATTTACATATAAAATAATGATTTTTACCTATAAAATTTTTCTATTATAATAAAATTTAATACCCTATTTAATATGCTTCAAACATAGGCATTGTCATAAAATTATAATGTTATTAAATATAATTTACTCAATTTATTGTCTCTTTAAATTTATATAATTTATTTTCTATAAAATTTTATCTCTGAAAAATTTTTATATATAAATTTTTTTTATAAAAAAATTTTCTTAACCCCCCTTTAAATTGAAACAAAATTTTTTGTTTCAATTTAAAGGGGGGGGGGGAGTAAGCTAAATTCTCTTGAGCAGAATTTCATTATATTTATCAATTATTTATTATATCAAAAACTATTTTTCAAATGATTATTATTGTACTGAATAACACCTTGATGATCCGTAGCCCATCTTTATATGGGCTTATTTGCATTATAATAATTATTTTATTTCTGTTGCTCTGATTAAAGAAGCAGCCATATAATTACCATCAGTGTAATCTGCTGTCATTTATTTCTTATTTAGCGCTACTGTGAACAATTGCAATTTCTTCAATATCTAAGCAAGTAGACTATCATTATTCTGCGTTTTGAAAAGGACTCCAATATGGAGGTTGAATAAGCATAATAGTAATTGGAAGAATTTTCCAGCTTAAATATTGCCCAACTCTGCTTTTTAGTGAAGATCCTCCAGATATTGCGATGTTTTTCAAATTTTCTTTGAGTAAAAGGATATCTGCTGATCATATAGCTCATGCACCTTAATAGATATCTATACCCCAGCAGAATACGGCCAGAAAAAATATGGTATAGGATACCTGCCTTATACTGTATAAGTCTTATTAGGCACCTTAAAATCATAAACGGAGACTTGTCATTTTTGTTTTTACTTTTCAAAAAAGCAGACAAGTACAAATTAATTTTGAAAATTAAAATAGATGGCCAATGATCTAAAATATTTCAGGGGCTATATAAACCGTATGAATAAAGAAAAATCTGAAAAAAAATATTTGTTCTTGGCGAGCGAAATAAGCAAAGAAAATGAAAAAATATATCAGTCCAGTCAGCAAGTTGAAAATTCGAGTTTTAATTAAAATTTTATTAATAAATAAATGTTTAAAATATAAAGTGTAAGTTTATATTTTAGATAAGAATAATGATATTAAGATATATTTACAATTATTTTTTTAAAATAGCATGAAGGAGTATTAATTCACAATTTAATAAAATAAAAAAATTATGATGGTGCAAATTTTTTGGATAAGGCGCAATTGATGAGAATTCTTGTAATATTTTGCATTTTTTCCAAAAAAGGCTTATGTATTGTTTCGAAATCTATGTTTGAATTAAATTTACAGATGCATGCCTCCTGCTAAATTTTAAAAAAGCGAACTTATTTATTATAATAACAAAACTGAATAAAAAATTTGTTATCTTAAAAAAAGTATTTTAATAGCATTAAATTTTAACTTTATATTTGCTTAAGAATAAAGTTATTTAAGAATTAATATTAATAAATAAATACTATTTGCTATTTTCATAAAGAATAGATTTGTCCTAAAATACACCTGATACTAATATCAATATATAGTTTAATAAAGAAATAAAGAAAATTATTTCAATGCAAGCATGCTAAAAATTTTTTGCTTACGAAATATCTCGCTTTAATAATTTTGGTACTTTTTTAATTTTCGAAGCCATTTCATTAATAAATTGCTAAGATGAATTATATTTGATATTTTATTTTTGCAAGCTTTGCCTATTGCCAGATAAAAATAAAAATCTTCTATAGCTCCGATACTGATTCCACACTGGTTTCAACAATTTCCGATTTACTACAACAAAATTACATCAATCAAGTTGAAACAAAACTTATTAATTTAAGCCTAAATCCTATATGGCTTACCTCAGAAGAAATATTTCATATGGCGATTGACTTGACTTTTACTATATCTTTATCTAATCTGATAAAGCAATATGCCTCCCAAAATAAAATAATCATGATTTCTCTTCAAGACTCTCCCTCATTTAGCAGCTGAGAGTTTTTCATTCATCCTCCAGAAGAGGCCCAAACTAATGCCCTTTCAGCTCTCATCTCTTATCTAAATTGAGAAAAAATAGTTGTTCTCGCTGACTCTGATTGAACAAAATTTAATAAAGCTCTTCCAAGTGCAAATATTAAAAACTTTTTTTTCCCTAGTAACGGAGATCAAAAATTAGCTGAAATTGTGATTAAAAAAGAAATCAAGCCTACAGGAATAAAAAATATTGTGATTTTAAATAAACGCGAAGATGCTAATTTTCTTGTAAAAAGTATAAAAAATGCAAATCTATTTAGTTTGGGAACTGGGATAATACTAGGGACTAAAAGCTGATATAATGCAACTGAAACTGGGCTATTTGGGATAGTTGAATTGGGACTAGAAAATGCAACAGATTCTTATAGCTATGATGCGCTAGGAGTTGAAAAAATAATAAATATTGTACTTAATTGCAGACAATGCTCAGATATTCATGATATTAGAAGTTATTTAGAAAAAAATACGATAAATCATAGGCCAATATCAAATTTCACAGTTTTAAATGTCAAATATAGTGAAAAAACAAAAGTGGGGTATATTTATGATCAACAGATAGTTATTTCCGAAGCCCTAGTTTTTATTGGAAATTCATCTGTAATCCCAAATTCTCCTTATACAAATATAACAATTTCTATATCAGATGGTGTCACAAATCCAGGATATAGTAATAGCTCATACTCAGATAAGATTAAAGGAGGAGCAATATATGCATTAATGTATGCAAAAAATAATAATTTTATTGACGGCTTTGAAATTTTGGTTACCCATACAGACTGTGGCGCTGAAGTTTATTATCCAAAATTTTCTCTTAGCTGTTTTACTAAGCTAAAAAACAGCCTTGGCGTTGGACTTCTAACTACACCTTACCTGCCTACAGTAATTGGGAACATAAATTCGTTGCGAGCTCTAAATATTTCAATTCCACAAATTTCCGAAATCGCAACTTCCCCAATTTTGATGAATAAAACCACTTATCCTGAATTTATGAGGATGACCAAAGACAACCGTTATAACTTTGCTGGCTTTTTGAACCTTTTCGCGATTTTTCAATGAAAAAAATTTATTATTGTATATGACCAAACACCTTCACAAATTGTTTCTTATCAGTTTCTTTTATCAAGCATAAACCAAACAGGCTTTGAAATTGTAAATGCTCCAGATAAAAGAGAAGTTAAGCAAAATTATAACCATAGCGATTACTCTACATATAAGCCGTGAATGGAAGAGTTTTTGGAGTCAAAAGTAAGGATTTTTCTTCTTTTAATGATCCCTCCAGCACAGCTTTATTTTGTTGAAGATTTATATAATGCAGGTTTCAGAAGGGGAGATATAATTTTATTTGTGTATAGCAGATCGACTAGTGCTTTTGCCTATGAGCCTGATCCTGCACAAATGAAGAAATTGGAAGAGCTATATTATGGAACAATCACAATGGATCAAGCAGAATGAGTTGGGGAGTATGGGGGAAAAATAAAGCAAGGCTATGAAAAAGCATTTTCTGTAAGCAACACTGCTTATCGTTGCTTTTCGTTTGACACGGCTATGCTTTTATTGAATGGAATTAAATATACAATCGACCAAGGAGGAAATGTTGAAGATTTCGCAACTCTGAACGCTAACTTAAGGATGCAGAGGTTTATAGGATGCTCACTCTTCCGTAGCGGACAAAAACATTTTGTTCACTAATGGAGGGGGATTTATTTTTTTTAAAAAAAATTATATATAAATTTTTATAAATCCAATTTGCAAAAATTAGTAAATAAATATTAATTTGTAAAATTTATGTTATAAAATGCAATTTGGTTAAAATTAAACCGAATTAGCTAGAGATTTCATTATACTAATTATCACTTGTATATTAAAATTTTTTTGTTTGTTCATGGAGAAAGGGTTTTTTGAGCATAAATAGGGATTTTTCCAATGCTTTTGTTCGCTCACGAAGGGGGGAGTCAGGAACTGTATCAATTGACAAGGATTCAAATGATAGAAGTACAGCAGTTATTGGGATTTATAATATCAGGTGAAGTGAAAATAGTTTATATAATTATCAAATAGGGACTTATGATCTAAGCAGCCAACAGTTATTTACTTTTACTGATAATATTATCTGATATGACAACTCTTCAAATATTCCAAGCGATTTAATTGCTTATTCTTGTGATTTTGACCCAAAAAGTGTTGAATTTTCGATGAATGGGGCAAGTTTTCTTTATATTGTGGACTCATGCGTGCTGATTAGCGTTTTTATTGCTCTTTTTATAATAAAACAATATTGGTATCATATAATGATAAAGCCACTAGTGTCTTCAAGAGAAGCTATATTTGGAGACTACCTCGCCTATCTCATAATTTTTATAGATTTCCTCCAATTTCTCTTCTTAGGCCCAGATTTCAGCGCCTACGACAAATATTTAACTCAACTAGTTAAAATCTCTATGTTTCGATTTGACTGAGAATCTTCTAAGGACATGTATTTAATATATTTTTACATCAGTTTTGCATTGTCTTTTATTGTCATATTTTTTAGCACCAGAAATCTATGAAATTGTTGGGGAAGATTCAAAATATCTTTTTGCGATATTTATGAGAAACTGCCTGAATGACTAATTCCTTTTGTTGGAAATATATGCTACATGCCTATACTTTTTACGCTATTAGGAGTATTTCAATGTGACCAAAGCATAGGAAATGAGATTACAGATAGCTTTATGAGGCAAGATTGTGAAATATTTTGTTGAAAAGGCTATCATATAACATTAGTAGTCCTTGCAATCATTACGCTAATTCTTTATTTACCTGTTGCAATGAATTTAAAATTATATTGTGACGCTATAAATGTGCATTCAAATATACAAGTTTGACCTACTTTTTTACTCGAAAAGCGAGTACTTCAAACAATTGTGATCGCGCTAAACAATATCCTGCTAGTCCATTATCCATCACTATATGGACTCATATATATTCTATTGATAATTTGCTTTATCATTTTTACAAAATTGAAGCGGAAGCAATATAACTACAGTAGATGCAATCTTTGACTAATGGTTTCATATATAGCTGTTATTTGAAACATAGGGATATCCTCAATATATAAGCTTTCTGATGATGGATTTTTGGAGAAATGAGCTTCCCTTCAATATGGAGGATGATTTTTCTTAATTTAATCTATATTAAAAGAATCAATATAAAATAATTTTTACTAGTCTATTCTAATAAAAATTAGACGATTTTTATTTTTGTTATAAAAAGGAGAGATATTGATTATTGCAATGTTAATTCAGAATTATTATTGCCCCTCTCTCCTTTATTCAGAGGACCCTCCAGACATTGCTCTTTTTTTTAGGTTTTCATTAGGCAAATCAATAAAAGCAATCCAAATAAATCAATTGAATAGAGAAAGAAATAGCAGATCTCAATTTTCTATTTCTCAAACGACAGTCAAAATTTAATATATGCTTTTGATAATAAATCCTCATAAATTTAGTTTATTTTTATCTGAAAATCATAATTTCACAGTATTCCCAATAAATATAATCTCTCATGAGAATTGCTTTTGATCGTTTAAAGACCATATTATATTTTTGATATTTAGAGTTAATAAATAATTTTTAAATTAAAAATAAAATTTATCCTTAATAGATGAGATTAATTATATCATTTGTTTGAAATGCAAATTAACTCTCCCCCCTTTATGAGTGAGCATAAAGATTTTGTTGGCTCATTCTATTTTAAAAAATTTATATAATTTTTTTTATATGAATTTTTTTTTTTAAGTTAATCCCTTCAAAATTGGAACGGTTTGTTTTTTGTTTTAGTCTAAAGGGGAATTTAGCAAAGCTTCTCCAGTAATTTGTTTATTTTCATAATTTTTCGACCTATCCATAAACAATATTAATAAATATAAATAAAATAAATAAAAATTTACTCAATATAAGCAAATAAATATTAAATTATCAAGCTTGAAATTAAATTTAGCTAAGAAAAGCCAGGATTTAAGATGGTGTAGAAATTCCAATAAATTTCTTATAAAATTATAATATTTACTTTAGGTTTCACAAGCTGTTAATTAAACTTATTAATTAATTAAATTAATTTCCTAGATAGTTTCTTAAAATATTAATACTCAGGTTGATAATGCAAAAAATTTATTTTTTTCTTGGGCTTCTTTACCTTACCAAATGTCAACTTCTGGTTTATATCTTATTCAATTATTCAACTGATGGCAATTTGGTATCGACCTTAATAGCTGCCTTGAATAAAAATTTCTCAGACCAAGAAGTTACTCTAACTTACTTATTTATTTACGAGCAAAGCGATAACTCCCCCCTCATAAGCGAAGAAAAAAATTTTGTTCGTCTCTAAGGAGGATTATTTTATATATGAAGTTTATAGAAAATTTTGTTTTTCAAAATATAAAAATTCAAATTGGAGGCTAATACTAATTTAATTTGTAAATTTATGTTTTAAAAGAGATTTTATTATCCTAATGATCAATTTATATTAAAATTTTTTTTTACTTTTAAAATATTACGGAGGGTTTTTGGTCAAAAAAATAGGGACTTTTCTAATGGTTTTGTTTGCTCATGGAGGGGGAGTAAATTTATTTTCGGTAATTAATTAATCTAAAACTTTTTGCTATTTTTTGGTAAATGAAAACCATGATAAAATTAAGTTTCATTTAAAATAGCTAAAGAATAGATTAATTCATATTTAATTCCTTAACAAGCTGAATGAGTAATGATAAAACAAATATCAACAGATTTGTCAGATTATGAATCCACGCCTGATATTATTATAAATCTTGCAGGGGAAAGTCTAATATGAGCCAATTCTGCTGAAAGTGGACCGATCGTCCTATCAGCACAAGAGCCATTAAAAAAAATCAAAAATATCGTGCCTTGGCATTATTCCATGAAGGAGCATGCCAAAGCATTTGAAATCTTGGCTTCTTATTTAGACTGGCAAAAATTCATTATAATTTCTGATGAAGATCATACCCAACTCATTGATGAAATTTCATCTATTTCTTATAACAGGACATTTAAAGTCTTTTATTTTCCAAAAAATGGGACTCAAGAACTATCCAATTTATTTATCGGGAAATACCTAAAATCCACAGGAATCCAAAATTTCGTTATAATAAATCAAGATGAGAGCGCAGAAAAGCTTATTAAAAGTTTAAAACAGAAAAATCTTTTAAAAGGTGTTGTTTTATTAAACCAGAATTTAAGAAATATTTGAAAAAATGGATTATTTTCATATATAGAATCTGGATTAGAAAATGCAGACAATGAATATGAGAAAGAAGCCTTTGCAATTGTTAAAATTTTGAGTAAAATATTAAGCTACAACGATAAATCCGGAGATTTAAATTATCTTTCGACAGCCTCATTTGGTTCCATATCAAAATGATCATGCATATTTGATAATACGATGTTTTCTAGGGAAGGTCTTGTGAGATATTTAGCCAAAACATTTCGATCAAATTGCACACTATTAACAGATTTTCGATTATGTTTTCTTCTATGAAATGTTCATTGTGATCATTGCCCTCATTTTCCAATTTCACATTAATTAACATACAAAAAGATAAACAAACCAATGTGGGCAGCATAATTGATGGAAAAATAAATATAACTCACAGTATTATTTGGCCTGATGAGTCAGCTTTAATCCCTAACAATCCTTCAACAGAAATAAAAATCTCTATGGCAGATGGAATAACAAACCCTGGATTTCCAAACAGTCCATTAACAGGCAAGTATATCAAAAATGGCGCTTTATATGCCTTGATGTATATAAAAACCACACATTTTTTGGACGGATTCGACATCTCAGTCACTCATACAGACTGTGGGGCAAATATCTACAATGCATCTTTTAGCTTAAACTGCTTTAAAAATATAAAAGATAGGCTAGGTGTAGGATTTCTCACCAATATTTTTGCCACAGTCGCTGTTGGGAATATCCTTTCTTTTCGAGCTTTAAATATAACGATTCCTCACATTTCTGATTTAGTGATTGCAGGAACACTTACAAGTAAAGCCAATTTTCCTGAATTTATTAGAATTTCAAAGGACAGCCGATATATAGCAACTATAATAGTAAATTTTTGTATGATTTCTGACTGAAAAAATATAATTGTTGTATATGAAAACAGCACAGGTCCTGTATTCGCTTATAATCAGATCTTAGCAAAAACTACAGAAGCACATATAAATATTGTCAATAGTCCTAATGAGAGAACAATAAAGCCTAATTATTTGCGGTCTGATTATCCGACCTACAAGCAATGGATGGAGAACTATATAAAAAGTAATGTAAGAATTTATATTATTTTGATGGCAAATGAGTTTTATTTTATAGAAAATATGTATGATGCTGGATTAAGAAGAGGTAAGGGAATCTTTATTTTATATGAAAAAGTTGCATACTCTTATCCATTAGAATCTGATGAAGCTGACTCTCCTATTAAATAATTTGGTTATTATTAATTTGAATCAATAAAAATTAATTATAATTTTTTTTTTTCTTGATTTGAGTGAGAGAGAAAAAAACTAAAAGAACTATTATATGGATCTATAATTATAACTCAAGCTGATTGAGTTGGAGACTATGGAGAGCAAATAAAGCAAGGCTATTTAAAAGTATATTCAAGCCCCGCAGACTACCGATGCTTTTCGTTCGATTCCGCTATGCTTCTCTTGCATGGAATTAGATTTACTATTGATCAAGGTGGAAATGTTGAAAATTCGACAGTTCTTAATTATAATTTACGACATCAAAGATTTTTAGGCTGCTCAGGGACTGTTTCAATAGAATCTGACACAAATGATAGAAGCACAAGTATAGTTGGAGTCTATAATATTCGTTGAAATTCAAGCTCAAGTATTTTCTATGAGTCTTGAGTTGGTAGATATGACCTAGAAAAGTCTCAATTATTTACACTATGAGACCCTATTATTTACTACGATAACTCTACGATTGCTCCTGGGGATACCGTGGATTATCCTGAGTGTCCTTTTGATTTAGATAAAGTCCAATACTCCGATATAGGAGCTGGAGTTCTCTATGCCATATCTTTCGGTGTTTTGATAATTTCAGTAATAGTGACTTTTTATATATGAAAGTTATATTGGAATATAAAAATCCCAGACATGACCCAAAGAAGCCTGATTTTTTTTGAAGACTATATAAGTATGGGAATAATTGTTATTGATTTTTTGCAGTTTATTGGTATGGGCCCTGACATTAAAGGGTATGATGACGTTTCAAGCGTACTCGCTGACTATGCGACGATTAATTATTCATGAATAACTAGGGGGACAAGGTTTTGAATTTGTGTAAAGGTGATATTGATTGTGCTTTTTGTGTGGATTTTCCTGAGTGTTCATGCTTTGATTAATTTTCAGAGGTTTGATAAATTTTTCTGTGATTATTGCAAAAATTTCTCTAATTTAGTACTGCCAATTATCGGTAATACATGCTTTTTACCTATAATTTCTATTCTTTTAGGAGTAGTTCAATGTGTTCAAGGGATAGGGCAAGATCTAAACGAATCTTTTGTAAGGAATGACTGTTCAGTTTTTTGCTGAAAAGGCCTGCATATACTATGAGCATCTCTTTCAATAGCTGCGCTATTAATATATATCCCAATGGCTGTTTATTTTCGACCTTATTGGGACAGCCAAAGTAGCACTATAAATGTCCGAGCAAGACCTTGATATATGATGCTTAAAAGCCTTTGACAAATTGGCATAATAGTTCTAAACAAAACCCTAAAGCCAGAAAATTCAGCTTTATTCGGGCTTATTTATATCATTTTTTTCTCAAGTTTTACTATATTTTGTATAAAAAGAAAACCATATAATTATCATAGATTCAATCTTTGACTCTCTGTGTCCCATTTTGCTGTTTTATGAAGCTTGATAGTATCCTCAGTTTTTCTGGTATCTGGGAATCATTTTACACTGTTTTGAATCTTTCTTGAGTACCTTGGCTGAACTGTAATCATAATTCTTGGAGTTTTAGTTCAAAATAAATTTTATCCCAGTTTATTGTATAGGGAAAAGACTCTTGATATCAGCTTATTTTTTAGGTTTTCACTGGGTCATAATGCGATGGAAAAATCGCTTTTTCTTGAAATGACGAGAAAGAGAAACCTAAAATCTCAAAAAATTGATAAATTAGATATTGATGTAAAAAATAAAGAACAGAAATAAATAAAGTTTCACGTTATTTAATTTATTAATTTATTTAAGCCTTGCACCCACCGAAAAGATTATAAGCGGGAAAGTTCTAATGAATATATTGGATAAATACCTTTAGTATATACACTTTATTATAATTTATAGTCATAATAGCCCATGATATCAATTATTTTTCGTTCAGCCTTATGCCAAAATAGCTATAAAAATATTCTAAATCAATAATAAAACAATAATTTATATAATTGATGCATAAAATAATAATATAGCCTGGGCTATTAAATGCTCGTCAAACCCTTGCTAAGTTATCTTGAGAATTCATTTTAACACACTAGCTCTATTAATTGGACAAATATAAAATAATATAAGGTGATCAAAAATGAAACCTGACCCCAGTAATAAGCTATTCTAAAAATTTTCAAATAATAACAATTGGATTTTCAGATAAAATATCAAAAATTAAAAATTTTGAAGTCTTGGCTGGAGCAGTAAATAGCCTACTATACTCGAAAACTCTAATTAATCTCAATTTTGCTTAAATATCAGCAAAGCCTTTTAGATTCGATAGAGAGCAAGTCACTATGCAGCCATTTATTTGTGAAGTTTAATTTAAAGCTCTTAAAATTAAAGTTTTGAGATATTTATTAAAATAAAGTTCAATCTCGATCATATTTATCATTCGCTTTGTGTATTATAGATAACTCCCATCACAAGTGACAGAAAAATTTTGTTCTCTCAAAGAGGGTTGAATTTTATATTAAATTGTTTTGCAAATTTAAAAATAATTTTTAAAGCACAATATTAAATTTAATTTGTAAAATTTATGTTTTAAATGCAAGCTGTTTAATATTAAAAAGAATTAGCAAGAAATTTCATTATACTATATATCAATTTTTTTAATAAAAAATTTTTTATTCGCTAAAGTATTTTTTTTACACAAAAAAAAATAGGGATTTTTCCCCAATGGTTTTTTTACTTATGGTGGGGGAATAAAAAAATCCAGGGTTTAAGATGGTATAGAAATCGCAACATATTTATCATAAAATATATAATATTTAATTCAGTAGGTTTCATAAACTATTAATTAAACTTATTAATTAATTAAATTAATTTTCTAGATATTTCTCTTAAAATATTAATGCCTAGGTTGATAATGCAAATATTTTATATTTTGTCTGGGCTTCTTTACCTTATCAAATGCCAGCTTCTGATTGATATCTTATTCAACTCTTCAACTGATGGCAATTTGGTATCAACCTTAATAGCTGAATTGAATAAAAATTTCTCAGACCAAGAAGTTACACTAACTTACTTGCTTATTACGAGTAAAACCCAAAAAATTATTTTTGGCGAATATTTAGTTCATAGCTTTATACTCTTCTACCAAAAATAACAAAGAATGAAGACTATGCTGCTTTTAAGGTTTTGAAAATAGAAAAGATAAGCATAAATTATACAAATTCATTAGTGATCAGAAAGAGTAAGGACAAAAGAAATATACAATAATTTATCAAAAGACATAAAATGGCGACGAAGTGAATTGGCCTCTCGGAGCTATTTTCTCAACCTCATAGTAACGGTATATTAGGTGAAAATCTGGCGTTTATTGTTTGCATGTATCCGGGTAGATTTTTTTTAGCTCCTATGGTTGAAATTGGAGAACTTATTTCGGAATCGAGATTATTCTCCTTCCTATGATCAGGAATGGACTCCTGAGCCTTAAGATTTATGTTTGTAGCTGCTAAAGGAAGGCATTTCAGTGCTCGAGAGACTCTAAGTTTCCCTACTTTGATTAAGTTAATTTCCAAGAACCCATAGCAGAGCCTTGAAATCCATAATCTGCCACTCAGTAAAGAGTGACAGCAGATGAATCCTTGGTATATTTAAGATTAAGATTAAGAATAACTTATCAAATAACGAATCCACAGCTGATATTATTATAAATCTTGCAGGGAAAAGTCTAATATGAGCCAATTCTGCTGAAAGTGGACCGATCGTCCTATCAGCACAAGAGCCATTAAAAAAAATCAAAAATATCGTGCCTTGGCATTATTACATGAAGGAGCATGCCAAAGCATTTGAAATCTTGGCTTCTTATTTTTATTTTTATTTAGACTGGCAAAAATTCATTATAATTTCTGATGAAGATCATACCCAACTCATTGATGAAATTTCATCTATTTCTTTATAACAGGACATTTAAAGTCTTTTATTTCCCAAAAAATGGGACCCAAGAACTTTCCAATTTATTTATCGGGAAATACCTAAAATCCACAGGAATCCAAAATTTCGTTATAATAAATCAAGATGAGAGCGCAGAAAAGCTTATTAAAAGTTTAAAACAGAAAAATCTTTTAAAAGGTGTTGTTTTATTAAACCAGAATTTAAGAAATATTTGAAAAAATGGATTATTTTCGTATATAGGATCTGGATTAGAAAATGCAAACAATGAATATGAGAAAGAAGCCTTTACAATTGTTAAAATTTTGAGTAAAATATTAAGCTACAACGATAAATCCGAGTATTTAAGCCACCTTTTGAATGGCCTGTCTTCTAATTTTACATTAATTAACATACAAAAAGGTAAGCAAACCAACGTAGGCAGTATAATTGATGGCGAAATAAATTTTAGTAGCAGTATTATTTGGCCGAATGGGTCTTCTGTAATCCCTAACAATCCTTCAACAGAAATAAAAATCTCTATAGCAGATGGCATCACAAATCCTGGATTTCCAAAAGGTCCATTAACAAGCATGTATATCAAAGATGGAGCTTTTTATGCCTTAATGTATATAAAACAGACCCATTTTTTTGACGGATTTGATATCTCAATCACACACACAGATTTTAATTTTTAATGCTAAAAATTATATGAAATTACGCAAAAACAATTAGACCGAAATAAATTAAAAATAATTATATCAAATTATTTATACATATGACTGATGAGACAGTATAAAAAGGTCCTGCATGTATAATTTTGTATAAAAAATTATTGGCAAAAAAAATAGGCAAAAAATGAGCTAAAAAATAGTCCAAATTAATGGGCTAATAAATAGTGTGAAAAAATAGGCTGAAAAATTAAAATAGCTGTCGTGGAGTACACGTTGTGTAAATCACAGTGGGGCAGCTGTCTACAGTGCAAATTTTAGTATAAACTGTTTCAAGAGTATAAAAGATAAGCTAGGTGTAGGATTTCTCACCAACATACTAGCCCCAGTTGCTATTGGAAATATCCTTTCTTTTCGAGCTTTAAATATAACGATTCCTCACATTTCTGATGTAGTGATTGCAGGAACACTTACAAGTAAAGCCAATTTTCCTGAATTTATTAGAATTTCAAAGGACAGCCGATATATAGCAACTATATTAGTAAATTTTTGTATGATTTCTGGATGAAAAAATATTATCGTTATATATGAAAACAGCACGGGTCTAACTTTCGCTTATAATCAGATTTTGACAAAAGCTACAGAATCACATATAAATATTGCAAATAGTCCTAATGAGAGGATGCTAAAGCCTAATTATTTGCGGTCTGATTATCCGACCTATAAGCAATGGATGGAGAACTATATAAAAAGTAATGTGAGAATTTATATTATTTTGATGACGGCAAACGAGTTTTATTTTATAGAAAATATGTATGATGCTGGATTAAGAAGAGGTAATGTGATTTTTATTATATATGAAAAAGTGACATATTCTTATGGAATAGAGACTGATGAGACTCAGCTAAAAAAATTAACGGAACTATTATATGGGTCTATTATTATAACTCAAGCTGATTGAGTTGGAGACTATGGAGAACAAATAAAGCAAGGCTTCCTAAAAGTATATTCACCCCCTGCAGACTACAGATGCTTTTCGTTCGATTCCGCTATGCTTCTCTTTCATGGGATCAAGTTTACCATTGATCAAGGTGGGAATATTGAAAATTCGACACTTCTTAATTATAATTTACGACATCAAAGATTTTTAGGCTGCCTAGGAACTGTTTCAATAGAATCCGACACAAATGATCGAAGCACAAGCATAGTCGGAGTCTACAATATTCGCTGAAATTCAAGTTCAAACATCTTGTATGAATACTGAGTTGGTAGATATGACCTAGAAAAGTCTCAATTATTTACACTATGAGACCCTATTATTTACTACGATAACTCTACTATTGTCCCTGGAGATACCGTGGATTATCCTGAGTGTCCTTTTGATTTAGATAAAGTCCAATACTCCGATATAGGAGCTGGAGTTCTCTATGCCATATCTTTCGGTGTTTTGATAGTTTCAGTAATAGTGACTTTTTATATATGAAAGTTATATTGGAATATAAAAATCCCAGACATGACCCAAAGAAGCCTGATTTTTTTTGAAGACTATATAAGTATGGGAATAATTGTTATTGATTTTTTGCAATTTATTGGTATGGGTCCTGACATTAAAGGGTATGATAAAATTTCTAGTATGCTTGCTGATTATGCGACGATTAATTATTCATGAATAACCGAAGGGGCGAGATTTTGACTTTGTGTAAAGGTGATTTTGGCTGTGCTGTTTGTGTGGATTTTACTAAGTATTCACACTTTGATTAATTTTCAGAGGTTTGATAAATTTTTCTGTGATTATTGCAAAAATTTTTCAAATTTTGTACTACCAATTATTGGCAATACTTGCTTTTTACCTATGATTTCTATTCTTTTAGGAATAGTTCATGTGTTCAAGGAATAGGGCAGGACCTAAACCAATCTTTTGTAAGAAATGACTGTTCAGTTTTTTGCTGAAAAGGCTCACATATACTATGAGCAAGTCTTTCAATCGCAGCGCTATTAATATATATCCCACTGGCTGTATATTTTCGACCTTATTGGGACAACCAAAGTAGCACTATAAATGTCCGGGCAAGACCTTGGTATATGATGCTTAAGAGTCTTTGCCAAATTGGCATAATAGTTCTAAACAAAACACTAAAGCCAGTAAATTCAGCTTTATTCGGGCTTATTTATATCATTGTTTTCTTAAGTTTTACTATATTTTGTATAAAAAGAAAACCATATAATTATCATAGATTCAACCTTTGGCTCTCTGTATCTCATTTTGCTGTTTTATGAAGTTTGGTGGTATCCTCAATTTTTCTAGTATCTGGGAATCGTTTTACACTATTTTGGATTTTTCTTGAGTACCTTGGCTGGATTATAATTATAATTGCTGGTGTTTTAATTCAAACTAAAGGCTCTATGCTAAATTATCGTGCATTCTTGACAATATACATTTTATCGAATTAAATTTCGCAGAAAATTTTTTAATAGTGTGATATTTAATTGATTTTCGCTATTACAAAATTTCCTCTTTTAAAAAGTTAGAAAATACAGGAAATTTTTAAAACTTTAAGTTTTATAAATTTCTATCTTTCAAAAAGCAAAAATTTCAACCAATTTTTGTCGAAATGTACTTTGATGAAATGCTTACTATCAAATATTCACGACCATTAGACCCAAACTAAATTTTATCCGAGTTTATTGTATAGGGAAAAGACGCTTGATATCAGCTTGTTTTTTAGATTTTCACTGGGTCGTAATGCGATGGAAAAATCGCTTTTTCTTGAAATGACGAGAAAGCGAAACCAAAACTCCCAAAAAATTGATAAGTTTGGTGTTGAAGTATGTAATAAATAAAAATTTTTACATTAATTGAAACTTAGATAAGCTATTTAAACTTTATCCCCATCAATTAATCTGATAAAACATTATAAGTGGTAAAATTCTAATTAATATTTTGGGATAAAATACCATGGTAATACATATTTATTTTAATTTATTAGCCATGATAGCTCATGGCATCGTATAAGGATCATTATTTTTATTCAGTTTTTCAAATCTCATTTGAAAAAAAATTACGAAAATATTTTTTATTTATACTAAATCAATAATATTATCAAAATTTATAACCATAACTTATTATAATAATACTAACTTTTGAATAGATATAAAGCAAGTAATTATCTTTTGAGAATTATTTATAATCAGATGATATGTATCATTAGCATATCCTCATAAAATTTATAATAATGCAAAATCTTTGGCTTCCCATTTTAATACTTTACTTCGCGAAAAGCCAGCTTGTGATTGATCTTTTATATAACTCTTCAAATGATTTAGCTTTAGTTTCATCTATTGAAGCATCCCTGCAAGAAAGCTTTGAAGATCAAATTCAAATTCTTGTAAGGAAAAAACAAATCATTCCCTACCCAAATAATTTTGAGGAAAAATCTGATATTATTATAAATCTCATTGGGCATTCTTTTGCAGGAATTAATAATCTAGAAAGCGATCAAATCGTTCTCCAAGCCAAAAAATCAAAAAATTTGAAAAACTGCTTCAGCTGGCATTCTTCTATAAGCGACCATATAAAAGCATTTGAAAGCCTTATTTCTTATTTAAATTGGGAAAAATTTGTGGTAATTTCTGATGAAGACCAAGCCGAATATATTGGTAAAATTTTAAAACAAAATTATCATACCAAGTCATATTATTTTCCGAAAAATGGTAGCCAGGCTCTTTCTAATTTATTAATAGGAAAGCAAATAAAACCTACAGGGATTAAAAATATTGTCATATTAAATGATGGTGAAGATGGCGTTAAACTAATTCAGAGCTTAAAAGCAAAAAATTTATACAGTGGAGTTTTGTTATTGAACCAGAATTTGAAAAACCAGATAAATAATGGACTTGCTGCTTATACAGAGTCTGGTTTAGAGAATGCAAATTATAAAAATGATCAAGAATGCTTGGCAATCATTAAATTTCTCAGAGTAATATTAAGCTATAGGAATATAACAAAATAGGGTAAATAGAGGAAAATATTGAATTTTTTATTATGAGAATAATGCACTGAGAAGATAGATTCTTATAGAGGGGAGCCTGAATTGGTATATTTACATTAGGATTAAGCTTAATATTTAGTGTTTTTATTATTTGTTTACCATGATTGAGGATTCAAAAATAAGTTGTACTTGTAGCCCATTTGACCTTAGACTAGCCGAACTTTGAATTTCAATACGAATGACCCCACCTGACGCTTAGGTGCGGCTAAAATTTAGTTTTGTGAGACACCCTGAAGTCCTCGTCAGTGCTAGTAGCACCCTGGTCAAGGATAGGTAGCAACCAGACACCCCCCCTAATAAGGGAGCCCCCACACCCCCACCCCTAAAAATGGTACCCCCACCCCCCTTTCACAGATGGCACCCCCCCCCCCCACCCCCCCTCTCGTGTTTATTCTATAGAAGTAATTGATAGGAAATAAGCAGAATAAATTAAATATAATCCAATTAAAACACTATATTCATAAATTAAGTCCACAAATTACTTTATATTTATGATTAATTAATAAATTTAAATTAATTAGCAATTAATTAGAAAATATATTAAATTTGTTTTTTATATTTATAAATATAATGCCAAAGATATAGATAATGGCATTAATTATTAAATGAGCCAAGCACAACACAATAACTTGCATTAAATTTATTGATTCATACATTAAAGCTAATCTGATGACCATTGTACAAGGATTGCAGGACTGAATTGGTAAGAGGATTCAATAGTGGTAATAAAAATAGTATTTGCTATTGTCAGTTTTACTTTTGGATCTCTAATTCTACTTTTAGCCATTGCTCCACAAAGTTCATAAATATATGCAGGATATTTTGCTAATTAATACCAAAGATCATTATTATGCTTGCTAACAAATTTTCATATGTGGTGTGCTTAGTAGTTATAGGAAGTTCTCACCTCATTCCACCTACTCCTTAATCGATTGTGCTACGCTATGTGGATATTGTATAAATCAGTAATTTTGAATATTTAAAATAATAATTTATTTATTACGTCTGCTCTAAATTGGCATTTGTCATATATTTATGCTATATTAAGGGGGGGTGGGGGTGCCATCTGTGAAAGGGGTGCCATTTTTTAGGGGGGTGGGGTTGCGACCTATGCTTGACCAAGCACCCTTCTAAAAAATTTCATTTACCTAGGAGAGAAGTCTCATGCACCTACATTTTGCCTTTCTTCCTACACAATTTGCTCGGCGAAGCTAACCTTAAATCAAAACTATACCCATTTTTTTTGTGTCATCAGAACAGAAAACTCAAATACCGTCACATTTTAATTATAAATTGTATATTTACAAATTTTTAGAAAATTATTCAAATAGCTCTTTATTTGTCTCAAATTTTACTTTATTAAACATCCAAAACGGTAAAAAAATTAACGTTGGCAGCATAACTGATGGACAAATTGCACTCTCCTCAGAAATCATATGACCTGACAACACAACTTCTATCCCAAATAATCCTTCAACAGAAATAAAAGTTTCTATGTCTGATGGTCTAAGCAATCCTGGATACCAAAACAGTCCTCCGGTAGCTAAATTAGTAAAGAATGGAGCTTTATACGCTTTTAAATACATAAAAGAGATCCATTTTCTAGATGGGTTTGATATTTCTATAACTCATACTGACTGTGGAACACAAGTTTATATCCCAAGCTATAATTTAAAATGCTTTGGTGCGCTAAAAGACCAGCTTGGGGTTGGTTTTCTGGCAAGCTTCTTCGGAGTAATCATCACTGGAAATATTGCTTCTTTTCGGGCTTTAAATATCAGTATCCCTCATATATAGCGAATTCTATTAGATGGCGCATTGCGCCCCATCTATAGGAAGGCGCTATATCAGATCCACTTACAAGTAAGGCAAATTTTCCTGAGTTTATGAGGGTTTCTAAGGACAGCCGGTATATTGCAACTGTCATAGTGAATTTTTGTATCACTTTTGGCTGAAAAAATGTTATTGTTTTGCATGAAAATAATACTGGCCCTACCATTGTATATAATCATTTCGCAGCAAAGCGAGGGAATCACATATAAAGATAGTAAATAATATCAGTGAAAGAGCAGTAAAACCTAATTATTTACATACTGATTATCCAAAATATAAAAAATGAATGGAAAATTATATATTCCCATTTAAAATCACACCTTATAATTTTATGCTTACTCCCTCCCTACGTGAGCGAACAAAATCATAGAAAAATCCCTATTTTTGCCCAAAAACCCACCCTCCGTGAGCGAACAAAACTTTTTTTAATAGAAAATTTTTTTATGGGAAAAAATTTTGATATGTAAGTGATAATAGTATAATGAAATTTCAAGCTAATTCTGTTTAATTTTAAACAAATTGATTTTTAAAACATAAATTTCACAAATTAAATTAATATTTGCTTTCCAATTTTTGCGAATTAGGATATTTTAAAATTTCGAAAAAAAATGTTTTTTATAAATTTATATAGAATTTTTTTTTAAAAAAAAAACTCCGAGAGTGAATAAGATCTTTTTGTTCGCTCACGGAGGGGGGAGTTAAAGTATTCAAATCCCCTTATAAGGTATATAAAACTCAAAGGTAAGAATTTATGTCATTTTTTTAGCTCCTCCAAACCACTTTTATTTTTTTGAAGACTTATATGATACCGGCCTCAGAAGAGGGGACGCAATTTTTATATTTTACGACAGGGTTGCGTATGCATTTTATTTGGAAACAAATACAACTCAAAGAGAAAAGCTAAAAGAGCTTCTATATGGATCTATTATGATAACTCAAGCTGATTGAGTTGGAGACTATGGTAAAGAAATAAAACAGAGGTATATAAAGGAGTTTTCATACCCACTTGATTACCGATGCTTTTCCTTTGACGCTGCAATGCTACTTTTACATGGAATTAGGTATACAATTAACCAAGGAGGAAATGTGGAAAATTCGACACTCCTTAATACATATTTAAGGAATCAGAAATTTACTGGGTGTTCAGGGACGATTGCAATAGAATCAGATACTAATGATAGGAGCACAGGGATTATTGGGGTTTATAGCATGGTGTAGGATCAGAATTCAAGCTCTTTTTATGAAAATTGGGTGGGGAGGTATGATTTTGAAAAGGTTCAGCTGTTTACTCTATGAAACAGCGTCGTTTTTTATGATAATACAACAAAAGTTCCTGACGACACCCTTGATGACCCAAAATGTCCTTTTGATAAAGGCGATATAGAATACTCAAAAATTGGGGCTGGGATTCTTTATTTGATAGCCTTTGGTATTCTTTTTTATTCAATTGCTATTACGCTCTATATCTGAAAAAAATATTGGAACATGCAAGTTCCAGATTTAGCTGAAAAAAAATTGATATTTTTTCAAGATTATGTCACAATGGGGATAATTATTATTGATTTTCTTCAATTTATAGGGATGGGCCCCGATATCAGGGGTTATGATGAAGTTTCAAGCCTTCTAGCTGACTATGCAACTATAAACTACTCGTGGCTTACAAGAGGAGAAACTTTTTGGATTTTTGTGTATTCATCACTTGCAGCAGTTTTGGTTTGGGTCTATTTCAGTGTATATACGATTTTTGAATTTCGAAATTTTGATAATTTTTTATGCAATTTCAGTAGGAATTTTGCAGAATTTGCATTGCCATTTATAGGGAATGCTTGCTTTTTACCGATAATTTCGATACTTTTGAGTGTTTTTCAATGTGATCAAGCAATAGGGGAAGATTTGTCACAATCTTTTGTAAGAAATGACTGCACTGTTTTTTGCTGGAAAGAATTGCATATATTTTGGGCGTTTTTATCGATTTTCGCATTATTAATTTATATTCCATTGGCTATTTATTTTAGACTGAATTGGGAAAATCAAAATAGTGGAATCAATATAAAATCAAGGCCATGTATATGATGCTAAAAAGCCTTTGCCAGATTGCAATTATTGCTATGAACAAGACTATAAAGCCTCAAAATCCGGCTTTGCATGGTCTTTCATACAGCATTTTACTGCTAGTTTTTACTTTGCTATGTCTTAGGAAAAAGCCATATAATTATCATAGATGCAACCTTTGGCTAACTATTTCTCATTTTGCTGTTTTGTGAAGCTTAATGCTATCATCAATTTTTTGAATTTCTGACTACCGTTCCGTTCTACTGTGAATTTCAATCGAATATGCCGGATGGGCCATCCTATTAATTTGTGGGTTTTTTTTCCAATGAAGATACTGCCCAAGTTTATTGTTTTCAGAAAAGTCTCTTGATATTAGCCTATTTTTTAGATTTTCTTTGGGCAACAGCGCTTCAGAAAAGACATTAATTATGGATATTGTTAAGAAAAGAAATGAGTTGAAAAAGGAGATAAAAAATTACAAAGAAAAGCAAGCACCTTAAGAGCATAAGTAAATTAGTCTAATACATATATCATTAGCCTATTAGAAATTTAAGCAGCTGATTGTATTAGTTTATTTAAAGGAATTTGCAATGAAAGGGAAATTATGTATTTAAGTGCTTTGAAACGAAGCATTTTTTAAATAAACTTGCATTACAGATGCATTTGAATGCAAGGATTTCTAGCTTATAGTCTCAAATCAATCTCATTATGTTGATTTTAAGCTTTTATAAATTATATCTATTACTAGAAAAGCTTATTCCTGCAAAGTATAGATTTTATATTAAATTCGACAACTTTGTATATTATTTATTTGAGATGCATATACAAAAGTAATTTTCAACAGAAAATTTAACAATAATAATCTTAATCCATTTCTTAATATACTTAACAACTATTTATAAATTTCAAAATTTTTGCATGTTTGCTCAATTTAGATTTAAATATAACCCATTGTAATTATTAGCGTTATCTTATAGACTTTTGCATGATGGTAGCGACAGTTTTATTTTTCTTTCTTCTGGCTTTTTCTAAAAGCCAGATTCTTTTTGAGATCCTATACAGCTCACAAACTGACCAAGAATTTATTGACCACCTAATTCAGGACTTAGCTCTTGATTTCCAGACAAAAGTTGATTTTCTCCACAAAAAAATAAACTCGAATTCTGATATTTTAGATCTCAAAGAGAATCCCACAGTTCTGCTTGATTTAACGTTCAGCATTTCTTTGGAAATTTACCTTCAGGAATTGGCAAAGCAAAACCAATTTATTCTACTGTCAATTAAAGGAAAGGAAAATAATTTCCATGATTGGCAATTTTTTACCCATTTTTCCGAAGAAGATGACAAAAAGGGACTTATGACGGTAATTTCTTATTTAAATTGGGAAAAATTCATTCTAATTTCAAATGGAAATTCGGGAATAATCTCAAAAGGCATTTCTCAAGGAAAAATTGTGAAGGAATTTAATTTTATTGATTCTGATAGTCAGGATATATCTGATTTATTAATAGAAAAACAAATAAAGCCTACCGGTATCAGAAATATCATCATCCTAAACCACGAAAATGGTGCTCAAAAACTACTCAAAAGCCTGAAAGAAAAAAATATTTTGGGCTTAGAAAGTGGTATTATATTAAAAGGTGAAAATTTAGGAAATATAACAGAAAATGGAATTTGAACATATATAGAAAGAGGGCTAGAAAATTCAGCTGATAGCTATATGTACGAGTTATTAGCTATTGAAAAATTTATTGACTTTGTGCTGGGATATGACGATATCTATGACATGAACAATTTACGCCAGGCTTTAGAAAAAGCTACCGTGAGGCATCACCCAGTTCCTGACTACTCAGTTATAAATATACAAGACTATCAAAAAATTGTGATAGGTGGCATTTTCAATGGAATTATGAGCGTTCTCAATGATTTTAATATAATTCCAAATTCTCCATTTACAAATATCACTATCTCAATGGCAGATGGAGACACGAACTTCGGATACCCACCCAGCAATTATTCATCAAGTGCCAAAATAGGGGCCAAATATGCATTATTTCACATAAAATCCATCAATTTTTTAGATGGTTTTGAAATTTTGGTCACTCATGTTGACTGTGGCGCTGAATATTTTACGATTCCTGACTCATATGACTGTTTAAGCAATTTAACAGAAAATTTTGGGGTAGGTTTTTTAACTTCAATTTATACTAGGACAGTTATAAGTAATATTTTGGCGTTGAGAAGCTTAAATATCTCTATTCCTCAAATATCGGAGTATGCTCCAGGGACTTCTTTGTCAGATATAGAAGCTTATCCTGAGTTTATGAGGGTGGTAAAAAATAGGAATTATAATGTGAAAGTTATTGTAAATCTCATTATAGCTCTGCAATGGAAAAATATTATTCTTTTGTATGAGAAAATGTATGACTCATTGGCAGCTTATCAATATTTCTTATCGTTGATAAGTTTTAGTAATATAAATATTGTGAATAAAGAAGAGGAAAGAGTATTCAGTCAGGACGATAATGAATTGATAAAAAATATTATAAGCTATAAAGAAAGAGTCTACGTATTACTTCTTCGGCCACAGTCAGAACTGCAGGCTATGACAGAAATTTATGGTGCAGGTCTTAGAAGTTCAGAAGCGATTTTTCTGATGTATAGCAACATTATGTACGAAATCTCAGGAATTAGTGAAAAAACAAAAATTCCAATGGTAAATAGCATTTTAAATATAAATCAAGAAGAATGAGTAGGCAACCTTGGAAAAATACTTAAACAGTCTATTATAAAGTATACTGACAGCAATTTGGAGTTTCGATGTTTTTCATTTGATGCCGCAATGCTTTTATTTCATGGAATTAAATATATAACTCAATAGATTGATTTTGTAAAAATAAAAATACTTTTTTATATAGAATAGCGTAAAATTTAAACCCAGCCAGAAGCATAATACTATTAATCATGGCCAAAATTTCGAAAATTCTACTATTTTGAATAAAAATTTAAGACAACAAAAATTCATAGGCTGCTCTGGGACTGTGTCTATAGGATCAGGAAATAATGATAGGCCAGAAGCCATGATAGGAATTTATAAAATAAAGTGAAATGACACATCTGAGCGCTTTTATGAGTACCAAATAGGACAATACAATTTTGCATCAGCAAAGCTAATAGCGTTCTATGAAAATGTGCCTGATTTAATGCAGAAAATAGGTGATTGCCCTTTTGATGAGGATTTAGTTAAATATTCCTATAAAGGTGCTGGAATTTTGTATGGAGTTTCACTTGGACTTATTGTGACGACATTTATAATTGGACTTTATATATGAAAAACATATGGAAACTCTGAGGTTAAAATTTTAGATGAAAAATTTCTTATGAAATTTGAGGATTATTTTGTTGTGCCGATAATGATTATTGAAAGCCTACAATTTATTGCTATGGGACCTGATAGGGATGATCTTGATGCTCCTCTGAGATTTCTTGCTTATTTTTCTACTGTAGATTTTGATGAATCTGGAAAAAAAGGAAATTTTTGAATTTATGTTTATTCTGCATTAATAGCGGTTTGCTCATGAGTCTACTGCTGTTTTTGCGTTATTTGTAAAAACTGTGGAAAAAAGTGGCTATTTTTGCCAGATTCAGTGATTTTTGAACTTTTGCTGCCTATTTTTAGCAGCATCTGTTTCTTACCAATTATATCGATATTATTAAGCGTTATTCAATGTATTGATGGCATTGGAGATGATTTAAGTAATAGCTTTATTAAGCAAGATTGCACCACTTTTTGCTGAGAAAAGTCTCATTCAGCTTGGGCAGTGCTTTCAATTCTCGCATTATTTATATATGCAATTCTAAATATATTCCTATCTAAAGTATAAGCTAAAATAATATTTTTCCAAAATTATTTTTAATCTTAAATTACCAAAATTAGCATATTTGCCACTCGACATTTTCTTCAGACCATATTTATATGATTTAAATAAAAAAGAGCTCAACATTAAGACACCACCATTTCACACTATGTCAAAATCATCTTTTCAAATGATCGCAATAGTCTTAAATAAAACCCTAAAGCCTTACAATCAGCCCTTAAATGGGTTTATCTTAGGCATCGCTTTATCATTATTTATTTTATGATGCTTAAAGCAGAAACCATACAATTATCATCGGTGCAATCTTTGGCTGGCTATTTTTTATTCATTTGCTTCATGAAGTATATTATTATCGTCAATATATCAAATATCCTCACACAAGTTTGTAATATTTTGGCTTATTTTTCAATATATTGGAATTATATCACTGCTTAGCCTTGGATTTTTTATTCAAAAACAATATTACCCAAGTTTGCTTTATTCAGAAAAAGGTATTGATCTTGGTGCGATTTTTAGGTTTGCCTTAGGAAATAAGGTGGCTGCTGAAGAAATAAATAGAGAAAAGGGGGGAAAATATATAATTTATTCTGAATCTAGTAACCAAGAGTTGCTTAAAAAAGCCTCATTTGATCTTACAACTATGAAATTTGATGTCGTTGAAAAAGAAGTGGTTTCAATAGAGCATTATGGATTGGATATAAAGGAAGAAGAATATAGGCACACTATTAATTAGATAAATAGAAGGCTGCTTATTTTTTCATATAAATAATAATTAATTTTTTGAAATAAGATAATTGTAAAAATGCAATTCTTTATAATATCGACCTTTTATAGCATTTAATATAATTATACTAGAACAAAAAGTCTTAGTTATAAATAGAATTAGATGCAAATAGGCTTGCCTTTTATAAATTAGTATAAAATGGCCCATTGCTTTTATAAAAATTGCTCATTTAAAGCAATGTTTTTATGTTCATGCTCTGGGGTCTTGCCTATCTGTTATATGCATTTAGCAGCCCACAAAACCTCAGAAATTCCAAATCCTCATGAAATTCGCTACTTATTTCTTGCCGAATACAAAGAAACTAAAATTTTTATTATTGATTTAATAAACAAGCGCATCTCTATGCTTTGAAATAGCTGCCTTGAAGGTGCAATAACAATATATAGCAAAATCAAAGAATTTAATGAAAAATTAGCAAAAAATATTCAAAAAATAGATAATGAAGAATTTTTGCTTAATTTTCTTTATGATAAGATATTTTTTTGTAAAATTAATTTTTAAATTAAAAAAATTTGGTATTTATAAGCCTCTAAAATTTAAATTCAATAGAGGAATATTAGTAATCATCAAGAAAACAAGGAAAATATCATTAGTGAATTAGATGAGTTCAAAATATCTCAAATCTTGAGCAACAGTAAACAAATTTCAAACTTAGAAAAAGCTTTATCAGAATATTGTAGAAAGGTCCATGAAAAAATAAATACTTGTTATAGCTTAATAAAAGAGATAATCTCAATTGACCGAATTCCATATGAAAATCCGAATTTTTTCCAAAGTATTTTACTAGAAGAAAAATCAAAAGCAGCTGAACTCATAGAAACTGAAATTTTGAATAATCTTAATATAAGCCAGGAAATCATTTATTATTTTCCTAGAGTATCAATCACAACAGAAACTGAAATTGTTGAAAAACTAAAAAATAAAGCAAAAGAAGCCCTTTGTTTTGAAAATCAATTAGAAGATTTATCAAAAAGAATCCAAGCCCTTTTTACAATGTCGTTTACAGGCGAATATAAACAATTAATCAAAGAAATCGAGCAAGTGAAAATAAAAATAGCAAATAAATTCAGAGTTTTTTCTTTTATTTGCAAAAATGATGAGTGTTTCACGTTAGTGAACGAAACAAATAAAGATTTTAAAAAAATCTATAATGAATATGTCAAGAAAAATTATAATAATTCCAAATTATGTGAAAATTTGCTAAAGACTGTCAATGAAAATTTAAGCAATTTTGCATGCTTTGAGAATAAGTCGTTATATTTAATAGACTCAGAAAAAAATTCAACGAAAATTTTTAAATATAACATAAAAACTAGGAAAAAAGACCAAAAAATTATAGCCAGCCCATTACCATTAACGAGGCATGTTTGTGTAGTCCAAATTTCTAATTTTGAACTATTTTTATTTGGAAGCTTTCCTGCTTCAGGCGCTGCTTTTATTTTTGATACTAAAAAATGTATATTTAAAGCAGAGTTGCCAGAAGGAGTTCATTGCTGCTCTGCGTCTGAGTTTTTTATAATAATTCAGTTTTTATTTTTGGAGGTCTAGATGCTAACTCAAACCCTTTAAATCTTGCAGAAAAATATGATTTGTCTCTGCATTCATGGGATAAATTGCCTCAATTTCCTGAAGCACCGAATACATGCTCCTGCTTGCTATTTAAAAAAGATATTTTAATAGCAGGGACAAAATTATCAAAAATTTATATGCTTTGTTGGATTTATCTCAAAAAATAATAATTTTACGCTGATTTCAGCCTTTTTAGTCTTATTAGTATCAAATTAATCCAGCTTGGTATAAAATTTGATACTGAAAATTCATTTTATTCTGGAATCTCTTCTCTGAACCTAAATATAAATAACCAGAAATTATTGATTTCTGGGAACTCAAGAGCTTACTTACTAGAGTGCTTACTCCATTCATGAGCAAATTATTTCGTCACTCACAGAGAGAGGCTATTTTTTTTGAAATTTAAAAAATCCCGATTCACAAAAATCGGAAAGTAAAAAATGATAGTCTGTTGGGCCGTTTTGTGCAGCATTAAACTAGTTTACTGTCTGCAATAGTCTGCTATTTTCCAGCTGAATAGTAAGCTGCCTGCATTCATTTAACAAGTTTATTGGTGCGCAAAAAGGCCCAAGGGGGATAATCAATTTATAAAATTTATGTTTTATGTGCAAGCTAGCTCGAGATTTCATTATACTTTTATTAAAAAATTTTTTAGTTCTCAAGCAAAGGATAATTTTTCACCCAAAATAGGGATTTTTCAATGGTTTTGTTTCTCACGGAGGGGTGAGTCAGGAAAAATATACGAAAGTGAGATAGCTGATAAAAATAATTGAAAACCCATTGGAAAATGCATAATGGAAGGGTTTGATCAAGTATTTAGAATTTTCAATAATGACTCTATCTTTATTGGTGTTGTGCAGGTAGGAATTTTGCCTTTTTGCTGCTGCTTTAAATTCAGCTTAGGCGATATAGTCTGAAACATCAATTGTGTATCGAACTCCACATGTGGGATAATCTCCCAAGTGTGAAGCCAAATTCAATATGTGGAGCTTTTACTCGAGCAGCTCCACATATGGAATTTGGCTCAACATGTGTAAAAATTTACCCGCTTGTGGAGCCTGATACACAATTTGTATATCAAATAATAAAAAACTTAAGCTGGAAAACAAATATGCTATAAAATAAAAGCATAATTCGATAAGAATTTTTAATAAATTAATAGCATTTATCTTGAACTTTGAAAATATATTATCTGATAGTAACTCAGTCTTAATATATATATATATATATTGATAGGGTTATGGGTTATATATATAATAAGTATAATGGCTTATCTTTTACAACATAAATTTACAAATTAAATTTAATATTTTTTTCAGAATTTTTGCGAATGGGAGTCTTTTAAATTTTGAAGAAAAAAATTTACTATAAAATTTATATAAATTAAAAAAATTAATCACCTTCTTGAGCGAACAAAACGGAGCGGGGAGTAAGCTGAGCTTGAACCAATTATAACTTTAAGAAATATCATTAAGATACGAGCATTAAATATTGCAATGCCTATTGCAGCTGAACAGATCGCATTCGGGACTCTTTCTAATAAAATTACCCTTTAATTGAGAAAATAGTTGGGGATAATTTTTTTATTAGGTAATTTTGATTAAAATGCTATTATTTTTATTTAAAAAAAGATCCTTACTCCCCCCCCCCCCCTCCGTGAGCGAACAAAACCATTAGAAAAATCGCCATTTTTTGACCAAAAACCCACCCTCCGTGAGTGAACAAAAATTTTTTTAATAGAAAAAATTTTAATGGAAAAAAATTTTGATATATAAGTGATAATTAGTATAATGAAATCTAGAGCTAATTCTGTTTAATTTTAAACAAATTGCGTTTTAAAACATAAATTTTGCAAATTAAATTAATATTTGCTTCCCAATTTTTGCAAATTAGGATTTTTTTAAATTTCGAAAAAAATATTTTTTATAAAATTTATATATAAATTTTTTTTAAAAAAAAAAATTAACCCCCCTCCGTGAGCGAACAAAATTTTTTTGTTTCGCTCACGGAGGGGGGGGGGGGAGTTAATAATAAAGCCATCTTATTAATTTATTTTAATTAAAAATATAATAGAAGTAATTTTTTATTGTATCTGAAAAGAGCTTGAATGCAAATTTCTTCTTAATTAGACTCTCAATATTGTCAATTTTTTATTTTTAAAGCATAATAATTAAATAATGAAATTTATAGTTAATATTTATGAATTTATATGTAAGTTAAACTAGATAAATAAAAATAAAGTAATATGAACCAATTCTCTTATTTGAATTTATAATTTTAATCAAAAATATATTTTCTTGTAACAAATTTTGATAATTTCATATTTAAAGTTTTAATTATAAAATCTTCGCCTTTTGTTATTTATAGATATCCTATAAAATTATCAATACTCATACAAATTAATAAAATCGATAAAGTAATTATTAAACTTCAAAAACTTTTAATTCTTTTCCATAAATGCTTGATGTGCAGAGCTACTGAGAAAATTTCTAGAGGTACTTAAGTGCATGCTATACTTATTTCTTTTTTCTTCAAGATCTTTGTTGATTTCAGAAGCTTCTATAGATTTACCTAAAGAAAATCTAAACAGTTTTACAATATTTATTCCAGGTTCATTAAAAAGCATGCTTAGGCAATAATTTTTCTGAATATAAAGCCCAATAATAAATAAAAAAATTCAGCCTAAATATTCTGATAATATTCAAGCATCTGGCATCCTTGTTGGAATTATTCAATATAAAGAAGACAAAACCACGCTTCATAAAATGGCTAAATATGAAATTATTTGCCAAAGGTTCATGCGGCTTTCATTATAAGGCTTTTTTTTCATACAAATAAATATTAAAATACATAATAAAACACTGTAGAAGAGTCCATGAAGGGCTTGGCTTTGTGGCTTTACTGTTTTATTGAGAACAATAATACTGACTTGGAAAACACTTTTCGCCATCAAAAAAAGTGGACGCGTTTTTATATTGATAAAATCTTCATAGAAGTCCCAATGAGGCTTTAAATAAATTGCAAAAGGCAAATATAGAATTAAGCAAATTATAGAGAGGGTTGCCCATAAAATATGGGAATCTTTTCAGCAAAAAGTGTTACAGTCTTTTCTCACAAAAGTTTCGGTCAACTTTGAGCCAATTTGTTGGTCGCATTGAATAACATTTAAAAATACTGACACAATTGGTAAAAACAGTGCATTTCCAAGAATAGGCAATGAGAGTTTTGATAAGATCTTTCAACAATCAATAAAGCTATTATGCAAATTTTCTCCAATACGAAAAATATGAGTTATCCCAAACAAAAGCCATGCACAAAGGCCACCTATAGCAAAATATAAATGGATTCATAGGTATTTCCCTTCAGTCATAAAAGTAATAGAAGCAAAATGAGTGAGTGTATAAGTAAAAATATCATAATTCTTTATCTCTGGTCCAACTGATAAAAACTGCAAAAAATCTACTAAAATAATGGCCATTGCTATGTAATCTTCAAATTGAATTTGCCTTGGCTCAGTTAATACTTGAATTTCTAAATTCCACCACCTTTTTCATATATAAAAAGTCAAAAACATTGTATTTATAGTAATTCCAAAAGCAATTCCATAGAACATTCCAGCGCCTTTTGCTGAGTATTCAATTTGACTATCCTTAAACGGACAGTCATTTTCACTTTTTACAATATCTGATGGTGTATTTGTGGTATTATCATACCAATTCATGTCATCATAAATCGTAAACAGCTGTAAACTTCCTTGATCATAAGATGCTATCATTTTTTCATATAAAATATCATTTACACTGTCATATCTAAAATTATTAATCCCAATCGGTGCTGAATTCCTATCATTCGACTGAGAACTAATAGAAACTATCCCGGAGCAGCCTAAAAACCTTTGCTGTCTTAAGCGAATGTTAAACAAATAAGGATCATAAATATCTTCTCCTTGATCAATTGTAAATTTCAGCGCATTTAGTACCAGCCACCCTGAATCAAGTGAAAAACATCTGAAATCATCATTAATGTATGGGTAAACTTTTTTAAATCCTTTAAGTTGATTTTGGCCAAATTCTCCAATCCACTCAGCTTCACATGTAGTAATTCCGCCATATAAAAGTTCTGACATTTTATCCAGCATAGGCTTAATAGGTATAGTTGTATATAAAAACGCAGTTTTACTCGGGACCATAATAATCAGGTCTCCCCGACGAATTCCTACATTGTATAAGTCTTCTAAAAAATAAAAAATAGACGGAGGAGTCACAGCTAAAATAATCGGTCGAGTTTTGTACTTTAGCAGGCCAAGCATTAAATCTTTATGCTCATCAAAATAATTGTGATTGTAATTATCCATAATCATCGTTTTTTCAAGGTTATTTACCACTTTGACATTGGCAGCTTCCATACGCTTTTTTAGATAAGCACAAGTTTGTATACTGGGAGTATTATTTTCTGGAATTATAATGACATTTTTCCACCCAAAAATAACGACTAGGTCAGCTAAAACACTATTCCTATAAAAATCATTCCCAGCTATTTTTACAAATAAAGGGTATTCTGTTTTATTTGAAAGGACTCCAAAGCTTACGTGATCAGCTACAATAGGTATTGTAATATTTAGTGCACGCATTGAAATGATGTCGCCTAAGGCAGTAGTTGCGAATGGATGCACTAGATGCACAATTCCTGGCACATTTACTAATTTTTTAAAACAATTTAGAGAAAATGTCGGCTCGTATGCTTCGGCTCCACAGTCTACATGGACAAGGTCAATTTTAAAGCCATCAAGAAAATGGGTGTCTTCTGCAGTCTTAAAGGCATATTTAGCACCGTCTTTGGCTGCAGTGAAAGGACTGTCAGGAACTCCAAGAGGATTTGTGGCTCCATCTCCAATTCACAGGGAGACATTTGTATATGGGGAATTGGGAATAAGGGTGGAATTTCCTGGAAATATTGGATTGCTAGCAAATGCTAAGGAGCCTTGAGAAATGCTACCAATATTGACTTTTTGGGAATTTTGGATATTTATTACAGTAAAATTTCCAGGTAAATAATGATTGACTGTATTCCTCTCTAAAAATGATCTAAGAGCTATACTCTTCTCCTATCAATTGCCCATTAGAGCTGTAGATGGAAAGTTTTCAGTTAATTAAAGCATTAGAATAATCTGAAAAGCTAAGTATCAAATCCAACATTTTTGCAATTGCTAAAGCTTCATAGCTATAATTATCAGTAGCATTTTCTAAGCCTGACTCAGTATAGCCCACTACTCCATCTAATATTGTATTCCATATGCTACGACTTCCTAAAATAATCCCACTTCCGCTTTGGAAAATACTTTTATTCACAAGGCTTTTCAATAACTTATTAGTAGTTTCTCCCTGATTTAAAATGACTAAATTCCTGATTCCTGTCGGTTTAATTTTTTTACCAACAAATAAATCAACTAGATTTTCATCACTGATCTCTGAAAAATGGAAATCATTGAATTTTTTAACTGAGAATACACCGTTATAGTTCTCATCCAAATTGCTCGAAATTATTAAAAATTGGTCCCAATTAAAAAAAGAGACTAAGCAGCTAAGAGCGGCTTTATGGTACTGCTGGGATGAATGGCTAAAGAATTGTCAATCATTATAAGAGCTAGAAAACTCCTTAATTAAAATCAAAATTATATGATTTTCAACTGTAAACTCTTTTATATATGCTAAAATTGAGGTACTGAAAGTTAAATCGACAATAATATTTGGAATTTTTGTAAAATGATTTAAATCAATTGCCGAGTTTACCAGGCTTTCTCTGACTTCTACCTGATTTTGATAATTTGCATTGATTTTATCATGTACATGTGACTTTAGCTTAAGATCTGTATCTGCACTATAATATAAGTCTACTAGAAGTTGAGATTGGACGATCTGGAAAATTAAAGAATAAATTAGTCCAGATTTCATTTTTTATTCATTTCATTAACTCTTTAAAATTTTCTCAATTATTTTTTATATTATAAAGGGCTTTATTGGGAATAAGAATAGTGCTAACCGATGATAAAATTTTTTTTTAGTATAATCAACGGACTTTTTTTAAAAAAAGGCAAATTTTTGATAATTAATGTATCATACCAGAAGCTATTAAATGGGACCTTCTGGTAGAATTTCTGGAGCTGCTGCAATTCTTTGGGTTAAAATTATTCTATTTCAATAGTGGATAGCTTTCTGAATCATCCAAAAACAAAAATCTCTTGCAAATAATCCATCAGTATACTTATACGATTTTTTGGGCCTAGTAGTAAAAACTTCTCATTCATTCTTGATTAAATTGATAGTAAATTGCCGTTTCATGGCTTTATGGTTGTTGCCCCACCCTGTAATGGATGATCTTTTTGCTTCGTGGTCAAATTTCAACAAACAAACTTCGATATAATTTTCTCCTTTTTTCAGGGTAAAGCCTAATAAGAATTTGACTTTTCTTTTATGCTCCAATACCTGCGTTTTCAAAGATGACGGTTCTGTATTCGTTTTCTTCGTCGTAGAGTGTAAAGTTGTCTGATGATCATTTTTGGTTCCATTTGGGACTTTCAACCAAAATTTTAATCCGGTTATATATTTTCAAATAAAATTTAAGCTAAATTTGCTCATAGCGGTATTTTCATATTCTTTTAGTCTAACTATATAGCATTTATATATAAGTTGAATAATGACAACACCATTTATTAAATATAGTTGCTTTGCTTTTCTTATTGAAATTTAAAATTTAAGGGTCTAATTAAAAACTTTATCTAACTAAAATAATGCAGGTCATTATAAGCACTCGGGAGGTCTTGAATTAAAGTCAGAATTATATGGTTTTCAGCCAAAAACTCTTTAATATAAGAACTCATAGATAATGCTCCAGAAAATTCGTTTTTAGTATTTTCTGTAAGTGCAATCTTATTTGGCGCGTGGCATGGTGAGCATCCCATTGCTCTCCAATCTGGCGAAAGGGACTGAAATATACAGTAGGAGGCGAAGGAATTAAGATTGGAAGAAAAAAAACTTAAGAAAAAACAACAGGGAGCTTCAAATAATTTTAAATAATCGCTAAGCTCTAATTTTCACAAATTATTTATTTTAGCAAATCCATTTATTTCCCTATAGTTATAAATTTATTTACCTGCTATCCTAACTTATAGAGCTCAAATCCCTATTAGCCAAGTCAAATCGACTGCTGGAGTCTATCATTGAATATTTATTCTTCACAGCCCCAAAAACTTCATCCAGTGTAATTCTTGTTGAAAATTCAAACTTGAAAAGCAAGCTGATATCCTTTCCATGCACAGAGTACAAAAAGCTCGGATAAAATCTTTCCTGAAAGGCATACCCAAAAACAGCTAAACATAGTCACCCAAAGATTAATAAAGGTACTCATATAAAGATGCTGCTGTTAGCTAATGAATAAATAGACGATAGAATTGAGCTCCACATTACTGCCAGAATTGAAAGTAGGGCTCATAAGTTCATTCTATTATAATTATAAGGTTTATAGAAAATCGAATAAGCTAAAAAAAGCGTGAGACAGAAAATGTACAAAAGGCCATGTAAGGAATTACTGTAATTCCCTATAGTTGATTTTAAAGTAATCGCAACTATTTGAATGGTGCTTTTTGCGATTAAATAATGCTCATTGCAATAAATATTTTTATCAGAGCTAAGAGATTCATAATAAGGTCTCCATAAGATTGCACTAGGAATAAAAAAAAGCAAGGAAATTAAAGCAAGAACTGCAAAAAGTAAATGTAAATCTTGCCAGCAGAAATAATTGCAGTCGCCATATAAAAATGAGTCAAGGACATTCAGACTTGTTCCTTTTGTGCATCGGAATAGAGAAAACAGAGAATTTATGACAGGGATGAAGAATAAGTTGCTAATATGTGGCAGCAGCTCTTTTGAAACCCCGCAAGCTACTACAAAAAAAGAGAGTCTGCTTTTTTCTTCAATTTTAAAAATTAATAACAGGTTAAAAGTTAGCGTCACCAAGCAGACTATTAAGGCTGTATAAATTCCTGGTCAGAAAATTTTACTGTCATATGTTGTGGTATTTGCTAAATTTCCTGATATATAATCAAAACCATTAGAAATTTTTGAATAAATAAATTCAGGACTTAAAGTTAAAAGTTGTAAGGTCTCTATCAATAAACTAAAAGCAGCTAATCAATCTCGGAATTTTATTTCTCTTTTATCCTGAATAATAGGAAATGATGAGCTCCAATACTTTGACATATAAATTAATGATGTTGCCAAACCTAAAGTAGTCCAAAATGCAATGATACTATAATATATAGCTTCCCCTTTGTCAGAGTCTTGAATCTGCTTATAGGAAAATGGGCAATTAAGTGAATTTACTCTGATGTCACTAGGAGGATTAGATCCACCATCAGGCCAAATAATATTTTGGTCAAAAGTCAGCACCGGGTTTCTCATAATTGAATAAGAGCCGACTGGAAAATCTTCCCATACCCCAGTTGTGGAATTAGGTATCAGGTTGTTAATCCCCACGATCATCTCTCCAGGCTCATTTGCAGTAGGTGACATTACTAATTTTCCGGTGCAGCTGATGATCTTTTGCCTCCTGATTGATTTTAGAAGAGTATCACGGTCTGTGTAATCTTCTCCAAACTGGATTAAAGTATTAATCGCATTTATGGCAAGCCACCCAGTGTTAAAAGCGTGGCAATGATAGGACACAGGAGAACTACCCCATCATTTTTTGATGCCTTCATAAGCTTGCTTCCCAAAATCTCCAATTCACTCAGCTTGGAAAAAAGTTAGCGACCCATAATATAGCCCGTTCCTGGCTATAGATCGGCTTAGCCCGATCTTTGCCGGGAAACTCGGGGGGTTGTCTTCGTCGCTTTCAGGTGACGAGTTAACTCCCCGAGTTGGCAAATAGCCGCTATATGGTGATTTGCCAACTCGGGGAGTTGACTCGTCACCCAAGTTGACTCGTAACCAAAGGTGACGTAGACAACCCCCCGAGTTTCCTCGTCACCCAAGGTGACGTAGACAACCCCCGAGTTTCTGGCAAAGATCGGGCTAAGCCCGATCTATAGCCGGGAACGGGCTATATAGCTCTTTACATTTAGAAATAACTTCTGCTTCTAGGCCAACTGCATAGTAGGGAAACCACGAAATAGTCTGGTAAAACAAAAAAATAGCATCGCCCCTTCTTAGTCCTAAATCATATAAATGGGATGTTAAATAGAAATGGCTCGAAAGATCAACAAACACGAAAAGAGCAAATATTCTACCATTTGTTTGGATCGCATGGGTAAGATGGCCTTTATATTCTTCAAAATCTTTACCAGAATAAGAAGCCTTGATCATTCTTTTATCTTCGTCATTTAGGACCTTTATCCCATTTACATTTGCTACATTCATAAAGCCTTTGTATAGGGTAATTCCTAAGGTCGTGTTTTCATACATGACAACCACATTTTTCCAGCCAAAAATCCTCATCATGTGGGCCATTGTCGCGGAATGGAGCTCAAAACCTTTTACCACTCGGGCAAATTCAGGGAATTGGCTTTGGTCATTAAGAGCAGGAGAAAGGCAAAAATCCCCAAGTATAGGAATTTTTAATCCCATTTCTCTGAAATCACTAATGGTCCCTAAGCATACTTCATCATGAATTGACGGTATGAAAATGACTCCAAACTTTTCTTTCTGATTTAAAAAGCAATTATATGAAAAATCGTGTTCATAATACTCTGCGCTGCAATCAGTTTCATGCAGTTCTAATGAAAAATTTTTAATTAGGTTTGTTTTGTTCGCATAATTGATCGCATATAGCGTTGGAATCCTTATAATTCATGTGCCTCTGTGAACAACCCCGTCATAATTTGTAATACCATCAGAAATCGATATTTTTATCTTTGAATTGCTTGAATCAGGAAAATCATATGTGTTTCCAGGAAATAGTGGAGTTTTGAATAGATTAACTTGGCCATTAAAAATGGTTCCAATTATTACTCTCTTGGCGTTTTGGATATTGACAATAGAAAATCTATAGTTTCCTCTTTCTGATTCTAACTCCCCCTCTGTGAGCGAACAAAACCATTGGAAAAAATATCTACTTTTTGCCCAAAAACCCAATCAGGTGAACGAAAAAAAGTTTTTAATAGAAAATTTGTTTATGAAAAAAATTGATATATAAATGATAATTATTATAATGAAATCTCTAGCTAATTCTGATTAATTTTAAACAGCTCACTTTAAAATTAAACTTTGAAATTAAATTAATTTTTACTTCTCAATTTTTAAAAAAAAATGTTTACTATGATTTATATTAAATTTTTTTAAAAAAAAATTAACCCTGTTCATTGAGAACAATGTTTTTTTGTCACTCACGGGCGAGTAAGTATTTTTTAATTACAAAAGTTGATTCCGACAGGGTATATATTTTTTCAAGAAAATTTAACACTGAAGCAGCTTCATATTCATCTGAATTTTTTACAAATTCAAGACCCTCTTGCACTATAATTATAAGTCCTTCTTCTTCTGCCCCTCATATGCCTTTGCTTCATAATACTATTCCTGCGTTTTTAATGTAAATTTTATTTTTTATGAATGACCTTATTAACTTCTTTGCTCCTTCTCCTTCATTTATAATAACAGCATTTTTTAATCCTGTTGTTTTTACCTCTTTTCCAATAAAATAATCAGTGGCATCTTCGTTTCTATCATTTGAATAGCAAAAGTCCTGCTTTTTATTTATTTCTCAATAAAATAGACTATTGAGCTTTATTGCATTCGCTGAATCACTATAAATCAAATTATATTGGTACCAATTTAGATAAAGTAAAAAGCTACTTATAGCTTCATAGTGAGCTCGCATAGGAAGCAGTGTAAAAAAGTCCCAGTCAGAAAATTTTTCAAATGGCTCTCGAACTATTATATGTACAGCAGAATTTAATTTTGCAGCTTCAGAAAGCTTTACTTGTAAAAAGATATCGTAAGTGGCATCGATTATAATGCTATTTTCTCCCATAAAGCTGTCAAGAGAATCTTCTTGGATTATTTTTGATAATTTTACTTCTATGAAATTCAAACTGGAGCTTTGGAAAGAGTCAATTATTTTGTTTATCAGGCTTTGGCTGCTATGCTGGCTTATTGCAATAATAACTAGTGGCGAGCATGAAGCTATATGTATAAGCAATATTGCCAAAATCATTAATTATATTAGCCAAAGAATTAAGTAATATATGGAAATTATATCAATAAAGCTAAAAAATATTAGTTAAAATTCATGTGCCTTTAAGATAATCAATTTGTGAATAAAATGTAAAGAGAAATTAGTAAGCGATAGAATTATAATAAACTATGAACAGATTTTTAATATATAGATAATTGGTTTAAATCAAGTATTTATTCAAAAGAGATGAGTTAGATAGATTATATTGTTTTTATATTGTTGTGATAAATAATTAATGTTTTAATTCAGGTTTTGATTTTACTTTAGGTCTACCCAAATAACTTACTAAAAGAAAGATTGAGAGAATCACAAAGCCTTCCCGATCATTTAGAAATTTTTATAAAAGCTAGGCATTCTGAATGGCAATAATATCAATTAAGTTCTTAGGAGCTAAAAAATAACCAGCTTTAAGCAAGTTGTTATGGATAAAACATTAATATAGTTATCTATCGAAGAATAAAAAAATTCATGCAGCTGTGTATTCCTAAGTCAGTGGAGGTCAAAATTTTAATTAACCAACATAAAATGCTAAATATAATAGCTGCTACAAGGCGATAAAGAAAAGTTTAGAATTAAACAATAAGAACCCAGCAAATGATAGAATTAATCAAATCTGGAATATATTAAAATAAGATTAAAGAAACGAAACCAAGTGGCAGGCTACCTAAATTTAAACCTATGATTAATTCATTGATAGATTTTGTAAAAATTATTAATTAAATATTGATCTAACGAAAAAATAATTAAAATTCGTTTAGCTAACAAAATCTAGCAGTATATTTAATTTTGAAGTGTTTATATTCGCAATATAATTATTATTTGGAAATTATAAACTAATAAATTTTATCACTAAAAGATAATTTTATTCTGAAACTAGGTCATCCTTTTCAATCGAAAAGCGGGTTTGGTTGTTAAGATTTTGGCAATTTTTCTTCAACAATGTCACTACTTTGGACAACTTCTTTGTTCAGTTTATTAATTTCTAAAGCTGAGACCCTAGTTTTCATTAGATTAAAATATCAGATATCCCTAAGGTAGCCCAAACTGAGATTTTAAGACAATTATAAAATTAATAAAATCGAAAATAATTTTATAAAGTAATTATTAAACTTCAAAAACTTTTAATTCTTTTCCATAAATAGTATGATGTGCAGAACTACTGAGAAAATTTCTAGAGGTGCTTAAGTGCATGCTATACTTATTTCTTTTTTCTTTAAGGTCTTTATTGATTTCAGAAGCTTCTATTGATTTTCCTAACTCCCCCCTCTGTGAGAGAAAAAAAAAACTTATTCGGGGTTAAATGTTTTTTTTTTATATAAATTTTATATATAAAAATATTTTTTTCTAAATTTAAAAGAATCCCACTTCTCATAAAATTGGAAAGCAATTATTAATTTAATTTGTAAAAACTTATATTCAAAAACGCAATTTGTTTAAAATTAAACAAAATTAGCTACAGATTTCATTATACTAATTATTATTTATATATCAAATTTATTTTCCATAAAAAATTTTTTTTGCTCACTGAAGGTGGTTTTTGGGCAAAAAATAGGGATTTTTCTAATGGTTTGTTTCGCTCACGGAGGAGGGAGTAAAGAAAATCTAAACAGTTTTACAATATTTATTCCAGGCTCATTAAAAAGCATACTTGGGCAATAATTTTTCTGAATATAAAGCCCAACAATAATTAAAAAAATTCAGCCTAAATATTCTGATAATATTCAAGCATCCGGCATCCTTATTGGAATTATTCAATATAAAGAAGACAAGCCTACACTCCACAAAATGGCTAAATATGAAATTATTTGCCAAAGGTTCATGCGGCTTTCATTATAAGGCTTCTTTTTCATACAAATAAATATTAAAATACATAATAAAACACTGTAGAAGAGTCCATGAAGGGCTTGGCTTTGCGGCTTTACTGTTTTATTGAGAGCAATAATGCTGACTTGGAAAACACTTTTCGCCATCAAAAAAAGTGGTCGCGTTTTTATATTGATAAAATCTTCATAGAAGTCCCAATGAGGCTTTAAATAAATTGCAAAAGGCAAATATAGAATTAAGCAAATTATAGAGAGGGTTGCCCATAAAATATGCTCGTCTTTTCAGCAAAAAGTGTTGCAATCTTTTCTCACAAAAGTGTCGGTCAACTTTGAGCCAATTTGTTGATCGCATTGAATTACATTTAAAAATACTGACACAATTGGTAAAAATAGTGCATTTCCAAGAATAGGTAATGATAATTTCGATAAGATCTTTCAACAATCGATAAAGCTATTATTTAAATTTTCTCCAATACGAAAAATATGAGTTATCCCAAACAAAAGCCATGCACAAAGGCCACCTATAGCAAAATATAAATGGATTCATAGGTATTTCCCTTCACTCATAAAATTGATAGAAGCAATATGAGTTAGTGTATAAGTAAAAATATCATAATTCTGTATATCTGGCCCAACTGATAAAAACTGCAAAAAATCTACTAAAATGATGACCATTGCTATGTAATCTTCAAATTGAATTTGCCTTTTCTCAGTTATTGCATTAACTTCTAAATTCCACCACCTTTTTAATATATAAAAAGTCAAAAACATTGTATTTATAGTAATTCCAAAAGCAATTCCATAAAACATTCCAGCACCTTTTACTGAGTACTCAACTTGACTGTCCTTAAACGGACAGCCATTTTCACTTTTTACAATATCTGGTGGTGTATTTGTTGTATTATCATACCAATTCATGTCTTCATAAAACGTAAACAGCTGTAAACTTCCTTGATCATAAGCCCCTATCATTTTTTCATATAAAATATCATTTACACTGTCATATCTAAAATTATTAATCCCAATCGGTGCTGAATTCCTATCATTCGACTGAGAACTAATAGAAACAATCCCGGAGCAGCCTAAAAACCTTTGCTGTCTTAAGTGAGTGTTAAACACATAAGGATCATAAATATCTTCTCCTTGATCAATTGTAAATTTCAGCGCATTTAGTACCAGCCACCCTGAATCAAGTGAAAAACACCTGAAATCATCATTAATGTATGGGTAAGCTTTTTTAAATCCTTTAAGTTGATTTTGGCCAAATTCTCCAATTCACTCAGCTTCACATGTAGTAATTCCTCCATATAAAAGTTCTGACATTTTATCCAGCATAGTCTTAATAGGCATAGTTGTATATGCAAACGCAATTTTACTCGGGACCATAATAATCAGGTCTCCCCGACGAATTCCTACATTGTATAAGTCTTCTGTATAATAAAAAATAGATGGAGGAGTAACAGCTAAAATAATCGGTCTAGTTTTGTACTTTAGCAGGCCAATCATTTTATCTTTATGCTCATCAAAATAATTGTGGTTGTAATTATCCATAATCATCGTATCTTCAAGCTTATTTACAACATTAACATTGGCTGCTTCCATGCGCTTTTTTAGATAAGCACAAGTTTGTATACTGGGAGTATTATTTTCTGGAACTATAATTACATTTTTCCACCCAAAAATGACGACTAAGTCAGCTAAAACGCTATTCCTATAAAAATCATTCCCAGCTATTTTTACAAATAAAGGGTATTCTGTTTTATTTGAAAGGGCTCCGAAGGTTACGTGATCAGCTACAATAGGCATTGTAATATTTAGTGCACGCATTGAAATAATGTCCCCTAAGGCAGTAGTTGCGAATGGATGCACCAGATGCACAATTCCTGGCACATTTACTAATTTTTTAAAACAATTTAGAGAAAATGTCGGATCGTATGCTTCGGCTCCACAGTCTACATGGACAAGGACAATTTTAAAACCATCAAGAAAATGGGTGTCTTCTGCAGTCTTAAAGGCATATTTCGCACCATCCTTGACTACAGTGAAAGAACTATCAGGAACTCCAAGAGGATTTGTGGCCCCATCTCCAATTCATAGGGAGACATTTGTATATGGGGAATTGGGAATAAGGGTGGAATTTCCTGGAAATATTGGATTGCTAGCAAATGTTAAGGAGCCTTGAGAAATGCTACCAATATTGACTTTTTGGGAATTTTGGATATTTATTACAGTAAAATTTCCAGGTAAATAATGATTGACTGTATTCCTCTCTAAAAATGATCTAAGAGCTAAAGCATTAGAATAATCTGAAAAGCTAAGTATCAAGTCCAATATTTTTACAATTGCTAAAGCTTCATAGCTATAATTATCAGTGGCATTTTCTAAGCCTGACTCAGTATAACTCACTACTCCATCTAACATTGCATTCCATGTGCTGCGGCTTCCTAAAATAATCCCGCTTCCGCTTTGGAAAATACTTTTATCCACAAGGCTTTTCAATAATTTATCAGTAGTTTCTCCCTGATTTAAAATGACCAAATTCCTGATCCCTGCCGGTTTTATTTTTTTACCAACAAATAAATCAACGAGATTTTTATCACTGGTTTCTGAAAAATGGAAAACATCAAATTTTTTAACTGAGAATATGTCGTTAAAGTTCTCATCTAAATTGCTCGAAATTATTAAAAATTGGTCTCAATTAAAAAAAGAGACTAAACAGCTAAGAGCAGTTTTATGGTCCTGCTGGGATAAATGGCTAAAAAATTGCCAGTCGTTATAAGAGCTAGAAAACTCCTGAATTAAAATCAAAATTATATTATTTTCAACTGTAAAATCTTTTATATATGCTAAAATTGAAGTGCTGAAAGTTAAATTTACAATAACATTTGGACTTTTTGTAAAATTATTCAAATCAATTGCCGAGTTTATAAGGCTTTCTCTGACTTCTATTTGACTTTGATAATTTTCATTGAGCTTTTCATGCATATATGACTTAAATTCGAGATCTGTATCTGAGCTATAATACAAGTCTACGAGAAGTTGAGATTGGACGATCTGGAAAATTAAAAGATAAATTAGTTCGGATTTCATTTTTATTCATCTCATTAACTTTTTAAATTTTCCTCAGTAATTTTTTAAATTATAGGGGTTTATTGGGAATAAAGAATCGGGTCAACCAATGATAAAAATTATTTTTTAGTATAATCAACGGACTTTTTTTTACATAAAGTAAATGTTTGATAATCAATGTATCGTACCAGAAATTATTAAAACTTTATGAAAGAAGCTATGTTTCAAATAAAATTTAAGCTAAAATTTGCTCATATCAGTATTTTCATATTGTTTTAGTCTAACAATATAGCATTTATATATAAGTTGAATAAGAACAACACCATTTATTAAATATAACTGCTTTGCTTGTCTTTTTTAAATTTGAAATTTAAGAGCCTAATTAAAAGAAATTGCTATTAAAACTATTTTTTCTCGTCCAAAAACTTTATCTAACTAAGATAATGCGGGTCATTATAAGTACCAAGAAGATCTTGAATTAAAGTCAAGAATTATATGGTTTTCAGCCACAAGCTCTTTAATATATGTCAAAATTGAAAAACTAAAAGTTAAATCTTCAATAATATTTGGATTTTTTGTAATGATAAAAATCAATCCAAGTTTTCAATCTAACTCTGACTTCGATCTGGTTTTGATAATTTTGGTTGAGCTTATATTTATATATGAATTTAACTAGGAGATCTGTGTCGGTACTGCAAGATAAGTCTGCAAAAAATCAATCAAAAATTTAAGAAAAAATTAGTCCAGTTTTCATTTTTATATCAGCCTATAAAGATTTTTAAATAACTCAATAATTATTTAATTAGATAAAATTGGACCAATTTTAACCTTAAGAGATATCATTAAAATACGGGTATTAAATATTGCAATGCCTATTGCAGCTGAATGCGTCGCGTCGCATTCGGGACTCATTTTAGTAAAATTACCCTTTATTTAGGAAAATAGCTAGGAATAATTGCTACCGAGGCAAATTTGATTAAAATGCCCATTATTTTTGTTTAAAAAGATTCTTAATAACTAAAGCCAGCTTATTATTTTATTTTAATTAAAAAGCTTATAGAAGTAATTTTAAAATTGTATCTGAAATAGCTTGAATGCAAATTTATTCTTTATTAGACTCTCAATTTTGTCAAACTTTTATTTATTTTAATTAAAAAGCTTATAGAAGTAATTTTAAAATTTATCTGAAATAGCTTGAATGCAAATTTATTAGACTCTCAATTTTGTCAAACTTTTATTTTAAAGCAAAAAAAATAATGAAATTTATAGTTAATATTTAGGAATTTATATGTAAGCTAAACTAGATAAATAAAATAAAGATAATACTATTATGGACCAACTCTATTATTAGATTTTATAATTTTAATCAAAAATCTATTTTCTTTCACAACTTTTGATCAAAATTTTAATTATAAAATCTTCACATTTTAAAAATTATAGATTATCCTATAAAAATGATCAAACTCATCTTCGGTCTGTCTACTCAATTATCATATATAAAGCTCATTGATAATTAAAGAATTATTGATAATTATAAAATTAATAAAATCTGAAGTTAATAACTTTCTAAAACTTTTAATTCTTTTCCATATATAGAATGATGTTCAGCGCTACTGGCATCGAGAAACATTCTAGAGCTACTTAAGTGCAAGTTATACTTATTTCTTTTTTCTTCAAGATCTTTGTTAATTTCAGAAGCTTCTATAGATTTACCTAAAGAAAATCTAAACAGTTTTACAATATTTATTTCAGGCTCATTAAAAAGCATAGTTGGGCAATAATGTTTCTGAATATAAAACCCTATAGAAATTAAAATAATCCAGCCTAAATATTCTGATATAATTCAAGCTTCCATTATATTTGTTGGAATTATCTAATACAAAGAAGACAAAGCCACGCTTCATAAAATGGCTAAATATGAAATTATTTGCCAAAGGTTCATGCGGCTTTCATTATAAGGCTTCTTTTTCATACAAATAAATATTAAAATGCATAGCAAAACATTGTAGAAAAATCCATGAAGGCGTTCAAATTGAATTTACCTTGACTCAGTTATTTCTTGAATTTCTAAATTCCACCACCTTTTTCAAATATAAAAAGTTAAAAACATTGTATTTATAGTAATTCGAAAAGCAATTCCATAGAACATTCCAGCACCTTTTACTGACTTTCTCTCCCATTAAATTGGACAAACCCCTAAAATTTGCGTTTTTTGGGTACTTTAACCCCTTTAAATTGGAACAAATTTATTTTCAAAGGAAAATTTTAACGATAAAATATTAATTTTTATTAAATTAGTTTGATATTTAAGCAGTTTTTAAGCTAGATTGATTAATTTTTATTTAATTCTTCATAAAATAAATTAAAATTCAAATTATAGTGCTCGATTTATATTTTCTAAAAAAAAAATAAAAATATTGTAAATGTCTGACGATGACGCATTGAGCACAATCATCGGGCAACCTGCATGTGAAATTACTAAATTTTATAAAATTTGAATTAAAAACACAATAAAAGTAGAATGGTATTTAAACAGTTTAAATGTATTAATTTTTTTTATTAATTTTTTATTAAAACTTATATTTTTCAAAATCTTTAAAAAATAAAATTAAAGATCAAATTAATTATTTTATAAAATTAGCTTTACCCAATTTAAAGAGGGAGCACAAGTAGAATGCCATTTAAACATTTTTTACACTAGATCGATTAAATTTATATTTAATTCCTCATAAAACAGATTAGAACTCAAAGTACCGTTCAATTTATATTTTTTTTAAAATTTTTGAAACCAAAGATGAAAATACTAATTTTAAAAACTTAATCTGACTTAATTATTTGGAAAGGTGGAAGTAGAATGCTCATTAAACATTTTTCACACTAAATCGATAAATTTTCTTTGGTTATTTTTTCATAAAAATAAATTAAAACTCAAAGTGTTAAAGGGGGAGTGAGTACTCAATTTGACTGTCCTTAAACGGGCAGCCATTTTCACTTTTTACAATATCTGATGGTGTATTTGTGGTATTATCATACCAATTCATGTTTTCATAAATCGTAAACAGCTGTAAACTTCCTTGATCATAAGACGATATCATTATTTCATATAAAATATCATTCTCATTATCAATGATTCTTACCTTGCTGACCAATATAAAAAATGGATCCTTATTTATATAGGATTGCTATATTAACACTGTCATATCTAAAATTATAAATTCCAATTGGCGCAGAATTCCTATCATTAGACTGAGAACTAATAGAAACTATTCCAGAGCAGCCTAAAAATCGTTGCTGTCTTAAGCGAGTATTAAACACATAAGGATCATAAATATCTTCTCCTTGATCAATTGTAAATTTCAGCGCATTTAGGATCAGCCACCCTGAATCAACTGAAAAACACCTGAAATCATCATTAATGTATGGGTAAGCTTTTTTAAATCCCTTCAGCTGATTTTTGCCAAATTCTCCAATCCACTCAGCTTCACATGTAGTAATTCCTCCATATAAAAGTTCTGACATTTTATCCAGCATAGGCTTAATAGGCATAGTTGTATATAAAAACGCAGTTTTACTCGGAATCATAATAATCAGGTCTCCCCTTCGAATTCCTACATTGTATAAGTCTTCTGTATAATAAAAAATAGATGGAGGAGTCACAGCTAAAATAATCGGTCTAGTTTCGTACTTTAGCAGGCCAATCATTTATCTTTATGCTCATCAAAAAAATTATGATTGTAATTATCCATAATCATCGTATCTTCAAGCTTATTTACCACTTTGACATTGGCAGCTTCCATGCGCTTTTTTAGATAAGCACAAGTTTGTATGCTGGGTGTATTATTTTCTGGAACTATAATAACATTTTTCCACCCAAAAATGACTACTAGGTCAGCTAAAACGCTATTCCTATAGACATCATTCCTAGCTATTTTTACAAATAAAGGGTAATCTTTTTTATGTGAAAGGGCTCCAAAAGTTACGTGATCGGCTACAATAGGTTTTGTAATGTTTAGTGCACGCATTGAAATGATGTCGCCTAAGGCAGTAGTTGCGAATGAATGCACTAGATGCACAAATCCTGGCACATTTACTAATTTTTTAAAATAATTTAGAGAAAATGTCGGATCGTATGCTTCGGCTCCACAGTCTATGTGGACAAAGACAATTTTAAAACCATCAAGAAAATGGGTGTCTTCTGCAGTCTTAAAGGCGTATTCCGCACCATCCTTGACTACAGTGAAAGAACTATCAGGAACTCCAAGAGGATTTGTGGCCCCATCTCCAATTCATAAGGAGACATTTGTATATGGGGAATTGGGAATAAGGGTGGAATTTCCTGGAAATATTGGATTGCTAGAAAATGTTAAGGAGCCTTGTAAAATACTACCAATGTTGACTTTTTGGGAATTTTGGATGTTTATTACAGTAAAATTTCCAGGTAAATAATGATTGACTGTATTCCTCTCTAAAAATGATCTAAGAGCTAAAGCATTAGAATAATCTGAAAAGCTAAGTATCAAATCCAATACTTTTACAATTGCTAAAGCTATTATCTGTGGCATTTTCTAAGCATGATTCAGTATAGCTCACTACTCCATCTAATATTATATTCTATATACTACGACTTCCTAAAATAATCCCACTTCCGCTTTGATAAATACTTTTATCCACAAGGCTTTCTAATAGTTTATCGGTCGTTTCTCCCTGATTTAAAATGACCAATTCCTGATTCCTGTCGGTTTAATCTTTTTGCCAACAAATAAATCAACTAGGTTTTTATCGTTGGTTTCTGAAAAATGGAAAACATTGAATTCTTTAACTGAGGAGAATATGCCTTTAAAGTTCTCATCCAAATTGCTCTAAATTATTAAAAATTGGTCTCAATTAAAAAAAGTTACTAAACAGCTAACTTTTTCTAAAGATAACTCTAGTTCGCTTATCTATATATATAAGATAAGCTTCTGTAAATTTTGAGCTAAGCTTCCACTAAAGGTGATAAAGGTGGCAATCAAAATTCCAGGTTTCTCAGCATCTGCAAGCTTAAGGTATGTTAAAAGCATTTCCGCGCTATATTATTAATGCTTTTCACAATTAGGATTACCGATATAAAATTTTTAATAAGAAGTTAATTTTTAATTCTCTAAAGTTTACTACAATAAATTCTTTTTCTATTAATATATGATTTATTTTTACAGTTAAAAATGGAAGAGCTAAGGGCAGTTTTATGATCCTGCCAAGACAAATGGCTAAAGAATTGCCAGTCGTTAAAAGAGCTAGAAAACTCCTGAAGTAAAATCAAAATTATATGATTTTCAACTGCAAAATCTTTTATATATGCTAAAATTGAGGTACTGGAAGTTAAAGCTACAATAATATTTGGACTTTTTGTAAAATTATTCAAATCGATTGCCGAGTTTATTAGGCCCTTTCTGATTTCTATCTGATTTTGATAATTTTGATTGATTTTACCATGTATATATGACTTTAGCTCGAGATCTGTATCTGCACTAAAATATAAGTCTACTAGAAGTTGAGATTGGACGATCTGAAAAAACTAAAGAATAAATTAGTCCAGATTTCATTTTTTATTTACTCCATTAATTCTTAACTCCTCCCCTCCGTGAGCAAACAAAACCATTAGAAAAATGCCCATTTTTTGCCCAAAAAACCCACCCTCCGTGAGCGAACAAAAATTTTTTATGGAAAAGATTTTGATATATAAGTGATGATTAATATAACGAGATCTCTAGCTAATTATATTTAATTTTAAACAAACAGAGCTTTAAAACACAAATTTTACAAATGAAATTAATATTTGCTTTCTAATTTTTTTACATTTTGGAATTTTTTTAAATTTTTAAAAAAAAAATTAACCCCCTGTGAGCGAACAAGATTTTTTTATTCGCTCACGGAGGGGGGAGTAAGAAATTTCTTAATAATTTTAAATTTATCAAAGAGTTTTATGCGAAATAAGTAAGCAGATAAATCAATGATAAGAATTGAAGTATTCCTAAAGGATAATCAATAAACTAAAAAAAAAGGCGAATATTAGATATTAAATTATAAAAAATATTTAGAGTTGGTCAGGAAATTCAAATTAAAAAATTCATCATAGAGTTTGCTCATAGATTAGGTTATTTAAAGTCAGGTTTTAGCAAAATATTGTTGACGCACTCACCAAAGATCTCTCGTACGAGAGGGTCTACCGCTTTTCGACTCAGCCCAGAGGTCATCCCCCCGAAAATGGGTGTCACTTCCGAGCTGCTTATGGATTTCCGCGTCATGGGGTGGGCGATTGGAGTAGCTTGACTTCAAGGATCGGCTCCTTGGAGACTGTTGGGTGTCGAAGTGCCTTTCTTTGACACCTACAGGAAAAAGATTGATCCACTGTGGCCTGGGCTGAAAATCCCAGTTTCTCAGCAGAGGAACGGTATGGGTCCTTGGATCCAAAGACGTTACCATGCACCTCCATTTCCAACCACAGGAAGGCAGCCAAAGCTCCCAGATACGCATCACCTAAGGCTAAACTTGGTTTTTGACTTGGAGTCCGTCCCAGTTTGCAGTAGCCATAAGGTCTGGACCGTTGCGCTAAGAGGGCAGGTTGGCACGTGTCGCAATTTTTTTTACTCGTAGTTAACTTACATGTAAATTTATATAGTGACTTACACTATCTAGAACGGGGCTTTTTTGATAGTGCCAACAACTAAAAAAGCCCCGCTCTAGATAGTATAAGTCACTATATATGATTTGACTAATAGGTGATGAAAATCCTAAAAATATTTTTTAGACTTTTTTAAATTCTTTAAAGCATAAGTTAATATAAAAAAAACTTAATTTGAATTAATTTTTTTAAAATACCCTAAGGTTTAACTTTATTTGGAGAATTTGACAATTATAATATCGCACTTGATCAAAGATTTATTTCTATTGCAGTGACACTTACTTTTTCACTAGAAGGTAGGGTCAATAAAGCTCCAAACTGTATATCAAAATCCATAAGAATAGACTTCTTATATAAAATGTATTTCCTCCCAAGTGCAAATACTGTGGTGCCTGCATCAATTATGCCTCCTCCAGCAGCCTCGTCTTCATATTTTCCATCTCTATTATTTCTGCCCTCATCTACATCGTCCAATTCTCCTGTAGCATCATCTCAAACATCCAGCTGCCTGCTAAACGCTAGATCTACGTCATCTTCACACAAACACAGCATCTTAATAGCAATTTCAAATTCAAAACCCAATTCTTCAAACCTGGATGTTTTTAAATACTATCTTCCCTTTTAAAAAATTTAATTAAATGTCTAATAAAATCCTAAAATAATTTTATAAGATAATTAATATTCTTCAAAAACTTTTGATTCTTTTCCATAAACAGCTTGATATGCAGAGCCACTGGCATCGAGGTACATTTTAGAATTGCTTAAATGCAAGTTATATTTAATTCCTTGCTCCTTGAGATCTTTATTGATTTCAGAAGCTTTTATAGATTTCCCTAATGAAAACCTAAACAGCTTTACAATATTTATACCAGGCTCATTAAAAAGCATAGTTGGGCAATAATTTTTCTGAATATAAATTCCAATAATTATAAAAATAATCCAGCCTAAATATTCTGATGTTATTCAAATTTCTATCGCTCTATCTTGAACTATCCAATATAAAGAAGACAAAGCCACACTCCATAAAATAGCAAAATATGAGATTATTTGCCAAAGATTCATGCAGCTATCGTTATAGGGCTTCTTTTTTATAACAATAAATAGAAAAACGCCTAATAAAATACTGTAGAAGAGTCCATGAAGGGCCTGGCTTTGTGGTTTTACTGTTTTATTCAGAACAATAATGCTGACTTGGAAGACACTTTTCGTCATCAAAAAAAGTGGACGTGTTTTTATATTGATAAAGTCTTCATAATAATCCCAATGAGGCCTTAAATAAATCGCTAAAGGCAAATATAGAACTAAACAAATTATAGAGAGGGTTGCCCATAAAATATGCCAATCTTTTCAGCAAAAAGTATTGCAATCTTTTCTCACAAAAGTTTCGGTCAATTTTGAGCCAATTTGTTGGTCGCATTGAATAGCATTTAAAAATACTGACACAATTGGTAAAAACAGTGCATTTCCAATAATAGGCAATGAAAATTTCGACAACATTTTTCAAAAATTAAATAAGCTATTATTTGAATTTTTCCCAATATGAAAAATATGAGTTATCCCAAATAAAAGCCACGCACAAACACCACCTAATGCAAAATATAAGTGGATCCATAGGTACTTGCCTTCAGTCATAAATGTTATAGATAAAATGCGAGTGAGTGTATAAGTAAAAATATCATAATTCTTTATATCTGGCCCAACTGATAAAAACTGAAAAAAATCTACTAAAATGATAACCATTGCTATATAATCTTCAAATTGAATTAGCTTTGGCTCTGTTAAGGGTTTGATCTCTACATTCCAGCACCTTTTCCATATATAAAATGTTAGAAGCATCGTACTCACAGTAATTCCAAAAGCAATCCCATATAAGATTCCAGCGCCATTTACTGAGTATTCAATTTGACTGTCCTTAAACGGGCAACCATTTTCACTTTTTACAATATCTGATGGTATATTTGTTGTATTGTAATATCAGTTCATGTCTTCATAAAATGTAAAAAGCTGTAAACTTCCCTGATCATAAGCCCCTATTAATGTTTCACTTAAAATATCATACTTATTATCAATGATATCTTCCTTAATGGCTTATATAAACAAAATATAGATAATTTATTTAGAATTATTATATTTTCATAGTCATATCTTATGTTATAAATCCCAATTGGCGCAGAATTCCTATCATTAGACTGAGAACTAATAGAAACTATTCCAGAGCAGCCTAAAAACCGTTGTTGCCTTAAGTGGGAGTTAAACACATAAGGATCATAAATATCTTCTCCTTGGTCAATTGTAAATTTCAGCGCATTTAATATCAGCCACCCTGCATCAATTGCAAAACACCTGAAATCTACATTAATGCTTGGGTAAGCTTTTAAAAACCCCTTCAATTGATTTTTGCCAAATTCTCCAAGTCACTCAGCTTCTTGTGTACAAATTCCGCCATATAAAATTTCAGTCAAATCATCACGCATAGATTTTTCAGGTATAAATGGATATAAAAAAGCAATTTTACTCGGAATTATCATAATCACATCTCCCCTCCTGATTCCTACCTTATACATGTCTTCTAAAAAATAAATATTAGATGGAGGAGGAACTATTAAAATAAGAGGACGAGTTTTGTATTTTAGCAGGCTTGCAATTAAATGTTTATGCTCATTAAAATAATTGTGATTGTAATTTTCTACAATCAATGTCTTTTCAAGGTTATTCACAACATTAACGTTGACAGCTTCTAAGCGCCTTTTTATATGATGACTGGTTAATAAGCTGCTTGTAGAATTTTCTGTAATTAGAAGAACATTTTTCCATCCAAAAATAACGATTAGGTCAACCAATACAGTGCCTCTATAAAAATCATTCCCAGCGATTCTCATAAATAAAGGATATTCTGTTTTATTAGAAAGGGCCCCGAGTGATACGTGCTCGCACAACGCAGGAATTGTAATATTTAATGTACGCATTGAAATGATGTCCCCATATACTATCGATGGGAATCCATGCGTCAAATAGACCATACCAGGCTCATTTATTAATTTTTTGTAACAATTTATAGAAAATGTCGGCTCATATACTTCAGCTCCGCAATCTATATGGGTAAAGACGATTTTAAAACCATCAAAAAAATGAGTGTCTTCTGCAGTCTTAAAAGCATACTTTTCACCGTCTTTGACTACAATGAAAGGGCTATCAGGAAATCCGAGAGGATTGCTAGGCCCATCTCCCATTCATATGGAGACGTTTGTATATGGGGAATTGGGAATTAGAGTGGAATTTCCTGGAAATATTGGATTGCTTGAAATGGTTAAGGAGCCTTGTGAAATGCTACCGATAGGGACTGCTTGGGAATTTTTGATATTTATTACAGTGAAATTTCCAGGCATATAATGATTGACTGTGCTCTTTTCTAAAAACATTCTAAGAATTAAGGCATTTGAATAATCTGAACAGCTAAGTATCAAATCTAGCATTTTTATAATTGATAAAGCTTCATAGCTATAATAATCAGTTGCATTTTCTAAACCTAACTCTCTATAGCCTATTACTCCATCTAATTTTGTATTCCAGCTGCTTCTACTCCCTAAAATAACCCCACTTCCGCTTTTCAAAACGCTTTGATTTTCAAGGCTTTGCAATAGTTTACCGGCAGTTTCTCCTTCATTTAAAATGACTAAATTCCTGATTCCTGTCGGTTTAATTTTTTTACCAACAAATAAGCCAACTAGATTGTTATCACTAGTTTCTGAAAAATGGAAAATGTTGAATTTTTTAACTGAAAATATTTCGTGAAAATTCTGGTCCAAATTGTTTGAAATTATTAAAAACTCGTCCCAATTAAAGAAAGATATCAAACAGCTAAGAGCGTTTTCATGGTCATGTTGAGACGAATGACTAAAAAATTGTCAGTCGTTATAAGAGCTGGAAAAGTCTTGAATTAAAATCAGAATTATATGGTTTTCAGCAACAAATTCTTTTATATATGCTAAAATCGAATCACTGAAAGTCAAATCTACAATAATATCCGGGTTTTGCGTAATTTTATCAAAATCGATTACCGAGTTTATCAGACTTGATCTGACTTCTATCTGATTTTGGTAATTTTGATTGAGTTTAGCATGTATATATGACTTTAACTCGAGATTTGTTGAATCACTATAATACAAGTCAACAAGAAGTTGGGATTGGACTAGTTGAAAAATTAAAGAAAAAATTAGTCCAAAAGTCATTTTTTATTTGTCCCAATAATTCTTTAAATTTCTCAATAATTCTCAAAGGCTTTATTGGGGAAGAAATAATCGTGAAAACTGAAGATGAACATTATTTTTTTAGTATTTCAACAGACTTTTGCAAAAGGCCAATTTTCGATAATTAATGTAACGTACCTGAAATTATTAAAAGTTTATGGAAGAATTTATGTTTTCAAGTAAAATTATACGCTAATATTTGCTCATAAAAGAATTTTTATATTATTATAGTCTAGCTATAGAACATTTATATATAAGTTGAACATTAACACCATTTATGAAATATAATTGCTCTGTTTATCTTATTTGAACTTGAAAACTAAGAGTCTAATTAAGAAGAAATTGCTATTTAAGCTATTTATATCATCCGAAACTTTTTTTCTAGGCTGCATGCCATTTGATAAGGGTAGGTCCTAAAAAAAGTTAAAATGGAAATAAAATTTTTATTATAGAGAAAATTTAATATTAAAAAATTAGCCCTCATTTAAATAGGAAAGTATTTTTTTTCCAATTTAAGGGAGTAAATTGAAAACCCAGCAATAATTACTAAATATTCTAATATTAATAAAAATTTTTTATCCTTGCTGGAGTTATCCAATATAACGAAGACATTTTACCATAAATAAATTGCCTTGTTTTTATTTTGATAAAATTCATAGAAACCTAATAAGCCTGAAATAAATCGCAGGAGCCAAATAAAGAATTAAGCAAATTATAGAGAGGATTGCCCATTAAATGCTGAAATCTTTTCTTTCGGTCAATTTTGAGCCAATTGTTGGTAATATTCAAAAATACTGATACAAAAGGCAAAAATAGTGCAATTTGTTAACTAAAATAATGCAAGTCATAATAAGTACTAGGGAGGTCTTGAATTAAAGTCAGAATTATATGCAAACTCTTTGATATGTGCAAAAATTGAAAAACTGAAATTAAACCTGCAATAATATTTGGATTTTTTGTAAATAGCCAAATCAATCCAAGTTTTTCAATTTGTTCTGATTCTATTTGGTTTTGATAGGTTTTTGGGTTTATGCTTATATATGAATTTATCTTGGAGGAGATCTGTGTTGGTACTAAAAGGATAAGTCTGCAAAAGGTCGATCAAAAATTAAAGAAAAAATCAATCTAATTTTCATTTTTATATTTATCCCATAAAGCTTTTTAAATATTCCAATAATTCTTTAATTTACCAAAGAGCTTTATGCAGGAATTAATAAATAAACCGAAGATTAGAATTGAATTATTTTTACTGATTAATCAAATAATTAATATTTATAATTAAATTGCTTGCCAAGAAATTATTAAAAGTTATAATTTTCGATTAATTGCAAAATCCAAGAGTTTATTCATAGCTGAAATTTCTTTTTTATTTGCACTTTACTAAAATATAAGCTCATAAAAAATTAATTAGCAAATTTTATTTATTAATTTTTATTGTTTTGATTAGCTTCTTTAAAGTTGGATATATTAAGATTCTAGTTCAGAGAAATTGATTTTCTGATCTAAAAATTTTCTATTAGGAATTTCTATTTGCCCCAAAGCTATATCGAAGTGAGTTATTCGAGAATTTATTTATCAAAATAAAATTATTTGTTATCAGATAATTAAAATATTTTTAATTATATGCTTGTCTGCAATGATTCTCTTATCCTTATATTTAATATGATTATAATAATAAATTCCTTGTTAGGATTAATTAAATATGCATAAAATTAGATAAAAATTACGTCAAAAAAGTGATTAGAAAGCAATATTAGTTTTGAACATAAAACCCTGCAATTATTATTAAAAGCTAGATTATGCTCGAGCAATTATAAAAATCAAAAATTAATATATATATTAATAGTTTTCTAAAACTTTTAATTCTTTTCCATATATAGCTTGATGTGCAGAGCTACTGACATCGAGAAACATTCTAGAACTGCTTAAATGCAAGCTGTACTTAATCCCTTGCTCCTTAAGATCTTTGTTGATTTCGGAAGCTTCTATAGATTTGCCTAATGAAAACCTAAACAGCTTTACAACATTTATGCCAGGCTCATTAAAAAGCATAGTTGGGCAATAAAGTTTCTGAATATAAAGCCCGACTATTATTAAAATAATCCAGCCTAAATATTCTGATAATATTCAAGCTTCCATTATTTTTGTTGGAATTATCCAATACAAAGAAGACAAAACCACGCTTCATAAAATGGCTAAATATGAGATAATCTGTCAAAGATTCATGCGGCTTTCATTATAAGGGGTTATATGTCATTTGATTAGAGCAGTTACCTCGTGGTATTTCCTCATATTTTTCGGTATAATTTTTTTTCTTTGTAATATATTAATCAATTTTTTGAAATTTTCTGTGCAATTATGATGAGAAAGAAGTTTCTGACAAATGATGTGAACCTTTATAAGGCTTCTTTTTTATACAAATAAATATTAAAACACATAGCAAAGCACTGTAGGAGAGTCCATGAAGGGCTTGACTTTGTGGTTTTACTGTTTTATTGAGAACAATAATGCTGACTTGGAAGACACTTTTCACCATCAAAAAAAGCGGTCTCGTTTTAATATTGATAAAGCTTTCATAGTAATCCCAAAAAGGTCTAAAATAAATCGCAAGAGGTAAATAAAGAATTAAGCAAGCCATAGAAAGGCTTGCCCATAAAATATGCTCATCTTTTCAGCAAAAAGTGTTGCAATCTTTTCTCACAAAAGTGTCGGTCAATTTTGAGCCAATTTGTTGGTCGCATTGAATAGCATTTAAAAATACTGACACTAGAGGTAAAAACAAGGCATTTCCAAGAATAGGCAACGAAATTTTTGATAGCATTTTTCAATAATTGAGAAAGCTATTATTTGAATTTTCTCCAATCCGAAAAATATGAGTTATCCCAAATAAAAGCCACGCGCAGACGCCACCAATAGCAAAATATAAGTGGATTCATAAGTATTTGCCTTGGGTCATAAAAGTAATAGATGCAAAATGAGTGAGTGTATATGTAAAAATATCATAATTCTTTATATCTGGCCCAACTGATAAAAACTGCAAAAAATCTAATAAAATAATGAGCATTGCTATGTAATCTTCAAATTGAATTAGCTTTGGTTCAGTTATTGCTCGAATCTCTACATTCCACCACCTTTTCCATATATAAAATGTTATAAACATCGTACTCACAGCAATCCCAAAAGCGATTCCATATAAAACCCCAGCACCATGCACTGAGTACTCAATTTGACTGTCCTTAAACGGGCAGCCATTTTCACTTTTTACGATATCTGATGGTATATTTGTTGTATTATCATACCAATTCATGTCTTCATAAAATGTAAACAGTTGTAAACTTCCTTGATCATAAGCCCCTACCATTTGTTCATATAAAATATCATGCTCACTGTCATATCTGAAATTATAAATCCCAATTGGAGCTGAATTTCGATCATTCGACTGAGAACTAATAGAAACTATTCCAGAGCAGCCTAAAAACCGTTGTTGTCTTAAGTGAGTATTAAACATATAAGGATCATAAATATCTTCTCCTTGGTCAATTGTAAATTTCAGCGCATTTAATACCAGCCATCCTGCATCTATTGAAAAACATCTGAAATCTGCATTGATATTTGGATAAACTTTTAAAAACCCCTTCAATTGGTTTTGGCCAAACTCTCCAAGCCATTCAGCTTCATTTATAGTAATTCCGCCATATAAAAGTTCTGTCATTTTATCCAGCATTGTCTTAATAGGTATAGTTGTATATGCAAAAGCAATTTTATTAGGGAACATAATGATCAGATCTCCCCTACGGATTCCTACATTATACATGTCTTCTAAAAAATAAAAAGAAGCTGGAGGAGCCATAGTAAAAATAATAGGCCGAGTTTTGTATTTTAGCAGGCCAATCATAAGATCTTTATAATTATTAAAAAAATCGTGATTGTAATTTTCCATAATCATCATCTCTTCAGGCTTATTGGCAATGTTAATGTTAGCAGCTTCCATACGCTTTTTTAATCAAAAATAAGTTAATAAGCTTGCTGTAGTGTTTTCTGTTACTATAAGGACGTTTTTCCACCCAAAAATTATCATTAAGTCTGCTAAAACGCTGCATCTATAAAAATCATTGCCAGCGATTCTCATAAATAAAGGATATTCTGTTTTGTTAGAAAGGGTTCCAAGTGCTACGTGTTCTGTCACAATTGGTATTGTGATGTTTAATTCTCGCATTGAAATTATATCACCTAAGGTTACAATTGGCCATGGATGAGGCATATAGACAAATCCTGGCTCATTTACTAATTTTTTATAGCAATCTAGAGAAAATGCTGGCACGTATACTTCTGCACCGCAGTCTATATGGGTAAGCACAATTTTAAAACCATCAAAAAAATGAGTGTCTTCTGCAGTTTTAAAAGCGTATTTTGCACCGTCTTTGACTACAATGAAAGGGCTATCAGGAAATCCGAGAGGATTGGTGGGACCATCTCCCATTCATAGGGAGATATTTGTATATGGGGAATTGGGAATTAGGGTGGAATTTCCTGGAAATATCGGATTGCTTGAAATGGTTAAGGAGCCTTGTGAAATGCTACCAATGTTGACTTTTTGGGAATTTTGGATGTTTATTACAGTGAAATTTCCAGGCAAATAGTGATTGACTGTGTTGCTTTCTAAAAATGCTCTAAGAGCTAAAGAATTAGAACAATCTGAAAAGCTAAGCACCAAATCCAATATTTTTAAAATTGATAAAGCTTCATAGCTATAATAATCAGTGGCATTTTCTAAGCCTGACTCAATATATGTTATTACTCCATCTACTTTTGTGTCCCAGCTACTTCGACTTCCTAAAATAACCCCACTTCCACTTTTAATAATATTTTTATTTTCAAGGCTTTGCAATAGTTTGTTAGCAGTTTCCCCTTGGTTTAGAATGATTAAATTCCTAATACCTGTTGGCTTAATTCGTTTACCTACAAATAAATCAACTAAATTTTTATCGCTGGTTTCTGAAAAATGGAAAATATTGAATTTTTTAACTGAAAATATTTCGTGAAAATTCTGGCCCAAATTGCTGGAGATTATTAAAAATTCTTCTCAATTAAAGAAGGAAACTAAACAACTAAGAGCATTTTCATGATCCTGCAGAGAGGAATGGCTAAAAAATTGTCAGTCGTTATAAGAATTAGGAAGGTCTTGAAGTAAAATCAGAATTATGTGGTTTTCAGCCACAAAATCTTTTATATATGCTAAAATTGAAGCACTGAAAGTTAAATCTACAATAATATTTGGATTTACTGTAAAATGATTCAAGTCAATTACCGAGCTTATTAGGCTTTCTCTGACTTCTATCTGATTTTGGTAATTTTGATTGATTTTATCACGTATATATGACTTTAATTCGAGATCTGTTTCGGCACCATAATATAAGTCCACTAGAAGTTGAGAGTGGACAATCTGAAAAATTAAAGAATAAAATAGGCCAGATTTCATTTTTTATTCAACCCATAAATTTTTTTAAATATATCGATAATCACTAAAGCACTTTATGAGAAATAAATTAGCTAAGGAGTATGAGTTTTTTGATAACATTTTTATAGGAAAATCAATGAAATTGTATATAAGTTGAATTTTTAATAATTAAAATATTGAATAGGATATTAATAAAAGTTTTGAGGGATATTAAATTTTTAAATAAAATTAAAATAATAAAGCTTGTTCATACTGTAGAACTTTATTTTTTATTTTTAGCTTAAATTTGTTTGAAATTCACATATAATTAGTTTACTAATAAATGCCATTTATTTAATTATTATCACTTTTTAATTTATTTGAAAATTCAAAAGTCTAAAGTCTAATTGAAAAAAAGTTAATATTTATAAGCTTTTGGATATAATATCTACCCAATAATAATGAACTATAAAAAATTAGGGAAACTTACAGAAATATTAAATAGAAGACGAAAGCGTTTATATAATACACAGTAAAATCATTGAAAACGATAATTCAAAGCCTCTAAGGCTGTGAGCTTAATTATAGTATATCAAAATTTATTTAATTTAATTTAAACTTCACTGCTGCAATGCAGCACTTCTCTCTTTTATTTTCATAATTTTTAAAATAAAATCTTTTATTAAATCGTCCACTTCCTCTGTCTCTTCTCTATACTTACTCTCTACCAATTCCAAAATCATCAAAACTTATAAAATAGTTGTTTTGTGCTTACAACTGAGCTAACTTTTTAAAATTTTAGGCTACCAGATATTTAAGAAATATTTTAAAAACTGTAGGAAAAATTTCTTATGATTTAGCTTTTATTCGTTAGCTCGATAATTAAAATATCATTATTATCAAAATCTTTATTGCTCTGTGCAATGATGCTGGGCTTCTATTCTATAAATAGCTATCTGAGATGAGCTATTAGCATCAATAAAAGCTCTTGAGCTGCTTAAATGAAAGCTATATCTGCTTACTTGTTCTTTAATATCTTTATTAATTTCAGAAGCGCATATAGTTCTGCCTAATGAAAATCTGAACAGTTTCACAACATTCACCCCAGGCTCATTAAATAGCATAGATGGGCAGAATAATTTTTGAAGGTAAACCCCAATTATGAATAAAATAATTCAGCCTAAATACTCTGTTAACATTCAAGCTTCAATTGAAACCGCTGAAATTATCCAATACAAAGAAGAAAGCCCCACACTCCATAAAATGGCTAAATATGAGATTATTTGCCAAAGGTTCATGCGGCTTTCGTTATAAGGCTTCTTTTTTAAACAAATAAATGTAAAAATAAATAAAAGAATACAGTAAAAAAGTCCATGGAGTGCTTGACTTTGAGGTTTCACTGTTTTACTTAGTCCCCCTCTCCATGAGTGAATAAAAAAATTTGTTCACTCTCAGAGGGTGTTAATTTTTTTTGAAATTTTAAAAAAAATCCTAATTTGCAAAAATTGGAAAGCAAATATTAATTTAATTTATAAAATTTATGTTTTAAAACGCAATTTGTTAAAATTAAACAAAATTAGCTCGAGATTTCATTATACTAATTATCACTTATACATCAATTTTTTTTCATAAAAAATTGTTGTTCAGTCACAGAGGGTGGGCTTTTGGGCCAAAAATAGGGATTTTTCCAATCGTTTTATTCACCCACGGGGGGAGTTAGAGCAATAATACATACTTGGAAGATACTTTTTATCGTCAAAAAAAGTGGCCTCGTTTTTATATTAATGAATTCTTGAGAGAGTTCTCAATAAGGCCTAAAATATATTGCAAGAGGCAGATAAAGGACTAAGCTTAATATAGAAAGGATCGCCCATAATATGTGTGTATCTTTTCAGCAGAAAGTTGAGCAGTCTTTGCGTACAAATGATTGACTCAGTTTCGAGCCAATTTGTTGATCACACTGAATAACACTAAAAAAAACTGAAATAAAAGGCAAAAATAGTGCATTGCCAAGAATTGGTATTGAAAACTTTGAAAGAATATTTCAATTGCCTAATAAATCATTTTCTGTATTTTCTCCAATGCGAAAAATAATTGTCACACAGAATAAGAGTCAAGCTAAAATTCCGACTAAAGCAAAATACATGTGAAGTCACATGTTTTTGCCTTGAGAAGACCAATTAATAGAAGTATAATGAGGGAGTGTATAAGTAAAAATGTCATAATTCTCTATATCAGGCCCGACTGATATAAGTTGTAAGAAATCTATTAAAATCATTATAGCTTGAACCTTCTTTTGGCTTAGGCTATACTGATGTTGTAGGGAGTTGTTTTACTAGCATGTTGTTAAACCAACTTATCAGATGGAGAATCTCCAATATACAGTGGATTTGCCATTTAGGGGTTGGTTTTGCCAATAAAAGCTAGTAAAACTAACTCCTAGCCCAAACCAAAAGGAAGCTCGGGCTATAGCATCGCGACATAATCTTCAAATTGAATAAGTTTTGGCTCTCTTATGTCCTGGATTTCCACATTTCATCACTTTTTTCATATATAAAATGCTAATACAATCGTATGAATGGCAATTCCAATAGAAATTCCATATAAAATCCCCGCACCATTTGCCGAGTACTCAATTTGACTGTTTTTAAAGGGGCATCCATTTTCATTTTCAACTGTATCTGAAGGTGTATTTGTTTTATTATTATACCAAATAGCATCTTCATAAAAAGAAAACAATTGTAAACTCCCTAGGTCATAAGCCCCTATTAATTGTTCGTATAAAATATTATACTGACTGTCATACCTTAAATTATAAATTCCTATAGGTGCTGAATTCCTATCATTTGACTGAGAATTAATCGAAACAGTCCCAGAGCAGCCTAAAAATCTTTGCTGCCTTAAATAGGTATTAAAAAGACTGGAATTATACACATCTTGTCCTTGGTCTAGAGTGTATTTTAATGCATACAAAATAAGCATTGCTGTATCATAAGAAAAACACCGAAAATCTGCATTTATAGTGGGGTATTCTTTTAAAAAACCTTTACTCCCCGTCTGTGAGTGAACAAAACCATTAGAAAAATCGCTATTCTTTGCCTAAAAGCCCACCCTCCGTGAGGAATAAAAATTTTTTATGGAAAAATATTTTGAAATATAAGTGATAATCACTATAACGAAACCCCGAGCTAAATCTGTTTAAATTTTAAACAAATTGCTTTTTAAAACATAAATTTTATAAATTAAATTAATTTCCAATTTCTACGACTTAGGATTTTTTTAAATTTCGAAATAAAAATATTTTCTGTATAATTTTGTTTTAAAAAAAAATTAACCTCATCCATGAGCGAACAAGATTTTTTTGTTCACTCACAGAGGGAGGGGAAGTTAGAACCTCCTTACCATACTCTCCTATCCATTCGGCTTCGTTTATAACAATTCCACCGTAAGCAATTGGTGCCATACTTTCTAGCATTGATGGGTCAGATATGGTTGTATATGCAAATGCAAGCTTGTTAGGATACAAGAGAATGAAATCTCCCATTTCAATTCCTGCATTATGCATATCTGCTAAAAAATAAAAAGAGGAGGGAGGAGCCATATTAAGGATAAGAGGCCTTGTTTTATAAGCCAGGAGACTTATCATTAATTCTTTATACTCATCAAAATGGCTGGGATTGTAATTTTCAACAATTTGCATTTCTTCAGGCTTATTAAAACAAAAATAACTGTGACTTATCCGACCCGATTTCTCTCATGCCCTCTGGGTTTTTGGGTCTAAGACAGGGCCTGGAACTTTTGTCCGTGTGGTCAGGACGTCACAGCAGGGTATTTGACCCTATGCCATAGATAAGAAGGTCAAGGTCTTAGTGCTCTACACTTCTGGATGCGAAGACTAATGGAGATCTGAAGGAGGATTTGGAGTCTTGTCATATTCATTCCTGGATAGATCATGTCTAACGCTAGGTGTTGCCCCAAGGAAGTACCTGGGGGCGTCTCCCCGAGAGATGGCGACATCACCATTTTTGATGACATCGACAGAAATAGGGCCTAAGTGCAAATCGGTGCTTATGGCCCGGAGTCTGAAGTCAACAAAGGTGGAGAAAGGTTAGAATAAGCACCTAAGACCCATTCTGCTTTAATTAATCTTATCAGGCTTATTAACAATGTTAATATTGGCGGACTCAGCGCGTGCTTTTAAATATTCATACATTACCCAGCTTACTGTAGAGTTTTCTGTTACAATCAGGACATTTTTCCATCCAAAAATGTACATTAAGTCCATCAATACATTAATCCTATAATCATCGTTCCCAGCAATCCTCATAAATTCGGGATATTCAGTTTTATTAGCGAGAACCCCTACAGCCACATGATCAGCTATTAAAGGTATTGTAATATTTAGCATCCTCATTGATGTAATGTCTCCAAGCGCTACTATTGGGAATGGGTGTACTAACTCCTCCCCCTCCGTGAGTAAACAAAAAAATTTTGTTCACTCACGGAGGGGGGCTAATTTTTTTTATAAAACATTTTAAATATAAATTTTTATAAAACGTATTTTTTTTCGAAATTTAAAAAATCCTAATTCGCAAAAATTGGAAAGCAAATATTAATTTAATTTTATAAAATTTATGTTTTTTAAACGCAATTTGTTTAAAATTAAACAGAATTATCTCGAGATTTCATTATACTAATTATCACTTATATATCAAAATTTTTTTCCATAAAAAATTTTTCTATTAAAAAAATTTTTGTTCAGTCACGGAGGGTGGGTTTTTGAGCAAAAATAGCGATTTTTCTAATGGTTTTGTTCACTCACGGAGGGGGGGAGTAAGTAAGCGACTCCAGGGTCATTTACTAACTTTTTATAACAATTCAAAGAGAATGTGGGCTCATATACTTCTGCTCCGCAATTTATATGAGTTTGCCAAATTTCAAAACCGTCTAGAAAATGGTCAGTCACTGCAGCTTTGAGGGCGTATTTTGCTCCATCTTTCACTACAGTAAAAGAGCTATTGGCAAACCCTAGAGGATTGCTAGCTCCGTCTCCCATCCATATAGAAATATTTGTGTATGGGGAATTAGGGATTTGAGTAGAATTTCCTGGAAATATTAGAGTGCTTGAAAAATCTAAAGATCCCTGCGAAATGTAGCCGACGTTGACTTTTTGAGAGTTTTTGATATTTATTATGGTGAAATTTCCAGGTAAATAATGATTTACTGTACTTTTTTCTAAAAATTCTCTTGTTGCAAGCGAATTCGAATTATCTGGAAAGCTGAGGATTAAATTTAATAATTTTGCAATTGAGAGAGCTTCATAGCTATAATAATCAGTGGCATTTTCCAAGCCTGACTCAGTATATCCTATTAATCCATCAAATTTTGCATTTCAGCTACTTTGGCTTCCTAAAATAACCCCAGCCCCGTTATCAAGGATTATTTTATTTTCTAGGCTTTTTAATAATTTATTGGCGGTTTCTCCTGGGTTCAAAATTACCAAATTCTGAATCCCTGTTGGCTTTATTTTTTTGCCTATAAATAAATCTGCCAAATTTTGGTCGCTGGTATTTGGAAAATAGAAAATATTGACTGTTTTATTTGGATATTTTTCAAGAAAACTCTCATCTAAATCGTTTGAAATTATTATAAACACGTTCCAATTGAAAAATGAGACTAAATTATTAAGAGCGTTTTCATGATCCTGTTGGGCTGAATGGCTAAAAAATTCCCATCTACTATATGAATAAGACAAGTCTTGCGTTGAAATCAAAATTATATGATTCCTTCCTACATATTCTTTAATATATGCTGAAATTGAAGTACTGAAAGTTAAATCTACGATAATTTTGAGATTAATTTCATAATAATCTAAATCACTAAAAGAGCTTATCAGTCTTGCTCTGATTTCTATCAGATTTTGGTAATTTTGATTGAGCTTATCAAATATAACTGATTTTAATTCTAGATCTGTTGACGCACTATAATATAAATCCACAAGAAGCTGACATTCAGTGAGTTGGAGAAGCAAAAAAACTAATAGTCCAGCTTTCATTTATTATTTATGATATAAAAAAATTAAATCCCAAAAGAAAGTAAGAAATAAATACTTACAAAGACTGTTGATTTTAGGCCAACCTGAATATTGTTTATGGCTTGCTTTTAAGAGTTCTATTCAATGCAAACCTATTTAAAAGACAATATTGAGTGCATAATATTGTAAACAAAGCCACAAAATGCATAAAACTTTTCATTGCATTAAGAATTTTAAGTTTTTGCATAAAAATTATAAAATCATTTTGCTACGCTATTTTTATTTGTTATGATAATTTTTTAAGTTATGTTAATATGAGAAAATTAGGAATTCTTTGTCTAAGATATGAATCTCGCTTTGCCTCTTCATCTTGATAGCACAACTCGCTGAAGTGCGATAAAGGGATGGTGTCAAAAAAAATCCTAAAATAATTATAGATAAAATAAATACACTTATAAATTAAAGTTAAATATCCACAAAATTTCAGATTAAAATTTATATTTATTCGATTTCTTAATCACTAATTATCAATATTTTGATTTTCTTGCTACGATTTATAGTGTATTTACACAATTTATAATAAATAGTAGCAAATATATTATTTAAAATTTTGAAGCATATGAAAATCGTTCGACCAAGGATTGGATTAAATATTGAAAAATTAAACAAAATTTTCACTCAAAGATGTAATGGAGTAAAGAGATATTATATTAATATAAACCTGTCAATGCTTGAAACAGATTATGGCAACAAAATGAAAACCATATTAATTTTCATTGCCACTTTTATTTTTATATGCAATAAAATATAATAAATAAACAGGCATTATTAGAATTTTTTGAATTATTGCATATAATTAGCTATTACTATAAGCCATTAAAAATATTTAGGCATAGTCTGCATTTAAAGTTCCTTTTATTCTTAAAAATGTGTGGTGTATGCCAAAATAAAGAAAATCCTGACTATTGATTCATTATTGGATGCTAATCTATTTATAATCTCGTAATAAATTCAGAATTAATTATTAACTTCCTCACCCATCTTTGGCCAAATCGCTTCGATCATTCGATAAAGGAAAGTTTTAGAAAAATTATATGGCTCGAGAATCCATTTAGATCACCCAGACAAGGCCTCAAGAATTAAATTAAAAGTCTGACAGGTTAAATTTGTAATAGCAAACACCATTTTATGGCTGATATAGATATAGCTTGACAGATTTCATCTATAGGCTCTATTTGTCAATCCGAAATTGTTATAAAAATAGTATTTGCCATTATGACTCTGGCTCTCGAATCTCTACTCACATCTTTTTCCAGAGCGATCTAAAACTAGATAAGCTATTTATAAACCTTAAAATCTTTTTATAAACCTTTTTCATATAAAGTAAATTATGTTTTAGAGATAAAAAATAAATACTTCAATTATGATATAAATTACATTAGAATTTCATATAGCAAGTATGCTGTAATGTCTCTAAGGTTCATAGTTGTAAAAGATAGGCAGGCAGATTTGGGTAGATCACGGGAGTGAGTTTCATCCTTGACTCTATGAAAATCACTCAATCAAGGACTTGGGTTAATTTTTCCTTTTTCTTGGGAGATTTCAATAGATAGTTCGATTAACATGGAGGATTAAGGCAATATAAGTCTGAAGGGATTCATTATAAAAGCTTATGCTGAAAAATTTTGCGTCCCAATTATATGCACAAAAGAGTATAACTTATTAGGCTGCATTATGTCTTTGGAAAATACTTGAAACTCTATTTACATTTTATAGCATTCTTAAAGAATGAATAATAAAATTGCTTTTGGATTTTATAAGCATGATCTATAAATAATTAAAGCATAAAAATGATAATAGAATATCGCAATTTATTAAAATTCAGAGTGAAACATCATTTTACCCAATTTATTCTGATTATTTAGTTCTAATCATATTAAATCATAATTTTATTATCTTAATTACGAATTTTAAATTAATTCTTTTCTATTTAAACAAAGGTAGATTTTTCCTTCAGCGAATAGCTCTTATCTGCAATTTCTTTTTTCATTCTATTTATATCATCAGCTGTAACATTTCTGCTCATTTCAAATTTGAAAAAAAATTTGATATCTATTTTTTTATCAGAAATCAATAATCCTGCACACCATTTACATTGAATTGTAATCCCAACTACTATTAAAATAAGCCAAACTAAATTAAGCATCATTCACAGTATCCCTGAGTCAACATTCAACATTCTATAAGCTAATGAAATAATAAAACTTCATAAAATTGCTATATAAGAAATAATCAACCAAAGATTCATTCGGTGATAATTATAAGGCCTTTGCTTTAGGCAAATATAAATAAATATAATAAAAATGAAAAGGCAGCAAAACCCATGCAAGGACTCGTCGTAAACTTTTATGGTTTTATTCATACATACAATAATGACTTGAAAAACTGTTTTTTCAATAATAAAAATCGGCTGTGTTTTTATATTTATGTGGCTATTGATATTTTCATATATATATCGGGAAAAAATAGCTAACTCTCCATTTTAAAATGGAACAAAATATCAGTGAAATTACATTTTAAGGTAACCTTTAAAAAGAACTAAAACTTTAATATTTATACATAAAAATAATAATTTATATACAAGAGGCTTTTTGATATCCAACTTAATGCCGTTAAACAAAATCGATAAAATAAATTATATTTTATGAAAATTATAATTTATTTAATAAGAAAAATATTAATTTAATTTTTCAAAAAAATCTAAATCTTTGAATTGGGATATTTTTGTTTTAATTTAAAGGGGGGAAGAGTAGAGGAATATAAGTAAGCAAAGAGAAAATTGCTAAAATCCCTCATAGGAAAAATTTTTTATCCCAACAATTGACTGTACAATCATTTTCTATAAAAGAATCGGTGATTTTCGGACCAATTCCTTTATCGCATTGAAAAATACTTAAAAGCACTGAAACCATAATTATAAATATAAAATTTCCAATTATAGGAAGTAATAGCAAAGCAAGATTTATAGCGTGACTAAACAATTCCCTAGTGAACTTATTTAGTCTACAAACCAATAAAATAGCTGTAGCAACTCAGTAGCAAGAGATAGCGATAGCAGCATATAAATAGCCTCAGTAAATATCTCCTGTTACATTAGAGTCAAAATGAATTATAGGGCTTTCCCTTGAATAGCCCTATAACGGGCTGGCTTCATCCCGTTATCGAGCAATTCAAGGGAAAGCCCTATAGCGAATATGTGCATACTATGGACAACCATGGATATAATTTGCTAATATCCGGGCCTTGAGAAAGAAATTGGAAAAAATCTATAACTAAAATCCCCATTGATATATAATCTTCAAAATGCACATATGAAGGAGCTGTTAATTTGCTTCCCCCCCAATTCCTTTGAGATGCAAAATTTCTTGTTATAGAGACTAATTTTTTTTTAAAAAATTTAAAATTATAAAAATTTTTATTATTAAAAATTCTTGTAAATATATAACGCCTTGCTATAATTGTGGGAGGCCTCTGGTATGTGAAAGGTGAGAGATATAATAGCTTCACATATGGAAAATATTTCTGGAATATGAAGAATATCTCTACATGCCAGAGGCCTCACACAATTATAGCAAGGTGTATATGGATTAACAGCAATTTTTGCTTGGATACGGACAGGGAGTTATCATTACATTTTTCCAAAATTTTTTTCATATTATCAAAGATTCAACAATCGTCATAGCTATTACGAATCCCATAATTCCATATAATGCGTTGCTGCCTTTTTCAGAACGTGAAATCTGTTTTTGTGGGAATGGGCAGCCATTTTCATATAATATCAAATCATTAGGTGCTACTGTAGAATTATCATATCAAATTATACTTTCATATAAAGTAATCAATTGTACGCTATAAATATCATATTCTCCTACAATCTTTTCATATAATAATCCGGAGTCCTCATCTCAACTTAAGCTAAAAACTCCAATAGTCGGCAAGCTTCTCTGATTGCTTCCTTGTTCTATTGATACAGTCCCAGAGCACCCCGTAAATTTCTGTTTTCTTAGATTTTCATTTAAAATTTCAGAGTTCTTGAGGTCTTGTCCATGTTTTATAGTAAATTCTATCCCGTATAAAAGTAGCATTGCTGCATCAAATGCAAAACATCCATAATTTGTGTCATTTCCATATATTTTTTTCATGCCACTTTTTATCGTTTTCGCATATTCTCCAATCCATTCAGCCTGGGCAACTATAACTCCTCCATAAAACAGTTCATTAATTTTTCTTTGGTCCTCAATACTTTCCCATATAAGCATATAAGCCATTCTTATATTTGATAAAAAAATTGCATCACCTCTCCTTAATCCTGCATCATAAAAGCTTTCAATTACGTCAAACCAGTATGGAGGAGTCAGAAAAATAACATAAAGCCTGACCTTTAAACTTATAATACTTGAGAACCAATTTTCCCATTTTGGAAAATCCTTTACTGTATAATTTGAATCTATCATTTGAAGATCAGGGCTGTTAACGATTTTCATATCAAATTGTTCTATTTTCGATACAAAGTAATTGTAATTTTCTATATTTCTTTTATTGTAAATGACAAGAGAATTTTTTTTAAATAAAATGGAAAATCACAAACCATATTGACTATGCTTGGGGTCTGAAATAAAGTAATGATTGGGAGAAAAAGGTTCTGGTGGTTTTTATCTTGCTGGTTATCATGGCATCCATTTCCCCGACCTTAATTCGCCCCTTTTAGAACTAGGGATACCACAAAAGGGTAGTTAGCCCAATAAAGTTAGGGTGCAGTTGCTTAATCCTATGATCAAAAAAATACAATAAAATTTTTTCATCCAAAAATTACTGCGAGATTTAGAATTAGTTGAATATTGAATCTTATATCTGACGCCACTGTCATAAATTCGGGAAAAAGAGCTTGATTCCCTGAAAGGACAGAAGGAGCATATGGAGATATATTAGGTATCGAGACATTTAAAGATCTCAATGTATAGATATAGCTGATACTGATTGATGTATAATTAAATTTGATGTCTCACGCTCGCAGCCAGCTATGCTGACTTCCTTTTAACATATATTTAAATATATCCTGTAAGATTTTGCCATCCCAGAAATGGAGAGAAATTCTAGGTAAGCAATTCTTGAAGTATCAGAGCCTAGCCCAAGTCCACTTTCAAGGATGGATTTTACCTAAAGGGAAAGGTGGCACGAAGTGGAAAGGGTTGTCCTGCAACGCCTAACAGGCAATTCCTAGACCGATTGGTCACTTCATCAGCGTGAAACCAGGATTTACGTGTGAACAAGACTTGCTTCTCTACTCATCAGCTTAGAGTAAGGCCGCACGAATCTGAAGACTATCCACTCAATACTGGAGCTGAAAGGCAAGGAGGAGACACCGTCTCTGATTAGAGGACTGTCGCAAAGCGTTTAAATTGGAAATACTCTGTGATTTTGTTAAAACTAGGGCGAGAACCTATCTATTAATATGCTAAGTTAATTTAAGATACTGATTGATGGATAATTAGAAGTTAAAAAACCTACTCCAGGAGTAACTAATAATTGAGAAAAACAGGAAACCCCATACTCTTCATCGTAAACTGAAACTCCACAATCAGTGTTCGTGGATGTTATTTCGAAGGGTGGGTCCAATGTCATAGCCTTTTTTGATAGTGTCCATTTCACGAAGTATTTTTGGCCGAAATTGGTTGAAGCTTTTTGATAGTGAGACATTTAATCGAAAAAAACCCGTTAATTTTCGACGATGAAATGCACACTGTCAAAAAATCCATTTGGCATGGAGCCTATTTCGAAACCATCTAAAGCATGTAAGCTTTGCCAATAGTTTAGAGCATAAAATTCCCCTGCTGCTGATGTTGATGGTATAACTGCAGGGGTAGAACCCGGATTTGTGGTCCCGTTTGCGATCCATATGTTGACATCAGTAATCGGAGAGTTTGGAATTATTGAAGAATTTCCTGGAAAAATCAGGGAGCTTGAAAAAGTTAAATTCCCATTAAAAATATTTCCTGATATAAATTTTTGGCTATTTTTGGTATTAATTACAGTAAAATTGGATAACGGGCGATGGCCAACTGTATTTTTATTTAAAAATTCAAGTAAGTTTAATGAGTCAGATTCAGAAGGAAAACTAAGCACCAACTTCAAAAATTTAATAATTGCCAATCCTTCATAACTGTAATAGCTATCCGCAAATTCCTGTTCGGATTCTGAGATCCCAATAATCCCATTACCATATAACCCATAAGAGCCTTCACTTCCTACTATAATTCCAGTCCCATTTATAAGTAAATCTCTATCTTCTAAACTTTTTAGCAGTAATTTAGCGCTTTCTCCATTATTTAAAATCACAATATTTTTAATCCCACTAGCTTTGACTACTTTTCCTATAAATAAATCTGCTGAATTTTTGTTATTGCTATTTGAGAAAATTGATAGGTGAAAATTTTTATAAGAAAAAATATTGCAAATCTTATTTCCTTCATTGTGAATTTCGTCAGAAATTATTATAAAAGTTTCCCAGTTTAAATAAGAAATAATACTTGATAAAGCTTCGAGCTGATTTTCTCATGAGCAATGCACAAAAAATTCTCAGTTAGAATAGATGCCATGAGGCTTATTAATGCTTGCTATTATAAAATGCTTTTCTTCAGCAAGTTCTTTTATTATCTCTGATAATATTGTGCTAAAACTAAGGTCTATTATTACATCCGGGCTATTTATAAGTTGCTGAACCTCCCTAGAGCTTTCTATGTACACGAGGTTAAAATCAATTATTCCTTGAAAATTTAGCTGAAGAAGAGATGTCAAATTTAAAGCAAAATCTTGGCTTGTGAAAGGGCTGTAAATTATGTCAACAATCATTTGGCCTTCACAATAGAAAATTGCATAGATGAAAACCGCTAAAAAGCTCATTGTTGAAGTTTAATTTAAGGTTTATTTAAAGGCTGATAATAAAAATGACTATAACTAACAATGGTAAGCATCTTGACTTGATTAATATTATAAATAGTTAAAGAAAATATTTTATGATAAAACAAAGAATTAATTTATATAAGGGTGAAAGATATCATGATAATAAAAAGCGCAAAATAAACTAATTATTTTGAAAAAAATTAATTTTTATAATATTTACTTAGTTATTTATTGAAAAACAAAAACTTTTAATAATCATAACCTATATTTTCATTTTCGTTCATGACCAACACTAATTTTAGAAAAAAGACTGAATAAATAATACTGCAATATAAAAGCTTATTCCATTAATATATTTTATTATAAGACTAGAATATTAGATTGATTATAATCTTTTAGGATATTTATTCTTAATTAACTATTTATTTTTTAAATTAATTCATTGAATCGCATTATGTTCATTCTTCCTTCTCATCAGATATAGCATTCGAAAAATGGGCTTCTGATTTAAATTTTAAAAATTGTTAAAAGCATTTGAGCAATTTTGAAAAAATTTTATGCTAATTATAAAGATAAAGAATAAATAAAATAAACATAAATAAAATCTCATGATATGAAATAATTCAAAGCTTTTCGCTTATTTATATAATTTTTATAATTAAAAGACTAAATATGAGGCTGCAAATTTCTGCAACAAATTTTATATTTTATTATCATAACTACGCTTATATATTTTTATTACTATAATAGCAATCTTTGTATTCAAATTTCAATACTTTATCGCAAAAATTGTAAATTAAGAAGACATAAACTAATTCAAAATCTGAATAAAAATCTCAGATTAGAAATAAGAAATTCTAAAATCAAAAACAAAAAGATTCTACAAGCCAATTAAATAGTTGTTTTATATCATTAACTAAGCAAGCAAAATTTTTAGCTCAAATGTAGAAAGAATATTAAATAAAATAGCTGAAAGTCATAAATTTGCATTATCATTACTTTTTAGGTAAAAACAAAGATGAAGAATCTAGACTTGAAGCTTTCATTTTACTAGTTTTTATTTTCCCCAATTTTTCTGTTAATTTTATTTATTTCGTCAGCCGAAATACGACTTCCCATCGAAAACTAAAAAAAAAATTGCAATATCTGTTGACTGATCAGTAAATAGCAAGCTTGGAAATCGTTTTCATTGAATTATAATATCAATTGCTATTAAAATAAGGAATACTGAATATTGAAGTAAATATCATAGAGGTAAATAATTAATATTTGTGACCCAATAGAAAGATGATACAATAAAGCTCCACGAAACTGCGAAATATGAAATAATCAGCCAAAGATTCATTTATAATAATTATAAGGATTTTGCTTAAAGCATAGCGCAATAAATATAGCAAAAATAATTATGCAGCAAAGCCCATGCAAAGACTCATCATAAAATTTTACAGTTTTATTCATAGATATCATAACCACTTGGCAAATTGATTTTTCTATTAGAAAAATAGGTTTCATTTTTATATTAATATACACATTGCAATTTTCATAATAAATTCTAAAATAAATAGCTGAAGGTATATAACTGCCCAAAGATATTATTGATAAAACTCCTGGTAAGACATATTTATTATCTCAACAATAATTGGTGCAGTCATGCCTTATAAAAGAATCAGTAATTTCTTGGCCAATTCCTTGGTCGCATTGAAAAATACTTAAGAGCACTAAAACCATAGGCACAAATATTATATTTCCAATTATAGGCAGCAATAATAAGGCTAGGCTTCTTGCATGGTTCAATAATTTTTCCAAAAGTTTATTTAGTCTTGATAATACTAAAAAAATTGATAAAATCGAATAGCTAGAAATACCAATCGCAGTGTATAAATAGTATCAATAAGCATACCCTGCAACTGAAGAATCAAAACTCATCAAAGAGTAGCTGCACAATACCGATAATCATTTATCCATTTTGCTTATATCAGGGCCTTGAGAAATAAACTGCAATGCATCTATACCCTAAATTGCCATGAGAATATAATCCTCAAATTGTATATAAACTGGCTCAATTAATTTTTCAATTTTTATATATTTTCAAAATTTTTCTCATATAAAAATTAGCTGCTAAAATTGTAATAATAATAGCACGCCCGCAATACCATATAATACACCAGCGCCTTTTTCAGAGCGAAAAATTATTTTAGCTGGAAATGGGCATCCATTTTCATATGTTAGCATATCAGTAGGCACACTTGTAGTGTTGTCATACCATATAACGCTTTTATAAAATGTAATTAATTGGGCACTACTATAATCATATTTTCCTACAAGCTCCTCATAGAATCTTCGGGAATATTCATCCCACTTTAAGTAATGAATCCCTATTGTAGGTAAGCTTCTCTGGTTAGTTCCAGGTTCAATTGACACAGTCCCAAAGCATCCTAAAAATTTTTGTTTTCTAACTGATCCCTCCTTGAGCGAACAAAAAACATTGTTAGCTCACGGAGGTGGTTAATTTTTTTTTTAAAATTTTATGTTATTTGAAATTTAAAAAAATTCCAATCTGAAAAAATTGAGAAGTAAAATTAAATTTAATTTGTAAACTTTATGATTTAAAATGCAAACTGTTTAAAATAATCAGAATTAGCTAGAGATTTAATTATAATAATATCAGTTATATATCATTTTTTTTATAAAAAATAATTTGTTCGCTTACGGAGGGTCAATTTTTGGACAAAAATAGGGATTTTTCTAATGGTTTTATTCGATAGCGAGGGAGTAAGGTTGCTCTTCATTACTAGGTAATTTTTAACATCCTGGCCTTGCTGAACGGTAAATTTTATCCCATTCAAAAGTAGAATTGCAGCATCAAATGCTAAACAGCGGAAATCTGTTTCATTTCCGTATTTTTTTACATATCCATCTTTTATCATTTCTCCATAGTCTCCAAACCATTCAGCTTGTGAAACAACAATTCAACCATATATCAAATCTATAAGCTTCAATCGTTCTAATAGGTTAGTTTCCCACATAATTGAATAAGCAACCCTTCCATTAGACAAAAAAAATGAATCACCTGTCCTCATTCCTGCATCATATAAGCTTTCAATTACATACATCCAATAAGGAGGCGTCAGAAATACTACGAAAAGTCTTCCTCTTAAACGTATTAGCCCTTCAAACCAATATTTTCATTTCGGATAATCATTTTTAGTATAAAAAGTAATCATTTCTAATTAATTTTTTTGAAAAATATTTAAAACAATTTTATTATATTTTTTACTAACTTTTTAACATTTATTTACAATAAAAAGTTTATCAATCCTTCGCAATTCAGGAGGATTCAGAATTCTCATATTGAATTTTTCTACTTCTGCGACAAAGTAATTATACATTACCAAGCTTAAATCATCATGAATGACTATAAATTTTTTCAGCCAAAAATTACTCCAAGAATCACACTATTAAAAATGTTAGTTAGGGATAGGTCCTAGCACCTGTTAAAACAGGATGGACCTATAATCGAGCTTAGTGAGAGAAGCCAAAGCTTCTTGAGAGTCTCAGCTTGAAGAGAAGAGGTCAATGCTTAGGTTTGCACTGGCATGAGAAGTCTAGAAGGTCTTATTAGCTTTAACGGTTCAAAAGTTAGGCCGGTCGGCCTACTCTTGTTCAGAGCTTTTAATGTAACTGGACCTCAAGTAAACAAGACTTAAGGCACAAGTGTGCTAGAGTAATTAAAATAAACATAAACCAAACTTAAACTTAAACTCCAAGATTTTCATCCTTTAATACAGTCATAAATTCTGGAAAAACTGACTGATTATTCATAGAGGTTGAAGGGGTGTACGGGGAAATGTAGGGAATTGAATAATTGAGATTTCTCAGAGTATAGATGCAGCATATTGTAATGAAAGGATAAAGAGAAGTTAAATAGCCGACCCCTGGGGTAGGAAGTAATTTAGAAAAACAAGAAAATGCATAGGCTTCGTCATATGTGGTCGCTCCACAGTCTGTATTCGTGACTGTGATTTCGAAGCCATCCAAGCATGGATACTTTGAAAATAGCTTATGGCATAAAATTCACCATCTGTAACAGTGGTAGCGATGTAGTCAGGAGAGGAGCCTGGATTAGTAGTCCCATCTGCAATTCAGATATTAATGCGAGTAATTGGAGAGTTTGGAATTTTTGAAGAATTTCCTGGAAATATCAGAGAATTTGATAAATACAAATTTCCGTTAAAAATGCTCCCTGATATAAATTTTTGATTGTTTTCATATTAAGTAAAGTAAAATTGGAAATTGGGTGATGGCCGATTGCATTATTATTCAAAAATTCAAGTAAGCCTAAAGGGTTAGATTCAGAAGAAAAGCTGACTCCCCCATATATTGCAATAAAATATTTTAAAAAAAAAATAACCCCCTTTAAATTGGGATAGGCTATAAAAATATAAATTAAGTGCGATTTTAATTATTTTTATGAAGAAATCAAATTAAAATATTAATCAATTCAGGGTTTAAATAGAATTCTACTCTCACTTCTTCTATTAAGTTAGGTCAAAACTATTTATATAAAAATTAATTTTGACCTATAAAATTTTCTTTTTGAAAAAAATTGTTCCAAATAAATGGGGTTAAATTGCTCAAAAAATAGAAATTTTATTGACATTTTGTTCCAATTTAAAAGTGGGGAGTGAGTTTCAACTTTAAAAATTTTCCAAATGCGAGCGCTTCATAACTATAATTGCTGTCTGCAAATTCTAAGCCTAATTCTACATAAGAAATGACTCCATTGCCATATAAATTTCATGAGCCTTCACTTTTACAATAACTCCAGTACCAGAAGTTAACAAATTTGTTTCATCTAAACTTTTCAGTAACAAACTTGCACTTTCTCCGTTATTTAAAATTACAATAATTTTTATTCCACTAGCTTTGATTACTTTTCCTATAAATAAATCTGCTGAATTTTTGCTATTTTGATTAGAGAACAAGAACCAAAAGCAATTTTTATCTGAAAAATGCTGCGAATACTCATTTAAAACTTCATCAGAAATCACGATAAATTTTTCTCAATTTAAATAAGAAATAATACTAGACAAAGTTTCAAATTGATTCTCCAATGGATTGTGAATAAAACTTGTAAATCTGAATATTGCTCAACCTTTCTATCGAGAGATGCAATTATAGCATGATTTTCCTTTATTCCTCCCAGTTTTTGAGCGAAGAAAAAATTTTGTTGGTGCAGGAGGGAGATTTTTTTGAATAAAAATGTAACTTGGAAAGCAAAAATGAATTAAATTTATATTTTAGAATTCAATCTAAAAAATTTAATTTATGATTTCTTTATAATAATTATCGCTAACATAGCTAAATTTTTAAAAAAATTTATATTAATACACTTTTTGCAAAAGTTTTTTACCCAAAAATAGGATTTTTTCCAATGTTTTTGCTTGCTCACGAGTGCTAGCAAATATTTGTATTGAATCTAGAAAAGATGTGCTAAAAGATATATCGAAAATTAGATCAGGAATGTCTGCAGCCAGGTTGATATCCCTTAAAGCATCCGCATTGATGAGACTAAATTCATGACTCTGTATATTTTTTTGTAAAAAATACGTTAAGTTTGACATGAATTCTTGATTTGTGAACGAGCTGTAGATAATATCAACAAGCAGCTGGCAGTTAGCCAGGATAATTACATTCAATAAAACTCCAAAAATCCTCATTTTCGAGTTTATATTTTATGTTCAATAATGCAGATTAGATCTTTAAGTTAATTTAATTTCAATTTATTAGTTTTTTGGTTGGGTTTTCCCTATCCTAACCAATCAATAATCAATTTTCTAATGCAAAAATCGAAATTCTATTAGTGACTGAAAATGGTCGAATAAATGTAAAAGTTTATTTGTTAAAAATAAAAAAATGCAATATAGATCTTAGACGATATTTTCAAAAAATATTTTTATGGATAATTGCCTAATGAACCTGGCTTATTGAGAAGGCATTGGAGTCGAAATTTTCTTTGATTAACAAAAAATCAGACTTATAGGCTATTTATGAAGTAATTTTGAGCTTAATTATAATTTGCGAAACCAATTTTTTGAAAATGTTATTTTTTACCTTAGAGTTAGTATTTATATATATTTTGAAGTAAAAATAGATTTATTTTCTGCAACTTGAAAATTTTTACATTTAATAATAAATGATTTTTAGTTTTTATTTTGAATATTTCCTTAGAATTCTTCATCTTAAAAACATCTGAATTATATTAATTTAATATAATTTTATCTAAATCAACTTCTTTCCTTATCAAATAAATTAAATTATTCGAAAATGTACTTATTTATATCTTTAATTTAAGGTATAAAATCAAATCAAAATTGAGCAAGATTGTACATTGCTATTATAAGCTTCTTCGAAATGCATCAGTAAAGATAATAATTATAAATATCAAACTTCCTGTGAAGAGAATAAGCATTCACCTGAAGAGCAACTTTAAAATCTAAAAAAATAATAGACTCAACACCAAATAACTATATCTTTTTTTAACTATTACTGCACATTTCAAAATCTCTTTCTTTTTCAGAATCAGAACTTCCATCGCCTTTCTACCTGAAAGAGTAATGCATATTTAGACAAGCTCTTAAGCTGCTTAAATTTAAGCTGTGCTTTATCCTACACTCTTTGATTTTATTAATCTTAGAAGCATTTTTATTTTAATCTAACGAAAACCTAAACAATTTGACAATATTTACTCCAGGCTCTTAAAAAGCATAGTTGGGAATAAAGTTTCTGAATATAAGGTGCAACAATAATATACCTATTTAATTTGGGTGAAAAAATTCCTACTGGCTAGCTGATTTTCTTATTTAATATATAAAATATAGGATAACTGAAACCTGTAGAAACAGTTATATTGTTTATAAGCAGGTATAAAATAATCCAGCCTAAATATTCTGGCAAAATAAAGCTTTCATTGCTTTTTTTGGGATTATCCAATATAAAGAAGACAAAGCTAGCCTCTATAAAAGTGCTAAAAATGGAAAATTTGGCCAAAGGCTCATGCGGCTTTCGTTATAAGGCTTCTTTTTCATGAAAATAAATAGAAAATGGATAATAAAATGCTGTAAAAGAGTCTGTGAAGAGCTTGGCTTTGTAGATTATGGGCTTATTAGGTAGAATGACGCTAATACGCATAAAATGGCGACCTAAGCATGCTTTCTTCTTAATGCAATTTTCAGCCTCATGGTCAAACCGAGTTAGGCGACAAATCAGCTAGCATATAGGTTCAAAAATATGTAAATCGGGTTGGTTTTGACTTGATTACGGTTGAAAGTAAATAGCCCGCAATGTCCTTTGGAACTTGAGGGTCAATCTCACCACGATATCAAGAATTAAGGTCTAGGCCACAAAGTACAAGCTTATTTTCCCTTAATTGCTGAAGGCACACATCTATTAGCTGCTAAATTTCAGGTCATCCTCCATTATCAAGCTACTTCCCAAGGCGACAGAAATCAATAATTATCCACTTGGACAAGAGCAGCCGGCTTTTATTTCTGTTGCAATGAGGAGATCAAAGAGTGCTGATCTATCTGTACTTGGCATCAGTAATCAGAGGAGGTGAAGATAGCGCTAGAAAATCATAGATCCGAGCATAGGAACGTTCCATAGGGAGACAAGTGGATGAATGCTCTGCAAGGATCCTTGGTGACTGCAATAATACTAGGGCAAGACATATCAGTAATTAAGCAGGACAATGACGCTAACTTGAAAAAACTTTTTATCAGCAAAAAAAGTAGGCGAGTTTTAAATTGATAAAGTATTCATAAAATCCCAATAAGGCCTGAAATAAATTGGTAAAGGTGAATAAAAAGTTAAGCAAATAATAGAGAGAGGTTGCTCATAATGCACGATTATCTTTTCAGTAAAAAGTGTTGCAATCTTTTCTACAAAAGTTTCTGTCAATTTTGAGCCAACCTGCTGGTCACACTGAATAGCATTTAAAAATTCTGACACCAAAGGCAAAAATAGCGCGTTTTCTATAATAAGTAATTTGATAGCAATTTTCATTGATCCAGAAGAATGCTATCTAAGCTTCCAATGCTAAAAATAAGAGTTATGCTGACTCCCCCCCCCTTTAAATTGAAACAAAATATAGGTAAAATTCCTACTTTTTTGGGAAATTACCCACCCCCCCTTTAAATTGAAACAAAATTTTATTATAATAGAAAATTTTATAGGTAAAAAATCATTATTTTATATGTAAATACGTTAATACCCTATTTAATATGCTTCAAACATATAAGATTTAGAAATTAAACTCTATTTTGTCCAATTGTTATGGGGAGAGTTAGAAGAATACCATTTCAGCAAGTTTACACTTTGAGATTGAGAAATTTATGAATTAATTTTTCATGAAATTAAAATTAAAAATCAAACACAGAATGAACCATAAAATTTTATCTCTGAAAAAATTTTTATATATAAATTTTTTTATAAAAAAATTTTCTTAACCCCCCTTTAAATTGAAACAAAATTTTTTGTTTCAATTTAAAGGGGGGGAGGGAGTGAATAAAAGTCAAGTGGAGAAAGCTCCTATTTGAAAAAATATAAGGATTTATAAATATTTACCTTGGGACATTCGATTGAACGGAAGCAAAATGACTTACAGAATCATAGATTTTTTTTATCAGCCCAATTGATATAAACTGCAAAAAATCAAGCAAAATGATAAGAATACGATATAATCTTTAAACTGAATCATTTTAAGCTCTTTTATTTTTTATATCAATATTTTATCGTCTTTTTCATATAAAAAACGTTATAATCATTGTATTAATGAAATTCCAGCCCCACTTATTGAGTACTCCTTAAATGGGTAGCCATTTAACTTCTGAAGGCTAATTTGTTGTGCTATCATAGCAATTAAAATCACCATAAAAAGTAAAAAGTTGTAATCTTCATTGATCATAAGTTCCTTCAATTTTTCAAATAAAATATGATTCCTTTATCATGAATAAATTTTAAAAAATATTATAAGCACATAAAATCTTCCTTGAGCGGTTCTGATATTTTTATTAAAATAAAAAAAATCAAAAATGAAGATGTTAATTGCTTTGCTACTTGCAAAGATTTGTTTAACAAGTCAGCTTACTGTTGGTATAGTTTACAGTAATTTTACAGACCTTGACTTTGCTTCAAATCTAACTGCTTTGGTTAAAAATAATCTCGAAGATGAGCTAGAGGTTAATCTTATGTATTTTGATAGTCTTTGGGACGAAAGCAAGGCTAAATATAGCCCAGATATTATTTTTGATATCGCTTTCAGCACAACACTATCACAATCAATCAAAAAGTTTGCTGAAGATAAAAAAATTATAATCGCCAGTATTGTCTATGCATTGCTATGGATTAGTCTTAAGATCTATTATAGTTTGCAATTCTATTAGTGTGCAATCCAAATTAACTGACTGAAATGATTTTAATATCCAATTACTTTTGATTTGCCACATAATATTGCAAGCCAGCCCGCAATTTAGCAGCAGGTTAAATCTCAAGCCGGTTCATAAAAGTGTATGAGTTATATTCATAGCGACACTCAGCCCCATAGTGACTGAGAATTTTTTATACATAACTCTTGGAAAAGTCAAATCGAAGCTTTGTATGGGATTATTTCTTATTTCAATTGGCAAAAGTTTATTGTAATTTCTGATGATATTAGCAATAAAAATAGTGAAATTTTTTCTAATTATTTTAAAGACAAGGATTACCGCTGATACTTTTTCTCAAATGGGAATAATGAAAATTCAGCAAATTTGTTTATAGGGAAAGTTATTCAGCCAATTGGTATAAGAAATATATATACATTAAGACGGTGTAGCGAGCCAACCCACTCTGAAGTTGGGGATACCCAGAGACCTTTTGAAAGGGTGGATGACGTTTTTGGTGAGTATCCTGCCAGGTTTTACTTGGCTTGATGAAATAAAATGCTGGATTAGGTCGACTTAGCTCATCCCAGGTCAGGGCTTAAACTCTGAGGAAGATATAAGATGGAGTTGGAAAAGAAATCACAGGAACTTCCTTTGGACTTATTTAGATTATTATAGAGTAGCTCAATAGTCATATTCAATAGCTCCTGGCAAGCTTTTCACGTCCCTTGCTTCACCACACCCTCTTACTTGCAAGTTCGATTAAATGGCCTAAAGGCATGTGCTGCTCCTTCCAGACGTGCTACCCTTGTAAACGAGAATTAATGAAGCTGGGTAACCTTGTAGTGCGCTTACAAGATTACCCTTTTCGAAAATTCGAAAGTGAATTTCCTGTCAGGCTATCGATCTAGGTGAAGCTTGCAGCCCAGATCGCAACTCCTGGTATCGAGCCGGGTAAATATGTCCGATTGTCCAAGCGACCGCTCTCTCTTGCTTTGCTAGGCGGTCCCTTTCCAATTTCCAAGTCCTTCCTCCTTGAGGTAAAATTTTACTATGGTTTTAAAGCCTGCAGTCAGTGAGCCAACTTGTGATCTACTAGGCCAAGTAAAATCGGCCGGAAACTCTCTCCCTTCCATAAGGTCCTGAAGCTTTCATCAGATTTAAGTGTGGTCATTTAGACTAATCGATTAATTTCCTAGTGCGATGGCAAGAGTAGCGCCCTGGGCTGCAAGAACGCAGCCTGAAAATTTGATTTTTGGAAGAGAACCCTAGTCAGGTGTGCGGCACAGTCACTCATTCTAAGACACTCCAATTCGTTTGCGAGCTTATTTCTGAAAGAGCATAGCCGATAGGCAGACAGCCCGCAGTCGCGAAGCAAGGTGGAGAAAAATACCTTCTCGAGGTATCACAGAGAGCTTTTTTATAATATTAAGTAACTCCCCCCCATCCTTGATCGAACGATTGAATGTAAAAATTCCTAAAAATTAGGAAAATTAACCCCTATCCTTGATCGAATGATTTTCATATCATGCTATTTTTTATATATATAAAAATATCTTTAAAATTTAAAATTCTTACTCCCCCCCCTCCGTGAGTGAACAAAACCATTAGAAAAAATCGCTATTTTTTGCCCAAAAACCCACCCTCCGTGAGTGAACAAAAATTTTTTTAATAGAAAAATTTTTTATGGAAAATAAATTTTGATATATAAATGATAATTAGTATAATGAAATCTAGAGCTAATACTGTTTAATTTTAAACGAATTGCCTTTTAAAACATAAATTTTTATAAATTAAATTAATATTTGCTTTCCAATTTTTGTGAATTAGGATTTTTTTAAGTTTCGAAAAAAAATAATTTTTATAAAATTTATATATAAATTTTTTTTAAAAAAAATAAATTAACCCCCCTCCGTGAGTGAACAAAATTTTTTTGTTCACTCACGGAGGGGGGGAGTTAATATAATAAGGAACAATTTAAAAATTTATACAGTTTAAAGGGATAATAACTTAACTTAACTTAAAATTTATATCGCTTAACGTCCACTACGGGGTAGCCAACTCCAGAGCTGCTACCATATTTGCACACGTGCCGGGCCTGTGGACCGCTGGATCGATCCCTTTTGATCGCCAGGGCATGGACAAATAAGGCGTTCCGGCTTCGTCGGGCTTCGCTTCCGCCACGGCTTTATTTCGACTCAGCTCCTGCGCGTGTTCCACCTTCTTTCGGGTGTGCTGAGGGGTAAAAACTCCAGATCTTGAGCGCACTGAGGAGTAGTTCCTCTGGTTATCCCCAAAGTTAAAACTGCTATTGCTGTGCAGAAGTTCTTGAGGTAAAAACTCAACCCCATAAATAAAATTGCTTGAGTGAGAGAAAGTTAGCGGAGCCAACTTCGCTTGAGCGAAAGCCATTTTATTTATCAGTTTAAAGGGATAACCAATAAATAAAAATATTAAAAATTGGTATTCTTACGAAATTAATTCAATTTTTTACTGTAAAAATAATTATTAAATACTCTTAACCTCTTATTTAAAAGTATATAAAAAAACAAAAAGCATATATTTTTTATTTTATATAAATTTTTTTCTCAAAAATATCTTTTAGCCCCATCCTTGATCGAACGATGATGAGCCCGTTCGATCAAAGATGGGGGAGTAAGAAAAATGCATAAGAAACATTGTGCTACTAAATCAAGGAGAAAGTGCAAAATTATTATTGAAAGCTTTAGAAGAAAAAAACTTACTTATCAATGGAACTGGAATTATTGTTGGAAGTGAAGGTTCCTGAGGGTTAAATGGGAATTGAATAATTGGCTATGTAGAATCAGGGCTAGAGAGTGCTGATAGTTATTATAGTTATCAAGGATTAGCGTTTATCAAGTATTTGAAAATTATCCTGAATTTAGACTTTTCATCTGATCTCAGTCTCTTCCAGAAGTTGAATAATTATTTTGGCAGAGAAACAGAAATTAGAAGTCCAACATTCCCAGGTTTGTCTTTAAATTCAAGTTGCTACGGAATTTCTAGCTTGAAAGCAGATTGCGTGCCTTCCAATTTATTTGCAGTTGATAATCATCCTATTTCAAACTTCACTCTCCTAAATACAAAAAATAACCAAAAGATTATATCTGGAAATATTTTCGAAGGAAATTTGACTATACTAGCTCCTCTTTCATTTCCAGGAGACTCTTTAATAATACCAAACTCTCCATTTACTTATATTAATATATGGTATGATAACGGACTACTCCTCTTGATTCATGAGCGAGATTTTCTGATTATTAAATTTTCAAATAAAATTGTATATATTTTTTAAGAAATCACAGAAAATATATAATTTAATTTAAAAACTTTTTTTGGGTGTAAATTTAACAGAACTATTAGTTAATTATAAAAATACTAATTAAAAACTATTTCCAAAATAAATTGCTTTCTTTCTTATTTTCTAAAAAAGCAGGGTTTGCTAGCTCTTTAAGTGAGGAGTTAGGATTGTGAGCTGGAATCCTTTATACTTTGATCTACTGAAAAAGCTTACACTTTTTAGAAGGCTTCGAAATATCCTCAACTGAGCTTCTTTGCTCAGGAAACACATATCACCAAAATCTCTGTTTTTCTCATGCATTGAGCACACCAGCTGTAGGATTTATAACATCGCCTTTCTCATCAGAAAGCATTTCTTTTATTTACACATTGAGATCTCTAAATTGTTCTATACCTAATGTTTCTCCATACTCTCCTTCGGACACTTTACGAAATAAAGCAGAGTTTCCCGAGTTTATGACAATCACGAAAGATATCAAATTTAATGCAAAAGTTATGATAGATCTCGCTGTTGTTTTTAGATGGCAAAATTTTATAGTCCTTTACGATGATGCTAATGATCTTGATTGCCAATATTTCATATCATTAATAGAGCAATTTAATATGAAAACAGCAACTAAATTTAATATAAAAATTGCAAATAGTCCTGATATGAGGAAAATGAACACGACCTACACTGTTGATAAATTCTCGCAATGAAAGGGTTGATTCGAGAGCTTAATAAGCTTAAATGTTAGGCTTTATGTCATTTTTTTGAATATCCCTTCTTGGTGACATGTTGTTGAAAGCTTTTACGATGCAGGATTGAGAAGGGGTGATGCCATTTTTTTATCAAATGGAAGAGTTGCATATTCACTTACATGGGAGACAGATACCTCACAGATCAGTAAACTTATTGAATTATTATATGGATCTGTTGTTGTTTTCCATGCTGAATGATTTGGAGAATATGGGAAAAAGTTGGAAAATGGCTATTTAAAATAATATGGAGGATCCTCAGTTTTTAGCTGCTACTCTTTTGATGCTACAATGCTGCTTCTGCATGGAATAGAATTTACTATAAGGCAGGGTCAAAATGTAAAAGATTCTCAAGCGTTAAATATAAATATGAGAAAACAAAAATTTTTAGGGTGTTCTGGGATTGTATCTATCGAGTCAGATGGCAATCAGAGAAGCTTACCTACTATAGGGATTCATAATGTACGTTGAGACAATAGCACGCAATTGTTATATGAAGAACTAGTAGGAATATATGATACCAGCAGTTTGCAATTGATTACTTTATTCCAAAGCATTATATGGTATGACAATTCTACAATAACACCCACAGATTCTATAGAATATGAAAATGGGTGTCCATTCCCTGAAAGTAAAATTTTCCATTCTGAGAAAGATGCTAGCATTCTATATGGAGTATCAGCAGCCATAATAGCCCTTGCAATTGTTAAGTCGTTTGTTATTTGAAAGAAATTCTTGAAGAGAATAAATACAGAAAAATTAATAGTTCCAGCACGTATACATTTTGAGGATTATTTTCTAATGGGAATTTTAGTTGTTGATTTTTTCCAATTTATTTCTCAAGGTCCAGGTATAAGTGAGTTCAATGCTTGATTATCAAAAATATGTAACTATTCACTCATAAATTTTAATTCTTCAATTACAGGAGATATGTACTGAGTTTACTTATGCTCTGCAATGAGCATTTCTTGTTATTTGTTCTTTACAGCTTTTATTTTATTTTTTGGTTATGATAATTTTGATATTTGGATCGTGAGATACATTATAAACATTGCTTTATTTTTTATGCCTATTATTGGATATGTTTTATTTGTACCTGTTGTTACTACACTTTTAAGTATTTTTGAATGCGATAAAGGAATAGGCTCAAATATTTCTGATTCTTTTATAAAGTATGACTGCACAGTTTATTGCTGGAAGCATAATTACTCTGTATGGGCAGTTTTATCAATAATATCTATGACAGTATTTATTCCTTTAGCTATTTTTTTTAGAAATTATTATGAAATGATTAATAGCCATATTAATATAAAGACCAGACCTATTTTTATTATAGAAAAAACAGTTTTTCAAGTTATTATAATTGCCATGAATAAAACTGTAAAAAATTATGATGAAGCCTTGCATGGTCTCTGTTGTATAATTCTTCTCACCATGCTAATCTTTTTATGCTTTAAAAGCAGTCCATATAATTATAGCAGAATGAATTGTTGGTTGATTATTTCGTATTTTGCAGTTTTGTGAAATTTTATATTGTCATCGCTTTATTGACTTATAAGACTTGATAATTGAATAGTGTGATTTATAATAGAATGGCTAGTTTGACTTCTTCTCATAATAGTTGGGATAATATACCAATGGAAATTGCTACCAAGCTTATTGCTGACTGATAAGGGAATAGATATAGCAATATTTTTGAAATTTGGACTAGGAAGTCAGATTTCTGCTAACTACTCACATATGGAGTGAGCAAGCTTTAGATGAAATCCTATTTGTTTTGTATAACCCTTCATGAGCGAGTAAAATTTTCTAAATAAAAACTATTTTTCTTTAGTTATTTAAAGAGATAAATAAAATGAAAAAAGAAACTGTGGATAATAATTACTTAGGTATTTCAAAGACTCCGAATTTTGATGAGCTGTCCAATGCTTCTAGCTATAGATTTAATCAGCACTTAGATTTTGACAACTAAAAATTTATTCATTATGTAGGCTAAACAATTTAATATAATATTATCAATATTACATTAACTCAGGGCTGCAATAAATCAGCATTAAAAACTTTCTTTGCTATTACACTGCCTTAATTAGTGCATTAAATTTTTTTATAAAGTAATCATTTAGTGTTTAATTTCAATTTAAAATTATATCAACTGTTGACATTTTTAATTGTGGAATTATTGTCTATCCTTCAATTTGCTAGTACAAATTTTAAGAATTAATAAAAATAAAAATATTTTTTGCTCAATTTTTTGCCAATAGGTGATAAAATAAAATTGCATAAAATAGCGAGATATGGGATTGCCAGCCAGAATTCATCCTGCTATAATTATAAGAGCTTTGCTTGACAAAATGACTGTCATGAATGAGAAAAAGGATAATATAGCAAATAAATGATAAATCCATCGTAAATCGTTATGATTTTATTCATAAAGATTATGATGACTTGAAAATAGTTTACCTTTTGTTAAAAACGGGCTTGTTTTTATATTGATATGATTATTATATCCTCTTAATATTGTCTAAAATAAATAGATAAGGGAAAAAACCATTGATAAGGGTCTTTATAACGCATATTTATGATCACAGTTAAAAATGGAGATACTCTGATTCTCTTACTTTGAGATCAGTGATGGAAACTTCTGTTCTTCGAAGAGTTTAAAAACTATAGATGCACTATCTACTCACACCGATTTGTAGAAGAAGAGTGCTCTTTGAATAATAGCTGAGTAACTACCGGCTTTCAGAGAGAAGTTGTATCTCAGGTAAAAGGATTCAGAAAACAGAAGACAAGATAACTAACTATTTATGATTCCAGCAATATTTAATGCAGTCGTGCTTAATAAAAGAATCATCAATATTTGAACTTATTCTATTTTAAAAAAATCTATATTTATCATTAAACATGAAATAATCTCACAAAATAATAAAAGGAATTTTATTCAAAATTTTGTGTAAGGGTAAATATATTAAAAAATAAAATGATCTCCACAATACTTTTTATCCCTTAGGCTAATAGAAAAATTATTTAAAAATATGCATAGTATACTAAATAATCAATGTAGGGTTTATGAATTATATCTCTCAATTATTCTTACAAAATCTCAATTTATTGTTGATATAATTCTAAGCTCTTTTAAAGATTCACAACTAGCTTCAAATTTTACGGCTTTGGTGCGACAAAATTTTAAGATCAATTTTTATTTAATTTAGTTCCCATAGGAAACATTTGAGATATTGAAAATTTTGTGGATATTCCAGATATACCTGAAGAAATATATTATCAGGGAATGTATAGTGATTATTTATCGATTAAACAGAAGCATTTTGGAAAACCAATTTTATAATTACAAATCAATATGTATTATATGTTTTCTAGCATGATAGCTTGCCTGGTTGGTCAAGCATAAATGGAAACTCAGCTTCCCGAGCTGCACAGCTAGCATAAGTCGTTTAAGCAATATAAATGCAAAGTCTATATATAGCGCTTTCCCGAGGATGGCGCGGAATGGCGCCATCCTCGGGAAAGTCAACTAAGCATCCACACGGGAACTGGGAGTTCCACGTGTGGATGCCATTTTTGACATGTGGGATCCAAACTTCCACATGTCAAAATGGCATCCACACGTGGAACTCCCAGTTCCCGTGTGGATGCCTTCCTGGCTTTCCGAGGATGGCGCCATTCCGCGCCATCCTCGGGAAAGCGCTATATTTTTTTGATATGAATTTTAGTAACTCTTTATTAAAATCAATAATGCAGCTTGTGGAAGAAAAACATATAATTTTAGTTAAAACTAGTAAGCCAGCAGGTATATATTCCAATTGGGAATTTTTTACTCATAATTCATGGGAAAACCAATTTGAAGCTTTATCAAGTGTCCTTTCGTATTTAAATTGGACAATTTTTATAGTGATTTCTGATGAAATTTATATTCAAGATAATTATTTTCCAAAAATGATTCCAATGATTTTATTTCTCAAATAGCAATAATAAAAATTCCGCAGATCTATTTATAGGAAAACAAATTCAGCCGACTGGGATTAGAAATATTGTGAATTTGAATAAAGGACAAAGCATGAAAATGATGTTGCAGAGTTTAGAAGAGCACAATTTGCTTACTAATGGGACTGGAGTATTGATAGGAAATGAGCTCATGAAATTTATATGGAAATGGAGTCATTTCTTATACAGAATCAGGATTAGAAAATGCTGGTAGTTATTATAGTTATGAAGGCTTAGCACTTATAAAATTTTTAAATTTGGTTCTTGAATACCTTTCAGGGTCTAGTCCTTTAGATTGGTTGCCATTTTAGATAAAAATACAGTTGATCATCATCCTATATCTAACTTTAATTTATTGAATGTCAAGAATGGTGAAAAAATTACAGCAGGAAATATTTTAACGAAATTTGACCATTTTAAAGTCTTTAAATTTTCCAGAAAATTCTTCAATAATTCTAAACTTTCCTAATACGTATGTAAATATATGAATTGCAGATGGAACAACAAATCCAGGAGCTGATCCTGAACTTTTGGCAACAACTGTAGCATATGCAGGGTTTTGTTCACTAAGCTATTTAAAATCACACATGCCTTAGATGGCTTTGAAATAACAGTTACAAACACAGATTTTGGAGACTTTGGCGATCCTGTGTTTCTCAGTGGTGATTTTATATAAGATATATAAAATTGATGCTTTTCTAGGCCGATTTATAATTCAAAAAGCTGGAATATAAGCATTCGATGTAAATATGGAGCAGATGAAGAAGTGAAATAATTTATCAAACCTTTCAGCTTTCCGCTTCTTGAATTTAAGATTTTTCTGTAAAAATAGCGATTTTAATCTTTAACGCTTCATTTGAAAAATTCTAATTCTAATTATCATTATAATTCAGCCTTAAAATTTATTTAAATTTTATAACGAGGTAGGGAATTTTTAGTAAAAAGATTATTTGTTATGCATGCCAGATTAAAATTAAAAAAAAAATTTGACTTCAGTGGTAATGCCTCAGTCCCTAGGAGATGTTCAATCAGAATTTTTTTCCCTATGACATATTATTTTATAACCAAACGTCTCCCTACAAAAATTTTCAAGTAAATATAAAAAAATAAATGCGGGCTATAAATCTTGTATTTTGCTTAATTGCTCTCACAGTATCTCAACTAACTGTCGATATATGCTTTAGCTCTTTCACAAATTCAAATTTGACCTCAAATTTAGCAGTTTTACTTCAAAAAAAATTTCCAAACCAATTCTCGTTTAATTTAGTTTTAATTGAGAGCATTTGGGATATTGAAAAGCTTATGAACAGCCCAGATATAATTTTAGACATTACTTTTAGCACATCATTATCAAAATCATTAAAAGAATTTTCTGAGGAGAATCAGTCGATCATAGCTGAAATTAATAAGCCGACCGGGATATATTCAAAATGGGAATTTTTTACTCATAGCTCGTGAGAAGATCAAGCTAAAGCTTTGCCAAGCATTATTTCTTATTTAAATTGGACTACTTTTATAGTAATTTCTGATGAGATTTACAATGATAAAGATGAAATTTTCAATAATTTGTATGATAGGGATTACCGCTGGTTCTATTTTTCAAACACCAATTCTAAAAGTAATTCAGATTTATTTATAAGAAAAGTAGTTAAAGCAAGTGGGATAAGAAATATTGTCATATTAAATCATGGGGAAAGCTCAAAAATGTTATTGAAAAGTTTAGAAAAATACAATTTGCTTATTAATGGAACTGGAGTTGTTGTAGGAAATGAAGGCTCATGAGGGTTATATGGAAATGGAGCCATTACTTATATAGAATCAGGGTTAGAAAATGCGGACGACTACTATAATTACGAAAGTCTCGCTTTTATAAGATTTTTAAATCATGTGCTAAAATACTCTGGCAATTATGATAATTTGGTTTTAAGGGAATTTTTAGAAATAAATACAGTTAATCATCATGCAGCTGCGAATTTCACTATAATAAATATTCAAAATGAGCAAAAAATAGAAGTAGGAGAAGTCTCTAAAGGAATTTTATATTTATCTAATAATTTGACTTTTCCAGGAAATTCATTGATAATCCCAAACTCTCCTCATACAAATATCCCAATCTGAATGGCAGATGGCGTTACGAACCCTGGATTTCCAGACAGCTCTTATACTACTAGTAAAATTGGAGCAAAATTCGCTCTTGATTTGGCTAAGAGCAATCATTTCCTCGAAGGTTTTGAAATTTCTGTGATTCATACAGACTGTGGGGCAGACGTCTATGATCCTACATTTTCAATAAATTGCTATTCAAAGCTAAAAAGCACACCTGGCGTTGGATATTTGACATCATTATATCCATTAGTGATCATTGGAAACCTTAATTCAATGCAATATTTAAATATTTCAATCCCTTCGATAACTGAGTTTTCTCCAACTGGTTTTCTAGGAGATAAAGAGCTTTTTCCAAGCCTAATGAGGATGGCTGGAAATGACTATTACCATGTTAACGTGCTGGCCGATCTCATGCTTATTTTTGGGTGGAAAAATGTGCTGCTAATTAGTGAAAACTCAACAGCTGCTTTACTCACTCACCAGTATATTGTAGAAAAATTAGAATCCTCAAATATAAATATTGCCAACTCCCAAGACGACAGGATTGTTATGGAAGGCTATAGCCATGAAAATTATCATAAATATAAAGACTGAATGATAAAAATGAAAAATCTAATGGTAAGGCCTTGCATCATAAATTTTGCACCTCCAGGAGAGTTTTATTTAATTGAGGATTTGTATGATGCTGGGTTTAGAAGAGGGGATATAGTATTTTTCATCCCCAATAGAATTGCTTTTGCCTTTATATATCAACCTGAAAAGCAAATAGCAAAACTTTCAGAAATGCTATATGGAGGAGTAATTATAAGTGAAGCCGAATGGCTTGGAGATTACGGTAAAGCAGTTTATTCGGATTTAATAAAGGTCTATCCAACTAATGTGCCAGAATTTAAGTGCTTTAATTTGATGCAGCACAATTACTTTTGTATGGGATTAAATATACCATTGAAAAAGGAGAAAATGTAGAAGATCCTGTCTTAATGGGTTCCTTCATGCGAGGCCTATTTCATAACGACTATTTTTTTGGCCTAGTTTTTTATGCCAAGATTTTTATCTGTCAAAAACAATAAACTAAAATTGATTGAAAATCACCTTGAAATAGCCAATATGAAATCATTTCTAAGCAAATGGCCAAAAATATTTAAAGAAAAATCTAGGCAAAAATAATAGCACAAAAATAATAATAATAATTGTGAAATAGTCGTCTTGTAAAGACACGGTCTTAATGAACAGTAATTTAAGGCAGCAAAAATTTTTAGGCTGCTCAGGGACGGTTTCTATTGGGCAAGATTCTAATGATAGAAGTGTGCAGACAATTGGGATATATAATCTGAGATATAATGGAGATGGCGTTTTGCATGAATATATTGTAGGAAGATACGACCCAGGAAGCCAACAATTAATAGCATTTTATGAAGGTTTTAATTGGTATGATAATATGGCGAAGGAGACCACCCAACATCTTGACGCAATTTCCTCAACACCTCAGGGAATGCCCAGTGGAAGAGCCAAACAATAAACAGCTCTGATATCCTTAATATACTCGGGCAGAGGTTTTTCTCGTGCCAAGGGCATAATAAGTGAAACATGGGATTTTTCCTTCTGGGCATAGAATTGGAAAGAGCGTCCCGAGATTGGGTTCCATTTTTACTCAAATTAGGGACCCTGAAGACATCAAACGCTCAGTGTGAAATCTGGAATTTCTCCAGGCTCCAATTCTTTGCTATCCTCACGAAAAATTGGAACAGTTTTTTTTTTACATTAAAGAGGGGGGATTAGCGACTAGGCGCCCCGAAAGTAAGTTAGGTATGACAGAGTCTAAGGGAGGCAATCGGTTTCAGCCTCAGCAGTGCTGATGAGCTTGAAGAGCAGACATCTTTTGCCGATTTCAAACAATATAGTAATTCAATCACTTTAATTGATATGATAATACAACGAATATACCAACTGATGTGATTATCAATGAGAATGACTGTCCATTTGATAAAGATGAAGCTGAATATTCACCAAATGGCACTGGTATCTTATATGGGATTTCGTTTACTCCCCCCCCCCTCGAAGTTCGACCAAGATATAGGGAAAATTCCTATTTTTTTTGAAAATTAACCCCCCTCAAAGTTCGACCAAGACCTATATAAATTTACTAGGAAAAATAAGCAATTTTTTCAAAATTTTAAACTATGTGGGGATGAGCTTGCGATTTTTGTATTCAAGTTCTAAAAAAGCGTTACAAAACCATCTTGCACTATTTTTTCTAACCCTTACACCCTCTCAACCATACAGAAGAATATGATAAATTTTTTTTTTTTAAATACTAAATTATATAAAAAAAATTCTATATAATTTTTTTTAAAATAATTTTTCTTAACCCCCCTCGAAGTTCGACCAAAAAAATCTTGGTCGAACTTCGAGGGGGGGGGAGTTAGCATTGTGATAGCTACTATGATTGAGACTTTTTATATATGGAGAAAATGATGGCTGATTGATATAGAAATAATGATTGAAAAAAAATTATGCTAGAGAGTTAAAATTATAAATAAAATTATTTACATTGGTTATCAAGGTAAATACAGATTAATATAATATAATTCAATTCGACGATTATATAGCAATAATTATGATTTTTATTGATTTTTTGCAGCTTTTGTCAGCTGGACCTGATATATATGAGACTTATTTCAATATCTTTTCACATTATGCGTCAGTAGATTTTGATTGGAAAGGTAATAATATGTGATTTCTTGTGTATTGCTCAATAGTAATTGTTTTTATATGAGCTATTTTTTGTTTAAAACACATTTTTAAGTTTGGGGAAAGCTCAAATAACTAATTTTATTTAATTATACAATATTATTATCATCTGCTGCTTATTTCTTAATGGCTCTGGCGAGCCAAAAGAAGATTCACGTTAAATTTCATGATTATCGCGTATAAAATCCCTTTTTGGCCAGTCAAAGCCTTTAAGAAATTAATGCAAAGCATTATATTAGAACCCCAAGAGATTTATTCTATGGAAAGGTAAATTCAAACCGAAAAATGCATATTTAATTTTTTTTACTTCAAATAACATTTTATGTGAATTTAGTAAAGTTTTATTTAAAGCGTCTTTGCCAATAGTAGGGAATATCCTTTTTTTGCCTATGATTTCAGTTTTTTTAAATGTAACTCAGTGTGACCAACAAATAGGGCCAGAACCGAGACAAAGCTTTGTAAGAAATGACTGTTCGACATTTTGTTGGCATGGCTCTCATAGCATATTGGCAATTCTTTCTGGGCTTTGCTTAGTCTTTTATATCCCTCTAGCTATTTATTTTAAGCCTTTTTGGGGTCTTTCTAATGAAAATATAAATATAAAAACTCTGCCACTATTTTTGATGCTGAAAAGTGTATTCCAGGTGAGTGTAATCGTTCTTAACAAAACAGTGAAAACTTTTAGCCAATCATTGCATGGACTTTTATACAATATTTTATTAATTCTCCTCTATTTAATTACTAATCTTAATTAGTAAAAAGCTATTTTTTAAATAATAAATTTCTTAATACATATTTTAAAATAAGATAAATATTTAATTAGAAAACTACGATTTTTTAATTCTTGGACATAAAAAATTATAATAATTTGTTCATTAGTTATAGAAAATTCGTTTATAAAGTTATAGATTATCTTATTATGGGAGTAATTATTTTTATATATATCTGCTACAAAAAAAAACCATATAACGACAGTCGCATGAACCTTTGGCAAATTATTTCTTATTTCGCCATTTTATGGAGTGTTTCTATTTCTTCATTATATTATCTTTTACATACAAAATTAGCAAATCTTTGACTACTTCCACAAGTTATTGGCTGAATTTTATTAATTGCTATTGGGCTATACCTACAGAGTAAATATAGCCCGGTCGCTACTTTGGATCATGCTTGAATGAAGCAAGAGGGCATCAGACGAGCCAGCATTTGTTGACAGTGTTAAACTCCCCAGATGACAAATCCTCTTATTATTGGAGATTTTGACATCTGGGGAGTTGGCTTTGCCAGCAGCCTTGGCTCGTCTACTCCCCATCTGGCACCTCCCAATTTCAGTCAATCCTAATCCAAAACAGGGATCGGGGTATATTGTCCAAGTATGCTATTCAATCAGCAAGGTGTAGAAATTGTAAAATTTATTAAATTTATGCTAGGAAGCTCGATCCCAGCATCTGAAATTAATAAAGATATCAAAGAAGTAGGAATAAAATATAAATCGCATTGTAGTAATAACTATATATATGAGAAAATTTCAAGTTCTACTAAATACGGTGCTCATAATAAGGAATGTCAGCTTATATTTGATAGCAATTCAGGTTCCTCAAAGATTGCACCTATAATTGATACCACAAATCGATTTAAAGCTGCTGACTAAATATTTTAAGATAATTTGTTTATAATAATTAAGAAATTTTAAATATTAGGCAAAATTTATTTTGCTAATTAAATTTTTTAGTAAAAAATATTACTTATGCATCATAAATACTTTTTAAATGAATTGAAGTGTCTGAAAAATTTTTCTCGTTCAAAAGTTGCTAAACTGTTCAAGAATGACATATTTTGCTCTATTTTATAGAATTTAAGTAATCTACTAAAAATTAATTAAAATAAATTTCTAAAAAATTGATTAATTTACGTACTAAATTTATTAACCTTCTAAGTCTTCAATCTTAAGATTAATCCATCTGATAGTTTCTGGCATATGCTCAACATTAGGCCGATGTGTTGTATCACTCATAAACACACACCTTGATGAGGTGCAGGCCCGGCATCAAGTACTTTTAATCATTAATCGAAAATTTTTAAATAGTGTATCATTTGGCAAAATTTAAGAGTTTTTTAGTCAAATGCCTCATTGTCAAACAAATTTTCACCTAGGAAATGTTATCAAAAATACACAGTCATTTGGCATGGGGCTCCTTGATGAATCTGAGTGATTATCAATTTTAATCTTACTTTCCTTCTTATTATAAATCACGTGTCTAGTAGAATCTGAAATTTTCCCATACAGATGTGAATTGCTAGAATGAAGTTTGTATTTAAGGCCTGCTTCTTTGATGTCTTTATTAATTTCAGCTGCTGGAATTGAGCTTCCTAATGAAAATTTAAAGAATTTGCCAATTTGTACACCTGTCTCATTGAAAAGCATAGTCGGGCAATATTTTTTCTGTAGATAAAGCCCAATAGCAATCAAAAAGATTCAGCCAATAAATTGTGATAATAGTCAGATTTTAGCTGATTTTTCAGGTAATAACCAATATAAAGAAGAAAGAGTAACACTTCATAAAATTGCAAAATAAGAAATAATTTGCCAAAGGTTCATGCGACTGTCATTATAAGGCTTCTTTCCGGTTCAGGTTAAATAAAGCACACTGTACTTTCTCAACCCCTCCCAAAGCCTATCAAAATGACTGAAATTTTCAAAAATTGTTTGTTGGTATGAAAAGTACAAATGATACTTTTGAATTTTTCCAAACAGGGTCATATATTTAATCCTATCTTGAGCTTTCTCTGCTTAAATTTGCTTAGTCTATATAGAATATAGTATTTTTATATGTGCTTTTTCCTCAGTTTTTGCCGTTTTAAAACACTCTTTGCATTTTCTATCCTCCTGCTTGGGAAATGCAACAGAACTTTTATTTTTTCATACCAAATTTTTTTGAAAATTCCAGTCATTTTATTGGCTTTGGGAGGGAGTTGGAAAAGATGTGTACTTTACTTAACCTCACCCCTTCTTTTTTATAGCAGATATATAGAAAAACGCTTACTAATTCTTTAATATGCATTAAATGGCATAGTGATCCAACATACCCTCTTAACTCTGTAGTTGCCATCCCACAGGGTTAGCAGGGACATTCAGGAAGGAGGATAGCTTTTGGAATGTGTATCCGGCTAGGTTTTTCTTGGATTGGTGAAGAGCAATGTCAGGTTGGCCGATTGCATGCTTTACTCCAATACCATGCTTTTGCCTTAGTGGGAGATGGGTCCAGAAGTTTGAAAGGGATTTCCCAGCAAAATTTACTCAACTACCAGGGTGTGATTGCACTCCCTCGTAGGCAGGAGCAATCTTTGCAAGGTCGTGTCCGCACTAGTGAGCAGGCAAAGAGAGCGTTTATGAGTGGAGATAGCCATCAAGAATTACAGCGAGCTTCTTGATAAGTCTTAATAACTAACTAACTTACTACTTCTTAATTGGAACCAAAAACCTATTCTAACTAAAGAGAAATTGCTTTTTTTAAAAAAAATTATAATCTTTATGCATACAAAATGGTGTTTCAAAGAAAAAAGATATCACCGTTCTGGGCAATGTACAGTTTATGTGGAGCATGCTTGGAAGATGTGTGGAGATGTAGTTTTTGGAACTAAAAGAGTCTTGATTGAAGAAAGTGTGGATCCTGTGAGTATTTGCCAAATTCATTATGACCTTGGATGCGCAAGTAGGTGATGAATAAGCATGCAGCCGCAAAATACATCTCATCAAGACTCGGAAAAATTGATATGAGAATGAAATTTTACTTTTTAGGGTTTCAAAATTTTTATTGAAATCTATTGATTTTTTGACAGAAAAAAAGAGAAGTGTTGCATCAATTTTATATGAAATTTTCATAAAAATGACACACACATATTTTTCATAAAATAAATCTATTAAAATTATCGATTCTAAACTGATATTAAAGCTATTTATTAATATTTTCACCTATAAAGGTGCAAACCCATCCTTCAGGGCTCCTCTTAAATTATCAAATTTTCTATTATTTAACCACCTATAAAACTATAATTTTATTCAATTCTAAAGGCCTTATTATCCAAAATCAAAAGTTTAACAATTTTTAGTTCCTATTTAAACTGAGGGGAATTAATAAAATATTGTATAAAAGTCCATGCAATGATTGACTAAAAGTTTTCACTGTTTTGTTAACTCCCCCCCTCCGTGAGTGAACAAAACCATCAGAAAAATCGCCATTTTTTGCCCAAAAACCCACCCTCCGTGAGTGAACAAAATTTCTTTTAATAGAAAATTTTTTTATGGAAAAAATTTTTGATATATAAGTGATAATTAGTATAATGAAATCTCTAGCTAATTCTGTTTAATTTTAAACGAATTGCTATAAATTTTATAAATTAAATTAATATTTGCTTTCCAATTTTTATAGAAGTGAGATTTTTTTAAATTTCGAAAAAAAATATTTTTATAAAATTTAAATATAAATTTTTTTAAAAAAAATTAACCCCCCTCCGTGAGTGAACAAAATTTTTTTGTTCACTCACGGAGGGGGGGGAGTAAGAACTATTACACTCACTTGAAATACACTTTTCAGCATCAAAAATAGCGGCCGAGTTTTTATATTTATATATTCATGAGAAATATCCCAAAAAGGCCGAAAATAAATTGCTAGAGGGAGATAAAAAATCAAACAAATCATGGAAAGAGTTGCCCATATTATATGAGAATCATGCCAACAAAACGTTGAGCAGTCGTTTCTTACAAAAGTTTGGCTTATTTCTGGCCCTATTTGTTGATCACATTGAATTACATTTAAAAAAATTGAAACTATAGGCAAAAATAGCATATTTCCTATAATCGGTAATGACATTTTGGATAAAATTCTGCTATATTCCCATATTACGTTATTTGATTTTTCCCCAAACTTGAAAATATGCTTTGCGCAGAAAAAGATCCAAATGATAACAGTTCCCATAGAAACATATGCAAAAACTCATAGATTTTTGCCTTTAGTAAGTCAGCCAAGATTTATTGAGGCATAGTGCGAAAAAATATCAGAAAAAGAATCATACTTTTTTATATCAGGTCCAACTGATAAAAGCTGCAAAAAATCAATAAAAATCATAAGCATCGCTATATAATCTTCGAATTGAATTAAACCATATTACCTTGATATTTGCCTTTAAATCTGATATAACTGTGTATTATTTATAAATAAAAGTAAATAAATTTAACAAAATTAAGCCCTTTATAGCATAATTTTTTTTTCAGTCATTTCTTTTATATCAACGATCCACCATTTTCTTCATATATAAAATGTCACAATCATAGTAGTCACAAATATGCTAAATGAAATCCCATAAAGGATGCCAGCGCCATTTGCCGAATACTCGACCTCGCTATCTTCAAACGGGCACCCATTTTCATTAATAATTTTATCTGTAGGTGTATTTGTGGTATTGTCATACCAATTCATATCTTCATAAAAAGCGAATAATTGTTGGCTTCCAGGGTCGTATCTTCCTACAATATATTCATATAAAAGGCCATCTTCACTGTCATATCTCATATTGTATATCCCAATAGTTGCTGAGGATCTATCATTTGAGTCTGGATCAATTGAAATGGTACCGGAGCAGCCTAAAAATTTTTGCTGCCTTAAATTACTGTTTATTAATGTAGAATTTTCAACATTCCCACCTCTATCAATAGTAAATTTTATTCCATATAAAAGCAACGTAGCACCATCAAAGGAGAAACACCTAAAATCTGAGTTTTTAGTAGGGTAAACCTTTTTCATTTCAGATAAAATGGTTTTTCCATAATCCCCAAGCCATTCTGCTTCACTTATAATTATCCCTCCATAAAGAACTTCTGACATTTTTGCTAACTGAACAGGATCAGGCTCAGTAATAAATGCAAAAGCCACTCTATTAGGAACTAAAATGACGATGTCTCCTCTTCTGAAACCAGCCTCATAGAGATCTTCCATAATATAAAATTCTGACGGAGGTGCAAAATTTATTATGCAAGGCCTAACTTTCAGATCTTTCATCCTTATCATTCAGTTTTTGTATGTATTAAAATGGGTGTGATTATAATTTTCCATGACCAGTCGATCTTCTGGTGAATTCACAATGTTTATATTCGCAGCCTCCAGTTTATTTACTACATATTGATGAGTAAGTAGGCTAGAAGTAGAATTTTCGCTAAATACAAGCACATTTTTCCATCCAAAAATGAGGATGAGATCGACTAGAACGTTACAATGGTAATAATCGTTTCCAGCCATCCTGAGGAAATCTGGAAACATTTCTTTCTCTCCTAAAATGCCAAGCGGGGAATATTCAGATATCAAAGGCAATGAAATATTCAAATATTTCAGCGTCATAAGGTTTCCGATAATTATTAAGGGATATGTTGATGTCAAAAATCCAACGCCTGGGGTGCTTTTTAGTTTTGCAAAGCAATTTAATGAATATGTCGGGTCATAAATTTCGGCTCCGCAGTTTGTATGAATCACTAAAATTTCGAAACCATCAAGCAAATGAGTCCTCTCAGCATAAATAAGACCGAACTTCGCTCCGTTTTTTACAGCTTGATAAGGACTGTCTGGGTATCCTAAAGGGTTAGTTAGGCCATCTCCCATCCAGATTGAGACATTAGTATACGGAGAGTTTGGAATTGTCAATGAATTTCCGGGGAAAGTCAGATTACTTGAAAAATTCAAAATTCCTTCAGTAATTTCGCCTACTTTTACTTTTTGTTCATTTTGAATATTTATTACAGTGAAATTCGCTACTGCATAATGATCCGCAGTGTTTATTTCTAAAAATTCCCTTAAAGCAAATGGATCATAATTGCCTGGAAATTTTAAGACTAAATTTAAAAATTTTACTATTGCAAGCGCTTCATAGTTGAATTTATTGGTAGCATTTTCTATGCCTGATTCTATGTAACTTAATATTCCATTTTCATTCAAATTTCAAATACCTTGGCTGCTTAAAATAATCCCGCAGCCACTCGTTAAAATATTTTTCTGTTTGAGACTTTTTAATAGATTTTCAGCGACTTTCCCTTGATTTAAAATTATTATATTTCTGTTTCCTGTAGGTTTGATTTCTTTCCCTATAAATAAATCAGCTAAATCCTGATTTTCAATATTTGGGAAATAAAAGGTGCTAACTTTTTTAATTGAAAATTCTGTTAAGAAATAATCATCCAAAATTTGGTATTCTTTATTTGAAATTATTATAAAATTCTCCCAGTTTAGGAACGAAATCAGACTGCTGATAGCTTTTATATGGCTATTTAACGAAGAATGAGTGAAAAATTGCCAATAATTGAACGAGTTTGGAAGCTCAGGTGATACAAGAATTATTTGATTATTTGAAGCATATTCTTTGAGTAGTTCTGATAAGGAAGCACTCGAAGTTATATCTATAATAATATTGGGATTTTGCCCGGAATTTAAGATGCCTCATGCAGGTGTTACTAAAATTTCTTTTATATCAAATTGGTCCGAAAAATTTTCTAATAAAGAATAAGTTATCGAATTCTTATATTCCAGATCTGTTGAAACGCTATAAAATATATCCACAAGTAGCTGGCAATGAATGAGCTGGATAAATGATAGGATTAGTAAATTGATTTTCATTTATTATCATACTTTAAAAATCTGCAAAGCTAATAAAAAGAAATAAAACGTACGTATTGTTAAAACTATAGGGCGTTTTTTAAATCGTATTAACCTCTGGTTATATTTTAAATTTTAGAATATAAAAAAACGTACTTCCGAATGATTCATTTTTATTTTTGTTAATATTTGTTTGGGATCAATTTTTACATTCACATATTTTTAAAATCTAACGATATATAATTTTTTATTTTGAGTAATTTATCCTTTGTTAAATTCAGTCTTATACTTTTGTAAAAATTAATATATTAAAATTTTTTTTACGTTTCTAAAAATCGAATATTTGAGTGCTTTTCTTTTTATAAATACAAGAAATCAATTGAACAATTTTCCCTTTCGCCAAAATTCATTATGTGATGGCCTTTTCTCATTTTTTTTATCAAAGTTAAATGCAAATAAAAATAAAGTTTAAGCACTTTTGTAGGATATCTAGCATCACAAACTTATGAGCATCTTAAGCAATTATTTATAAAGATATAGGCATTATATATCTCTTATTTTATCAAATATTGTAAAGAGGATTCTAGTGCTTGCATTGATCTTCAAATATTTTGTTATAACTTTCACAAATTTTTCATTGCGCTTTGCATGTGGGGCTATTCTCTACATACCTAGCACAATAAGAAATTTATGCAGAAAATTATTTGAATAAATATTTGTAAAAATACATATAAGAGGATTTAGGTGTTTTAGAAATAAGCGAATTTCAACATATTTAGAGTTAAAATTAATAGAAGACAAGTTTGATAATAAAGTGAATATTAGAGCAGAGCTTAGATTAAAGTAAAATTAATCAAACTAAGCTATTTTCTTATAAAATTTTAATTTCAGGCTATAGGATTAAATATAATAAATATGTATACTAAATCATTCAAATATTAATGACTTTTTATTTATTAATAAACGGTTGTCACTCAATTATTGGGTCAGAATCTTCGAAACTCATAGCTTATAAAAGATGAAAGTATACATTTTTTCTGATTTTTGATACTCACTCAATATAATCTAGCTTTTTATAATGTCTCTACAGATATTAGTCTCCCGAGGTTAGCCTTTTCAATCAATTTTTAAGCTTTAATATCAAAACCTGGCATGATGTTGTTATTTTTAGCAATCTCCCTTTTCATCTTATTGATTTCGCAAGCTGAAACTCTAGTTCCTATTGAAAATCCGAAAAACAATTCTGATACCTAGCGACAAGGAGATTCCGTATAACACCCCAGAGCCCTTTTTTAGAGTGGGGAATATATTGTTTTGGAAATGGGCATCCATTTTCAATATTTTATTAAATCTGTAGGGATTATGGACTTTTATATTTTTATTCATAGCAACTATAATTATCTGAAAAAAGTTCTTACTCCCCCCCCATCCTTGATCGAACGACTCGCCATCGTTCGATCAAGGATGGGGGTTTAAAAAAAATTTTATATATAAAATAAAAAAAAATATATATATATTTTTTTTATTTACTTTTAAATAAGAAGGTTAAGGGTATTTAATAATTATTTTTAGAGCAAAAAATTTAATTAATTTCATAAAAATACCAATTTTTAATATTTTGATTTATTAGTTACCCCTTTAAACTGTATAAAATTTTAATTTGTTCCTTATTAAATTAAATGTTTTTTACAATTTTAAAGATCTCTATTTTATTAGATTATTAATTTTTTAAGCCTAGATTGATGACTAAATCACTTCGGATGGTTGATTTCGAAGCTTTCTGTCGTCTCAAAAGTCCCTGAAAACAACTTCATTAGGTGCATCTTCCCAAGTTTTTGATAACTAATATATTTTTATACATATATAAAAGTTGCATGATATGAAAATCGTTCGATCAAGGATGGGGGTTAATTTCCCCAATTTTTACAGTCAATCGTTCGATCAAGGATAGGGGGGGGAGTTATAATAATAATTTTTTATATTAATTTGATCATAAATAATCTTTAAATTATTCTGATATCATATCTGCCTTGGAGTTATAAATAATTGAGGGGGAATCAATAATTGAAGTTCTCATTTTTGATGAGCTGTTAACCTCCATCAGGGTTCTTTTCATTTGATTAATTTCTGTAGCAGCTATCTTGCTTCCCAATGAAAATTTGAAAAAAACTGCAATATCTACTGGTTTTTCTGTATATAGCAGGCTTGGGCATCATTTGCATTGAATCGCTATGCCTACAGCTATAAATATGAAGAATCCTGAGTGTTGAAGAGCTAGCCAGAGTATTATTGAGTCAAATTTTATGATTCAATACAAAGTTGACAATATAAAGCTTCATAAAATAGCCAGATATGATATAATCAGTCACAAATTCATTCTATGATAGTTATAAGGTCTTTGCATATGACATAGCCAAATTAAAATAATAAATAGAATAATACAGCATAGCCCATGAAAAGATTCATCATAAATTTTTATCGTTTTATTCAGGACCACAATAGTAATCTGAAAAATTGTTTTTTCTATAATAAAAAGTGGCTTAGTTTTGATATTAGTATTTTCATTAATGTTTTAAAAATAATGTCTGAAATATAAAGAAAGAGGGATATAAGTCACGAGCGAAGCTATGGAGAGGATTCCTCATAAAATATATTTATTATCTCAACAATAAGAATTGCAGTCTTGCCTTATAAACGAATCAGTAAGATTTGAACTAATTCCTTGGTCACATTGAAACATGCTTAAAAGAACTGAAACCATAGGTAAAAATGCTATATTTCCACTTAAAGGTAAAAATAGCAAAGAAAGACTTTTAATATGCTGCAGCAAAAATTCTTACTCCCGTGAACGAATAAAACAATTTTGCTCGCTCAGGAGGGGGTTATATTTTTTAAAAATTTTTTCTCTCGAAGCTTTAAAAAATCTTAGTTCGCAAAAAATTTAGAAAGCAAATATTAATTTCAATTTGTAAAATTTATGTTTTAAAAACGCAATTTGTTTAAAATAAGATAGAATTAGCTCGAGATTTCATTATACTAATTATCACTTATATATCAAATTTTTTTTCCATAAAAAAAATTTTGGACGAAAAAAGGGATTTTTTTCTAATGGTTTTGTTCTTAGGCAATTGTTAAACCTATAAAATAATAAAATGGCTGTAAAAATCAAGTAGCAGGAAACCCCATAGCTGTATACAAATAAACCCAATAAGCATCTCCCTTAACTGTATTATCAAAATTAATCAGTGAATAAGTACACAATAAGGACAGCCATTTATTCCATCCACTTATATCTGGCCCTTGAGATAGAAATTGAAAAAAATCAATAGCTATTATTGCCATCAAAGTATAATCCTCAAACTGCACCAAGATTGTATCGTTAATTTATTAATGCATAGGTAGCTTCAGAACTTTTTCCACATAAAAAGTGCCTCGATTATCGAAATAACGATCAATGCAGAAGAAATTCCATATAAAACTCCAGAGCCTTTATCAGACCGAAAAATAATTTTAGTTGGAAATGGGCAGCCATTTTCATACTCTATAATATCAACCGGCACATTTGTGGTGTTATCATATCATACAATAGCCTTATAAAAAGTGATTAATTGGGCACTGCTGAAATCGTACTCTCCCACAAGATCCTCATATATTTTACCAGAGCTCTCATCCCATTTTAGGTTATGAATTCCAATAGTGGGTAGACTCCTCTGATTACCTCCTGGCTCAATTGATATTGTCCCAGAGCACCCTGTAAATTTCTGTTTTCTTATATTAGTGTTTATTACTTCATAATCCTTACTCCCCCCCCCCCCCTCCGTGAGCGAACAAAAAAATTTTGTTCGCTCACGGAGGGGGGTTAATTTTTTTTTTTTAAAAACAATTTATATATAAATTTTATAAAAAATATTTTTTTCGAAATTTAAAAAAATCCTAATTTGCAAAAATTGGGAAGCAAATATTAATTTAATTTGCAAAATTTATGTTTTAAAACGCAATTTGTTTAAAATTAAACAGAATTAGCTCTAGATTTCATTATACTAATTATCACTTATATATCAAAATTTTTTTTTCCATTAAAATTTTTTCTATTAAAAAAATTTTTGTTCACTCACGGAGGGTGGGTTTTTGGTCAAAAAATGGCGATTTTTCTAATGGTTTTGTTCGCTCACGGAGGGGGGGGGGGGGGAGTTAAACATTTTGACCTTTTTGTATAGTAAATTCTATCCCATGCAGAAGTAGCATTGCAGAATCAAATGCTAAACAGCGAAAATCTGTGTCATTGATATAAGCTTTTATAAAGCCATTCCTCAACATTTGTCCATAATCCCCAATCCATTCAGCCTGGGAAATAACTATTCCTCCATACATTAAATTAATAAGCTTTTTACGCTGAACTTCATCAGTTTCCCATGTAAGTGAATAAGCAAGTCTCGCATTGGCTAAAAAGATTCAATCGCCTCTCCTCATCCCAGCATCATAAAAGCTTTCAACCACATACATTCAATAAGGAGGTGTCAAAAACCCTACATTAAGTCTGGCTCTTAGCTTTATTAACCCCTCGAACCAATATTTTCATTTCGGATAGTCATTTCTAGTATAATATGTATTCTTTTCTATATCATTCTAATTTTTTAATGTATAAGCCTTGTCTCTATATTTCCTTATATCATTGCAGTTCCTAAAAAATGATGTTTATAATATAAATAAGTTAAAATATCAATTTGTTGCAATTTTGGAGGATTTACAATCCTCATATTGAATTTTTTAAGTTGCGCAACAAAATAATTATACATCACTGTACTTGCATTGTCATAAATTACCACAAAATTTTTTCAGCCAAAAATCACTGCAAGGTTTAATATGACTTGGGTGTTGAATGCTACATCTTTTATGACTGTCATAAATTCAGGAAATGCTGTATAATTTTTTTAAATCATAATAAATGGGAGTTAATTGTGAAATTTAGAGCAGCAATGTCAGATAACAAGTAGGAGCGTATTATTAGTACTGTAGTTAACTTTTGGCCTTAAAGGAAGACATCTTGCCTCAGACGATCACCTCTCTGCTGATTTGAATCATAAAGAGACTTGCTCATCATACACCCAGTCTTCGTCACACACCTCATGCTGGTCCATCTCACCAGCCTCTCTATCCTAGAAACCCAATCTCTGTTAACTTGATGGTAGAGCTTGACTTGAGGAAAATCTTCTTTTCAATTGAGAAAAAACCTCACCTAGGAGAAAATTGACTTAATAGAGCTCTTGGTCAGTCAAGCTACATTATATATCATATTTTTTTCTTAATCTGGAAAGACTATAAGATTTTTCCTATTTTGAATCAAAGAGTATGTCTTGTGCAACATTTCAGAAGCAAAATCAAAAAGCTAAAGAAATTTAGAATGCCCCACTATAATAAAATCAATGTCTACAATAATAAGTCAGCTAATTCAGTGACATAGCAATTAATTCAGATGAAAACTGAGGGAGTATCACAATAATCACTAAATAATGAATTGAAGTATAATTTTCTGTAACACTGGAAGGGGCATATGGAGAAATATGAGGCATTGAATAATTGAAATATCTCAATGTATAATATAGCCATAATCATAAAATTGTGTCATTTTCTGGTCTCGACCGAAAATTCTCTTTTGCATTTTATGATTGCGAGGCTTAGTTTTTCCCCGGCTTTATCAGGGCTTTAAAGGTCTACGATGTACAGCGCAGGACTCCTATCCATTAGCGAAATTTAATTTTCTGGAAGGAAACCATCAATCCCAGGCGGCGGAGACTGGGGCATTTAGGGGGATTCAAGAGTTAAAAGCTGTCTTCTGTTTGAGCTAGAAGGACAGCGGTCGAAATCAGAAATCTAAAGCCATATAGGCCATTCGGAGGCAAACGCGCGCGGTACCTGACGCAACGGTGGATCGGGTAACCCCAGAAGCAGGAAAAGAAGCTCAGGCAGATGATGTGATATTGGACTCCAAACGAGAGGAAGATTATCTTAAATAAAATGTAATGTATAAATATAGCCAATAGCCATCCATGGATAAATAATCAATTCCAGGGGTTTCAAGCAATTTAGAAAAACAGGAATACGCATAATCTGCATCGTATATTGTAACCCCACAATCTGTATTTGTAACTGTTATTTCAAAGCCATCTAGCTCCCTCTCAACGTAAAAACTAATTTAATCCATAAAATTAATGTTCATAAAGCATTTCTATTTATAATTTAAAAGAAATAGCCAGGTTTCTTTTAATAATAGTTTTGCTTCCTCACTGAGGAGGAAAGTAAGGCATGTATACTTTTTCAATAGCTTAGTGCATAAAATTCTGCATATGTCACAGTTGTCGCCAAAAGTTCAGGATCAGCTCCTGGATTTGTGGTTCCATCTGCAATTCATATATTTACATCTGTAGTAGGAGAGTTTGGAATTATTGAAGAATCTTCTGGAAAATTTAAAGACTTTAAAATGGTCAAATTTCCGTTAAAAATATTTCCTGCTATAATCTTTTCACCACTCTCGACATTCAGTAAAGTAAAGTTAGATATAGGATGATGATCTACTGTATTTTTATCTAAAAATGCAACCAAGTCTAAAGGACTAGACCCTAAAGGGCATTCAAGAACCAAATTTAAAAACTTTATAAGAGCTAAGCCTTCATATGTATAATAACTATCAGAATTTTCCTAATCCTGACAGAGATTCATTATAATAATAATTATCGCTTATATATCATACAAAATTTTTCTATTAAAAAATTTTTGTTCGTTCACGGAGGGTGAGGGATTTTTCTAATGGTTTTGTTCGCTCATAGAGGGGGGAGTTAGCAATAGTTATCTTTTCGTATGCATTTAGGCGCTTTCTCTTTCATTTGACTCCTTTTATTATTAACCCTTTAATTGAAATTTTTATATAAAAAAATCATAGATATTTAAATGTAAATTTTATATTTTTTCCTAAAATTTTTATAAGTTAGACCCCATTAATAACGAACAAAAAAAGTGTTCGTTATTAAATGGGGGAGAGTAAGAACCCCTCTTGTCTCGCTTGCCCTGACGGCGGAATCTGCTATGGAAACTACACAATGGCGCCTAAGTCTGGATACTGGAGAGACAACAAGTACACAAATGTCTTTTGGAAGTGTCAGAATTCAAATGCGTGCTTAGGCTCAACCAACCCAGACAATATCTCCTACACAGGCGAGTGTTCAGACGGCTACAAAGGAAACATGTGTCAGTCTTGTGAATATGGCTACTCTAAGACAGGCACTGGCATCTGCAGTCCTTGCCCAGACAAAGCCACAAACAGTATGGCAATTATTGGGATCTTCATCGCACTTATTATCCTTTGTGCAATTATAGGAGTTTTCCCTATATGGCCCGATTATGGCCGTGGGTTCTCCGTGGAAATCCCTCTGCTAGTTGAAAAAACCAGTTAATTGGTCAAACCAACGCACTGAGTTGGTTTGGTCAACAGAGAAATTCCACTGAGAAACCACGGCCCTTATCGGGCCATATAGGGAAAACTCCTATATGGTTAAATCTACAAGAGACTCTGCCTTTGTCCCAAAGTCCCTGACTTCTGTGTATATCAAAATCTTTATGAACTACCTTCAGCTGGTTATGCTTGTGACGACTTTTAACCTCAACTGGCCAAGTCTAGTCCTTCAAGTCTTTTCAACACAAAACAGCGCTGGGTCAGTCAGCGACCAAGCCTTTTCCTTTGACTGCTTTTTACAGACGAGCAAAAGTGACCCAGACCAATATTATTTCAATAAGCTGATACTTATGAGTCTGATGCCGATCGGAATATCTCTAATTGCTCTGGTCATTTGGGTTTTTATCGACCTTAAGCGAAAAAGTTTCAAGGATTTTACGAACGACTATCTACCTGCATTATTTTGCTATTTATCGTGCACCCGAACATTGTCAAAATGATTTTTGGGTCATTCAATTGCAAGCAGATAAATTCTGGAGAATATTGACTCAATGACAACCTTGATATTAGATGCTGGCGCAGTAAACACTTGTTTTATTTGTTTATAGTTTCTATTCCAGCTGCTATAGTTTGGGGAATTGGAATCCCAGCTGTTTGTTTGCTAAATCTCATGAAGAATAAGAGAAGACTGAACGAATTAAGTGTTAGGCTTAAATTTGGGTTCTTTTTCAATGGGTATACAGCTTCGTGCTACTATTGGGAATTCATTATTTTGTATCGAAAATTATTGATTATCTGCTGCTCAGTATTTCTGGCTAATATTTCAGTCAGTATTCAAGCGCTTACAGTAGCGATCGTACTTGCAACCAGCCTTCATCTGCAGTACAGGTATAGTCTAAGCTCTTTTTTAGCTCAGCTACATCCGATGCTTTCTTTTGGCTCAGAATTGGCTTGATTACTTTTTGACTGCAAACCAAATATCTATCAGTAATATATTTTGGCCAATTTTTGAATAAATAGTCATCTCCCTCAAAAATTCGCCAGACGTAAGCATCAGATACAACTAAAAAGGAACTCAATCTATTCGACCTTATAACGGAAGACCTTTGAGCAAAAAGGAGCTTCGGTCTGTCCTTGTATCCTCAATCACCATTTATTGTGGGCTTTACTACCTAACTAAGGACCTTGACGACTGGAGCAGCCTAATTTTCTTTTTACTCATTGTCATAATGAACCTCTACTTCTTATACTTCTGGCTCACACATATTTTCCACGCAGGGCTTCTCATGGTCGGTGAAAAGATCCCCTTCATACGAAAATTAATGGGCCACAAATCTGATGGCTTCGATGATGAAATATTCTAGAACCCAAAGAAAGGTCACGTATTTTCAAATGGCGGGGAAAAGATGTTTTCAATGTTACATAACATGAAAGAGACAAAAGAGCGCCCAAAGCCTTTTGACTCGAAATACACCATGGCTGATATGTTTATAAGTGTACTTCCAGAACTAGAGGCGGGAAAAGAACTCTCAATTGGCAGCTATGAAAGCCAAGATTCGATCTCTGGGTACCAGACGAGCAGTGTTTTTGAATCAGAAAGAGAAAGACATACAACATCTACACTTCAGGAGACGAGTGAAGAAGTCCGTGATGAGGAAAGTAGAGAGCTAAGAACAGGGAAAGTGAAGAAGAGATTGATGAAAATGAGATTGAGCCAGAGATAAATGACTCTTCAGTTGAGGAGATAAGAGTTCCTTATAATTAGTATGAAGAAAAAGCTAAAAGTAAATAAGATAACTTTTCTTATTATTTAGTGATGACATATTAATTTTTCTAAATAAAGATAAATAATAATTTTAATAAAAAATTAGGCATTATTATTCATACAGGATCACTTATTAAAGGATTCAAAATTTAAATTGATTTAGTTAATTTGGATAGAAAGTGAATGTTTTATTGCAAAAATGCTTGTAGATGCTTCAATCAGCATTCATTAGACTTACTTTTTTATTATATATATTTAATTTTATGCGTTAAAATGCTTACTCCCCCCCCCCCCTCCGTGAGCGAACAAAACCATTAGAAAAATCGCCATTTTTTTGACCAAAAAAACCCACCCTCCGTGAGTGAACAAAAATATTTTTAAAAGAAAAAATTTTAATAGAAAAAATTTTGCTATATAAGTGATAATTAGTATAATGAAATCTAGAGCTAATTCTGTTTTAATTTTAAACAAATTGCGTTTTAAAACATAAATTTTGCAAATTAAATTAGTATTTGCTTTCCAATTTTTGCAAATTAGGATTTTTTTTAAAATTTCGAAAAAATATTTTTTATAAAATTTATATATAAATTGTTTTTAAAAAAAAAATTAACCCCCCTCCGTGAGTGAACAAAATTTTTTTGTTCGCTCACGGAGGGGGGGGGGGGAGTTATAATTTTCTTAATATTAATTTATAATTATTAGTTATAATTAAAATATGTTTCACACAAATGTAAATTATATAAAAAAATTTTGATTATTACCAAAGGGATTTTCTAATGCTGATTAATGAAAGTAGCGAAGCTAACAGCTCTATAATTAAAAACGCAACTTACTTTAGTATTTATTGCTTACTCTCCTTCCGTGAATGAACAAAACCATTGAAAATCCCTATTTTTTACCCAAAAGCCTCCACAGCTGATGGAATTATAGGGTTTATAGAATTAGGATTAGAGAATTCAATTGATTATTCTTCCTATGAATTTATAGGATACGCAAAATTTATTATCATTATTTTAGGATTTTCTTCAAATTCTAACAATTTGCTTTGCATATTTTTTTAGGAAAAAATACAGTTAAGCATTGTCCAGTTTCAAATTTTTCGATAATAAACATCCAGAATTGCAGAAGAATAATTATTGGAAGCCTTTCAAATGGCTCCTTAAATATCACCTCCATCCCTATTTTTCTAGGAAATACAACAGCAGTCTCAAATTCTACTTTCACATATATTCCTCTATTAATAGCAGACGGCCTCACAAATCCAGGCTACTCTGACAGCACTTATAAAACAAAAGAAGGCACTGCTTATGCACTTACTTATATAAAAAGCACAATTTTTTTAAAGATTTTGAAATGTCAGTGACTCATACTGATTGTGGAGCTGATGTTTTAACTCAAAATATGCCTTAGCATGCTTTAAAGCCCTGCGGGCCAAATCATAAAGAAAAATCTGAAAAAAATATTTGTTCTTGGCATGCGAAATTAATAAAAACAATGAAAACATATACCAGTCCAGTCAGCAAGTTGAAAATGCGAGTTTTAATTGAAATTTTATTAATAAATAAATGTTTAAAATATAAATTGTGAGTTTATGTTTTGGATAAGAATAGTCATATTAAGATATCATATATTTACAATTGATTTTTTATAATTAATATAATAAAAATTTATGATGGCACAAATTTTTTTGGAATTGATGAGAATTCATACAATATTTTGCATTTTTTTCCAAAAGAGGCTCATTATTGTTTCGAATTTCAGTTTTAATTAAATCACAGATGTATGTCTGTTGCTAATTTTTAAAAGGGTAACTTATTTATTATAACAAAACTGAATAAAGCATTCGTTATCTAAAAAAAAGTATTTTAATAGCATGAAAGTTTAACTGTCTATGCCTAAGAATAAAGTTATTTAAGAATTAATGTTAATAAATAATTATTCTTTGCTATTTTCATAGAGAGTAGATTTGACCTAAAATCAACCTGATACTGACATCAATATAAAGTTTGATAAAGAAATAAGGAAAATTATGTTCTTGCAAGTGTGTTAAAGACTTTTTGCTTACTATTGATGGGTTAAAAAAATATATATTAAAAACTTTCTCCAAGAAAAATAAGAAATTAGTTATCCTACTCCCCTGGAGTAAACCAAAACATTTTTTTTACTATGGAGGGGGTTAATTAATTTTTTTTTCTTCGAAATTTAAAAAATTCTAATTCACAAAAATTTGAAAGCAAATATTAATTTAATTTATAAAATTTATGTTTTAAAAAGCAATTCGTTTAAAATTAAACAGAATTAGCTCTAGATTTCATTATACTAGTTATCAATTACATATCAAAATTTTTTCGATAAAACATTTTGGTTCACTCCCGGAGTGGGTTTTTTTGGCAAAAAATAGCGATTTTTCTAATGGTTTTGTTCACTCACGGAGGGGGGAGTTAGAAGATTTATGTTTTAGCATGAAATTTAACAGAATTAACTGTCATTTTTATTATAATAGTTATTATTTTTAATTAAAATACTCTTTTAAAAATATTACATTAAAAATAATTTTTGTTTCAGTGAAGGTGGGTGCTTCACAAAAAAAAAAGATTTTTTGAATGATTTTTTATTGGTCACGGAGGGAGGATACAAAACATCCCGATTTAATGTTTTTGGTGCTTTTTTTTTTTAGAGTCATTTATTAATAAATTATTAAGATGAATTATATTTGATATTTTATTTTTGCAAGCTTTGCCTATTGCCAGATAAAAATAGAAATATTCTATAGCTCCGATACCGATCCCATACTGGCTTCAACAGTTTTCGATTCGGTGCAACAAAATTACAACAACCAAGTGGAAGCAAAACTTGTTAATTTAAGCCTAAATCCTATATGGCTTACCTCAGGAGAAATATTTCATATGGCGATTGACTTGACTTTTACTATTTCTTTATCCAATCTGATAAAGCAATATGCTTCCCAAAATGAAATAATCATGATTTCTTCTCAAGACTCTCCCTCATTTAGCAGCTGAGAATTTTTCATTCATCCTTCAGAACAAGACCAAACTAATGCCCTTTCAGCTCTCATCTCTTATCTAAATTGAGAGAAAATAATTGTTCTCGCTGACTCTGATTGAGCAAAATTTAAAAAACTGCCAAGTGCAAATATTAAAAGCTTTTTTTTCCCTAGTAATGGAGACCAAAAATCAGCTGAAATTGTGCTTAAAAAAGAAATCAAGCCTGCAGGAATAAAAAATATTGTGATTTTAAATAAAGGCGAAGTTGCTAATTTTCTTGTAAAAAGTATAAAAGATGCAAATCTATTTAGTTTGGGAACTGGGATAATATTAGGGACAAAGAGTTGATATAATGCAACTGAAACTGGGCTATTTGGGATAGTTGAATTGGGACTAGAAAATGTAACAGATTCTTATAGCTATGAAGCACTAGGAGTTGAAAAAATCATAAATATTGTACTTAATTGCAGACAATGTTCAGATATTCATGATATTAGAAGTTATTTAGAAAAAAATACAATAAATCATAGACCAATATCAAATTTCACAGTATTAAATGTTAAAAATAGTGAAAAAACAAAAGTGGGGTATATTTATGATCAACAGCTAGTTATTTCCAAAGCCCTAGTTTTTATTGGAAATTCTTCTGTAATCCCAAATTCTCCTTATACAAATATAACAATTTCTATATCAGATGGTATCACAAATCCAGGATATAGTAATAGCTCATACTCAGATAAGATGAAAGAAGGAGCAAAATATGCATTAATGTATGCAAAAAATAATAATTTTATAGATGGCTTTGCAATTTTGGTTACCCACACAGACTGTGGCGCTGAAGTTTATTATCCAAAATTTTCTCTTAACTGTTTTACCAAGCTAAAAAACAGTCTTGGCGTTGGACTTCTAACTACACCTTACCTGCCTACAGTAATTGGGAACATAAATTCATTGCGAGCTTTAAATATTTCAATTCCACAAATCTCCGAAATTGCGACTTCACCAATTTTGATGAATAAAACCACTTATCCTGAATTTATGAGGATGACCAAAGACAACCGCTATAATTTTGCCGGCTTTTTGAACCTTTTCGCGATTTTTCAATGAAAAAAATTTATTATTGTGTATGATCAAACACCTTCACAAATTGTTTCTTATCAGTTTCTTTTATCAAGCATAAATCAAACAGGCTTTGAAATTGTAAATCCTCCAGATAAAAGAGAAATAAAGCAAAATTATGGCCATAGCGATTACTCTACATATAAGCCGTGAATGGAAGAGTTTTTAAAGTCAAAAGTAAGGATTTTTCTTCTTTTAATGATCCCTCCAGCACAGCTTTATTTTGTTGAAGATTTATATAATGCAGGCTTCAGAAAGGGAGATATAATTTTATTTGTGTATAGCAGATCTACTAGTGCTTTTGCCTATGAGCCTGATCCTGCACAAATGAAGAAATTGGAAGAGTTATATTATGGAACGATCACAATGGATCAAGCAGAATGAGTTGGAGAATATGGCAAAAAAATACAAAAAGGCTATGAAAAAGCATTTTCTGCAAGCAACGATGCTTATCGCTGTTTTTCTTTTGACACTGCTATGCTTTTATTGAATGGAATTAAATATACAATAGACCAAGGAGGAAGTGTTGAAGATTTCGCAACTCTAAACGCTAACTTAAGGATGCAGAGGTTTATAGGATGCTCAGGAACTGTGTCAATTGACAAGGATTCAAATGATAGAAGTACAGCAGTTATTGGGATTTATAATATCAGGTGAAATGAAAATAGTTTATATAATTATCAAATAGGGACTTATGATCTAAGTAGTCAACAGCTATTTACTTTTACTGATAATGTTATCTGATATGACAACTCTTCAAATATTCCAAGCGATTTAATTGCTTATTCTTGTGATTTTGACCCAAAGAGTGTTGAATTTTCTATGAATGGGGCAAAGTTTCTTTATATTGTTGACTCTTGTGTGCTGATTAGTGTTTTTATTGCTCTTTTTATAATAAAACAATATTGGTATCACATAATGATAAAGCCACTAGCGGCTTCAAGTGAGGTTGCATTTTGAGATTACCTAGCCTATCTCATAATTTTTATAGATTTCCTCCAATTTCTCTTCTTAGGGCCAGATTTTAGCGCCTACGACAAATATTTAAATCAACTTGTTAAAATTTCTATGTATCGATTTGACTGGGGATCTTCCAAAGACATTTATTTAGTATATTTTTACATCAGTTTCGCATTATCTTTTATTGTCATATTTTTTAGCACCAGAAATCTATGAAGTTGTTGGGGAAGATTCAAAATGTCTTTTTGTAATATTTTTGAGAAGCTGCCTGAATGGCTAATTCCTTTTGTTGGAAATATATGCTACATGCCTATACTTTTTACACTATTAGGAGTATTTCAATGTGACCAAAGCATAGGAAATGAGATTACAGATAGCTTTATGAGGCAAGATTGCGAAATATTTTGTTGAAAAGGCCATCATATAACATTAGTAGTCCTTGCAGTCATTGCGCTAATTCTTTATTTACCTGTTGCAATGAATTTAAAACTATATTGTGATGCTATAAATGTACATTCAAATATACAAGTTTGACCAACGTTTTTACTCGAAAAGAGAGTATTTCAAACAATTGTGATCGCGCTAAACAATACCCTGCTAGTCCATTATCAATCACTATATGGACTCATATATATTCTATTGATAATTTGCTTTATCATTTTTACAAAATTGAAGCGGAAGCAATATAACTATAGCAGATGCAATCTTTGACTAATGATTTCATATATTGCTGTTATTTGAAACATAGGGATTTCCTCAATATATAAGCTTTTTGATGATGGATTTTTGGAGAAATGAGCTTTTCTTCAATATGGAGGATGATTTTTCTTAATTTAACCCTATATTAAAAAATCAATATAAAATTTCTTACTAATCTATTCTAATAAAAATTAGACGATTTTTATCTTTGTTATAGAAAGGAGAGATATTGATTATTGCTGTGTCAATTCAGCATTATTATTGTCCCTCTCTTCTTTATTCAGAGGACCCTCCAGACATTGCTCTTTTTTTTAGGTTTTCATTAGGCAAGTCAATAAAAGCAAGTCAAATAAATCAGTTGAATAAAGAAAGAAATAGCAGATCTCAATTCTCTATTTCTCTCAAATAACAATCAAAATTTAAGAATACGCTGTTGATAATAAATCATCATCTAAGGATAACTTTAGTTTATTTTTATCTAAATCATAATTCAAAATATTGTCAATCAATATAATCTCTCATAAGAAATGCTTTTAATCGTTTAAAGTATTTTTTGACATTTAGAGTTAATTGATATAATTTTTAAATTAAAAATAAAATTATCCTCTAATACATGCAATTTTAGATTCGGGGCATTGCTCTAAAAATTGAATATTTATTCGCTAAAAAATGGAGATGGCTGTTGTATTGAAAAAGTATTATTTCATTTTGAGAAGCATATTGCTTCATCAAGCTTGATAAAGACAAAGTAAAAGTCAAATCTATCGCAATCTGAGGCATTTCTCCTGTATTAAGCTCATTGGGCATTATGCTTAAATTAATAAGCCTAACTTCAACTTGGTTAATAAATTTTTGTTGAAGCCAATCCAAAGTTGCTGGAAGCAATGAAAAATCTGTATAAGAGCTGTAAAGTATCTCAATATATATCTGACAATAAACTAAGCTTGTGAAAAATAAATATTTAATGCTTTCATATTGATAATTAAGTCAATATAACATTGATTAAAATTCATTATTTAAAAAATAATTTCAAGATATTAATAAAGGAATATATCCGGAGAGCTAAAGTTTCTCCTCAATTGCCTGCTGATTTGGCCAACCAATTAGTCTTTTGAGTTAAAAAGAGTTAAATTGTAATCGTGAAAATTTTTTATGAATTCCAGGAGCAAAAATGGATTGACATTTAAAGTTTTCAATATCTATAAAATATATTTGCTCTCCTCTTTAAATTTGAGCAAAAAGTTTCTCTCGGTTTCTGTTGGGATATCTTTCGGAGGTTCTGTGAGTTTTCTATCAGGTCTTTGTTCTATTTTTATTTTTTGCCCTTTTGCCTTTTTTGCTTGCTTTTGTGCCTTGACTCATTTTTCTTTTTTTTATCTCACTCAATTAGCCTAGCAGATTCTGTGGTCAATACTAGCCCTCTGTTATCCAAGAACTCATTTTCTGTTTTGAGGTCTATATTTTGAGGGTAGTCAACATGCTTCCCCAATATCCTTTTTCTTCCTCAAAGCTTCACTGTTCGAATCATCTTCTTCATCTATGGGTTACTCATCTCCGAGGATTTCATTAGCAAAGTCTTAGAATTCATCATCCCAAAATATACTATCATTACCAGAGCTCTCTCTGTAATAAGATTCCTCGTCACTGCTTAACAGGATCACAAGCCTAGGCCACCTTGTGATTGAGTACTTTGGGAAATTTAAGCTCCATTAAAAATAAAAAGTGGCAAATGTAGAATCAATTAAAATTTTTTTTTATCGTAAAATATTTTGTAAATCCTAGCAAGAAAAAATATAAATTTATGATAGAATGCAAGCCCAACACTATTAGCTTGAGATTTAATATTATCATTGCTAATTAGATATTAAAATATTTTTTCCAATTAAAATTATGAAGTTTTTTCTCAAAAAATAGAGACTTTTCAATGGTTTTCTCGTTTATGGTGAGAGAGTTAGTATAGATAAAAAAAATTGTTTCATTCAAAGTTTTTAATATTTATTATGCTCCAATATGCAAGTAGCTTCTATACTTATTTTTATAGCTTATTGCTGGCATATTGCTTTTGTTCTAACTTAAATGCAGTCTATGGGCTTAAATTTTTACACTGATTTTATTTTGGCATATAGGCATAAGTTTGAAGTTGGGATTGAACAGATTATGCAAAAGCCAATAAAGTATTAAAAAAAATTGCTTTCAGAAATCTTAGTTCTTACTTCCCCCTCGTGAGTGAACAAAATTTTTTATTGAAAAAAATTTGCTTCGTAAGTGATCATTAGTTTAATGGGATCCTGAGCTAATTCTGTTTAATTTTAACCAAATTGCTTTTAAAGCATAAATTTTGCAAATTAAATTAATATTTGCTTTCAGAATTTTTAAAGTGGGATTTTTTTAAATTTCGAAAAAAAATTAACCCCCTCTATAAGCGAGCAAGATTTTTTTGCTCGCTCACGGAAGGAAGAGTTATTAGATTATCAAAACCTTATATATATAGTTATTTTATTTGTTCTTATTGCTTTAGGCATTGAAGGTGATTGGATGTAATTGCATCTAAAATATGTTATGACTAATACAGTGTAAGGTTTAAGCGTAAACTTGTATTATCTATTGGATTTTTTTGGGATGGGTCCCATACATCAGGGCATTTTCCCACGTATTAGAAACAAATCCCATATAGCCGTTCCCGGCTACATGTAGTGTCACTCAAGTGTGAAAACTCCACATATAGGATTTGGGCTTGACATGAGGGACTCATCCCAAAATTATGCCAAGGCATAATATCAGGCTAAGCATTTCCATGAGGCTTAAAAGGCAAGCCTTATCTACGAAAAAATTATCTTTAAGAATAATCTAAAAATTTTATAGCTATATCCCTGACTGCTATTCAGCATCTTAATATTAATCTGCTCAATTCAGCTTGATATAGTCGGAGCCATTGATTAATCTTTAATTTAATTTAATATGAATCTTGCTTTGTTATGCTCTAATCATTGAATACTTGCTAACTCCCCCCCTCGAAGTTCGACCAAGATTTTTTTCGAGGGGTTAAGAAAAATTTTTTTAAAAAAAATTATATAGAATTTTTTTTTATATAATTTAGTAGCTAAAACAAATATTTATCATATTCTTCTGTATGGTTGAGAGGGTTAAGGGTTAGAAAAAATAGTGCAAGATGGTTTTGTAACGTTTTTTTAGAACTTGAATACAAAAATCGCAAGCTCACCCCCACATAGTTTAAAATTTTTGAAAAATTGCTTATTTTCCTAGTAAATTTATATAGGTCTTGGTCGAACTTTGAGGGGGGTTAATTTTCCAAAAAAATAGGAATTTTCCCTATATCTTGGTCGAACTTCGAGGGGGGGGGAGTAAGAATTTTTATAATTTTAAGTATAATCTTATGACATCTCAAAATATTTATGCTGAAGAGTATAGCTCAGAAATTTCCATAATTATATAATAGAAATTCCAGAATTAGCCAGACAGTAAGCTTACAGTTAGCTAGGAAACTAAAATATTCATAAATTATTAATTTTTACAACAATTATTAAATGTAAACTATAAAATATAACTTTTACCTTTAAACAACTATCTAGATTTTTACTCCTAAAATTTCTCAATCTTTTTTGAAATGGAAATTTGTTTAAGGGACAAGGTCTTTATAATTTTATATAATTAGCAGAAAATCAGGTTATTATATATTAATGATATATCAAATTTTTTAATACTGATTTTGCTCATAGCCAAAAGATGAACCTTGGAGCTTGCAAATTTGCTTCATTTTGCCTTAGCATCCCAGTTCCTTGCCTTAATATTTATGCATGTACGGTTTCATTAAAGGGATATTATTATATTTCCCATAAATTCACTTTAAAATACATTTATATACTTATAAAACAGCATGGCATCCACTATTAAAATTATTCATAATGGATAAAGTGCTATAAGTAAACAGCCTAGTGAATATTTATTATAACTATAAATAGAGGACCTTCTAGCTCTATATCATTTTTTATTACTTCCTCTTTATAGCTTAATTATTTAAAATTTGCTCAATTCTATGAACAAGTATTTAAATTTAAAGTTCAATACACTTCGTCGTGATCGAATTTATACAATGAATAAAATTTTTAACAGACAATTATAGAAGTGAAAATAATTATTCTTTTATGCAACTAGATGTTTTAAATAAAGAGATCTATAGAGCCTATCTAATTCTTAATCGAAGCTTGCTGTAATAAAACTCAGCACTATTATCTATTGAACTTAGCATAATCCAGCGGCTCCATTTCAAATAATTGTGTGAATTTTAACAGTGTAGCATTTCATAGAAATTTTAAAATGTTTTTTTACAATTTAAAATACTTCGATTAAATTAGCACATGATCATTATTAGACTTGCACCCTAATCTAGCATCAGTGACTGTGAATAAAAACATTTATAGAAGCTCTTAATTATCTCATTTCCTTAAATTGCAGTTTTTATCCTTATTACTAAAATGGTCGACGAAATTTCGAATTGATTTTTGCTCCAGATGCCTAAATAATATAAATAATTATGGTTTTTGCAGCTATAATAGCCCTTATTGTGGCAGCTCAGGCTGCAGATTTAAATATTACGTGCAATTTGAATTTGTGCCCTTCTGGCGTTGTAAGAAAAACTTAGAGAGGCGACAATTACTGCGATAAAGAATGCATGTTTCCTTACTGTGGCTACGATTCTTCTATCGTAGGTGACTCACAAACTCAAATTTTCGGCTCAGACTGCATCTGGCAGTGCTTATTCTACAATGGATGCTCTTCCTCTCATCTCGGGGACGGAAACTGTGATTCTGACTGCAACATAAGAGAATGTGGTTATGATTTACCCTCCCATAGAATTTTCTATTATTAAAAATATTTTATAATAATTTTCTTAAAATTAATCAAAATTTGTATAAAGAAGTGTTCAATAAAAGCAAGCCAATAGGCTTGCTATTTATTACTCAAAGAGTTAGGAGACTGTGGGTTTTGTGCTGATGGATGTAAACTCTATTTAGGCTATGAATTCATGTTAGGTGGGGCTTGTGACACAGCCTGCAATGTTTCTTCTTGCTATTATGATCTAGGTGCTTGTGATACTTGTGCAGAAAATTGTACTCTAAATATGACTGGGGATGGATTCTGCGATCCTGAGTGTGACAATAGTAATTGCAACTATGATTTTGGAGATTGTGAAGGCAAAATTTGTGCTAGTGGGTGTTATAACTATATGGTTGGGGATTCCATCTGTCAAAAAGAATGCCATGTCGAATCATGCAACTATGATAATTTTGATTGCGACTGCTACCCTGGCTGCACTACAGATCTGTTAGGCGACGGTAAATGTGACTCTGTTTGCAACTCTGAAAGATGCAATTACGATAATTATGATTGTGGAGACTGCGCTTCTGGATGTTATACAAGTATGCTTGGGGATTTGGAATGCAATGAAGCTTGCAACAATAATAACTGCAATTGAGACTATGGAGATTGTGGCTGTGCCGATGGGTGTGCCTTATCAGATTATGGGTCCTGCAAGCCTGAGTGTTTAGTAGGAAAATGTGCTTATGACCAGCTTAGTGATGACCTCGACAAGCGATGTCAGGATTATACATTGGTTATGTTCGATCTCCGGCAAAACCTGCTCTGGCACGATTTTGACTTTCTTCCTGGCTACAACTGATGCGAAGAAGATTCATGGAAATGGGATGATGCAACTTGGCAGTGATATAAGTGTACCGAAGAAATGGCTTTTGATTATTATAGCTGCAATAGTCTTTGTGAAATAAAATCCTGCATATATTCATGGCTAAATTGCTGAACTGAGCAGTCTCTTTATTGTTATCAGACTGGCTGTGAGTGGTGCTATGGCCCATACTATGGGGAATGTTATCAATGCAAAGAAGGCTACTTTCAGTGATATGGGTACTGCAGCTTGATGTGTGAGTATGGCTATGAGCCGCGACAAATTATGGACAGCAATACTGTATGTCTTCCTTTTATAGATACCTCGACCCCTGAAAATCCAAAAATCTTTTATGCAACTTCTATCAAGTCTGGGGATACCTCAGGAGGAGAAGGTACATTGGAGTCACCTTTTGAGACATTTGCAACTGCTTTGGCCAAGATCCAGCATGCTTATTCTATTCTTTACCTCATCAATGATGGGACTTATGAGTGGGCTCCTGTGGACCATCTTTATATTATTTCAGCGTGGGTTTATGAAGAAAGTAAGCCACTTAATCATGGAAATAATTATGATACTGGAACTTTGAAGTATTTAAAAATTGCTAGCCTTGATGGGAGCATCATTACAATTAAAACAGCCCTTGATAAGTGGAATATCCATATAGAAGCTTGAAGCGGTCTCCAAATAGAAGTGGAAAACCTAATTATTGATGGCTACTACACACAATCAACTTGTACAGGCTCAGAGTACTGCGATTATTGCCCATATGTGGAACAGCAGATTGATGCATCCTATAAAAATGACAGAGGAGAAACCATTTCAAGCAGCGAGTTTTTGCCGTCAAGCTACTGCAAATGGTCAAGCAATGTTAACCTTTTTGGAGTTTATAATGGAGCCTCCTTGACTTTGACAAATGTGACCTTCCAGAACTGGAGAACTGGATACTATGCTATCCTTGAAAGCTGGGGAGGGTCAATCACCTTAACCAATGTAAATTTTGACAATATCTATATATACAGCAGCGAAGCCGCAGCTGTTATTACAGTCCACGACTGTGGAGACAGCAGCTATAACTGTGGCTTTATTAATTACACCAATGGGAACGTGACAAGAATCAACAACGGCTACGAGTATGCCGACCCTATCGATTTCCGAGGCTTCATATATGCAGAAAGAACTGGTTATGTAAGCTTAAAAAACATAAATTTCATGAACAATTTTGTGTCAATCCAGACCTCATCCTCCTTTACGTCAGCGTCTCTTATCGCGCTAAAGGTCTTCAGGTACCTTGAAATTGATAATTGCAACTTTAATTATAATATCGCTGACACAGGCATTGTGAGCATAGCTTCTAAAGGACTGAGATTTAAGACTGATATTAATGAAAATAAAGAGCTTATTGACCTATTGCTTAATCATGTACATATACATGATTCTAAATTTACGAAAAATTATGGAAAAAATTATGGGATTCTTTCGGCAAGCTACCAAGGGGAGCTGCAAAATATTAAGTTAGAAAATTTGGTTGTGGATTCGAATGGTGTCCAGAGCGGGCCATTGATTTATGTGAAAAATAATGAAATTAAACAGGAATATTTAGTAGATATTACGAAGCCAGTTACATTGCCATCAGGGCAGAGGACTGCAGCTGTTTATAAAGCGAGGTGGTTCTCGGCAAAGTATATTGAGTTCACCAATAATTATCAAGGAGGAGCAGGAGTGCTAGATGTCATTAATTTGGTTAATTTAGAAATAAATGACATTTTAATAGACTCCAATGGAGCTCCTGCATCAGAAAAGAAATCAGTGAACTCCGTCATACTTGACTATTGGATTGATAACCCAGACATCTACATTAAATCAACCTACACCGAAGCTAAAACAATTGATTGCATTTCTATGGCTTATCTCTCTGGCATAGTCAATGCTTCTATTTTCAACATTAACTTGACAAATAACTACTGTCAAGAAAACTCACCATCTTTTTGGGTCTCCAAAGTCAAAAACGGAGGCATTTCTTATCTAAACTGCACAGGAAACCAAGGCTCAGGTGACAATCCCCTCTGCATTAATGTAGAGGGGAATATGAACCTGACAGTCTCGAATTCTGTTTTTTACGATAACATAAACCACTTATCGTCAGGAGTCGGAGCGATTGGCACCACAATTGACCTTTTGAACCTTACAATAGAAAACTGTATTTTTAAATCAAATAGTGCTGGATATGGTGGAGCTTTATTATTCCAAGGACAATACCTCAATTTGTCAAATCTGCTTTTTGAGACAAATGATTCCCCTACTCAGTTTGGAGGGGCTGTTTATGTTTACCCACAGCTTATTACAAATAAAAGCGGAGTTTACATACAGGACTGCGATTTTATTAAGAATAAAGCCCTCAGCTCTGGAGGAGCTATATATATAGAAGAAGCCAATTTGGGCTCGTCAAAAATTGATTTTCAGATGGCAAATTGTCTGTTTGACGGAAACAGTGCTAGTAGTGGCGCTGCAATTTTTATTGAAAAAACAGCGGCCCTGTCCCAGAGTTCAACTGTTTCGAAATCAAAATTTATTAATAATGCAGCTTCTGCACTTGGAGTTTTTTCAGCTTTACATTATAACGGAATCCTCACGATCTCTGATTCTGAGTTTTCTAAGAACTCTGCCAAACTTGGAGCAGCCATTTATATCAATACAAATGCAGACAGCGGTTCAGTGAAGTCACAAACTATTGTAAAATTGTGCAAGATAACTGAAAATTCAGGTGACTCAATTGTCTGTATGGACGATCTCAGCCAATATTCTTATTTAGAAACGCATGAATGCATTTTTGACTCAAACTCAGGGACTGCTGTAGCGCTGAATTATGATCACTGGGTTGATTCTGGGTCTGTTTTTAGGTATAACTCTGCAATCAAGAGAGGGGGTGCAGTAAGCATGCAGAACGAAGCACTTGGAGAGTCAAAAAATGCCTTATTTTTTAACAATACAAATAGAGGGACTGGGGGAACGGTCACTATTAGCAGCCAATCTATTTTTAAATGCAACACTTGTAATTTCACCAATAATTATGCAGGCAACTCTGGCGGGGTCTTTTTTGTCGAACAGAACTCTTATTTTGCCATACAAAACTCAATTATAACCAAAAATTCCTGCATGAATAAAGGCTCTGTCATGTACCTTCTTGGGACCTCTTCAGCGCCTTCTTATATAAACTCTACAGATATATACAGAAATTATGCCTCTGGAGAAGGGTCAATTGTGCTTTTAGATGCAGCAGTCTCTATTTCTAACTCAAAAATCCACGAAAATGAAGCAGAAAACACGAGCCCCGGAATTCTCTTGACCCTTTCCAGCGCCACTATCTCTGACAGTCAGATGTACTCCCAAACCGGAAAGCAAGGCTGCTTTGTGTACGTATCCACTCAAAGCTACTTGGCTATTTCTAATACTGATTTTACAGACGGCGCTGCTTCTGGCTCTGGTGGGGCTATTTTTTCGATTTCCAGCACAATTAATATCAAGAACTGCCAGTTCATGAATATATATGCCAATTCAGAAGGTGCCATTTTGGCGTACTCTGACTCTATCCTTACCATTCAAGGGTCAAGCTTCTGAAACACCAGCTCTGATACATCAGGAGGCATTATAGGCGCCTCTCAGAGCTCCATTTGAATCCAAAATTCAAATTTCGACATGTTTTCTCATTCAGGGATATATGGAGAAAAACTGCACAGTCTGTCTATTTATGACTCTCGCTTTGATGACGGCCTTGGAGTATATGGAGGGTCTATTTACTGCTCAACATGCAGTCAAGTCACCATCAAAAACAGCGAATTTTCTAACTGTAATGCTACTATTGGTGGAGCTGTATATTTAGTTACACAATCAGATTTATTAATCCAAAAAACTTATGTTATAGAAAACTCCAAATTTATAAAAAATTCAGCAACTAATGGAGGAGCTGTCTATACAAATAACGTCAAACTGTCTGTCAAAAATTCTGAATTGAGGGAAAACACAGCACTTGCAGCTGGTTCAACACTTTATAATTTAAAATATGGCGCGTTTTATTTTTTTGGTCTCCCGACCAAAAATTCATCTCTTGAATATTTTAATTATAAGGTAGGTTTTCCTCTCAGCTATGTCAGGGATGCAAGAGCAGGGAGGTTTTTTCCTACCTGACTCATGACCTTAGGAAAATCGAATTTTCCAGAAAGGTGTGAAGACTAGGACCTGACAGCAGGTAGATAGACTGAGATCAAAAAAGAACTGTGGAAGCCCAAACTTCAAGACTGCCGTCCTCATCGTAAAAAATGTCAAGGTAGCAGCATTTTGGGGGCTGGAGGGAGATGGTGCGAATTCGCCCCAGAGTAGTTTTGAAGACAGCTGTGTCAGCAAGCAACTTGCTAGTGTACATAAAAATCTTAATAATTTTAATTGAAATGATTCAACGCTTGTAGGAGGAGTTGTACAGTATGGGATTGGAGGCGGGCTCTGCTTGAACTGCAGAGATGTGGATATTTGTACATTTAATTTGACAAATAATCTTTTTATTGAAAACGAGGCAAGCTATAACGGGGGAGCTTATTCTTGGAATGATATTATGCCTTCAGTGTCTGGGAACACTTTTACGAATAACTCAGCTGCATATGGCTCTGATGTATCGTCATATCCAATTTCAATGGTTCCTATAGACACTTCTACAGGAAATTCGACAAGAAGATTAGAAAATACCCCAGTGATGGCAAGCTTAAATGGGATAGCCTCAGGGCAGATAACGTCAATACCACTATCTATTGCCCTGATTGATCATGATGGGAATGTGGCTAAAACTGATAACTCAAGCCAAGCAGAGCTTCAGCCAACTGACAGCTTGACTACAATTGGAGGAATTACCAAAGTGATAGCTGTACAAGGAGTTTTTTATTTCAATGAATTTATTATTGTTGGCACCCCAGGGAATAAAACTCAAATAAAGGTCTATACGTCTGCAATAGACGTCTCAAAAGCAGAGAAAGCTCATGATAACGCGGTTTACAATCAAGAAATTTTTATTAATGTTGCATTTAGGCTATGCCAACTTGGAGAAGCCACTGTAGGGGATATATGCAAAGTCTGTGAGGCAAACTACTACAGTCTAAACCCTAAGAACCCCTCTTGTCTCGCTTGCCCTGACGGCGGAATTTGCTATGGAAACTACACGATGGCGCCTAAGTCTGGATACTGGAGAGATAACAAGTACACAAATATCTTTTGGAAGTGTCCGAACTCAGATGCATGCTTAGGCTCAACCAACCCAAACAATATCTCTTACACAGGTGAGTGTTCAGACGGTTACAAAGGAAACATTTGCCAGTCTTGTGAATATGGCTACTCAAAGACAGGCTCTGACACCTGCAGTCCTTGCCCAGACCAAGTCACAAACAGTATGAGAATTTTTGGGATCTTCATCGCTCTTATTATCCTCGGAGCAATTATGGTCAAATCTACAAGAGATTCTGCCTTTGTTCCAAAGTCCCTCACTTCTGTGTATATCAAAATCTTTATGAACTACCTGCAGCTTGTTACACAAATAAAATGGCGACGACACCGACCCGTCCTCTCCCGGAACTGTGGCGAGATTGGGGACCTTGCTGCGGCCTGAAGCCAATCCGCCCAGGGAAAGGCCTGGAATGGGTACTGGTAGTTTGTGTCCGGCTAAGTTTCCCTCCCAGTCCAGCAAAGACGATCCTAGGGTCGTCCCGATAGGACACAGGACAAAAAGGGTTTTTCCTCTAGGGACTGCTAGTGTCAATTTGGAGGGCATGGCAGGAGCCAACAAGAGCTAAGGAGTTAATCCTTAGCTCTAACCCTAGTCTGGCGACGTGAAGCACGGTGACCCAGTCCGCCTACTTCCGGGATAGCATGACCAAGCCCCATGACCGGAAGGAGCTGAGTTGTAGCCTGTGGCATTTAGGTGCACACTGGGAGCAGGGCAAGGAAAGCAAGCGAGGTGTCCAAAAGGTGGAAGAAAAGGGACCTTTGGTCCTGGCCGGGAGCTACTCTATAAATTTAACTAAGACTAAGACTAAGACCTGCAGCTGGTTATGCTTGTGACGACTTTTAACCTCAACTGGCCAAGTCTAGTTCTACAAGTCTTTTCAACACAAAACAGTGCTGGGTCAGTCAGTGACCAAGTCTTTTCCTTTGACTGCTTTTTGCAAACCAGTGAAAGCGACCCAGATCAATACTACTTCAACAAGCTGATACTTATGAGTCTGATGCCGATTGGAATATCTCTACTTGCTCTGGTCATTTGGGTTTTTATCGACCTTAAGCGTAAAAGTTTTAAGCATTTTACGAATGACTATGTGTCTACCTGCATTATTTTGCTATTTATCGTGCACCCGAACATTGTAAAGATGATTTTTGGGTCGTTCAATTGCAAGCAGATAAATTCTGGAGAGTATTGACTCAATGACAACCTTGATATAAGATGCTGGAGCAGTAAGCACTTATTTTATTTGTTTATAGTTTCTATTCCAGCTGCTATAGTTTGGGGAATTGGAATCCCAGCTGTTTGTTGGCTAAATCTCATGAAGAATAAGAGAAGACTGAACGAATTAAGCGTTAGGCTTAAATTTGGGTTCTTTTTTAATGGGTATACGGCCTCGTGCTACTATTGAGAATTCATTATTTTGTATCGAAAAATATTGATTATATGCTGCTCGGTGTTTCTGGCTAATATTTCAGTCAGCATTCAAGCGCTTACAGTAGCGATCGTACTTGCGACTAGCCTTCATCTGCAGTACAGGTACCGGCCTTATAACGGAAGACCTTTGAACAAAATGGAGCTTCGGTCTGTCCTTGTATCCTCTATCACCATTTATTGTGGACTTTACTACCTAACTAATGATCTAGACGACTGGAGCAGCCTCATTTTCTTTTTACTCATTGTCATAATGAACCTCTACTTCTTATACTTCTGATTCATCAAGATTTTCCACGCAGGGCTTCTCATGGTCCGTGAAAAGATCCCCTTCATACGAAAATTAATGGGCCACAAACCTGATGGCTTTGACGATGAAATATTCCACAGCCCAAAGAAAGGCCACGTGTTTTCAAACGACGGGGAAAAGATGTTCTCGCTGCTACATAACATGAAAGAGACAAAAGAGCTCCCAAAGCCTTTTGACCCGAAATACACCATGGCTGATATGTTTATAAGTGTAATCCCAGAATTTGAGGCGGGAAAAGAACTCTCAGTTGGCAGCTATGAGAGCCAAGACTCGATCTCTGAGTACCAGACGAGTAGTGTTTTTGAATCAGAAAGAGAAAGACATACAACGTCTACACTGCATGAGATGAGTGAAGAAGCAAGTGATGAGGACAGTAAAGAGCTAAGAGGAGCGGAAAGTGAAGAAGAGATTGATGAGAATGAGATTAAGCCAGAGATAAATGACTCTTCAGTTGAGGAGATAAGAGTTCCTTATAATCAGTATGGCAAAAGAAAAAGTTAAAAGTAAATAAGATAGCTTTTCTTATTATTTAATGATGATATCTTAAATTTTTCTAAATAAATGTATATACGAATCCTTATTTTGAATTATACTCTAGAATAAAAGATTAGGCATTACTATTCACATAGGATCGCTTGTTAAAGGATTCAAAATATAAGTGGCTCGCATAATTTGGATAGAAAGTGAATATTTAGATGCAAGAAAAGTGAAATAGATAATATGATTAGCATTTCGTTACTCCCTTTATTGACAAGAAAAATCTTCCTCAATAGGGTTTTTTAAAAGTTTTTTTTTTAAACTTGTGATATTAGAAATGAACAATTTATAAATATATAATGAATTTTGTAAATTTAATTTAACTGAATATCTAATTTCAATAATCTTTAATTGCATATCAAATTATTATTTGAATAAATTGCTTTTTCTAGATAATGGGGTTTATTTTTACCAAAATAGAAATTTCTAATGATTTTACTTGCTAGCTAAGGGCAAGTTAGATTTAATTCAGAATCTATCTATTTTATAATTATCTTAATCCCTCCGTCAATTAGCGAGAAATACTTTTTGCTCTCTACAGAGGTTTACTTCTTTTGTGAATTATAAATATTCAATTTTATGTGTTTAAATGCATATAATTTTCTTAATATAATTTTATAATAATTAGTTATATATTAGGGTATATTTCACACAAGCTAAGGAATATTTTTTCCGAAAAAAGGAACTTTCTAATGCTCGTTAGTAAAGATATCGAAGCTAAGAGCTCTATAATTTAAAATACAACGAGTCTTTATGTTTATTGCTTAGACAAAATAATCCTCTAAAAGCTTTTAGAGATCGCTCATCAATCTCAAGAAATGCGTTTTTTTGAGGCTTAAATTAATAAAATGCATTTACTTTCCTTCCTATTACTGACTCTCCCGCAGTTGATTGAGAGCCAAACCGTTTTTTTTAGATAAAAAAATTTACCGTCCATGAACAAAGTTTTGAGTAAAAAAAAATTCATAAAAAAATTAAATATATAAATGAGAATTATTGCAATTAAATCAAATTTCACAATATAAAATGGCAGGCAGTTAGGGGTAGGACCGAACTCCTGCAACCGAGTTCACTAGAGAAGTCCAGATTTCTTGAGAGTCTCAGCTCAAAGATAAGTGATCTATTATGAGGCTGATGCGGATAGAGAGGGCCTAAGGGACTGGAAACTTAATAAGATCTAACGGTTAGGCCAGACTTATCTACTGTCACTCATAGCTGTGTTCAAGTTGAGTATAACAGTAACACAGGACTTACAAGCATTTTCTTAAACTTAAATTAAATTTTACTTTTCAATTATTGCCTATAAAATTCAAAAAAAATAAACCCCCCTTGATATAGTTAATTTTTATGCCAACTTGAGTAAGCATTTCAAATTTAAGTGCTTCTTCAGTAACACTTACCTGCAACCTAAACTGGTGTCCATCAAGTTGGGTACTTTTTATGTAGCTTGGAGATGGGTATTGCGATTTTAACTGTATGAACTCTTATTGTGGGTATGATATCGATCCAAAATGAAATTCTGACGACCCATCATATTCAGACTGCTACAATGACTGCGTATACACAGACGGCTGCAACCCAGATCTACTCGGGGACGGAAAATGCGACTCTTCCTGCAATACTTGACGATGTGGATATGACTGAGGCGACTGTGGGTACTGCACAGGATCCTGTAACTTTTATGTAGGTTACCAAGTTTTACTAGGAACAGGTACTTGTGAATCCAAATGCAACGTTGCTGAGTGCTATTATAATATTGGGACTTGTCAAGAGTGCTCAAATGGCTGTGGAGCTGCACTTCTAGGCGATGGCAATTGTGACTCAGAGTGTAATAATGCTGACTGCAATTATGATTTTGGAGATTGTGCCGATGTTCAATGCGCTCCTGGGTGCTATACCTGGATGATTAATGATTGGATCTGTAATGATGCTTGTCATGTAGAGGCCTGTGGCTGAGATTCTTATGATTGCGATTGCTCTCCTGGATGCTTGGAAAGTATGCTGGGAAATGGGCAATGTGACTCTTTATGCAATAATTGGAACTGTTATTTAGATGATTGGGATTGCGGCTACTGCGCTGAGAGCTGCTACGAAAATATGCTAGGAGATTTGGTTTGTAACCCTGAATGCAATAATATAGATTGCTATTACGACTACAGCGACTGTGGATGTGCAGATGGATGCACATTGGCGGACTATGGTCAGTGCAAGCCTGAGTGCCTTGTAGCAGACTGTTATTATGACCAAATCAGCTCTGATCCCAGTCAGAGATGCCAAGACGAAGGATTAGTCAAGTTTGCCCTCTACCAAAGTTTATCCTGATGGTGGGACTTTTCACGCACCCCAATTATGTCTATATGCAATAATGAATCTTCTGGCACATGTGATTCTGTGCTGGCTACAGACCCCACGACCTGTCATCCCGAATGCGATTATAATACGTGTGGATTTTCTTTCGGCAACTGTAGCCCTGAAACTGAGCTTACTTGCACCTATGACTGTGCTTCCTGCTATGGAGAAGTAGAATGGGCCTGTCTCAGATGTGAAGATTACGCTGTTCAATATTACGGATACTGCTTTTCATCATGCCCTGGTGATATGGAAGCAAGAACTGTCTTAAGCAGCAATCCTATATGTTTTCCTATCATAGACATCTCTTCTCTTAAAAATCCTCAAGTTTATTATGCAACTTCGGTTAAGACTTATAACCCAACCGGAGGAGCTGGGACGCTTGAATCTCCTTTTGAAACTCTTGCTGTGGCCTTAGCATTTGTTAGAAAGAAATACTGCGTGATTTACCTTTTAAATGATGGGGACTATGAGCTGTCTGCTACAGACTCGGCATATAATGTGTATGGAACACTAAAATACCCAGACTATCCTCTTTATCAAGATGGGAGCTTATATACACTCTATTTAAAAATTACGAGCTATGATGGGAATTTAATTAGAATAAAAAGAGTGCCAGGCCAAGATTTAATGTTGCAGTTTATTAATAGTGGTCTTACCTTGGAAATGGAAAATATAATTATTGACGGATCAGAAGTGGACTCTTCCTGTTCAGGCGCATTTTGCAATTATTGTCCTTATATAGAACAGCAACTAGATGGATCATTCAAGGATGACAGAGGAAATCCAATTTCTGAATATATAGATCAGACTGAATGCCAAAAATGAGAAACCACAGTACTTTTTGATGTCGAAGGCGGAACTTTAAACTTAACAAATGTGTCTTTTCAAAACTGGAGGATGCAATTTCAGTCACTTATCTTCAGTAGAAGCGGCCAAGTGTACCTGAGTAATGTGGATTTTGACAATATTGTCTCAGCTAGAACAGAGGCAGCTGCTGTTGTAGAATTTGAAAGTTGTGACGACCCTACTTACCAATGTGGAAGCTTTAGCTACAAGTCAGGGACAGTTTCACGACTGAACAATGGCTATGAATTTTTAGACCCTGTCGACTTTCGAGGATTTTTTTATGCCGGCAAGGTGAATTCTGTTTTTATCCAAGACGTCATCTTCACAAAAAACGTGGTGACTTTGAAAACAGACAGCTCCTTATCCACCGCATCTCTGATAACTTTGAAAATTTTCAGGACATTTGAATTGGATTCCTGCACTTTTTATATGAATGTCGCTGAAAATGGACTAATAAATATCCAGGCTAAAGGACTTGTATACAGAACAGAGCTAAACAGTCAAAAAGAAGTTAAAGATTTGCTGATTGACCATATAAATATTCATGATTCCAATTTTACACAAAATTGAGGCTCTTCTGCTGGAATTCTGTCAGCTAGTTATCAGGGTGAGCTGCAGAACATAAAAATTGCTAACTCCTTTTTTAAGCTGAATGGGGTCCAGAGCGGCTCATTGGTATATATTTCTAACAATAATATAAAGCAAGAGTTTAAAATTGACACTGTGAAACCTGTCACTCTACCAAGCGGCCAAAGAGACACTGGAACTTATCGTGCAAGATCATTGAGCATTTCTGGTCTGACTTTTCTTAACAACTTTTCGGGAGATTCAGGAATGGTCAGCCTTACAAAGCTGGTTAATATGGCCATATAATTTAAAAATGATGTTATGAACCAACTATCCTCTTTGCACTTGTGCAGGCAGGCTTATATTGGGAGAGCGGGAACCTTTTGATGCTCGGAAATATTATCCGGACAGATTTTTGCTGTTTTGGTGTAGTGCATGTCGGATAAGCTAATGCATGTTCACATCTTGATACATCGGGAGGTGGTCTGTCGAAGCAGAAAGGTGTCGTTCAGAAAAGCCAATTAGGCACTACCAAGCGCGATCCTCGGCGTCTATTCTGGGCTTTGAGTTCAGTTTGTAGGCCAATTGACCAGAAAATTCGTTTTTCGAATTTCTGAACGCTAGCCGCAAGGTGACCCAGCGTATCATACTCTTGGGTAGCAGCCCAACTATCGTTTATGATGATTAGCGTATTTAAGGCCTTATCCGGACAGCCAAATAAGTGGTCCATACTAATGATCAGTCAAGTAGTGGCTTGCGGCTTATCGGGAGCTTCTCTCTATAAGCTAGATTAATTAAGGCTCGCATGGTCATAAAAGACATGGAGTTGAGTTCAAATGGAGGGTCTGAAAGCGTTAAAGAAGATATAAACACATTAGTTTTGGATAATCTTATAGCAGACCCTGATATTTATATGAAAGCAAGGAGCTCAGCAGCTACAATTGTGGATTGTGCTTCTTTGATGGCCGTTTCAGGCTCTGATAATGCGACAATTGAGAATGCTACTTTAGCCAACAACTATTGTGGCAGCTCTTCTCCTACTTTTATATGCTTCTTTTGGCTGAATTTGGCAGTTTAGTAACTGATAGAGGTTAAACTAAAATTAAACCAACTTAGATTAATCGAAAACTCGGCAAATGTGACTATTGTCTCTGCAAATTGTACAGAAAACATTGGAAATGGGGCAAATGCAGCATGCTTTACTATTTCTGGACCTTACAATGTTTCTATATTCAACTCGTCGTTTACGCTCAACCACAACTTTCTTGCTTCAAGTCCAGGGGCTTTACAAGTGTCTCGAACCCTTCAAAACTTGACTCTGTCAAACTGCTATTTTGCAAAAAACAAGGCAGATTATGGAGGTGCTTTGCAGTTTCTTGGACAGTTCTTATTTCTTAATAACTGCACCTTTGACTATAATGAGTCCCCAAGCGAGTCAGGCGGAGCCATCTATTACTCCCCAGTTTTGACTACAAAATACATCGGATTCCACGCTAATTCAGTAAATTTTACCAATAATTATGCAGATGTTCACGGAGGCTCAGTTTATATGCTGGAAACTTTATCAGGAAAAGTCCAAGTCGATTTTCTTATGACTGAATGCTACTTTTACAATAACAGTGCAGCTACCGGCTCAGCCGTTTACTTAGACTCAACAATAGCCCTATCTCAGAGCTCCAAAATTAAGGACTCTTTCTTTAAAAGTAACACTGCCAGCACCTCTGGAGCCCTTTCAGCATTATTTTTAAACGGAATTTTGACTATTTCCAGCACAAATTTCTATAAAAATCATGCAAAGTTAGGAGCTGCCTTGTATGTCAATATTAATGAAGACCAGCAAAACTTGAAATCTGAAGTAATCCTATCCCTTTGTAATTTCACCTATAACCTTGGGGAATCCGTTATTTACCTTGACGATTCAAGCCAATATTCTTATATGGAAACCAGCCAATGCCGCTTTGAATACAATCTTGGGTCAGCCGTTGAGCTTAATTATGATTACTGGAAAGAAGCAGGGTCCATTTTCCAATACAACTTTGCCAGTGCTGGAGGAAGCGCTGTAAGATTAAAAAATGAAGCTTTGGCAGTATCGGACGCTTCAATTTATTATAATAATACAAGCTCACGGGCTGGCGGAGTCATCGCAATAAGCAGCTCTTCTCTTTTTGAGTGCAACTCTTGAAAGATTAAGATTAAAATTAGCCGTTCGCACTTGCAGGGCCAGGGATTTGCACCCCTACACTCTCACAGCCCATGGAGCCTAGGCGGACACCCTCCTTTTTGCCACAAATAAGGGATTCGCACAACCAGTCTTGACTTCCATGACTCCTGGAGCCTAAGAGCCAACCACCTGGGTAGAAACTCCCAGTTTCTCGATGGAAAAATGCCATCTCTTGAGTCCTGCTCGAGGGAGCCTCCATGGTTGTTCTAGAGGTAAAAGTCCAAGTCCCATGGATTAACCCCGTAGGGCCCGAGTAAAACCTAGCCCTGACATGCACAAAGGATTTTCGACTCTTTTCCACTTAAATCCCCAATAATGGGTCGTTACCTGAAGATGTGGAGGAAATAGGGTTGAGAGGTCGGGTGGCACGTTGTCGCCATTTTTATGTATATGAGTGCAACTCTTGTAACTTTACAGCAAATTATGCAGGGACTTCTGGAGGGGTGGTTTTTGCAGAGCAGAGCTCAGAATTTGTAATAAAGGATTCGGTATTCACAAGGAACTCTTGCGCAAATAAAGGCTCAATTATGTATCTTTTAGGCTCTTCTTCTCCAGTCTCACAGCTGTCGTCTTCAAATATATATGGAAATACTGCTAACGGGGAGGGGGCAATTGTACTTCTGGATTCTTCTATTTCTATAAATTCCTCAAGTATACACGACAACACTGCAGACTCAGCGACACCTGGGCTACTTTTGACGCTTTCCAGCGCCAATGTATCAGACTGCGAGTTTTATTCACAAACAGGTAAACAAGGCAGCTTCATTTATGCATCAACCCAAAGCGCAGTCCAGCTTTCTAATACCACCCTTAAATACGGGACTTCCAGTGGCTCTGGAGGTGCTGTTTTTGCGATTTCCAGCACAGTGGTATCGACCAACTCCACTTTTCAGCACTTATCCGCAAACTCAGGAGGCGCCATTCTTGCCTACTCTGATAGTACAGTCACTATTGCTACCACCAAGTTTATAAATTGCACTACTGTAGGCACAGGAGCGGTTATTGACACTTTTCAAAGCTCAGTCTCGATCCACCACTCAATTTTCACCAATTTTTCTTATACTGCCATTTATGGCGACAAGCTATTCCCTACTTACTTAATACTTATTGCATTTAACGTCCCCTACGGGGTTTCACAAGGTCTTCCCGCTTACTCTTCACTGAATCCGGCCCACAAGCCTCTGGGGGCAATTTGCTTCGTTTTACCAGGGTGCACCTTTAGGCAAGAGTTGCCAACTCCGACGGTTCATGAATGAGCTACTGTCTTGTGTACGTAAGTTGCCTGCACGGAAAACCCAAAAAATAGATTTTCTGGCCGACTCTCGACAAAAAGGAAAAACACTTAGCCTGGGACGTGACGCCTAGTTTCACGCTAGGAAGTTGCCCGATTGCCCTTATGGCTTTGCTGGGCTTCCCTTTCCAAACTACTGTGCCTTCCTTCCCTACGAGGTAAAATCCATCCCACAATCTGAACTTAGGCTACGCTCTGCCTCTTGCAGAATTGCTTACCTAGCATTGCTGTTCATCTCCAGAATGGAAAAACCTTGCCGGATATAATTAAAATATGCGCTCGAAGGTAGCCGACCGTGAAGTGCTGAGATGCCATATTTTTTAATTATGGTTGCAAGCTATACCAGCTGTCTATAACTGACGCTGCATTTACCTATGGGTTTGGCATATATGGTGGCGCTCTTTACTGTTCTACCTGCACTGGAATTTATATAAAATCTTGTCTATTTGCATTTAATAATGCTACTATAGGAGGCGCTTTATATATGACGACTCAGTCAGACTCAATTATTGACACCCCTTATTATATTGATAAGTCTATCTTTACAAATAACTCGGCTTCTAAAGGTGGCGCTTTTTATACGAATAATGTAATGGTGAACATCACAAATTCAGATTTTAAGTATAATCAAGCTTTGGCATCTGGGTCTACAATTGTGGGAGGAGTCATTGAGTATGGGATTGGCGGCGGATTTGTGCTGGAGTGCACAGATCTTAGTATTTGTGAGTTTAATATTACCAATAATTTTTTTAAGTTTAAATTTAATAGAATTACTCTAGCACATTTTTGCTTCTTAGTCTTCTTTTACTTGAGGCCCATCTACATTAACGGCTCTAAATAACGGTAGGTGGACCGGCCTAACCGTCAAACTGTTAAATTAATAAGCTTCTCTAGTCAGTGCCAGCCTCGCGCCGACTTCTTCTCTTCAAACTGAGACTCCTAAACGCTTGACTTCTCTCACTAAGCTCGGACTATAGGTCAATTTTTGTATAAACAGGTGCTTGAGCTTATCCTAACTGACATTTTTAATATTGTGTTACCAATAATAGCTTTACAGGGAATGTGGCAAGCTATAATGGAGGAGCTTACTCTTGGAGCGACATAATGCCGCTTGTGGAAAGCAATACGTTTATAAACAACTCTGCACCTTATGCAGCAGATGTATCCTCTTTTCCAGTGTCTTTAGTGTCAGTCGACGATAGTGGCAAGCCTCACTCCCCCTTCTGTGAGTGAGCAAAATCATTAGAAAAATCCCTATTTTTAGCTCATAAACCACCCTCCTGAGCGAAAAAAATTTTTTATGGGAAATAATTTTGACATATAACTAATAATTATTATTATGAAATCTCGGGCTAATCTATTTAATGCTAACTCCCCCCCCCCCCTCCGTGAGCGAACAAATAAATTTTGTTCGCTCACGGAGGGGGGTTAATTTTTTTTTTTAAAAAAAAATTTATATATAAATTTTATAAAAAATATTTTTTTCGAAATTTAAAAAAATCCTAATTTGCAAAAATTGGGAAGCAAATATTTAATTTAATTTGCAAAATTTATGTTTTAAAAACGCAATTTGTTTAAAATTAAACAGAATTAGCTCTAGATTTCATTATACTAATTATCACTTATATATCAAAATTTTTTTCCATTAAAATTTTTTCTATTAAAAAAATTTTTGTTCACTCACGGAGGGTGGCGATTTTTCTAATGGTTTTGTTCGCTCACGGAGGGGGGGGGGGGAGTAAGCAAATTTTTTTTAAAACATAAATTTTTACAAATTAAATTAATATTTGCCTTCCAATTTCAAGAAGGGATTTTTTAAAAAGAAAAATTAGCCTCCCTCCATGAGTGAACAAAATGTTTTTGTAGGGGAGTCAGGAGTATACAAGACTTTTGTACTCTCCAGTAACCCAGGTGCTGAGTGACATTGCCTCAGGCCAAATCGCTTCTACTCCTATAAAAATTGCCTTAATCCCCCCTCGAAGTTCGACCAAGATGTTTTTGGTCGAACTTCGAGGGGGGTTAAGAAAAATGTTTTTAAAAAAATTATATATATAATTTAGTAGTTAAAAAAAAAATATTTATCATATTCTTCTGTATGGTTGAGAGGGTGTAAAGGTTAGAAAAAATAGTGCAAGATGGTTTTATAACGCTTTTTTAGAACTTTAATACAAAAATCGCAAGCTCACCCCCACATAGTTTAAAATTTTTGAAAAAATTGCTTATTTTCCTAGTAAATTTATATAGGTCTGGTCGAACTTTGAGGGGGTTAATTTTCCAAAAAAATAGGAATTTTCCCTATATCTTGGTCGAACTTCGAGGGGGGGAAATTAGTTGACCACAATAACCAAGTGATCAAAACTGACAACTCCAGCCAAGCCGAACTTATTGCTCTTGACGGCTCTACAAGCTTATCAGGCGAGACAAAAGTGACTGCAATAGAAGGAGTTTTTTATTTTGACAGCTTTATAGTAACTTCAATCCCTGGAAGTTCTATACAAATCAAGGTCTATACCTCAGCTATTGACACTTCTAAAAGCTCTAAAGCTAAAGACCAAATTACTTATCATGAAAATATCTATGTAAATATCACCTTAAGGGAATGCAAGGTAGGGGAAGCTACCGTTGGGAATACCTGTGAATCATGCCCTTCTAATTTTTATAGTCTTGACCCAAGCAATACCGCATGCATTATTTGCCCATCCTGCTGCATTTGTTATGGAAACTATACTATTGTCCCACGGAAAGGGTATTGGAGAGACAATATGTATGCCAAAACTTTTTGGGAGTGCCCAAATTCAGATGCATGCCTAGGCTCTCCACTACCGCCAAATATTTCTTATACAGGAGTATGTGCAGATGGCTACAAAGGAAATATGTGCCAGTCCTGCGATTGAGGCTACTCGAGAACTGCTGAAAACACTTGCAGTCCTTGTCCTGACAAGGTGTCTAATACTTTTAGAATTTTTGGAATCCTTGTCGCATTGGTTGCGTTATGTGCGATTATGGTAAAATCTACACGAAACTCAGCATTCAAGCCTAAGTCACTGACATCTGTATATATCAAGATTTTCATGAATTATTTGCAGCTGGTTATGCTTGTGTCCACTTTTAACTTAAACTGGCCAAGCCAGGTGATTGCTATTTTTAGTGTCGAAAACATATATATAAAATGACCGAAGACGAGGAACCGTCCCTCCTTGACGGATGACCTTATGTATACGAACGTTGTTTTTGGATGTGGAGAGTTACTCAAAAGAAGAGTTAGCCTCGAGGAAAAGAAGCCCAGCACAATTTCCGCTGATTTTGTGACATGACTCAGGCAGCAGATTTAGCATTCTTTTTGCCAGTAGCGCTGAGGCCCAGACTCGGTGTCCGAAAGAGGCAGAGTTGCCTGCCTAGGCTACTTGGTGGCTTCTCCCCGAATCCCGCAAGGGGTTGAGTTCTTTCTTGGAGAGACTCAGGAAAAGAGGGGAAGATAAAGCTCGACAAGATATTCCAAGGGCACAAGTCTCTCCAGTCGAAAAGGGTCCCGATATAAAGAGTCAATATGGCCGAGGTAAACAGGATTGGGTAATTCTGGTGACTGAGCTGGAAATGGTGGTTCCCGGCAAAATCCGTATGACTCGGATCAGGAGGGAAAAAATCTCTACTGAGAAACCGGGGTTTCGGCTTGGGTTCAAGACGCCTTCAGGGAGCCCACACTCCCACACCGCAGCGAGCGCTGCGAAACGTGTAGGCTTGGAAGTGGAGACTATAAATACACATCTTAAATCTAATCTAATATCTAATTTAGTGTCCAAAACAATGCTGGCTCAGTCAGTGAACAATTTTTCTCATTTGACTGTTTTTTGCAAGCAGGCGGCTCCCCAGACCAGGTGTATTACAATAAACTGATTTTTATGAGCTTGCTGCCTATTTTGGTAGCTATTTTGTGTCTCTTGGCGTGGTGCTTAATAAAATGCAAAAAGAGGAATTTCCGGAACCTATGGAATGACTATGTGTCTACCTGCATTATTTTGCTATTTTTGTTGCACCCTAATATTGTCAAGACGATGTTTGGATCTTTTAATTGTAAACAAATTAATGACGGAGAATATTGGCTGGTAAGCAATATGGACATCAGATGCTGGAACTCAAATCATATATTTTACATCTTATTGGTAGCTTTGCCATCTATAATAGTATGAGGAATAGGGATCCCTGCAATTTGTTTAATGGGACTGATGAAGAATAGACGGAATCTGAATGACTTAGGCGTCAGGTTGAAGTTTGGGTTTTTCTTCAACGGGTACTCTGGCAAGTGTTATTACTGGGAATTCGTGATCCTCTATCGAAAAATTTTAGTCATTTGTTGCTCAGTCTTTTTGACAAACATTTCCACTAGTATTCAAGCCTTGACAGTCACAATTTTACTTATAGCCTGCTTACATCTACAATATACGCATCAGCCTTATAATGGAACTCAGTTGAATCGAATGGAGCTGCGGTCAATTTTAGTTTCCTCTATTACTATATATTGTGGGCTTTATTTTTTAACCGAGTCTCTTAGCAGTGAAGCCAAGCTCTTTTTCTTCTGAATCATCGTTTTAGCAAATATCTATTTTCTCTATTATTGGGTCAATAAAATGTTTGGGGCTGGCTGCCAAATCATAAGTAACAAAATTCCTTGTTTAAGGAAAAGATTTTCAAGAAGAGTCAATGATTTATTAGAAGATAAAATTTTTGAAAACAATGAAGGGATGCAGCATGTAAAAGTCAAGGACGGAGATAAGTTCTTTTCGCTAATTTATGGAGATGGAGAAAATAGCTTAAAAGTGCAGCCGTTTCAGCCTGAGCTGACAATGAAAGATTGGTTTTTGCATATGGTAGAAGACCAGAACAAGCTTGGGACTGACCAAAATAGGGGAAGTGGAGTAGCAAATACTATGGTAGTGGATAGTAATAATGTATCTATTGAAACTTTGGATGATTTTACAGAGACAGGGAGAGTTGTTTTTCCATTGAGGCACCACAAGTCATCTCCAAGATTGTAATAGCTTTAATACTAAATAATGAAATAATTGATAAAAAAGTAATTTTACTATATTCCATTGAAAATTATTAAAAATTAAGCACCATAATTTTTATAATCAAAAACATTTTCTAAATTATATATTTAATTATTGAAATAGCATGGCCAGTTCTATAGAATGAAGCAAAAGAATTATTTCACAATTAAAACAATAAAATTTGTTATATAAGTTAGTGTATAGAGATACCCCTATTCAGATATCATAATTGCTTTGGTTGTAGAGACATAAGATTGAGAGTCAACATTTGACGCTTTCGTTTTCTTTGAGTACTTAGAACCGTTAATTTCTCTTTTCATCTGATTTAGCTCCATAGCTGTAATTTTACTTCCTATTTCAAATTTGAAAAAAATGGAGATGTCGACTACCTTATCAGTATATAGCAAACTTGGGCGATATTTGCATTGAATTGCCATAGCAGATGCTATTAAAACAGCGAACGCTGAGTATTCAAGAGTAAATCATAATATCATTGAATCTATATTAGATACCCAATAAATAGAGGAAACAATAAAATTTGCCAAAATCGCCAGATATGAAGTAATAAGCCAAAGATTCATTCTATGATAATTATATGAGCTTTGCTTGAGACATAGCAAAATCATAATAAGAAAAAGGATGCAGCAACAAAGTCCGTGTAGCGATTCACTATAAATTTTTAAGGTTTTACTCAATACAATGATAATTACTTGGCAAATCGCTTTTTCTATAATGAAAATCGGATTTGCTCTAATGTTTATATGATCATTGGCAACCTCATAATAATATCTAAGATAAATTGCTATCGGGATATATGTTACCAAGGAAACTATTGAGAAACCTCCTCATAATAGATGCTTGTGATTCCAGCAATACGTTGTACAGTCTTGTTTAATAAAAGAATCATTAATATCTTCACCAATCCCTTCATCACACTGAAAAATACTAAATAGAACTGAAATCATAGGCACAAATGCAGTATGCGCAATTATAGGAAGCAATAAGAATGCAAGATTTCTAGCATGCTTCAACATCATACTTAAAATCTTACTTAATCTATAAAATAATAAAAAAGCCGTAAAAATTCAATAGCTAGAAATGGCCATAGCGACATATAGATAGATCCAGTAAGTATCACCTACAACAGAATTCTCAAAATTAATCATAGAATAGGTGCATAATAAATATAGCCACGGGTGCAGTTTGCTTATATCTGGACCTTGTGAAATAAACTGAAAAAAATCTATAGCCAAAACTCCCATCAAAATATAATCCTCAAAATGGACATGTGCAGCCACCGTTAATTTCTTAATCCTAATTGTTTTTCAAAATTTTCCCCATATACAAAAAGAACAGAATATTGTAATAGCTATAAGTCCAGCCCCTATTCCGTATAACACCTCGGAGCCTTTCCGAGAACGAAAAATCTTTCTTGCAGGAAACGGACACCCATTCTCATAGCTCAATTTATCGCTCGGTACATTTGTTGTATTATCATACCATATGATATTTTTATAAAAAGTGATTAGCTGAGCACTGCTGTAGTCATACTCTCCAACAAGCTCTTCATATAATTTTTGTGAGCTCTCATCTCATCTTAAGTTATATATCCCTATTGTCGGCAAACTTCTCTGGTTATTTCCAGGCTCGATTGATACAGTCCCAGAACACCCTGTGAATTTTTGTTTTCTTAAATTTGCATTCATTACTGCAGAATCCTTAACATTTTCACCATTTTTTATAGTAAATTCTATTCCATGTAGAAGGAGCATTGCAGCGTCAAATGCTAACTCTCCCTCCAAGCGTGAACAAAAATTTTTTTAGGTTAATTTTTTTTTTAAAAATTTATATATAACTTTTTTTCTAAAAAATTTTTTAAACATCCCAATTGGAAAGCAAATATTAATTTAATTTACAAAATTTAGTTTAGTTAGCTCATTGAGGGTGGAGTAAGCAACGAAAATCTGTATCATTTATATATGCTTTTGTAAAGCCATTTTTTAGCATCTGCCCATATTCTCCAACTCATTCGGCTTGTGCAACCACAATCCCTCCGTATAAAAGCTCTATAAGTTTTCTTCGCTGGACTTCGTCAGTTTCCCAGACAAGTGAATAAGAGAGTCTTGCGTTGGCTAAATAAAAGAAATCGCCTTCTCTAAATCCTGTATCATACATGCTTTCAGCTATATAAAATCAATAAGGCGGAGTCAAAAAACCAACCATAAGCCTTCATCTTATTTTTAGTAATTTTTTAAATCAGTCTTTTCACTTCGGATAATCATTCCTCGTATAATAAGTATCAATTTTTCGCAATTCAGGCGGATTAACGATATTCATATTAAATTCTTTTAATTTTGCAACAAAATAATTATACATGGCTATATTTGTCTCATCATAGATAACAACAAAATTTTTTCATCCAAAAATTACTGCAAGATTTAAAATGACTTGGGTGTTAAAAGTCTCATCTTTTATGACTGTCATGAATTCTGGAAAAGCTGTATTGTTTTCTGTAATGATTGAAGGAGCGTAAGGAGAAATGTGAGGTATTGAATAATTTAAAGCTCTTAAAGTATAAATGTATCCCATGGTGATTCATGGGTAAAGTGATGTTAAAAAGCCGACGCCAGGAGTTGGGAGTAGTTTATAAAAGCATGAATACGCATAATCTGCGTTATATGTGGTTACTCCGCAATCTGTATCAGTGACTGTGATTTCAAAGCCATCTAAGGCATGCATGCTTTTTCAGATGCTTAAGGCATAAAATTCTCCATATGTCACAGTTGTTGCCAATAATTCAGGTTCAGCTCCTGGATTTATTGTTCCATCTGCGATTCATATATTGACATCTGTAGTAGGAGAATTCGGCGCTATTAAAGAATTCCCTGGATAAACCAGAGGATTTAATATTTCTAAATTTCCATTTAAAATTGTTCCTGTAATACTTTTTTGCCTATTTTTTGTATTTATTAAAGTGAAATTAGACACTGGGTGATGCCTAACTGTATTTTTATTTAAATGCTCAAGGAGTGCAAAAGGATCAGATGTTGAAGGAAAGCTTAATATTAAATTTAAAAATTTAATAAAAGCTAACCCTTTGTAGCAATAATAACAGTCAGCGCTTTCTAATCCAGACTCTACATAAGAAATAATCCCATTCTCATATAAATTTCAGGAGCCTTCACATCCTATAATGATCCCAGTCCCATTAGTAAGCAAATCATGCTCTTCTAAACTTTCCAAAAGCAATTTTGTGCTTTCTCCATGGTTTAGGATCACAATATTTTTAATCCCAGTCGATTGTATTTCTCTCCCTACGAATAAATCAGCTGATATTTTATCATTGCTATTTGAGAAAGAAAACCATTGGCAATCTTTATCATAAAAATAATTAAAAAACTCATCATCTTCATTGTAAATCTCGCCAGAAATCACTATAAAAGTTTGCCAATTTAAATAAGAAATAATGCCATGCAAGGCTTCAACTCGATTTTCCCAGGAATTATGGACAAAAAATTCTCAGTCAGAAAAAAAATCAAGCGGTTTATTAATTGAGGCAATTATGACATGCTTTTCCTCTGCCAGATTTTTTATGGATTCTGATAATGAGAGGCTAAAGGTAACGTCAAAAATTATATCAGGGCTATATGAGATTTTTTGTATATCTTCGATGGTGGCAATATAAATCAAATTGAAAATAAATTGGTGGTCTTGAAAGTTTTTCTTCACGAAAAAAGTCAGATTTGAAGCAAATTCTGAATCACTAAAAGGGCTATAAATAAAATCAACCACCATCTGGCTTTCGATAAGAATAAGTGCACAAAGAATAATCTTTAAAAGTTTCATTAATTATTTTTAAAAATTTATTAATTAGAGACACCAAAATTAAAGTTTTGGATTGAACTTAGGGCATTAAATTTTAATTTCTCATAAAAAAATTCAAGCACCTTCTAAATAATCCATAATTAAAATTCAATTTAATTACGAATTAGAGCACATCTTAATTATACTAACTCCAAATAAATTTATTATTTATAAGGTTTTACTATACCGCTATGTCACTAATTGAATTACTCTCCATCGTGAGATAGAGAGAGAAAAATAATAAAAAATATTTTATGTTTAATTCCTATATTGATAATTATAATATAAAATCTCTAGCATAAGAAGCTTGCATTCCAAGACATACATTATGCAAACCAGTTTAATTTAAAGTTTAATTAGTGGAATTTTAGAAAAAGCAATATATAAATTTTTTGAAAAAAGTTTGTTCTCAGCAAGTGATCAAAAAGTGTTAAAACAAACTATTAATGGTATTTTTTAACTATTATAAATATTATTCTGGTATGATATTATCTTTAGAATTCGAACCTGATTGAGAATCAATATTTAAATAGCTGCTCTTGAACATAGTTTTATCCCTTATTTCTTTTAACATTTTATTAATTTCTATTGCTGAAATTTTACTACCTATTGAAAATCTGAAAAAAATTGAAATATCAGCTGCTTTTTCAGTAAGCAATAAGCTTGGGAAAAATTTAAATTGAATTAAAACTCCAATTATTATCAGTCAAAACCATACCGAATATTGAAGTAAAGTCCACATCATTAATGCTTCGAATTTTGTATACCAATAAAGTGATGATAATATAAAACTCCATAAAATTCCAAAATATGAAATTATCAACCAAATATTCATTCTGATATAGTTATAAGGTCTTTGCTTAAAGCTTAACAAAATCATTATAGAGATGAGGATAATGCAGCAAAGGCCATGCAAAGACTCATCGTAAATTTTTAATGTTTTATTCATAGAAACAATTATTACCTGGAAAATAGCTTTTTCTAGAATAAAAATTGGCTTCATTTTTATGTTTATATAATCATTGATGTTTTGATGAAAATACCTGAAATTAATAGAAAGAGGGATATAGGTAACTAAAGAAGCTATTGAGAAGCTGCCTCATATAAAATATTTATTATCCCAGCAATACGTATTACAGTCTTGTCTTATAAAAGAATCAGTAATATTTGAATCAACCCCTTGATCGCATTGAAAAATACTTAAAAGAACTGAAATTATAGGGACAAATAGAAAGTGTCCTATAATTGGTAGCAAAAGTAAGGCGAGGCTTCTGGCGTATTGCAGTATCGCAGAATTAATATTAAATAACTTGCAAATCAATATAAATGCTGTAATAACTCAATAGCACGAAATAATCTGACTCCCCCTCCGTGAGAGAGCAAAATCATGCAAAAATTTCTATTTTTGGTCAAAAATGCATTCCATGAGTGAAACAATTTTTTAGGAAAAATATTTGATATATATAATAAAGTCACAATTAAAATAGAGGTGTTCAGATAAGGGTACCTCCCTTATTTTAAACTTTGAGAGTTTTACCTAAAGAGATATTATCTACTGGGATTTTGATAATGAGAGAAGAATGAGGATTCTCATTTACGAAATTCATCAAATTCTTCACACAATCTCCTGAAATTTAAAGCAGATTTGAATTGATAGTTGCAATAAATAAAGCTTTCCCCTATCTTTATTTTTTTAAATCTATATTAAAAAATATAGCTCGCTTTGACGGGAAGTGAGCGAACAAATTTTTTTTGTTCGCTCGACGAGGAGTGAGCAATATACAAGTAACCCCAATATAAATTTCCATTAACAGAAGAATCAAAATTAACCAGTGAGTAGCTGCAAGCTTTTGATAATCACAAAAATGATTCAGGAATATCAGGCCCCTGAGAAATAAATTGCAAAGAATCTACAGCCAGAATTCCCATTAAAAAATAATCTTCAATGTGAGCTTGGACTGCATTTTTTAATTTTTCAATTTTAATATTTTTTCAAAACATTTTTCATATAAAAAGTGCTTCAATTGCTGTAATAATTATTAATGAGCCTGAAATCAAATATAAAATTCCAGCTCCTTTTTCAGACCGAAATATTAATTTTTCAGGAAACGGGCAGCCATTTTCATATATTATTAAATCAGTTGGAATTATTGTTGTATTGTCATATCATATAATGCTGCTATATAAAGTAATCAATTGCACACTGCTAGCATCATATTTACCAACAAAGTCCTCATATAATGATTGGGCGCTATTATTTCATTTTATATTATAAATCCCTATTGTAGGCAAACTTCTCTGATTGCTTCCTTGCTCTATTGATACAGTCCCAGAGCATCCTAAGAATTTCTGTTTTCTTAAACTGCTATTCATTATTTCATAATTCATCACATTTTTGCCTTGCTTTATAGTAAATTCAATTCCATTTAAAAGCAGCATTGCAGCATCAAATGCTAAACAACGAAAATCAGTAGATTTACCATAAGTTATTATATAATCTCTTTTCATTGTTTTTCCGAAATCTCCAATTCACTCAGCTTGGTTTATGATAACTGTTCCATATAATATCTCTATAAGCTTATTCAGCTGCTTTGGGTTCTTTTCCCAAATCATAGAATAAACCACCTTTGCATTAAATAAAAAAATGGAATCCCCTATTCTTAGACCTGCATCATAAAAACTTTCAACTACATTGAACCAATAAGGAGGCGCAAAAAAAATAATAAAAAGTCTAGCTTTTAAGCTGATTATGCTTTTAAACCAATTTTCCCATTCTGAGTATTTATCTACGGTATAGTATGACTCTATCATTCTTTGGTCAGGATTATTTACGATTTCCATATTAAACTGCTCGATTTTTGCTAAAAAATATTTGTAACTTTCTATATTTTCTTTATCGTAAGCTACTATAAATCTTTTTCATCCAAAAACAACTGCAAGATCTAGGATGACCTGAATATTGAATCTATCGTCTTTGGTTACTGTCATAAACTCAGGAAACAATGTTTGATTCTGCAAAAGATTTGAAGGGGCATATGGAGAAATATTTGGTATCGAGCAGTTTAAAGATCTCAATGTATAAATATAGCCAATAGCAATAAAAGGATAAAGTGAAGTTAAATAGCCTACTCCAGGAGTAGCAAGAAGGTTAGAAAAACAAGAAAGCCCTAAAGTTGCATTATAAGCTAATGCCCCGCAATCTGTATGAGTTACTGTTATGTTAAAACCATCTAAAGCATGCAAGCTTTTCCAGTAGCTTAAAGCTAGATATTCTCCTAGCATTGATCTTGTTGATGAAGGATCTGAAGGAGCGAATGAATAAATTAATTTAGAGCTCTCAAGACTGTTTTATTGCGAACCAAATTCACAATTTAGGCTTTAGGTGGTTATTGCCGAACTAACAATACCAAGGTGGCTTATCTTCGCATTTATCCATCATTTGCTTCGTCATCTACAATGCGATTACGCCCAATTAGCTTCGTCATCTCAACTTATAGCCTAATGAGCTGGGAACTTGCTTCCACCTTTTGCACAGTTGATCCGCCTCTTTGCTGACTTTGAATCGTGCCTATACTTATGCAGCCTACACTACCCAGTCTTCGTACCAAACGCCTTTCTGCCACACCACCTTCCAGCATCTTATCCCAGGAGCCCGTTGAATCTATGGTAGAGCTTGGCTTTAGGAAAAGATCAGTCAGCTGAGCAAAAGATCTCAGTTGGAAGGGTCTGAAGGAGAGTTTGGGTTCTTTGTGCCATCTCCAATTCATATATTTACATCTGTGGTTGGAGAATTCGGGATGATTGAAGAATTTCCTGGAAAATTTAGGGGATTTGATATTGTTAAATTTCGATCAAAAATGCTCCCCTTTCCTATAGTTTTATTATTTTCCATATTGAGAAGCGTAAAATTGGAGATTGGATGATGGTTAATAGTGTTTTTGTTTAAAAATTCAAGTAATTCTAATGAGCTTGAAGCCGGAGGAAAATTGAATACTAACTTTAAAAATTTAATAATTGATAGGCTTTCATAACTATTGTAACTATTAGCGCTTTCCAATCCTGATTCCGCATAAGAAATAGCTCCATTTCCATATAACCCTCATGAGCCCTCACTTCCTACGATTATTCCAGTACCATTTATTAAGAAATTATGCTGCTCTAAGCTTTTCAAAAGCAATCTTGCACTTTCACCTTTATTTAATATCACAATGTTTCTAATACCAATAGACTGAATAATTTTTCCAATAAACAAATCTGCCGAGTTCTCATCATTGCAATTCGAAAAAAAATACCACTGATAATCTTTATCATAAAATAAATTAAAAAATTCATCATCTTGATTGTAAATTTCATCAGAAATCACTATAAATTTTTGCCAATTTAAATAAGTAGTAACAATAAAAAGCGCTTCACTTTGGTCTTTCCATGAGCAATGCGTAAAAAATTCTCATTCTGAAAAAGATCCAATAGACCTATGAATGTTAATTATTATGGCTTGGTTTTCTTCAGCAAACTCTTTTATTGATTTTGATAGTGATCAGTCGAAACCGAGATCTAAAATGATATTTTGGCTACCTGCAGTAAGATGGGAACCTGAAAGATTTTGAGAGAAAACAAGGCTAAAATCAGCTTGATCTTGAAAATTTTGATCAATTAGAGCTTTTATGTCTGAAATCAGGCTGAGATTTGTGAAAGAATTTCAAATTATGTACAGAATAATTGACATTTATTAGGACATTAAAAGATAAGAGATAAATATTAATAATTAGAAATGTTTAATTCTACTTAGGCCCTATGTTGAGCTGCCAGCCTAGTTTAGTTCGATCAAGCTGAGGGCTAAAAAATTTCAAAAAATATTATTCTATAGATTTTAATTATATAGCCCGAGTCTCTTTTGTCTCAGGCTATGCCGATATCTCCAACGTCTGAAGGGGAGCTAGCTTAGCAACATTTGTTTGTAAAACCAACTCCCAGATGGAAGTCGACTATGTATCGGAGATTTGTCATCTGGAGAGCTGGTATCACCAAAAAATTTTGGTAAACCAATCCCCTTCAGACGTCAGGAGACATCGTCCTAGCCTGAGACAAAGGGGGCTTGGGCATAAAAATTTATAATATACGGAAATTGTTCGATCTATAATAAAATCAAATTTAAAAATTTTATTATTAAAATATGAAAAATTTGAAATGGCAACCAATTTTTCAATAATCAGCAAGCTTGTAAGTCATCTATATTAAAATATTATCAAATATTAAAATCGAGCCATAATTGTATTTAATTAGTACTAATTAGCCAATAGCTCGTTCGCTTAGCGTCAAATACTGCGCCAACTATCCAGGCTTCATTCATTTCATTGCTAATTGCTTCGAATTTATAAATTTCACAGCTAACCTTCACTCTTTTAAACAAATTCTTCCCTTCTCTCCTGTAAGATTGCATAAGTAGGTTGAGCATTCCACTTTCTTAAGGTCAATAATAGATGATATGATAATAAATTCTAAAACGAAATAATAATGAAAAATTCATTTCAGCAATAGCTATAAGGGTTTTACTTGAAACTCAATAATGTCATTTTAGATATTATGCAAAACTCTCACAAATTATAAATATTTTACTTAAAGAAACAATTATAACCAGGAAAATAGGTTTAAAATTGAATTAGTTTTATATTATATAACCTTTTATAAAAATATTATAATAATTTTAAATTCATTCTGTTATAGTTGCAAGGTTTATTTTTAAAACATAAAGCAATTAGTATGATAAATAAGGTAATGCAGCAAAGCTCATGCAAAGTTTTATGAAATCTTTATAATTTTACTCATAATAGCGTTAAAAATATAATATATTTTGCAAAAAATAGCCATAGAAATAAGAAATACTTCTTCATTAATAATCTTATCATGATTTAGTGTTGACACTAGTAGTTTCTTTACTTCAACCAATCAAATATCGCTATTTATGTTTAAAGTGCGATAAGACATAATAATTTTTTAAAATGAATAAAGTTATTCCCATTTTAGTCAAGAATTATTGGAATTAGCAATGATTAAAACGGAAGAAAATAATGATAAACATTTCTGATTCTGATTCTCCCGAACGCCAACTTGTAAAAGTTGCTAAAAAAATAAATTTGTTGATTTAACAAAAGGGTTAAAATATAATTACTTTGATACATAAAAATGAGAAGAGGAACGTTCATGATTGATTTATATATATTGCTCAAATTCGAAATTTATAACTATCCTGCTAGGTAATTTTCAATTCCGTGGATCCTATTAATTGTGATAATATAATTCTGCCATATTACTAAGGTCTTCAGCTATTTACCTTAAATAAATGAAGAAGAAATAATAATTGTCATTTAACTTTGTCTGGTGATTGTTTTCTAAAAATCACTCTCAATTTTTAATCTATTAAGAAATTAATAGAAGCTAAATTAATTTTCATAAAAATTATTCTGATATTATGTTTTCTTAAGAATTCGAACGACTAGATCTAGAATAAATATTTAGAAAACTTCCGTTGATAAAAGTATCTCCTATGACTTCTTTTCTCATTTTATTAATTTTTATAGCTGAAATTTGACTGCCTAAAGAAAATCTGAAAAAAATTGCTATATCAATTCTTTTTTCAGTAATCAATAAACTTGGGAAAATTTTCATTGAACTAGAATTCCAGCTGATATTTAGCAAAATCATGCACAAATTAGATTTATTAAGGGTCTCAATAACGCCCATTACTAATTGACCCACACGGGCTTCCGTCCTTACTTCTGAATTTTCTTGTCCACCATAGATTCGTATACCACCTGGCTTGTCCTTAAATGATTCTTCAGCTTCTGGCGTTCGATTTTTGATAGCTGTCCTTTCGGCTCTGGGATTTTAGCATAGTCTACCTGCCAAAAATTTGAATTTCTGGCCCACTATTGGCAAAGAGGTCAAAATTTAAGTCTAAGGCATAGCTCCCAGTTTTTTTACTCTGGGGAATTGCTCGAACAGCCTACTAGGCATTTCTGGACTTCCTCTTTCCAACTTCTAACCTTTCCTCCCACAAAGCAAAATCCATTCCTAAAAAAAGGACTCGTGCTAGTAGGATCCGAACTCTACTGGAATTGCTTTACTTGCATTTCTGTCCATTTTGGGTTAGCAAAATCTTGTTGATATAATTAAATATGTGTTTGAAGCTGCATGGCCAGGAGGCCATGCCCTGGCCGAGACGCCACATTTGATTATCAGGCAAAATCATACCGAATATTGAAGTAAAGTCCACATCATTAATGATTCGAATTTTTTATACCAATAAAGTGATGATAAAATATTACTCCATAAAATTCAAAAATATGAAATTATCAACCAAATATTCATTCTGCTATAGTTATAAGGTCTTTGTTTAAAGCTTAACAAAATCATTATAGAGATGAGGATAATATAGCTAAGGCCGTGCAAAGACTCATCATAAATTTTTAATGTTTTATTCATAGAAGCAATTATTATCTGAAAAATAACTTTTTCTAGAATAAAAATTTGCTGCGTTTTTTATAGGCAACTAAAGAAACTATTGAGAAACTTCCTCATATAAAATATTTATTATTCCAGCAATACGTACTGCAGTCTTGCCTTATAAAAGAATCAGTAATATTTGAGCCAAGTCCTTGATCACATTGAGAAATAAAATGGTGACGTCGATGAAAATTGGACTCAGAGGCACACTCCCTATGGAACAGTTCGGACCCATCATGATTATTAAGCTTAAAAGCAGAGCCTCTGCCTTTTTTTGAAGTAGCCTACAAGTTTGGCATGCCTTGCCGTGACTCCCGAAGACTTCCATTTCCCTGCCAGATGGGCTAAACAGGTTTTGCTGACCAAAAAGTCTTCACTTATCGGGATCATCGTGACACTCTATATGTGGCGGCTCTGCTCGAGGGAGTTGATCCCTAAGGCAGGTAATTCGGGCCGGAAATCGAAATAGCAGCCTCTGAATTTCCTCCGGCGTCCCAAGAAACAAAAGGGGACGCTATTTTGGAGCCAAGATGAGGCAAAGATAGTGGGCTTGCAAGCTTATGGCCAGCTTATCCTTTAATTTATTTTTAAAAATTTATCACATTGAAAAGCACTTAAAAGTACTGAAATTATAGAGACAAATAAAATATTTCCAATAATTGGAAGTAAAAGCAAGGCGAGATTCTGGCGTGTCTCAATATCTCACAATCAACCTTAGATAACTTAAAATACAAAATAAATATGGCAGTTATTCAATAGCATGAAATTGTCTGAATTCCACCTTCAAATTGAAACAAAATATCCTGTAGCAATAAAAAGGATAGTTAATTTTAATAAATTATATATTAATCTTTCCTTTAAAAATATTTCACTTAATATTTATGAATTTTAATTTAGTTTTATTGAAAAAATAATATATATTTAATCGATTCAGCATAAAAATTGTTTAAAATAATATTCTAATTGCATTTCTTTAAATGAATTTGGCTAAAATATGCCTATAAATTAGGATTTTTACCTATAAAATATTCATTAAAAAATATTACCCAAAATGGAAATTTTATCGATATCTTGCTCCAATTAAATAAGGGAGTGAGCAAAATACAACTAATCTCAGAAAAAATTTCCTTTAACAGAATTATCAAAATTAACCAGTGAGTAGCTGCAAGCTCTTGATAATTGCTTGAAAAAAAGCTTTTATAATAAATTGATTTTTTTAATATTAATTTTACCATTGATACTAACTCCCCCCCTCCGTGAGTGAACAAAACCATTAGAAAAATCGCCATTTTTTGCCCAAAAACCCACCCTCCGTGAGTGAACAAAAATTTTTTTAATAGAAAAATTTTTTATGGAAAAAAGTTTTAATATATAAATGATAATTAGTATAATGAAATATAGAGCTAATTCTATTTAATTTTAAACGAATTGCTTTTTAAAAACATAAATTTTGCAAATTGAATTAATATTTGCTTTCCAATTTTTGCGAATTAGGATTTTTTTAAATTTCGAAAAAAATATTTTTTATAAAATTTATATATAATTTGTTTTTAAAAAAAAAAATTAACCCCCCTCCGTGAGTGAACAAAATTTTTTTGTTCACTCACGGAGCGGGGGGGAGTAAAGAAAAACTGAAATAATTACCTGAAGGAATAACGAGCTAAGACTCATGGATAATGCTGAATAAAGTTAGTTTTTAGGATTTTCAGTAAGTTCAATCTTGTTTGGCACATAACATGATGAACATTCCAATATCCTCTGATCTAATGAGAGACTGGGATACACAGTAGGAGGCAGCTGAACGAACTAAGATTAGATTAAAAATACTTATTTGAAATAGCAGAGCTTCAAATAATCTTAAATAATCGTTAAGCTCTAATTTTCACAAATTTATTTATTTACCTATTGTTATAAATATGTTGACTTGCTATAACTAACTTATAAAACTCAAATCCTTATTAGCTGAATCAAATCGACTGCTGGAGTCTATCACTGAATATTTATTCTTCACAGCCTCAGAAACTTCATCTGGCTTAATTTTTGTTGAAAATTCAAACCTGAAAAACAAGCTGATATCCTTACCTTGCACGGAGTACAAAAAGTTCGGATAAAATCTTTCCTGAAAAGCATACCCAAAAACAGCTAAGCATAGTCAGCCGAAGCTTAATAAATGTACTCATATAAAGATGCTGCTGTTAGCTAATGAATAAATAGATGATAAAATTGAGCTTCACATTACTGCCAGAATTGAAAGTAGGGCTCATAAGTTCATTCTATTATAATTGTAAGGTTTATAGAAAATGGAGTAAGCTAAAAAAAGTGTGAGACAGAAAATATATAAAAGACTATACAAGGAGTTACTGTAATTCCCTATAGTTGATTTTAAAGTAATCGCAACTATTTGAATGATGCTTTTTGCGATTAAATAATGCTCATTGCAATAAATATTTTTATCAGAGCTAAGAGATTCATAATAAGGTCTCCATAAGATTGCACTAGGAATAAAAAAAGGCAAGGAAATTAAAGCAAGAACTGCAAAAAGTAAGTGTAAATCTTTTCAGCAGAAATAATTGCAGTCGCCATATAAAAATGAGTCAAGGACATTCAGGCTTGTTCCTTTTGTGCATCTGAATAGAGAAAACAGAGAATTTATGACAGAGATGAAAAATAAGTTGCTAATATGTGGCAGCAGCTCTTTTGCAATCCCGCAAGCTACTACTAAAAAAGAGAGTCTGCTTTTCTCTTCAATTTTAAAAATTAATAACAGATTAAAAATTAGCATCACCAAGCAGACTATTAAGGCTGTATAAATTCCTGGTCAGAAAATTTTACTGTAATATGTTGTGGTATTTGCTAAATTTCCTGATATATAATCAAAACCATTAGAAATTTTTGAATGAATAAATTCAGGACTTAAAGCTAAAAGCTGTAAGGTCTCTATCAATAAGCTAAAAACAGCTAATCAATCTCGGAATTTTATTTCCCTCTTATCCTGAATGATAGGAAACGATAAGCTCCAATACTTTGATATATAAATTAATGATGTTGCCAAACCTAAAGCAGTCCAAAATGCAATGATACTATAATATATAGCTTCCCCTTTGTCAGAGTCTTGAATCTGCCTATAGGAAAATGGGCAATTAAGCCAATTTATTCTGATATCAGTAGAAGGTTGAGTTCCACCATCAGGCCAAATAATATTTTGGTCAAAAGTCAGCACTGGATTTCTCACAATTGAATAAGATCCGACTGGAAAATCTTCCCATAACCCAGTTGTAGAATTAGATATCAGGTTGCTAATGCCCACGATCATTTCTTCAGATTCATTTGCACTAGGTGACATTACCAATTTTCCAGATCAGCTGATGATCTTTTGCCTCCTGATTGATCTTAAAAGAGTGTCACGGTCTGTGTAGTCCTCTCCAAACTGGATTAAAGTATTAATCGCATTTATAGCTATAGAAGTTTCCTATGTTTGGCGCTGTAAGGCCGATAAATTCTGATCGGAATTTATCGGTTGGTTGCATCAAATCAATGCCTTGGTCGGACCAAAAAGCGATTTGGTCCGACGAACTTGGAAAGCTCCTGGGAAAATGTCTGCGCTTTCAGCGCTATATAGAGGAAACCTCTATAGCCACCCAGTGTTAAAAGCGTGGCAATGATAAGACACAGGAGAATTACCCCATTACTTTTTGATGCCTTCATAAGCTTGCTTCCCAAAATCTCCAACCCACTCAGCTTGGAAAAAAGTTATAGCTTTAAGCTTATTATTGCTGAATATTGCCAATTTCCTGCAATTATAACGATCTCAAAATTAAATTTCTATTCTAATATTTATTTTTTCAGAAATTTGGTGTATCCTTTTAATTCAGCATGCAAGGTATCGTTCTTATACAGTCAATGAAAGTCACAAACTATAGTGATCCATAATATAACTCTTCACATTTAGAAATAACTTCTGCTTCTAAGCCAACTGCATAGTAGGGAAACCACGAAACAGTCTGGTACAACAAAAAAATAGCATCCCCCCTTCTCAATCCTAAATCATATAAGTGGGATGTTAAATAGAAATGGCTCGAAAGATCAACAAATACGAAAAGGGCAAATATTCTTCCATTTGTTTGGATCGCATGGGTAAGATAGCCTTTATATTCTTCAAAATCTTTAAGAGAATAAGAAGCCTTGACCATCCTCTTATCTTCATCATTTAGGACTTTTATCCCATTTACATTTGCTACATTCATAAACCCTTTGTATAGGGTAATTCCTAAGGTCGTGTTTTCATACATGACAACCACATTTTTCCAACCGAAAATCCTCATTGTGGTGGAATGGAGCTCAAAACCTTTTACCACCCGGGCAAATTCAGGGAATTGAATTTGGTCATTAAGAGCAGGATAAAGACAAAAATCCCCAAGTACGGGAATTTTTAATCCCATTTCTCTGAAATCACTAATAGTCCCTAAGTATACTTCATCATGAATTGAAGGTATAAAAACGACTCCAAAGTTTACTTTCTGCTTTAAAAAGCAGTTATATGAAAAATCGTGCTCATAATACTCTGCACTGCAATCAGTTTCATGCAGTTCTAATGAAAAATTTTTAATTAGGTTTGTTTTGTTCGCATAATTGATTGCGTATAGCGTTGGAATCCTTATAATTCAAGTGCCTCTGTGAATAACCCCATCATAGTTTGCAATGCCATCAGAAATTGATATTTTTATCTTTGAATTGCTTGAATCAGGAAAATCATATGCATTTCCTGGAAGTAGTGGAGTTTTGAATAGATTAACTTGACCATTAAAAATTGTTCCAATTATTACTCTCTTGCCATTTTGAATATTGACAATAGAAAATCTATAGTTTGCTCTTTCTGATTCTAAGTATTTTTTAATTACAAAGTTTGATTCTGATAGCATATATATTTTTTCAAGAAAACTTAAAACTGAAGCAATTTCATATTCATCTGAATTTCTTACAAATTCAAGACTCTCTTGCACTATAATGATAAGACCTTCTTCTTCTGCCCCTCATATGCCTTTGCTTTATAATACTATTCCTGCATTTTTAATGTAAATTTTATTTTTTACTAATGACCTTATCAACTTCTTTACTCCTTCTCCTTCATTTAGAATAACAGCATTTTTTAATCCTGTAGTTTTTACCTCTTTCCCAATAAAATAATTAGCGGCATCCTCGTTTCTATCATTTGAATAGCAGAAGTCCTGCTTTTTATTTATATCTCTATAAAATAGACTGCTGAGATTAATTGCATTCGCTGAATCACTATGAATCAAATTATATTGATACCAATTAAAATAAAGTAAAAAACTATTTAAAGCTTCGTAGTGAGCTTGTATCGGAAACAGCGTAAAATAGTCCCAATCAGAAAATTTTTCAAATGGTTCTCGAACTATTATATGGACAAAAGAATTTAACTTTGCAGCTTCAGGAAGCTTTACTTGTAATAAGAGATTGCAAGTGACATCGATTATAATCTTGCTTTCTCCCATAAAGCTGTCAAGAGGATCCTCCTGGCTTATTTTGGATACTTTCAGTTCTGTGAAATTTAAAGCAGAACTTTGGAAAGAGTCAATAATTTGGTTAATCATGTTTTGACTGCTATATTGGCTTATTGCAATAAAAACTGGTAGCAAGCAGGATGCTATATGTATAAGCAATATAGCCAAAATCATTAATTATATTAGCCAAAGAAATGAGCGATATATAAGAAAGTATTATTTAAAACTTGTATACCTTCAAGATAATCAATTTGAGAATAAAGTATAAAAAGATAAATTAGTGAACAAAAGAATTATAATAAACTATCCAACAATTTTTTAATATACTATTACTTTGTTTAAAATCAAGTCTATTTATTCGAAAAGGATAGAGTTTTGATAGATTATATTGCTTTTCTATTGTTGTGATAAAGACAATAATTATATGGTGCTGAAAGAATTTATTTATAAAAATAGCGTCCTTTTTTAATGTAATCAATTTAGGCTTTGATTTTGCTTTAAGTCTATTCAAATACCATTAAAAGCAAGATTGAAGAATCACAAAGCCTTCCTGTCATTTAGAAATGTTTATAAAAGCTAGGAATTCTGAATGGTTCTCATATTCATTAAGTTCTTAAGAGCTAAACATAATCTTTGAAACTCCTAGCTTTATGCAAGGTGCTATGGATAAAACATTAATATAGCTATATATCGAAGAATGAAAAATTTAATGTAGCTGCTTATATTCCTAAGTCAATGAAGACCAAAGCTATAACTAATCAGCATTAGATGCTAAATATAATAGCTGCGACAAGGCAAGGCTATTTATAAAGACGAGTTTAGAATTAAGCCCCTAATAACCTAATAAATGATAAAATTAATCAAATCTGGAATATCTTAAAATAGGATTAAAGAAACGAAGCTAAGTGGCAAGCTACCTAAATTTGAAGTAAAATCTAAACCTATAATTAATTTAACTGAAAGATTTTGTAAAACTAATTGGTTAACTATTGATCTAAACCAAAAAATGATTAAAATTTCTTTAGCTAACAAAATCTGACAGTATATTTAATCTTGAGCTTGAAGCAATAGATTTGTCGTCAATATTTACAGTTATTTTAATGCCTAAATCTTTATTTTCTTTAATTTTCCTTTTTTTTCTTAATTTCTTTAGCAGATATCTGTCTTCCCATTTGAAATGTAAAGAAGTATGCTATATCTACTTCCCTATTAGTAAATAATAAACTAGTAGGCCATTTTCATTAAATTATCATCCCAGCTACTGTCGATAAAAGCCAAACAGAACTACATTAAAAACCAAAATACCCAGGTATCAAATTTTGTGAGCAAATAAAATGATGATAAATAAATTTCATAAAATCGCTATATATGAAATAATAACCAAAAGTTTTTGCTGTTATAATTATAATGCTTATTTTTAAGCATAAAGAAATTAGGATGATAAGAAGAGTGCAACAAAGACCATCAAGGCTTCATTATAAATTTTTATATTCTTATTCATTGCAAATATAATAACTTGGAATCATGATTTTCCCATAATAAAAATTGGCTTTGTTTTTATATTGATATAGCTGTAAATCCTTTCATAATAATTTTTGAAATAAATTGAAGGGATCGAAATTATTAACAAATTACTGAGAAGGCTGCTCATAAAGCATATTTATTGCTTCTATATCGGTTTTATACATTAATTTTTTTAAGCTCACCAGTGAAGAAGACAAAATTTGATGTCCAAGATGAAGTACATTGCAAAAGGAAAGAAAGCTAGCCAGTTTTATATGGATTTGCCTATTTTTGGAATATAGTAAGAAAATTTTATTCTTATTTTTGGTTTTTCTTTGAGTATTTATAGATCTTTATTTCATAAGGAATCATTAAATAAATTATAAATACTCAGAATGATTTTTCTTATACTATTTGAAAATAAGATAATCAAAATGAGTAGAAGTGCTTATATTCGCATTATAATTATTATTTGGAAATTACAAACTAATAAATGTTATCACTAAAAGTAATTTTATTCTGAAATTAGGTCATCCTTTTCAATCGAAAAGCGGGTTTGGCTTTTAAGATTTGGCAATTTTTCTTCACCCATGTCACTAATTTGGACAATTTCTTTTTTCAGTTTATTAATATCTGCAGCTGAGACTCTAGCACCCAATGAAAATCTAAAAAAAATCGCGATATCTGGTGGCTGAGCTGTCAAAAGTAAGCTTGGAATCAGTTTTCATTGGATTAAAATACCAGATATCCCTAAGGTAGCCCAAACTAAGATTTGAAGACTAAGTCATAATTCTTGGGACTCAAATTCTGTAAGTCAATAAATTGAAGATAGAATAAAGTTATATAAAACTCCAAAATATGAAGTAACTGCCCAAAAATTCATGCGACTATAATTATAAGGACTGTTCTTTAAGCATAATAAAATAAATATAAGTAAAAGTATGCTGCAGCAAAGACCATGCAAGGATTGGCTATATACTTTTATGGTCTGGCTCATAGCAATGATACTGATCTGTAAAACTGATTTTTGTAAAATAAAAGTTGGTTTTGTTCGTATATTGATGTGATCATTACTATTCTCATAATGATATCTAAAATAGATAGACAGAGGTATATACATGATCAGCGAAATTAATGAAAAAAATGCTCATAAAATATATTTGTGATTTCAGCAATAAGTAGTGCAATCATGTCTTATAAAAGAATCAGATATTTGATTGCTGGTTCCTTCATCGCATTGAAAAATACTTAAAAGAACTGAGACCATAGGCACAAATATGATATTTCCAATTATGAGCAATAAAAGAGTAGCAAAAATTCTAACATACTTCAATAGTCAACCATTAAGCTTATTTAACTTAAAAATCAATATGCAAGCTGAAAAAACCCAATAGCAAGAAATTATCATGGCTGTATACAAATAAATCCAATAATTACTTTTGCCAACAGAATAATCAAAATTTGCCATTGAATAAGAGCATATTCTAGACAGCCAAAAAAATAGCCAGCCAATATCCGGACCTTGACTAATGAATTGAAAAAAGTCAATTGCCACGATTGCCATGAGAATATAATCTTCAAACTGAGCAGCCGCAGAATTTATTAATTTTTCAATTTTTATATTTTTCCACCATTTGTTCCAGATTCAAAAACAATACACAGCTGAGAAGACGACAAAAGCAGCTGAAATTCCATAGAACACCCCAGAACCTTTTTCTGAATGAGAAATTGCTTTTTTTGGAAAAGGACATCCATTTTCATATATTATAAAGTCAGTTGGCACTACAGTAGTAGAGTCAAATCAGAGGATCTCACTAAATAAAGAAATCAAAGTAGTACTGCCAGGATCATAAAGTCCTACAAGTACTTCATATAATTTTTGAGTCGTAGTATCCAGTCTTATGTTGTAAATTCCAATTGTAGGCAAGAGCCTTTGGTTACTTCCTTGTTCAATTGACACTGTTCCAGAACATCCTGTAAACCTCTGTTTCCTTAGGTTGCTATTCATTGATTGAAAATCTTTGGTATTCTGCCCTTGTTGTATAGTAAATTTTATTCCATTTAAAAGAAGCATTGCAGAATCAAATGCTAAACAACGAAAATCTGTTGAATTAGAATAATGCCTATTGAACTCTTTTTTTAGCATTTCTCCATATTCTCCAATTCACTCAGCTTGTGAAGCGATAACTGCTCCATCAAAAATTTCGACTATCTTTTCATTTTGGATAGGGTCATTTAATCACTCTAAAGAATAGGCAATACGAGCATTAGAGAGGACAATAATATCACCTCTTCTCTTTCCTGTATCATAAAAACTTTCAGCTACATAGAAGCCATAAGGAGGAATCAATAAAGGCACCACAAGTCTAGCCTTTAAGTTTACATTGCCTTCAAACCACCATTTTCACTCCTGGTACTTATCCATTGTGTAGTAAGTGTCAATCAATCTATATTTCGGACTATTTACAATTTCCACATTAAATTGTTTAGCCATTGCCACGAAATACTCATAGTTATCATAACTGGTTTCGTCGTATATAACCATAATATTTTTTCAGTTAAAAATCACACAGAGATTAAATATAACTTGTATGTTGTACTTATCACTTCTTGCAACTCTCATAAACTCAGGGAAGTTTGTTTGGTTTTCCAAACTTGCAAAAGGAGCGTATTGAGAAATCTGGGATATAGAAACGTTTAAACTTCTCAATGTATAGATGTAGGCAAGGTCTATGTATGGGTATGGTGATGATAAATAGCCAACGCCAGGAGTAGCAAGTAAATTATAAAAGCAGAAATACCCATAGGTAGCATTGTACTCAGATGCCCCACAATCAGTGTTAGTTACTGTTATTTCAAAGCCTTCTAAAGCATGTGTACTTTTCCAATAGTTCAGGGCAAACGTTTCCGCAATTGCTAGTTCATGCACTACAACATCAGGAGATGACATCCAATTTGTGTTTCCACTTGCCATTCATATATTGACTGCAGTCGTTGGAGAGTTCGGAATATTTGGAGAATTTCCTGGAAAGGTAAGAGAATTAAGTATAGTCAAATTTCCATTAAAAATATTTCCGACTGCAGCATTTATGTTATTTACCGTATTAACTCCCCCTTCCGTGAGCGAACAAAACCATTCGAAGAATTTTATTTTTTATAGAAAAACTTTTTCCGCGAGCGAACAATTTGATATATAAGTGATAAATAGTATAATGAAGTCTATAGCTAATTCTATTTAATTTTGAACAAATTGTGTTTTTACAACATAAATTTTACAAACAAAATAATAATATTTGATTTCCAATTTTTAGAATTAAGATTATTTTAAAATTTCGAAAAAAAAAATTTATAAAATATTTGTATAAATTTTGTTAAAAATTAACCCCTCTGTAAACGAACAAGAATTTTTGGTTCGCTGCAGAGGGGGAATAAGAAGCATAAAATTGGAGATAGGATAGTGATTGACTGTTTTTGAATTTAAAAATTCGAGTAAGTCAAAAGGGTCAGGCTTTGAAGAAAAGTTTATCATTAGATTCAGGAATTTTATGAATGCTAGACCTTCATAAGAGTAATAACTGTCAGCACTTTCTAATCCTGATTCTACATAAGCAATAACCCCGTTTCCATATAAACCTCACGCACCTTCGCTTCCAACAATAACTCCAGTTCCAAGAGAAAGTAAACTTTGCTCTACTAAACTTTGTAATAGTAATTTAGTGCTTTCCCCTCTATTTAATAGCACAAGATTTTTTATTCCACTGGCTTGAATTGCTTTTCCTATAAATAAGTCCGATGATTTTTTAATCTTATTATTAGCAAAAAAGAATCACTGATAATTTTTATCAGAAAAATATGTATCAAAACCATCATTTTCGTCATGCCGTTCATCAGAAACCACAATAAAAGTTTCTCAATTAAAATAAGAAATAATGCTTGATAAAGCCTTAAGATGATTTTCTCATGAGTCGTGGATAAAAAATTCTCAATTTGAGAAAGTGCCAGATGATTTATTGATTGAAGCGATTATAAAATGCTTCTCTTCAGCGAGCTTTTTGATGGATTCTAAAAGTGAAGTGCTAAAGGTTAGATCAAAAATTATATCTGCGGTGTTTGTAGCCAATAGAACATCTTCAAAAGTCTCAACACAGGTTAGGTAAAATTCAAACTGACCTTGAAAACTATTTTCCAACAAAGCAATAATATTCGAGGGGAGTTCTGTATTTGTGTAAGGACTATAAACGATGCCAATAAGCAATAGGCTATTAGAAAGGACTATCATGAATAGCAAAATTACCAAAATCTTCATTGCTAACTTTTATATTAAATCTTACTTTAAGAAAAAATATCAAGATTTATTTGTTATTTTTATCAATCTAGCTTTTATTAGGATTTCTTGATTAAATAAATTATTTTAGAAAATTTATATATTAAATCATTATTAGGATGCCTATTGGATAGCCAAAAATCTTTAGATTCATTTTGCATTTGACAAGCTCAATTAGGTGTTTAAGAAAGTTAAATTTTGTGATATGAAATCAATTCGATATTGCCTTTCGTAATAACCTACCTAGGACTTTATACTTATTAGCCAGCGAATAAAATTTAGAACTTTCAATAAAATGGAAAGGGGAAATATCGTTCATAAATTATTTACAAGTGTCATAAATTCGATTGTTTGTATACTTTAATACTTCAAAATTAATTATATCAAAAAGTGTCTGCTTTTCGATTTTTATTAACTATCTGCCTAACAATATTTAAAATTTAGCACTTTCTAAGGATAAGAAAAAAGAATTTATACCAATTTTATTAATCAGTCGATAAATATACAAGCTATAGTCTTATTTGTTTTTTTATTGATTCACTACAGACAATCGGCTCCTCAAATCTTCTTTTAATAAATTTTTTGTTAATAGAAATTATATTCAAGCTAGCCAAGACGGGAGCAGATACGCTTTAAATTATAATAACTAATCAAGAAATTATTTACATGAAATTATTTAATTTATTTGAAACTAATAAGCAAACGATATTCGAAATTAGTATAAGCCAAAATTCAATTTGCTCAAGCTATCAGCTAAATATTTTAAACTAGAATGAAATTGATAATAAAAATTACTTTATATTTAATAATTATTCTTAAAAATATTATCTTGAGATGAATGTGATAAATTCTCAGAACCTTCTTCTTTGTTTTCTATATATTTTTTTAAGCTTTTACAAGTTCCATCTCACTAATTTGATTCCCATTGAAAATTTTTAAAAAATGGTTATGTCGACGACTTTATCAGCAAGTAATAAGCTTGGAAATCGCTTACACTGAATGGTAATACCAACTGCTGCTAAGAGATACCACACTGAGAATTGAAGCACAAGCCATAACATTTGAGAGTAAAACGTGTAGTCAATAAAGAAAAATAATTCCATAAAATAGCTATATATGAAATAGCCAGCCAAAGATTTGCCCTCTGATAATTTTAATGCTTTGCTTGAAGCATAAAAAAAGTATTAATACAAAAATGATGATGCAGAAAAGACCATGCAAAGACTCATCAAAGGGTTTTGAAGTTTTATTCAAACAACGATGAGAAGCTGGATAATAGTTTTTTCTATAATAAAAAGGGGCTTTGATTTTATGTTAATGTAATCATTTATATTCTCATAGCTTAGTTAATCCAAAAAGACGCCCTTATGGACCGATTCATACTAATTCACTATAGGAAATCTATAGTTTGCTTTTTCTGATTCTAACTCCCCACTCCATGAGCTAACAAAACAATTTGAAAAATCCTTTTTAGGTAAAAAACTATCCTCCATAATCAAACAAAAATTTTTTATATAAAAATTGATATATAGTGATGATTATTATAATGAAATCTCTAACTAATTCAGTTAAATTTTAAATAGCTTGTACTCTAAAACATAAATTTTAAATTAAATTAATATTTGTTTGCATATTATTTCAAATTGAAATTTTTTAAATAATTCAAAATTAATTCTTTGTCCGAAATAATTTATTTATCATCGTTTTTCAATTGTTATCATATTAATTACGTTCTTAGGAACCGCTGCTTAAAGCTGAAGCCAAAACTCTAATTGCTTAACATAAATGCTAAATATAATAACTGCTACAAGACAAGATTATTTGATAAAGAATAGTTTAGAATTAACACTAAAAAACCAATAAATGATAGAATTAATCAAATCTGGAATATATTAAAATAAGATTAAAAAAACGAAGCCAAATGGCATGCTACCTAAATTAAAAGTAAAATCTTAAATCTATAATTAATTTAACTGAAAATTTATTGATTTTAAATATAATTAAAATTCCTTCAGCTAACAAAATCTAACAGTACATTCAATCTTGAGCTTGAAGAAATAGATTGATCGTCAATATTTACAGCTATTTATCTATATTTTCTTCAATCTCCCCTTTCATTTTGTTAATTTCTTTACAGATGCCTGTCTTCCCATTTGAAACGTAAAGAAATATGCTATATCTCTACCTTATCAGTTAATAATCAAATAGGATGCCATTTTTATTGAGTTATCATTCCAGCTACTGTCAAGAAAAGCCAGACTGAGTATTGCATTAAAACCAAAATACCATGGTATCAAATTTTTTGAGCCATGACCAAACGAGAAGATCATAAAATTTGCCAAAAAATCAGGAAATTAGACCTTTGGTTGAGCGCTTTGATAAAGTAATCATGAAACCCACACGTGACCCAAAAAATTTTAAACCCAATGAATTTGATGATGCAATCAAGGATTGAGGGTAGAGTTAGAAAACTCGAATTTTCTATTGATATTTAGTTCAAATAAATAAATAAATCGGCTTCATCAACGATAAAAGGGAGGCTAATTACAAAGAATTCAAATTATTGAGCTCGCAGAAAAGCAAACAGCTTTACTTTTACACCTCAGACCTCAATAAATTTATGGCAATATAAAGTTAGCTATATGTGATCAAGGAACAGCAAGACTTATAGATAAATTGTTGAGTATATCATAATCAAAAAAATTACTGTTCATATAAAAGATGCTAATAAATAATTTGAATTGAAAAAGACTATATGAGATGAATAATATTAGGCTACTTTTCAATATAATGCAAAATAATTAATTTTAAAAAAATGCTTTAAAAGGAGAGATTTTAATTTTTCTTTGTAATCAAGATTAAGGAATCATTAAATAAATTATAAATACTCAGAATGATTTTTCTTATACTATTTGAAAATAAGATAATCAAAATGAGTAGAAGTGCTTATATTCGCATTATAATTATTATTTGGAAATTACAAACTAATAAATGTTATCACTAAAAGTAATTTTATTCTGAAATTAGGTCATCCTTTTCAATCGAAAAGCGGGTTTGGCTTTTAAGATTTGGCAATTTTTCTTCACCCATGTCACTAATTTGGACAATTTCTTTTTTCAGTTTATTAATATCTGCAGCTGAGACTCTAGCACCCAATGAAAATCTAAAAAAAATCGCGATATCTGGTGGCTGAGCTGTCAAAAGTAAGCTTGGAATCAGTTTTCATTGGATTAAAATACCAGATATCCCTAAGGTAGCCCAAACTAAGATTTGAAGACTAAGTCATAATTCTTGGGACTCAAATTCTGTAAGTCAATAAATTGAAGATAGAATAAAGTTATATAAAACTCCAAAATATGAAGTAACTGCCCAAAAATTCATGCGACTATAATTATAAGGACTGTTCTTTAAGCATAATAAAATAAATATAAGTAAAAGTATGCTGCAGCAAAGACCATGCAAGGATTGGCTATATACTTTTATGGTCTGGCTCATAGCAATGATACTGATCTGTAAAACTGATTTTTGTAAAATAAAAGTTGGTTTTGTTCGTATATTGATGTGATCATTACTATTCTCATAATGATATCTAAAATAGATAGACAGAGGTATATACATGATCAGCGAAATTAATGAAAAAAATGCTCATAAAATATATTTGTGATTTCTGCAATAAGTAGTGCAATCATGTCTTATAAAAGAATCAGATATTTGATTGCTGGTTCCTTCATCGCATTGAAAAATACTTAAAAAAACTGAGACCATAGGCACAAATACGATATTTCCAATTATAGGCAACAAAAGAGTAGCAAAAATTCTAACATACTTCAATAGCCAGCCATCAAGCTTATTTAAATTAAAAATCAATGCGCAAGCTGAAAAAACCCAATAGCAAGAAATTATCATGGCTGTATACAAATAAATCCAATAATTACTTTTGCCAACAGAATAATCAAAATTTGTTATTGAATAAGAGCATATTCTAGACAGCCAAAAAAATAGCCAGCCAATATCCGGACCTTGACTAATGAATTGAAAAAAGTCAATTGCCACGACTGCCATGAGAATATAATCTTCAAACTGAGCAGCCGAAGAATTTATTAATTTTTCAATTTTTATATTTTTCCACCATTTGTTCCAGATTCAAAAACAATATAAAGCTGTGAAGACGACAAAAGCAGCTGAAATTCCATAGAACACCCCAGAACCTTTTTCTGAATGAGAAATTGCTTTTTTTGGGAAAGGACACCCATTTTCATATATTATAAAGTCAGTTGGCACTACAGTAGTAGAGTCAAATCAGAGGATCTCACTAAATAAAGAAATCAAAGTTGTGCTGCCAGTACTTCATATAATTTTTGAGTCGTAGTATCCAGTCTTATGTTGTAAATCCCAATTCTAGGCAAGAGCCTTTGGCTACTTCCTTGTTCAATTGACACTGTCCAGAACACCCTGCAAACCTCTGTTTCCTTAGGTTGATATTCATGGATTGAAAATCTTTGGTATTCTGCCCTTGCTGTATAGTAAATTTTATTCCATTTAAAAGAAGAATTGCAGAATCAAATGCTAAACAACGAAAATCTGTTGAATTAGAATAATGCCTATTGAACTCTTTTTTAGCATTTCTCCATATTCTCCAATTCACTCATGTGTAGCGATAACTGCTCCATCAAACATTTCAATTATTTTTTTATTTTGGATAGGGTCATTTAGTCACTGTAAAGAATAGGCAATACGAGAATTAGAGAGGACAATAATATCGCCTCTTCTCATTCCTGTATCATAAAGACTTTCAGTTACATAGAAGCCATAAGGAGGAATCAATAAAGGCACCACAAGTCTAGCCTTTAAGTTTACATTGCCTTCAAACCACCATTTTCACTCCTGGTACATATCCATTGTGTAGTAAGTGTCAATCAATCTATATTTCGGACTATTTACAATTTCCACATTAAATTGTTTAGCCATTGCAACGAAATACTCATAGCTATCAGAGCTTGTTTCGTCGTATATAACCATAATATTTTTTCAGTTAAAAATCACACAGAGATTAAATATAACTTGTATGTTGTACTTATCACTTCTTGCAACTCTCATAAACTCAGGGAAGTTTGTTTGGTTTTCCAAACTTGCAAAAGGAGCGTATTGAGAAATCTGGGATATAGAAACGTTTAAACTTCTCAATGTATAGATGTAGGCAAGTCTATGTACGGGTATGGTGATGATAAATAGCCAACGCCAGGAGTAGCAAGTAAATTATAAAAGCAGAAATACCCATAGGTAGCATTGTATTCAGACGCCCCACAATCAGTGTTAGTTACTGTTATTTCAAAACCTTCTAAAGCATGTGTACTTTTCCAATAGTTCAGGGCAAACGTTTCCGCAATTGCTAGTTCATGCACTACAACATCAGGAGATGACATCCAATTTGTGTTTCCACTTGCCATTCATATATTGACTGCAGTCGTTGGAGAGTTCGGAATATTTGGAGAATTTCCTGGAAAGGTAAGAGAATTAAGTATAGTCAAATTTCCATTAAAAATATTTCCGACTGCAGCATTTATGTTATTTACTGTATTGAGAAGCATAAAATTGGAGATAGGATAGTGATTGACTGTTTTTGTATTTAAAAATTCGAGTAAGTCAAAAGGGTCAGGCTTTGAAGAAAAGTTAATCATTAGATTCAGGAATTTTATGAATGCTAAACCTTCATAAGAGTATTGAAATTGCTGTCAGCACTTTCTAATCCTGATTCTACATAAGCAATAACTCCGTTTCCATTTAAACTTCACGAACCTTCGCTTCCAACAACAACTCCAGTTCCAAGAGAAAGCAAACTTTGCTCTACTAAACTTTTTAATAGCAATTCAGCGCTTTCCCCTCTATTTAATAGCACAAGATTTTTTATTCCACTGGCTTGAATTGCTTTTCCTATAAATAAATCATTAACATTAAAGAGATCCTTCCTTGAGAGCGAAAATGCCAACGCTTCATAAGGGATCTTAACTTAGACGAATTCTTGGAAGACGAGAGAATATTAAACACTAAGAAGGAGCAGTGAGACCAAATTTTGGAAGGTAAACTGAGCGAATGCAACTTGAGAGAAATTGTAAACAGGCTAGAACTAGAGACAAAGAAAACGACGAGGGTATGAAGATGGTTGAAAGAAGAAGCTGAATATAGCTATACCCCGACGTTTATAAAACACAACCCTGACAGGCATCTTGCAATTGGATCAATCCACAGACTAAGGGCTGGGTTTAATTTTAGTAATCACAATGCATGGATTAGGCACCTAGCACAGTCAGCAAAATGCGAAGTGTGTTATGAAGAGGAAACAGAAGAACACATAATTGAAATCTGTCCACAATATGCTCTGCAGAGAAATAAGCTGAAAAAAAGGTTGGAGCAGATTAGCTACCCATGTGAAAAAATCAGGTTGGCTGAAATAATCCTCTATAGTCACCGGCTTGAACGGAGCTTATTAAACTGGCGTTACGAGAATGAAGAGACGCACAGCATAGATGAAATAGACAAGGCAATCAAAGTTTTCCATGAAGAGGTGTTGGTCTCAAGAGCAAAGCGACATGGGTTAATGAAAGAGAGAGAAGATAGACTCTTGGGCCGAAGTGATAAATCGCAGCAGCTTAAAATAGATAGATGGTTAGTTAAAAAAGAACCATAAGGTTCTTGCTGCAGGCATTGCCTGCTGAATAATTAAGTAAGTTTTCTAAGATTTTCATTCATTACTTGGTGATCCTTCACGTTTTGGCCTTGCTTTATAGTAAACTCTATTCCATTTAGAAGCAGCATTGTATCATCAAATGCTAAGCATCGAAATCTGTCTCATTTCCATATTCTTTAATAAACCCATTTTTTATTTTTTGTCCATACTCATCAATCCATTCGCCTTGGGCAGTTATAACTGTACCATGCAGTAGCTCAATAATTTTTCTTCGTTGAACTAAATCAGTTTCCCAAAAATAGAATAAGCCATCCTTGCATCAGATAAAAATAAAACGTCACCCCTTCTTAATCCTGCGTCGTAAAAACTTTCAACTATATAAAATCAAAAGGGAGGGGTTAAAATGATAAAAAAAAGTCTCACTTTTAAGCTAATTATTTTAGCAAATCAGCTTTTTCATTTGGGATAATCATTTCTAGTGTAGAACATGTCCATAGTTCGAAGATCAGGACTATTTGCAATTTTCATGTTATTTTTTGCAATTTTTTCCACAAAATAATTATAAGTCCCTAAATTATCTTCATCGTAGATGATAATAAAATGTTTCCAGCCGAAAACTGCTGCAAGATTTAAGATAACGCCTGTGTTAAATCTTTCGTCTTTCGTTACAGTCATAAATTCAGGAAAAGATGATTTGTTTTGCGATAGACTTGATATGGCATATGGTGAAATGCTAGGTATTGAAAAATTTAAAGACCTCAATGCATATATATCCAATTGCTATAAAGGGATATAGAGATGTTAAAAAACCCACTCCAGGAGTATTGAGTAGCTGAGAAAAGCAGGAATATGCATAATCATAATCATAAACTGACACTCCACAGTCGGTATCAACTACTTTTATTTCAAAGTTGTCCAATACATGCTTATTTTCCCACAATCCTAAAGCATAAAACTCTGCATAAGCAATTTTTAATGCTGAATTTTCAGAGAAAAAAAAAGGATTTGTTGTTCCATCAGCGATTTATATATTAATATCTGTAGTAGGAGAGTTTGGAATTTTTGAAGAATTTCCTGGGTATACTAAAGGGTTTATTAGTGTTAAGATTCCATTAAAAATCTTTCCTACTAGAAAATTTTCATTATTTTTGGCATTAATTAGAGTAAAATTGGACACTGGGTGATGATCCTCTGTATTTTTATTCAGAAACTCTTTGAGGGTTAAAGAGTTGTATGTTGAACTATAACTGAGAATCTGTTTTAAAAATTTCACAAATGCTAAACCTTCATAATTATAATAGCTATCCGCTAATTCTAGTCCCGATTCGCAGTAACTAACAACTCCGTTACCATAAAGTCCCCAAAACCCTTTATTTCCTATAATAGCTCCACTCCCAATATTAAGAAAATTGTGCTTTTCTAAGCTTTTTAGCAGTAATTTTACACTTTCCCCTCTATTTAGAATTACAATATTTCTTATCCCGGTGGCTTGAACTATTTTTCCAATAAATAAATCTGCCAAGCTTTGATCATTACTGTTTGAGAAATAAAATAACCGATAATTCTTATTAGAAAAATAATTTGAAAATCCATCATCTTCACTATAAGTTTGGTCAGAAACTACAATAAATGTTTCTCAATTTAAAAAGGAAACAATTGAAAGCAAAGCTTCAATCTGATTCTTTAAAGAATTATGAATAAAAAATTGCCACTCTGAGTATGTCCTCGAAGTTTCTTCAATAGAAGCGATAATAAAATATTTTTCTTCTGCAAGCTCTTTTATGAGCTCAGATAAAGAGGCACTATAGATAAGGCCAAAAACTATATTTGAAGCATCTGTAGCCAGCTTTAGATCTTCGGAGGTTTCTATATAAGTTAGATTAAAGTCAATATGACTTTGAAAGTTTTGAAGTAGCAAAGAAGAGATTTTCAAAGCAAGCTCTAGATTTGTGAAAGAACTATAAATAATATTAACAATCAGCTGAGATTTGGCAAGGATGGCCATACAGAGTATGATCCGTAAAAACTTGAATACTGACATTATACACGCTACTTAAAAATATTCAATTCCATTTTTTAGTTGATTTTTCGATAAATTTTAACTTGATTTTTTCAAAAAATGGTTTTAAATTAAATAAATATATTCAAAGTAATTGTATTAAATTTTTAACTTCTTTCCTAAACATAATTTATAACTCAATAAGTGTCTAAATAAAGTTTCCTTAAAATTATTTTGATGCTTTATTCTTTATTTTTAAATTGACATCTCAGATGTTAATGATACTTTTACTAAACTTTTAATCTTCCTCTTAATTTTGAACTGAATTTCATATTGAAATAGAGGGGCTTGGATTACCAAACGAGCATTTCTTTTTTTTTTTTGAAATAAAAAGGGCTCGATTGCAGCATTTGATTACTAGTTTATTTTAAAGTAAAATGTTAGAAGTAGCAAAAATTGCAATTTTGTTTAATTTATAAATTTATAATCCTTTAAATCTAATTTTATTTATAATTAAAATTTGAATTTTATTAATTAAATAGCTATTGTGAATATTTAAAACTATTAAAGGGTGAGCTTATCAAAATTTACGATGCTATAAAGCATGCAAATTTTATATAAGTGAGCTGATAAATAAGAATTTAATTATTTATTAAAGTTTTGTGTTAATAATTATTCTTTTATACCATTTCCATCAGAATAAGAAGAGCAAGACTCATTACTAGCATTTGAATTTTTCTCTTTTAGCTTTTATAAGCTCCTTCTTACTCATTTTTGATCCAGCAGGGTCGGGTGAGTCTCCCCGACAGACTGAGGACGTCACCATTTTTGATGGCTCCGAAGAAAAAGGGCGTTAGGTGGCTTTAGTGCTTAGTGCCACATGAAGCACGAAGCTGAAGTCCGACTGGCTAGGGGCTGAAATAATCCCCGCTTAGCCTCTTAACTAATCTCTCTCTCTCTCTTACTCATTTGGCTTCCCATTAAAAATTTAAAAAAATTAGCTATATCTACAGCTTTATCAAAAACTAATAAACTAGGAAGCTATTTGGCATTGAATTGAATTGTAATATCAGCCTCTATTAAGATAAACCCAGAACGTTAAGTATGAGTCACAATGCTGAATAACCAAAAGTAATGAGTCAATAAGTAAATGATAAATAAAATTTCATAAATAGCTAAATTTGGTAGCAAAGCCATGCAAAACTCTATTGTATTGAATTTTAGCAACTTGCATTTTAATACATAAATTTTGCAAAATTTTAATTAATTTTTGTCCACATTTTTTTGCGAATTTTATATTCGGAAAAAAAACATTTATTTAAAAAAATTAGCCCTCCACCATGGACAACAAACTTGTGTTTTCACTCACGGAGGAGGAGGAGGGGTAATTTTTCGTAATTAAAATAGTCATCAGCAAACTCAAGACAAGATTTAGAATATCCAATAGCTCCATTTCCACATGGCTCCCACGAGCCTTACTTCCTATAATACTCCTGCCCAATAGTATGGAAATTGTGATTTTATAAACACTGCACTTTCTGCTTTATTTATTATAACAATATTTCTCGTTCCATTTGGCTTGAACTATTTTTCCAATTAATTAATCAGTCAAGCTTTCTTTATAGATGCTTGAGAAGTAAAATCATTGATAATTCTTATTCGAAAAATAATTTCAAAATCCACTATCTTAGTAAGTCATCAGAAATTACAATTAATCTTTCTCATTTTAAATAATAAGTGAGGCAAGCTGACTACCCATTGAGTATGAAACAATTCTCAGTTAGAATGTGCCAAGTGTTTTGTAAATGGAAGCGATTATATAATGCTTTTCTTTGGCAATCATTTTATGAGCTCCAATAAAGAGGCACTATAGGAAAGGAAAGAAAAAAGAAAAGTTCAAAACATGATATTGCTCAATTTAAGATACCTATAGACTTCAAACAAATTATTATATTCAAAATATATAAAATATATAAAATTCATTGAATTAATTGCTAGATATTTAGCTTAGAGTTTACAGATATCTAAAAATTTAATTATAATAATTATTCTGATATAATATTATCGTTAATAGTTGGAATAATTTGAGTGCAATTTATATTTGATGTTTTGCTTTTAGTTGAGTAGTTTGAATTACTTATCTCTTTTTTCATTCTATTGAGCTCAGCAGCTGTAATTTTATTTCCTATTTCAAATTTAAAAAAAATCGCAATGTCAACAACCTTCTCAGTATTCAATAGGTTTGGGTATCACTTGCATTGAATAGCAATACCTGAAGCTATTAAGATAAGCCAGCCTAAACATTGTAAAGCTATAAAAATTAATTTATTATCAATTTCTGTGAGTCAATAAGTACTTGACAAAATAAAACTTCATAGAATAGCCAGATAAGAAATACTAATTCAAAGATTCATTCTATGATAATTATAAGGGCCTTGCTTATAGCACAGCAGAATCATTGTAATAAAAAGGATGCAACAACAAAGTCCGTGCAAAGATTCGTTATACTCTTTGACTGTTCGGCTCATAAAAATAATAATTATTTGGCAGATTGCTTTTTCTATAATAAAAATCGGATTCGTTCTGATGTTAATATGATCATTAACAATTTCATAATAATATCTTAAATAAATAGTTAAAGGAATATAAACTAGCAAGGAAATAATTGCAAAAATTCCTCATAAAGTATACCTATTATCCCAGCAATATGTAGTGCAATCATATCTTATAAAAGAATCTGTAATTTTTGAGCTAATTCCTTGATCACATTGAAAAATGCTTAAGAGCACTGACACCATTGGCACAAACACTATATTTCCAATTATAGGAAGCAAAAGTAAAGAAATATTTTTCACGCGTTTTAGCATTTCACTAAAAAATTCATTAAGCTGATAAAGCAATAAAAAAGCTGTAAAAACTCAAAAGCAAGAAATAGCCATAGCAGTATATAAATAAACCCAATAAATATCACCTGTAACGGTAGAATCAAAGTTAGTCATTGTATAGGTGCAGAGTAAGGACAGCCATTCATGTAATCCACTTATATCAGGTCCTTGAGAAATAAATTGGAAAAAATCTATAGCCAAAATTGCCATCATGAAGTAATCTTCAAACTGAACATATGCAGATATTTTTAATTTCTGTATTCTGATGTTTTTTAAAAATTTATTTCATATAAAAAAGGATTCAATAATCGTGATAACTATCAGCCCAATCGATATTCCATATAGCATACCGGCACCGGCTTTAGACCTATGAATCATTTTAGCTGGAAATGGGCAGCCATTTTCATATATAATTAAATCTGAAGGCAGATTTGTGGTGTTATCATATCATAAGATCTGGCTATAAAAAGTAATTAATTGTACACTGCTGAGATCATACAACCCCACCGATTCTTCGTAAAGCTTCTGAGTAGTATCATTTCACCTTAAGCTGAAAATCCCGAAAGTAGGCAAACTTCTTTGATTAGTTCCCGGCTCAATTGACACAGTCCCAGAGCAGCCTAAAAATTTTTGTTTTCTTATGTTTGCGTTCAATATTTCATAATCCTTCACATTTTCACCTTGTTTTATAGTAAATGAGATGCTATTTAGAAGTAGCATTGCAGAATCAAATGCTAAGCAGCGAAACTCTAATTGGTTTACATACTCCTTTAAATAGCCTCTTACAAGCATTTGTCCATATTCTCCAATTCACTCAGCTTGGGCAACAGCAATCGCACCATAAAATACCTCAGTGACTTTTCGTCGCTGGACCAAATCGGTTTCTCAATCAAATGCATATGACATTCTTGCGTTGCATAAGATTATCATGTCGCCTTTTCTAATCCCTGCATCATAGAAGCTTTCAGCTACGTGAAATCCGTAAGGAGGTGTTAAAAATGCAACTAAAAATCTGACCTTCAAGCTTATTATACTTGCAAATCAATCTTTTCAGTGAGGATATTTGTCTCTTGTGTAGTATGCATCCATTTGCCTCAGTTCAGGGCCATTTGCAATGATCATGTTATATTGTTCGACTTTTGATAGAAAAAAGTTATAAGCCATTAAATTATTTTTATCATAAATGACTAGAAAATGCTTCCAACCAAAAATGACTGCAAGATCTAAAATGACCTGGGTATTGAAAGCTTCGTCTTTTATTATTGTCATAAACTCAGGGAAAAGGGTGTTATTAAGAGAAAGAGTTGAAGGAGCATAAGGGGAAATGTGGGGTATTGAAAGATTCAAAGATCTTAATACCAAAATGTTACCTATGGCTATATATGGATAGAGAGATGTTAGATATCCAACACCAGGAGTTGCTAGTAATTTAGAAAAGCAGGAGTATGCATAAGTCAAATCAAATACTGTAGCCCCACAGTCTGTATGAGTTACTGAGACTTCAAAGCCATCCAAGGAATGTATACTTTTTCAATAGCTTAAAGCATAAAATGCTCCTGCTGTTGGAGTTGTTGCCAATATATCAGAGTCACCTCCTGGATTTATTGTTCCATCTGCGATTCATATATTTATGTCTGTGGTAGGGGAGTTAGGAATAATTGAAGAATTCCCTGGATAGATCAGGGATTTTGATATCGTTAAATTTCCGTTATAAATTTTTCCTTTGATTGATCTTTCACTATCTTCGATATAGCTCTTTCTATATTATAGATCGTCTGGATGTTAAGCAATAAGTTTAGGCCATTGAACTTTTTGTGCACCAATAAATTGGTCTACTGGTTGCAATCAGTCTACGAGGAGTAAAGCAAGTTTGCTGGCTTACAAAAGGCCAAAGGCTATTTTAAAGAACTCAGGCTGATCAAAGGCAGAAATGCCAACTCTAAAGTAATTTACCTGCGTAAACTTGAAAAACTAATTGGGAGAGATTGCCATGCTTTGTATTTTGTATATGTGATCTAAAATCAAGCATGGACTATATTTAATAGAGTAAAATTTGGGAATGGATGATGATCAACTGTATTTTTGTTTAAAAACCCAATTAACTCCAAAGAATTGGATGCTAAAGGAAAGCTGAGTATTAAATTCAAAAATTTTATG